TAAAACACCACTGGAAAGAATTTCTTCGTAACAAGTGTTGTCTATATCAAATTTACTTGTCATATTAGCATCGAGCTTGTCTTGAAGACGGGTGGAGTTAGAAAGGAGGATAACATGTTCGTCGTGACTTTTGAGCTCTTTTAAAGCTGTTTTAGAATAAGGATATGCTTTTATGCCATCGTGAATAACACCATAAATATCGCAAGCAATTGTGTCGTATTTCACATCTTGAAGTATTTCCGTAAAACTTTGAACAACTCTCATTTCAGTACTATTAACAGAAGGAGAAAAGAGAGGCACTAATTTTCTTTGGGCTCTTTTTTATCTAGTATACGTGACTTCCAATTTTGTCGCTTGCGTTCTCTACACTCAGGGAGTTTGGAAAGTGTAGTGTTAAAAAAAACCCGTTCATACACTTTTTTCCTTGTCTTCTCTTCTTCCCCTATTCCCTTCTTTTCAATGTTTTTTTTTTTTTTTTTGTAATTATTGTGAAAAGTTTACTTAATAACGATTTTTGTTTAAAGCAACAAAGTTAAAAAAAAGGCCTTGGTATTTAACATCATTTTGATGTCGTACAAAGTTCCTACATGACTTATCGTATCGTTCCAATTAGTGTTTGTAATGAAGATCGAAACTCTCGAGCGAGCTACGATTGTGGTTTGGTTAAAGCTCGCTCGAAAACTTTTTTTTTTTTTTTTTTTTTTTGAAGACCAAACTCGCCCAAGTTTTTGTAAGCTCGTATACGCTCGAGCTTATGTGAAATATCAGCCAATGCCAATAGCTACTATCACAGGCATTTCGACTGTCATCGACGATTTGCTATTAAGGAATACCGATAGAGAGAAAGCGGAAGTCAAATTGGAGTCTCTGCCTCTGACAGATTATGAGCATAAGTCTGCCAAAGCATTCAGTGCCTTGATTACGAAACTGCCCTCAATGCCATCCGAAGAAATTATTAATGAATTCGATATATGCACACGCTTTCTCGATCTATTTCTTTCCGCTCTACTTGATAAACCAGACAACGATATCTACTTTCGATGGACAAAGGAGACAGCTTTGGAGTCTAAAGCAAGACCGGATTTATCAAGGGATCGGCCAGATATATGACTAAGCATATCTTGTGGCAGGAAGTGGGACGCCAGCCGCGACTATAGAGAAGTAAAACCTGCCTCACAAATCCAAAATCGCTACTTGATATGCAAAAATTTGTAAATACTCAGTTAGGAGGCGGCCTGGATATTCAAACAAATGGCCGAGAAATCAAGTTTTATTTACTATCCCTACTTGCTACTGATACACATGTACTCCTTCAACTTGCTGAAATAAATTTACAAACCTCAGTTTATGTTAATAACTTGGTTATTATTGTAAACATTTAAACGTCTACGAAAAAAAAAAAAAAAAAAAGTAATTACGAATACGTTACAATACAGTTACAATAATTTTTTCCCTCCCATATACTACTGCAAACATTTCTTTCGCAGTGTTAGACAATCTTCTTTCCAGAATTAATCAAATCCGAATACCAATAATCAATCGGTTTTATTAGCTCTCTAAGAACCGCACCTAGAGAATTCGGGTATAAAAGTCACTTTTGGAGGTGTCAATTAACTTTCTCTCAAATCTATAATCTAGAATGAACTGTTAAAACACTTCAAAAACCCTAAAGTAATCAAGATTGAAGCCCCCAATATATCACACCAAGCAATAATAAACGTATGCATATCGGCGGAAAAGTACAAGTTACCAACACTTTTGATCCGCCATGAACTCAATAAAAGAGAATATAAACTCCATCAAAAATATTGTATAACCTCGATACTGCTATCGATTCGTTTGAATATGTCCATAATGACGATATTGATTGGTTTTATATTTAAATAAATTTATTTACTTTTGTTCATCTTCTATAAAAGACTAAGAATTGACTTTTCTTATTAATTTGAAAGAGGGAGTGATGTTTCATTCTTTAGCTGCCATATCTTATTACACGTACGCCATACAACTGTCTATCTTTTTTTCATAAAAATAATCCCTGATGTCATTAACGAAAATATATTTCAGATAAATCAAACAATGGATATACAGGGCAGTGTAACCACAAGCAAACATTTCCAACCCCGATTAACGACGACAAAAAATAAAAGTAAACGCTCCCGGGTGGGCTTGAACCACCAACCTCCTGATTAACAGTCAGACGCGCTAGCCAATTGCGCCACGGAAGCTGTTGATATTTGTAAATTTTTAAAAACAATATGTTTTTCACATATAAAAATACAGTCACGTGATAAACACGTGATTGGCCGGACCGGACGTCGCTCGACATAGACTGTGTGCGGTCGTCCTAAATGTAGATTATGAATAAGTTCAGCCAATGGTTGATAGTCATACATAAAATAAAGTTGCATTTATGAAATACACAACAGCCGTGATCCAATAATATTTTACTTAGTGAGAGCTCCAGCACCTCTGTTCTTGCAAAACTACAATTACTACACTAACAATGCACTTGTCACCGAACCTGAACAATCCTCCGCTACTGCTGTACTGGAAGCTATAAACATACTCCGGTGGGCTCATCAATTGTGAAGTCATCATGTGAACCTGAAAACAATCAAAATGGAAGCTCCTTTGCTAAACCGACACTTTTTTATCAATGTTTGTAAAGCAGCAGAGATATACAATTTGCATGCTTTTTTGGTCAGAAGCGACCAGAAAGAGGACGAGAGGTGGGAAAGATTGAGTGGAAGGTATTGCTTGACACGAAAAACAAAGTCCGAATCGTTTGATTTTCTTCGTGATGGTGACCCGTTTCTTTTTTAAATAAAGCTTCTTCGCTTCTCTACGTCATAAAAGACTAAGAATTGAGTTCCTATAAATCTACCAGAAATAGTGATCTATATCATAATTTTTACTGCCATATCTTATCCTACACAGTCCGATAGACAATAATTCCTTTGCTAAAAACTGGTACTTCATGATTTTTTATTTTTCTGTTTGGTATTTTTTAAAAACACACCACTTTCTTATTACCTTTTTTTTTAATGAAATATAAACGATTATAAAGATTCTATTAGCAGATGTTTTCAGGCCAAACAGCAATTAAGTATTTAAAGTCAGTTTAATATGCTTTTTTTGTCAGATGTTGGGAACCACACTTTTGAGACGACAAGCAACCAATGCTACAGGTAAGCCAATTTGATCTAAGTACTAAACGCTCAACTTATTTCTTTTATTACATAATGAAAGAGCGCCGATAGGATCCCATCAAAATCAGTATGTACGAGAACAACATCCACGCCGAACTCACTTCCTTGCCACAAATACAGACACTCTGATGCGATAACTAGTAAAAATAGCCGTAAAAAAGTAAGTATTGCACTAATTAAAATTGGTAGAGGAATTTGTAGTGGTGTCCTGTATTAATCTTGAAACCATGAATAATATACTCTCTATGCTTAATATGCACTCATCCAGTAGCTCTTTCGATCTAAACATACGCCTTGCGCCAAAAAAACAACAATTGACTTGTCAAAACAAATAAACTGGAAATGCATAATGTTTCTATACGGTTCAAATTTATTTCAATACCATTTCAGTTTATTCACAACGACGTTGTCATTGCTTCTCTGGAACAATCATTTCTTACAAACTGGCCTTTATACACCGAACATTGTAGTAGTTTTTTTTTCACTCTGATATCTTACTTGTTCAGATATGGGGTGATTGTATTATATTGGCAAGATAATATATATTCTTATACTCCCAATACATATACCCCCGCTGACAGCACCCGACCTTAAACACAATTTTATAAAGCAAAACTTGCTGTTTAGTCATTGTATTGTCAGTATGTAATTGATCGATTATTTAGTAAATGGATAATTTGGACTGGTTTTTCTGGCAAATGCATCATATCCCTTACTCTGCAACTAAAGAGAATCTAAGTGACTTAATTGCAAAAGCATGTGAAATCGAAAGCGGTTTATAAAATTGGTTTTGCGCTTAAATGCTACGAGTAAGATAATAGTTCGTACTACTATTTTTGGACATTGATTCGCTCTCTCCACAACAGACATTCTCTATCAACCTATTTTGTCTATTGCGGTAAAGAAATTTCTTTAGGTCAAAAGGAAATATACATCATAATCGTTTCAATTCTATGGTTCGAGATTATTCATAAAGCAGTAACACATATTTAAGGGTTTTAATAGAGATGTCTTTTGCTCTTGACAGCGTCTGAAGTTCTGTGACGTGGCTGATAGTTTGAACTGACTATCAAAAATGTAAGAACGCACCCAAAATTTCCTCTCTTGGCATAAAATGGAAAGTAACCCTTTTGTCTTGTAACTTCTTTCATCTTGAAATACTTTCAGTTCTAAAATAATATAAAATACAACGAGATTGTACATTTCGACTTATAAAAGAAAATCCCTTTCATCTGATTCATTCAAGCAGCATAGATAAAGCCCCTTTTTTTATATTAACATCAACCATAAATGAGTGGACTTACAGCATTTTTGCAAACTGAGCTTTTAACTTTGTCAAGTGAAGCGAGACGTAAGCATCCAGAAATAAAAGAGGTTCGTACCTACTAAAAATAAAGCATTTCGAAATCTGACTTTATTTTATTTAGGCGGCAGAACGCCTGAGTGTTATTTTGCGAAGCTTTAAGGAAAGACCAGGATATAGCATAGCTAATGGTAACTGAAACAGTTGATTGAAATTGCAACAATGTAACTGAATGAAGCTTGCTTTAACAATTTTTAGAACTGACAAAAACCGAGGATGCTTTACGACCCTTTGTATTGGCGTGTGAAACAAAACAAGTCAAACTTGTCACTATCGCTATTGGTTGTATACAAAAACTTATATCATTTCATGCCATACCCGAGGTAAACACGCAAAGGATCATTTCCATCAATTTTAATTAAAAAGCTCTATGCAGACATCAGTCCGAACAATTTTGAGAACATTAACCGATATCAGCGTTCACGGCGTAGAAATTCAACTTAAAATATTGCAGACAGTTTTACCCCTATTAAATAATTATAGAAGCGTACATGATGATATTTTGGCAGAGGTAATATCCAGGTGCCGTATACTCATTAGTTTTCCCTAATTTAATATTCATTTTCAGGCTCTTCTGATTTGCTTTCGCTTACAAGATTCAAAAATCGTTGTGGTTAACAACACAGCAGCCGCCACTTTACGTCAATTGGTTATATTCGTGTTTGATAAAGTGGCAAAAGAAGATACATTGGGATTACAGCAAACAGATGCAGATCAAGAAGTGGAAATAAGTACAGGAGAAAAAATTAAATTACATCCTTGTGCAAAAGATGCCTACTACTTATTTCAAGATCTTTGCTTATTAACAAATGGCGATCACCCGGAATATCTTCGCTTAAACCATCTTTCGAAAACGTTCGGATTAGAACTGATTGAAAGTGTATTGACAAATCATTATGCACTTTTTCGCGAGGTAAGATGGGTGCAACCTAAAAGCTAAATCATTTATTGATATTTTTATGTTTAGCATAATGAATTAAGTGCCATTCTCAAAGAGCGTGTTTGCCCAATGTTTATTAAAAACTTCTCCGAAAAAAATGAATTTTCTCAAACAATGCGACTGACTAGAGTGGTGTATATTTTAATCAAGCAGTTTAGCGAAATACTTATCATGGAATGCGAAATATTTTTATCAATGTTCGTCAAAATTTTGGAGCCAGAGAACCCGCTTTGGTTAAGAGTATTGGCAATGGAAGTATTTAGAGGTGTCTGTAGTGATCCAGTCTTGACAAGTTCTATTTATAATTGGTATGATCGTCAAGATAGTGCCACCAATGTTTTCAGAGATATGATCACTGGATTTGGTCGCTTAGCAACCGAGAAACCACAATCAATTGGAGCGAACCAAGGTAGCAGAGAAAGCGCAGAGTATAATTCAGGAAATAGCACCGGTTATTCCTCATATTCAAATCATAACAACTCTTCCACATCTGATAGCTTAAGCACTTCAAGTTCGACTATGCGTATTCAATGGTGAGTTTATATATACATTGTGATGGACATTATACTAATTATCTCTAATAGTATTGATCAATTAGACAAAGCTGATCCACCACCCATCCCAGAGACCTATATTTTTTATTTGGCTTTACTTTGTCTGAATTCAATTGCAGATGGATTAGCTGGATTTGCATTACCCAGATTTTCCCCTGGCTCAATGAAGCCTACATCTGAAGAGCAATCGACCGAACACGAAGCGACGAAGAAAGATCTTTCATTAGTCACTGATATGGCTAATGTTGCATGGCCTGGTCTTCTAGCTGCCATGTCATTTTATTTGACAGCAAATCTTGATGAGGATTTATTTCAAAGTACAATGCGATCTTATCAAAATTTTACCAACGTCTGTGGTGTATTAGATCTTGTTACCCCCAGAGATGCATTTTTGACAAACTTGTGTAGAAATTCCATTCCAATCATCCCATTACTATCTACTGGACACGCATCATCATCTTCAACACCAGCACTCACTAAAACCCCTAGCACTGCTAGTGCCGGTAACAGTATGTCCTCGTCAGCCATGAGCACAGCTGTTTCGTTTACCGATCTGTCTGTACAGCAACAACAAGCACTTTCCAATATTACATTGAACGAGAAAAATCTGTATAGTTTAAGGGTGTTACTTAACATTACAATGTTTTTAAGCAGCGTGCTTGGTTCTTCTTGGTATTTGGTCTTAGAAACTCTGCAATTGGCTGATTTTTTGCTGTTTAATCGACCTACACCCAAAGGCTCTTCCATCGCCGCGGGTAACAATGCAGGCAATACTGCATCGGCAAATGGCTTGAGACGAACAATAACTGGCACATCCGCTTCTTCTGTCAGCATGAATCAATTAAATTCACTTCGTAAGTATTGTACATTTGCTTGCTTTTATATACTAATATTCTTCTTTCTCCTCCGAAAACTACAGCTCAAGCTAATAACAATCAGTTGATGGACGCAGATCATCTTACTATTATCAGCGCATCACTCAATAGACTGTTTGAAAATAGTAAATACCTTGATGATAGCTCATTTATTGCATTTTCTTCCGCACTATGCCGTATGAGCTCGGAAGTTACTGGTACCCCATTTTTAGATAGCGAGTCCTTATCGACAAGCAAATCTTCTAGAGCCGTATGTTTTGATCAATATTTTAAAAAATGGCTCAAGCTAACTTTTTTATAGAAAATTTTTAATACAAGATCCTTTGCAGTCGAAAAATTAGAATATATCTCAACATTAGATATGGGAAGACTTATCAACACTGCCAAAAAATCATCTTCTCAAATTTGGGAGCTGATCATGACTCATTTAATAGCCACAGCTAATTATCCATTAACACCTGCACCTATTCGTACCCAATGCTGCGATGCTGTTTCAGACATTATTTTAACCGCAATGAATTACGTGCTATCAGAATATAAACAAGTCAATGAAGATACTCAGAATCGTCTTTTATTAGCACTGAATCAATGTATCAATTATACACCTCCAACCAACGAGGAGGCACTTATTCAAGAAACTTTGTCTAATAACCCAAAAGCGTTTAGCGAAGTTCAAAAAATGGGATTAGAGACATTAAATAATCTGCTGCAAACATCTGGCCATTCATTTACTTGTGGTTGGGGTCTTATTTTTGACATGCTACGTCATGTTGCGGTTTGTGCCATTGGTCCTCCTCCAGCTGACACAACTTATGCCAGTGACGACGATGAAGGGGATGAGACTACAGTTGTAGATAAACAAGGCAATAACGAAAGAACTAGTGTCGATACGACAGCATCCTCGATCATGGCAGGTAGTATAATGGCAACTGCCGGGCCAAAATCAGCAACCGGATTAATTAAGGTGGCCTTTTCAAGTCTTCAATTAATTTGCACTGATTTTCTTTCGTTACTTTCGCCCGATTGTCTCCGTCAATGTATTGCTACTCTGGGTTCTTTTGGCATGCAAAGTGACGATTTAAATATCAGTTTGACAGCAGTGGGATTATTGTGGAATCTATCCGATTTTATTCAGACTAGACGAATTGATCTTGCGGCAAAGCAAAATGTTACTGCCACCACTATTGTCAACGAGAAGATTGACAAGGAGAGTATGAATATTGACTCGACTTTAGGTAATAAAGACGACGGTAATCCTAAAACTTATAGCATACTATGGATGTTGCTGTTGCTACAATTATCACATACATGTATCGATTGGAGACCAGAGGTGCGTAACGGGGCTAATCAAACGTTGTTCAGAACAATCACCATGAATGGACATGTACTGGGACCACATTTATGGAACGCGTGTATCTGGGAAGTTTTATTTCCTCTTTTGGATTCTATTAAGATGTCATCGATTAGAGCCAGTAAAATATCGCTCAGCAGTAAAACTTCATCTCCTACTGCTAATGATCGAGATTTGTCGGGATTTATGCTTCATCATTCAAGAGATACAGCTGATAAACAATGGGACGAAACCAAAGTGCTGATTTTGACTGGTATATCCAGTATTTTCCAAGATTTTCTTGGTGATCTCTATCAACTAGAATATTTCGAGCGAGCATTCACTCTCCTATTGGCACATTTGGAAGATTCATGTCTTCGGTCAAGTCAAGAGGTTTCCTTAGCCAGTATCAAAAGTTTTAAAACCATTGTGACAATTTCGCCTGATTTTAAGGATCCTATGACCATGACAGAGCTGTGGCGTAGAGCATGGAATACTTGGGAAGTGATTGGATATGGCATCAGTCAGTCAATGAATGCAGTTGATTTAGCTGAAAGAAAGAAAAACTCACCATTACTCCATGACGTAGCGGAACTTCAATCACTTACATTATCTTTATCTTCATCCAGCGTAGCCCCCATTTCTGATGATTTTACTCAAGATACCTTAACATCCTTTGTCACCATGTTTGTTGATCTTTATGCTTTAATTTCTAGTGACTTCACATTAGATGATGTCAGCTCATTATTGAGTGTGCTTCGTAATGTACTTGTTTATTCAACAAGTCCTCAATATCGTCCGGATGTTGATAATCTTTCTCCTTTACAAGAAGCTGTTTTGGAATCTGTGCAAATCTTGGATATGAATACTGCCGGTGTACCTCCTTTAGTACTTGCTGATCTTGCAGAGTACATGACACTTGCATTTCTCAGCCCTCCCGAAGACGGTCAAAACAAGAATCGTGGTTACATCCCCCCAAGTCAGCGTAAATTCTCCACAGTCACCTATATTGCCCTGAACAAAAAATGCAGCACCTTGGTCGCAAATCTATTTAAATCTCATGCAACCGTCTTGTCTCTTTATACAGAGGGCGTTTTTGAACGCATGATTGGTGCCTATGGTTTACCCATGAAATTGAAATACGATTGTCCTCCTTCTTATAAGCACGGTGATGACAAAACTCCTTTATGGAAGCTCGCTACAACTGGTCTTTTAGAAATTTTAAAAACTGGTCTAGAAACCCTTGAAAACTTCGGAGATGGTAAAAATTAATAATCGTTATGAAAAAACTATACTAACTTTTTCCAAAGAGGTACCTGCCGAAAGGTTCATCGGAGTATGGCGTACACTTGTAGATATTTTAGAAGGAAGTCTTTTATCGCCTAGTTCACCCCCTGAAAGTATGAAGATAGAAGAGCTGGACATCGACGAGCATTTCGATATCTCGGTTTTAAATGCGATCCAAAACGATATAGTAGTTCACTTAGGACAACCCAGAGTACCTATCGAGGTCATCGAAAAATTGGTAAATGTGATTAGGGAAAGTTCCAGACTCTATTACGTGGAAGATGTTATGACAGAAAAACCCCATGAGGAGAATGGCGGGTCAAACAAATCATCTCTTTTAGCCAATGATAGATCCAGCGACATTGTGGGCACTACGGGTACTATTGTGCCCGTTATGAAAGAATCATTTGCATATGCTTCACTGATGACCCTATTTACATTATGTTCTGCTGAAAAACAAGGTAAAAAAAAACAGTAAAACGATTGTATGTTTCATAATAATTAATTTTCCTTTATTTAGACAATCCTGAAGTTCGTAAACGCATTGCCAAAGTTGCTATCCCCGTGTTACTCGAAAGGTGTGAGATTATCCTGAAAAATTATACGGCAGACGAACCTTTACTAGGAAGATGTCCGTTTCCAAGGTACTTGATGGGGTGAGAGCGAATTTTTTTTATTCGGGGAAACATTAGCGCACCGAATAATCCACTAAAACTACCCCCCTTTTCAACAGAGTTCGTAAAGAAGAAATGCTATTCTTCCTTAGACAATCAATCCGGTTGAGATTACAAGAAAATATTCTAACAACAACAAGAACCGATGATAATAACCAAAGTAAGTTAAATTGAATACTATAATTTTACACACAGACCCATCTGACTCAATGATAGATACTGTGAAACAATTGCTTTTGTCTGGACCAAGAGCTCATCTCTTTTATTTGTATCCTTCCTTGTGTAGTATGATAACCTGCGAAGACGATGTTGTGGTTGATTTGATTAAAGAATGTTTGCAGGTTGTTGGCTTAGAAATGGGATTGGCTCCTGTATAACATAATATAACACTATTAAAATACTTTACTAATACTTATTATGACATTCGTTCCACCTTTTTTTTTTTTGGTACATTTATAAGAGCTAATAACTTAATAATAAAAATATTTATAATCATCACAGGAAGTATTGTGTTATGAATAATAAGATTGTTTTATCTTTTATTTTACATGAATAAAATGTGTATGTAGTAATGTAGTATTTATAAGTAATAGTATATAGATGGCAATGAAAAGATGTTTTTGAAAGGAAAGGTTGGAGGGAATAGAATGAAAATTACAACCGAAAGAAAGCTCTATTATTTTTATCATAAAAAAGATAACAGTGTGTGTATATTTGTGTATGTGGTTGTGTGGTTGTGTGATTGTGTGTGTGTGTGAATGTTTAAAAAATTGTATGTATAATGTGGATAGATTGTTATGGGGCGGCACCGTTTATTCCGAACTTATACTTTCTAACTCATCATCCTCGTCTTGGTCACTAGAAATTGTGGTGCCAACAGCTGCATTGATACCGTCATCGTGCTCACTACTACTAACCGATAATGCAGAGTAGTTGTAATTGCTATTGTTGCTATTCGCAGTAGGATTAGTTTGGTTACTATATGGATAGCTGCTGCGATGATTATGATGATGGTTTACATCATTGGTATTACTATTGCGGTAAGACACTAGTTGTTGCTGGTACTGGTTGTTGTTGCTATTGTCAGATTGTCTACCAATCCATTTCTTGAGCATTTTTTTGGCCACCATTTTTCCTCTTAATCTATCTGTAGTTGCTTTTAATCTATCATTCTCAAGTCGGAGCTCCTGTAACTGGCGCTCGAGTACAGCATTTTGTTCAGATAGTCTACCAATCATAGATCTCATTTCGTTTTGTTGTTGATTTTTCTTTTGTCTGTATTTGGCTGAAGCAGCCTTGTTTCGTAAGCGGCGTTCTTGGAGTGTTAATGGTGGCTGAGATGGATCTTGGTCATCTAATAACTCGTCATCTTCATCTTCGTCCATCATGATACTATTAATTCTTTGCTGTTGCTGACTTTGGTTTTGGTAATGCTGCTGTTGCTGTTGTTGTTGTTGCTGTTGCTGTTGTTGCTGCTGTTGCTGATACATAGATCTCTTAGGTGATAGAGATGAAACAGAGGAAGAAGGTGAAGAGGGTGTTGACGATTCAAATAATTTATCTTCTGGCGAAGTAGGTGGTGAGCGAAAAAGAGAAGGATATCTTAAAGGGTGATGATAAGGATGGCTTGGTGCAGATGCCCTACGTTCCATTGCTTCCTTATGGTATAATTTAGATGATGAAGTAGAAGCGAACATGGGGGCAGCAATAATCGATGAAATTGACATTAATTTTCCAGGTGTTTGTCCTGTACTACTATTGATACTGCTTGTACTACTGTTACTGGATGTTGATAACATACATTCATTATTGTTTCTAGATTTAATTGATTGCATTTTGATTTTTATGTGTCTTATGTGTTGAGAAAGAGAGATGAAATACAGAAAATATAGAAGGTGGTAAAGCAGATTAGGACAGTATTTATATAAAGTAAACTCCTAAATGTATAAGCACGACCCATCCGAAGAACTATTTATATCAAATAGATAGGTCATCTAAACACATACACCAAGGATTTACTTTTGTTTATAAAAAAAAACCCTTCCTTGGTATGGTTAAATTAAAAGGGAATTTTTTTTTTCAAATTAGGATGATTTTTATCTCGACGAGACCTCCCTCATCCTGCATCAGCCAAAATACTATACCTTGGGGGGATGATTGACGATCGCTTCGGTGTTGAGATAGCTATACTCAAGACAAATGAAAAAGTTCTTTTTAACAACGCAAATTTTGAGTGTGTTATCTAGAAACAAATCATTTTTTTTTTAAAAAAAAAAAAGTATAAAAACCAAAAATGAAAGAAAGAGCAACGAAAATTATGTATTAGACTGTACTAGTATCATATCTAATCATAAGTTATTGCATGTTGCGGTGTTGTCTATTATATTATCACCTTTCTTTTTTTATGGTAGGTTTTGGAAACAGATGGTCTCAAATGTCTCTATTAAAACCAAGTTGAATCATTAATTATCCCATGACTATTATTATTATTCTGTCTGTCTGTCTGTACTCCCCCCACGTTCTTAAACGTCTGTTAACTCCAAACCTTAATAAAAAATAATGAAAATATTCATGTTTCATCTTAAATATTATCCTGTCATATCATTCTCGGACGAATATTTTTTTTGACGATGTTTATCGTGATACATGTCCGTGTCGTATATTATTGTTTTGTAAAACATAAAACTATCCAATTTCATCATTATGTAACCATATAGTGTTTATTTTCTTATTACACTATCTAAAATGTACCAAATTTATGTAATGTATGCTTTATACATATATCGATAATCACAAATGATCGTGTAAAACGTCGTAGGAAACTGATTGATGTTGCTGCATAATACATATTTTTTTTAATGTAGCACCTTTTAAGCTCTGTCGTATGGGCTCGTCATAAGTTATCTATATGTGAAGCTTTTCCCTCTCTTCCAAATGTAGACTCCCCCCATACATATCCCCTTTATCTCATGATGTTTGAATCAGGTGGATTTATTATAGTTTCAATAAGAATATAAACAACAACAAGAGAAGCAAGCGAGCAGCAGAAGCAGCAGCAGACCATACTAAAAGTCATTCTATAGAAAAAAGGGCATGATCAATTGTGTTTCAAAACATTTCCTTTCTTTATCGTATAGCTTGTATATGTTAACGTAGATAATGTCAACCAACAACGCATGGGTTTTATAAATAATAGTGTTCAGTAATATATCAGCAGGCTTTAAGTATCACCAAAAGCCGGAAAAAAGGAGGGAAACAAACAGGATGGCTTTGATTTGCGTGTGTTTGTGGCAAGATGATAAATTATAAATAAGAATTTACTTGCATACCACATGTGTATGTGTAATATGACAAACTCCCTGACTTTTTATTCCTTCGCAAACATGTGCGATTTAAAATTTATCACTCGAAATACACGACAAAAGGTAAAAAGATGATCGATTGCTTTCAAAAATATCTGATGAGGAATTTTGGTGTAAATCCCTATTATTGTGGACTTGAATCATATGTTGCTGCTATCTAGAAAGACTTTTTAAAGTTTGGTACCCTTACATGTACTTCTCCTTTGTTCTTCTTCATGTCGTTTTTATCATTACAACAAACAAGATCTCGATTCACCATGACCGTGTTAACATTTAGAAAGTAACAAGGGTTCATCGTCATTGATCGCCCGATAACAAGCAAATAAGACTTTGTTCTCAAAACTACATGCATGACATTTTATATGATTGTTATACATTTTTAGTATGTATTAAACAAATATCAATTGTTTGTGGAGTCATATACAGGGCGAAGCACCAAGAAAGATATGGCTTATTAACAGAAGCACATGAGTTATTATTTAAATGTAAAAGGAGATGTAATGAAAACACAGAAGTCCTGTTCTTTATCGTCTGCTCTCATTACTCATAATGCATATTAAAACACGAAACATGATAATGAACGAGACCAAAAGAATTCTACTAGTCTTGTTGACAAACCAAAATAAATTTTGTCTTGCGTCTGTGTTGCTGCGTACATTATACCTCAGTTTTTTTTTATTTGTATAGAATTGAAATAATCCCGGCCCCTGATGAAACGCTATTTTTTGTTTATATTTGCATACAACCTCGCAAAGACCTTTTCTGGGTATCAGATCAATTATCCCAAAAAAGGTACCACTATATGACATGATTTAACAGCCTTTTTTGTGGTTAAATTGTGTATGTTTTAGTCCAGAAAAAGCAAAGTGAGACTGTCTATCTCAAGTGTGTCGGTTTCCGAGAAGGACAATTATTCTGTACGATTCAATTGATAATCCAATCGATTTTTTTCGGTTATTGTACATATTAGTCTTTTTAGAGTTGATCCACTTCGTGCACGGGATTTATCCTTGATTCTGAGTGCATAATGATTTGGCTCACATTTTTATTTTTGTCCGACTCCTTGCATGTTTGATTGTTTATTTACAGTAAAAGCAACAAAAAAACAGTCATTTGATGTTAAAAGCCCGCGATGTCGGCACTTTTTGGGCTTCCCTGTTCTGTGCAACTCAATGCACTCTTTTTCGTTTCTCCACTCCAGTTTTACCGTTTACAGGGTTGCCAAGTACTTCTCTTTTCATAATCAAGCATACGTATGAAACTAAAATAATTAAAGTTAGTAAAAGACAAAAACTTTAAACAACATGCTCGAAAAGTGCGAATACATTCTTTCGTGAAGAAAAAGTAAAAAGTGTTGATAACAGACAAAAGACTTCAAACGTACTTTTTAAGGATGTATTCTGATATATACTAAGATAATAACTGAGCACCATTTGAGTTTCCAAGTTGGCTTTTTTTTTTTTTAGCTTTTTCACTCTTTAATTCATATTGTAATACGAAACGAAGTAAAACTCGTTTAACCCCCCAAAAAAGGCTTGCATCCTTTTACATGTTAAAAAAATTCTATGAAACAGCCTGTTTGTTTAAGTAAGAGGAAAATTATCATTCCGTTTGTTTAGAATCTAGCTATATGACGACAGCTTATGTTTAAAACGGCCAGTAATTTGCACAATATTATCAATGAGAAAATTAATACACACCTCAGTCATTTTTAAAGGATGATGATTAAGTTTGCTTCGGTTGCCAACTAAATATTTATTCTTACTTTAATAAGTGTATTCATAAAAAAATATCTACATCGGCAACATCATTCAGAGTACCTTGAGCGAGTCTTTTCTTTCTCCACTTTTTATTGTTTCAATCTACTCTTAATGGCCAGGTTAAATATAAAAACATAAACTAAATAGTCTCTTCTTCGGAAATTAATATTAAATATGTTAATCCACCTTTTTTTTTTAGCCCATCGTCGGTTTTCTTGCCATCCTATACCTATAATCATTGATACTACTCAAGTAAACAGAGTCATTAATAACGGTAATGATTTAACAGGCATCATATAGTTAGCCTTAAAATTGACAATTGACAAATAGTGGTCGCATGTTATCTCTACCTCAAAGCGTACATAGTTTGTCTATTTATTTAAGTATTATCTCGACTAAACTTGAATTGTTTAAGATGTCATTCCTAAGCAGTGATACTGGCAAGGGACAGAAGTAGAGATTTTTAGACGGATACCAATTGTTTTTATTGGTACTATTTTGTGAATAGTATCCTGTCACCAAAGTGTATTTTATTCAAGTATGTAATTAAGTTTAGCAGAAACCACAGCATAATGAAGACAGAAGCCGACGGAAAGGGCTCTTTTGCGAATTATCCTCTTGGTAATATGCATTAACATGTTCATTACCATAATCCCCATTATTAATATTATCTATATACATTTCCATCAGTTAAAGAAACTAAAAATGATAGCGTATATGACTTACTGTTTGTATATGTTTGGCTAATTTCAGGCATTCGATAAGACTCTTCTGATTGTCTTTGAGGTTGCTCATAGTCAATTTTTTGCTGCTTCGGGACTTGATCATTTACTACGGGTTGGGGTTGTTCTTTTTTATCTATACTGGATGGCACTTGTTCTTTTCCATTCAAAGTAACGCGCTGGTGTCCATCCCCATAATCTTCAATAATACGAGTACCCTAAATGATTAATTTTAGCAAATCTCTCTAAGGCTATTCTATTTGCTAATTTACGTTTGCATCCTGTATTTTTGTGATAGTATGCTTCTGACCATTAACAATGGTTGTGGTAGTTGAGACACTACGCGAAGCACCAGACAAACCATCGTTAAAAGAGCCAAACACGTTGCTGTTTACAGTTGGACCTTCGAACGCACTTAAAAATGGGTCCCTGACGACACGGGTGCCACCACCGCCCATGATAGGATCATCTAAACATTGTAGTCAATAAATATATATTTTGAGTTGAATTATAAGTGACTTACTAAATAGCACATTGAACGGGTCTTGACCTCCAAAGAATTGCCTGAATATATCGTCCGGATTCCGGAACTACCACCAATAATGTTTTAGATCTTAATTATGATGTAATAATGATATAAACCTACTGTAAAAGCCGCAAACAATGGGTCTTCATGAAAGTATCTGTAATGTCTTGCTCCTCCTCTACTGTAAGACTGAGGCTGCTCGTATCCATCATCTTCAAACTGTTGACTTTCATACAAATTTCTCTTTTCAGCTAAGGGAAAAGAAACAGTTTTAGATTATGTCAATATTATTATAAATTTCATGGGTTGATATGTCTTACGATCGGTCAATATTTGATAGGCTTCACTAAATCAGATTGAAATGTATTAGAAAGACAATTAAAACCACTATCAGTTTTTTCCTTATGAAATTACCTTATTCTTTTGAACTAGATTGATAATGAAATCGAGTGTTTAGTGATTTTCATTTTTTACTTTTTACTGACAACTGAATTTACCTTTTCAGCAGCACCTGGCTCGTGGTTTTTATCGGGATGGTATTTTAATGCAAGTCTCTTGTAAGCTTTTCTAATATCATCTTCAGAAGCATCTGGCGATATTTCTAGTTCTTTATAACAGTCCATTATTTTATGGCGTGTGTATGGGTGAAAAAGAAGAAAATTAATGATGAGCCAAAAAGTTTATAATGCCAAAAAGAGCCGGAGTTCAAAATACGAGTCACTAAATGCTACACAATTGTACCTGTCTGTTAACAGTTGGGGTTTCGGAATATTCACATGTATCAATCCGCACAATACAACGAGACATGAGCTTGTAACTATGGATGCAGGAAAGTAAAGATTTAGCCGTAAAAAATAAAAAAAATAATAAAAATTATGCACATGTAATAAGGAGACACAATCAATGAGGCTAAAGATGAAAATGTATTTACAAAGAAGGAGGGTTCTAAATTGATTTACGGTAAATTAAGCAGTGTTGCAGTTCAAGATCATTTGATGCGCGCCACAGATTTGTGTATTTTATACATGGCCAGATTCCCGTGCCTGATGTATATATATATATATATATATATATATTTTCAAAAAAGAACTGATGTTTCAGCAAGCTGGTCGGTAAAGAAGGGCTTCTTGATTAAAGTCGTTAAAGCCATGCATTGAAGTGGTCCCTGTTTATTTCCTTTTTTGAATATTTGTTATTTTTCTCATGACCCGTAAAAACTTCAAAATAAAAAGGCGAAAATGTTTTATTTCAAGCGAGCAATTGAGGCGGAGATGAATGACCGAAATCGTTTTTATTCTTTTAAATATGTAATGGAAGTCTTAACACAGAATCTAATAAGCGAAAGAGAGTGGTTAGCTACGGAATATGATGTTAAAAAGGGTTGAATTAAATTTTACCCTTGTAGTGTGCGGTATATAAAAAGCAAGTGATTGTATCAAGTTCTTTAACGGTTTGGTTAGCAAAATGACGAGAGACGCAAGCTGCCAACTCTTCTTTATTTCCTTTGCTTTTGATTTTGATCTTGTGAACTCGAGCATATTTACGAAGCACAGAGATATCCATTGAATTAAAGTCAAGCTAAAGAGTGTATTAGACATTGCTGATTAAAACCCTTTTTCTTTCATTCTTACAGTTTGGAACTCTTTCCCAACATTGGTTTCTGCTGCACGTCTTCTCTTTTCACGCTCTCTATCTTTTTCACTTGGCTGGTTTAAGCCATTAGCTGGTGTCGATTGTGTTGGCTTTTGCTTAACTCCCATTATTGTAATTATGTATAGAAGAAAAAAAAAAAGGGAAAAGAAAAGAAGAAAAAAAAAACTTAACGATTGGACGGGGAGCGGAAGGTCAGAAGGGGTGTGTTTCTCTTTTTATTTGCGTGACTATCTTAAAAAGAAAAATATTTTTGTTGCTTTTGTATTTAAACACTAGCATTATGCTTGGAAAGAGAAAAAACATTGACCTGGAAAGACAAAAACTAGAAAGCGAACTCTTACCAACGTGTACCATTTGCATTCAAGAATACTCAAACAGAACTTTTTTAAGGCCGTGTTATCATTCTTTTTGTTTTACTTGCATCAGACATTGGATAAACATTGCGTCTGCGGTCTGCCCTGTTTGCAGACAAGAAATCAATTCTCTCGTATACAATATCAATGATGAGGAAAACACTTTTGATGAGTACCATCTGAAAGACAAAGGAACAGGGAAATCACACAACCCTCCTCTGTACCCAAAACAACGTTATACAACACCAGAAGAGAGGATCAAATTAGAAAGAGCTCAGCTTTATAAGGGTTCAATTCATGCTGTAAGCTATCCTGAACCATTGCCTAGACATACCAATTTTACTATCATAACACCAGAATATATACCAAGGGTAAAAAATAAATAAATCACACTACCGCCCATCATATCCATACTCATACTTTTCTCAAAAGACTAGAGTGTTCTTGCAAAATGAATTAAAGGCACTTGTTGGAGCAGACGCATATGACAGTTTTCTTGAAGATTTGTTTGTAAAGATTCTATTAATACCCTACCAAGCAAACTCCGACAAAGCAGTAAACATGAAAATGAATGATCCCTTGGTGATTGAGAAACTGTCTGAATGGTTAGATGATGACAAGTTGGTTGCAAATAGATTAATTGATGAATTAATTGCATATTTAAAGTCTGGTCTGTCATATAAACATTTTATTTCTGCTGCCATGTACAAGTGAAAAAAAAAAAAAAAAATTGTAAATTTATAATAAATAGTGTACATATCATGCATAAAGGTTTTTTTAAATAGCATAGTAACTTGGTAACGCGGTCAGTCTCCTGTCCTGGTCTTCACGCACTGTGATGCTACTGTAACTCGGTAATACAGATGTATAATCTGTAGAGTCACTTCTTAATCGAGCGTTCGTGATCAAATCGATAATATTGCTGTTGCCAATGGTAGCTTCGGATGCTCTAATCAATGCCATCATGATTACCGGATCATACGGTAATGTGTGTGAAGTTTCTTCATAAGTAGGTAATCCTCCCACAGTGTTTGTTATAGCAATAACCACAGGCAATACCGCTCTTAGTTCAGATATGTGACCATCGTCATTTGCAATCGATACAGTAAACTTTAATTTGTGACGCACTCTGACAGATTCATTGTTCGCGTCACATTGTATATCTGACATTGATTCTGGCACGTCGATATTCATGGTTGTCGACCATACTAGGTCACCGTCATCTTGCTGATAGTTTAATACGCCTTTATTCCCTTCTTGATCCATCCTAGAATAAAAAATGATTCGACTATGTGATTTATTTTTGCCATTAAACCATCCATTTATAGCACGACATGTCATGTATTCCTTAAATGTACACGAAACAAAACGGATTTTTAAATTAGGCGCCAATGCAATTGCTCGTACGGTGATCGGTATAGTATCACCGTGACTATAGACTTTAGTGGGTAAATTGATTTCATAATCCAATTTGTCAGTCCAATGGTTTGTAATCATAATTGGGTCTAGATAGTCTATGCTAAGCGAAAGTTTCTGTCTGGAAAGGTGGATATCACGCCGTGTATTATAGTTGGGCATTAGAAAGGAAGACCTTTCTGCATTTGCTTTCAGTTGATATTGCACTAGGTAGTACTTGGCCACGTGCGTCGACTCTGGTAAGCTTCCAGGTAATACTAACTCAAATTCATATGAATGATTTCCAGCGGCCAATGAGTGCTCCTTGTTTTGTTGAGCTGGTAAAAACGTCCACGTATGAGTAATCAATATTTGACTATCACTATGCTTACGTTCATAGCCATTCCCTAATACTTGAATAATGATTTAAGATACTTTTTTCTTCTTCTTTCAGACCAGGTGCACTTTATGCTTACATTGATTCCAACTCACAGACATTGTGCCTTGGAAACTTAAGGTTAAAGACTTGAGGTTTGTTGGCCTATTTAGTCGTAGACTCAACGCCCCTCTTAAAACGCATCCAGATGATTCAGAAGGAGAACCATACATAACAAGCTGTTCATTTTCCAAATGAATTTTCAACTTTGTACTAGGATTTGTAACACGTCCCATGTTTTTCTTGTAAAAAAAAAATAATTATTAAAACGGAAAAGAGCAAAATAATAATTTTCAGCATTTTTTTAGTTTATGCAGCAACCTTTTTTTTTTCTTCAGTGAGAAAAACCTCTATTATCTTGAATTGTAGTACGATCTTCCAAAAAGAGCATAGGTGATAAGAAAAAGGGAGAGCACGGAAAACGTTTTTTTTGGGTATTTGAAAGATAATAGTCTATTCGCTTAACGGGGACCATATTTAATCTATCACGCGAAAGCGGTGGTTCATGGGACATCCATTTGAAGTAAAAGTGGGAACAATAGAAATATCTTCCCATTTTTTCGATGTTGTACATATTTTGGGTGCTGAGTGTTGCTTTGTGAAATAATGTGGGAAATCAGCTGATAGTAAATATCAGGTAATATTGCAAACGATTTTCTATTTGTTTGTTAGGTTGCCGTTATGAATCATTTTGTAGCCAGTTCCCTGCTTTTTAAAGTCGTCGTAAGTATACGGAACAAAACAGAAAGCACCAGAACGTCAAGAGTTTATAGACCACTTTTTTTTTTTTTGGGAAAAAGGATTTATTTATTTACAGAATAATCATGCGTGAAGCAAAATCATTGTTAAACTACTGGTTTGTATTAGACTGCGATGACTTGAGCCAAGGGTGTTCCAGCACCTGATCTATGTTAATACGTTTATCGACATCGCGATTCAACATCTTCTTGATTAGATCAAGAGAGCCTATAATATTCCATTAGTTCTAGTTCAATGCCTAAACAGGTACATGATACACTTATAGCTTACTCTCTGATAAAACAAACGGTATTCTTAAATCATGTTCCATAATCTCATCCACATTGTAAAATGGATTCTCTCTATAAATTAAAGTGTATAATAATGTACCCAGACTCCAAATATCTTGAGGTGGGCCTTCATAAGTCATTCCTTTTAATATTTCGGGAGCACAGTAATCCAGTGTTCCACCAAAGGTATCAAAAGTACGTCCTTTTCTAAAATAGGCGGCACTTCCAAAATCAATCAGTTGAATTGAACCATTTTCATCCAGCAATATATTCTCGTCCTTGATGTCACGATGCACTATATGAAGATCATGTATATGTTTGACTGCAAGAGCAACTTCCCTGAATATATCTCTGATCTCGTTTTCTGCAATATGTTCATTCAGTTCTATGTAATCAAACAAATCCATACTTCTAGTTCCATGAATCTTCATCACCACAAAATACATATCCTCGTCTTCAAAATAGGTTTCCAAAGTACAGCAGTTTTCATGTGGATGCTCTTGTAGTTTCTTGAGTATATGAATTTCCATAGGTATCAGACCACATTGTCTGTCTCTGATCCATGAATCAATGACAATCTTGGATTTTTCTATACATTTAATTACAACCTTAGCCTATGAAAAAGAAAAAAAAAAAATTAAAAAAAAACTCCCACACACTAGACATTATTTATATTTTCCGTTCTTACCTTTGTTGGATCATCTTTACGGTATGCCAATTTTGCCGCTCCATAAGCACCTTCACCCAATGTATCGACAATGACATAGTCATCTATTGGAGACTTTTTAGTCTGTTCCGTTTCCTTTTCTTGAATCCCGAGTTCGTTGACTTGTTCCGAAGAAGAATTTGGCGAATATTCCTTTTCCTCATACATGGTTGTCATGGCTGTTGGAAACAGCGCTTTGCCCTTACCAACAGAGCCAAACGACGAGATGCCATAAGGTCTAACCGGGGGTCTTTTTTTCACTGCAGGTTTTTCCTTTGGCTCTGGCGTGTCTATTTGAATAGGTGGACTATTATCAACAATAGGACTTAGAGGATGTCGAAGTTCGTCATTTTGTGCAACCACTGTGGGAATATTGACTGCAGATTTCTTCCGCTGGGATCGGGTTTTTCTAAATGCATGAATTCGATCATAGGTGACCCAAATACTGATTAAATCTTCTTCTTCGCTTTCTATGACTCTAAGCTGTAACTGTATTTCGAATTGACTTCCATCGCGATGCACGGCATATATCAATGGTAATTTTTGACCATTTAAGCTGATCGAGGGAAGACGCTCCAGTTTCTTTAATGACTGACACACTTCTGTAGACTTGTATGCTCCAGCTGTACACATATCGGATATCGCCCATCTGCAAGCGTGATTGTTCACAGTGCAGCAAGACTGTAAGAGGTCACAACTTCTTAGGCCTGCTACAATATCCGAAAATTGTGGAATAATTTGATCAATGTTGAAATTCTCTATTAATCTCTCGGTGGAATACCCAAACAGATATTTCGCAGGCACAGGATTGATACTTTGTATCTTTCCATCTTCGTGAACAGTAATAAGCCCTGCAATGGATGGTAACGAGACGATTTTTAAAATGTTGCTCGAAGGTATGATGTTGACCATGACGGGGAAACTAATGTCCTTTGTAGATCGCCCTCCATAGAACTTTAGCTTGTCAATCTTGTGTAAATCAACGCTAGGCTTGACTTTGGTTTCGTCAGATAAGGAAGGTATCAGCAAAGTAATAGGCTTTCCGATGACTTGACCTGGTTCATATCCAAATAATTCCTTTGTTGTGCCATCAAGTTTTGTAATATTACCCTAATAACCACTGTTTGTTGATGATACTCCCAAAAAATTCAAATATACCTTCTATTTACCTCATCATCCAAATAAGCTGTCAAAGACGTTTCGTAAATCTCTTCAAAAATCCAAATATACACACACTTTCCCTCGTCCGTTATTTTTTCCTTCAACCAAAGGGAAGCAGCGGAAGAGCCTTCGCCATTGATTTTTCGGATGGGCACTACAATTCCACATACCAACACAAGTCCCTTACCCACACGCTCCTTTTCTGATTCAGATGTGTTTGCTGCCAATTTTCGTCTTCTATCCAATATGCTGCTGATTTGACTTTGGAAAGGTTCCTCAATTGCTGGTATAATACTTTTTCCAATATACGATTTATCAATGCCGAAACAAAGACTCGCTACATCATTAAACAGCAGAATCGTAGCCTGAGCGTCTGTGGTCAAAATAGATTGGCTCTGTGGTAAAAATCTCGATGGGGCATGTAGTGCGCGAGTGTATTGTGAAGAGACGGGTACATGAGAGGGCTTAGGAATTTCATAAATGGGCGGTAAATTGTTTACGACCTCGATTGTTTGCCTTCTACCCAGATGAAATCCTTCTGCATCAACTTCAGGTGGCTCTGTTTCGTTAAGCGTAGGTCGTGTCGGTGTTACGGGGCTTACGGATGCACTATGAGTGTTTTGGTGCTGAAGGGGAGATGAAGGCGAATAATTGTTGGCAGCTGCAATCATATCTACCATGGAGGGATATCCGTTTAATCTACCGGAGCCTTCATTTGTCCAGTCATCTAATACACCAATATCCGGTTGCGAAAACCTTCTTCCTGTGTCCCTTTCTCCGGTTTTCCATCGGAGACGCTGCATATAATCCATACCACGGCTCAATATTTGCCTTTTGATTTTGGCGGCTTTGGTGACTCGAGATAGTGGGGTGAAACTATAGCTGTAAAGGGACTCTGAACAATATTCTGCAATCGAATCTGTAGGGCGTGGAAAATGGGCTGGCTCTGCTGTTGCTTCTATTTTACCATTTTCATCTTTCTTGATGTGTTCCCGAAATCGTTCAAAGCTTTGTGAAGCCAGCTCGTTATTATCATCGTTTTCAGAGGATCCTGTGGATTTTGGTGTGGAATCATTACATAATCTACGATTGTGTCAAAATCAAATATCTTCTTGAAACGTATAAATTCTTGTATACCTTTGTTCTACAATGTCTTCTTCTGTCATTGAGTCTTTCATTTGCAACAGATTTTCATCTAGTTCAAAAAGTTTTTTTTTTTTTTTTTTTTTTTTTCGTTCTTATTAGTGTCATTGTTAATCAGGCTAGTGCGGAATTTACCTGGATTCTGTATTTGAGATGAGTGCATGGAACTATTAACAATGAAACAAAAGTACTTGGTTTGAAACTTTTTTTTTCTTTCTATCGCCTTGTATAACAATAATAATAAACAGAGAAAGCTATTACAGCCCTTTTTTTTTCTTAGTTTATAAAAAGGGTCTTGCGAAACACCTGTCACCAATAGCCAATTATGGCTACGGATTTTGAAATGACAGTTTTTTTTTTTTTTTTTTTTTTTTTTGGAGTTATTCATAAAGTTTAATTAAAGTACTAAAGAAAAGGTACACATTAGCCGGTGAAAAGCAATGTTATGAAGGGGAAACACAACTCCGAGTGACGACTTAAATGAACAAACAAAGCACTCCTTATGAAAATGTGCATGTGTAACCAGAAAAAAAGGCATGATTTAGAATTTTGACACCGGTCACTTGGTACAGAATTCTAAAAATTGGAGCGAATCAAAAACGGGGTAGACGCGTAAAATACAGGATTTTAGTCTAAAATGAGACGATTTAACATTCATTTTGAGACGATCTGGTAATAATAATGACATTAAAATGAGACGAACTATCTACCTTTGCCGGGTTCAACAAAAAAATGAACCAGGTTCAATAAAACAGTTAATCTGCTTTTTCGCTCCAGCAAATAATGAGCATAACTCATGATCAAGCTGTTTGCAGGTTTTTTTGTGAAGACTATAGCAAGGAAAATGCAGCAAAATTGTCTAAAAGGATTGAAGAATTTGGCACTTTCGACGCGTGTTATGAAAATGATTCTAACCGACCTGTTCTACTCAATATCGCCGACATACGTTCTCAATCTCCAATTTTTAAAACCTACAACTCTTCGAATGAAGAGACATGCAATGGCAACACAGTGCCATTTAGTAACTCGGCTAAATAAATCAACTTGAATTTTTGTCTGCATGTGAATGATATGAAAATTTTAGTAAACATGTACAATTATCATCCAATTTGAAGCCATAAAAGATTAATAAAAGTATAATTTTAAAAAGGATAATGCTTTTGGTATAACAATATGGCACAGTGAAGTTTTTATGCTTTTGTGGATCTTTGAACTGGTGCTGGTCTACAATCAAAAGATGATAACACTGTTGGGTCATTCAACACAGCTTCTCTCTTAAATTCGTGGAATTTGCTGTCATCAAGTAATTTGTCAACAATAACTGTCTTTAATTTTTATGAATACTAACAAAGGTGTGTTAGAAGTGTAACTAAAGCTGACTTTTTTGTATGCAATTTAACTCACCTGAAAAATCTGTGTATATCATTTTTGTTTGTGGAAAGTCCTGCAAAATCTATGACGACAAGACAAATGTCTATTTCGGATGAATTTATATAGGAAAGCATAGCTAATAAAAATATCATTATTAGTCTTGTTGTTGATAATCATTCACAAGTTAACAAATACATTGGGTATCTCCATCTACACCTATCAATTCATTTAGCAAGCCAACAGTGTTAGCATTCATATCTCTTGACGTAAGTTCATCACCGGCCGAACAAGAACATGATACGAAGACCTTGTCACATAGTGATCTTTCTTTCAGGCACTGCACCATACCATTTAAGAGGCTTTTTCTATTATTGTCATTGTTGAATCCAACGGACTTCCTAGCATAGCCAATGATGCTGTATCCTTGTTTTTTTAAAGAGCTAATGTGATTTTGATAATGTGGAATAGCTGTTGTGATGGATTTTATAATATTCTCTATCAATAGAGAATAAGTAATGGTATTTCCCAGAAACTACAATAGTGTGTTACCTCTAAACTCATGTTTCATCACATAAAGTGTCCTAAAGCGAAGATTTAAACCTCTACGTCTCTTCCTAGTGTGTGGCATACCAATAAAATTAACCTTTCTTTTGGAACACCAACTTGCAAATCCTATTTCAGATTTTTTGCTCATGAATTCAGCTTTTGAAATAACCGATTCATATACTTCTTTTGTTTCAATTTCTTGCATAGAATAGAGAGCTTCATTTTTAGGATCTGTAGTTTTGTAAACTTCATTTAGAAACATGATTACTTCTCGTTCTGTAACTAAATTAAAATTTTAGCGTCAAAATATGAGGAATATCATGTATCTTTCAGTATTTACCAAGTTCAGCTTTTGCTCCTACTTTATTCTCAAGGTCCACAATTGAGCATTCACTTAAATAACGTTTAAAAGTTGTCGGATCGTTCCGAATAACGCTTAAATGCGGATATGTCTAGACCTCCGTATTTTTTTCAAACGTTTTTTTTTTTTTTTTTTTTTTTTACCACTTACAGGAATTCCGGCCAGAAGACTAGCAGGCCAGTATATTCACAACCATTTACAGTGCAATCACAGCCATTCACGGTTCGTGAGTTTCAAAAACTCAAGAACTCTGCCTAGGAGGTCGCCCTCCTATAGCAAAGACTAGCCGCAGCCGCAATATCACAATTATATATCTTTTTCAATTTAGCTTCTTTTCAAAGAAACAAGAGTCACTACTAAACAAACCCTTTTACGTGATCGGTTACTTTCATACGATAAAAGAAGTATGTTAAGGGAAAAGAAAAGGAGAAGAATAAAGTGTGTGAACCAGCTTTATTTATAGATAAACAAGCTTATGTCAGGATGGTTTCATTTGTCTATTCAATCATCCATTATGTATGAGCTTTTACTTAAAACAGAAACACTTGCAAAAACCTCCCAAGCAAGTCAGAGCTTGGTAATTGTCTATCTGCGTTCCAGTAGTAGCTTGTAATGACAGTGAAGCAGATTCTATGGAAAACAGAAATCGATCATCCCATGAAGTTTAGATGATATGGCATTTCAATCGACGTGGAGACCATCGCGTGATTATAAAAAATACGTTTGGAAAAAATACGGGGGTCTAGACATTTCTCTTAAATGCACAAGAACAGGTCGGTTAGAATCATTTTCATAACACACGTCGAAAGTGCCTAATTATTCAATCCTTTTAGACAATTTTGCTGCATTTTCCTTGCTATAGTCTTCACAAAAAAACCTGCAAACAGCTTGATCACGAGTTATGCTCATTATGTGCTGGAGCGAAAAAGCAGATTAACTGTTTTATTGAACCTGGTTCATTTTTTATCATTTTATCATTTTGGTAAAGGTAGATACTCCTGTGACTTACGGGGAATCGAACACTTCACAAATAAACTTTTGTTTATTATTTTTTATTTACCCAAGATAAAGATGCTTGAATAGAGTTATAAAAATTGGAATGGCAGAGCAAAATTTGATTGAACTAAAAAAAAGAAAATTGATTGGACGGAAAAAGTTTGAACGTCAAAATGCATCTCAAAACGAAAAGTAGTTCGTCTCGTACATGTCCCAAAAAGAAAGTGAAAACCGTCTCAAAATGAATGCCCAATCGTCTCATTTTAAACTAAAATTCTGTAGATGCCCCGTAGATTGAAACAGCAATTCTACCTATTTGACAATCAGTGGCAGAAGGGAGGGGGCTTATCTACTTAGAGATGGGCCTACATGATTTTGGCACCATACATATCTCGTTTCCATAACATCATCACTTCTTATTAACAGGCTAAGCATATATAATGTCTACAGGTAGAATATCAAAGTTTAATAATTTAGGCCAACACTGGTATCCCAGAGTCTTTTTTAAACCTTTCTCATGGTTACAATAGAAACCAAGACATGGTGGTGGTGGTGGTTTCTAACAAAACATCACCAACTGTTGTATAGGGATTTCAATTACCTGAAGGCTTAATAAATCGTTCTTTTGTTACTCTTCCTTGACTATAATCTAACTTCCCAACGTCGACTGGAAAGTATTAGATATCGCGCGAATTGGGGTTGTAAAAGGACTTAATTTTATTAGGTTTCAAGTTTTACGACTTTATATTGACGATGTGGGTGGGTATAGGGATAGGCATGAGAAAGGTGACGTAAAGGGGATATAATCTCAAATTGGTTCCAAAACGTTTGATCGATTGTTAGTTCTTACTTGTTCCTTAACCTCTCTACGTGACTCGTGCTACCATATCACACAACAATATAAACGGAGTTTAAAATCGACTTTGAAGCTCCCTTTGGGTTAGCCGTTGCCCAATGCTGCTACTTGACAAAAAACATATGATCATTAACCAAGAAAAAATAAGTAAGCAAAACTTTTACTGACAAGAAAAAAAAAAAAACTTATGACAGAGGCAAAGCTGATCTTTGATTCAATTGCTAGAATACCACTGAGGGTTACGCAGAAAAAAATCGAGTGGGCCTAAAAGCTCAACTACTCCAAGTCCCATGCAGGATGAGCTCAATATAGTAGACTTGAGAGATACATACAGAGAACTTACCTGTTCTAAATTACGTGAAGGCAACCTAATTGAAGGTATAAAAAGCCATTCTATTGTTTAAATAGGAATGTTAACCCAGAACAAAGAAAAATAGCTACAAATAATAAGATGTTATCACATGAATATAGGATAATGATATTTCAATGTTTGTTTACTCATTTAGTGTGAGTTGATCAGGCTAAAAGAAAAAAGATCAATTGTTCAACTAAAAAAAAATAAAAATAGTGTGTGGGTCCCCCTTCCCCTTCCCTTGTGATATTCATTGTATAACATGATGGGAAACAAAGAAATCCCATGTGAGAGAGAAATAAAGCAGGGAAAGATCATGCGATAAACAACAAACAATACAGTCATTGTTCCCTATGGAAACTGACAGACGTTGTTAGGTTTTTATTAATATTGATTAGTATAGAAGAAAGAAAAAGCTGAGTATGCTGCGTAAGAATGGAAAGAAAGATATAGTATGGTACAGAATGAAGTTGATGGATATATAGACATTGAAGAGAAATTAAGATTTGTTTTACATGGTGTACCAGTCATCCAAGCGCTCCAATAAGTCAAATACAGGATTCATACGAATATTGTCAGAATTTCCATAGGCATACATGTTGGCAATCACTAATAAGACATGGTAGAGGAAAAATGACCAGGACAACACGTTCATACAGTTGGTGATTTTGTTTCTCTTTAAGCATTTGTCTTTAAAGGAAACCAATGATTGGATAATAGACATCTTTTGATGTTGAGTGCTGAAGTCTGTCTTTAACTTGTCCATGGCATTATCTTGGCTCGTTTGTGATTGAACGAAAGCCTCCATAATTTCTTGGTCTTTTTGTGGGGTTAGTTTAAAGAGGCTGTATTCATAAATTAAGTAATTTACCTTTGTGCATTTGCTCTTCGTATTCGCTGATTTGTCGCTCATTCTCCTTTAACTTGGACTCCAATGAGGCTATCTTGTCTTGATAATCCTTAATCTCGGCATCCGCTTTTTCTAAAGCCAAGGAAGCTTCGGCGACTGAAACCTATAAAGAAGAGATAGAAATATATGAAAAGAAAGCATGTAACGTATAAAGGGTGAACTTACTGCTACGGAAGTACCCAATTGAGTATTCATATCGAGTTCACGTAATTCTGCTTTTTGTTTCTCCACGAGCTCTAATAAAACTCCCTGTTCTCTTTTCTGATGTCGCAGCTTTTCTTTAAGATCCCTAACAGATTGAGTTTCCTTTTCATAGGCCTTTTGAGTTTTTTTTGTATCGAGTTGGAGAGCTCGGACAGTTTCTTGTTCATGGGAGAGTTTTTGAGAGATATCTGCCAAGTTTTTGTTGGCTATTTCGAAATTATGTTCCAATTCAGCAAGTTTTTCCCTATACATGTCGATTTCTTCATCCTTGGATTGTTGTTTCTTTAAAGCATTTGATAGCTTCATATCTGATTCAGCAACAATACTTTGCATCTTTTATATAAATGTAAATATTTATAAATGTAAATATTTGATCATATGTGTAGATCTTTTTATTTATTACCTCTGATATCTTATCCAGTCTTTCTCTTTCCTTGTTCTTTTGGGTAGAGATCAATGCTTTGAGTTGATTAGATTCAATAGATAAATTCTCATACTTTGATTGTAGTTGATTGATACGAGCGGAATGTTCACTAATCAAGCTTTTAATTGTAGACTCATATTCTTTGTTTAATTTTATAGCCATCGATTTATCTCTTTTCAATGTTTCGACTAAATCATTAGAATCCTACAAATACATAAACAATTTAATATTTCTCTGTATGCCCATGTGAACAAAAGGTGTCTTACTGATTCGCCAGCATAAGCGGGATTAAGATGATGATTGGAAAAGTCATCATTTGAATACTCTAAAATATCATATATTATTAATTATTTGTTGTTGTTATTATTTTAAAAAAACCGCACCTGATTTCCTAGATAAAGTTGAAAAGTCGTCATCCTTTTATGTTGTTTTCATTAGTTATGTAATATAGATGGATATCAACAATACTTTACCGAGCCGGGATGTGTGGGACTGTTCTGAGCTCGAAAATAACTTCTGGAGATGAGTTTAGAAGATCGAGGTCTAGAGTCCAATAATTGTTTGGTGGAAACACTCATTTGCGGTGTGATTTCATCTTCTTTACGACTGGATTGCCCAGCTGATGGTGGTGATGGTGTATTTGGGTGTGTATCTGAGTGTGTAATTGGATGTGTAGGTTGTGTGAGGTTGTGACGAACGAGATAAATAAGAGTAATAAAGTCTTCTGGGGTCATTTCTACCTCAGCATTGATCTGACAGTAAGGACGAACGGTGTCCATTTGTTGATCTGTCAAGATGTAATGACCTTCGCGTTCGTTGTAAAGTTCCAAGAACTGAAGCCATTCACCAGCAGGTGCGGCGCCTGTAGCACAACGAGGTGAGACTTTAAAAAACGTTTGAATGTAAAGTACGACATGTTCATCGGTCAATACAAACTGTTTAGGTAAGGTTCAGTGCCATTTTCTCTCTTTTGATTAATAAAACGTTCTTTCTCACCTTGGAAGTTGTATTGCTTTCAGAAGCTGCTTGTTTCTGATGCATGCTATTCTTTAACATTTTTTTTCTTCTTCGTTATTAAAGAAAGAGAAAAGAAAGACAAAGAATTTTTTTTTTAATTTTATATGTCCAACCCGCATATTTGTTTTCATTATGAATGTATGCACCACAAAAAATAAAAAAAATAAAAGTCTACATCATCGTTTTTTTTTTCTCAGGATTGATGCAAAAAAGCCTGAGAAAAATTCATCTGTTGGTGCTACACAAAGATTTGTTTCGAAGAAAAAAAGAAAACCGGAGTGCACAAACAAAAAGTTTTTTTTATTTTCTGTTGTTAATCATTACATTAATGGACAGTGAGGCTGAACAGCGTCCAGTGAAAAGAAGAGCCCGTATGGCACTCTCTTGTCAAAGGTAAAAACAGAATAAAGAGAATAAGGCGAAAAAGAAGTAATAAAGACTCTCAATAGATGCCGTAAACACCGGTCTAAATGCTCACGGTCAAGACCAACGTGCGAACAATGTACGACAGCAGGAGTCGAATGTACATACTTGGAAATCCCAGGAGATTTAGAAAGCACGGCTTTACGTGATCGTTTTGCAGGCCTAGAAGATCAGATTCATTCGTTGCTAGACGAGTTTGGAAATATTGAAGATATGGTTAAGACAACCTCCAGTTCGACAGCAGCAGTGACCAACCAATCCACCATTCAGACAGATGCCTTACAAGGCTGGAATATTCATCGTACTACTCCCGGGACAGCCGGTCTGTCCATTGACACACACATGTATCATGTTACTGATATCTATTCCACCTTGATTCAATTCGCTCGAGAAAATACCAATGCACTTACTTTATACCCTCAACCTGACCAGCATAAAAAACCAATTTGGTTGGTTCGTAACCACTCCATTTTTCCAAACGTCAGACTTTCTCATTTTACCAGTCTCAGGCCTAATGTCAATGACGGTGAGGACACGGAGGACGATGCTATTCAAATGAGAGCCATGGCAGAACAAGAAAAGGAAGGAGAGAATGATGACCAAGATGAAAATACCATGCCAGAATTATTACCAACACAATTGGTTCAACGTTTATTGTCCCTGTACAAGAATTGTTTGTTATATGGTGCAGTGCAGCCCTTTGACATTTTGTTTACAGATGTCTTGATGGATCCTACCGGACTTTCTTATTCCTTTCAATTATTGTATGCCTCTATTGTATGTCACATGTTACCGCACGCTTTTTACTGGCATCCAGAGATATTTGACAACGGGATGGACGAAGAAACCTGTACGAAATTATCTATTCAGTATTATAAATGGGCCAAACGGTTGCTATCGTCAATTTATTTTGATGCACCTAGCCTAACAACGTGTCATGCAATATGTAATTTAGTATTATATCATATCGAGAATGGTAATACATCAGTGATATATATTTATTCCGGTATGGCAGTGCGTATGGCGTTATCATTAAAGTTATACCGAGAAGATGCATTGGATGGTATTTCCCAAGACCAAGCCGAGATGTTTCCGGAAGCATACAAGCCATCGGTGATGATTGTGAAACAATACGCTCGGTCCTTACTTTGGTTCATGTATTTTTTAGACACAGCAGCGTCGCACTACCATAACAAACCGTATGAGATTCATTTGGATGATCATGTCAGTACGACGACGTATTTTAAAAATCCACCTCTATCGTCTGCGGGTGTGGATGAACATCAAGCATTTTTTCAGTTTATTGAATTTCATACGTGTCAAATTACGCGTGATATACGTCGTACGATCTTTACACATCCGGAAGAAGAACAAACGTCGTATGAAGCGATTGAACGTATTGAGAAACGATTAATGGAATTTCAAAAGCAGTTACCTCCGCTGGATCTGAGTAGTACACAACACATGAATATCTGGCATCGACGATGTTTGTTCAAGCAATGGATTCGACATCATGGACATTGGATATTAATACATCAAAGCTATTTACCAACGCCCATGTCAGTGCAGCGATGTACGACTGCGGCGTTTTCTTTGGTCGAATTGTTTGATCATTGGATTGTGGCGATTGATTGTTATTTTCGTCCTTGCGTTCATGAATTGAAACAAGCGTGTGAAATTCTATTGTACCATGTGGATTTAAATACGCCTATTAAATTCAAGGCTTTACAGGGTCTGGTGCGATTAATCACGGTCTTGTTAAAGACGCCTGTTGGTGAAATTGCGCGCACCCGGCCATTTGTACAACGTGTATTGAAAGCCATTGGAGAAAATAAAAGTTTTTAAGAAAGAAGAAAAAAAAAGAAAGTTTATTATAAGAGTGGTGGACTGTGATAATGTCTGGAGGGCGATAATGAGCGCTTCTTGTATTGCGGAGGAGGAGGAGGGGGAGAGGAAGAATGCTTTATGGTATGAAAAGTACCTGAAGTACTGGTAGGGATAGGTGATCGTGATCGCGAATGATGATGATGTTGATATAATTGAGAGGGAGATCTTCCTCTAGGAGGCGACATGGAACGTCGTCTTTCATATCGATTATAAGGTATACGTGTCAAGTGATGAGGTGGTGGTGGTGGTGGGTTGGGTGGCGTCGTAGGTCCTCCCAATCTCCATGATGCACTAGGTGCATTACGAGCCCACTTTATTAAACATCAGCAAAATAATCACATGTTTAAATAATCTCTCTCTATTTTTTTTTTTTTTTTTACCTGAACACTGATGGTATATCCGTCAATACGTCGCCCGTGCATCTCGTTAAAAGCATCCTCTGCGTCGTGTGGATCTTCAAACTCAACAAAGGCGTACCTATCTCTAGAGTTAATAGATGCTTACTACAAAATAAAAAAATCACCTTACACTTTGGCTGTAAAGGTCTTTGGCGCTGGAATATCGCAACGTACAAGTCGACCATAACTAGATTACATAAAGTTTTAGTTCTCACTACTTTCTTTCGTCCGAGATTGTTCGTAAATGTTCGTAATCGTGGGACTAAACTCTAGTGCGGGAAAGAATAACAAAGAAAAAATTGTTTTAGTTTACCGTTCGAATTCGTAAGCAAGGTCTCTTGCGCGTGTTCGTGTTCCGAAGCCAGCTACAAATAATGTTGTCCTCATCTCGTAAAATAGAAAGAAAGTTCAGGATGTGTAAAGAAGAAGAAGAAGAGTAAGAAGAAAAAAAAAAGAAAAAAAAAAGGGTAAAAATAACAAGAAAGGGCTGACATCACACACAACATAACATATAAACACTCTCACACTCACTTTATAAACCCCTCCGAAGATGCTTTTTTAGTAATACAGCCTTTTTAAAAGTCAGGGACTTTCCTATGTGCATGTTTCAGCATGCCCCCGGAAGATGCAACCCGGAAAGCATCCCGCGCGGAGGGGTGATGAGCACTACTTACTTGGCCATTCTATATCAACTTCACTATAAGCTTTTTCTGTTCTGTTTTTATTATGATTATTATTATTTATATGTACACAGCTGTGTGTGTGTGTGTGTGTGGGGTGCTGGATGAGGGGTCGGTTACACTGCCCCGTTTTTAGTCTAAAAAGCTCAAATCCTGTTCCTCAACAAACTGCCGCAAAGGCGAAAATAATGGGAGCTTTGGCAATTCTTCTCGTGTGATCCACTGCCAATCTCCCTGTAATTTATCAGGTTCCATCACTCGCACATCTTGAATCGCTTCCGCTTTGATTTGACAGCACATAAAAATCGTCACATAATGACGCTGTTCTTCACGCATGATGCTATTAATCGCCGTGATAAATCGAATGTCCTTTTTAGGCAGTGACAGGTTGCTTTCTTCAGCTACTTCTCGTTGAGCACAACTTTCGAAATCTTCAAACATGTCTAGATGACCTCCTGGAAGTCCAAACGTCCTCGCTCCATGCGACCCCTTTCGCTCTCCAATCAGTAAACGCACTTTACCACTCTCCGTATCACGGTATGTCACAAAGCAACCCACACCTACAAGCACATCCTTTTGTACTGACATTTCTCTCTTCTTTTTGCACTGAAAGAGAGAAAATCTTCCAGCGCCATTCCACCTGCAACCCCACCTCTTGTTAGACTCGAATTTTTTAACTCAGCCAAGTATACACATATATACATATAAAAAAAAGCACTTTATTAAATATTAGATTAGATTTCGGCAATGTATTTGCCAACTTTTACAGACTTGGTAGTATGAACAAGAAGAGAAGGGTCAGCCATAATATTGACATCGGTTAAAAGCGTATCTCCGAGTTCAAAACGAACCGCAATAGGTTGTGGACTCGCTTGTTCCAATGTGGTAAATTGTGCCTTAATCACAGCCTCAGCAGGATCTTCCAGATTGCCCAAATGCCACATGATACGACTTTGTGATAACACAAGTTCACCAGCAGGAATACTAAGCGCATTTTGAACTTGACCCGTGACAGAAGTGGCAAACACCACGTTTTCCAAGCGAGAAAAGTCACGATGCTTGTGATATTTCACCAACAATCGACTCTTCTCACTATCGCATTTCCAAATGGGTTTCACGCTCAAGGGTAACTGATGACAGGGTGCTTTATACTTGATGCAGACCTTGGATTGACCCGATGTAAATAATCCTGTTTGGATCCCAAACGTATTTTCTTCCAATGTTTCCTCTAAAAATGCAGTCTCTATGGTATCAAACGTAGTGCCCGCATGGGAAAGTTTGAAAAGAACAGGTGTACTAGGATCCATAGGCCCCTCGTATTGAATACTGACTTCACCGGAAATCATGGATCTTTCAGCTTCACCCGCTCTAGATAACACATGTAAAGTTTCTGTAATCGCCACATGGATCTGTGGTGATACTACGTTTTCTTCTGTTATGGGTTCCTCTGCGATCTTTTCAGGAGCTTGTTCAAAAGGGTTAAATAGAGGTGCAGGATTACCCAATGTTTGGTCTCCTTCCACCACAGAATATAACTGCGTAGCTCGCATCCTACATCATATATTAGTAATGCTTTTACACGTGTCCGTTAAATAAGAAAAACATACTCGCGACGCCCACGAAGTCTTCTAGCGTTGGGACCAGTAGATGAATTCTTTTCTTTCAACATGGTGACAACACGCGTAAGAGCCACAGCTGATTGAGAAGCATCTTCTTCCGTGACTTCACTCTTTATATCGACCCGAATGCGTGGATTACTACTAAACACACTGTTTTTTTTTCGGTGGTTGTCAATATTTATACGCGAATCACTTTATTTGTTTGTCTTTACCTTCCACCGTCAGATCCAACATCGTCTAAATCTAATAATGATTCTGTCTTTGTATTGAGTGCCTCGATGGGCCATGCGCTTCTATCTGAGGGAGGGATCGAGAAACCTTCCGAATCCACCACAATTAAAGGCTATCGTAATATATTTTAGCGAAAGAAAATAGATGTTAAATGTATAAATTTACATACAGCGGGTTGTGAGGATAATGCACTAGTAATACTGCCGTTGAAACTAGTGGCTTTACGAAGTGAAGGAGTGTTGGAAGTAGGTGAACCGGGAGTGGAAAGATCCATAGCGTTGGTACTTGTGGATTTACCCAACTCATCGGCTGTACTATGGGTATTGATAGAATGAAGACTTTCGACAAAACTACCTGCATTACTGAAGCTACGTTGACGACCATGAACAGGTTGATCTAGTGAAATATGACCACCGTTTTCTGATTTCGGCTTACGTCTCATAGACACCAAAGACTGAAAAACTGTTTGATTGTCAATTAGTTAAGATGTTCAGTGTAATGTAAAAAAAGAAAACTTACATCGTTTCTTTTCTTTTTTGACAGAGGGAGGATGTTTCAGACTGGAATCGGAGATGGAAGGTTCAGGTACGATTTGATCGATAGTGAGCAGATCTTGAGGCTCATGCTGATGATGATTATGTGAAGGAGGATGACTTGTAGATGCACAGAATGCAGCAATTTCATCATTAACCTTGATATTTTCTGCAGCTGTCATCGTATTTACTGTCATCTAAAGCATCTTTGTTTTCAGTATGTACATAACACAAAAAATATATGGTTTGTTTTACCTCAATAATCTTGTGAGCATGGGATTGTTGAAGTGAACTAAAGACTTCTGTGGTGCACTTGATAGTATTCCAACGAGCTTCATCCAATAGCTGATGTTTATGTAAATACTCGGGACCATGTTGTTTCCATTCAGCTAATTTCAAGTCCTGTTGCTTAATGCATTCAGCTGCCTTTTGTTCTCCTTTAGCACTTTTCTTGTGTTTTTGAATCTTTATTTCCAAATCATCATAATCTCGCGCTATTCTGGAAACGTGTTCATCCATACGTTGTATTTCGTGAAAATCGTTACTGGAAGGAATACAGGATCGGAGAGGTTGTTCGACATTTTCAAGAATACTCGTTGCATATTCGGTATGGATGGAAGCAGCTCGAGAAAGTTCAAGTTGAAGCATCTCCCATAACGGTAAAAAAGTTCTACATTTAATTTCATCAGCATTATTTAAAGTCGTCTTTCTCTCTCTCTCTATTATGTTACCCGAGTGCGGATTTGTTGGAAATATAGTTTTTCCTTGTGAGTTTGGCAATACTTTTGGCGTACATGTCTTCTATTTGTGCTCTAGTTTTTGGTTTGGTTAGTTATAAAAGAGTGTCAGATAGAGTGTGTATATTACCGGTCTCGAAAGTAGTCTGCTAATTCATCATTTAACTTTAAGGCAGAGACAAGACGTACATGCGGGGAATCAATCCCGTTCCTGGGGCGTTCAGTCTATTTTCAAACAGTTTTAATAAAATTCATCTCGAAACCGTCATCAGATGAGAAAACACTAATATTCAAACTATTGTCTTACAATAAACGTATCTACATATAATTCATTTGACATGGTTTCTTAGAAGAAGTGTTGAATATTAAGTTAATTCCTCTTTTTTTTTTTTTTTTTCTTCGAAATGAAAAAAAAAAGAGAGGAGAAAGAAAAAAGGAATGGAATGGGAGAGAAAAGGCAAAGTAAAAGAAAAAAAAAAAAGAGAGGGAAAAAAAAATAAACAGTGGGAGCCAGAAAAGGTTAATTATAGACCTTTTTGAAAATAGTTTTCCCACTATAAAAATTGCTGGGTAAAAAAATACAAGTTTGAATTCAAGTTTATTCTTGTATCACTCTCTTCTTGTGTATCATTTCTGTTCAATGGCTTGCTTTTGTTACTAATCCTATCAAAACATTATAAGCTAATGGTTGTATGGTTAGTTACGCCATGTGTATTTATTCAACAAAGTTCGGGGGTGACTAAATCGTAGCACTTTCTCAGCGATCTTTAAAGGGGGCTACCACGCCTTCTTTCTTTTCAGTTTTTTAACTTGAGAAGACGAGAAAAAAAAAATTGATACTGTTAGCTTTTAGACAAATAAGGACACGTTTGTAAACAATTTACCTGTAAATATCTAAACAGCCATTGCGGGCTGAACCGTGTTCAAGACGGCGATTTCTCTTGTAAAGGCTGCAGGTCTACCTTGGCCATTCCAAATAAAGAGAGAGAGAGAGATGTCAAGCATGTTTTTAGATGCGTTTGTATCTCTATTCCACAATATACTGCAATTTTTGCATTTGAGTATACTATAGGAATATTTCCCCTCTGAAAGCACTATACTCCCAAGCTGCTTTGTCTTGCACTTGTTGCAAACCTAATATAAGTTATTTTCGGTGCAGGTAGTTTATGACTTTATACATATTACCTTACCTGTACAGTACTCATTTATATCAATGATTGCTGATGTAAAAAGCTTGCTTCTTTTCTTCAACTCTCTATACAAAACCGAAATGGTTCCAGGAAGATTCTTTCTAATAGGCGTAGTATCCTTGTTCTTCATACCGTCACAACATCAACCAGGTCAAATAAATGACCAAATAGGGGAACCTTCGATCAGTTAACCAGCAGTAATCTTCGGAAATCTTCTTGATATAATCTGCCTGAGGGGATTCCTATCATAATAACAATTTGTATTAGCTAACTGAGTTCTCCTTTCGACATTTACTTATAAACTAACTTTGAAGATAGCCCTGAGTTTAACCTTCAAGCAATACAACGTTCTTTGTTGGAAGTGTTCAACTATGTTATTGAGATACGCTGTTGCAGTCCCACCTCGTTGCAGTCAACACAAACATCAGCAGCCTTGTCTTTGTTGATACCTGAATCGCACTTGGAGTGTCAGATATACAATATATAGCCATTTTTTTTACCAAATAAAACATACCTCTAAACAACTTGGCACTTTTCACTTCGTACTTTTGCCTTAGGTATGCGATTGCTTCCCTGGATGGCATAGTTATAAAAAAAAAGAGTTGTAAGACAAAAAAAAAACAAATGTTAAATTCGGAAATGTCTAGACCTCCGTATTTTTTTCAAACGTATTTTTTTAAACCACTTACAGGAATTCTGGCCAGAAGACCAGCAGACCAGTATGATTGCACCTATTTACAGTCCAATCCCAGCTATTCACGGTTCGTGAGTTCCAAAAACTCAAGCACTCTGCCTAGGAGGTCGCCCTCCTATAGCAAAGACTAGCCGCAGCCGCAATATCACAATTATATATCTTTTTCAATTTAGCTTCTTTTCAAAGAAACAAGAGTCACTACTAAACTAACCCTTTTACGTGATCGGTTACTTTCATACAATAAAAGAAGTATGTTAAGGGAAAAGAGAAAGAGAAGAATAAAGTGTATGAACCAGCTTTATTTACAGATAAACAAGCTTATGTCAGGATGATTTCAATTGTCTATTTTATCATCCATAATGTATGAGCCTTTACTTAAAACAGAAACACTTGCAAAAACCTTCCAAGCAAGTCAGAGCTTGGTAATTGTCTATCTGCATTCCAGTAGTAGCTTGTAATGACAGTAAAGCAGATTTTATGGAAAACAGAGAATGATCATCTAATGAAATTTAGATGATATGGCATGTCAATCGACGTGTAGACCATCACGTTTGAAAAAATACGTTTGAAAAAATACGTTTGAAAAAAATACGGAGTTCTAGACATTTCCATCTAAAGACCAAATATCAGTATTAATGCGACAACGCACGTGTTTTATTAGTTATTATGATGTATGTTACAAAGTAAGTTATCTGTCTTCGCTCTCCCTCCCTCCCTCTCTCTAAATTCCTTATCGTTATCATGTTAATCCTCGTCACCTGCTGTAATTGGATATGATGGCACGGGTGGCATGCTTTGAATCGTAGCACGATAACTCGGCGGCTCATCCACTGCGGTGTTATAATCAGGTATAGCTGGCATACTATTTTCTTTATATTCTTCTCTTGATGTTACAACGATTGGAAGCGTCAAGGTGCATTCAATTGTACCTTCTTGGTGAGCATTACGATGAAAGTGAAATGGATTAAAGTGATGATGCATCGCTAACGAATGATCGTTGTGTGGTTGTTCTTCCTCTGTATTTGATGTCGAATTATTTGTAGTTGTTACCCTTACAAGGTTGCCTTCTGCTATATTTAATCGATCGATCGAAGCAGAGGATGGATTATTAAAACTAGATGTGACGGAAGAGTTGTCGTCCATGGAAGGTCTTGAACTTTCGGACGGTGTTGGGCTTGCTGGTGGTGTTATTTCACGATCGAGAGGTGTCATTGTAGGGATGGATTGTGCAGAGTTGCGTTTTTGTGGATTGAATGGTAAATGGGATAAGATGGTTTTACCGACAGACTTTATACTAGTCTTACTACTTATACTGTCAAAAGATGACATTCTCTTCAGTTTTCTTCGGGGCACTACTTGGTTGTCATCAATGATAATGCGAATGTTTAAACGATGTAAAACAGCAATAAGAGTAGATTTTGTGTCAGTGTGAACGCGTGGATATAGTCGAAATATGGCGTTATAGTTATGCAGTTGCGCAGGATTATATTGTTCATGTTCTGAAGGGAAAAAGGTGCTGCAGCCCAGAGGATACGATTTTCTTGTATGATCCATTGCTTCCTGAGTGAGTGATTGCTGACCCGTGGTTCGATAATACTCTTGTTCTTCAAGTCCACATGTTATCATACGAACAGAGTGCCTGTCCGGTTTTTTTAGATGAACAGACAAATCAAGTGTTAACAGACCACCTTCACGATAGGTCATGGTTGGTGCTGTAGCAGAATATGTCAGTACATCATGGTGCATATCTCCATCAACAGTTTGAGTTGGAGAAGCCACCGGATTCATGCTATCCATGAGACATCTTCTGAGAATGATTGGGTATGAGATATGTATGTCAGAACTAAACAATTTCCTAATCGAAAGGACATCTAAACGATATCTTATTGATCCATGTTTGCCTTCAAAACTGTGAGGAAGTGAGGCAGAGATAGAAAATTTGAATGGAAATTTATAAGAGCCTGGATCAACAAAGGTTGACTTGATCACTTCACTTTCTCCGTCCATAATCATGCGCTCGTTAAAATGTTTCAACGTTCGTTTACAAATATGTCTTTTCTCAACACCATCTGAAGTTGGTAATCCCACCGAATTAGTGGTTTTAAAATCTACACGAATTTCACCTACGAAAGCAGTTTCTAAACATCGGATTCTTGAACGTCGATGTACCTCCAGTACGGTTTCTCCTTTCAAAAGGCAGCCTTCAGATATGTCATCAGCAAATCCTCGTAATATACCACGAAAACCTGGGTCTACGTGTATTGATAAAGAAAAATCATCACCTTGATAAATATGTTTCATTTTTCGATCATGCAAAAAAAAAAGTGAAGGAAAGAAGAGATGAGATCTAAAAAATAAAACAAAAAAGGCTACATACATATTCAGATCAGCGAGTGAATTTGTTTCAGATGGTGAGACCGTCTGTTTCCTACCTCATGGCGCCTAGTGTTTGGCACATCATTTAATTTAACTAGATAAAATTATCTTTACAGTACATCAATGCTGCATTACTTATACTTTGGTTCGCGAGAGCTGGGAATAGGAAAAAGGGCAAGTCTTTCTTTTATAGGCATAATCCCAGGTTCTATAAAAGGCAATTTTCCCTATATAAGCACATAATGTCGAAACATTACAGACATTTTAAATGGGCGATATACTTGGAGATCACTGTTTTATTTCGGTGAATGGGTGCTGGAACTTGTATGTTGGTTTCATAAAATCGAAAAAGACTGACATACGTAAAAAAAGAGGCTGTTTTTTTGGAAATCCAAAATTACTGTTGAGATTATATGATAAAACAAAGTCTAAGTGTAAGGGCTAAATTTGCCATAAACAATTCCCCTACAAACGCTAGAAGAGGCCTATACAATTATTATGCTATATCTGTATTCAATTTTTTTTTTCAACTCTATGTCTGCGTTTAGGTGATTTTTATAAGCCATAATTATGCAAAATGGTCTTTTTCATAGAATGAGCTTAAATATTGATAAAGATTGCTGGATAAAAAGTAAATTGTTAGTAAGTGCAGCAGCAGTATGTGCAAGCGCACTCGGATTACTGGTATCGTATTTGCAGCTATTCTTAATTATATAAATAACAGGATGGAAAACTTCAATTATCTTAAACCTTATCACGGCGTAAGTCAGATCTTGTTAATTAAAAAATAAATTAAATAAAAATAATCTCGTCTACATGCTTCTTCCTCCTTTGTCATTTTAAAATTACTTTATCAAGTATCACGAAAAAGCTTAGTTAATAAGGAAAGACTTCTAAATACGATATTCACTTTTCATTAAAGCAGTTTCTGATTGAAATACAAATCGTATGGACAAAAAGTAACTTTGTTGTAAGTAGCTTATAAATTTTTTTTATTGATTTACTCGCTGGTTTCGAGAGCATTTTCTCCGTAATTCCATGCACCGTGATATACCGTTTGAATTTGGTTGTTACCACCAACTCTGATCCGGAAGTTATGTAGTCTCCACACAACAGATAGGATGTCTTGCCTTTCCTGCTTGTTTACACTAAGCTTTATATTAAGCCTTCCAAACCATTTTTGGAGGGATTTCATCCCCCAATTAACAACAGGAATGTTCTTTTTGATGACTGCGTGCTTTCTTTTTGTTTCCCGAGCTTGTAAATTCACCCCTACTGCGTTTCTCTTTGAAATACTAAGCACCTTTGACGCAAATTTTCTTTTGCAAGGAAAGCTTGAATCAGAAATAACCTTGAAAGGTTCAGGACACTTAAAAGAGAGTAAATTTTCATACAATGGTTCAGCAGTTTCCGAATCATGCCATGCACCAGGACAGTTGAATCTGAACATTCAGATAAGCTAATTAGTACGGGTATGTAAAATAGACGTGATTTTTTTGTACCTGACATAACAGATGCATCCATCCGGAGTAAAAGCAATTATTTGAGAAGTGAAACAGTCGCGTTTGCACTTAATATAATAAGCGTTGTGCTCTAAGGGATCCACAGGGTGCTCGATTTTAAGGCTCAGACTATCAACAAAGCCAAAAACGCCTCCCAACACTCCTCTCTCAAAATCATTGGCTGCTTTTGACAGTACCATTTCATTAAATTCGGTCTTTTTGTTGGAAGAGGGCCATGCTATCACCCATCGTGGATCATTTGGCTTGGATCGAAAAACAGTTAACAGAGTTTGAATACCCAAGTCCTTCGATCTACTAATAACAGCAGCAGGAGCACCGAAAATCAGGCCCAAAATCTCTAGCTCCATCTCACTGTGGAGCCATATCAAAACCAATGCCAGGACCATCTTGGCTTCAAGTATAGGAGAGTGTCCAGTTTGGCATTTTTGAGGATAGTGTAACACAAATTCTTTGTACAAGATTTCGAAAGCTTGCACTGTTAATCCTAGGTGACACAGGTACGCTTTGTTATTACGGCCACTTATCAATCTTGTTGCAGAAGAATTAGATGGTGTGTACAAGCTTTCAGAGCTTGTGTGAGCTTCTTCAGTAATACGACGGGCTGATTCCGTTTCTAAAGCTGAAAGGCTAGCAGTAGCAATGATGTTTAATTTTTGATTTTTGGTTGCTGGCATAATTAATTTTAACAAAAAGGGGAAAAAATGTAAACCTTTTTTAATAAATAGATTGAGGCAATTATTTCAAGGCGTGTGACATGACTGCGATCGGTGACGTGTTTTTGTTCAGAATAATTACCCTCAGTTGTATTAATTAAACTTGATTCTTAGTCTTTTATGATGGCAGAAGCAAAGAAGATTTATTTGAAAAAGGAACAGGTCATCATCACTAAGAAAATCAAACGATTCGTACTTTGTTTTTCGTGTCAAGCAATACTTTCCACGCAATCTTTCCCATCTCTCTTTTTGATCGCTTCTGACCAAAAAAGCATGCAAATTGAATATCTCTGCTGCTTTGCAGGCATTGATGAAAGATTGTCTGTTAAGCAAAGGGGCTTCCCACTTTGATTTTTATTAAGTTTAAATGATGACTTAGCACTCAATGGGCCCACCGGAGTGACGCATTAACCAAGGTTTTGATCTCATATGAGCTTCTGCACTACCTTCAGACGGAGACTCCTTTGAAAACGAGGGGCTTCCCTTAATAACCCTGTTACCATACAGTTCATTCTGAGGGGGAAAATAGAGGAGAAAAAACTGTTTATTTACCTTTGCATATGATAGCTTATAAACTCAAGTTTTTTTTTCTTCTTTTTTTTTGTTAAAAAAAAAACGCATGTTTCCCATTGAATAACCCATTCAATTCTCAACAATATCATATGCGTAACATCCTAATTTTTGTGCAATGAAAGCGACTTTTGAAGTGGGGGAGAATGTGTGTAACCAAACAAAAAATATTCCTACCCTAATTATCGAATTGGACGAATGTGTTTAATAATTTGCTACTGACATTGACGAAATAAACGAATAACAGGTAGGTAAAGTACGTTCTTAATACCAAGAGTTTACGCCAAGACTTTGCGGAACCGAGGTTTGAGGTATCAAAGAATATAGCATCGTATACTGTACTTAGAATACGTTACCTACAGACATAAAACCGAAGTATGTACATGGTAATTTTTTTATGAGGTTGACTAGAAGCGGTATAATCCACGCTACAATTATCAGCTTTTGGAAACTGGTTTGCAGGTACTACAGTTAAATATAATCTTGTGGATCCCCCTTCCCTGCTTAACAATGATAATAACTAGACTATCACGCGGTATGTAGAAGTAGGAAATAAATATTTATTGTTTTTGTTATTAAGAATACTTTGATTGTCATTCTTCAAAATGAACGTATATATTGTATTACTTTTTTTTTTTAATATCGTCGTTCCCGCATATCCTTAAGGTAATCATGCATGAGTTGTTAACATGAAAAAAACTGTCCTACAAAAGATATAACAGCGAGCAACTGCTTGTAATATCCTGAAGAGATTTGAAGTTTTAAGTTGCATTGTATTGATAGTTTTATAATGTTACGCTTGTCAAAATCACTTATTTTTGTTGAGCACCAGCTTTTATTGTCTACGCCTCCATTTTTTGGATTTCCGAAAACAAATCACTGTATCATTCTTTAAAACTAAAATGATTGTAGCATCTGTTACAAACAGCAATGACACATGGCTTTTTCCAGTGTAACATGTATTCCTTCTGACTTGTAAATTTAGACACCGTTTGAACCGATAATGGGGATAACCCCGTGCGATTGAAACATGATTTCTAAAGTCAAATAAACAAGAAAGCACTACTTGCAGAAATTGTTAACCGAGAAAAGAATGATCCATAGGCAAGAAGGAAATAGATTTAGAGCTAGAACTTTGAACTTATTAGTTACATGTATGCTGACCTGCAATACATAACAGGTTTGAAAAATTCAGTAGCGTGGCTATCTGACATTTCTCGGGTTTTTAGGTCTTTCTCTTCCGCGTTACTGACGAGGAGCTTACCAAAAAAGAAATTCTTTTGCAGAAGCACGAAGAGAGCGGATAATTTGAGCATTTTTTGGATAGTTTTGTCATGTCAAAGTTTTATGAACGAGCGGAAGTTTTTAAATGTTGTTATCAGTAGCTCTTCAAATTTGATTTATGCATAGATTATGCTACAAATAATGAACAAAGAAGTTGGATAAAGCATATAATTTCTTAAACAGCGAGATTATACATTTACCTACACAGGTCATGTCTGACAACACGAGGATTTTTCAAATATACATAAGAACGAAAATTCCTAAACATACTGGAAGTTTCAAAACCTCTATTTTTACAATCTGTACAGTATTTATTAATTAAAGTTGCTGGATCCAGCTTTTTCACGTAATCGGCAATAGCTAAAGCTCTTACATAACTAACGCAATCTTGTGTCAGGAACTGACCAGTTTCCCACGAAAAAAACGAGCCATCACTAAAATTTGCGGCCAGTTTTAAAATTAGGTATTTATTCTTTTGTCGTTTTCTCGTACAAGCGGATAGCTGTTAACTTTTTAGTGCAGACCGATTTTTTCTCGGGTTTTGAACCTTTTTTTTTTTTTTTTTTCGGAAAGTGACTCCCGAGAATAGTAGTGGGTAAATTGTTCAAACCGGACTACCTACATTTTATCAAATTAACAAGTTTATAAGGCTGATATGCTACGATGACATCTTTTTGATCTCCCAAAAATAAAAAACAGAAACAAATGTATCACTTTGCTTACGAAATCCTAATTGAGAAAAAAAAAAAAAAAAAAAAACGTGGGAGGAAGATAGTTTAACAATTTTGTTAATTTGACGTATCATTTAGTGCTTTGGGAAGCTTTATTAAATTACTTTGTACACCACATTTTGTTTAAAAAAAAAAAAAAAAACTCCATCTGATCGGCGTGAAATACATGCGTACATCCTTTTCGGTATTGGCCATAAACGGCTTGGTGCTACATTTGTGATACATTCATGAGCCCATTTTTTCATGGTTGCTGTAATTGAGATTAATTAACAGAAGGATTGTAAAAAATACATGATCTCTAAAGACTGCAGTAAATATCTTGGCTTAGGTAACAGTCTGACACAATTTCGCTTAAATTGGTACCACTGCTTGTTTAGATAAAATTAAAGATATGTACCCGGCGTATTAGGAGAGGAATAAGTATACTTTTGAAACTTGCTAACCGAAAAAAAAAAAACTACTCACAAGTGTTGTATTAGCACTGGTACAATTTAATTATAGCTTTATGTGGTTTAAATCTTAAATTGTTGTTAGATAAAAGACGAACAACATAACGTTATTATAGTTTCATGTCACTTAGGTTAGCTTAAAAGACGCTTATTATTGTATCGCAGAAATTTTATAATTAGAATAAATGGTGTCATCTGCCATCGACTTTTTTTTTTTACCTCATCGATGTTTTATTATGTAAATAAATTGCCTTGTCCGTGCCCAATTATTATGTAAATACTTTTTGTACCATGCCTCATTGTTACGTAAGATTAAGTTTATGATTTGACCACACGGAACCTGTTATGCACTGGTTTGAGCAAGACTGTAGATCAAAAAACAATAACCATAATATCGACATATAGCTTCCTTACGTTAAACATTTGCTAAAAGAATAGGTACAATAAGCATGATCATTTAGAATCTGGTATTTAGTTGCAGTGATGTAACAGCAAATTTGTAATGGGTGCACGGATGATAACAATTATGTAAGTCCTAATAAAACAAACGCATATTGCAATAGACGGGTCCTTGCTTTCCTGAAGACCCTTGTTTCATATAAAAAGGAATCGAAGAGTACTCATTTTTCTTCTTATTCTCATTAAAAAAAAAGAACCATCTTTACCCTTTCCCTTCATTCATACAATGCTTATCAACAATAACATAATTGTTGGTGTCACTGCTGCTGTACTCTTGACTTTATCGGGAACTCTGGCTAGTTTCCTCGATAAGCCTAGTATTGCTACCTATTGGGGGCAGGTGAGTCAATAAAACATAATAAACATCATCAGATGTCTTGTTACTAATCTATATACAGAATTCCAAAGGAGGAGTTGATACCCAAAAACCACTTTCGTTTTACTGCGATGATTCGTCTGATCTTCTAATTATGTCATTTGTTCTTAATTTCAAAGATGGAGGCCTTCCTGTGCTTAATCTGGCTAACGGTTGTAATGGCCCTAATTTCCCCGGAACAGGACTTTTACAATGCCCTGACGTTGGCACAGGTAACTACGATATGCACCATTACGATGACACATGATCTAATATTATTATAGATATTAAGATTTGTCAAAACAAGGGTAAAACCGTCTTGATGTCACTTGGTGGTGCAGCTGGTATTTATGGCTTTGCCAATGATGCTGATGGTGAGGCCTTTGCTGATACTCTTTGGAATCTTTTTGGTGCTGGATCCAGCTCAACTCGTCCCTTTGGTGATGCTGTGTTGGATGGCTTTGATCTTGACATTGAAGGTGGCGGGCCTACAGGTTATGCCGTGAGTACAAGGGATTTTAATCGTATTAGTATTGTACACTGACCACATCACATTATTGTTATTAGGCGATGGTTAGACGACTTCGTACACATTTCAGTACTGATAAGTCCAAACAATACTTCATTACCGGTGCTCCTCAATGCCCTTTCCCTGATGCTATGATGGGTACAATTATGGATCAAGTCGGATTTGATGCTGTAAATGTCCAATTTTACAACAATTATTGCTCAACTACTAGTGGAAGTTTTAACTTTAATACTTGGGACACCTGGGCAAAAACAACCTCGCCAAATAAGAATGTCAAGATCTTGTTGGGTCTCCCAGGATCAAGTGCTGCCGCTGGTAGCGGATATGTCCCTTTTAGTCAATTGCAACCAATCGTCAAAGACCTCTCTAACACCTATTCCAGTTTCGGCGGTGTCATGTTATGGGGTAAAATAAACATTAGTAAAGTTATTGTAATAGAAAAAACTTGAAACTAATCGTGCTGTTAGATGCCTCTGCTTCTTACGCCAACACGGATATATCTCCTTCCTATCAAGTGGCCGTTGCTAATTTAGTTCACGGACTTGCTAACGGTGGTTCGACCCCTAGTACAACTAGTACTATTTCTACAACTAAGACTGCATCTACTACAACTAAGACCACATCTACTACGACAAAGACTACTGCTACTACTACTACTAGTACTACTGCTGCACCAACCAGCACACCCGTCACGTGTATCAAGGACGGACAAAAATGTTCTATTGAAGGTCAAGTTGCATGTTCCGGAAACTCCTTTGCTATGTGTAACCATGGAGCATGGGGACTTCAAGGATGTCCTAGCGGTCTTACATGTTTCTCTACTACGGACGGTAGCTCCGTTTACTGCGGCCAAGGCAGTGGTAGCAGCACGACTTGCGACTTAATCAGTACACTTGAAATTACACGTAATACATTGAATACGGGGGTTGTGAAGAAGACGATTGGACCATCTGCTAAACCATACATGGGAGGTCATGTTATTGCCCAATTCTCGGTTACGAAATCTGACGCAAAGTCATTCACAGCACTTGTCAATGTTCGTCGATTTGATAAAATAAGTTTTGGAAAGACTATTACTGCGCAATTTAAGGTTGCCGATAATATTACAGTGACCAGTGTAGAAGGAGGAACTGTTATTCAAAAAGGTAATCAAGTCAAGGTTCAATTGAAGAATGAAAAGAAGACCATGATGGCTGTCATTCAATTGAAAGGACAAATCAAGGGTGGGATTTTTGTTGCACCCAAAGTAAACACCATGAAGTTTTACTAATTAATAAGCCAATTTGATTAATTTGAAATAAACACTTACATTATAAGGAATTTTTTTCCTATTGGGTAACAATATAAACAATGGAAGGGTCTTGGCGTAAAAAGCTATTAATTGAACAGCTGTTCTTTTTTTGTTGAACAATAGAAAAGAAGGGACACAGAAAAGGCAACGAATTATTGGTTCTGGATAAAGATTGTTCTTTTGCTTAGCACAACAAATGGACGGTAGATCTTTTTGAGCTACCACCGGCATTGTTCGCACCTCGGATTCTGATAAGATTTTTGGTTAGAGCAAACTTCAAGGAAAAGATGGTACGTGCGACTTTTCATGTCAATTGGAAAGATGAATGATAAATATAGTTGTAATATTATTGTTCTATTTTTAGATGGTGTTCCTGCTTTCTTGTTTAAAATAATGATTTTGTTTTTATTATTTTGTGTAACATGGTTATGAAAAATGAGTAGCTTAGTACATATGAGGAAAATAAAGTGAAAAAATAAAAAGATGGTATATACATTCTAAATGGGGGTTTTTTTTTGGATGTTTTGATGATAAATGACGAAATAAAAAAAAAGAGAAGAAAAAAAAAAAGTGTAAATGGGCATAGAAAAGTTCATAGGAAAGGGGGAATAATTTTTTCTTTTTTTCATAGATGCGGTATAAAAAAAAAAGGATGCATGTTGTGTGGGTGTGAGATTTATCTAATTTGAATAAGACCATGTGTTATATTGAGGTGGGATAGAGTATTCAAAGTAGTTTTGTTGAGGTTGAGGCTGATAATCTATAGGCATATCATTAGTGTACCAATAATTGTTGTTGGCAGGTAGCTGTTGTAACAAGGTGAAGTCATTAAAACTATTGGTGATGTCCTTTTGCTGATAAATAGCAGTGGTAGGAAATTGGTTCATCATGATCGGGTTAGAGCCGATTGGACTATAGTTCTCAATATCGTCCCACGAATAAGAAGAGTCTTGAAGAGGCGTAACATTGCCAGAAATAGTTTGGTGGTCCAACATACTTGTAGCGGATGGACTGGTGGTGATAGTATTGTTTGTGTAGCCGTAACCATATGCATAGTGCAACGTTTCATCCGATTCGTCGACAAAGCTGCTCGAGCTTACTGGTGATAAGCTACTGCCACTTTGACTTGGTACGCAATAAGATTCATCGTAGAAATCCGTGTAAATTGATTGGTTATTACTGTGACTTAAAACTTGAGGTACTCTCTCATAAATGGGTGTTGTCCAATTCTCTTCTGTCAATTTAGGGTACACTAAAAAAAAAAACGTTTTAGTAATTTTAATTTATTGTCATTAGCATTTTAACCTTACCTGGCTTATCCTTGATGTAAGCTTGGCGCTTCTTGTAAGGTCCACGCTTAACACCCTTCTTGCGCTCTTTACGGTCAGAATCTCTACATGTGCTGGTCAAACCGAGTTTGACACAACGCTTGCAAGGTCTGCCATCGTCACACTTCTTGCAGGCTTTTTGACAATTGACTATTGTTTAAGATGAGTACACAGACACACTTCAAATATTAAAAAAGTAAATTATCTTACCGCAGGCATTTTTGACTTGCTTGCGCTTTGACTTTTCAATGCTAGTTTTTTTCAAGGCATTGACAGTAGCTTTAAGATTGTCACTGACTTCGGTGTTGTCATCATAGGTCATCCAGGAGGTAGGAGATCCACCAACAATAATAGTGTTGTTGTTATCGTATTGCATGTTCGTAGTCACTTTTTTTTTTGTTAAAAGCGGGAAATAGAGTTGTAGAAAAATAGAAATATAAAAAGGGTAAAATAAAATGACCGTGCAATTCGATCTTGTTATATACATTTTTTTTGGCCAAAATGGGGGGACCAACTCGATTTGGGGGGGGGAGGAGCAGAAAATAGTAATTATTTTATAAATAAAAAAAAAAATTGGGCCTATTCTTCACGTTTCCTAAACATTTCTGGAATCTCACATGGTGCTAAATATAATAATTAGTTGTGCAGCAGCATTTTTTTACTACTTTTTTGTCATCTCTGATTCGGCCTTGTTTCTCAAATTTGGGAAGAAGGTAATACAACTCCGTTTCGCTTGGAAAGAATAAAAAAGACATGTAGTTCTGAAATGACGTTGAGTAACGGATAATAGTTCAACACCCTCATGCTCCCCTTCTAGGTTAACCACACGAAAGCTATTATAAGCTCTTACCAGAATAAAAAAATTAAAAAAAAACATGTTCCATGTCGATTTAATGTTGCACGATACTTGGCCACGTTTTGGCTAGATGTTTTTGTATTCAAAATTTACAGTATGGTAAAGCTACCAAAACGAACCCAACGCACGCACAAGCATGCTCGCGTGCTACTTTTTGCCACTGCCCGATATTTTAATTGGATTGTTGTACAATTTAAAGTAATGATGGCCCTTTTTTTTTTTATATACATACAATACTCCAACCTCACCAAATATAGTAAGAACTGCACTAGATCGTCATGAATAGCAATTGACAAAAAAAAAACCTTGATTTGTATACAATCCCGAATAAATAGAGCTTTTCCTCTCCTTAAGAGGCAGTGTTCCCTTGGATTTTGTTTGTTCAATTTTTTTGATTAGGGTTGTCGGGCATCTAAAAGCAACATGGTTCTCTTGTTACCATGCCCCCGTTTTTCGAGGTTTACGTAATAAAAAATCGACATAGTTTGATGCATAATCGGATAAGCTTTTATGCTTCATTGGGAACAAGGAGAAAGAGGCGTAGAATAGGAGTATGCAAAAGAAATAAAATGATTTCCCGGTACAAGTAAGATTATGATAGGCAGAAAAGATCGATAAAAAAAAAAAAAAAAAAAAAAAAAAAGATGGGATGACTAATTAAAAGGGTATTCAACAATGAAAAAATGATGACAAAATTTAATAAGCAAACATGATGTGATGTTTACAAAGTGTTCAGGTATTATAATAATACAGCCAAAAGGTATATTTTTAGTTAATTGTCTGTTACACTATACCAGCAAAACGTTCTTTTTGTGAAATCAGGTTTTTTCATTAATCTGGTTAATTAAGGGTACATGAAACACCCACGAAAATGTATATTTTGTTGCATATCTTTTAGATGTACATGCAAACCAATAACTTTCAGCTCACATGATGGCAAAACATTTTAGCTTTAATTAAAAGCCTCATACGCGCCAAAAGTTAGTCTCGTGAACATGGCCTGTCAGGTCATTTACCGCACCCTCAAAAAGCATGATAGGAAAGCCCCCAGTGACCAGATCACGTTACTTGGTATTACCGTAGGAAATTATTTATTAAGTTGAAATATTATATTACAAGTAAAGAAAAAAAGAAGAGAAAAGTAGTCTATATAATTACAAATATATCTTGGAAAGTAACTATTCCCCAAGTATTAGCGTGTAACAAAAATGACAATGAATATACAAATGTTGTGTGTGTGTGTGTGTGTTTGTGTTTGGGTCGAAAAAAAAAAAAGTTATTATATTTCCCAAGCTCTTGTATTTCGATTGTCTTTAAAGGAAGGAGGGTTGGGTTGTTTTGCTTCAGCAACAGCCACATGATCTAAATAAGCATCCGGTTGCATGATCCGAGACAACCGATATTTGACGCCGAGATAACTAAGGTAATTATTCCTTGGAAATACACGTACTCGTTTCACATCAGGAAAATGACAATCAGTGATGTCTACAAATGTTCCTCCTACTGTCAGGGTCTGTTCCAGTTTGGTTTGGTTAACGATATCAAATGGCACCCATTTTTCATTCATAAAAACTAGCCATGTGAAATTCCAAGCTGATGACTGCCTCCCTTGAACCTGTGGTGAGGTGCAGGCTGTTATACTATTTGCCTTAGGTAGCTGAGTTGGTAATTGTAATGGCTTTGCATTATTATTACTGTAAAACGAATTTGTGGATGATTGTGAACTAGAAGATGCCTCAGATAGAGGGGGAGAAACAACACGGTGATGATGGTGTTGTTCCTCATGATATTTCCCATTTATCTTTTGTGTTGGCATATTAGTTTGTTGATTATTATAACGATATTGTTGATGCTGAGCTATTAACATTGGCGTATTATAATATTGCTGCTGGTTATGATACAATACACTCAGTTCTGGCTCTGTGCTCATCTTTTACAATTTATTACTATGGAGAAGAAGAAAAAAAGAAAAGAGAAAACAATAAATAAAAAAATAAAAAAAAGGGATTTAAATAGTATAAAAAACGCCTACGACCTATTATATTCCTCATTTGGTATTCATTAGTATTACCTAGAATGAATCACGGGTCAACTGTTACACCTGGATTTTTGGAGCCCATTTAAATGAGACCTCAAGTGATTCTTTTATATATATATATATATGATAAATATATACAATGGTTGCTATCTCTTATTAGATGTTGATATCAATATGCACATCATTTATCATGTTGCCTCTTAAAAATGACATAAGTAAAAAGGGTGCTTTACCACACGGCCAGGTACACTCATCATTGTACAATTAATAAAAAGTCACGAGTTTACCCAGATATCCAGCTGCTCAGCAAAAATTATTCAATTTAGGCCATTTGATACGATCGAATTATAAAAACAATTCTTTAATAAAATGTACAAAATTTAACTCTATGCAATGGAAAAAAAAATAGGATAGGATAGGCTTTACAGTCCTTCGGCCTCTAAAGTAGTTGGCTCGTCACTTGATTCGTTATTTCTATTGTGTAGTTTTACACCAATGCCATAAAGGTCTTCCTTCACGATCTGTATCCACAAGTGGATCAATTTCTTAAAGATAACGATAGATAACAGACCCACAAAGAAAAAGAATATGATAGGGTACGTATATCTTGTCACAGTGATCTGAAGTGAAGGGTCTTTGGGATCTAAAATTTTAAAATATGAGTGCATGAGAAAATAAATAAAATTCTGTTCAACTAACCAAGAAATCGTAAAATACCCCAAGAGGCAATACCAGGAATGGTTATAGCAAGTAGTGCAGTAACTATCACAGGGACAATCACAGTTCGTGTGATATTCCACACGTCGGTTTGCATAATACCGTCGCCTACAAGTCCGATGAGCTTTCGACGAACACTATTATTGGCAGGAAGCACATGAATAATATTATGAATGATGCTCATATATGCAACACCAAACGACCAATTCTAACAACAAATAACCCCGTGAATATTCATGTGAGTAAGTATTAATTTTCCCTTTTACCTGAGTCACATAAATCACTAATCCACTTTCTGAATTAAAGCTACGGATCGGCATAAATACAAAGAGATCAACTGCGATTCCAAACAAAAGTGGGATGACCAAACCAAACATACTAGATAAGTATAAAAACTTTGCAATCTAAATTTAATCAACGTTAATACTTCATTATTACACTTTTTTTTTTTCTTTTTTCTTCTGTATATTCCTATTTAACCTTTTTCGTTTTTTCTTTCATATACGTCATAATTTCATCGTTGTTGTATTCATTTGTTTTATATGTTGCGTAACATTCATTAATCCAATGAGTCATTGTTCCCAATCCTGCCATAATATAAATTCCAAGTGCAAACGAGTACAAATCGTTTACTTTCGACCCAGGCGCAAGATAATATTTAAAAAGTGCACGACCAACGAGAACTAGCAGATGTTAGTATCTCATTATCATCAACCATTTTTAGTTTAAACCCACAAGGAGAAATATATTACTTACGAGGTACTACCGTTACAGAGCAAGAAAATAATGAAATGGAAAACCACATGGAAAACAAGAAAATGATAATCTAGATTCATGTTAAATATATATATATATACATATAATACATAAATTAAAACGAGGACTTACTCTTCGCTTGAAATTAGGTGGGATGTAAACAACAATAGTTGACTGAGCTTCATCATTTGTATCTGCAGCAGCAGGATGACCTCTGATTCTTTCTTCTTCATCAAGAGCTTCCAGAGTAACAGGATCAACGGGTACAAGCATACGACGCTTAGGATCCACTGGAACACTATCGTATTTGGGTACACGAACCATCATACCGTCACGTTTGAACACAACCGATTTTTGGTCATCCTCATCAATAGAGACGTCGGAAAATTCATCCGTTGGGATGGTTGCCTTCTCAAAAAAGATCTTTGACTTTAAAGTTTTACGGATATGTCTACCTTCTTCATCAGGCTTACGAACATTGAACATAAATGAGGTTAAGCGTAACTGACGGCAGGCAAAGTGCCACCAAAGGTCAAGTGCCTTCTTGGAGTAGTCACGGGGTTTGATGAGAGCGATCAAGGGGGGTAAGAGGAATTGAATGATCAGGAGGTCGATAGCCAAAGTAGATAAGGGAGTATTGAAAGGTAATCGAAGAGGGAAAACAATGCCAGTGTATCCTAAAGTATAAGTAACAGTACCAACACCAAATACTAACATGACTGAATAAATTAATGCTGATTGACTGATTTTGTGCAATAAATTCGGTAAAGGCCTTTCTACCATTTCCTGAACTGGATGGAACTGAGGATCATTGGGGTCACGAATAAACCACATTACACCCGGTCTAATAATTTCACGGCACACCGTAATAAATATGGCAAAATAGAACAAGACACCAGTACCCAAGAACCAATGAAGGAAATAGGAAGAATAAGGGCTCTTCAGGTGAAATAGGTAACGTGATGTAAATGAAGCATTTACAAATAATGGTAAAGTAGCCATATCAAGTAAGAAACCACACACAGTAGGGAACACAACCAGCTCAATCACAATAAAGAACAATACCTTTAAGAATATACCTTGTTGTCGAATAATGTCCTGAATTGTCTCACCCGTAGTATTACGACTTGAGTTTGAGGCACGTCTGCCATGATTCAAATACCATGATCCTAAAGTAATCAATACTAGATAACCAACAAGTATACACATGCTACGATCCAGACCGGTCTGTCCCGTACCAAATCGATGCCATCTAGCCAGTGCCACAGCACTCATCGCCTCAATCTTGTTTTGAATCAATACCCAGTCCATATTCATCATTAAACTATCTGACCCTGCTCTTGTCATATTATTCACAACTGTCTCATTTCTTGTAATTGTTTCGTTGGATAATGTCACTGCGGTCTCAACACCTTTCGAAAATTGATCTTGGATTGATTTTAAGGCTAATTGGATACTTTCCGGTACAGCTGAAATGATAAACCCTCCAATGAGTGACCAAATATAAGGAAAACAGAGATCTAACACAAAATCAACGAGCGGATCAGTGATTAACCGCATTACGTAAATAGGCGTCTCAATAAAACTAATAGGTTGGATCTAATACATATGAATTAGATTTCTGATTACACATAAGCATATACACTCCTTATATTACCAAAATCACAAGACGTCCAATAACATAAGGAACCCAAACAGCAATACCAAGACACAAACTAATCATGAGTGACATTAAAACAGAATTTTGAACTAACATCCAAGGATTTCCTCTCATGCCGATAGCCTCAAGTACACCGTTAATGTCGTCTCCAACATCAAAAGGTTCGTCGTCATCACCTAGTCCAGCAACTGCAGCAGCAGCAGCAGGCTGACGAGGTTGAATCATGGGAGGTATTTCCTCCACTTGCTCTAATTCACGAATTCTAGCCAACTCTCGTCTTCTTTCCATTTGTTCTTGAAACATGCGTTCAATGGCAGCATTATTGAATCGAGGATTATTATCTACTAGTTCAGGTAATCTGTCTTCCTCGTCGTCCTCTTCCTCGTCCTCAACTTCATACATTCTACCGGTCGAAGATTCGGCGTTAGACCAACTAAATTGGCTGTCGTCTTGGTGTAATAAACGTTGGTGTTCCTCACTATCCAGTGATTCGCGTTTCATATGAGCACTTTCAAAGCCATATTCCTCGTCTTCATCCTCATCGTGAATCGAAATAACGTCACTAGTGTCGTTGGCAGAAGACGATGATGCATGCTGGTTATACCAAGTGTCAGTCGGATCGTCATTTCTTTGAGCCAATTCATTATCCACGGCAGCACGAAGGTGACCTAATTGATGTTCGAGGCGATGTAAACTCATGTCCTGATCTTCGTCCCCTTCTGGATTGATAACCTGCATGGCTGTCAATAAAGTATCGATGGCAACTTGTTCTTGTACAAGATGTTCATTGTTGTTGGGATTTTCGATATTGACAGGTACTGGCTCATTTAAGGGAGCCTGTTGTTCAGCAGGTAAATTCTGCATGACCCATTCTCTAAACAAGTAAGCAGCAACGAATATGATGATAACAAACCCCGTTATAATTTGACCCTCAAGACAATCAGATAAAAAATTTCTAAAAGAAAAACTATTATTAGCATTGTTTTTCTTTTTATAACAATCAAAGTTAAACATACTTTAATATTTCATAAGAAAAATAGCTGGATTCGTCCGTGATTGTTGTTAATGAGGAGTCAGAACCGGGTTGGTCCTCCCCCTTTCTAAAAAAGACAATACTCTCACCGCTCCAAAAATAAAATCTCCAGGTCCATAAGGTAAAATTTGGTAATATAATTAACCACACAAGCACCACTAATAAGCCTCTTGCAAGTGTCTTTAAACCAGTTGCTATACGGCGAATCAATTGAGAGATGAGCAGATAAAATGGCACTTTTTCTGGCATATCGTCTCGGTATATGGGTGTAAAAGCGAATGGATGTTCACATAATTCGCAGTACCTATCAGTTTTATTTTTTTGTTTTTTTGTTAAAGTCTCCCTTTCTACCTTTTATTGTTCTCCCCTTACTTTTTTTTACTGTGTGATAGCCATTGCTTTAGACTATATACAAAAATGGAGTGTTAAAATAACAAAAACTCAGAAACAGGAAAGAAAACAGCTCTATTACCAGTCTTCGTGAACAAAACGTATACTGCCAGAGCATTTACACGGATGGTAAAGTGGATGATCAGGTGTAGATTCACTTCTACAAACCCTACAGATTTCTATTTTTTTTTTATGAGGTTTTGAATTGACATTGACTGAAAGCAAAGTTACCTTGGTCTTCATCCATGCTTTATTCCTTCTTAATTTTCAAAATGTGAAATTTAACAAAAAAAAAAAAAAAAAAAAAAGAATAAAGAACAGGCAGGTAGAACAAAACCAGAACAGCGGATTTTTTAAAGAAAGGGTCTACTTTTGAAAATTAAAAAGTTTTACTTGAATCTAATTGGCTGGATGAATTCAATCCTATGGTCAGACAGTTTCTCCTTGGTTTGTAATTTATCATGCATTTTTCATACAACATGTACGTGACCATAATTTTTGTGGGCTTCGCCAAAGGAAGTTATGGTTGCATGTCCCTCATCCATAAAAGTAAATAGTATAAGCCCATGTCCAGGAAGCAGCATAATTAAACCTAAAGCAGTGAAAAGGCACGAAAAGAAGGATTCTGCAGCAGGAGAGAGTGTTTAACTGGCGTCAATATGTGTAGCTTTTTACAAAGTGTCAAGTTTATCTGCAGGAGGATCACATATGTTAATAAACACACGCACAGGGTTGCTCTTCATTAACATGTAGTACGTGGAAACTCCCTTGAATTACAACTTTCGATCTATTAATAATTTTGTGGTTAACAGGCATTTTTCTACTGCAAATCCTCCCTTTCCTTAATTACATTGTAAACAATGAGCGCCTCATTCAAGCTTGTGGCTTTTTGTATCATATATCGATGCTAACCACGACGTCACAGATGCCCAAGAGAAACGCAGCTTTTTTTTTTTTGGCTTTCTTTTTTTTTTTTTTTTCCTAGTTTTTCAATCTCTTTATAACATGAACTTTTCACCATATTCACCATCACCAGACGACGATAGAACTTCTCGTTTGCCAAAAAAACCTAAACAACCAAAACAGCAACCACCCTCTTTCAGTTCATACCAAGCGGGTAATGCCGACTCTTTTGCTGAACAAGGACTTTTAAATAATGGCAGTAGCAGTAGCAGTAGTGCACCCAATGGACAATCTGTTCGTGTTAATAAATACGAAACCAGTCTACCCATTCGTGTGGATGTAGAAGCTTCAATAGCCTATGTTTTGGGTCCGGTAACTGGTAAATAGTTTCTTTTTTATCTTTGTGACCATGTTGCATAATTGTTAACACTGGATAAATAGGCTTATTATTGTTAATTTTCGAAAGACAAAATGATTATGTGAGATTTCACGCATGGCAGGTAAAAATCTAGGATGGATTCTATGACGATATATCACTTATTAACGTTTCTGGTTTAGTCTTCACTATTATTTTCCTCTTTGATGTGTGCACAATTTATCTTGTTATTTATTTCGTCATTCCTATCTTGGGTATTATTTTTCTTCAACGTTTTTATGTTGATTTGGCTAGTGTAAGTGAAATATAAAGGCGGTTTGTTTGGGCTTTGTGGCTAATGCATTTATTTGTAGATATCGAGCTTATTTGGATGGTGCATCATTGGAGAGATACGAAGTACCCTATTTCGGTGTAATGGCATCAGAATACGTTGACGCGGAATAAATATTTATACCTTTTTTAGAAGCAATAGCCTTAATAACATTTTTTTACTTTTTATTTATTTTATTCAGTCATATTAAGTGTGTGGAAAGGAGAGAATGGGGTTAGTTGGTATAGTTACTTTTTTGGGAGGCATATAGATGTGTTATTTAGGATCTGTGAGAGGATTCCCTGGATACAGTTTTTAGACTATCATTTGATGATAGCGTGGATGTGGTAGCTGAGTTTGAGTTTGAACCTCTGGGTGTCCTACTTTGAATCATGCGTCGAGTTGTTTGAGCTGCAAAAGAAAAAGTAAGTACACATGCAGTATATAAATAAACTTTTATGTTCTATATTACCATGTTTGGCCATTGCTATCTTATCCAGGTTTAGAATAACTAGATCCAAACTCTTCAACCATACATCTCTACCTCTATCCGAGCCAATATAAAGCACATGGGTGGTAGAAGCTCCAACAAAGGTTGAATTTAAATTATCGACGCCTGCCATAGAGCAGGTGATTTCAATACAATGAGCTATTCCACCCGCTTCTTCTTTAGTAAGTGATCGAATCTTTGCTCGTTCTAGAGTAAGGTGACCCTTGTACTGCAGTCGTGTTACTTTTCCTTCAACCTTAGGTTTCACAAAGAGTAACAGGTCATTAAAGAGCATGTAATTTCTCTCTTCACCCATGGACCTGGTACTAATAGTAACTCGGGATAACTGCCCTTGTATGACTAGTCTTCTTTCGGCTCGTACGTTGAATGGTGCTCCAATCAAAGCTCGGTGAATCATCAATACTTGATCAACGTTGTCAGCATCCAAGAGTCTAATATATTTTGTTAAATTATGTCATACAGCTTGGTTTATGTTTTATGTTTTCTGTCATACTTTTCATTAATGGTTGTTCGGTAGTGTTGAATATATGCTTTTGATTTCCGTAATCCTGAATAATCTGGATGTAAAGCAGGTGTTAGGTCTGCTAAACGACTTATAATATCAGCATATCTACTAATGCAACCCGCTGGTAATTGTATCAAAGATAATAAACTGGAACCCTTGAGATCTTTGTCTTTATGTACCGTCTATTTAGGAAATAAGGTTAAAATGTCGGGTTCTAACAATTGCTGAATATTCTCTACTTGCATCAATAAATTTCTTGAACGGCTGATATCTTGTCAATCTTTCATATGTCGTCAAAGATACATCATAATTCTTTAGATACAAACGGTAACATTCTATATTAGGGAACTATAGTAGCAGTATTAATGTTGTATTCCATTTGATAAATTAAAAAATGGTATTGTTACCCAAGCTTGAAACACATCGGACAGGATTTGAGTAGGGCCCCAAATTCGTAATCTTTTATTAAAGAATTTTTATAAACATATTCTAAATTAAATGACAAATATATTTAAAATTACCTTTCTTGTAAACTTTTTAGTATCAACCGATGTGTATGAACCAGTTCTTCAAAATTGCCAAACAACCAGCGAAATTCACGTTCAGTGCAAACCATTTTTTTCATGCCTAAAAAATTAAACGACGATTGTTTGGCATCTTTCTTCAATGGAACTAAAAACAATTTCATCACAAGCTCAAGTGATTCCAAATAAGCTTGTTCTGAAGCCAAGAGACTCTCTATGAGATTTTCTCTGTCCCGATGAATGTACTCGTGGTCTGTGAGAAGGGGAATTAAAGTTAAATCTGCGCAAAAAAAAAAAAAAAAAAAAAAAAAAAAAACCTCTTAATTTTGCCTTACCTATTATACCCTCATCCACATCCTCATAGTCTAAGGTATCAATTAACCCAAAATCTTGGTCTTCTACGGAATCATTTAAAAAACCGATTGCGGATGAATTCGTGGATATTTGGTCATGCTCATCTATGGATGAAAATGTCGATGTAGCTGTCATACCACTGGTGGTATATCGGCTGGCATTTGAACTAGCGATACTGGTGGTTGAGGCAGTGCTACCGATTGACAAGCCTTGTATTTTACGATGAGGTCTTGGTGATATGGTGTCAGCAATACTAGGCTGACTAGTGTCAACTACACCATTTTGACCTGACATGGAATTTATTGTTATATTCGATTCCTTTTATAGAATAATTTAAGATAACAGAGGCCCTGTTATGATAAAAATCAAAACAAAAAAATAAAAAATATAAAAAGTAAAAGAGGGGACAATAAATAATGTGGTAAAAAAAAAAAAGAGGAGTCTATAGAAAAAGAATCTAATCATTTGCTGATTTTTAATATTTTTTTGTTACTGACACAAATCATGATTACACAGAATTCGAAATGAAAAGTTTACAGTCAGCAAACAAATCATTGTGATTTATTCCCCCGCACAGCAAATAAGACCTAGAATGTTATTTAGTCATATTTGATAAATCTTTAATTCATTTTGCTCTTTTTTAAAATAATGCCTTGTCTAAAAAGAAGCTAAAAATAAAGAGTATTTAAAGAGTAATTTAAAAAGAAGTAGCCAGGACAATGTTCTCTCTGGTAGGCATGGTCGAATTATGCAGACATTCGTAGGGTGGTCCAATGCGGCGCTGCAAATCAGTTCATATAACTTTTTTACATTTGAAGCAGCAGCTATCACATTAAATGAATGTGTTTATCTGATGGAACCAAATGTAATTGGGCATATCTACATTTACGACCTCATCGCATTTCTGCCTTATTTTTGTCACATCCTTGTAAGATACTAGCTTATACATTAGTAATCGTTTTGTCACTAATTGCAAAACTTTATATGGCAGATTGACAACGTGTAAAGCAAGCGAGAGACAAAGCTTAAACATCTGTAGCTGAGCCCTGAAAAAAATAAATTCTTTATACTACCGTTGCCAAAGAAATCCCAATCATTGGATGGAGGATACAAATCTGAAGAGTATGCTTAGAGATGCCTCTGATGTTATGATAAAAAAAATGCATTGTTCTTACATAAAAGTGCTTAGTTTCAGATACTGTCAAGTACAGACCAATTGTCAATAAAAATCAACTTCATTTTGCACTTTAGTTAACAAGCTGAATTTTAATACTGCATTACATACGATTTGTTACTCCTACACATTTTACACTGGAACATTCTTTTGCTTGTTGTGTGCCAGCTCAGATTATTGCCAAACCCAGTAATAAGCAGAAAAAGATGACAACTTTTTTTTTTTTTTGTGGACGCGGTTTTTTAAAAGAAGCATAAGTCACATTTTCTTAATCTGTTTCGATCGCTAATTTGTGCCCCAACTAGATCGAGCCACGCTTAGGCGAACTTTATGTACTTTTTTAAGCTCATCTAGAAAGGAAAACCCGTTTATTCAAATATAGCTTGTCAGAAAACAGGTTGTCCGATACTTTAAAATTACAGTACCAGGTTATTACAAGGTCAAGTGATCAGTATGTGTAAGCAATAGAACTTTATTTCCAGAGAGTATCAATTATTATCTCTCAAGTCTAAAAAAAAAAAGTAGTCTATCTTTTTGGGTAAAGTTACAAATGGAACTACTGCGTGGTGATCGCGTTTTCAACCTCCACTGTGTGCCGTTTTCATTCAAATTATTAAAAGTCAGGTGCTTAATACAAAATCTTATTTTTTTTTTTGGATCGGGTCTTCATTTTACAGTTTTTAGACTGCTATGATCCACAAAAAAAAAGGGGCCGTGTGAGCGACCAATAATACATAGATATATATATATGTGTTTATACAAAAAAAAAAAAAAAGAAAAAAAAAATAGGTTTAAATAATTTAAGGCTACAGTGCGACGGGTTGATCTTTTCGACAAGGGGGACATATCTGGGGGGGGGGGGAAGAGAATAAATCGTAAATATTATATTGACTTACCGAACTATCAGTATGTGTTTACAATATGGATGATTGGGGGTCTGTTGCAGGTCTTTGGGATCTACTTGGACGTAAGTTGTTGTTTTTTTTGCATGTAACTTGCAATAGAGTGAATATTTCGAGCCACGTTGGCATTTCTATTCCATAATTTGTTACACCTTTGGCAAGTCAACAAATTGTGGATCTTTCCGACATCAGAAATTCGAACATTCTCCAGTGTTTTCAGCAAGCAGGAAGGATTGGAACACATCTCAATTATAGTATTAATATCTAGTACAACAATCCGAATCGTTCATTAATTTACCTGTCAAGTAAGGTATTCATCGGTATACACCAGAATTAGCCTTTCATCGGCACTTGCTTCCTCCATCTTTTTCCTTAACCTATGAAGCATACCAGATTGCTTTCCTTTCATTGTCACGTTTAATACTGTACTTCCTAAGGCGATCAAAGGCACTTTCTTCTCGTACTTGAAGGGAGCTTTCTTCCATTTCTGATTTTGAGTCTCGGTTGAAGGGCCGCTCGTTGTTACAGATACAGTTGTGTAAGCTGTTGCTGACGCAGAGAGCGAGCTTTTTCCCACCTGCGCCCTTGCTTGTAATCGGCCTTATTTCTGCGCGGGTGGGCTTTATTGTTCGGATTGTATTTTTTACCGCCTGAACAAAATATGTTTACAAGTTCATTATCCATTCTTTGCTGACCACGGTAATTAGAGAAGCGAAGATCCGTAAATCGACCATCATAGATAGTAATAGCGTGGTTAGATGGGTGAAGTAACATTGTAAATGTTGTTCAAAGGTTGATAGCTTTGAAGTTCGATGGGTTGGAATATTCGTTTCAATTGTAGTAATCCCTTCTTCTTGCTTGAGCGAATTCATTGTTACCTGATTTTTTTTATAGCCATAATACTCCGCTATCGACATGGACCTTATTTCATGCGCTAATATGTCCGCCATAGTGTATATGATACTATCAAAAGGCAAATTCGAGATCATTTATGATTAGCAATCGATTTTTTTAGAAGTTAAGCATTTTATATTGTAATAACATAATACAAAGGATGACGATTTACATAAGTGATAATTTATAAATTAATAGAAAAGTGCTGATTAACATAAAAAAAGGGCATAAGAACTTAAGTTAAAAATTAAGAAATGAGCATAAGGGGTATATACAGCATAAATATTAAAGGACAGTCCATAAACAAAACAATTACATATACAAACATATCAAAGGAATGAATAGCGCCTATAGAGAAAAATATTTAAATGAATGGTAACGACAGTAATGGATCAAAAAGCTTATTTTGAACGATTGACTGGTTTGTTACGACATCGGAACACCAGAAGAGTTTCATCGTCTTTAAGAAGTTGTTTCCTTGGAAACACTTCTACATGATGCCCTTTGTCGATAACAATTTCTTTGATGCACTTGTGATCACTACAATAAAGTATTAACGATAATTAATAAACTAAGTATATTCATTTATTTTACCTCACAAATGATCGTAAATCCCCCAAGTTGGTTGATAGACCTGCATAATCAATTGATACCAAGCGTACCAATCTCGTCTCCGAAGAGAGATAAAGCAACAAATCTAACACAAAGTTAATTAATATTTCATGAGGAAAAAAAATATATAGTTATAATTTTGTTACCTTCAGTTGTGCCATCACATTTGAGTGATGGCATGAACTTCAGAGTTCGTTTGTCTTTATCTCTATTTATGAATTTATTGTCAGCGTTCGAAATTGGCGAGACGAAAACTTTTTGACAAAGCAGCTTGGTCTTCAACTTGTTAATCATCGCAGTAAGTAGTCTCTGCCGAACGTGATCGCTCTCTTTGGTGTTGGATTTTCTTGCGTAGCCTACATTGATCCACTTTTCGGCATCTACATGTGATGATTCTCTATACAGGTTTATATTTGCCACATCATCAATGTAAGATTCTAAAATAAAAATATTTTTAGACGACAAATGAGAATTAAAATACTTTTAGGCATCTCAATTTTAATCATATAATTTAAAAAAAATTCACAAAATGGAGAATTCTTGTCAAACTTTGGCACCATATATGATTGACTTTTGAAGAGACTTAGTAACGTATAATACATACTGCGGTATTGGCTTTGGATTAGGTATAAATACCTTCCTCGGCCGCGGGCACCAGCTATTGCAGGACTCAGTTCCCTATAGTCCCAGCCTTTGCCACCACTATACACAAGGCTCAAAGTGCTACAATTGACTGTGTGGGCATTTATGTTGCGATGTCGCGTGTACGAAAGATGGAGGATCTTTACTTTTTTGGCTCTGAGATGCCCTTGAAAATTAAAAGAAAGTTGGTGCTAATGTCGATGCAGTTGAAATAATTAGACGTAAAAGACGGAAATGTCTAGACCTCCGTATTTTTTTCAAACGTATTTTTTTTGTACCACTTACAGGAATTCTGGCCAGAAGACCAGCAGACCAGTATGATTGCACCTATTTACAGTCCAATCCCAGCTATTCACGGTTCGTGAGTTCCAAAAACTCAAGAACTCTGCCTAGGAGGTCGCCCTCCTATTGCAAAGACTAGCCGCAGCCGCAATATCACAATTGTATATCTTTTTCGATTTAGCTTCTTTTCAAAGAAACAAGAGTCACTACTAAACTAACCTTTTTATGTGATCGGTTACTTTCATACGATAAAAGAAGTATGTTAAGGAAAAAGAAAAGGAGAAGAACAAAGTGTGTGAACCAGCTTTATTTATTGATAAACAAGCTTATGTCAGGATGATTTCATTTGTCTATTTTATCATCCATAATGTTTGAGCCTTTACTTAAAATAGAAACAGTTGCAAAAACCTCCCAAGCAAGTCAGAGCTTGGTAATTGTCTATCTGCATTCCAGTAATAGCTTGTAATGACAGTAAAGCAGATTTTATGGAAAACAGAAAACGATCATCCAATGAAGTTTAGATGATATGGCATGTCAATCGACGTGTAGACCATCACGTTTGAAAAAATACGTTTGAAAAAATACGTTTGAAAAAAATACGGAGTTCTAGACATTTCCGTAAAAGACACAATTAAGCGTTTTGTTAAATAAAATACATTTTATAAAAATAAAATTCCTAGTGCTAAAAGAAGAAGGATTGTCTATTGAAATAAAACATATCGTTCACTGGAAAAAAACAAGAGCATCCCCGACGTATGATGTTGTGCAAAAGCTTTAAAATGGTAGAGTGATGCTGAATCAAGTCACAGGCTGAGTGGCAGCAGGGCTATATAATCGGAACGATCTTATTTTTTACATGTAGATCTAATCTCAGGTTTATTTATGTATGACTGTTTTATATATTTAGGCGTTCTTCAGACTGACCCTCTCGTTAGACCAAGTCCTTTTTTGCATTTAACACTTACATCCCTTCTCTGACCAATCAATCGAACTCATTCGCAAACTTTTATCTTGGCTGCTGAACCTTAGAATGATGCCATTTTTAATATTTTTCTAGTACATATTCTTCAGACTTTGTAACTATGTAAATATTACGTCAGTAACGCCAAAAAGGGGGATCATTAAACACTTAAAACTCAGCCTAATACTACATTTACCTATGGTCTTAATAAATCAAACTATTTGAACACCTTCTTGACTATAACCTACTCTCCAACTAACAAGGAAAGTATTATCAAACGTAGAAATTGGGGTGTAATAGGACTCATATTTTAATTTTTCTGAACTTGTTTAATTTATATTTGATTTCCTGAAACTGGACTATGGGGATGGTGTGGTTTGAATGGTAGAGAGACTTCTGCGCTTTGATGCCAGAGTTAAACATATGGTTCATTACCGAAATCAAAAAATAAATCCCTATACAATTCAATCTTGCGATTTTGGCTATTACTTTTAAATTATTTTTCAGCCATGAAAAACAGAACGAAGAAGATGCATGCAAGAACCTAATTGAGTCTTGAAGTATATGGTTTAATGAGGAAACTTGTACATAATGGGGTTATTTATACATAAAAAGAGGGTATAGAAAGTGGAAAGCTATAATTTCCTGCCAGGTATTGCGCAGAAAATGATCGTCAATATGACAGCAATGAGAGTACTTGTGGTTAATAGCCAAATCGATCTTGATCTTAAAATACGCTTCACTTGAGGCTGCTTAATTGAATTGAATTTAAATGTGGTGGTTTCACTAATAAAGAGGATGATTTAGAATACACGTGCGCCGAGATTAAATTTTATATTTTACCTCTTGTTGAAAACAAGTGCCCAAATTGGATCTAAGCCTGTTAAAAAGATGAATATGTTTAGAATACCTAGCCAAAATGGAAGCAGAATCTATCAAAAACTGCATTAGAAATTAAGCGAAACAATGATAAAATATCAGGTCATACCCAAAATCGAACACCCCATTGTTTATAGCCCAAAAAGATAAAACAAAGAGAAGTAGTGAGAGCTGCCAATAAACATAATAAGCCGATTACCAATCTTCCCAGCTGTTGGTGCAAGGTGATATTTCCCCAAACTTTTAAGCGCAAGAATTTAGGATAAGCCTGTGTTTGCATATAGTCAAAGACATAGTCTTTAGCATCAGAAAATAGTAGGGGATCATCACGAGGGTCAGGTTTTTCCAACTCTTTTCTCAAAGCCGACTTCAATTCGTCTGGCAGTTGTGTTAGTTCCTTAGTTGCTGAAGGGACTAAGTATCTCAATAGTAATCTCTGTGCTGAATCAATCAAATCTTTGCGGTTAGGCACTGCTTTTTCACTTGTCATATTAGAAGAGAGGTCGCCCATAGAAGGTCTGGTCAAGGAGATTGGCATATTGATGGGCGAGGGTGTTCTGGGTTGCTGAGGAAAGATACTGTTTGTATTTGATAGTCTGCTTAGAATACGAGGTGAATGAAAACCATCACTTAAATCACTTTCAGACAAGTGACCATTGCGGTGCATTGCCTTGACGTAACGTTTCCATAATTGTTCGTGATGTTGTAAATCAAGGTAGAAATCCAGCACTTCTTCCATTTTAAGTCTGTCTCTCATGATGATGTAAAAGTTGTATAAACATACTGGTGGTAGAGTTTTTCTTGTCAATACTTGATCTAAGGTAGGTAAATCTCCATGTGGATCTTGCTCCATGTTTATTATTTGAAAGAAAAAAGGAGTTGAGCAATCCAAGTTTTGGGCTTCCCCCCTCAACGCCCCCCTTTTTTTTTTCTCTTAGTTTTATGGCTCCGCCACCCATTTTGAGAGTTGTTTTGCTGTGCCTCCTTTTCCTCCCTTAAATGATTACTGTAAACAACACTTCAAACAAACTAGGAAATATTCGATTTGTCTGTATATCTGATACACATGGTAAAATTGGGTTTGACGTTCCTGACGGTGATGTACTCAGTAAGTAGTTCGATGTCTTGTATGTCATAATCATTAAGGATTTTGATAGTCCATGCTGGTGATATAACTAGAAGAAGCACAATGAAAGAATTTGAAGAATCCTTTCGCTGGTTATCAACACTACCCCACAAGTAAAGTCAAACAACTCGTTCACTGTACTGTCATTTAACCCATCATAGACTCAAGATTATAACAGCAGGAAACCATGACCACTTTCTCGATCCCATCTTTGGCATGGTAGAACAAAGACAAACAGTTTTGACCATGATGGAGCATTACGGGCTTACATATTTGGAACATGAAGCTTTTCAATTACCACCGGAATTCGGGTCGTTTACAATGTTCGTTTCGCCTTATTCGCCTATTCATTTGGGAGGAGCATTCATGTTGACCGATATGTCTGAAATATGGAATGATCTCCCACATGTTGATATTCTAGTTACCCATACACCGCCTTTTGGATTCAACGATGAAGTTATTCGTGGAAAGCGTCATGTCGGATGTAACTATTTAAAACAACAGATAGATACAGTCATCAAACCAAAGGTCTCTATTTGTGGACATATCCATGAGGCATATGGCTATACATTTGATGAAAATGGCGTATTATTCATCAATGCTTGTCTATCTGACCATAAATATAGAGCAGTAAATAAGCCAATCACATTTGACCTGTAAAAAATAAAATAATTGAAAAACTCCAAATTATTTTAACGTTTTGCTTTTTCCTGAAGAAAATGTACCCGAAAAAGAGAGAATGGACACGGTTCATCATTTATTTTGTTGTTGCCATGGTTATCTACCAACTAGCAAAACTAGTCTATAACAGTTTTACAAGGACAATCCCACAAGAAATATATCACGAAGAGCGAAAGTCTTACAAAACTCAAAATATACTCGAGTTCGTGCCTGACAATCAAACCTATCTTGATTTTCCATGGTATCAGAAAAAGCATACAAGACCTCAGTTTAAACCAAATGGAAATTTGACTACCACTGAATTGTCCATCAAGGAAAGAGAAATCATGCTGCAAAAGGCTATTTTGCAGGCAAAGAAGAGAGCCCAAAAAAAGTTCTTACCAGCAGACTACACCGGCATTAGAGGCACTCGTTTCAACACACAAGAAGAAACAAAAGCTTTAAGAGACAAAGTCAATTGTTGGACAAAGGGTCAATGGGTTAAAGATGATGATCATTTTCATTTGACCCATCTTCAAGATCCCATTTATAGTTCCTGTGACTCAAAGTTTTATAAAACACACGATAAAACAGAGAAGAGAGAAGCTTTAAAATACCGTTGGCAGCCCTCATCCGATTGTCCCCTTGAGCAGTCGATTGATGCAAAGAACTGGTGTGCTGCTTTGAAGGGTAGAAACATCTTGTTAGTAGGCGATTTAGTTCATTATCAATATCATGAATTATTATTAGATGCTTTCAGAGATGGCCCTACAGTATGTTTTGGTGAATTAAATTGCAAAGGTAAATGTATAATTAAACCACATTTAACCACTGTATCTGCTAATTCTATATATATACAAAAGATCACACTATCTGCAAGAAAAAAGATACACGTCTTCGTTATATTCGTAATGATGTGTTATCCACCATTCGTAAATTTCAAAATAGAGATCAAGGCCACCCACTTGCAAATATTGTAGAATGGCCTTTTGTGACATCCAACATTCTTTCATCTTACCCTATTTTAATCCTCAGTCGTACTGCTCTGATAGGTGACGATGATGTATTATTCACGCGAAGATTGATTCATACCATGAAGGTCATTCGAGAAACATCTCCCGACGCACTTGTCATTTATAAATCATCATTTATCGGTCATCCCTTTTGCAACGATGCCACACAGCCTATTGATCCTTTAACAGATGAACAATTGAAGCGATTACCTTATGGTTGGAGTGAAACGAAACGTAGAAATGCCATTGCAAAAGCAGTGATTGAATCCGCCGGTGGACTTTATATTGATTTGGCAGCCATGATTGATACAAGACCTGATGGACATGTAGGCGATTCAGATTGTTCTCGTTATTGTATACCGGGCCCTTTAGATGCAACTGCCCAAGTATTATATCAAGCCTTTTTAGCATTAGATTAGACAGATTTACCCTGCAGTGTATCTTATTTATAATAAAACATGCACAGCTTATAAAAATAAGGGCAAATGATGTCAAAAAAAAAATAAGGGGGGGGGGGAGGCTTTATTTGTTTGCTTGTTACTACTTTTGATGATAGTTTTGTGACTCAAGATATTCTGACCAACTAATAAGGCCACTGCAATATCAAAGAAAGAGAGTTAGCTCTGTTCCATAAGAAGCCCGATAAAAACTTACTCTCCATCCTTGTCATCTTCTTCCAACACATGGTCAATCATGTCCGTGACCTCGTCCAATGACAAGTACTTTGTAGCGTCTTCGTGTTCATCACCGAAATCAGTGAAAGCGGTTCTTAATTCATGACCGTCCAAAAAACCATCACCATTGACATCGTGAATCAAGAAAAGATAATAAATCATATCTTCGTCACTCAAATCGGGTGGTATCTCACTTGATTTTCCTGACAATGAATTCAAATGCTCCTTGATATGTCTGGATATAGTGATGAGTTACAAATTCTATCCATGTTTTTATGGCAATTTACGCTTTATTATCCTTGGTGTCGCCATAATTCGAATGGTCCTTGTTTTTAAATTCGATTGCATTGACTACAACCAATAAAATACACAGCAATAGCACAGTTATCTCTTTTTGCATTTTAGAAATAAAAAAGGCGAGAAAAAAAAAAATACAAAAAAAAAGCAGAATTTATTATTTGGCCAATTAAACGTGCCCTTTCCAAAATGCACGGTGTGGTCTTCCATTGGGTAGTTTTTTAAATGGGTAATCTACACTGATGTTTCAAATACAGTAATGAAGTGAAAAGCTTATTGTGAACGACTGACTTGTCACGACAGTGGAACAAAAGAACCTCATCGTCTTTAAGAAGTTGTTTCCTTGGAAACACTTCTACACGATGCCCTTTGTCGATAACTATTTCTTTGATGCACTTGTAATCACTACAATAAAGTATTAACGATAATTAATAAACTAAGTATATTCATTTATTTTACCTTACAAATGATCGTAAATCCCCCAAGTTGGTTGAAAGACCTGCATAGTCAATTGATACCAAGCGTACCAATCTCGTCTCCGAAGAGAGATAAAGCAACAAATCTAGCACAAAGTTAATTAATATTTCATGAGGAAAAAAAATATATAGTTATAATTTTGTTACCTTCAGTTGTGCCATCACATTTGAGTGATGGCATGAACTTCAGAGTTCGTTTGTCTTTATCTCTATTTTTGAATTTATCGTCGGCGTTCGAAATGGGCGAGACGAAAACTTTTTAGGCGAAGCAGCTTGGTCTTCAACTTGTTAATTATTGCAGTAAGTAGTCTCTGCCGAACGTGATCGCTCTCTTTCGTATTGGATTTTCTTGCGTAGCCTACATTTATCCATTTTTCGGCATCTACATGCGATTATTCTCTATACAGGTTGATATTTGCCACATCATCAATGTAAGATCCTAAAATAAAAATATTTTTAGAAGACAAATGAGAAATAAAATACTTGTAGGCAACTTATAATACATACTGCGGTATTGGCTTTGGATTAGGTATAAATACCTTCCTCAGCGGGTACCAACTGCTTGTTTTCTTTGTAGCTGTCCCCAAGTTCCATCATACGACATCCATCTTGCTAAAAGGTCTAGAGTGCATGTGGTGACCTAGCAAGGCTATAGCCATATTAGAGCTAACAAAGGTTTATCCATGCTGATACCATTTGTGATATAAGCTTAACAATAAATGTCATAGTAAGAACTATAAGGATATTACATCACAAGACTAAATTAGTGACTATGTAATAATCGTATACATTTTTGGTTAATCAATGATAACTTCAAGATAGCACTAGAGATATGAACACAGCAGACAGTCTTTTATATAAATATTCGTATATTTCATTTATTAATATAGGACAATCTTATAAACAGTCTCAAACTACTCCTATAGTCTTTTTATAATTTTACTTTACCTTAAAACACAACAGTGCATACATCATCATTACCAGTGTAGATCATCAAGTCGGCCGATACTATTTTTTGTATATCAGGAGAGAAAAAAGGGAAATGTGTGTTAAAAGGGAAAGAAAAAAGGAGGAAAAAGTGAGTGAACAGGTCTTATTTATAAGATTAAATAATCAAAAAAGTGTGCGAACAAGATGATAAATAAGAGCTCATGTCAGAATGATTTAATTGTTTATTTAATCATCCATAATGTTTGGGCCTTTACTTAGAATAGAAACATTTTCAAATAAAAGTGATTCTAGACTTGTTAATAATCTATGAAAAATAGAAATCGGCCATCCTATGAAGTTTAGAAAAAATTAAGCTGATCGATCTTTTTTTTTTCATAAAATATGATTTACTATCGTTGTATGCTACTACTGAAAGACTGATAGATTATTAAAAAGTCTAGAATCACTTTTATTTGCAAATGTTTCTATTCTAAGTAAAGGCCCAAACATTATGGATGATTAAATAAACAATTAAATCATCCTGACATAAGCATACAAATAAATCACGGGCGTGGAATAAGTTTATTTTGATCAAATCATCTTTAATGTTCCAAAATTTTAGTCATTTCTCAAGAACTTCAGACGACTCAAAACAACTTTGAGCCCCATTTATTGTTCAGTAAATGTTCAAGAACAAAAAACGGAGATTACCTTATGTACTTTTTTTATTAATTACCATTTATTGTAGTAGTAAAGCCCGATTGTCACTTTCTTTTCTCGACTTCCTGCGATATCCAATGACTTCGTAACCATCACCTTTGAGTTGTTTAATGTATGCATGGTGTCTGGGGATTGTACTGACAATGCTGTTTGCAACCTCATCTATAAAACTGGAGTTAGCACGTTATCTTGTCCTATAATACCGTTTTCAAGCTTACCATGAAATTGACTGTCTAACACGCTCAAAACCCTGATTCTTAATTTTTCTGTTTCAGATCCTGGAAGCTTTAATACTTTTCGCTCAGGCTCCTCAATTAAGAAGTCAATGTTTTGTTTTTTCAACCATTGGTTGAACCCCAAAGCCGTAGTCTCGTTAAAACGCTCTGTGTAGTTCCAAAGTACGCCCAAAACAGTTTTATCAGAAACGTTTGTTAGCTTGAAAGGAGAGTCTGTAATGCGTTCCGACTTTGGACGATAGACATAGTTTATAAACTCCACAATTTGTGCTCTATTTTATTGTTAATAAGAATTTCGGCTATCAAGTCACTCTCTGACTCACCATAGCTGATGTTCTTATCCATATCGACTTCTTCACATTTTTCTTCTAAATCTTCTTTTGACTTGTATTATATAAATTTGGAGCTCCAAACACACGAGCGTTACAAACAAGAATTGGATCATTTGGATTTTCAAGATAGCAAATCTGAATGTCCTCCATGTTCTTTACTCTATCAGTATACATTTTATCATTCAGAACATTATACTCCGCGCAATAGAAAATACAACAAGCTCGTTCGAAGCAGATGGGGTTCATTTAGTCAATAAAAATGAAAAAAATAAGCATGGATTTGGACCGGTTGAAAAAAAAACATCGGTGATTAAAAAGTGATTTATATTTTTTCATTGAACAGCAATTAAAAAATATTTTCTTTTTTCTTTATCAGAAAACATAAAGTGTTGAATAATGGACGATGCTAGTAATGACAAGGTATTGGAGGAGTTCAGAAATGCTTGGAAACAAGAGGTGCAGAAGAAGCACATTGCGGAAAAACCGCAAGATAAAGGGGAAGGCAGTAGTAACAGCACAGTAGAACACACAGTGGATGATATTGTTGAAAAGACAGAATCACTGACTACCAACGATACACCTGTTACTGCCATGGATCATTATGTGATTGCTGTGGATAACGAAAGACAAGGAAAATTGGGCAAAGGTTAGGCAAAAAAGAAATGTCATGTCTGAATATGTAATTATTAATACGGCCCCCACGCCACGACGACGCAGCACTTGATAGTTATCGTCGGGCATTCAAGTTAGACCCAGATATCGATTATGCTTACAAGAAGCATTATCAAGACACTATTTTGCCCAGTATTCAAAAAGACAAGGATAAGCCCACCAAAGATGAAGGGTTTAAGCATATTGTTCCTTTAGGGAAAGAGTACACAGCTCCTTCAGCTACACGATTAGACCCACTGGCAGAACTTATTTCGAGCTTTGCCAACGATCCCGAATTATCGTATATACCCCAACTAGACTATAAGCCAGTGTCTGTAGCAAAACTTCCAAACGAAGTCATGCTTCATATTGTACGTCACCTGATTTTAAACTCGATCTCGACTTTACCGTATTTTGCATTGACCTGCAAAAAGTTCTTCTTGTACAGCCGAGATCCTTCCGTGTGGCAATATGCTTGTTTTCGCGTGTTTAAAACTCCCGGTATGACATTGGAACAATCGCGACAGTATCAATGCAACCAAGTGTTACAATATGATGGACACTGGATGCGCATGTTTATTGATAGACCGCGTATTCGATACGATGGAGTATATATCTCGACGTGTCATTATATTCGACCGGGTGCGTCGGATACAGCCTGGAACAAGCCGATCCATTTTGTCACGTATTATCGATACATTCGGTTCTTTCCTGATGGAACGGTTTTAAAGCATTTGACCACGGATGAACCTATCCATGTGGTAAAGTGGCTTGTGCCTGGATTTCATAAAAAACAGTGTTTCCATGGCAAATTCCTATTGGAAAATAATGATCATATAATGATAGTGATGAAGGACCCTTCATTAAAGGGGGAGACCTTTAATTTGTCACTCAAGATCAAGACAACACATCGTGGAAGACATAATAAGCTGGTGTGGGATGAATACACTAGTACAAGCTCAATTCCAGGCAGAATGGATCATCAATATGATTTAAAACTATTTAAATCCTTCTTTTTCAGTCCAGTGAAAAGTTATAGAGTAGAATACAATGAATAAACCCGCCCCTTTTTTTCAGGAGAATATATCCTTATTTGTCGCCTCTTTCTCTTTATCTATTCAGCTGCCCCTAATACTTAGATAGGATTATAAGTAGATTACTTATTTTCCCTTTTTCTTTTCTTTTTTTTTAATTAAAAAAATAATAATAATTATGCTGAAAAGGATCTCTACTAAAATATCAGAAAATGAAAAGATCCAAAGGGTCATGTCCAGTAGGATATACAAACGCATGTTTATTAGTTTCTTAATACTAGCAGGCCTACTTACAGTCATCGGTAAGATACAACTTATATAGGAAGAAGGCTAAAAATAACATTCTATTAGTGCCTACTTGGCAAGTATATACAGAAGAAGGAAGGTATTTAACAAAGATGAACACAAAAAGGGGAGATCTGTTATACTAAAAAAAAGTATTTTAAATAGATCTTCTACATTGATCAGTTACAGAGATCCTAACATTCGTGGAGAATCACTCTATATCGCAGCTTCTGTCTTGAGTGTCGATTTCTCTCAAAAGACATACACCATTAATTTCGTCATGCAGGCTAACGGGACACTCGCCAATGAGATTGGACAATTAAAGTAAAATAATTTTTTGGGAGAGGGGTGGTGACAATGATAAGAAAGGGCTAATAAGTGATTTATTAATTATTAGTCAACGTATAACACTTCGATTTTCTGCTATTAAAAGCTATGATTTAGAGACAGGCGATGTATTGAATCCAATCCAAGTCACATTTAAATATGATGAAGGAAGTGAGATTGATTATCCATTGGATTTCTATTCTGGCGTCTTTGACTTATTTGCATATTACATGAATGACACCAGCCAATCCATTCCTATTACATTTCATTTGGATGCCAGTATTACATCTTTTCATTTTATGCCTACACTAGAACACCATCAACAATACCAAAATGGCACGGTGCTCAGTGATCGTATCAGTCTCAAAATACTTACGGGAAGATCCACTACCACACAGGGATTTTCAATCTTTATCTGTATTCTCATGTGGTTACTATCCCTGTTGATGGGCTTGTTTGGATTTCAAGTGGTTTTTCGAAAGCGTAGAGCGGATGCACATGCTTGCATGATTGGCATTACTACTTTGTTTGCTCTACCTGCCGTAAGATCTGCACAGCCTGGCATACCCGATGTTGGTTGCGTGTCTGACATCTTGGGCTATTACTGGTAATAACCATTTTATCTATTTTTCTCTTTTATATTTACTCATGACAATGATAGGAATATGGCTATTATTGCTTGCTCAAGTATTGCTGTTATCATGTGCTGGGTGATACGATGGGAAAAACCAGAACCTATGCTTCAGAGATCAGTTCATCCGTTACCCAATAATGGATCGTGCACAAGCGTATTGACATGTGTCGAACCCAGTTTACACAGCGTGTAAACGGAGCTTAAACATTGACACGTTCTCTCTCTCTCTCTCTTATTTATTTAATCTCAAAGTTTTCTTTTTCTCTCTCTCTCTTTTCATAACTATTATTAATATTTTTTTTAAAAAAAAAATGTCACAAGCATTACTAAGAGATGCTTTTTCTGAACATGTGAATGCAACAGTACGATTAACCAAGGTAGCCCTTGAATTGGAATGGACGATTTTTACACGATTTACAGTGGGTGTATTGACAGCCACCATCTTGTCTACGTTTTATCTGGTTTTGACCTTGAGAAATTCGAAGCGACCACTTGTTGTCTGGGAAAAGTTAAATAAACCCTTGATTAAACTATTCAGACCAAAGATCTTTTCACTCTTGTTGGGCAACGTGAACCCTTATTCCGCATCCATTGGTAAATTTAGTGTGAGCGTCTATGTATGATGTGTATTGATCGTTTTTTTTGATAGACATGAGAATATCCACGTTTTCACGTGGCTTTTGTACAGGTTTTATGCGCGTAAATGTTGAAATTTATCATCTATTGAATAATAAAAACTCATCCGTTTTTAAATTTTTTTTGTAGGACCGTCATAGAAATCGAAACCCGTTTAAAAGGTAGACTTGGGTAAAATAAAGAGAGAGAGAGGTAACAAGTACTGATCTATTTGAAAAATAGTATCCATGCTACTGCACTTGCAACATTTGCAGAATCTGTGGGTGAATTATGTTTACTTAGCAACTTACAGCCCAAGGACGAGATTTCGCTCATGTCATTAGAATTAGAGGTATAAAGAGTGATTTGGATTTACACAAGAAAACCAAATATAAACTCCTATTTTTATTTATAGTTTGTGAAGAAGGCAAGAGGATTACTGACAGCTTCAACGGATTTTACGTTTGAAGAAGGAGAGGAGCCAACGCAGGAGGTGAAACTTCAAGTGGTAGTAAAAGATCGTACGTTGGACACAGTGGCTATTGCACATCTTGTTTGGTCTGTGGAACAAAAGTCCAATTGAGTTTTTGGGGCGCCTGTTTAAATAAAACAAGTCCAAACCCAAAACATGCATATTTTTTTTTTATTTTTTTTTTGGTCCCTGTTCTTTTTTTCTTTCTTTCTCTTTTTTTTTTTCACCAAAGGAAGCGAAAAAATTATGCCTGAAAATAATTTATTTCATTTTGCTCAAGTGATTGCAGAGTTACCGATACAGAATAAAAGATGTTTACATATAAGAAAAGTGAGTTTTAGTAAATGTGTGAGAGAGGGGATTTAACGATAAAAAATGTCAAACAAACAAAAAAATAATACTCTAGAATGCATGTGTTGTCTGTAGTGTGTGCTTTACATGTTCCAAAGTAAGTAGTATCATCAAAATTAGATAAACAATTAGCTTACACATTTACAGTATTACGGTGTGGACTGTACGTGTCAAGAAATGCAGCCAAGACGAGGCAAAAATTTACCTTTTGGTGGTTTGGATTCACGAGCCAAAAAACTTCATAGGGAGGATGGAGATGACTTTGAATTTTCAATTAAATGGATCAATGAGAATGCGCACAACATGTATAAGGACCAACACAATACAGTGGTTGGGGTCCGAGACCTATGCGAGGTCTCGCTCTGTAAAGCTCATTCCAGCACCTTGTATCGAGCCAAAAAGAGACACGAACGATTAAATGGACCTGAGTCAATTTATCATTCAGGCAATATTTCGGGTGGTTTAGCTGCCAAAGTAAGAGAAATCGCATTCAATAACACTGAACCCAAAAGAGAAGATATCATGCCTGATTTCTCTTCTCTCTCTCATTCAACCTCATCCAAACGAAAGAGGATGATAAAAACATCCCCTAAATTGGAAACAAGACCCAGCGTATCAACACCTCTTTATGGATCCCGCAACAACAATGGCTTTGTACAACACAACTTTCCTTCACAACTACCTCCACTTCATCAACAGTATACAAAGCCTCAAAATATTGTCATAGAAACCGTCTCTTTAAAGGCTTCAGATAGACACATGTATTATTATTTTCGGAATCTAGCAATCACCGATTCATTCACCTTTAGAGATCTCCTAGCAGAAATAGACATGACCGGCTCTCCACCACAAGGAAAGAGGATCGTCATCTCGGACGCTGATAAATTTTACCCACTGGATCAAGCCATTCGTAGTGTTATTCGAAGACCTCTCTCTACACATCTCGAACTATCGCTTGGCTTGACTGATAAACCTTCCATCAACTGGAGCACCTATTGATTGGCTTATATAAATAAAACATTTTTTTTTTTCTTTTTCTTTTTTTCTTTAATCTCTTTCATCATGTCCTCTCCTCCTTCATTTGCACTTGTCGATCCCGATAGTATGTAGTAACATTTACGAATTAAACAATGCAGCTGACATGACCTAGATCAAGAACATCAAGTTCCCGAATTTCCTTCTCGTGATGGACCTCAGCGACTTGTAGCTGCAGCAACAAAGCAACCTCGTAATCGAGAAAAGATTCGGCTCGAACCCGGTCATTCACCCTTAGATTGGGCTAAACTCGTTTCTTCTGGCAAGGATCTTCGAGCAAGTTGTGTGTGTGTGTGCTTTACTCTTTAGGATACTAATATGTTTTTATTAGGGAGTGAGTCAGTTGGGAAGATATACGCTAGAAGAGATTCGTCAGCATAGAACACAGGAGGATGCATGGACTGCAATTGCAGGTAAAGTGTATAATATGACACCGTACCTTAAATTTCATCCTGGTGGTGTCAAAGATTTAATGCGTGTGGCTGGCAGAGACGGAACAAAGTTATTTAGTAAGCACAAAAGTTAGTTTGATAGAAATCCCATTTAACTTGTTTTTGTTAGTGATGACGCATTCATGGGTGAATATAGATTACCTTATGGAAAAGTGTATGGTTGGTTTCTTGGTTCCCTCAAATTAGAATAAAGCCTTTTATTGCGTAATAGTGTCACAATGTATGTATATAAATGACCTACTGTTTTCTTTTGCTTTTTTTTATTTCCTTTCTTTCTCTAAATAAAAAAACAATGCCCGACGATAAAAAGGTTAAGCCTACTTTCTGGAATCCACGTGTGGATCCTGATACCATCAAATTTCCCAAAAGCGAATCGTTTGATAGACCAAGGTATGAATATACAATAAACCACTTGCATTTCTCTACTGACTGAAGCAATAACAGAGTCATTGATTTCTCGGATGTTGCCTGGAACAGAAAGAATGAATTCTGGACACAAAAAGAGCCCATGACCGAAATCGACTATCGTAAAAAGAAATAAACACGTTATTCCATATAGTTTGGATTTTTTATAAATATGAGATAGTAAATAAAATAAAAAGAGAGGAGGAAAGGGGAAGGAAGAGGGGATGCAGTTGAGTATGTGTATAAAACAAGAATAAAACTTATTCAGGAGCATGAGAAAAGAGGTAAGAAACAGATTCACCGTTATGAGTTCTACGAATGGCTTCAGCAAGAGTAGGTGAAATGTCAATGACGTCAAGTTTAGGACAAATGGCCATCTTGTCTTGGTGAGGAATGGTGTTGGTCACCACAAGCTTTTCAATGACAGATTCGTTAATGACCTTGATGGCCTTGCCAGAAAGAATACCATGAGCAACAATCGCGTACACTTTAACGGCACCGTTCTCAACAAGGGTCTTGGCCGCTAAGCCAAGTGTACCACACGTATCTGCCATATCATCGACCAAAATTGCAATCTTACCACTCACATCACCTACCAAAACCATACGAGATACCTCATTGGCTCTCTTACGTTCCTTGTGGATCAAGGCAAAATCAAGTTCAAGACGATCTGCAATAGAAGTAGCACTAACCATCCATAAATCGTTTTAGCTCAAAATATTATCCTTCTTTTTCTTTTCCCCAACTTACCGCTTGGCTCCTCCCGCATCAGGGGATACAATAATGGCATTGGTCCAGTCGGGGATCTTTGTGCGAATGTACTTGATCATGGAGGGTTCACAATACAAGTTATCGACGGGGATATTGAAAAAGCCTTGGATTTGAGAGGCATGAAGATCCATGGTAATGACATGGTTAGCACCTGCCACTGTCAACATGTTGGCAGTTAATTTAGCAGTAATAGGAGCACGGCTCTTATCCTTCTTGTCTTGACGAGCATAAGGGAAACAAGGAATGACTGCTGTAATACGACGAGCAGAGGCTGTCTTACAGGCATTAATCAAGATCAAGAGTTCCATCAAATTATCATTGATTTCTCCACAACCTGACTGGATAATAAAAACATCTTCATCACGCACTGACTCTCCCACTGTCACTGAGGTTTCTTGGTTCGAGTATTTCATCACAACAGCCTTGGCCAAATCAATACCGATACGGCTGGCCACAAGCTTAGCAAGCTCAGGGTGGGAGTTACCTGTAAAAATCTTGATGGCGTTATCTGACATATTTCGGTTGTGAGAAAAAGAAAAAAGGGGTATGAAAAAAAAAAAAAATAAGAGCTGTAAAAAGAAAACAAAAAAAAATCTTTAAACAAGTCCCATAATTCAATCCCAGGGGTGACTTTGAAAATTAAACATGCCTGCCTCTTGGGAATATCACACACACACACACACACACACACACACACACACACATACACACACACACAAACGATCGTAACACTAAAGTACTCTATCGAAAAATATACCTAACAACCATATCTTATCTTACTTTAAACAACCACTATCTCTCTTTTTTTTGTAATCCTCTATATTTTTCTATAGTGTGGCGAAACTTTAATTATCTTACTTTAATGGCCGACTTTTTTCTCTTTTATAATTCATGCGATTCAACGCACATTTATTTTTATTTATTTAAATTGGCAGGATTATATATAAGCGAGTGTTAGTGGTTCTTCTATAATTCTTTGATTATATAAATGCCGACGATAATATCCCGCATCTTCACCCATGAGTTTTGCTGATAACTGTAGAGTATGACTATGACTGATGTATTTGAATTCTATCATTACACGTTGGATCATAAGCCTTTTATCCAACTCAATATCAAATTAGAATTAAGTTTGGGTCAACCCCTCTCTTTGCAGCTTTCTTTAAACGGTTTGAATTTGCTTGGGAAGTCGATGGCAAAGAAGACGAAGGAAGCGATAAGGAGGGAGGAAACGGAGAAGGGGAAGGGGAAGGGGAAGGGGAAGGGGAAGGGGAAGGGGAAGGCGAACGAGAAGGAAGATGTGGGGACGTACCAGGAACAGAAAATTCTTCTGCTTGAGTTGACATAAATCCGTTTTGTGATCTACGCAAGTCGTCGAGGGTCACCGGTTCGAAAAAGATATTTTCGATAGCGGGTTGTTGACGAACAGCAAAATTATTTGTTTGTTCCAAGGAAACGGAATCAACAGATTGTTGACGGGCAGTAGGAACAACAGATTGTTCACGGGTAGCAGAAACAACAGGTTGCTCACTGGAAGCAGAAAAACTAGAATCCATACGAAGCGAAGTCATACCATCCGTCATAGACATGGTATTTGCTACGGGTTTTGTTTGCTGATAATAGATTACGATTAGCTACAAAATATCCACTTTTAAATGCTGGAAATTGCTTACATGTTTTCTAATATTTCCCATCAGCGAGCAAACCATCCCACGGACTATCCAATTATCTATAGCCAGGTACAAGGGTACAACTAGAACTGGTGCAGTGAGTTCAAAATGCCTACCACTCTGGGTAGGTATACCAGCTTCGCCAGTATGCTGGTTCCAATAGAAAATGATACGTTCCAACATATACTTAATGTCATTTTGTTCGTTGAGCTTCACATCGCTCCAGGTCACCCCGTTGGCACCATATCTCTCCCCAAGGTAAACAATAAGAAACTTCTTGACGATGTGAAAAGTGTTATCGTATGCCAAGCTACCGCACATTGTGAACCAAGTTTTTCTAGGTACAACAACTGGATCTTCCTTCTCGTGCAATTCATTGGGGTCAAGACTCAAAAAGTAATCGGTTGTTTTTGTTTTGACCAATTCCACTTTATACTTTGGTGGTGCGCTGATTGTTCTAACTCCTAACGCGTTCCAATTGCTGTACACACCCTGTGCAGGATCATTCGTCTTATAATACTGAATAGCCTTAAGAATACAATCTCTGAACTTACGCTCTTGACAATCCAATTCTATTATTTGTAAATGTTGGTGAAATAGAATTATTAGTTAATGTTCAGATCAGCTTTATCACAAAAAAATTTACCAGCATTCTTTTGGGGACTTACACCAAGGTCCGAAACATACGCTACCCTTTTACCTTTCCCCGTTTGGTCCCTGGGGAGGTTATTGTTCACAGCTGTAGTAAGAGAATTGACCACTGAAGCCATCAGATCAACCGTTGTTCCCAAAGAATCAATCATTGCTTTCATGGAGTCTAGTTGTTCTTGAAAGTTACGAGCTTGATCAGGATTCATTGTTTAGTACTAAATAATAATATAGAAAAAAATATAAAGAAGAGTGAAGTAAATATATAAGTAAAAATATATGATGTATATGACAAACTATTTCTCGTGTGATTGGTGTAGATTACATGAGCTAGTTAAGTAAAGGTACCTTATTAAGTCATATTCAACGGTTAAAAAACCCAAAATAAAAATATTTATTTACCAGTAAAAATTTAGTCTCAGTTTATAAAAAACTTACCAATGATTGTGATCGGATTTTGCTTTGACAAAGACTTCAGATCAATAAAAGAATATCTTGGCAATAGTTCTATCAAAAATAAAAAAATTTAGAAGCGTATAAATACTTCTTAAAAATAACTTGATGCTTCCTTTCAAAACTTCCAATAATTTTGTATTTATAACAATGACAATCCCCAGTGCTATTCAAAAACCCAAGCAATCTCGTGCCTCCCGACGTGGTTTAACCATGCGTGTCTTGAAAGCTTCGCCTGCTGTTTTTAATCGTTCTATTGCTCCTGACAATTCTACTGGTATCGTTCCTGAGAATAATGATGTAAACAATATACCAGATTTCAGTGACGTCGATATGGTTTCTATCGAGCATGATACAATGAACACTTTTATTGAACAAGAGACACGTCAACAAGAAGAAGAACATGACCGATATGTTGATGGTGAAATTTCAGATGTAGATGATGATGAAGGTGCTGAATTCGAAGAGCTTTAACTGGCGGAACAATTTAAGGATGACTCTTCAGACGAAGGTGATAGCAGAATGTAACGTATACTTAAAATCCATGTCCAATTGCTCCCTGTTCGTTTGTAGCTGAAAGAAGTTAATGTCACGTCATATTACATGCAGCTATTATTCACTTACAATTTTGATTGTATATAGTTTCAACTTCTGATACAAGTTTTTATAGCTTTTTAATGAGCTAAAGTCATGAGGCGCACATCTACTATTTTCGTGTATAGAACAATAATCGATATGACTATCACTAGATAGTATATTTGCCAAGATTTCCTTACAAAGAATGTCGTATACATCTTGAATTTGTTTTACTTTGTCATGAATGATGATTGTTGCTGGACTTTCTTCTGTTGATGATAGCTTGACCACTTGGTGTAAAGTTAGTTGAATATAACTTGATTGTACCTGTGCAACAACAAAATATGTCTTCATTTTATAGTTTAGGTCCTTAAGTTTATGTTGAATAGCAGGTAAAATATCTTCGCCGTAAATAGAAATACGGGCTTTATGGTGCTTGTTGTGCTTTTAAAAGTATACCAGCTGAGAAAAATAATTCCTTCAAATCTTCTTTAGAGCCAAACACACTGTCCAACAGTTTCTTGTCTACCGATACAGCGTAGGCAATGTTTTTATCCTTCCAATTATCTCCGTAGTTTTCGTCTAATTTTTTATATATAATTTTGTTGAGGTGATTCAAATATGCTGTCAGAAGGCCAAATAAATATACGCGTTGACGAGTAGCCTTTAATTTTTTGTCGTTGACAGTAGACGTTGTAGATATATTTTTTTAGTGTCCATCTCAGCCCGTAATATATCAAATTATGAAACTTGTAAATACCATAAGCTCTCTTGAGCTATACAAGCCACTTTTATTCATTTAAATATGTAGAATTTCAATGTGTATTTTTTTATTGACTGAAATGTTTAAATAGATAGCAAAGAGATATATAAATGTAAGAAAAATAGTACAGGGGCTATTGGTAAGCGGGCAGACCAATACAGTCAGAGACAGTAACAAAAGTATAGTTCTTGCTACGAAGGTACTGAACGAGCCAAGGGGTCAAGATATTAACGGAATCAGCATGAACATCGTGTTGAAGCGCGATATGGCCTAAAGTTACACCTGGTACGTCAAGATCAACAATTGCACGTACGCGTTCTTCTTCTGTAGCAAGACCAAGGTGCTCATAATCTTTTGTATCAACATCCCAGTTAATATTGCTGTAACCCAAGGAACTGATTACTTGATTAACGGCCTCATTGGTTGCGCCTTCGGGAGGACGCATAAATGCAGGTCGCTTACCAATGGCCCGGAAAATAGTGTCAGATTGTAAGTTTAATTCTTCTGCCACCTGATCAGCATTAAGTCTTGTGAGTACTGCGTGGCTGAAAGTATGGCTGGCAACTTCATGACCCAATTGATCATAATATTGAAGTACTTCTTGATATGTCTTTGTTCCATCTTCGGTCTCGGTTGTAGTTGTGTCGAAAGGTGAGGAAAAAAAGTTTCGACTATTGGTAAAGAAAGTGGCAGTGATGTTTTCAGAATGTAAATACTTGGCAAGTCCGTATGAGTTTTCGTTGGGCCCATCGTCAAATGTCAACGCAAAGACCCCAGGACGGTTACATCTTTGAAATAAAGCACCAGTACCACTGCCTGTATTGGTGGCAGGAGCAGCAAAGCTGACAGCAGCGAAAGCGAGAGAAAGAAGAGCAAAGGCAGAGCGCATTGTTATAATGAAATATTGTAATAACTAATGTAGAAAAAAATATGTTGAGGTAGTTCAGCTAGTATTTATACTTTTGATGGCCATGTTAACCAGATCCATCAAAGCCCAAAATTAAAGGCGCTTGATGTACTACCGTAAACAAAGAATTCCAAGCGTAGGCAAAAAAAAAATCCTGTGGTTTTCTTTACGCTCTTTTTAATAATACTAACTTAGTCCCACGCACAAGCAAAGTAATCAGGTTTGCAGTGTAAAACATTTTAGAAAATGTCGATTGCTAAGTTTGAAAACCAGTATTCTGCGCAGGATAATCTTCTCTGTCTACATGCTATGTGTTACACAGAACGTATAGGATAAAAATAGTCTTATCCAAAAATAGGGAATTGTTTGTTGTGACATACTGCAGATTGACGAAAAAAAAAAAATTACAACAATAGGCTTTTTTTTTTTTTCACAGCCTCAAAAAAAAAAAATACAACTTCACATCAGGCTGCGGCCGAAATAAAATATCTAAAAAAAGAAATTCTGTTTTGAGTTTTACGATTTTTACCAGGAATTTGTGTTAAAACTATTCAAAAAATAGCCTAGTATAGTGTAAAGGACAACAGAGCCACATTATAATAACAAGCAGACTTTGTTTCTTGATCTGCACCATTTATGCATAGTTTGTATATATATATAAATGATTAACAACAATTTGCGCTTTCAGCAAACGGAGAACGATGTCCTGAGAGAAAAAAGATATTTTAAGCAATGATGCAAGAAATGGGTGATCATCATGTACGCCTCATAAAATGATAAACAGCTGCAAAAAAAGAGAGAGACAGAGAGATAGTTATGTCTCATGGTACTTTCTTGTTTTACATTCAGCCTGCGTCTAAGACAAGAGAGGCTGACGGCTGCTGCTTATTTACACCATGTTTTGATATCTCTCACCGGACAATTAGGCTTATAAGGATGATTAAACCCAAGAAACTGCTCCTCATCAAAGCCGACTCATTCTAAAATGACCAAATGAAATCGATGAAAAAAAACCAAGGTGGAAACAAAGATTACAACCAACGAAAAAAGACCACAGTACGATGTCGACTTGTCTTTATCAATATTGCAGCTCTATGTGTACCGCAGATAAAAGCGGGAGGAGTATGAATGACGGGGGAAATCAATAAAACTTGCCAAACATTAATAATTACTGCTTACATATACTTGCCATGTAATATTTAATTATAAAAACCTGGACTGGTCTCTTTTTCACCTTTATTGCCGCGGATGCAAACAGTTATTAGAAAAAAAAATTGCCAAGTCGAGCAATATTTCTGTTTATTTATAAGTCAATCTTTTAAAAAGATGATCAAGAATCCTCCATAATTTTAATCATGATATGCATATAGTGAGACTACTAGCAGTACGTATGATGGATCATCGTAACAGGTAATTAAAAGCGGTATCGTGTCACGAGCACGACAAAAAAATGTTGAGCAAAATTGACATGTGCCTTATTAAGAATACGTTTTGATAAGAATATTCGGTCGGGAATTATTATTCGGACTTGGATCAACAGGGAGCGAGACTAACTACTGAAAAAAGATTATGTGGGCAAGCTGACTGTGGGCAAAACCCAGGGTTATCTAATTTTTATTTTGAGGGATCATTTTTAAAAAATCGTTATTTCCCGGGAAAAAACATGATGCAATTGCAAAGAATCAGTAGCTCAAAAAAAAAAAAAAAAAAAAAATCGCGCAACATGAATGTGAACCCTTGTCGTGTCATAGAAACTTGTCCTATCAGCACTGTAGCATGCAAAAATAGCATTTTGCCGTCCTATCATGACCCAAAAAAATGTATTTCATTGGTGAGTTTTCAAAGTGGATGTACCTTTTTTTGTTTTTTTTTAAAAATAAAAAAAAAAAAAAAAAAAAAAAAAAAAACGTAACAATGAGACGCATAAGCCTGCATACGTCAAAATACACCTAACTTTGAATGGTCTAGAAGCGATCAATTTGTTCTTCATATAGTCGATAATATAAGACATACATTGTACCGCGTCTGAGGGCACATTACAAACTAAGATTCAAATCCATTCTCTATTAAAAGTTTATTTCAGGTTTCACAACAAATTACCGGGTTTGGGATTTTTCAAGGAAACACGACCCTCTTTTTTTTTGGTTGATACAATACAAGAGATTTTTTATTTTAATAAATGAAATACAAAGTGTTCAAAGGGAACATGAATTATGGGAATGAATATATGGTGATACAATGAAATTTAAAGGTTGGTGAGATCAATATCAATGGTACTAAGATTGATATCAGCAGTAAGGGCAGCATCTACAGTGGCGGGAGTGGTGGTGGTGTTGGAAGCACCAGTGGAAGCATCAGGTTGATAAGGCTCAACACCAATACAATCGGAAACAGTAACGAAAGTTAAACCCTTAGATTTAACATATTCTGTGAGCCAAGGAACAAGAGTGTTGACAGTGTCTTCATGGATATCATGTTCAAGAGAGATATGGCCCATAGTAACGTTAGCGATATCTTCATCCAAAACCTCCTTGACATTCTTTTGCTCAGTAGACAAACCCAAATGTCTCCAATCGTTGGTATCAATGTCCCATAAGATGTTGTGATAACCGAGATCCTTCAAGACCTTGGCGGAAACATCATCGGTAACACCCTCAGGAGGTCTCATCAAAGCGGGTCTCTTGCCAATAGCCTTGAAGATCACATCAGATTGAGTATTCATTTGGTATTCAACTTCTTCAACAGTAAGGCCCTTAAGATCCTTGTGTTCGTAGGTATGACTGGCAATTTCGTGACCTTGGTCATAGTATTGCTTGATGACTTCTAAATAGGTCTTTTCACCTTCTTCAGTAGTGGTTGATTCCTCGAGAACATTGCTAAATCAAAATGTTAATTTTATGATATGTAATTAAATTATTAGGTTTGACTTACACAGAGTTGGCACCGTTAATGAAGAAAGTGGCCTTGATACCTTGATCGTGCAAGGTCTTGGCTAATCCCCAAGAGTACTTATCGGGTCCATCATCGAAAGTCAATGCAAAGACGCCAGGTCTGTTACAAGAAGAGTAAGAAGTATGGGTTTCGGCGACTTCAGCAACAGGTTCAGCACGAATGGTAGGACGAGCCATGACCATAGAAGCAGCGTAAGCTAAGGTGAGGAATAAAGAAGTAGTGCGCATGATGATTGTGTAATGATTATCAATTGATGTGGAGAAAAAAATAAATTCCAACCAAAATGTCATCTGTATTTATATCTTTTTTTTTTTTTTTTTTTTTTTTTCTGAGAGTCCGACGGTTACGTTCAGTTGTTCTATTATTATCCTCTGAATTTATTTATAATTTCTCATTACTCATACGGGACGGCAAAATGATGTATCGAATTCTTTACCTTACGACGATTGTATATTTGTTCTTTCTAATTAAATTCAAAATTGAAAAACGAAAATTCTTGTGACACCCTCGCCTTCATAATTTTCTTGAAAACGTTTTATTTTACCAGGTGATTACATCTAAAGGATCATCACCACGCAGATTCATTCCATTTATGCTCTACAAACATTTGTTTTTATCCTCTCCTTTATATTTACCAGGTTTTTTCAATATCCATATCTTTTTAAAGTATAAGAAACTCTCGTTGATATTTGAGGCTGATGTGTATTTTTTTCTTCTTCTTTTTGTTACAAACATGGATGTTTTTTCGTATTATTAGATTGAAATGATGAGCACCAATCTACTTGCCACAAAATTTGACAGGGTCGTCATTTCTCTACAAAAGAAAAAGTTTTAGTCGGAGTCATCAGAATTCAGTAAACGATTTATTCACTTTTTGCTAGCAATCCTACTATTCTTGACCCATCACTGATCCAGCAAAATCAGTTGATCTAAATAGCCCGAAGGTCGGACCCTTATCCATTATTAGGCTGATATATCCTCAGCCATTTGTGTGTCCTGACAATGCCACTGTTATTGTCCACTGTCTGAACCATATAAACGATCGGCTAGTATTATATGATGGCCCAACTGATTATATCAAAAGTTATTGTAGCATTTCCACATATAGAAAAAAGTGCGGGATTTTTCTACTTTTTTTTTTGCACCAAACAGGTGGGTCGTTATACTTGAAGTGCTTGGAAATGTGTGGTTAGATTTTCTGCTGAGGAAACGCATGTTGGTTACCTGGCGGGTTATACGACATGAACTGCGGGTTTCTTGGGCTTAGTTTATCGCTATCATTAGTCATTGAGGATATATCTTTAGTAAGTCTTAAGCCGACCTGACAGTGGTAGTGTAGCACTACATGGTACTACTTGAAAATGTTTAAAAAAAAAACTCATGTATTTTGTAACTAATTAAGTATACTGCATTTCATTTGCTGTGGTAGAAATCAGAAATTCCATTCAAAGCAGCACATTTTTTATTTACTTTTTACAGAAACCTGTGTATATCATGCTAATGACGTTCAGCCCTATCCGAATAGCATAACTTGACTTGCCTGAGAACAAAATCGATGCTATTTTTAATCTTCAGGCTTTTTTTTTATTTTATAGTTTTACCCAGGTAAAAGCAAAACAAAGGACTGATTCAGGCTATTTTTAAAAAACAATTGTCCATATAGAGATATTTGTGGCCTCTCTTGTACGATGGTTGAAAAAAACACAGGGCATGGCGCCAAGAGGTACAGGGCTAACTAAATTATTTATGGATTTAAGTCTCCTCCCGTCCGAAAATATTCTGGTTTGATGGCATATATTTTTCTTGGTTACACGAAAAAAAAAGTTAGGTCGGCGTCGTTTACTTTTATGGCACCATATTTCGCATAATAATAGATCTTTGTCTCAAAAAGATTCTCCCTACATAAGGGTATTCTACTATCGTATAATATTGCTCGAAATGGATTTTGCAATCTTAGCATCTCCATGTGGCTTTGGAATTTATATCCAAATAAAAAAACCAAAAAAAGGGCAATGGTACTTTGAAGTACAGTTTCACCTGCCACTAGATTAAAGGATCCCCATTACGGCTTAATTTTTTTTTCACAAAGCATGTATCTAATAGTCTTCTGGGAAATATTATGTACATAGCAACCAAAACTCTATAGTTTCTGTTTTCGAAGAAGGTTACTTGCAAAGTTTCCCAGCAATTATCTTAAATTTAATACTAAACGAAACAGGCAGGGCGCCCTTTGTTTCAAGCACAAGCAGTTGAATTATAGGTTCCGTTTCACATGCATGAATATGTCAAATTCTGGCGTTTAAAAGCCAGAATTGTACCCAATTAAAATGGAAACTGTACCTGAGAAAAAAAAAATAGTTAAGCTGAAACCTGAGCGTGATCAAAATGAACAACTATAAACAACAAATAGTCAAATGAATTGACACTTTTGTGAAATCTTTAATTGTTAATTTTGTGTGCAGAAGCTCATATTTGTTATATGGAAAAGCGTTAGTTGCTATCTTTTTTGTATAGGAGTGGTCGTCAACTACTCCATCAAGTTATAAATTTAAGTTATTGGATGGCTTGCTTCCGGAATTGTTATTATACCTAAATTAACTAAACAAACGTTGCTGTAAAGTAAAAGTGTTTTAGAATGTGTTTTAATACAAAATACTTGTAGCCAGATTTCAAAAGGCCAATTGAGACCCCCCTCACCCCCTCGATTAACGTGTGAATTGTCTTGAGGAGTATACTGACACATTTTTTTTTCTTGAAATTCTGCAAGTGATGTGGGATAATCCTCCTTACATATTACGTGTCTAATATGACAACAGAATGGGCAAAGTGATTTTTTTTTCATTGTTATGGAAATCTTGGAAAGTTAACGTCCGTCTGATTGAACTCCCTATATACAAGCTGGTTTCCTAAGCCTGGGACACTCTGGTGTATTGTGATTTATTAAAGATAACTGATATAAGAGGTTTATAAACTTGTTCAATTGATGTGAATGGAGACTTTTAGGCGTATTTTACTGCAGATAATGCATCTAAATCGTATCATACGGCGTATATGTTTTTTTTATGGATGCGATGGAGAGGGCTGTATAACCGGCCATATATTCACCAGATATATCACTCTAAATCATTAGCAATCGACATATAATGCTCGATCATTGCTCACTTAATTTCTTAAAACGTTAATTATTAAAGTAAATTTTTTAAAAGACATAACCTTTTTAAAACAGACAAAATTTACCAGGTGCACCGTATCCAGTGATTATATAAAAACGACAAAAATAACATTTATTGAAACAAATAGTCACTAAAACCTATATAACGAGGGAAGTGTCCAAGTACTACTTTGGAAGAACGATAACACCCGAATTATATTTACAAATAAACTTGGATGTGAGGTCTTGACTCTTATGTACTGCTCGCTGAAGAGACGTTAGACGCTTTGTTAGGCTCTGGCCGATCCTAGCTACATGTGCTGCTTGAACTTCAACGACATCATCGTTATTCAAATCTTTGTCTGTCAAAGAAGACAGGCCATTTATGTACTGAGTGGTTGTATTCATTAAAACACTTACTCTGTGCGTTTTTCCGATTAAAGTTGCGGCCTCTTCGTGAAGTTTTTTTACGGCGTCTCTAATTTCATAATGGTCTCGAGAGTTTTGATACGCCAGACAGCATTTTCCAACAGCACCAAGTACGAAAGCCCCTTCCAAACCAGTATAAACGGCACCCATAGCTAGCAGAGCCATCGCCGTGCATGAATAAAGGTTCAGACTTTCTAGAAAATCATTTGCAACGATACCCAGATGAAATGCAAATGTATCATCCTTGATAATGGCACTATCATTGCTGAAGTTTCTGAGAACATTGGATATATTTTCAACCTCCATTGTAAGTCGGATAACACTAATGGTATCCACAGTTTTCTTTCGCTGCAGTTCACCTGAGAGGTGGATTATGCTGCTGAAAACAATCTTACAACCTTCGCACATCTCGGAGACCGTGTTTAAATAGCGAAGATAATAAAAATGAAGCATGTATCCTTTTTTAAATAGAATTTCTGCGTAATCCTCTTTCAAAAAAGTCTTCTTCCATACCTGCATAAGCTCTTCGATGACTGTCAGTAATTTTTGGAAAGACTTGTCTAGAACAAGCATAAACTTTTCAAAATCTTCCACAATCTTGGGATTCATTTTTTTTTAAATTATGGTATTTGCAAGAAAAAAAGGGAAGTGAATTAATTTTAAACGCATTTAGCACATTATATCTATTAGTTCTCAAGTAGTACAAACCGTGATGGGTAACAGGTTCATAGGCTGTATATCTCTAATTTATTTTGATTAATTTTGGAAGTATATAGTAAGTTATATACAAATATATGTTGAGTGTGATTAAAAATTAGCGTGATGTATTGGGTGAGAAGGGTAATATGTACTAAATTTGTTATAAAAAAAGAATGATTAAATAGGATATGAATTTTTTTTTTTTAAAAAAAAAAGAGGTTATGAATGTTTCTTGCTACCAAATCTGAGATGGTCCATCAAATAGTGGTAGGTTAAACGTCCATAATGGGAATCTAAAAAGTGAAGTAGCAATAACCATCCTACAAAATCGTTTGCTAGAAAGTATAGCCAATGTGTATACTTGATACCGTACAAAAATGCATAAATGACTATATAATACATGATCAGGTACGTCATAAAGCTCCAAAATCTAATTGATACGTGTTAGCTCTATAAAGGGTAGGCTCTCTCTCAACAATAACTATACCTGTTTCTCTGGCGTGGCAACATTTTTCGATTACTTGTAAGAATTTCGACATAAATCATAATTGGTGCAATTGATAATACATTGTGATCTGATGAAAACGGTACAAACCAATGAACGGATATATTGCGAATCCAAACAAGAAGAATAGGCAAATTAAATGGTAAAAGCGTGAAGAACAAAAGCAATATCGACAACATATAATTGTAACGATTTGTTCCTTTAAAATCCATTCTACCCGACTAACAGAAATAAAAAAAATAAAGTTAAAAAAGTATGCCAAAAGAATTTCAAGATGCTAATATTTACGCTTATGGATAACCAGGATCTTGCTAGCGACCGGATACAAGTGACAATCTGCACCAGAAAAGCAACAACAAAAACAAATTGGTATGGAATAAAAGTAGCGACAAGTAAAAATAATATTAAAGTCGTGATAGCTCTACGTTGGATTTGCTGATGTCTTGTCTCTTGACTACGAGACATGGGCCAACCACCGAGACCACATTGCGCCGAAAAAAAGACAGATATATGAGCCGATATACGTACACCACAATCTACCATCAACCAAAGTATACTAACAATACCCACACTCATGCCTAAACCTGCAAGTGGGATCCACCAGAAGAACGGATCTGTATTTCCTGTCATCACATCCTGCCATGAAATACTTGTAGAGGGTAAATACCACAGATCATCAAATGTATAGTAGGTCGAAGGTGATGCACATTGTGCAATACTGCAGATCGAAACACATATCATCACAATAGGAAGTGATCTTTGGAAACAATACGATAATCCTTGACTGAAGCTAGGAAATATGCCAGTATCGTTATAACATTTGATTTGACTTGCAAATACTAGCATCACAATGATAAATGAAAATGTGGCAAGCATGATGCCATTTCTAAATCCTAACCGCCCAGCGCTACCATACCAGTCGATCGAAAGATCCAACTGTAACGGCTCGGGACATGATGGGTCCATCCAGATTTGAAATGAAAGTCCATTTTTATCCACATCGCGTGAGCTACTAACAATCGATGCAAATGCAGTACGACCGTGAATAGATACATCTGTTTCATCCTCGGTATGACCTGCTAAATTGACGTAAAATTTAGATTCATGCATCGTTGAAATAGACTGGCGTAAAAGTGGCGAAAAGTGACTACTGTATGATTTGCAGTTGGGTCTAGATACTTTGAGATGATAGGCTAAGATTGGACTTTCAATGGATGGTATACGAATACTCGTGAATAATCCAGGACCGGTCTTAACATGAACTCCCTCTAAAGCAATGGCTAATTTATAGGAGTTTAGAATGGTTGATTGCCAAGTAGAATTAATTTTGACTTACACAACATTGATTGGCGTATAACTTGACTATTTGTTCTGGTTTTAAATGGCTCGACAATTAAAAATCCACCTTGGCCCTTATCAATGACAGCAAAGTAAGCATATGAGCCCATTTCCTCAAATTCAATACTGGCAAACGAAAAAGTATTTCCAGAGAATGGATAGATATCATGCGCTGTCGAAGCAGGGATTGGAACGGCAATAGGATTCGCAGTTCGACAAGCCATCCTTGTTGTATTTGTGATTTGACCATCTATTTTGGAGCATAATAACAGCTCAAATCTACCCCCATTTGAAATCTCACTGCCAGAAAGCACAGCAAATGCGTCTGCATTAGCTACAGTGGGTAACAAGACTACCTTGGCAATAGGTTCCTGACCAATCACTAATCTTTCGCCTGGTCTCAAGAACATGCAATCGGCTTCAATCAAATTAAAATAAGACAAATTACCTTGACAAATAGAGTTTAGAAACCCGTTAAAATTAAGTGATTGGTGTAACATGGATTAAAAAGATTTACCTAATTGAAGATCAGAACCGTCCCCTTTACGATCCTCGAGACCACTGAGGAATGCATGACGCATAATTTGCATACGCTCTTCCAACGGCTTTGTCTGAGAACCCTTTCGAACATCCACAATATCAATCAAGGTCTTTGACACCACTTTCACTAATTGATTGCATGTCAATATAGAAACATGATCAGCACCTGTCCAAACATTGGGAATTGCCGTTGAGAATACTGTGAAACCATGGGTTGCGGGTACAATCGAACCTATGTTCGTTGAATCCGAACATACCGTATTGTCCAATGTTCCACCAGCCATGGATATGATGGAAATATCTCCAAGAGATTCGTGATGGTATCTATCGTTGTTATCAGCTTCCATGGCGTGTTTTGAAAAGCCTTCTTGCCAAAACTTATTAATGTCATCGTATAATTGGGAAATTTTCCAGTCAAAAGGTGCAGGTGGTAACATATGTGGTGTAGACATAGTAATGATAGTATTGATTGTACCATGTTGATAATTGTTCATTGTGAACATGGCTCTGGCTACAATCCCGCCCATTGAGTGACCAATAATTATCACAGATGTTGGGTCAGGTAATTTTGTATCGTCGGGATGATCTATTTTTCGAGTTTGTGGATATAATTTGAGGATATAATCTATAGCATCGTTTAAATATTCGGCCTGTTCTAAAATAGATTGACCATGGAGAGCAGAAAACTCTTCATGAAAATCAACTAGCAAAGAGAAAGAGTAATTAGTACACGTTTGAATGCTTTTCCTGCAGTGATAAGTATACCTGTAAAAAAGTCTAAATTTCGAACACCATTTTGCCACTTGTCAATATCACCTGCATAATTTCTATAGTAATAGAACGCAGATTCTGCTGCCAAGGATCTAACTTGTTTATAGCTGCCAGCATGACCATGAATGAATAATACCGGGACACCAGTTGGCTATAATAATGGTATAAATCAAAGCTTTTCTTTTATATGTATGTGTAAAAATGTATGTTACTTGATCACTAAAGTCGACGCCCTTTTCTCGATAAAGATACAGACCGTATTTACCGGCAAACCGAGTCATTTCACTATCGAAACCAGTTTGCTTTATATATTGCGGTCTCATGTAGCTTTCTTCGCATCCAGACACATCTCTTTGGTGATGTTGAAAAGAATCCAGCATGATGTATATTGAGCCAATGGAAAATAGTATCATGAACAAGATTAGGAATCTACTGAATTTAACCAGTCGGTAGAGTCGCGGTAAAATTGCACGAGTCAAAGTAGGAGAAGGTGGTGGAGAAGGTGATGTTTCGGGCGAGGACATTCTGCTGGTGTGTGTTATATTATTCAGTCGTAAAGGTTCATCAGTTCGATCGATCCTTAGAAGAGGTATAGACTGTTGTTCTTTTTGGTCTCGTTTTGTTTCAGTATTGTTGGCACAGTGTTGTTCTTTCTGGTTCGTATTTTCTAATATGTCATTCATTTAATATTTGTGCTTGAGAAGAACGAAAAAGGGAAAAATCAGAAAATAGGACCCTCTTATTCCAGGAAAAAAAAAAAAAAAAAAAAAAATTCAAACGTCACCTATTAATTCAAAGCAAAGAGAGACAACACTTGTGCCTAAATCAATGTCACCATAAAAGACAAACGTGGTAAAGGGTATGTATCACTTTCTAAGCCTGTTGTTTTGCAAGAAAAACAATGTCCAAACAAGGAACAATGGAAATTAATATTTATTACAGATAAAAAGGCATATCTATTCCGAAACTTGTATCAGGAAATAGGTTATCTTTGGGCGGGGGGACCGTCAAACCACCCAAGAAATATAGCAACCCGGAATTTTCAGCTCCAAATAGGAATAAGAATTCTCCCATTGGAGGGGAACTGTATATATTTTTTGTGAGCTAAAAAAATTTTTTTCTAATAAATCATGTTGAAACAATTATTAATTTTCTTTCTTCTTTTTTATTTATTATCAATGTCTGCACCAAATTACATGGACAACGTCATGTCTCGTTTTGGACATCACCTTTCAGCACATCAACGTACTCATATATCAGATTCAATGGTGTCAAATTTACAGTCTGCAAAATCAGGGTCTGGTTACCTGCAAATGCATAATTCTGGAATAGCTTCCACAATCTCACTCAAAAATTTATCCACAAATTCTCCAGGTCTTGGAGGTGTTGGTGCTACCCCAACGGATGACGTTCTTAGCAAACAATAACATTTTAATTCATACTATAACAATTATTTATTTTTATATAATATATATATCCTTATTTCTCTACTTGCGTATTGGAGTGATGCACTTGCAATAAACCATTATTCATCTGTGTCAATTTTCGTGTTTGTTCCTCCATTAGATGATGACAGATGTTCACTATTATAAACAAACCGTTTATTGTGTGACACCAAAAAAAACATTATTTAAACGTACCCCGAACACCGTTACTCTGATCAATTAAATTAGATCCCTTGAAGGTCAAACGTTGAGCACTTTTTATAGCTTCTTCTTTCTGTTCTAATAATCGCTCTCTTCTTATCATCAAAAATAGTTATTATGCAATTTTAACCTAATTTGTGTTATACGTACGACATTTGATGATATAAAACGTGCGTGCGAATAAAAAAGGGGAAAAGTGAAAATTAAGGAGTCGTGAGAAGTCATTTTTTTAGTTTGTTGTTGGCAGTGTGTGTGAAAAGTGTATTACGTCCGCATGACTTGTGCATTCAAGTATAAAAGCTTTTTTTTTATTCCTTGTTATTCTCTTTTTTTTTTTCTTCTCTACATACCCCACCCCACTCCTGTTTATAATTCAATATGGCCTTTGTCACCTTTGTTCGCGCTAACCCTGCTTTAGCTCCTCTCTTCTTATTCTGTGGTGCCGGTTGTGTCGCTGCTGTATCGTAAGTAAAACATTTATTTATTTGTCAACACGATGTTAATCCTACTTTTTTAAAATAGCTATCCACGTAAATATATCTACGGAGATTATCTCATTATATTCCGCTAACATCATTTATAGTTTACTTGCTTAGAACTCATCCTGAAATTGAACTTGACCGCAAGAACCCTTTCCCTTGGAATCGTGTTCAACAACATCAAAATATCAAGGTAAGACTCAATTCATAGCTCAGATTCCCAAGTAAATAGACTCACGTAAATATCTAGTTTATCAATGCCACTCCAGAGTTCTACAAGGCTCGTAAAGACTTAAAGACCAATAGCTTTTAACTAAGTTGGTTTATATTGATATAGTGCGGCTTGTAAATTTTGTCCGTTTCTCAAAAAATAAATAACCCTTTTTAAAAAATGATTCATTTTCGATTTATCCTTTGGTAAAAATAGATGTTTATTAAAATATAAACAGTTGGTTATCAGCATCATGTTATCTGACTAACTATAAGAGTGGAAAGTAAAAGAATAAAGCTTTTACGTCATAACCCAAGAAGTGCCGTTTCGATTAAGCCCAAGCCTAATACGCCTGCCTCAAGTGATCCAAAAAAATTGCATGTCCCACTAAATTGAAATGCCACCTTGGAAGGCGCACGATGAACGCAGGTCAAGCTCTTCATCAATAGCACGGTTATCTCTATTTATAAATGTGAAAGTATTCTTATGCCATCAGATGCCATAGACCTTTATGAAAATGAAAAGGTCTTGATGTTAAGCAAAATTGGAAGTTGGAAACCAATAATTATGTCATTAAATAATTGGAAAAAACATTATATCCTTACCTCTCAAACAACGGTGGGCACTTACCCGTAGTAATAACGCCACTGTGCATGTTGTATTTCAGGAACAATGTTATTCAAAATAGTAAGTGAATGACAGAGCAAATGATTACCAAAATAAGCCCGCATCAGGCATTCCTTTTCCGAAGTCATACTAAACTCCTCATGTAGCTTCTGATGGTGATTGACATATATACATTACTAGTCTAGTTTATCGCAATTTGTTCATCTCCAGCCATAACATGATGATAGTCAAGAGATAGAAATGGGGTAGGTTATGCTTGGTATATACAGTAGCAATGATATTATTTATTTAGATAAAATTGAAACTGAAAAAAAAAAGGAATGCATGATTGAAGAAAGCCATGGCGCTTAGAGACGACGACCACGACGACCACCCTTTCTACGGGTAGAATCGGTAGGGATGGGAGTAACATCTTCAATACGGCCAATTCTCATACCAGCACGGGCAAGAGCACGGAGGGCAGCTTGTCCACCGGGACCGGGAGTCTTGGTACCAGTACCACCAGTAGCTCTGAGCTTAATGTGGAGAGCATTGATACCGAGATCCTTACACTTTTGAGAAACTTGTTGAGCGGCCAACATAGCAGCATAAGGAGAAGACTCATCACGATCAGCCTTAACTTGCATACCACCTATTTAACCATAAACAAAATTTCGTAAGAAAACATAACAAAGAAACACAGGAGGGGGATGTGTGAGATTTGATAAGAAACCAAAGTTTCATACAAAACAATCCTTCTTCACTACATTTTAATGTCGTATATCAGGAAACATGCAGAGTTGTGTATCACCACATCAAATTATGAATCAACTGAGCAACAAAAAAATCGCTAGTGAAGAAAACACATGCCGCTCAACTTTTTCTACTTGACATGTCTTTTCGACATTCCGCAAGAGAGAAAAAAGTGGCGTCCTTTTATATTTATATATATCTAGTTGAAACTTACCAGTAACACGAGAGATAGTTTCACGACCAGAAAGATCAGTGATGTGAACAAAGGTATCGTTGAAAGAGGCAAAGATGTGAGCAACACCGAAAACGAGCTCACCTTCACGAACTTGGGGACCGAGAGTGACCTTCTCAACGACCTTGGGGGCAACCTTCTTGTTGGACTAGAATGGATGCATTAGTTTACATGGATGGATGGATTGTTTCAGTATAACTCACCATATTAATTATGGATAAAAGAGAAAGAATTTGATCACTGCCGCATTTCCTCGCTTTGATTTATTGTTGTCAGGGAGTACAAATTGTCCGGGCCGGCCATATCGCCGCTTTTATCTTCAGTCTGATGCGTGTCCACCAAAAAAGATGGTTCCATTTGGAAAAGACAACATGGAGGATAAAATACATTCAAAGGCATGAAAGTAAACAACTTCATATATCGCTTATATGTACATTTAAGAAAAAAACGTTTGTACGTAAAGCAAAGAAAACTTTATCAGCCGCACTGTATATGTTTTTCACAGGTAAACTTTGTCCATTTTGAAAAAAAAAAACATTTATTTAATCAGTTTGATATCCATTTTTGTTTAAAAAAACACTATCTCAATAAATACTTTTTTACCTATTCCTCTTATGAATGATAAAATTGTGCTTCTTTTTATGCAGGATATAGGTGGTACTACGGCTAGCGTCTGCTATACGATGTGAGGCTCCTCTAAATCTGCTGTTAACTATATAAATGATGTTATGTTTTCGGTCACGAATATTGAAAAAAAAAATCACATATATATGCATTGTCTCGACTTAAAGAGGTTAAAAGAGAGAGATACTTTTAAAATTCACGTGACAAAGGCGTTTGGACATGCGTAGACTTCACCCTTCATCTTATATTACTTACCGCAAGTACTCCATAATACTTGCTTGTCTTACCACATTGATACGAAATCTTAGAAAGGTGCACGGTGGACACTACATATGTTCTTTCATAAGGAAAAAACCTGTGTATTCCGAGGTGGATAACGACGACGGCAACAATAACAACTCTCCAAATGGTGATGATAGCCATAACAGGATAATACTCAGTCTATAATCCTGCACCAGACCAGATGCAGTCCTCTCGCTTGACCATGGATGAACGCAGCTCAAGCTCCTCATACTCAGATAATGTCCAGATGGTGTATGGGCGAAACCCTATATTGCGTGCAAATGGACCAAAAAACTGGCACTGGTATATCTTGATTCTGATCGGACTTGTCTGAGCTCATACAAACAACTTTTTTGGTTAATAGATTTGGCAGTAAATATGCTGTCACTGAACGGAAAATCTATCATTTTCTTATCTCTGTTGAAAACCTACAGTATACTTTAGTTGTCCAGCTAGATGGCCAATGGATCCTTCCTATGAAGGAAAAAAGTACAAAGGAAGAAGACACAGTTGTAAATACAAATCACTTGCTCCAGCATTTTGTTTCAACTAGCCCCTTCGATAAACCATATATTGAGGAATAAATATCACCCTGAAACTTTTTACCGGTCTAAACACATATTTTGGACCGATACCGATTTTTAAAAAAAAAATGAAAATCACTGCAAAATCGAGTTTTGTATTCTAAGATGTAAACTGACAATAATTTTGTAGGGAATATAGCAGCATACAAAAAATTATGGTTGACTTGTTTCTTTTACCAAAATCATATCAAGGTCTTTGATAGAAACCAACTGCTGAATTGTGTGGAAAATCTGAAACAATTTAACTGTCGTCCTGCTTACAGACAAAGAAGCAAATAAAAGATCTGGCCAGCGTTACTACATCTAGAACTGAAAGTTTTCTTTTCTTTTGTCATTGTCAATAAAGTTTATATATTGCTAAAGCCTATGTTTGTTAATCTAAATAGTTTTCGCCGAAAGTGAGCTGCTATTGTATTTCTTATATTTCTGAGGGTTGGAATCTATTCTTTTGTTACAAAGTAACATGGGTTTAAATGGATCTTCGTCGTAACAAATGTCGATATCTTCAAAATTTTCCAGTTTCTTCAAAAGTTCTTTTACATTAAATTCAGTATAATCTTGACAGAAGAAGATGCATATTGCCTTCTCTCTTGTTATATTTTTGACTATGGGTTTAGCAACCAAGGATGGTTGAAGATGACCTAAGAAAATGAAAACAAACTTGACCGGTTGAAAAAAACGAAAAAATTAAGCGTGGATTTGGACCGGTTGAAAAAAAAAAAAAAAAAACGAAGGTTTCCCGGCTGTCAGGTTGTTTCTTTTTTACACTTTTTTAGGAAATGTCGAGCAAGAATTTCTTTACATTGTTGGATCAGTACAAACAAGTGGCATTTCCTGATGCCAAAGAATCAACACCTGCTTTTGAATTATTAGACACGGTAGACCATGTCAAATCGATTCCTGATCAAGTAGGCTACAAACCTTTTATTATAAGAAAAAACCCTATAACAAGTTTTCTTAGCAAGTCATTGATATTCTGGTGTCGGGATGCAAAAGTCTAGGCTACCAACATGCTTCATCTCGTGCTTTTTGTCAATTCATGTACAAACAAGCCTCGAAACAGGCAAGTTCCCCCACTGAAATACAAAAAAAAGAATAAGACATTTAATTGACGTCGACCACCTACATTCACAGATTCGAGTCACCAATTTCAGACCTTCTCAATTCGACATTTGCATAAAGTATTTATTAGACGGCCTCGATTTCGTTCAGGATGCAGATTACAAGGTGGATTTACTACGAGCAATGGGTGCACTCGTGTTTGAGAATGCTGCCAATACGCAACGTTCGGCCACACGATTATCCGCCACTTTATTGTTGTTAGCAGACAGATCTACCAAACCTTTAGAGGTACGTCGTATGGCCATCAACTGTATAGGTAACACCTGTGCGGGGGGTGGTCCCAAGCTCGCCAATCTCTATAAGGACTTTTATGCTTGCCTTTTAGGTAATCTGTGTACCGTGGATCATACGGCACAGGGTACCATCATGGTAGCTTCCACCAGTCTTGATTTCTCGGATACAGCAGTACGAAAAGTTGCCAGTTCTACTTTACGTGCCTTGCAGTTTTTATTGGGACAGGATAAATCCTTGGTAACAAACCCATTGTGTGATATTATTGAGATTATACGCACATTTATCTTTCAAGGTGTCTCTGTTCAATCTTATGCATCACCAAATCCACAATACAATCGAAGAAATCGACTGTCACAACCCACCAGTCAATACCAGTTCTCTTGGAGATCGCCTGTGAATAAACAAGCATCTACCAGTTCAGAGTCTGAATTATCGGACTCGTCTCAAATCAACGAGTTATCACCACGTAGACAACGTGATCATGCCAAGATTCGTATCAATGCGTTACTCTGTCTTTCTGCCATTGCCAACGTAAGTGCTTATTAATATCTACGTGACTTTTCTCTATTTACAAGACAAGGATTGTGTAGACTTCACCAAAGGCATTGTATCCTCATTGGCACAAGTTTTTACCAGACACCTTTTCTGTTTTTGCATCCAATCATGCGGGCGGTGATACATTAATCCCATTTATGCGATCGGATAATCAACCACTTTCTTTATTCACCATCTTATTATATGATCCCACCGTGACAGTGCGTGCAGCTGTCTGTAGTACCTTGATTGCTATGTTAGATGGATCCAAACAATATTTAAGTCTCGCATTAGAAAGGTATGTAGATAAATACTGTGAAAAAAAAAGGACATCTCACACATACTTTTCTTATATTAGTGAAAAGAGTCAGTCATCATTTACTTCCTTATCAGAAAATTTGGGTTCAATTATTCATGATGTGCATCGTGGCATTATTTGTGGATTGGGAAAGGAACAAACGCATCAGGTCTTGTCCATGTTAATGAATGTGACTACAGTACTGATAGAGAATTGTTCTTATGAACGATTATCCGAGAAGCATTTACCGTGTTTATACCAAGCTGTGATACCTCATTGGAAAGAAGTTGGTAAGTAAATATATTCTTTTGAAACCCTGCCCCCTCTTTTTTTTTTATAAAACAGATATAAATAGCGTTGCGTAGTTGCGTGTTAAAGGTCATGGCATCGATATTTAGTATCCATCAAGATAATTTAAACCCGTTAGCGATGCAACTGGTAAACGGTGTGCTGCTGGAAGCTGTACAGGATGAAGAGATCCAGGCAGAGGGGTGGCGTACTTGTACTGTCATCACCAAATCTTATTTTTCGGAAACTATCTGGACTACGCTCAAGGACCACTTTGTGATTTCAGCAGCCAGTCTTAAATTCGCTGAAGCATATGCAAGCGTCATGGGAGACGTGGATGTGACATGGTGGCAAATTATGATGGAGAAATACTTGCAACAAGCCTCATCGAACCCTACAGCATCAGTGCGTGCTGCAGCCTGTGATTGCTTTGCTAGTATGTCGCGTATGATATATGAAAAGTTCCATGCAAGTAGCCCCCCCCCTTTTTTTTAGACGAGCCTGGCGCTAACATTTATATTACAGGTCAGGTATCAAAGGTTGGCAGTGACCTTGCTGTTTTCCATGTGCTCTGATACAGACGCCCATGTGAGAGCCGCCGCGTGTAGAGCACTGGGCGTCTTTGTATTGTTCCCATCGTTGAGAGAGGATCCAATGTTTGTATCCGATATGACGAAATCCATCCTCCTACAAAAAGACAATAAGACTATTCTTGTACGTGTGAGAGCGAGTTGGGCCATTGCAAATTTGTGCGATGCACTTGTACTGGAAAATGATGAAAAACCAGAGTTCTCTTTACGAGACTATATGTCTACTACAGAATGGATCGAGGTCTTGAGTACCGCTACCAACGGTGCACTGGACAACGAAAAGGTAACACACAGAAAAAAAAAGAGAGAGAGAGAGAGAGAGAGAACGAGAAATATTTACAGTGACTAAGTATTTCCCTATAGTTGAGATCTAATGCGGTGAGAGCCATTGGCAGTCTATTAAGAATCACACCACAGGAATATTACGAAAACACGCGTATCATGTCGCTTGTGCGTAATGCTATGGATGCGCTTGTCAAAAATATTGAGACAGGCTCGTTAAAGACCCGTTGGAATGCGTGCCATGCTACTAGTAATATGCTTTTAAACGAACATTTTCCTATTGGTTTTATGACGGGCGGCGGTATTTATCCTTGGACAGCCAGCTTGTTCCAGGCATTGATTGGGTCGTTGATTCAGTGTAAGAATTTCAAGGTCCGAATTAATGCATGTTTGGCCATGACCACGCCTTTCAAAAGGGACCAGTATGGCGATAAGCTGCCGTTGATTATAAAGAGTATTCTAGAGGCGTGGGATACGTGTCAGGAAAACAAGGATTATAAAGAAATCAAGTATAAGCAGCAGTTAGAAGAGCAGGTAAATTAATAGCAACATACTGATTTAAAGGGTAAACAACTCATAAGATGGGATGTTAGATTATAAGCTCATTGAAGCACTTGAAGGATTGGATACCGCTTAACTACAAGGCACAAGTCAGTCAAATCATATGACAGTCTCAACTCATTTTCACATGCCAATGAAATATTTACTCAATAACCCAGATTTTTATTCTTTTTATTCTCCCCTTTTTTTATTCTTTTTTTTCCCCACACACATTTATAACTGAATAAAGAAGCATGCCAAACGTGTTTTCGAAATTGGCATTACAGGAGTGGGGACTTTCTATGCTTCCTCATGTGAGTCGTTTTGCCAAGGGGTATGCTAGAAACAAGACTACCATACAACGTTCGATTCTCTTTGTCTTGTTGTTTCGAGCCGTCTTATCTCTCAGGCAAATCATTCGGTCCATTAAAAAGAGTAATGCCGACGATGCCAAACCATCCGCCAAAAGAAAGCAAAACAAAAAAGTGGCCGTAAGCACACACAAAAGCATACAAAAATTTACATATATTTATCTAACTCTGCGCTTAAATAGGTGGATATGACATTTTTTAAACAAATCTATAAATTATTACAAATTGTTATGCCGGGTATTCGATCAAAAGAGTTTTGGTTGCTCATCATTCACTCTGGCTTTTTAGGTGGGGATACAGTAAATTATTTATGATGCGTATTCTCTATACTCATCACTTATGTAATTATAGTTTTCAGAACCGTATTATCAGTGTACATTGCTGCATTGGATGGTAGAATTGTCAGTGCATTGGTCCGTGGTCAGATTCGAGAGTTTGTGCTGGGCATTGCTTGGTGGATGACTGTGGCTATTCCTGCTACTTACACAAACAGCATGGTAAGCATAAGAAGTATGAAATAAGGGAATTGTTCTGGCTAACACACACACACACATGCCTTTTTATTTTTGTACAGTTAAGTTACATGCAGAGTAAGCTCTCTATCCAGTTCCGTACACGTCTCACCACGTTCATCCATGATCAGTACTTGACGGACATGACATTCTATGCTGTAGGTAATTTGGATGATCGTATCAAGAACGCTGATCAATGTATTACGGTGGACACAATGAAATTCTCCAATTCATTAGCGGAGCTCTACTCGAACTTGGCCAAACCCATCTTGGATGTCTTTATCTATAATTATCAATTATCTCGTAGTGTTGGTTTTGAAGGTGTCTTTATTGGTTCCTTAATTGTTAACCTGTCTTCACTCGTCATGAGAAAATACACACCTTCTTTCGGTAAGATGGTTGCTGAGGAACAAAAATTAGAAGGTGAGTTCAGATTTAGACACTCCCGATTGATTGAGAACGCAGAAGAAATTGCCTTGTTTGATGGTCAAGAGATCGAAAAGAAAGAATTAGACAAGAGTTATTATGCTTTAATTCGTCACGTGAATCGTGTTTTCCGTATTCGTGTGCCTCACGGTATGCTGGAGGATTTCGTGATCAAGTACTTTTGGGGTGCCTGTGGTCTTGTTTTGTGCTCTGTGCCTGTCTTCTTTAAGGTGCCTGGCGTCAGTGACTCAGTGGGTGGTCGTACCGAAGGATTTGTTACCAATCGTCGTCTCCTGTTGAGTTCGTCTGATGCTGTAGGTCGTATCATGTACGCTTACAAGGAAATTACCGAATTGGCAGGTTACACTAGTAGAGTCACTGATCTCATTGAGGTCTTTGAAGATGTCAAGGTGGGTAAATACAACAAGAACCTTGTTTCCTCTGTCTCTACCGAATCAAACGAAAAGACATTGGAAGGACGTGGTAAAATTGTCGAGAGTGAGAACATTGAGTTTGATAGTGTTCCTATTGTCAGTCCCAATGGTGATGTGCTCATTCCCAAATTAACCTTTCACGTGAAGCCTGGTGTAAGTAGTACACACAATGTGTAGCTGGAAATGATACTCACACATCCAATTCATAGATGCATTTGTTGATTGTTGGTCCCAATGGTTGTGGTAAATCTTCCTTGTTCCGTATCTTGGGTGGTTTATGGCCTGTGTATGGTGGTACTGTTCATCGACCTGGTACCAAGGATATCTTTTACATTCCTCAAAGACCTTACTTGTCTATGGGTACTCTTCGCGAACAGTACGTATTGCATATAACAGTCCGATTATTAGCCGCTAACTTCTTTATCTTGGGTTAGAATCTTATATCCTCACACACTCAAGGAGATGAAGGAACGTAGTGTGACTGATGAACAATTATTGGATATTCTCAAGGTTGTTCAAATTGAGCACATTGTTGAAAGAGAGGGTGGATGGAACAGTGAAAAGGACTGGTCCTTAGCCTTGTCTGGTGGTGATAAGCAACGTGTAAGTATGCGTGGGAGGTAAAAATAACGATATGTATTTCTTACACACAAGGGAATAGATTGCTATGGCTAGATTATTCTACCATGCTCCTCGTTACGCTATTTTGGATGAATGTACAAGTGCTGTCAGTATGGATATTGAAAAGATCATGTACACACATGCTACTGCACTCGGTATCTCTCTTTTGACTGTTTCACATCGTCCTTCTCTTTGGAAGTACCATAATTATATTCTTCAATATGATGGTCAAGGTGGTTATGTCTTTACCAAATTGGATGCACAAAAGAGATTGGCTCTTCAAGAAGAAAAGAACGCCGTAAGTTACATTTATATATATATATAATTTATCGCATTGTATTTATCATTTAAATAGATTGAAGCCAAGTTACTCGAAGTCCCCAAATTACAAGCCCGTATTGAAGAATTATCTGAAATTAAACAAGAATAAACTTTATATAAATACCCCTTCTCCATATATATATTACGTGAAATTGATTGTTCTTTTTTATTTTATTTATATATACGATTAACGCCCCCCTATTTCTTTTCTTCTTCTTTTCACAAAATGACTGTAATTCACACAGAAACTTACTTGACGCAAGATCCAGTTTACAACTATAATGACAACAGTGCTATATTTACAGTTGCCTTATCAGCTGTGAGTATTCCTTGTCATATTCACCGACAAGAGAATTTGAATTATCTGTTAGAGAACGAGGTTCGGTCTGGTGATTTAGTATATCTTCGTGGTGTGTTCGTTACCGGTGGTGCTAATGATGCCACTTTTATCAAGGTCCAATCCATCATGTTAAGGACTCCACTCAAAATAGGTAAGAAACGCAAGATGGAAGATATCAAGGATGAAAACATGTCTATGGAATCTCTATCTCCTCCAACATCTACTCCAAAACCAGTTGCACCTTCCGTATCCAAGCATGAGGATTATTTACCAGTAGATCTCAGTTTTAGCGATTATTATTTCATGGTGTCAGGTCAGGCTTATTGTTTGCTGGATAGCTGTAATTCGTATCAACAGGTTCATGGTACATCATGCAAGAGGAATATACAGGAAAAAGGGCATCTTTTGGCGGATACGTTAAGACAATTGCATAGGGTGTATAACGACTTGATGGTAAATGGCATGAATAGGTTACAAGTGTTTAATTTTGTGAATACCATCACAATATTCATAAAAACTCTCAAAGAGATCAAGGAGGCGTTTCCTGACGATATTTTACCGGCGAAAGTCACCATTAATTCAAAAGTGCCTTTACCTACTCTTATTTATAATGCGCATTTTAATGAATACACAATAAATTAAGCGCGTAGCCTAAAATTAACTATATTTTAAAACGCAGCAAAGTGGCTTATGTTTAAACCTTATGCAAAATATTTTTGAAAAAAAGATCGCTTTTCATTAACTTTTTTAAACATGACAGCCGTACCTACGCATGCTGGATCTTTCCGCTCGCTCGAGACACCCTTGAGTGAGTCTATGTAAGCAAAATAAAGAAGTGTTGATATTAGGGTTATGTTGATTAAAATAAATAATAGTTTATCTACTCTTGACGAAATGGGGTTTGAGACCATGACACCTGTTCAATCAGGTGCTATTCCTTTATTTATGAAAAACAAGGATGTTGTAGTTGAAGCTGTTACAGGTTCTGGTAAAACTTTGTCGTTTGTCGTGCCCATTCTCGAGAAATTATTAAGACGCGAGGAACCTTTAAAAAACCATGAAATCGGAGCAGTAGTGATCACACCCACACGAGAATTAGCACAACAGATCCACTCAGTATTTGAAAAGTTTGTCACACATAACGAAAGAGAAGAGGATGTTCGACTCGGTTTATTCATTGGAGGATCCAGTTCTTTAGCTGAAGACATTACCACCTTTAAAAAGACACATCCACGTATTTTGATTGGAACACCCGGTAGATTGGAAGAACTCTTGACCAAATCTGCACAACTTGTAAATACAAAAGAATTAGAAGTGCTTGTTATGGATGAAGCAGATAGATTATTAGATATGGGTTTTTCCAAACAATTAAGTAGTATCATTGCCCATTTACCAAAGCAACGTCGTACAGGTCTCTTTTCTGCCACCATGACAGATGCTCTTTCGGAATTAGTACGTGCTGGTCTTCGTAACCCCGTCAGAATTGTCGTCAAAGTAGAGGATTTAGCCAATAAAGGTGTGATTCAGCGTACTCCCGCTACTTTGGATATTGATTATTTGGTCTGTGATGCTGACCAAAAGCTCTTACAGTTAGCTCGCATCTTATCCAGTGAATTAGAACAAGAAGATGGATCACGTAAATTCATTGTATATTTCGCTACCTGTGCCATGGTTGATTACTTTTACAAGATCCTCAGTCGATTATCTAGCTTGAAACCCTTTTCTTTCCATTCACTTCATGGTCAAATGGACACTAAACGTCGTTCAGCCACTTATACTTCCTTTACAGAACTCTCACCTGCTATCCCTGCCGTCTTGCTCTGTACTGATGTCGCCTCTCGTGGTCTTGATATTTCAGATCTCGATTATGTCATCCAGTACGATCCACCTCAAGATCCCAAAGCCTTTTCACATCGTGCCGGTCGTGCTGGTCGTGCTGGTAGAAAAGGTAGAGCCACCGTCTTATTAGTACGTGGTCGTGAAGAAGTCTATGTGGAATTTCTCAAATTACGAAAGATCCCATTGGTGCGCCGATCTTATATCTTACCCGATCACACTTTATTCGATAATAGCGTCAACGAAGATGATATGGATGATGACAAAGCAACTTCCGTCCAAGTCAAGGATGATTCTCTTGCGGATTTCATCAAGGATGTACGTGCAATTGTAAAGACAGACAGAGATCTTAATGATCGTGCCATCATGGCCTTTGTATCTTGGGCAAGAGCCTATTCAAAGCATGAAGCCAGTTATATCTTTAGAATCAAAGATTTAGATCTGGGTAAACTGGCTATGGGTTTTGGATTATTGAAACTGCCAAAGATGCCTGAATTAAAGGCACAACAAACACAGCCTGGATATGTGAATCCATTTGTTGAGGAAGAAGGATTTGATTGGGATACATATAAATACACAGACAAGATGAGAGAAGCAAAACGTTTAAGAGAGTTGAAGGAATATCAAGAAAAGATGGCGAAGGCTAAACCTCAACCCAAGAAAAAGGTGAACGCTGCTTGGTCTGAAAAGGTCGATGCTAAGGAACGTAAAGTAGTGCGTAAAGAAAAGAAACAGGCCAAGAAGGAATTCTTGAAGAAGCAAGAATTAGAGGCAAAGGAAACCAAAAAGAGAGATTTAGAAGAGGATTTAGAGGATTGGGAGGAGGAAAAAATGGCTAAAAAGGTTAGAAAGGGTCGTATGGAGAAGGGTGCTTTTGAAGAAATGTTTTAAACAATAAAGGATATTTATTTATCTAACTACCATACTCGATTGGCCATGATTTGGTCGATAATTTGATGAAATACGACACGTTTATCGCTCATCGATTCTAAAGGCTTTAACGCGATTCCTAATAATAAAGGTCGACTTTCTTTGGGATTCATCGCACCTACCGCTTGTAAAATAGACGTGGCGTATAAATTATACAGCTCGCTTTGTTCTCCTGTAGATTCTCCCATAAGAAACTGTGTTGATGTTGGTACAGCCTTGGGGTTACTCGCTAAATGAGGTGCTATATCTTGGCTTGCTTGAATCTATCTTTCTCTTAGTATCCATTCAGGTCACGCTTTTTATTTTACAAATTACCAAACTTCCAATCTTGCCATACTGCGTAATCACAATAAATATACGATCGGTGAAGCCAGTTATAAAAATCTCGGTGTGTACGCCATTAATAAGGACGGCTGCTTGCTTATTTGTTAAAGGGAATTCCTCGTTGTTTGACATGTTTAAAGACAATCGTTTCAGCATTCCCTTATTTTAAGCACCCACATTAAAATTTACTATCAAGTCACAAACTCAAATCATCTGTTTAACTCAGCAAACAGATTTTTGTTAATAATGAGGACATATCAAGGAAAAGAAATTTAAAATGCTTAGAAAATAATGTGTAACAATTTAGTCTTAAGTAATGCATATATGTACATAACCATGTATGTAGGGATTTTTTTAATTATATTTGTCACATTTGATGACATTAATAATCTGTTAAAGGATTATTTCCCATAGACTTTTTAGGATCCGAATAGCAACGAGTCTTAAATCAACCGCCAGATACAAAGTACGTGTTTTTAAATTAAAGTTTACACAGTATACAAAACGTTTAAAAAAAAAGTAAGATGACGTAGGTTCTTCTTGAACATTTTTATTTAAACTAACATCTTATTAAAGAATAATTTGTTAATGGCTTGCTTAATGAATAGCCTAAACGAATTTGTCTCAGTTGAATAACTGTCACCTGCGGTACAGCCGAGAAAGACCTGTACTGATACTGTCACAAGCAGGAGTGGTGGGCAAGGTGTACCCTGATACTAGTTGTCTTGTTACATTTTGTGTTATCGTGAAACAATTCATCCCAAAGGCTGGTCTTCAATAGGTGTACTTATTTTTATTTCTCATATTACCGAAAACTGGCTATTCACTGACTTCTTTACTCCGTATAACTTATGGATGAACCTCTATATACTATGGTTTTGTTCATTGATTACATTTGTGGTAACACCCTCACTATGTTTGGAAATAGCCAAGTGACCTGTCACTGTCGTATCAGATATAGCTACACAACCATCACACATATAATTATCTGAATCGCAATTTATAATAAACATTTTTTATATTACATATCAAATATACTTAATGTGACTCCCTTAATACGCCACCTGCGGTGCATCCGAGAAAGACAGATACTATTACTATTACAAGCAGGTACTAGACAAGCTAAACCATGATATTGGGACCGATAATGCTAGTAAAGCGGCCTGTTGTGATACAAGAAACAGTGATTATCTTTATTGTTGCCTCCCAATCACATTTGATTTGGCGCTCTTATCAAGATTCAGAAAAAAAAATCCTGCTTTCATGTTCGATTCAGCCCACCTGTTTTCTTTTCTCTTCAACTACACGCGTTTGATTAATCAAGTTACCACCAAATCCTTCCGTGAGGCAACGGTTTATAAAACTCCTCAGCAAATGACTTCTGTCAGTCGCATAACTGGTTTTACTTGGAAATCATTTGGTGAAGTCGGTTGAACTTTCGTTCCAAATTCTGCACAAATAAGGTTAATACGACCCACATCTAGTCGATTATCCTCTCTGTTTGTCACGCTCAGCAAGTTCTTATTAACCCGAGCATATGTTTGTCACCTGCCAAAGTGTTTGGCAGAATTGGACATATCTGTATCCGCTATCGCCTGCTTTATACGTATTTACTTAAACCTTCTGAGGTCTAATCCATATTCAAACTATCCCAATTTCCATCATTGACACTATCTTTAAATGTATTCGGAAAAATTATTGGAGTTTATTTTCGATTCGATAACATTATTACCCCGGATCAGGACGTCTGTCCTATCATTGGTATCCCCCACACATACATCAACCAGCACAACGTCCACTCGGCCACTTTTCTGTGATTTTCTTCACATCTTATCTTTTTAAAATGTTAATAGAATCGAGTGATGGTCTGCCCATAAGTCTAAGAAAAATTGTTTACGCCGATCGACACGCCTTCTCATCTTAACTTTTTAGGATGATCGATTTTTGATTTCATTGAATAAAATATACTTCACTGTCAGTACATATTACTATTTAAACGCTGATAGACAACTACCAAGTTCTGACTTGCTTTAGGGGGGGGGGGAAGGAGGAGGTTTGGAAATGTTTCTATTTTTAGTAAAGGCCCAAACATTATGGATGATTAAATGATTAACTACATCATTCTGACATAAGCTCTTGTTTATTACACAATTTTTGATTAATAATCTTATAAATAGGGCTTGTTCACACACTTTTTTTTTTCTCCTTTAACCCACTTCTCTTTTTTTTAAAAATGAAAGATAAAAGGTTAGTATATAACAGCTTTTGTTTTTTCAAGAAACACTAAATTATTGGCTCTTTCTCAAAAAAAAAATAGAAGACGCATTGCCATTCTTGCAATATTACGGCTACGACTAGTCTTTGCTATAGGATGTTCCCTTCCTAGGCTGGGTTTTAAGGACTTACTGGATGGACGGGTTGTAAATAGCAGGGTTTACACTGTAAATATATGTAAACAGACTGGCTTGTTGGTTTTGGCAGTAAGTAGTATAAAAAAATACGGAAGTCTAGACATTTCCGAATTATTTCTCTGTCGCTCCAGCTTCGAAAATATTAACGTTTTTTTTGAATATTTTTTCTTTGGTACTTTAAAGATGAATCACGTCCAAGACTTTCTCGCCAAGCAGCCAAGTTCAGAAAGAACAGAAGCCTCGGTTGAATATCATCGAGAGATTTCACAAGCATTTCATATGTGACTACAACCTCGTGGATTGGTCGCGTTTATCCAGACTTGTTAATAATGTAATTGTACTCGTTTGTTAGTAAAATTGGACCACATGTTCACATTTTGTTTTTTTTACACAGAATCTTCTTCATAACCAAGCAGATGGAGTGTTGGATGATATGATGCCGAGAATATTAAAAGATAGGTCGAAGCATACGGATGAAGTAAGTATACAGATTTTAATATAAATTGGCACGGTTGAAATGATACGGCTTAGTTTTTCTGGTCTTACCAGTTAAGACTAAAGCCTTGTGCCTTAAAGTTTCAAAACGCTGATGCATAAATTATAATTAGATTGAAAATTTTTTCAATTCCGAAAAATTGGATATCCCTTTTAACCAAGATATAAATACGCTGAGAAGCATTTTTAATAATGAAAAGAAAATGCTTAAAAAAACTGATATCCACGATCAAGACTATTTATTTTATGGGATACTAGACTTCGTCAGCAAGGTTGATGAGAACAAAACCAAGTATATCTTGAAGGACGATTTCTTGAAGTGGAGGACTAGTCTTATAAAAAAGGCAACATATTCTGATGAAACCCCAAATACGGCTTATCATTTTACAAAAAGCATTTTACGAGCTTCAGATTTCGATGAAGCAAAGGCAAAAGAAAAGGAAGCTATAAAATCACTCCAAAAAGACGACATTGAGTACAAGCAAAAAAAGAAATGTTTGCAGCTACTTAAACTTCAAAGAAAGAGATACAAGGAAAAATTGCCTGATGAAAACGAGTACTCTTTTATTATCAGTTATTTTAGCAAAGTATTTACCACTGTATTTGACGCAAAAAAAAATTTCTGGCAATATAAATGGGGCGAGTTTAAATTAGCCGCATCGAAGGAAGAGGAAAACCTTGCCAAAACTGACGACCAAAATAGGGCACAAGGCTCTTCAATTGACTGTATCGTATCTTCAAAAGAACTAGGCTTGGATTTTGTGTTGTTGGAAGTTTCTGGTTCGATGGATAAAGAAGATTACGTTCACTTTCTGAAGGATCGACTTAAGATTGCAAAGAATTTAAAATACATTTTCAAAAGTTGTTTTGCATGGAAAACAAAATAAAAAATAAACCAAAAGTGATACTGTTAGAACTTGGATACCACTTTTATTATGGACGAAAAAATATAATTAAAAACGTATTGAAAAAATGTATTTGGTCTATGAGAAAAAACTATGGATATTTATATAAAGAACTGGGAGAGTTCTAGGGAGAATATTAAGCGCCTTATTGGATCATGATGTAATAATCTGGTGATAGTAAATAATCAACATGTCTTAAAATTTTGCCCTTCCATACTGAGTATATAAATATTAGTCAGAGGGATCAACAGTTATAACATCAAATGACAAGAGTAATATATGTGCTCAAGATCTATTAATATTCTATAGTCCAGGCCCATTCGATTGTATTGCTTTTGCCCTGTGTACAGACTGTCCAACGGTAGGATGAGAACAAGCGGGGTAATGTGTGATTCATGATTAACTTTTATATTTATTATCCATCCTTAATGTGATGTGACAATTAACTTTATTATTATATCTATGATATCCTCAACAACAGTAACATTTCAGAAAGGCAATGCTGGATTCGACCGACGTACTACACCCCTCCATTGAATCATTTGTCTAAAAATCCTATGGATTTGTATAGCTTCATTCCTGCCAACGATGTTCTTGATAAATTGTCGAAGGCTTCATACTTGACTGACGACGAATATACATCTGGTATAACTCATCATGATATTTGGGAGTTTGGTTGGTTAAAAAAAGGCGATCGATTTTACAATATACATAGCAAGGAGTTTAATGACAAGCACTATTGCTGTCAGTAATTTCACAAGTAACATTGATCAGAGGTTAGATTTACATAATTTCAACTGTAGCAAAATTTAAGGTATCAATAAACAGTTTATTGTAGTAAAATTTCAGCTTCCCAGTAAAGATTTAACTCTGCAAACTTCTTGTTCAAACACTTGGGATGTACACCTATGCAAACACAGTAGTCGCTCGATTTAAGGGTATTTTCTATTTAAGGGTGAGATTTTCGAAATTTCTGGTCACCCTTAAATCGAGCTACTAATATTTGTAAAGTCTTTTTGAAGGCATCAAGTATGTGGTCAAAAATGAATAGAGAGGGATCCAGCGAAAATAGTGCCTTCTAACGTGCCACCTAATCCTATTTTATGTTCCAAAAAACGTTTTTTTTTTAAAAATCCCTGACTGAAGAACTATTGTTCCAATGTCTTTAAACAATAATATAAAAATAATTTACATTTTTAGTTTTTAAAACGTTTTAGTGATAGCCATCAAACATTGTCGGTGTTAAAATATTCAAGCTGGGGAATATAGGGGATGCCCATCATTTGAAATAAACAAAAAGCATGAGGTGGATTTGTAACACCCGACAATTATTTCAACAAAACAGCAGGACATGGCTAAAACTGTAATTTTTTTTTTAAAAGCTATGAACTTTATCAATAAAACAGTTCAAGGAAAGGGTCAACGCCAGGACATTGATGGTTGTAAAGTAGTACATATATTAAAATAATTTACATTTTTTTATATTAATACATATACATATAATGAGCATTCATTAGACCTTGAATGTTGCCTAACGTCAACCGGGGGAGGGTATTCCCGCCAAAAAAATAATTTGAAGTTTATCAGGTTTAAGCTTTGTGGCAAAAAAAGAATTAATGGGCGCACAATTAAAAAGCGGAATAATCAGAACGCTTTGTGCCCATAAGAAGCGAACCATTCAAATCTCTGATGATATGAGCACCAAGCCCGTTAAATATCAATCAAACCGTCAATTCGAGAGTATTCAGGTCTATAATATTAGTATAATACAGGAAGACAGCTACACTTTACAAGGTCTGATAAATAAGATTTTTATATTTATGATCACTTTTTTTTTAAAAGATATTTAGATTTTCCCCTTGCCGATCACCGCTCATTTAGATATACTTTCGCTAGTCTTAACGGGGATTCAGCAGCTAAAAAAGCGATTATTATTACAACAGCAACAGCTAATACCTATAATCCCAGCCTTGTTTAAGAATATGGGTGGGCTAAAATTGGTCATGAATAGTATAACAGTAAAGCTGTATACATCTATTCCACTAGAAGAAAATTAGTCTTCGTTATCGTCAATCATAATTGGTGTGATAAGACGCTTCAGCACTTTACTTTTTTTAACAACACATAATTTAGTTGGTTTACATATTTCAACATAATTTATTAAACATTTTAGGGTATTTTAACCAATTTTCATGAGACATGAAAGTTAAACTGTAGTTGATTTATTATTTGCGTATTTAATCAGCTGGGCAATAACTACCTAACAAAAGCAAAAGGTTGTGTGCTTAACCAAAACAGACTTGAACTTTATGCAAATAAATATTTATTGTAGATCAAAGCGAAATCAGCTATGTTTTTGGAAAACAAAGTTTGAAAATGGAGTCACTGTACTAGCTTGACACCATAATAGATCATGTCGCGCCTCTTGGCCGAACAATAGGATTTTTTTTCAATAGATTGATTAAGGGAATTACCCTTATAGTTGATATAATTATTGCATCATTATAATGTACAATGTTGATCACGAGACAGATCTGACAGCTTCTTTGATTGGAGGACTAATTATAACCCGATCTGTAATTCGTCATGTTTATGAATTTAAATTAGTTTGGAACAGAAGAAAGTTTGTGTGCCTGAGACTTAAAAGTATATAAGAAAAATATTTATAATTAATCAAGTTCAATTGTGAATACTTTAGCGCACAGATCAAAATCTATATAATTTATCTTTTCATGTGTGTATATATGTGGGTTGTTGTATTATGATGCATGTTATTAATAGCTTTTTTGCCAAGTCAGTAGAATCACCGACGGCTTAAAATTTATTTTGAAAACCGCGCTACTCTATAATTATTTATTTTTCTTTGGTGGGGAAAGGGGAAGAATTAGTTTCTTCTTTCTCTCTTTCATTTTTATTTTTTATTTTTATTTCTTGTACTATATTATAATATAAAATGAATTCAAATGAAAAGATTCAATCATATAAACCCAACCTAAGTAGAGAATTTTCAACAAACTCATCCGATGCAGAAGAAGTAACGATGGGTTCGGATGCGCAAGCATTTATCACACAACCTGTCAAGAGGGGTAAATCCCTTGTACGACCGGAACGTGAACGAATAGATCCCAATCATCGTCAATATCATTATCGCCAAGCCGCCAGTCAAGCTCCCACAGACACAGTACAACCCAGTCGTACCGGAAACCTACCACCTATTCGTCGCGGTAAAAGTGTCTTGGGTCGTGAAGAAAAGGGTGTTCCTGCCGGTGGTGCTACTGCTATCAACTTTGAATATGATCAACCACCCACCAAATCTTCTTGGTCTTCAAAATTACCTGGCCCTTGGATGACTTATTGTTATTTATTAACTTGTTGTGTACCACCTCAACTGTTGTTGTGTGCAGGTAGGACCAAAAAAAAAAAAAAAAATTACGACAACACTTGTAAATACTAACTATAATTTTACAAGGCATTCCGAAAGGACAAGCACAAAGCGCATGGAGAGAGAAAATAGGACTGGTCAGCATTATTTTGCTCATTATGGGGTTTGTTGGTTTCTTAACTTTTGGATTCACAGAAGCGACGTGTCCGATTCAACCCATCACGGTACATGGCAATGAAGTTAGCCCTGGTTACCTTGTGGTGAAAGGATGGGCTTACATGCTTTCGGAATGGAAAGGACATCCGGGTAGCAATGGGACAACGACGGATGTCTTGTATCCACCTATGAATGGTGCAGGCATGGATGCCTCATTACTCTTTCCTACCAAGGCTGCCGAATGTGATAATGTGTTTGTTCCACTTCAGGGAGCTCAACCAAATTATTTCCCTTGTCAATTATTCAACCCCAACAGCACCATCGTACCCGACGTCTCACAATACACAAATAGATCCAATTGTCACACCAGTAGTGCCGCTTTAAATTTATTTGATACTTTCACAAAGGAAGGTGTGCCTAATAGTAAAGGCGGCTACGATCAAGCTTCCAGAGTCTATTATAATTACGAGGATGTGAATTCTACCAGTCATCTTATGCTTTATAATGGGTAAGGATGAAACCTTATATTATCTAACCCTTTAATTTATTTTTAATATTTTTTTTTTTCAGTAATGTTTTAAATCTGGGTTTATTACAATCGTTACCCAAAGAATATTTTAAAACAGTGTCCGGTGGTCTTGTAGAGAAAATTATGAACAACCAAAGTGAATTTGCAGGCAAAGATATGACTTATTTAATTAAGGCCTACCGTGGATCTGGTATCCCATGGGAGCAAGAGGCCGATTGCTTAGTCAAGACTATCCGCGTCGGACAAATTGATACGATCTCCGTAGGTTGTATGTTTTCAGAAATCGTCCTGTATATCTCCTTGGTGGTTATTCTAGGTGTCATTGTTTCAAAATTTGCCCTGGCCGTGATATTTGGATGGTTTTTATCATGGCGATTAGGTAATTTTAAAGAAGAAACCTCTTACGCCGCTAGAATGAAACGTGAAGAACAAATTGAGAACTGGGCTCAAGATATTAACGATAATGGTCCGGCGGCTATCGTACCCCCTCCTCCTCAAACAAAGACACAAAAACGTCGAACATATTTACCAAAGACTTCAAGATTTACGCCTTTAGAACATGGATCCACTCGATTTGATCTAGACAAACCTCCTATGCCCGCCTGGAAAAAGTAAAAAAAAAAAGTACCATCCCGTTGAGACGCATATTAACATAATTACCTATGTATTTTTAGTAATAGTAACGGGAGTCGACCTAATTCATTCATGTCATCATCTACACCCTCGTTTTTAAATACACCTAATTTACGTGGTTCCACTGCATCCTTTTCAAACCAACACGGTCTTACCCAAGGTGTCTCATCCTTTTCTTGGGATGGGCGTAGTAGTGATTCTGGAAGCGTTGGACCTAACGGAAATGGACCTAACGGTGTAGGACCTCCTTGTCCTTATCCTTTATCGCCCTTTGCTGTACCTCAACCTGCACCTGATTATATGCCATTTAATTACCCATTAGCCCATACTATCTGTTTAGTGACCTGTTATTCCGAAGGAGAAGAAGGTATTCGAATCACGCTGGATTCAATCTGTGTCAGTGATTATCCCAAGAGTCATACGCTTTTACTAGTGATTTGTGATGGATTAATTACGGGTAGTGGAGAAAGTATGTCTACACCCGATGTGTGTGTTGGCATGATGCGTGATTTAATCGTACCAGCGGATCAAGTGAAAGCACAACCCTATGTTGCCATTGCTGATGGATCCAGACGAAATAATTGTGCCAAAGTGTATGCGGGTTTTTACAAGTATAACAATGATACCGTTCCTATTGAACAACAATCGCGTGTACCCATGATTACCATTGTAAAATGTGGTGGACCCGAAGAAGAAGGAGCAGCGAAACCAGGTAATCGTGGTAAACGAGACTCTCAAATTATCTTGATGCAGTTTTTGCAAAAGGTGATGTTTGATGAACGTATGACTATGATGGAATATGAATTCTTTAATTCGATATGGAGAATCACAGGTGTTCCCGCTGATAATTTTGAGATTTGTTTAATGGTGGATGCTGATACGAAATTATACCCAGATGCGCTCTCCAGATTAATTTCGGCTGCTGTAAAAGACCCCGAAATTTCGGGTCTGTGTGGTGAGACCAAGATTGCTAACAAGACAGATAGTTGGGTGAGTATGATTCAAGTGTTCGAATACTACATCTCGCATCATCAATCTAAGGCATTTGAATCGATCTTTGGTGGTGTGACTTGTTTACCCGGTTGTTTCTGTATGTATCGTATCAAAGCACCCAAAGGTCCCAATGGCTACTGGGTTCCCATCTTGGCCAATCCCGATATCGTTGAACATTATTCGGAAAATGTCGTGGATACTTTACATCGTAAAAATCTCTTATTGCTCGGTGAAGATCGTTATTTAACCACCTTGATGTTACGTACTTTCCCCAACCGTAAAATGATGTTTGTACCTCAAGCAGTATGTAAAACTGTTGTCCCCGATACCTTCAAAGTCTTGCTTTCTCAACGTCGTCGTTGGATCAATTCAACCATTCATAATCTATTCGAGTTATTGATGGTGAATGATTTGTGTGGTACCTTCTGTTTCTCGATGCAGTTTGTTGTGTTTATGGAACTGGTGGGTACACTGGCTTTACCTGCCGCTATTTCATTTACATTGTACCTTATTATTATTGCAATTATGGGACACCCCGCTCTCTTACCCTTGATCTTATTGGCTTTAATTCTTGGTTTGCCTGCAGTTTTGATTGTTATGACCAGCCGAAAGGTGGTGTATATTGGTTGGATGTTAATTTATTTAATCAGTTTACCCATCTGGAATTTCGTGCTTCCTACCTACGCTTATTGGCATTTCGATGATTTCTCTTGGGGTGATACACGTAAAGTTGAGGGTGTCAAGAAGGATACGGGTCATGGTGATGAAAGTGGAGAATTTGACAGTAGTGTGATCACGATGAAGAAATGGAGTGAATATGAAATGGAACGTCGTACACGTTTTGCACAATCCCATAATTTACCTACACCGAGATTTGCTCGACATAGTCCTGGCGTCGATGTGTTTAGAGATGAGGAATACAACAACCGATATAGTTATCTATCTAACGAGAGTGCAAATGCGCCCTTGACGCGTACAACAGAGTACAGTGGAGGAGGGACAGCTGGACAGTATCAATCAACGAGAGGAGGCGAAAACTCATCGTCCTCCGCACCACTTGGTGTTATACCCGATACAATCACACGAGGACATCATGGATTTGAAGTGGATGAAATAGTGAATGCAAGTGATGTTCAACCCGATACAGCATCCGAAACGCATGAATTGGGTTGGATACAACAAAGCACACATGATAATAATTGGGCTGATCCTGCTCCTCATCATAGTCATGCTAAAAAAGATGAAGACAATAAATCCATCGCTTCATTGTAATAATAAATCCTCATTGTAAATCTTTATAAACACAGAAAAAAAGTCACAGTGGATAACATCATTATAAACTACTTTTTTTTTTCTTCTTTTGACGACATTGTGTGCAAAAAGCTCATTCCAAAAAAAAAAAAATTGTCAAGGTCTATTTGTTAAACAAACAGCCCCTTTTGTTGGAGTAGCGCATAAGCCAATTAAACAGATATCCGTTCTACACCAAGGTATGCAGACTTCATGCTTTAAAAAAATCGCCCTCCCACCCCCTTTATGTATTAAGCATTATATTCAATGCGTAGCAGATGATCGAGAAACCAATCAAAATATCATGTAAAAGCAGCATTCTAAAAAACAAGAGTTTTCAGGGCGTTGTTTGGAGACAATGGGGCATTAGTGTCAAGCCAATCCAATATAATAGTCACTCGTCTCTAAGTTCTTTCATTGATCATGTTGAATACCTTTTACATGAATCCTTTGAAACACCGCACATAGGTAAAAAAATATATATATTAATAGATCAATTAGGAAATATGCTAACAATGTTGCACAAACAAGTTTGCTACAAAGAACCCTTTATTGTGCAACAAATAGGGTGGGGTGCATTTGATTTAAAAGTGATTTTTCATTTTAAAGGTGAAAACATACCACCACAAACAGTCATGTTTGACTTAAACTTTGCAAAGGCAAATTATTCGGAATATTACACGCTGGTAATCACACAAGATAGAAATTTACATCTCTCTTTTTTTTTTATTAACATGTTATTGGTAGTATTTACCATCGGATTTTGCTTTCAAGGGTCACGTAAAGCGAACAAGAGAATCATCTATTTCTTCAGTGGATTCAGCCAATGGGGTTCCTAATAAACCACACAAAAAGAGAGCCAAACATTACTCTGAATCATCGGAATCATCTATGACATCATCTAATATATTAAGCGATCGACAAGAGCAAGTTTATGACGGCAAACTCAACCAGCAAATAGGCTCCTGCAATACATTTACCCGAAAACAACAAACTGGTTCCGTCGTACAAAATGCGTGGGATGATGCATTATTATCCAAGGTATATTTTTATAAATTTCCTTTCTTATCTACCTGGTTACTAACAAATCTCCTGCCTACCAATGATAGATGGATATTAAAATATTAGGCAACAGTTTAGAAGGATTGGATGATGAGCAGTTAAGAAAGGTATACGACATGTTTTTCCAACATGACCGAAGGAATATGAGTATTGTTGAAACAAAAGGTGAGGTATTTAAAGCAAGTGAGAGAGGGCGAGAAACAGGGTGCATCCTGCTTTTTAATACTAGCATAAAAAAAAGGGAGGAGATTATTTTAATAAGAAAGGAAAATTAATCACAACTTTTTGATATCATAATAGACCATGTCTTTATTGATCTTTATACAGTGGGACCTTTACTTTTAAAAAAATTATGGGAATTTACAAGAAATATCGAGATGCATCATTAAAACAAGGAAAAAGAAAAAAGAAAATATGTCGGGTAGCAATGCCTAGATATATAACGCCTTAATTTGTAACAACTATTGTACCGATACATGTAACACTGTCTATTTGCTGATACTCTATGGAAATGATATAATTCAATTATAAACCACCTATTATAACAAACAATCTGCTTTAGCAAAATAATAAAAATACCAGTCATTAGTGAAAAACTAATAAATTACCTAACCTCACTCTCATACTGCTGATTATTTTTTCTCTTCTAATGAGACGCGTGATGGGGGACAGTTTGGTAAAGTAACATGCAATGCATTTGAAAAAGACTAAATTTTTTAACTGTTACTTTTTTTTTTTCATGCAGAAAAACAATAATAGGAGGAATATCATATCAAAAAATAAGAAATAAAATAGAATCTGTCATAATAATCCCCTAAATAAACAACAAAGATCTTCCCTTATTTGCATTTGCTCTGCGTGATAAATCAACCGGCAACTTATATATAACGTAATTTATTTTTCCTTTTCCTTTCCTTCCTGCCTCACTTTTTGATAGTTTTTCTTTTTCTTATAACAACTATACAAAGAAAGAAAAAAAAAAAGAGAGAGAAAAAAGAGAGATTTTGACTCTTGTTTAATACTATACCTTACCTTTTATTAATATATATCACAGAGTTTCCAAAACAATGGCTGATCATCCTATCGATGAGAAAAAAGACGCAGTTGAATTTGAAGAGCATCAGCACATAGAACATGAAGAGGACATCTCACCAGAATTAGAGCTCCTTTTACACACAGACCCTGGCCATGGACTTACCTCAACAGAGGTGGAAGAGCGACAAGCAAAATTTGGCATGAACGAATTACCAGAAAAGAAGACGAATCCCTTTTTAAAATTCTTTGGTTATTTTACGGGCCCTATTTCGTATTTGATCGAAATCTCTTGTGTTATTGCAGCTGTGGTAGGTGACTGGATTGATTTCGGTATTATCTTGGCCCTCTTGATCATCAATGCCATTATTGGTTATATTGAAGAAGCCAAAGCAGAATCTGCACTGGATGCATTAAGACAAACATTGGCTCTCAAGACCCGCTGTTGGCGTGACAATGAGTTGAAGGAGGTTGATGTAAAAGAACTGGTACCTGGTGATGTCGTCGTCCTTCGTATCGGCGACATTGTCCCTGCTGACGCTCGTCTCTTGGGTCTTGGTGTCAACGGCGAAGAATCCGAAGCGGAACTCATGATTGATCAGTCTGGTCTCACTGGTGAATCTCTCCTCGTAGCCAAGAAAAAAGGAAGTACCGTTTACTCTTCCAGTATCATTAAACAGGGCCAACAGTTAGCTATCGTCACTAAAACTGCTACAGATACATTTATTGGTCGTGCTGCTAACCTGATTGCTATCACTGCCGAAGAAGGTCATTTCCAAAAGATCATTGGTAAAATCGGTAACGTTCTGATCACTTCCACTGTCGTACTGGTTTTGATTGTGTTTGTCTATCAAATGGTTCATTTCCGAGGCACTGCCAAAGGTAACTGGAAGATTGTCTTGGAGAATTGTTTGGTCTTGACCGTAGCTGCTATTCCTGTGGGTCTCCCTACTGTCATGTCCGTCACAATGGCCGTGGGCGCAAAGCAATTGGCTGCAAAGCAAGTGATTGTAAAGCGATTGACTGCTGTTGAAGAACTGGCATCTGTTTCTGTCTTGTGTTCCGATAAGACCGGTACCCTGACTTTAAACGAACTGACCTTTGATAAACCATGGCTCACAAACGAATATACGGAAGATGATATCTTGCTTTACTCTTTCTTGGCTGCTGAACCTGGTGCAAACGATCCTATTGAATCTGCTGTACGTCGTGCTGCTGAATCTCAACTGGACATTCTTAAAGATCGACAAAACGCCCGAGAGATTCCTGGTTACAAGGTCACGAAATTTTCGCCGTTTAATCCCACTACTAAAATGACCCAAGCTACCATCATGGATCTTGCTACTAACCAGCTTTTCAGCGTTGCCAAGGGTGCTCCTCAAGTTATTACAGAACTCGTAGGTGGTGATGATGAAGCCGTACATGCTGTTAACTCGCTTGCTCGCCGTGGTCTTCGTGCTCTTGGTGTTGCCAAGACTTTACCTGGAACAACGGACAAATTTGAATTGGTGGGTATGATCTCTTTACTTGACCCCCCTCGCCCCGATTCTAAATCCACTATTGCTGAGTGCAATGCTCTCGGTGTGGATGTCAAAATGATTACAGGTGATCAAATGATCATTGCAAAGGAAGTAGCTGCTCGTTTGGGAATGGGTCGTGTTATTTTGGATGCCAATCATTTAGTAGATCCTACTAAATCTGAGGAGGAAGTAACTGAACATTGTATTCGCGCTGATGGGTTTGCTCAAGTTATTCCTGAGCACAAGTATCGTGTAGTTGAATTGCTTCAAAACAAGGGCCTTTTGGTGGGTATGACTGGTGATGGTGTCAATGATGCGCCTGCGCTCAAGAAAGCCGATGTGGGTATTGCTGTCGAAGGTTGTACGGATGCTGCACGTTCTGCTGCTGATATTGTATTGCTTGCTCCTGGTCTCTCTACCATTACCGATGGTATTATTACCTCACGCGCTATTTTCCAACGTCTTCGTTCTTACGCTCTCTATCGTATCACCTCCACTATTCACTTTCTGCTCTTTATGTTTATCATCACCTTGGTAGAAGATTGGACCATGCCAGCTGTACTTTTAATCATGATTTGTGTCTTGGTAAGATTTAAAGTTTTCGCTACATTATGAAATATTTATATTTTTTTTGGTCGATTTTAGAATGATGCTGCTACTTTGGTTATCTCGATCGATAATACAGAAATTTCCGAGAAGCCCGACAAGTGGCGTATTGGTCAATTACTCACACTATCTTTTGTTTTGGCTGCATTGTTGGCCGCTTTATCGTTCGCCCATTTCTATATTGCCCGTGATGTTTTCCATGTGACCGACAATGAGTTACATTCGATCATGTATTTGCATATTTCGTCAGGTAAACTTTATATTTATATATCCGGTACTCTCTCACCCGATAGAACTAATACCCTCCATCTTTTTTTTATATGGTATAGCTCCTCATTTTGTAATCTTTTCTACTCGTGTACCTGGTTACTGGTACACAAATATGCCCAACTGGTTATTTACCTTGTGTATTATTGGAACCCAAGTAATTGCCCTGTTCTTTTCAGTGTACGGAATCTTTGGTGAGGAAGAAGGTGTAGCTCCCTGTGGTTACCCTTGGGGTTTATCTGTATTGGGTGTCTCGCTTGTTTACTTTATGCTTTTAGACTTTGTCAAGGTACAAATCTTCCGTTCTTGGAGCTTTGAAATGACTGCCAAGATTGTCCCCACTACTGCTCGTCGAAACAAGTTGGCTTCGCGTAAAGAGTTGACTCAACGAAATATCGAAACTAAAGCTGCGTGGGATAAATTGATTTCGTAAGTGTATTCTCTTTACGAAAAAAAAAACAATTATTCTTGACAATATCACTTATCCCATTATTTATAGACCCGTTGAAGCTCATAATATTGTATTTGCATTCACAAACTTTGCACAAAAAGCAAATTAAGTTAATATTTAACACCCTATTGACGAAGAGAGAAATATATATATATATCTACATATGTATTGCATTATACACACACTTTTAATTATACTTCATTTCGCCATTTTTTCATTATATAATACAGTGCTAACGTTGGAACTTGTTGGTTCGAAAAATAAATAAATATTGCTTGTCTGAAATCTTTGTAAAATCCCAAGATTGATTGTCGCTAGAATAACTACACCACAATATGATAACTAAAATGATAATGACAAGAAAATAAGACTAGGTTTACACTTGTTAGTTTTAACAAAATGCCATTTTTATTTTATTATTGAGTACAAAAAAAAACAATATATTTTCTGATTGGGAGCTCTATTTTATCATAATACAACCGTATGCATTAATTTGGTAGTTGTCTTCCAAAGTTCCAATCAAAGGCACGAGTTAAACCTCTCCAGATCCAATTAAAAATTCGGACTATAGTGTCCAAAACCCAATCAAAAGATCGATTTAAGAATTCCGTAGTCCAGTTATAAGCTCGAATCACGCTTCTTACAGTCCAATGAAAGGAATTATTTAAGCTTGTCCAGATCCCGACTACGATTTTAGTGTAAGGAATTAACTGATCTATCAATTCCTTCACATAAATGATGAGTAAAGGAGTCACATTAAATCCAGGATTGCAAGCCTCGTTGAAATAGCAAGAGGTCAAAAAATAACCGGCCATAAAAAAGCTGATACGATCCATCAAAAAGAACCCAAAGGCGATAATCTCCAAGAAAAAAGCAATTACATGGTACGGGAAATTCCACATTGTTATTTGCATTGGTCTCTGAACTGGTCTCTGAGCTGGTCTCTGAGCTGGTCTCTGCACTGGTAGTTGTAATAGTCCTTGCCCTGGGATAGGAACTGGAATATTTACCGCTCTTCTCCTTTGTTCTATTAAAATTACTGGTTCCAACTCCAGTCCTTCTACAAGATCTGGTTGGTTACGACAAGCAGCCACTTTTGACTGATGAATTCTGACGCCCCTCAAGTTTTTAAAACGTCTCTCACATGTTCCACATAAAGCTATATGGCTTATGTCAAAAAAAAAACACTTGTCATTCATGTTTAATTGTTTACTTACCTACTGTATCAGCCATTGATTTCTTATTTTGAAAAAGGGATAGTAAAAGCCAAGTAAAGCTAGCGGTTATGAAATCCGATATAAGCTTTTTGGAAGGACAATGAAATTTAGTGGCCCATTGTATCTTTTTTAAAAAAAAAGTCCGTATAGGTAAATTGGCTGTTTAGTCAAAGCCTGATTATCTAATGGCATCTTTGTCTCGTTGTGACAATTAAGTTGGTGTATTATTCTATTTGATAAATATAGACCACAATTTAAGTATAACATCAATACTTTCAGACTCGCACATTTTAGGACACTTAAAATTACGATTCTAATCAAAAAATTTGGGAGATGAAACGACTTGTAAACATATTACTGTTCAGGTCAATTCATAGATCATAAGTTATTAACCCTTTGTAGCCGAAAGAAAATTACTTGAGCTTAAATATACGAATTTATATAATGAGCAGGCTTTATTTTAAACTTGGGTATTCTTAAGAAACCACGCGAGGCGATGGGCGTCTGTAAAAAATCATAATAAGGCATTTGCTGTATATTTAAAAATAGTTAAATTACCATCATAGAGATGTGAAGTACACTAAAAGGGTTTCGTATACATCAATTCGACGTACATTTAGATGAATAATACTGGTTATTTTTAGAGAAAACAAGACTTTTAATCCCGAGATTCCATAATGCATCTGCGAATTACTTTGTGCACGTACCATCTCAGAGAGCGTCACTCGATAACGTCACAGCCGCATAGAATATGATACTGCTCAATACATTGCTTTTAAGCTGTGCATATAACTACCATCTCTAGTGTCATAGTCTAGAGCAGATGTACTTTTATGGAAACCATAGCTTGTTACTCATACTGACTTACATGACAAGTAGTTTTATCAGAGAAATGAAAAATCTGGTTTATACATGCAACATTATTTAAATCAACCAGTCTTAATTGAAGGCATAGTACACTTTTTTTCGTGCTGTTTATGAATTTAGAAGATCTGCATATCAGAATATAGGTTACAAGAGAGAGGAGTAAAAAAAAAGAAAAAGAGGGAGACATCTTAATAATGAATGAGATGCGGGGGGTAGATAATATATATAAAGAAACCCTATTTTAATTCAAGACTTTTTCACAAATGGTTGAAGGCAACCAACCATACACTTCGGGATTCTTAGTCAAGTTGCCATACCACCATTCAGTTGAAGATGCGTTGGTGGAAATGGTGGCCGTGTCACTATTATTATGCATGGTATGGGTCGGTAACCAAATCTGTATTAAATCGCCCTCGCGTACTATGAGCCCTTCAGGCGATTTATAATCGAATAGTGCTGTACATTGAAATATAGGTTGTGATTCACTAAATAAACTGTCATACTTCTTGTTGTTGGATTTTGATTTTTGTCTCTTTTCTACTATCGCCTGTCCTTCTTTTTTTTTTTAAATAAATATGTCAAAAATTCATCTATTTTGTAGCGTTTTCTCCCCCTTATTTTCATTTATTATTATTACCTTGTTCTACAGGAGGAGGAGGAGGAGGGGTGACAAAGTAGCCACTGTCTCTTGGTTTGGAGCCGAGTTCATTTAGACGAGGTTGTAAACGTTTTACAGTTGCTTTGTAGTCGGCTTCGATAGTGGACCATACAGGTTCTTTACCAAAGGGTTGTTCAATGGTGAGTGTTTTCCATTCGAGCTTGGATCTTCGCCAATAAATGGATTGTACACGAGCGAATTCGCTAATGATAATATCGAAATAGGTAACAGTGAGAGACAGAAAGATGGGTAATTCGTCCAATAGGTGAGCATTTAAGGAAATGTACTGTTCTGCCGATATCTGTAACTGTTTGTCGGGCACTTCTCCTTTACTAATTAAATGTCGTGCTCGATCATAATCCATTAATTTTCGAGTTCGTTTTTGAATAATGTGTGATGGATTTTTAAATAATTTTAAATATGATTCTATTCTATTGTAAACTGCTTCTTGAACAAGTGTTTCCTAAAAATAAAAATATCTTTTTTAGGGATTTTCTAATTTTAAAAAATAAGTAAGATAGTTACCACTGAATTAGTTTCTAATTGGGACACCAGTTTCTTAAATGCACGCATACTTCTAAGGCCTATACCATCGGAATCCCCGTACACTGCATCTAGACTATTGACAACGTCTGATAATGCATGTACGTTTTGTTTAATTTTTACTAACCAATCTTGTACACCTCGTTCGAATTGCTTGGCAATTTCCTGCCTTGCTTCAAACTGCTTAAAAAGGTCATCGAAGGAAGCATCTTGTGTGCTCAATGTTTGTTTCTTGCGATGCACTCTTCTTGTGAATTTCTTATTGATCCCTTGTCTATTCTTTTCTTACATCAGTATGCATTTACATGTAATACTTTCAAACTTACACAACACTGCGATCCATCTTCTTTTTGTCACAAATCAACTGTTCTACCATATCTTTCCTTCGCTTCATTTCATTAATATGATCTGCCATTTGTTGAATTTCGTGTGTGACAATGATTAATTGTTCATAATCTGGGTGGTTTTCAGCAGTAGAAGCCACGATTTCCTAGTTATTGTTTTTTTTTGTTAATGAGTTACATAAGATGTAGATAAATATGTAGTTTACTTTTAGCAGCAACGGGTACTTTAAGACCCTTTGTACAGGTTTGATCAATAAACTGGGTAGATCCCAACACATGGTACGCCCTTGAATTTTATCTTTACATTTCTACTAGAACAAACACAAATTAATCGGCTTGCTCCTCCTTCCCTCTTCTCCCCTTCCTCCCCTTTTCCCCGATGATGATTTGTTTATACCAAAATAAATGCTTGTACAGTGGGTCTTGAGCTTAACTCTTGAATCTTGCTAACAGCATCCTCATGTTTCTTGCAGTAATCACCGTAGATTTGGTCCATCCGATGCATCTAATCAAATAGGTAAGTATATAATAAAAACTAGATATGTCTAAAGATGTATAAACTTACAATCATACTAAATGCAGTACCAATCGTGACATGTGGATCCGCTTCACTGCAGGCGGTTTCGAGTAAACAAACAAACTCTTTTTCAAAAGAGAGAATGTCTAGTAAGTTAATAAAGATGTGCTTCATTTCTATCTTTGATAGCACTTGTTGTGCTTCGTCGTAATACACCTCCTTAACCAATTCCATATCAGTCTGGTAATTTCTTTCTGTTGCTATCAACTCCTGAATGACACGAGCTCGTTTCAATGCAGAGGGCTGTGATGTTGCTGGTGCTTGTATTGTGGTTGTTGTTGTTGTAGGTACTGGTGCTGGCGCCTGTGCCTGTGCTTGTGCTTGGGGAAGTGTGGGTACGCTAGGTGTATTGGATACCATGGGTAAAGGCGGATGCGAGAACCAATGAGTGAAGTGCCAATTATTACGTTTGCTGGATGATATGGTGTTGGCAGAGATGGATGAATTGGAAGAAGAAATGCTGGTGCCTGTAGTAGATCGTTTGATATTGGAAGTTGGTGGCATGACCAACGAAGGAGAGGAAGTTGAGTTGGGCACTGATTTACGATTAACAATATGATGCATAGATGTGGTGACGGGTAAGGAAGGTGATTCCTCTATAGTGGGTGCGGATCTTCTGATGGAAAGAATGGTATGACTGACAGGTTCACCTTTTTTCTCAGAGATAGCCAATCTCTTGCTTAGTTCGGTGACAAAAGAACCTGTTCGAGGCACTGCTCGTATACCTAGTGTGGGAATAGAAAGTATAATATCATCATCATCATCGTCGTCGTCATCGTCGTCGTCGTCGTCCATATCATCGTCTTCATCGTCTTCATCAATATCTTCATCTTCTTCCTCCATATCGTCTTCTTCGTCATCATCTTCGTCGTTATAGTTAATTCCATCTTCAACGGTTGTGCTGCTACTGTTGGAAGAAGACCAAAGAGAAGGTGATGTCTTTGAGAGTGGCATATCACTGTGATTTCGCTTCAAGGGAAAATGATCAGATAGTTCACTAATGTTTTTAGCCACAGCAGTAATACGTCTTGGCATTGTGTTTGTGTTTGTGTTTAATTTCTTTTTGTGCATGTCTGTACTATCGGTCTTTTGGTGGAACTTTGCACGTAAAGCATGAAATGAAAGAGTATCATTCATACTATAAATAAGAGAGGAAACAAAGAAAGAAAGAGAGAAAGAGAGAGAAAAGGGGGGAGAGAGATATATAGACACAAGGAGTTGGTCAGATTCGAATCAATTTATTTGCTTTGGTCATAAAAGGGGGGGGGGGAGAAGACAACATTACTATTGCCACAGTTGATGAACCAATAAGAAAGTGTTTGTATGCAAAAAAAAAAAAAAAAAAAAAAAAAAAAAAAAAAAATAAGAAAAAATGTGTATAAGAAAAAAAAAAAAAAAAAAAAAAAAACCTCTCTCTCTCTTAACTTCACCCCTCTCTTTGCCTTTTTCTACTTGACCTTGTTAATCTGCTCTTTTGGGCGTGTGGGCTATTTGAAGCATGCCTTAATTGAGGTGGTAGTGGTATAATGGCGTCTACGGAAATGTCTGATGTTGCAATGAAATGTTGCTGCTGTGGCGGTTGCTGTGGTGGTTGCTGTGGTTGCTGTTGTGAGTGTTCACGTGGTATATTCAAGATGCCAGCATCTCCTTTGGTTGCTACCATGTAAGGAACCCACGTCAATAGTTCCCCTTTAGCATATAACCTTTTATTTTTAATATTAACACTACTACTACTATCTGGTTCGTGTCCAATTACAATTTCGTAGTGTCCCTCCTTTTCCACCAGCATGTTGTTTAATTCCAATGTCGAGATAATATCATTGATTGTCATGCCGGTGTTTCGTGAGAGCTCTACAACGACATAGGATGAATGTTTGTACAACTGTTTCATATATACAAGGACTTACCTTCTAGTGTAATTTGACCAGCATGATGTTGTAGTTGTGATGTAATGATGCTTGCCCAGTATTTTCGATAAGAGAGCAATCCCAAATCGGACAAGGGCTTTTCAGGCGAGCCAATTTTAGCTTCCTTGCGCGACAACAAGTAACTAAAATCAATCAAGAACTGTCCATAGCCTTTTCGTTGGTAGGCCGGTAATGTCATGATGCAGGAGAGATTGTAATCCAATAATGATTGCTTCTCTTTGGAGAAATAGCCTACAAAGTGACATCCTTCAGCATCGGTTTCGGTCAAGATGTAGAATAAAAAGGGCTCCACATCGTAATATAAGGTCTTGTGGTCCAGAAACATTTTGGCCAACAAGCACAAGTTTTGGCAGTAGATCTTATTCTTTCGTCCGTCCACTTCGAATATCGATATGTTGCCGTCACGGTAAATTTCGTCGCCTGGTGGGTGCTTCATGGGACACTTGATCTATTTACTATGTAAGTCTTATCTCTCTCTCTCTTTTCCAACATTCGCATATTTACCTTGTGTCGTTTCGCTATATAGGCGCTCTTCATGTACTTTAAGCAGTACTCGCACACATGTAAAACCTCTAGTTTACTGTATTCTTCCGGATAAGGGGCTAAATACCACACATCGATAATATAGGCGCCAATCTGCAATTTACGGATATGGCCCACATTTTCCTGATGACGTGAAGGGATCGGTAAGAAGGATTTGGTTGGAAGCTGTGTACATGAATCTGACGATGAGTCAGAGGACGGTGTATGCACTAATTTGCGTCGCTTCATGATTTTTAATTTGGTTACTCTCTGTCTCAGCACACGACTGGGTTTGGACGAATCAGACGGAGAGACGGAGTTTGATTGACGTGAAGCATGATTCGTAGCTGCTTCTGCTTCTGCTTCTGCGTGTGGTGGTGTAGTGGGAAGTGGTGATGCTCTTTGCGGTGGCGAAGAGGATGCTGGTGGTGGTGGCTGTGGTTGTTGTGGTTGTGCTTCTGTTGCTGTTGCCACTGCTGTCACCCCCATTTGTTCTACTGGTACTATTTGTTCCATGGGTTCTGCTGTGGAAGGCACTTGTCGACTCTATGTACAGATGTTAATATATATATATAAAATGCAGACAAGTTAAGAAAGAGACTCACCTCCACCAGATGCTTGGCATTCTCAAACCTGTCGATGCTTTTAAACTCTGGCAATCCTCTGGTATATTGTTCACCCAAGTTAACCTTTGTTTGGTACAAAGTTTCTACAGATGAATATTGAGGGACAAGTGGCCCATTCGTGTCAATCTTGTGAACAATAGCACGTGCTGAAGTTCGACGTATTTGAAACTGCTTTTTAGTAATGGTCATTTTACAGTATGCAAATAAAAAAAAAAAAAGAAGGGAGTGGAGGGGTAGACGCTTTTTTTTTCTTTTTTTTTCTTTCTCCAAGAGTGACTACAGTTGTGTTATAAAAAAAAGGAGTGGACAATCAAAAAAAAAAGCTCTATTGGGGGTAAATGGACAACAACAACAAAAACAATTTTTTTTTTAAACCAATAGAATAAAACACAAAAATAAAAGTGACGCTTTTAATTTAAAAAAAAAAATGTTTTTATGTTTGTACTACAATAGGGGAAGAAGCGCGTATAGATATCAAGTCAATGGGGTTACTTAACACTGTCTTCAAGTCTGTCTCATCACATTGGATCTCGAGATAATGTAAATGTTGGATAAAGGTGAGATCCAAAATACTCGGTAAAATACAATTAATCAATTTCAGGACCTTAACATGAGACGGACACAAGACTTGCATTGTTACTGTTGATAAAATAGCTTCTTTAAGTGACACATGATTTATCTTTTCCTTTGTTGTCTTTGCAGTGTACTTTCTTCCTTCTCCCACACCCATATGTACTCGGTCAAATTGCAGATCATACGGGTATTCAATCGCCTCTAGAACATATCGCGTACTTGATCGATTAACCAATAAAAACTTTATATCAGGGCATTTCTTTCGGACATAATACACCAACTGTATACAATCTTCTAGACGATATCGACTTGCATCACCTACTTCCATCGAATCAATCATAAAACTATCATCTTCTGTGTTAAATAATCGGATCAGATTGTTTGTCGGATATTCTGGCGTAAGTTGATATTCTAGTATCATTTTCTTCTTATCCACATTGAGCTTAAACCGTTGATCGTCACTATATCCACCCTTCATTGATAGATACACATGACAATGCAACTTTCTTTCTGCCATCACCGTATTAATAAATTGCCAGTGTCTTGTCATCTTATCATGTCCTAACGAATTGTTTCTTTGTCTTTTACCCGTCACAATGTCTGCCACCAATTCCACCTGTTCGACTCCAGATAGATACTGTGCAAAGGGGATGATCACATTTTCTTTATCTGTAAGCCAATCATGCACATCCGTATCCATCATGTGTACTTTCAATCTCTGTAACTGCGTATAGAGTACAATATATTTTATATAGCCTTCATGAAAATCATGTAGTTCGAATTCCATGTTCTTTAACGCTTTTAGTTTGGTCACCGTGACATCATTTTCCATCATCTGTAGCAAACCTGGCTTAGATCCATCCGGGAAATGTCTCTTTGTAAACAGCCCAAATTGTATTAATTTAGGGCAAGTGTCTAATACGGTAGAAATGAGCATATATCGATCTCCGTGCAACAGGTCATTATGAATTGATAATTGCGTCAGCTGTTGAAATTGTGGCAAAAATTCTAGGCAATTCCCAGATAGATCATTTATAGTGTAACAAGAGCGGAAATTATTCAGGTTTAAACGTCGTATCGTCTTTCGAGACTGATAACACGCTAAAAAATGTTGTTCTCTACCTTTACCTGAAAGGTTACTATTGACCTTGATTTCGTCCATGCATTGGAACCCAGCTTTAGTTACCAAGACCTCCAGCAAAGGAGGCAACACCGATTTGCCAATACCAGTCAGATCTAGTACTTTTACATTCGGGACTTGATAAACTAATTCTTCAAATGCTGCTACACTGATACTATCCATCTTCTTGTGAAAGTTTAAGTACCGAACCCATTGTCCGCTTTGCCCGTTATGGCGAATAAATTCACTTGCATTATGTCTTGTTAATGTCACTTCCGAATAAAATATTCGAGAAGCCGTCAAATGCCATGCTTTGCACACTGACATACATTCTTTGGCATCGTTCAAGAGTAAAAAAATCTGTTCCAAAATTTCAGATGGTGCTTGTTGAATCGCCATTCTTTAAATGTCAATGAGAAGAAAATTAAAAGTAAAGAAAAAAAAAATCCAAAAAATCAAAGTAACCTTCTTCTTTTATAATCCCGTATCACATCAAAAATCAATAGAGTCGGCATTTCAAGTCACTGTAAATCAGTTCACGGTATCTTTATGATTTATGCGCGATTTTTTTTTTTGTGTTAGACACACGATATTTATGTTTTCACCAGTCTGTGTAACTTGATCCTTCATAAAAACCTGTGTCCAATGAAAATCAGCAGCCAATTCTTCTGTTGAAGAACCAATTATATTTGCATGAAAAACAACATCGTTATCCATGTTAGAATAGCATTGAGGAATGATTTATTTAAAATTATTTGCATTCACTATAAAATAACATACTGAAAGTAATGAGTGAAATTATTGTCTTATTTTATAACCAAATTCTCCATAGTCTAGCACTTTATGACCCTATATTTTTAGTTATGCTTAATCTGTCAATTTTGATAACACCAAGGAGAAATTACACACATACACTCATTTCAATCAATCATATCAAGTCAGTCAGTATATATTTGTTTATTTAACATTGAAGCTGGAAAACACTCCCTTAGTGAAATGTCCATATCTATAATACTTATTTTAAAAATTTAAGTTCGAAAACCCATCGTACCTATGCAGTATATAGAAAAGATGATCAACTTGTATCTCTGGTCTGGTTGATCGAGTCAGCTTTTTACTTCTTTAACATTATACATTTGTGGCATCATATTATGTAAGATGATCAAATATACCAAAAAATGCATTACAAAGCTTCATAGTTGCGTCTATCAGAAACATTGATCGTATAAAAATAGTCTGCCCTTAACTGGCTAATATGGTATTACCATTGCTATATATGAGAGAGGTTTATGTAGCCAGCGGATATCTTTAATATTTTTGGCGAATTTCATTGGCTGAACGTCAAAAAGTGACGTCAGTTTTTTAAAAAGGTATAAATTTAAGCAAATTTTTTCATGTTTTTCACATATATGTGTTCCATGTAGACACTTTTCGAATTTCGAAATCGACCTCGATCGATTTTTTTTTGCTAGAAAAAGTTTTTCACATGCTTAAACATATTTAAATAGGTTTTAGGAAATAGGAAACCGTTTGTATCCGTTTTAAAGGAATTTAGATATTGTCCCCTAGGACCCTTCATCGAACCTACAAAACCACCTCGATTACTTTGATTACAACTTTATGAACCCAAAAAAAATACTGATACTTTTTGGGACTTGTAGTGCAGAAGATCAAATGATATTGAGTGTCGTTCGTTTTTGGGAACAACTTGAATTCAGTCAAACCCTCAAGGATGTTTCATTTGTCACGACGGCACGGGTTTATGAAAGGGGGCAACAAAAAAGTGCGGAGTACTTAAGCTTATAATTTGCTGTAAGTAATTTGATAATACCATCCTGACTTAGACAAGTTCTTGCTTATCAACATATATTTTAAAATGATTTTTTAATGTTTATTATACACTTTACAATTGTCATTATACTAATTTTTGTTACTAAAATCAGATACAGCTACAGTAATACACGATAAATTAGATTCTTCTTGTATGGTATTTACTTTTGGTGGGGCGTAATTGTTATTTTTTACAATTAGTTTTCTACCATCTCCGATATAGAAATAAGCAAATGGAATAAAGCAGAAGAAAAAGGTACTCAGGATAGTACACAACCAAAAAAACCCAATACTAGCATACAGGTAACCTGCCATCAGAGGGCCTACACACATGCCTACACCATATGCTGCATTAAAAAGCGAATAGCTTCTGGCCAGTCCATCGGATGAGTTACTGCTACCTCTATTTTCTTTATCGACCACTTTGGCAATTTCAGGAAATACAGGCGCTTGACACCCAGCAATTGTCACACCGCCCATTATTAAGATAGGTATAAGAGGCCAAAAGGATCCATGATTACTGCTGGGGACACCAATTAACAGACATGAGGGTGTAGCCAATAATAAAGAGACCAAAGCTACAATTTTTGTACCATATCTGTCACAAAGTTTACCACAGAGAATACTTGCAATTATAGAAGGCACCATATACGCTAGGACAATGAGACTACACCCTGCCGCATTAAAGCCCCATTCTTGTGCTAATCTTAATGATAGAGTGGGCTAATTCATTAGGTTAGTATACGAGTGACTATTGTATTTATTTATTTTTTACCTCAAATGCACTCATGACAGTGGCTACAATAGCAGTTAAGGCAAGAGACACAATTAAACGAGGCTGTCTTAGGAGCTGAAGCCAAGTTACTTGATGATTATCTGTATTATCACTCGATTTTTCTTCAGCAGAGCAGTCTGTTATTGTGATAACTTTTTCGACATCATTATCTTCTTCAAACCATTCTGCTGGAGCACTGGAACGTTCGATGATGACAAGTCGCATTACGAAATCAATTGCACTTAGTATCATGGATGCAATAAATGGAGCTTCGTGACCTAACTCACTATAGAGTACTAAAAAGGATATAAAAAAAGATTAGAAGGGAAGATATTGAAAGTTTTTAATGCTTCTACTTACATCCACCAGCGGGTAATCCCACCATCATGCCTAATGGATAAAACCCCACAAGTTTTCCCATTTGTGCACCTAATTGCTCTCGGGGCCAATTATCCGCAATCAAGCATAAACACATTGTCCACACGCATGCATTAGAGACGCCTTGTAAAAATCGAGCGACCAATAGCATGGGATAGGTGGTGCTGAGCATAAATAATAAATTCGCTGCCATGGAAGCACTCGTACCTAACAGCATGGGTAATCTTCTTTGTTTGATTCGGTCGCCTAACCATCCAAAGATGGGTGAGCCAGCTAATAATCCTACTGCATAAAGTGAGACTAAAACACCGGTATCTCTCGAGGTTAACTCGATATTATCTGTGATTGCCGTGGATTTTGCGTGGTCTGTCCAATCCCCTTTATCCAGATTTCTAATACGAGCCACAATAAAGGGCGAGAGCGGAAACAATATCGAATGAACAAAGGTCTAATTTTTATTATTATTATTATTATCATTATTAATGCATTAGCATGTTGTGTAATAGCGTCATAATGTAACATACACTTGTAAACAGGCCCACAGCAGCTGTCCAGAATACAAACACTTTGCTTGCTCTGAACTTAAAGAAGATTGGCCTCTTCTTGACTGAATTAATCTGTGAACATGATTCAGGCACACTTATTGATGTCATATATAAAAATAAAAAATAATAAAAGGGATGATTTGCCACCGAAAAAAAAAAAAGGTACTGAAAATCATCAGTGTCATTTATATATGTATGTTCAAAGCGGGGGTCAGGAGTTTCTTAAGGGGACGATTCACGCAAGCGTATACTACGACTAAAAAGGTGTTATTACTAAATAAATAAAAAAATAAAACAACAAAGAAAGCATTATTTCAAAAAATCCATGACAATTTCATAGATATAGAACGTAACGGCGTTTACAGGAAAGCCTCTCAGTAAAGTTGGCCAGAGACCTCTAAAGAAGACAGATGGGCCTTCTGATTTATAGGACCGCACGACACAGTCTTTGATAGATGCATAAGGACGATCAATGAGCAATCTGCTTGATTCATGAGGTTGGTGTTTTTGCTGCATTTGAAGACGTGATTTGACTACATCGATAGGATAGATTGATGCCCAAGAGACTGTTCCTGCCATACCTCCTGCCAACAGGAGTTTCCATGCACTATCACCGGACTCCACTTCTAATACTCGTTTCATGCCTTCATATGCCCAAAAATAAATACCATAACTTGGTGCATCTCGTATCATTGTAATTACACCGCCTTGATAAAACCCTTTTAATCCGTTTTGTAAGTATATCTCTTTACTGACTTGGAAAGAGCTTTTAGAGGATTTGGCCATTTGTGCCTTAATTTTGATTAGATCTGTGGGAGTTGAGAAGAAAAAACAGGCAACACCTGCTCCGGCGCCGGCTAAATAGACTTGTAACAGTGTGGGTTGTTGTTCTTGATTAGGTTCCAGATATCTCAGGATGGAACCATAAGAAACGAATAATAGTGCATTTAAACCTGCTAATCCAATAACTGGAGATAGCACACCTTTAAACATAGAACCTAGCTACAAGAAGATAAGTCATGCATCCAACTTTTTTTTTTCTGTGTTTCTCTACCCCCTCTGTTTGTATCATATTCCTCAATGTTTGCCATGATCCTATTCGGCTATTTAAACCTGTTCCAATCAAGTCATTTTTAGTAGTGATAGGTGCCTGTAAACGTGCCTACAGATAATCAAAAAAAAAAAGTTCTGTTTTCTTTAAAACATGTATCCTTTTCTTCTTCTTTCTTGTCCTATTCTACCTTTAAGACATCCAATGGACTGCCAACTATGATTCCTGCTGCACCTCCAATCCAACCTTAAATATAAAAAGGGGCTTTTTATGTTACTAACCCGTCTTTTTGTTCTGTTCTTTTTGACATTACCTGCAACAAAGTCATTGAAGCTTTCAGCTATTTACAGGTTTCGAATCAGCCTCTTTTTTTTTTTACATTGACCCCCTCTCATTCATCTTACCCATTCGAACAGTTACAAATATAAAATAACAAAAAAAAATGAATAGAGCTTCCTCTCTCTGCTCGCAAAGCCCAGGCCCAATTATTGTTATTAAAAGCAGTCAGTCTAGCATTTTAGTCTTCTTGGGGGACGAGCGTTACAATGGGAATTACCAATCGCTATTTGTTTAAACCCAGTTGAAGAAAAAAAAGAGGACAACAACAAACAACATTGCTGCACAAATGTGCTGCACTCTGCACATCGTTTTTAAAACAAGTGAATTTTTTTTTAAAAAAATTTCTAACGAACAAAATTTACAAAAAAGAAATACAGCTGCTCACTTATTGTGCTAAATGTGAAACTGGGGTATGAAAAGAAGAGGTGATTGTCCAGACTGAGAGGGGTCGTCAGTTCGAAATAAAAAAGAAAAATAATCCACCAATCAGGTTTTTATAGTGAATGATTGATAGCCACAAGTGGAGTATCCTTGATGCAGATGGGCTCTCAAAATAAAATAAAATTGTTCCGTGTACTTAAAAACGAGAGACGACCCAGTCGTAACAATGCTTGCTCTGCTTTTTTCTACATAATCATCAAATATTGAGAGAAATAAACGGCCAATTACTTTTTATTATTAATGAAACAGATAATCCTTTGACAAGCAGCATCTGTTCCCGCAGTCTTCTCTGTCTTCATCATCATGTATGACTGACAACATCTTGTTATTGTGCTGGAGTTCAGCAGCTTTACACACGTTGATGACGGTTTATCACGTCGAATCCGTCACCTTCACTTGGATTATTCTGGCCTGCTTGTAATGGTCCAAGATTCCATGAGCCCACTAGATCTCAATTTTTTCCCTTACCATTGAATATCAACGTTTCCGGCAACATGATATCCATCGTGGAAAGAACAGTTTCTTTGCCGGGAAGTGGCGGGTATGCCAGGGGGGTGGGGTGGGGCTGGAAAAGGGAAAAGGATAGTATTCCAGTAGTATGTATGTTCAACTTCAATTTTTTCTTGCACTGTAACACAAAAATTGGGATATCTATTATCTTTTTCATCGAGAGGTATTTTTATAAGCGATATCTGAAATTAACCAACCTTTTCACGATATTTATGACTTTTCTTCGTACAAAAAAAAAGGGCAAGAAGTATTTAAGTAAGATTGCTTCATCAATTTTATTGACTACCCCTATTATTGTTGATGCAATGTGCACACAACCCCCTCTCCTTAGTATCAACTAGTGTCTTTGTGGGACCATGTTTCTGGAAGGTTTTTGTTTACATTAATGTAAAACTAGTCTCATCCAACATTGATGGTATCTATGTCGACTAACCATATATACATATATTTATATAAAAGGGTATTACTGTATCGCTCAAGTGCATATCATACGCACGATCGCGTATTCTGATTCGATTGATATGAAACATCATTCTTACATTAGACTTGTTATCTCTAATAGTTCTAGTTAGTACCTGTTGGTGGTCTTTTCAGCATGTAGATAAGTATTTGTTACAAAAAGAAATGATGTCATTCAAGATACATACAACAGTAATTCCTGCCGAAAAATGATAGAATATCTAGCTGTGTCGATCAATTCTAAAAACAGGTGTTTAACAAGCGGACTTTGGGTCAGGTGGGATCTGGTAGACTTATAGTCACACAATCATTTATTTTTTATGCAAGAATAAGTGTACAATAGCACTCAGAGAGAGATTCTTTATTGTATGAAAGGAAAAAAAAAGTTACAGTAGCGACATATCCATGGACTTTTTAATCTTTAATAATATACTGATTTTCCAGTTATCAAGTTTGGTCAACTGATCAAATTCATAGACCTTTTGACTAAATAAGTCCTGATCATTATTTTCGATACAACCCAAAATGCCTAACAAAAACTGGTATTCTCGGGTATTTTCAAAGGATAAATCCATGGCACAGTATTTACCTAGCAACTGGTGACTTTTTACGGTGTCCCCTATACACATTGAACACAACCCCGCCTTTAAAAAGTACTCCTTTATCGACCATTTTGTTAATTGATTATCCACCGACTCTGTTGCTACCCTCTCAAAATTATTTATGGCGACTTGGTATTGTTCTAATTGAGCAGCAAAATGAGCTACTTTGAGCAGACATTTATTAATCATGCTAATGAATAATAATAAAAAAAGAGTCAGCACAAACAATCTTAAAAAATATTAATAATTAAAGAGCTTACGCGGGAGAATCGTCTGCCATGTATAAATTTGATGCCTCTTCCCAATTCTCTTTGGCTCCATTCAAATCTATTATATCGCTTTCGTATATTTCAGCAATTTCTTGGTGATGCTTTGCCGCATTTCTAAAATTCGAAGTCTCTTTGTCTATCATGATTGCATTTTTCAAGGCATCGATTGCAGCTACCAGATAAATAAATACTAAATTCGGATAACCTGACAAGCGCGTGTGTGTACACATACACACTGAGGAAAAATAAAAAAAGGTTTATTTACCTTCTGCATCAATTCGTTTCAGACACTTTGCAGCATTCTCAAAGGACTTGGACGATTCATAATGTAAATCAGGCGTTGTCTTGTACAGTTCAGCTGCTTTTACATACGCATTGCCAGCATCTTTCCCTACATCTGTGGGTTAAAACAAAGCGATTTTTTTCTTTTTCTTTTAACTAACATCGTTGAGCTAATTTAAAAGTATTTCCAGCCTTTTCATATATTTCAGCAGCATCCTCTTGTTTGTTTGTTGAATTAAACCATGTCCAGCTATTTAATTTTTTTTCTGCCTGTAAAAGTAAGTCTTGTGCCTGATGTTCAGACATTATGAAAGAGTTTAAAAAGGAGAAAAAAAAAAAAAAGAAAGAAAAAAATCTATGCGTCATGCGCTTGCACATATTTTATTTTAGCGCTGGTCCCCCTCCCACATCTTTAATGCGGCCCGGGGGTGTTCAAATTTATCATTAACAAGCATATTTTTTTTAAGACAGACATGAATGAAACAAATCAAACAAACAACCACGACATATATTTATTTAATTTATCAGTTTTAAGAACATAACAGTACATAATATGTCAACTCAGTACAATCTTCCAATATCTATCCCTGACTTTGCCTTTGTTACAATTTAACCTTGCCTAAAAGGTAGGATTAAACATGCTACAAGGCAGAAATATCGACTATGTGGGTGTCCTATCTGCTTTAAAGGGCACTTGTACCAGCATCATACTTGAGCATGACATTGCCTGTCAAGTGACCACCACTACAACCAAGGATAAAAACATATCGCCGTCTAAAAAAAAAAAAAGAAGGTTTTAACAACAAAGAAGCAACTCTGAAATACAAACTTAACAGCACTTTAGTCCAGTAGATTCAACTTTTTATGTTTCAACAACGAAAATAGAAGGAAGGACCAAACAAAAAAGTAATCATTATTCACTGGCTTCAAGGATTAGGTCTTTTTTCATTGCTTTTGTATGCCTACACTGGATAACACCGATTATTTATGGTTTGATCCAAACTCTGTAGCAAGAATGTTCATTCAGCATGTTCTACAAATCATATTTGTGTATATTTAGATCATTTTACTTGCTCTATCGCGACTATCGGTATAATTATATGATCTAACATATCTTTGGTTGTCTGAACTAAATATTGGCACGGTATTTGGCACAGGCTTTTGCATAGTAATTTATATTAATTATGTAGCTTTATTTGATGGCTGGACGCCGTTTCCTGTGGTTTTTCAACAAGTGTATTAAATCAGTTAACTTACCATGATAGATCAAGTGAAACGCATAGATTACATATCAAAGCAAATGGAGATGTCTGACGAGAAAAGCCAATCCAAAAATCAGATGATAAATAAGACTTATTTCATTACAAATAAGCGATTAAAATAATTACACTGGACTTGGAACTTTTGCCTACAACGAATATCTACATTATTGCATTGTTCACGAATACTATGATCCTTAGATATTAAGAGGATCTTATAGGGAAATCTTTTACAGTTTATTTACACTAATGCCAAGAGTAACACTGTGTCTTAACAGCTTGTTGAACGCAAAGTTTGAGCCAATATGGGCAGTTGAAATAAAGGCATCTAGGTAATTTTGTTAAAGGAAGAAAATAAAAGCTCCTCTGGTTGTCGTAAAATATGATTGGAGGAGGAAAAAGACCGGATACAGAACAATGTATGGATTTTTTTCTTTCTCGTTCTTCCCTCCACAGTTCATTAGACATGACAAAATCAGTCTGGAAGCTGAAAACTCAACCAGCATCATTTCCCAAACTCATTGTGTTTGATCTCGATTATACGTTATGGCCAACTTGGTAACCTCATTGCGGCATTAGTTCCTTTCCTTTTTTGTTTTAAACAATTTTTTTTTTATTATAGGATCGATTGCACTAATGGTACGGCACAAAAAGACCAATGATATATTCTTATTTAACAATTTATTATAGGACCACCTTATGTCTATGAGGAAGGATCGAACTGCATTGTTAATCCGTGAGTGTTGGTGTGACATAATTTTAGTAGCGTAAAAGAGTTGACATTTTTTTCGTTTAGCTGCGGAGAGTCTTTAGGTTTATTTCCTCATTCTGCAGCCATCATTGCTCTAATCAAATCATTTCCAGATACCAAAATTGGAATTGCTTCAAGAACACAGACACCCAATTGGTAAGCATTAAGATTTTTTTATGGGATTAGATCTTATAAACAAATGCTTACACTTCATAAATAAGGGCCATGAAGGCGTTAGGATTACTGCGGATTCCTGAGCTTGGTCACACAACGCTGTTTGAAAACATTGATTATTTTGAGATCTATCCTGGTAGTAAATTGAAACATTTTAAAAGTCTAGCAGAGAAATCAGGCATCGATTGCCATGAAATGATATTTTTTGATGATGAACATCGAAATCGAGAGGTGACCAAATTAGGTGTGCATTTCTATAAAGTCAATACCCAAACAGGCATAACTCCGTTTCAATTTGAAAATGCATTGCAAGATTATGCTACAAATTCTGGTGTAAGGCAATCATCTGTCAAGGACTTTTTCAAACCAAAGGGATAAGAAATATATTAGAATGTGCATCTCTTTATTATAAAACCGATCTATCAATAAATAGTGTATCTATGCAGAACTGGGTCAAAATGAAAAAAAATAGTAATTGTTCATGTCAATTGATAGTGCACGAAGAACCGCCATGGACGCCAGATATATCAGCTTTCATTTGGTTTGAATTCTCTAAAGTTGTTGAATAAGTATTGGGTGATTTATTTGGTTTCTATGGAACAACGGGTCAAAACATTGTATGTTTATTAAAGAGTCGCCATTTGTATCATTGGGATATGTAGTAAAAAAAAAAAAAAAAAAAAAAAAAAACGTCAGGGAAATTCTGTCTGCAACAACGAGAGAGCCAGTTTTCTATTTTTTGTTTTTACCAAACGTTATAACTATGACAGCGCTTCCTATGTAGCGATAGTCAGTTTCGATCGACCAATAGGAGCTGAGGTATAGATATATTAAGTTTTTTGAGCAGAGAATAGCAATAAGCCAAAGGTAAGCGCAAAGCAAATTCAAAAAATCTTTTTTATTCGTGGTTCACCCTTTTTTTTTTTTGTTTTATTTTAGTATTTTTCAAACACAAAATCTCCAACTGTATTTATACAAAAGACAAATGAGGTATTCCCGATTCTATTTTAAAAGAAGTAGCCTTGTTTAAATTTTAAAAATATTGGTTAGTTCAAGTTCCAAAAATAACGGTTATGTGTTTGAACAACAAAACGATGTAAGACTCAACGACCTCAGTTCCAAGATTTCGGCCATCAAAAATGTAACTATAATTAAACGACTTGCAAAGTTTACGCATTAACACAGTCGAGGGATTATAGATTACCATTGACATTCATCAAGATGTCACAGATCAAGATAGGCTGTTGGATGAGTCGGTAAAAAAAAAAAAGAAAAACAAAAATTAGTGGAAGACTCTCTCATATATTTACATAATTCCTATTAGCATAATCAATTTGGTGGATTAGGAAGTAGTCTTAGTAATTCCTTTGGTCGAATGAACCGTATGGTCTCGAAACGTCATCAAAGACAACTATGCTTTTATGTGTCGATCATTGTATTCTTGTTTTTTCTTATCTATTACGGTGCACCGCTTGCAAAAGGCGTTCTTGGTTCGAATCCAAAGCTCCCTGACGACGATTCTTTATAATTCCATCTTTCAAATAAAAATCAACATTATGCGGGGATGAGGATATTTTATTGTTCAATACGCTGATTTAGAGAATAAAGTGGGTTTTTGTGAGAGTTTTTCATTGCATGATCAGGATGTGAGTAACCAATTTGTAGGATATAAATAATGGTGATAGATCAAACAACTCGGAGTAAGATGTACAATGTCAGTAAAGAGTATGGCAGGAATGCAGGATTTATTTCACTAGGTGCAGGTACAAAAATGTACACACGGTAAGGCAACAGCCCAAAAAAGCTTCCAACGAATTTAAACCCAGTAGGCGGGTAACTCCTTGAGTTATAAATAGTTACTTTTTTTCATATATTGATTATTTTAGCTTTTCATTTTTTAATATTTAGAAATGTTGGAATTCATTCCTGGCAAAGTATTTGTCGTGGGTGTGATTCTTCTCATTTCCTTCATTGCTTATTCCTCACAGCTCTTTCTATTTTTGCCTGCGTATGGATGGTGGACATGGGAAAGTGCGATGACTTTGTTACCCTTAAATGCCTTGGTGGGCATGGTGTTCTACAATTATTACTTGGCAGTGACAACGGATCCAGGAAAAATTCCCGCTTACTGGGTAAATAGTCTTTGTCTTGAGCACGAATCAAAAAGAAAGTACTAAATACAAATTTAAACAGGAACCGCCTTCTTCTTTAATCGCACCTATCAAAGAAGTTGCCTCTGAGGGGGTTACAGGCCCTCGATTTTGCAAATCATGTGCGGTTTATAAACCTCCCAGAAGTCATCATTGTCGCTACTGTAAACGCTGTGTGTTAAAGATGGATCACCATTGTCCTTGGATAAATAATTGTGTGGGCCATAATAATTATGGTCATTTTGTTCGTTTCATTATATTTGCTAATACTGCTTGTATTTACGTCTTGGTGTTGTTGGTAGCAAGAGTGCGCTATATTTTAAGCGCAATCCGACATTTCCAGGTAAGAAAAAAAAAAGTTAAAGAAAAACAAGATTCCTTATTTGATTAATAATGGGCTCCGATGGTATAGTACGACGCTGAACCCAGTATGACACAAGTTGTGTTTATGGTGTTGAATTTCATCCTGGCTTTTATTGTGGTATTTTGTGTGGGTGTTTTAACGGTATACCAATTATATTGCATGTCCAGAAACCAGACCAATATTGAAGCATGGGAACGAGGTAAAGTAGAGACACTTATAAAACGTGGCAAGATTTTACCGGTAAAGCATACAGGGAAAAAAAAGGATAATCATTAGGAGGTTATTTTAAAACAAGTGTATATAAATAGGTGCAATACCCATTCGATATTGGACTGTATCAAAATATTTGCAACGTGTTGGGTCCCAAACCGTTATTGTGGTTATGGCCAAAACAGATGCAAGGAGATGGGCTGTCATTTCCTGTCATTCATGGTACAGATCCCCGCTTGCCCTTTTATTGGCCACCCAGGGATCCTGATGATTTAAGACCATCGATTTTCTCATCCAAGTATAAACGTCAACAAGAAAAGCAACAGTTGCTAAGAGAAGATCCTAATGCAATTGTCGAGGAATCGGAAGGATATTATGATTCCGGTAGTTTTGTGACAGACAGTGAAAATGAATATTCATTAGATGATGAAGAGGAAGGGATGCGAAAGTTGGTGAACAATAACCTGTATGATCTATCTGGAACTTATTATGATGATCAACCCACCAACCAATATAGAAGACCAAGTAATCATAGAGATATATCATCAGGCGATGATTCTGATGATGACGATACTATACCATTATCCAGTTTTACCACAAGAAAAAAGATTCCTTCCTCCAAAGAAGATTGACAATCATAATAATAATAAAAAAGAGAGAGTATTTGTATATATATATATATAAAGTGTCGTTGTTGTTGTATATTTTTTAATATGTATAATCTATTTGTTTTTATCCAGTCATAACATCAACCAAAACTGACCAAGCACCTGCTACACCAGCACAAACAGCAGCAGAGATACCTGCAGCACGAGCACCAGCAGTACATTTGAAGATAGCACCTGAAATGGCACCAGCAGCTAAACTGCTAAAGACATCATGAGTACCTCTTGTGTAATCGATCAAAGAATTGGTACCGTTGTACATCATGGCAATGACACCCACGGCATTACCAACACCAGGACCTCTACGAGTAATGGAGTTTAAAGTGGTGTTAAGACGCACTTTGGTAGCACCTTGACTCTTTCTTAAACCCTCCATCATACCGTAGGCACCACCAAGTGTCAAACCTGCCAAATAAGTACTACCTGTTCCATAACAAAGATCGTCAGACCAACCACGAGAAGGAGCAAAACCAGAAGAAGATCCAACTGGACCGCTATCTTCCACTTGTAAAAAGTCAAGACCTTGAAGTGACATGGGTTGAAGTCTGTTGGCGTCCAAAGAAATAGTGGACATGAAATCAGGCATCTTTTCATAGCCTGAATCGTCGAGTCCAAAGGAAGTTGTGTTATCGGTCTCGAACGAGGTTTGACCACTGGGTGAATACAACTCATCAGCATCCACTGTCTCTGTTGTGTTGCTAGATCCCATACCAAAGATGCCCATTTTGTACTATTTTTTAAATTTTTTGCGGGGGTGGGTGTATAAAAAAGAAAGGGTTATTTTTTTTTTTTATTTTTTTTTGGGAAAAAACTCAACTGGCTAAATTTTAGGGTTACACACTCATGACGTTTACATCACTTTTTTATACCTGAGCAAAGGCAGTAAAAACCGAAATATTAAAAATTTACAAAACGGAAGGTTTAAAAATAAACACTTGTATTTATAGAAAGAAAGAAGAATTCAAATAGCAATTCCATCCAAGACAATTTTATTCGAGCTTTTTTTTTTTTTTTTTTTTTTTTTTTTTTTTTGCTGTGAAGCCGGTAATAAGCAAGAAAAACTTTACTCTTTCAGTGACAAAAAAAATGAAGTTATCCCCCTTGATACACGTGTAAAATAGTTTATCTGCAGAGAGGGGCTGTCGGATCCAAATCAGACCTAAAAAAGGCAAGTTGTGAATAAATTGATCTTTGTCCAGACCCGGAATCGGTACTAAAGGCGGTTGATTTTCTCTGTTTGCTGTTGCTGCTGGTACCTTTGGAAGGTTTGGGTCTGCCCTCAGAAACCCAGAATAGGGTTCTAGCCTTTGGGAAGAGGGGGGGGGGCTTATAACAATTTAATATAAAAAGGAAGAAAACCTAATTCCTTCTTTCTCTTTCACTATTTCCCACTACTTTTCATAAATGACAATCATGAATGGAAAGACAAAACGACCTCCATTTCGAAGCACAGCAGCAGTAGTAGTAGAGCACAAGGTGTCCGATGCTAGCTTTTCAAAGTGGTCCAAGATGTTACACTTGATTTCGCCTCCCAACAAGAAGAGAAGGTCCACCTCAATTGTTGCTAAGGATGATGATGACGATGAAAAAGAAGAAGAAGAGGGAACAATAGATGCTCTAAAAAAAGAATTCATTATCGATCAATTTAACAAGCAGAAAAGCTTAAATCGCCGTGCCATGTATATACCCAATCCTCCTCCCATTGACGGGCCCAAAGATGCCTCTCATCAATGGTCCTTGTATCGCGCAACCTATCAAAAACTCCGACAAAATACATTACCTCTTTCGGAAACAATTCATTTACGAAAAATGCTTATTTTGTTGCAACCCCAGCAGTTCAAGCAACAGAAAAAAATTGATCCCGTTACTCTGCATACTAGGGTTACCAAGGTAACCATTCCAGTAGCAGTAGAGGATGAAGAGGACGATGTACCATTAGGCACCTTATTAGAGAAAAAAACAACACCTCATACAGTCACCTCTCCAATAAAAAAAAACCAGATTGTTTATCAGAGATATTTAACACCCACATTTTACCATATGCCTTACTACCAACCGCAACAGCCGTATTATTATTACAATACAGCACAATTCATCTAGCTGTTTTTACATCTTGTACATATAACCCAAAAATAAATAAATAAATAAAAAAAGGGGGGGGGGGGGAGGATGCATACCCCAAATTTGTATTATACACAAAAATAACCCATTAATTAATCATTAACCACACACTTTATCCAATTTATATACCCTATCCCTCTCTTGGCATAATTATAAGCTGTTACACAAAAAGAACAATGTCTTTTTATTTTATTTTTAGCCTGTAACACTATCGTTATGTGTTGTCATTGGCCTCTTGCGCCACGCATGTTGCATGACGACGACTATATTTTTTTTTTATATCCTTTTTATTTTTCAGGTTATAAAAGATGATTCATCCTTGCCAATAGGAGGCGTTAAAGAACTTTTTTGTTGACGTGGAGACAGGTTCTCATAAGGAGGAGGATAATTTGGATAGATTGGCATGGCATAACCGTGACGAGGCGACAAACCAGGATCCATCATGGGGGTGCTGGTACTATTGGGTGTGGGAGGTACATATCCGTATTGCTGAAAAGGAGGAGGTATAGTAGGTTGTCCTCCGTACGGTCCTCCTCCGTACATTGGTTGCCCCATAAACGGATATCCTGCTGGTATTCCATATCCAAAAGAAGAACTATAGGGATCCACCATGTACCCTACATAAAATTGGATTAAAGATGAGTCAATTGTATCTCTTCTAAAAGTCTTTTATTACCTCCATTATATGGTCCACCTCTATTATTATGATATCCATTATTATTGTTACTAATATTATTACTACTACGATTTAATCTGTTAGCAGTCTTCAATACACATTGAATGGTAATGTTCACCTTGTATATTGCTGACGATGCGTTCCCGGATCTCCTCGAACAGATGATCCATCGGGTCCAGTCACATTTGAAGCTTGCATCCCTTTTGGTCCTTGCACTAGATCATATTCGACCTAACAAACAAAAAATAAATGAATAACGATGACATAGTGTATTTGAATTTTCTTTAGAATATAATTTATTACCTCCTCCCCCTAAAGCAACGGCTCCAATGGATTAATTTAACTCGGAACCGTTGTTGTTTGAAAGACGACTTACCTCTGCTAAGCTCTTGAAGCCCCCGCTATTCTGTATGGCAGTATGATGAACAAATACCTCTATATTTTTCATTTTATCAGCATGAATCGTGGATTGGGAAGGACAATAGGTTACCTTCTGTACCGTCTCCGTCTTGTGGAGTATCTGGTAAAATAAACCCGTATCCTTTTATTGAGTTGAAGAACTTTACATGTCCTTTGTGACGAGATTCGGGGAATGTTTTTGTTTCCATAGTTGACATTGCTTTGTTGTAAAAAAAAAACAAAAAACAAAAAAAGTCTGGTATTAAAAAAAAAAAAAATCTAAATAATAGTCTATTTACAAAGTACTCTCTCAAAAACAAAGGAAAAAAGATAAAAAAGATAAATTTGTTTATGAATTTTTTATCTAGAGAGGTGAAACAAACGCCTCAAAACAGTTGGGAATAAAAAAGTGGTCTTGTGTTTATTGTCCAAACATTGAAATAAATAGACTAGAGTTTTAATACGCCGAATTCCTGATGTAGGGCCCAAAGCCATTCATCCCTTTCTTGTCTACTTCTTGCTTTGAATACCCAGCATGAGCCTCGGTTTCCTAGACGATGGCCAAGTTTTAACAAGGATAAATACTCCCGAAAGTTTGGAACAAAGTGTCGTTTCGCAATCTGCCATATAACAAACACGCATTCCGATGTCTTGTATCCTCCCGGGATTTCTCCATCCTTATAATATCTCGAAGGCTCAATATTGCGCGCTTGTCGCTTCGTCACTAATTTATCAAGAATACATTCATCTCCGGAATACACGTAAGCGTTCTCAGGTTGAAATAATTGACGTCGTCGTTCATACACACCAAGTGACTGGCGTTGTTGGTAATGATCGTCATTGATATTCAGGTGACACCACCATTGTTTCTTACTTTTCACAGTATCAAACATCACTAACCCTCCTCCGTCTTGGTTTTTCATCAAGACGCAGTATTGAGGTTCAAATGATCGCTTATAATCTTGCTTGACATACAGTAATCCAGATTGCTTCATTCAGCTATTTCGTTAGTATCTTGCCTTTCAATCAATTCTTATTTCTTTAAAGATTGTTTTTTTACCAGAATATCCTTTACATTCTCTGGTTGAGACTGATAGGCTTTGAATCCACTATAATGACCCAAAAGAGATCCAGGATCCATTTTTAATTTGGTGTTAATCAAAGCTACCCATTCCAGCATGATTTGTGTATTTGGTGCTTCGTAGTACAAAATATCAGCCTGATCTTTAATATGAATTTGGAATACGTTAGATGTTGCGTCCTCTTGTATCATCGGTTGTATGTTGGCTATTGAGCTTAGATTGATAAGGTATTTAGCATTAATTAATAAATCAGGGTAAGGTGCTGATGTAGGGTCAATAACTGATGAGTTATTCACGACGGCCGTGGAAGACGGGGTCAAATTAGGTGTAGAATAGTTTACATATTGCCATTCCTTCTTCTTCTTTTTGTTATAAAATATTTTTTGCTGTTGTAGATGTATCCCGCCTGTGGTCGCTGAAAACCAATTATGATTGCGTTTATTTGTTTCAATGTTCATATATCGATTGGAATTCTTCTTTTTTTCCATGAGCTGATGCTGCTGTCGTTTGTAAAAGTAGTAATATGATTTGTCGAGCAGGAATAAATGGTGCCCGTAAAGTACCACATAATAAGGGATATTTTTACATTTCTGCTTTCTCCCTGAAAGCGTGGTTGATGTGTACCATTTCTTATGGAACAATAATCCGTCGTACGTCACTGTGGTCGTATCCTACAAAAAAACGTGTCATTAAACGTGATAGAAAAAGAGTAATTAGAATACAAACCTTTGTGGATTGACTTTCTGGTTCACATATTCTTAGCTCGAGTCGATGTTGCTAAAACGGTTTAAACGGTTTAGTCATGATACACATAGTACGTCTGTATCCATAATCTCACCTGTTCAATCAATTGAGGTCCAACCAACTCTTCGTGATCACCAATCCACTCTACTGAATCCCCTGTGATTGGTGTTTGGAATGACATCGCGGTTGAATCTGAAGCAGAAGCATCACCTTTTTTCTCAGGCTTTTCTGTTGAAATGCCTCTCCAGCACAGTCTAAAATCTTTGACGGTAGAAGAAACGTCGAGTCGGTTTCCATCGATCATTCTGAACACGCCATTCTTCTTAAAAAGAGTTAATATCACGGGTTTTATGTCTGAGATTCGTATGTTGAATTGACCATCATTTCCCTCCATTTCCGAGATCATATCGAGAGGTATTCTTATTTCGATTTGTTGATGTGTTTCTGTTTGAACCATGACAAATATATCGATTGAGGGAGGAATAGGCATTTTGCATGAAGTGACACAAGGTAATACACGGTACACGGCCATGTACCAATCTCGCGCTTCAGATAACGAGGAAGATTGGAAATGATAGGATATGAAGGTCTTTGTTTCATAATGCGAAAATTCTAAGCACCAAATATAATCATGGGCAGATATTAATGAGAGTCTGACTTTTCTATAAGGGTATTGATTGTTTAAATGAATCACATGCGCTAATCTTTGCGCCGATATAATAATTGTCTATGCTTTTTCATATAAAGGTTTAATACATAGATCACAATTAAATAAAATTACATCTTTTTGTAGACTTACTGTCACATGGTATAACTCAATTCGGTTGGGTTTTAAAACCGCTTTAAACTGTCTCCATCGCAACCTCGTCTTTCGTAATTGCACTTCTCTCATGGTAGACTTTTTCTTTGTGAACCATTTCGCTGTACGAGTGCATAATACGAGTCCTTCTTTAATGACATTTTGGTCGGTGTAGTTCCTTTTATATTTAACAAGTGGTAATATTGTACTTTCTCCCTCTGAAACCTTCTTGTCATTGACTTGTTTCGGTGGATCGCCAAGCGAAGACACATTGGTTTGAGGAATAAGTGTTGCATTGTGCGTGTTTATACTCGCTGATTCTTCTGTGTTGTGGGGTATAGCTTTTGTCTCGGGCAGACAATCTTGGTTCATTCTCCTTTTTTTTTTTCTTTAATAAAAAAAGGCTCTAAAAAAGGGTTAAAAAGAAGAAATTAACATGATGTAAATGAAGTTTTTTTAATAGCCGAAAAAAGATGGTTCCACGGACTTTTTTTTTTTTACAGCCAGGCACAGATCGCCCAAACTGGCTACAAGCCTTTTGGGGACATTCGCGTCTAACTGCTTCAAGCTGTTGCACAATTTTGCTCTTTTATCGACTTGCTTTTTAAAATGCATCAGAGGTTTTGATCGGGTTCAGATCAAAGCTTTGGGAAGACAAATTCAGAAATTTACCAATGGTTGTACTAACGTGCACATTGCCCAGTTTGGGACGAGGCACCATCTTCCGGATATATGAAATACATGTTGACTCTCTCAGACGATTATTGCAGATAAAAGAAATTTAACTGCCTGACAAACAGTTAACATAAACGTCTTAGTCTATCATCGTATCCATGTCCTTGAGTTAACAGAGGTATTATCAGTGATAAGTTGAATGGCTTATTTTTTTTTAAAAAAAAATACGTTAACAGGATAGCACTTTTGAAAGGTTAATAAACCAGAAGAAAGTATCCAAACAGATGATTACTGCTTTGAGCAAAATTATATCCACTCACATATTTGGGCTCTAATGTGTTGATAGATTTTGGGCAAAACAACCCCAAGTCAAGTGATGTATATTAAGTAGAGGCATCAGAGCGCATATTGATGCACGTTTGCTTTATTAAAGGGCGTATGAATATGTATAAAAAGTAGTTTAAGCGGATTCAGACAACATTATCTTGATGAACTGGCTGCAATAAAGGAGTTTCATGCACAGTAAGCTTCCAGATCAAACACTTGAAAAGTAGACGCGCCACATAGTTGGCTAGCTCTCCAAAATATCCCAATATATTCATACAAGCATACAAAGCTCTGTGATATAAATTATTCAACCGTTTATCCTAAAATAAGTGCAACGCCAGAAAGGACAAACTTTTAAAGTAAGATAACAGTAGCAGGCATAGCACCAACGCTAACATCAAATACTTTACACCCTTACCTACTAGTTAGATATTAACAGAGAATGTCCCTCACGCTAACATAAAACCAAAGCAGAACAAAATACCATTACTTTCCCTCGTCCCACAAGATTGACATTAACAGAGAAAGGCCCTCACGCTAACATGCAACCTAAAGTAATGATATTTTGAAACTACTTTACACCCTTTCCTACTAGTTAAATATTAACAGAGAATGGCCCTCACGCTAATATAAAACCAAAGCAGAACAAAATACCATTACTTTCCCTCGTCCCACAAGATTGACATTAACAGAGAAAGGCCCTCACGCTAACATGCAACCTAAAGTAATGATATTTTGAAACTACTTTACACCCTTTCCTACTAGTTAAATATTAACAGAGAATGGCCCTCACGCTAATATAAAACCAAAGCAGAACAAAATACCATTACTTTCCCTCGTCCCACAAGATTGACATTAACAGAGAAAGGCCCTCACGATAACATGCAACCTAAAGTAATGATATTTTGAAACTACTTTACACCCTTTCCTACTAGTTAAATATTAACAGAGAATGGCCCTCACGCTAATATAAAACCAAAGCAGAACAAAATACCATTACTTTCCCTCGTCCCACAAGATTGACATTAACAGAGAAAGGCCCTCACGATAACATGCAACCTAAAGTAATGATATTTTGAAACTACTTTACACCCTTTCCTACTAGTTAGATATTAACAGAGAATGTCCCTCACGCTAATATAAAACCAAAGCAGAACAAAATACCATTACTTTCCCTCGTCCCACAAGATTGACATTAACAGAGAAAGGCCCTCACGATAACATGCAACCTAAAGTAATGATATTTTGAAACTACTTTACACCCTTTCCTACTAGTTAAATATTAACAGAGAATGGCCCTCACGCTAATATAAAACCAAAGCAGAACAAAATACCATTACTTTCCCTCGTCCCACAAGATTGACATTAACAGAGAAAGGCCCTCACGATAACATGCAACCTAAAGTAATGATATTTTGAAACTACTTTACACCCTTTCCTACTAGTTAAATATTAACAGAGAATGGCCCTCACGCTAATATAAAACCAAAGCAGAACAAAATACCATTACTTTCCCTCGTCCCACAAGATTGACATTAACAGAGAAAGGCCCTCACGCTAACATGCAACCTAAAGTAATGATATTTTGAAACTACTTTACACCCTTTCCTACTAGTTAAATATTAACAGAGAATGGCCCTCACGCTAATATAAAACCAAAGCAGAACAAAATACCATTACTTTCCCTCGTCCCACAAGATTGACATTAACAGAGAAAGGCCCTCACGATAACATGCAACCTAAAGTAATGATATTTTGAAACTACTTTACACCCTTTCCTACTAGTTAGATATTAACAGAGAATGTCCCTCACGCTAATATAAAACCAAAGCAGAACAAAATACCATTACTTTCCCTCGTCCCACAAGATTGACATTAACAGAGAAAGGCCCTCACGATAACATGCAACCTAAAGTAATGATATTTTGAAACTACTTTACACCCTTTCCTACTAGTTAAATATTAACAGAGAATGGCCCTCACGCTAATATAAAACCAAAGCAGAACAAAATACCATTACTTTCCCTCGTCCCACAAGATTGACATTAACAGAGAAAGGCCCTCACGCTAACATGCAACCTAAAGTAATGATATTTTGAAACTACTTTACACCCTTTCCTACTAGTTAAATATTAACAGAGAATGGCCCTCACGCTAATATAAAACCAAAGCAGAACAAAATACCATTACTTTCCCTCGTCCCACAAGATTGACATTAACAGAGAAAGGCCCTCACGATAACATGCAACCTAAAGTAATGATATTTTGAAACTACTTTACACCCTTTCCTACTAGTTAAATATTAACAGAGAATGGCCCTCACGCTAATATAAAACCAAAGCAGAACAAAATACCATTACTTTCCCTCGTCCCACAAGATTGACATTAACAGAGAAAGGCCCTCACGCTAACATGCAACCTAAAGTAATGATATTTTGAAACTACTTTACACCCTTTCCTACTAGTTAAATATTAACAGAGAATGGCCCTCACGCTAATATAAAACCAAAGCAGAACAAAATACCATTACTTTCCCTCGTCCCACAAGATTGACATTAACAGAGAAAGGCCCTCACGATAACATGCAACCTAAAGTAATGATATTTTGAAACTACTTTACACCCTTTCCTACTAGTTAAATATTAACAGAGAATGGCCCTCACGCTAATATAAAACCAAAGCAGAACAAAATACCATTACTTTCCCTCGTCCCACAAGATTGACATTAACAGAGAAAGGCCCTCACGATAACATGCAACCTAAAGTAATGATATTTTGAAACTACTTTACACCCTTTCCTACTAGTTAGATATTAACAGAGAATGTCCCTCACGCTAATATAAAACCAAAGCAGAACAAAATACCATTACTTTCCCTCGTCCCACAAGATTGACATTAACAGAGAAAGGCCCTCACGATAACATGCAACCTAAAGTAATGATATTTTGAAACTACTTTACACCCTTTCCTACTAGTTAAATATTAACAGAGAATGGCCCTCACGCTAATATAAAACCAAAGCAGAACAAAATACCATTACTTTCCCTCGTCCCACAAGATTGACATTAACAGAGAAAGGCCCTCACGATAACATGCAACCTAAAGTAATGATATTTTGAAACTACTTTACACCCTTTCCTACTAGTTAAATATTAACAGAGAATGGCCCTCACGCTAATATAAAACCAAAGCAGAACAAAATACCATTACTTTCCCTCGTCCCACAAGATTGACATTAACAGAGAAAGGCCCTCACGCTAACATGCAACCTAAAGTAATGATATTTTGAAACTACTTTACACCCTTTCCTACTAGTTAAATATTAACAGAGAATGGCCCTCACGCTAATATAAAACCAAAGCAGAACAAAATACCATTACTTTCCCTCGTCCCACAAGATTGACATTAACAGAGAAAGGCCCTCACGCTAACATGCAACCTAAAGTAATAATATTTTGAAACTACTTTACACCCTTTCCTACTAGTTAGATATTAACAGAGAATGTCCCACACGCTAATATAAACCAAAGCAGCATTACTCGCTTACACTAAACAGAACAAAAAAAAATGTTTTAAAAAAAATGTTGAGTTATGATCATATTTAATTTCCGATTGGATGACGCATGGCTTCGATTATTTTTTTTTTGTATGAACTGGCTTCGATTACCTTTACCTATATGAACGTGTTTTTAATATTTTTTCGTTGGTCTTGCCTCTTTCGTATAAAATAAAAGTATTTTTCTTTGTAGCTTTAAATATGGATATCATTAAAGACTTTCTCGCGAAAAAACCAAGTTCAACAAAAACAAAAGCCTCAGTTTTTTTTGAGGAAAATGAAACCCTGATTACAAAAATGTTCTATGAATCAATTCCCTCTATAAATGCCCTTGAATTGAAAAAATTCTGGGTGAATAACATGGAGAGATTTCACAAAAAATTTATATATGACTTCAACCTGGTGGATTGGTCGCGTTTATCCAGACTTGTTAATAGTGTAATTGTACTCATTTTGTTAGTAAAATTGGACCAATTGTTCACTTTTTTTTTTACACAGAATCTTCTTTACAATCAAGCAGATGGAGTATTGGATGATTTGTTGTCCAAAAGGTTGAAATATAGATCAAAGCATACAGATGAAGTAAGTATACATATTTTAGTATAAATTGGCACGGTTGAAATGATACGACTTGGTTTTTCTGGTCATACCAACTAAGACTAAAGCCTTGTGCCTTAAAGTTTCAAACGCTGATGCATGAATTATAATTAGATTGACAATTTTTTCAATTCTGAAAAATTTGATATCCCTTTTAACCAAGACATATCCACTCTGAGAAACATGTTTAATACTGAAAAGAAAAAGCTTAAAAGAACTGATATCCACAATCAAGATTATCTGTTTTATGGGATACTAGATTTCGTCAGCAAGGTTGATGAGAGCAAAACCAAGTATATTTTGAAGGACGATTTCTTGAAGTGGAAAACTAGTCTTATAAAAAAGGCAACATATTCTGATGAAGCCCCAAATACAGCTTATAATTTCACCAAAAGCGTTTTACGAGCTTCAAATTTTGATGAAGCAAAGGCAAAAGAAAAGGAAGCTAAGAAATCACTCCAAAAAGACGACACTGAATACAGGCAAAAAAAGAAATGTTTGCAGCTACTCAAACTTCAAAGAAAGAGATACAAAGAAAAATTGTCTGATGAAAACGAGTACTCTTTTATTATCAGTTATTTTAGCAAAGTATTTACCACTGTATTTGATGCAAAAAAAAATTTCTGGCAATATAAATGGGGCGAGTTCAAATTAGCCGCTTCGAAGGAAGAGGAAAACCTTGCCAAAAATGATGATCAAAATAGGGCACAAGGCTCTTCAATTGACTGTATCGTATCTTCAAAAGAACTAGGCTTGGATTTTGTGTTGTTAGAAGTTTCTGGTTCGATGGATAAAGAAGATTACGTTCACTTTCTGAAGGATCGACTAAAGATTGCAAAGAATTTAAAATACATTTTCAAAAGTATTTTAAGACAGAAATTAGTTGTATCTGATGCTACAAATCTCAAATTATATGGTATTCAAGTCTACAGGGATGTGATTTATGTTTACGCCTTATTAATGCCAATCATGAACATGTTTTGCTTTGTTGAAATTTTGAAATTCAAGATACCGACACGCTCAATCACATATATCAAAGACGTTCCCAGATACATCAAATGTCTTTTTAGAACTCTTAACTTTGCTTTATATGGCCACCATGCGCTGAAGAGTTATATGACACAACATGGTGATTATGAATCTGATCAAAGCAGTTCTGACAAGGATAGCTGCCTTTCTCCGCCATACATTTCACCGCAGAAAGTTACTAACAAAAGAAAGGAACCAAACTCTTCAGCAACAATCAACAAAAAACAAAAGTTTTAAAAATTATACAACTGGCTCCGTGACTATGTCTTGTAGTTGAAAAAAATAAAAAAGACAGAAGCTTCTCTTTAAAAAGATTGGGCAATTATTTTTTTTATTCATTAAACATGTATGTGCTTTATTAGGTTTTGAATGGTAATTAAGATATTTAGGTGGGGGCTTTCAGCATATCACATACAGCCAATAGTTACATGACAAAAAACCAGTTTGGACAATAGGAATACCCCGTTCTGACATTAACTTAAAAAGTTCTTTAAAGTGGACATGCTAAAGCTTGGGAAAGCTTCGACATTTGCGGGCATCTTGTTTCCATAAAGTTATCTTATTCACTTTACGCATTCTTTGTCACAATAGGAGACGTCTCAACTAAAGTTGCAAAAGCCAAGCAATATTTCCTGTGTCAACCAGAGAAAGAAATCAAATTTAGTTACTTGTGTTGACCTGCCTTCACTTGTCTTCTTCTTACCTCATAATGTTTTTTTATTACCTGAGGTAAAAAAAAACCATGATACCTCGGTCATTACCTTAAATATATGTAATGGATCACCATTGTCATAAGTTGTATAAACTCAAATTATTGAATCAGTTATATTTTCCTCATGACATTTATGATTTGAGTGTCACAGGTTAATGCTTCAGGACTTAAGGAAAGCCATCTTTTAGTAAGCACAATAAGGTGTACATAATCACAATATAGGATCGGATATTCTAGTTGACATCAAGAGTTTCATGAGAACTTATCGTCTCAAACCAAATGTTGATTGATTGCAATAAACATATGGTGACCATTTCGGCATGTATTATAACAGCTTAGTTTTACTTTGATCTTTCTTCAAATTTAACATCAAACGAGAGCAAAGGTGACAGAGTAGTAATTAAATATGCAGAAGATGTATAAATTGTTAAATACATATTTATTCGTAAATATTACATCCTACATCATTTTTGATTGTATATTATTGTTTCCAAGTCTTAAGGACAGCAAAGACGTCCGATCTTATACTGTGTCCACACACACTTAAACTGTTCCTAAGAAAAGTGATTAGCCATTTCTATCTCTCGATGCTACTTCATGTGTTTATGCACTCTACTTTTCATGTGATGTGAAAAAAATTCACTGAGAGACATTATACGTTAGTTTGTGTCATTTAGAGTATCTTAGGGAAGAAAAAAATGGTTACTTTGCAATTTCCCACTCCTAACCGGCTTTATTGTCCATAGTTGTTTAAATTCAGAAATTTTGTTAATCCAAGCACTTTGATCTTGACCGCCCGCTGATAATTGGTCGCAAAATGGTACAAAACCTAATTAAATAGTAAAACTCGATACTTTTAAGACGTCCATGATTCATTAGACATGAGGTGTAGGAAAGTAGCAAAAAAAAAAAAAAAAAAAAAAAAAAAAAAGGGTAGTTAATTCACAATGATGTTGTACACAGAGGAGCTTTAATTTGGAGTGCAATATGCCTTTGTAATGTTGGCCGGGAATTGACAGTCTCTGATCGTAAGATGTTGATTAGAGATATATTTAGACTGGTTTCAGGCTGTAGCTTGAATAGAGATACGTTTTCTATAGTGTATTCTAACGGATTACGTCACAATGAAGTCGAAGTTTCTGATATATGTCTAAGTTTAATCCCTTTTGAGTCAAACTGGCTTATCCTGCGCTTTATTCTGAAAAGGCTAATAACGACCAAAAATTATAAAATGGAAAGAACTATTGTTTTATTATTGCTGTGTAATTCGTTAATAAACTCAATTGAGTTACACAAAAGATCTTTTAGCTAAGCTCAAATTCTTCACAAGGATCCTACTTAAGGAGAGCTAGGTACGACGCCTCTTCTTCAGTATTAAGGAATTTGAACCAGGGTTTTCTTCAACTCCTCCTGTACGGTCTTCACCTAATTCAGCTTCTGCTACTTCTTGTGGTTCACCTTCTACAACCCATTTTCGATATAACCAGTTATCTTTCGGTCTTTGTAGAAACAGTTTGATGTCATTAGCATGGACGGGGCTTGCAACCATAAGATGCCCATCCGAAATCACATACACGTTATTAGGTAATTTTCTTTCAATACGGTACGGTCCAATCCACTTGCTACCCAATTTCCCTTTGCTTATATCTCCTACTGTATGATTGAGTACCATTACTTGGTCACCTAATCTAAATGATCGAACGGACACTCTTTTAGCATCATCATAGTTTCTAGCTTGAGTTTCTTTGATAACCACTTGTCGCTTTACAGCTTCTGATAACACTGAATCATTCAATTTAATAATTTCTTCCAATCTTTCTTCCAACTCTAACATTTCATAATCGATTTCTTCATCTACGCCTTCTTCGATATTATTAATCATGGTTTGATCCTGTATTTTAGTTGTGTTCATTCTACTTCCGGTCTCCATCAACAGAACATCTTCACCTAAGTCCTTGATTTCTAGACAATCCGCAATTCCTCTGGGTTGCCGACCATGCAAAAGGAAAAATGGTGTGAATCCGTGTCCTCCATATACGCTGGTCCTGACGACATAACTAGCTGCTGATAACCAAGTAACCCAACTTCCGGGATATTGTGCACAGATCTTCTTTAACAATAATTTAAGGGTTTGGATTACTCTTTCAACCTTTCCTTGTCTCTGAGAATGGTTTGATGGACCTAACGCTAGCTTGATCCCATATTTAGACACCATTCTATCGACTATGACATTAACAAAATGCGTGCCTCCATCACTATACACAGTTGATGGGATACCGAATCTGCAGATCCATTCGTATAATCCAATGACGGCTATATCTGCCTGTGCTGTTACGCATGGGTGACATTCTACCCAACCGGTGAACATATCTATCAATACAAGTACATAGCTAAAGCTTCCAAAAGACTGTACGTTAGGCAATACACAAAAATCCATCATTATTTCGGTCATAGGTCCGTTTAGTGGTGCAGGTATAGACATCATAGGTACCACTGGCGCATTTTTAAGAGAATGGGCTTGACATATGTGGCATGTTTTAACGTATAACCGTATATCCTCGTAGTAATTAGGCCAGTAAAATTTTCGACTGACGTTGGTAAAAGTTCGAGCTATTCCGGCATGCCCTGAGAGCCAATGATCATGTATATTTTCTATTACTTTTCTGACTTCCGCTTCTTTAACTAAGATTCTGTCACCATATTTCTCGTCCTTCTTTCTGTAAATACGATCGTTCTCTCCGATGTAATAATATCTAGCCATGGCTCGTATTGCATTCCTTTCCTTTAGCTGGATATTTTCTCCAAAGGTTAAAGTGTTCAAAAACTGATACAGACATCGATAGCGCTCCTCCGATATTCCATGGAAAACGTCATCGTTAATCCCTCCACTTATGACATTATACACAGGTAAGTAATTATCTGTAATAATTTCTTCAGAAGTAGGCATTTCCATTAAACCTTCCTGATCAAACGGCATTCTAGATAGGCTGTCTGCATTCCCGTTTTGAGCCCCCGGACGATAATACACCGAAAAGTCTAATTCCATCACACTAAGCAACCATTTCACTACCCTCGGATTGGACTCCTCCTTGATTTTCATTAAATGCCTGAGAGATTGGTGATCTGTGATGACCTTGCATTTATTACCTAACAAATAATACCTATAGAATTTCAAGAAGTAGACTATAGCCAATAGTTCCAACTCCCATATTGCCATTGTTGTTTTTTCTATACCTATCAATGCCCGACTTCCATAATAGATAGGATGTAGGATGTTACCATCATCTTCATCAGCCTGAGTCAATATTCCAGATATAGCCTTCTTACTGCTATCACAATACAGAACAAATTCACGGTCGAATCTTGGGTGTGCTAGAACAGGCTCGCTACTCATCATTTCCTTGCATTTATCGAATCCCTTTTGCGCCTCTTCGTCCCAATTAAATTTGACGTTTTTCTTTAACAGTTTAGTCATCCCGCTAGTAACCTCAGAAAGCTTTGGAAAGAATCTTCGATAATATTGGATGCCTCCTAAAAAGGTTCTCAATTCCGACACATTCCTAGGTCGAGGCCATGACATATATCGCTCTACTTTGGAGTTATCCATCCTGAATCCATTAATTCCACACATGTATCCCAATATCTTCAGTTCCTGGTATCCGAACTTGCATTTCTTTAACGACATGGATAGACCCACTCTTTCAGCCATACACAAAATTTTGTCTAGTTGCTGTACATGCTTCTCAAAATCTGAACTGTATACCACACCATCATCCACGTACATCATGAAGTAGTCAAAGAGTGCTTCCGAAAACGTCCGGTCCATACATCTCTGCCACCAAGCTACACTCGAATGCAATCCCATAGGCATTACGCACCATTGATAAATTCCTAGAGGGGTAATAAACGCTGTATACTTTCTTGAATCCTTATGTACCGGTAATTGCCAAAATCCTTTTAATGCATCCATGATAGAGAAATATTTAGCCTTGCCTAATTGGGTGAACAACATATTAATATCAGGTAATGGGTAAGGGTCTTTCATTGTCACCGCATTTAGATTCTTATAGTCAATGCATAACCGATATAGATCCTTGGTTTTAAGCCCTGGAGCAGTAGAAGTATATCCTACAACATTTCCATCTTCTAGTATAGCCTGTTTTCTTCTCTTGGTATCACCGACTCCAAATTTCTGTCCAATAAGATGTTCCATGTTATCTTCTTCTAATGAATCTTCAGCCTCTTCAATGAAATCTTGGATAGTGGTGTTGTAAATTTTACTACCAGGCACTTTCTTGACATTGGACAGCGAATTTTTATTGTCTGATATTACAAATGGCTTGGCTTTTCCTTTGAATTGTATCTTCTTCTTCTTATGTCTCTTTTCTATATCCGAAGGGATCAACACCGTTCCAGCAGCCCATTCACTATTGGGGTCCGCAGCCTCGATTTTTCCAGTGCGCAATAACTCCTGTAGTGTTTCTTTAAGCCATAATTGAGCGTCATGTGGCACAATGTACGCACGAGATCGTTGTGGTTTCGCATCAGGTTTCAAGTCAATAATGTAAGGGTCAGTATTTAATGTTTTTATTTCCTTAAGTGAACTAACAAATACGCTCTTATGCTTATGTAACACATTTAAAATCTCCCTTTTTTGCTCGGGCATTAATTCGGGGTTGATGTCAAAATCACCGCAATCTATTTCTTCAATAACAGGTTTTTGCTCGGTTTGCTTGACATTGTTGACCTTCTTTACACTGTCATTTTTATTGGACCATTCGCAGACAACAGACGTAACATAAGACTGCATGTTGTGGTAATAGTTATTCTTGCTGATAGCTTCGGCAGGTAGATAAACGGGTGCGGTGGAAACGGAAGGCATAGCTTGGTCGCGTGGGTTTTCCATCATTTCTGCCAGATACTCTTGAATAACCTCTACCTCGGTAACTACATTTTTTTTTGTCTTGATACTCTCCATTGATAATTTATCGTCGCCAGCAGGAGTAATTATTCCGATAGCATCACCTTTCTTTATCATTACCTTTTTATTAGTTGCATTAGCAATAACTGTTTCTGCTACTCTGGTGGTATGGATAATTGTCGGGCACAACATTACGCCATTTACTGCACTGGCATATGCAGGAACAAGCATGTGCACCATCTTAGTATTATCTAAGACTGTAGGTTCCGCGTATCTGAGAGCTGCGATGCTAATCTCCCAAGGATCCAGAATCAAGTCCTCATTCAACTTCACTATTTTGTCACCACTCTCCCCACCTGATAATACTATCTGCATTATTCTATTGCTATTACCCAATTTTGACGCCGTAGGATTTATTCCAGTTCCCTCGTGCGTATCGATAATAATTTGCTCTACTACCACTTCACTGTCGTCTTCATCTAAGATTTCGAAAATCAATTCCTTACGAGATACATCTAACATGGCGTGTGCTCCTTCGAAAAAATCAATACCCAAAATCAGGGGGAAGTTATCTAGATCTGCTACGATAAACGTATGGCTGACTTCTAATTCCACAGAAAACAAAATAGCAACATTTCGTATTAACCCCATGGCGCTTTCCTTAGCCCTTCCTGCAAAACTCAACGATAGTCCAGGCACTTTTTCGATACGATTTTCCCATTGTAACTCCTTGACTACTTCATACGGAATAATAGAGGCATTTGCACCAGGGTCCAATAGCGCATCGTAATCTCCTTCACCTATAGACATTTGAACCACTTGGAGTTCAGTACCACTAGCACCCGGATTGTTACGATCTGTGAATGATTTTGTGAAAATCTGATTTCTTTGTACAACATTATGGATATTATTGTCTACTTTCCTTACGGGATTGACATCAGCTAGCGTCGCCGTAGCTAACGATGATGAAGCATCGCTGGGAGTGGCCAATGTCGGTGGCACTATTGTTCCACTAGTAACATTACTAACAGATTTATTACTAGCAAAACCTAAAGCTTCTTTCGCTTGTTGATTGTGAGATGGACACAAGAAAAGGAATTCCGCCAAAGGAAGGGTCACCGTCAAGGACCTCAAGTATTCCGCAGTGTTGAATTTTTGGTCCAGTTTACCTTCTTTGTTGATCAATAAGGGATGTTTCTTAGTAGCTTTGTTTACTTGAGATGGCCGTGGTAATCCTTGAGCTAATGCTTCCTTGTCTAACAACGCTATCTCCTTCTTTCTAGCACGTGCTTTAGCTAGTTGGATAGCTCGTCGTGCACGTTTCTGAGTCTCCCATTCTTCAGCGGATAACATATCAACGTCTTGTTGCTCAGTTTCTCCGTTTACTGCATTTATAATATTTGTAGGATTTTGTTCACTGGTTAAGGTGATATTTAAAATTGGGACACCGTTACCTACTGGCGGTGTCCTTCCCGAAAATCCTGGTTTTGTGCTTGAGTTTTTCTTGGCTTTCTACATCCACTAGCTGTGTGATTCTCATCACCACAGTTACCACACGAGGACGGACAGTTTCTTTGTATATGGCCTTCTTCATTGCAGTTGTAACATACTCGAGATGAAAAGGATCCAGAGTTAGTGTTGCCGGTCACTGAGGATCGTGGAACTTTCAAGGTATCACCATTGCCTTGAGCTTGTTGATTAGCTACTTCTTGAGAATTACCATTGGATTCTTGCACTCTTCCATTATTGTTACGGGGAGCGTAAGTGGGCTTTCTAACATTCTCACTACTAGATACATTGTTAATCTGTAACATATTCATGTTTTGTTGTAGCTGAAAAAGCTCCCATTGCTGCTTGATGGTGTGTAATTGTGCGGTGTTTACGTTATAAATATCAAATCCATTACTGTTACTAGCGGTACCATAGGATGTATTACTTCCAAAGCCGTTGTTCATCAAAGGGGCCAACGAGACACGTAACTCTTCTCTCATAATCCAATCTGCTTGAGCTAATTGGGCTCTCAAATCTTCTAATGAAGTAGGTGCCGCACGTAAGTTCCTTTGAGTTACCAAATTTAAATTTTGTACCACATCTGCAACTAAAGTACTCTCTTCGTAATTCTCTGTTTTGTTAAACTTCTTGAATAGATTTACTTTTTCTTTAATATAATTAACTGCATCTTCATTAGGGCCTTGCACTCTTCTATTGAAAGCCATTCTAAGCCTGTACTTGGTGGCGTTAGTTAAAAAGTGATTGACGAACATGTACACAAAGGATCCTTCTTGATCTTCGGAGCCATAAGCAATGTCTGACCAACTCGTTCTGCGAAACCATGATAAGGCAGTATCTCGTAAGTGAGATCCAATCACAGCGATTTTCTCTTTGTCCTGAGCACTAGTAAGAGAAGAGAATGTGGGTAGATAGGATATTTGTTCTAAGAAGTCATAAATACTTTCACTTGTATCTAGATATTCTCCACTGAAGGGGATAATCATAGAACCTTGTACACTATTAGTTAAATAAACAGGCATTGGACCTGGATACATCATAGGCATGGGTTGAGGGTACATTCCATACATTGTCGGGTTACTCATAAACTGATTGTTCATGTTGTAAACTTGGGTTGGGGATGCTTGGTTAGTGAGATTTTGTTGTTGAACCTGTTGTAGGAACTGTTGAAACTGTTGTTGTTGTTGCATAATATTTAAGACGAGCGGTTGTATTTTTTTACGAAAGGATTGTTATTATTTAAGTCAAAGCGCCCAGCTACTCCACCATGTAATGTTGGCCGGGAATTGACAGTCTCTGATCGTAAGATGTTGATTAGAGATATATTTAGACTGGTTTCAGGCTGTAGCTTGAATAGAGATACGTTTTCTATAGTGTATTCTAACGGATTACGTCACAATGAAGTCGAAGTTTCTGATATATGTCTAAGTTTAATCCCTTTTGAGTCAAACTGGCTTATCCTGCGCTTTATTCTGAAAAGGCTAATAACGACCAAAAATTATAAAATGGAAAGAACTATTGTTTTATTATTGCTGTGTAATTCGTTAATAAACTCAATTGAGTTACACAAAAGATCTTTTAGCTAAGCTCAAATTCTTCACACCTTCTTTTTATTTTTTTACTCCTTTTTCTTTTCTCTTTTTACTCATCTAAGCCCACATGTCCGAGGAAAAAAGCAAAAAACCTGCTAGTAATTATAGGAATGAAAGAGTTAACTTTCCCAATCTAACATAGAATTACAGACACTGCTTTCAAACAACAACGTCTTAAGGCTTGGCAACCTTTATTAACACCAAAGACTGTATTACCAACGCTTTTTGTAGCCGGTATTTTTTTCTCTCCTTTGGGCGGTGTCTTCCTATCCCAAAGCGACTCTGTAAGTTGTGCGTCAGGTTTTGTTTTTATTTGCTAAACTTTCAAACAACAGGTTAATGAGATTATTATTGATTATACCGAATGTAAAAACAATAATGGTAGCTTGCAAGTATTAGATGATAGTTTATATTCATATAAATTCACTAAAGAAGGAGATGCCGGTAAACATATTGCGCATTTACAATAGAATACTTGGTTATTTACCAACCTCATAGCGCCTCGTATCCCTTCTTATAGATTCACAAAAAATCCTATTGACGGTGAGCCCGGAAATTGTACTATCCGATTCAACACCCCCATCGACATCAACGCACCCGTCTTTCTTTATTACAGACTCACCAACTTTTATCAAAACCATCGTAAATATGTTAAAAGTCTTAGTTACAATCAACTCCATGGTGATGTGATCACTGCTCAGGAAGCAGCCAGTTCCTGTACGCCTGTCAGCACAAACACAGATGGAAAAATTTATTATCCTTGTGGTCTTATTGCCAATTCCATGTTTAACGGTAAATGTAAACCATTGTTTTCGCAGGAAGAGTATACTGACTAGAAGAGTATTTAGATACCTTTCATGTCTCTTTCGTAAACCCACCAGGCGGTCAAAGTAACACGACTCTAAATTTTGATGAGACAGGTATTGCATGGCCAGCAGACAAAGATAGACTCGCTACCACGCAGATGAATCCTAATGACATTGTGCCACCACCTAATTGGGCTAAGAAGTATCCTAATGGATATACAGAAAACAACATTTTCAAACCTCAATTGGATGAGCACTTTCAAGTCTGGATGAGAACAAGTTGGTACCCGACATTTAGAAAATTGTATGCCGCCCAAAGAGATTTCAAACTGGATACTGGAATTTATGAAGTCACCGTGGTTCTTAGTAAGTATAGTTTTCATGCTGATTTATTTATCATGACCCATTAAACAAGTAGCATAGATTATGATATTACTGCTTATGGTGGCACCAAATCCATAGTTATTTCCGGCACATCTTTCTTGGGCGATAGAAATCCTTTCATGGGTTTAGCTTGGATTGTGATGGGTTGTGTCTGTACGCTTTTAGGCGTCGTCTTTTTGGGCTGGCACTTTTTCAAGCCAAGAAAACTTGGTGATCATGATCGTCTTTCTTGGCAACAATCGTCTGGTCCAGGCCAATAAATTATGCATAATAAACTATTTACTTTTTATATTTATAAAACTGAGTGGAACTTTAAAAATGCTTTGAATATCAGCCATTTTAAATAACCGTAGCTTTATGGTTTGATGAAGGTGATTTATTCTTATTTTAGAATAAGGAACTGATATATTCCAATGATTTACCAGAAGTCTAATTATAATATGTTAATTTCTTTTCAATTTCTTTCCAGCTTTTTTATTTGCTCATTACCTCCGGCACCCATTTCACAATAAGCATCCATAGAAACATAGATATACCTGCATAAAGCCAGAATGTTCCTGCAGCAGTAAGGGCATTAGTCATTGTAAGGAAGGTGGATGCAACAAGTAAATTGCATATCCAGTTTGTAGCAGTGGCTATTCCATTTGCTTTTCCTCTCAAAGACAATGTAAATATTTCGCTTTGAATCACCCAAGGAACATAACCTAACCCTAAAGCATAACTAGCTACATAACAGGTAAGTGAAAAAAGCAATACAAAAGTGATGAGCCCGTCAGAGGATTTAGCCGGGCAGGATGTAGCCCCGCTTAATACAAGACCCAAAATATCTGTAGGACTGTGGCCCAAAAGTGAAACACACGAGCTTGTATCGACGGACCATCCACATCGGTCATCTAAAATGCAGCGATAACAATGGGTGGTATAATTTGCACATAACTCTTGTTTAGGTATAAAGCCTTCTTGTTGAACAGCAAATGAGCCACCTAATGCAAGCAAACTAATAATCATACATAGCATTGTTATGATAAGAATACGCCGGCGACCTGTACTGTCAATAATAACAACAGCAATCATTGTAAATACCATGTTTGTTACTGATACTATTAATGCTACCAGCGTAGAATTTTGGTGATTTCTGAAGCCGGCCATTTGAAGGATTGTAGCAGCATAGTACATTGCCGTATTAAACCCTGACAGCTGCTGAGCAGCTTGCAAAACACAAGCGATTAACAATGGTTTCATGTTCTGTCTCTTCAAAAAATCACGATAGGTTCCTTGGCTACTCTGATGCATATCTTCTTGAATAGTTTCAATTTCGTTATTGATAAATTCATCAGACACGGTAGTGCCATATATCCTTTGTAATGTTAGTTTGGCGAGTGCCAACTTATTTTGGGCCACCATGCGACGTGGACTTTCAGGCATAAACGGCATAATAATCAATTGTATAATAGCAGGTACAGCACCAATACCAAACATATATCTCCATCCACCTTCTGTTTCTGAATAAATGATATTTACGACATAAGCCATGACCTGACCAAATGTGATTACCAAAGTATTCAATGTTGCTAGCCTACCGCGAAAGCTTTTGGGTGCTACTTCACTGATATAAACAGGTATAATCATAGAAGCAATACCAACACCTAATCCAACAATCAACCTTCCGAGTACTAAAATATTGTAACTGGGTGCTAAAGCGAGTAATAAGGAACCGAGCACAAAAATGGATGCGGCACATAAAACCAGTGGCTGTTACATCCATACATTAGTGACTTGAGCATATATTATATAAATGCAATTTACCTTTCGACCAAATCTGTCAGACAACTAGATTAAAAAATTAATAAATTATGCTCATTTGTCGATAATTATGTAACATTACGAGCCCAGCAAAAAAGCCAGAAAAAATAGCTCCAAACGTTGTGGCGGATACAATCAACTCTTTTTGCCTTGTGGTCATTAAAAAATCTACTTGAATCGGTAGTAATGCACCTGATATGACTGAGATAAATTAAGTTAGCATAATTAACTGTTTGAGTTTGTAATATACATGTACCTCCTGTATCATATCCAAAAAGAAACCCGCCAATACAGACACAAAATACCAGATAATATACAAAGAACGTAGGCTTCTCCACTGAGCCGTCTTGAACAGTGTCTTCTGAACTCGCTTCCCCTAATGAAGGGATCCTTTCATACTGTGCTTTATTCACATGTGTCTCTGCCATTATATAAAATAAAAGTAAAATAAGTTGAAAAGGGATGACGAATTCATTTCCCGGACCGGAGCACCCGAAGAAACAATATGCAGTCAAAGTAGTGTCTTCCCCTGGATAAGTTTTAATGTGTGCCATGATATAAAATCATCTTTCTTTAAAAATATACCAACTCTTATACCTTATTAATGAACCCATTTCCACACGTAAACCTATATACACAAAGCTCCTTTGGGGACGTATCATCTTTTCCAATGGATATGACGACAACCGGACCGAATGCCGATGGCATTGGTTGGTCCTCAATTGAAAACGATTGGAATTCTAATACACCCATCTCGCAGCTCTCGTATTATTCTTCTCCAAATATGATGGACAACCAGCAAGCCCATGTAGCCGTGCTGATGATGCAGCAGCAGCAACAGCAGCAATTACAACTGCAACAGCAGCAACAACAACAACACCAGTATATGCTATTACAGCAGCAGCAACAGCAGCTTCAACAACAGCAACAGCAACAGCAACAGCAACAACAACAGCAACAACAACAGCAACAACAACAGCAACAACAACAGCAACAACAACAACAACAACAACAACAACAACAATTACAACAACAACTACATAAACGTCCTTTTTCGTATCCAACGAAACAGAACAATACCCAACAACAACCGCCTCATTGGTTTCTGAAGCAGCAGCAAGCAAAGATGATGGCTTCACAAGAAATTATTAAGAATAGCGCCTCCTCCGTGCCCTCACCCAATTCATACTCTGCGTCATCTTCACCAATGCACTCATCGCCCTTATTGGATGTTCCATCACCCAATATAATCATGTCTTCTATGTCATCCCATCAACCAATATCCCCTTCTGCAACACCAGAGTCTGATTTGCTATCAGCGAAAAGAGTCGAAGTGGTAAACTATTCTGCAACTAATACATAAATCGTTACTAAAAAGTTGGTTAGATTTTGACTATCAACCAGGAATTAATTCGTTTATGCCTCGAGCACCAACATATGAGTGTGAATGATTTAAGAGAGCCAGATATTACAATGTAACGTGTTAATCTCTTTAAGTGTGATACAACTCTTATGCATTGAATTTTTCCTTTTTTTAGTTACAAATCAAGACTACAATCCAACTTGACATATCTGGCTACTATGGCAGATATATCCATGATTAAAACAGAGGAAGTAAGTACGTCAGTATAATACTGCTACTGCCTATCATTTACACACACACTAGGACTTTAAAGTACCTACACCGCCAAATCTGTCTCTTCTTCCGCCACCTTATACAATGACAGGACAGCGAATCCATAAACTATTTCTAACAGCGAACCAATTATTCCTTGGTGGAAAAGAAGAAGAGCCGGACATGTCGCCTTACCCGCAGAAGCAGGGATACAATAAAGCAGCGACAGTACGCCAGCGACAGCAACAAACTAGCAGTGGTATGAATAGTGTAGGAAGTATGAGTAGTAATAGTAGTAGCGCTAATAATAACATGTTGTCACCTTATCATCTACACCATGCATTGTTAAAAAATAACCAAAATGTAGATCATATGCAGCAGATGAACCCAGGTATGAATAATAATAGTTTTTTGATGGACGATAATGCCATGATGATGATGATGTACAACGCTCAATAATAATAATAAAAAACACCATTTAAATCTACGCCATATCGCGTTTCTTTTTTCTTTTGTCTTTTTATCTGATTTTCTTTTCCTGACATGCTGAAAGTTTTAATCGTTTCAGTTTTGTTATGGACTCGCTGGCTTATAGCAACTTTGCCTGGTTACATTCATCCTGATGAATTCTTTCAGAATCCCGAAATTACAAGCTCGAAAATATTTGGCATAGAAACGTTTACCCCTTGGGAGTATACGCCAGAACATGCTTCTCGTTCAATTATTGCACCGTAACATACAACTGTAGACATTGAACGAATTACTCTGTTGTAACCATTAACAATTAGATTTATAACAACTGGGATTCCATTTTGGATATTAAAGTCCTGGACACCTGAAGGAACACGTAACAATTTGCTGTCATTCATCGCAAATGATCTGTAATCTCTAATATACAGACACACAGTTCCTTCTTCTTATAGGCTTTTTATGGCAGAACGTTTAGGCTCTTTTTTTCTTTCCCTTGTTATAGGTATGATAAATATGAACAAACATGTACCTGAGCTAACACGATTTTAGATTTATGCGTATTTAGATTATGTAAGCGTACCGGGACCAAGCCTACCATACCCATGATTCTTGTTGCTACGAGTCAGGTCACGTTAGCATACTATACCCATCCATTTTCGAACTCCTTTGAAAGTATATTACTTTGTCTCAGTCTATGCACATATGCCGATTATGCAAAAGAGGTAGCGTTTAACGATTACTAGTTAGTAGAAGTATTAACGTGCCGAAAGGGATCGAGCAAACTTTCTTTTTTACTAGGCGCTTTATTCAGCATAGGTGTCTTTACCAGAATTACCTTCCCTCTGTACGCATCTCCAATAGGTGTTGCATATCTATACCAAGCATATAAAAAGTAAGCCGATTTTTGTTTTATAACCTTGTCTTGTTAACGATGTCCATCTTAGAAACAATCGTTTTACAGGATTTGTGACATCGGTATTCCCTTTTTTGATTGGCATTGTTGCCTTTGCTGTGTTCTCAATTGTTGCAGACTCTGTCTATTATGGAACGTTGAAATTAACCGTACACGGAGAGCCATTTACTGGTGTAGGGCATGTAATCTCGACCCTTTTCAACCCCATGGCATTGGCTTCGATGAGACCTGAGGGCGAAATAGTGATCACACCTATCAACAATTTACTATACAATATAAATACAGATAATCTGGCGCAGCACGGTATCCATCCTCGTTATACTCACTTTGCAATCAATCTTCCACTACTCTATGGACCTTTAGCTATTCTTGGGCTGTTTCATATTCCCAGTGTTTTTGCGAAGATTAGAACTGATGAAAATATTCACTTATTTTATGGTAATTTTATCAGATATGTGAGATAGTTAACCTGTTAATCTTTTTATATATATACATTTTATTATTTTAGTTTTTGTAGGTGTGGTATCTTCCGGATTAATCGGTTTATCTATTATGCCTCATCAAGAAGCTAGATTTTTGTGCCCTCTACTCGTTCCTTTGGTTCTAATTTTTGCTTGGAAGCAGTCTAGGTTAACTCGCTCCTTTTGGGTAACCTGGTTTTTGTTTAATGTTATTACTACATATGTTTTTGGAGTCATACATCAAGGTGGTTTAATTCCTGCTATGGACCTACTCTATCATCAAACAAGCGGACTTCATGACTGTCATGTGTTAAAGAGTGGTGACTTGACATGTACTTCGGGTGCATCCAGTAAGTTTATGCAATTTTAAAAGAAGGTACATCTGACATGTCTTAGATTTAAACATGGATCATAATGGACTTAATATTACTACAAATTTACTGTTTTACAAGACATATATGCCACCTCGCCATTTGCTGGTTATTCCCAAAGGTAAAATAGCTTTCACTAGGAAAGCATCTAATAGCTTACTAATATAATATAGATAATGGTGGAAATCATGTAAATGTGTTTGATTTTTCAAGTGACCTTGATAAGGTTGTCGAACAACTTGAAAAGAGCTCGGGTGTTATCTTGCGTCGTCATCAGGCTGGTAAACATGAGGTTGACTTTGCAAAAACTGGTATCCCTAATGTATACGAAAGGTGATTTTAAGCTCGTATAAAGTAATGTGAATAATTATTAATTTGATCTGGCAGAACTATTTTTATTACACCAAGTTTTGTCACACTTCCAAAGATCCATCAACATCGTTACTTGTTGATGACGACCTATACACCACATATTAGTTTTGACGATGTAGACAAGATGATGGAAAGAGCCGCAGAAACAAACTCACCTGAAAGCCAAATGAACTTGAATGTATTCCTTATCCTTTCAGAAAAAGACGATGTTTAAAAAAATGATGGTCAATATTATAAAAAAATTTATTTACTTCTATATCTATTGTACTTCGGCAAGTGGGATTCTTTCATAATTTTCATATATGATTCCCTCTGTCAATTTAGCGATAACAATAATAAATAATACCAACGTAATTAACATGTAGACTACACCGGCATTGAATAACATAATGATGGAAATTATAGCAGTAAAGAAAATAATAATAAATAACTTGTGCTTCTTCTTCTCTGGCTTTTGTTGAATAATAAATGTGACACAAATAAACAAAAAGATGGATACGCCTTCACCAGCGATACTGAAATTGACCAATGGAGCATATAATGTTGGACTTTCGATACGGTAATGCATTAGTGTCATTAAAGAGGAGCAAATGTATGCTGTCAAATATGAAAAATCGACATAACCATTATTAAATAATTTCTTCATGAAAGCAATACCGCAAATAGTGACAGGAAAGTTGAAAAAAAATGTGATCTCCATGGTTGACAGAATATATTTTTGATACAAGTATTTTGGCTCGAAGTAGTCAACAGGTCGATAAATATTATCCATGAAGTGGAAGTTATGAACCACAACATGAATCAGATAAACAATGACGATGAGTGTAGCATTTTGATGGTTTTGCTTAATAAAGCGGAACTTGATACTTTTTCTATCACTCTTGAAAGCAAAGTAGTTTTTGGTTGTCAAAACAATATTTGAAAGCATCAACAAGAAAGTTACAAGAATGAATAACAACCTAAAAAAGCTTTGTTGTTCATCGACCCCTTCATGAATTAAAATTGGCTTGTTAAGTGTAGATGTCCCGTATTCAATCATAAGTTTTTTGTATATCTATCCAGCTATACCCAAGTCAAGCCTCAAAAGCATGTGAGTATTTATATAAATGATCAATGGTCGGGGTAAACAGAAACAGGTTACTCCATATACAATTACAGAATAGTTTTCTTCTGCATTTAGGAATTTGGTGACTCGGCTAAAAAAATCAGCCTTGTTCGGCAAACGAAAGTAGTTCCCTTGTGTTTAAAAAAGCCTGGCCCCTCAAATCAAAAAACGTTTAAGGGGAGGACTGCATAGTCTGATTCCATCTTTACCACAACCCAATCAAATGAAACTAAGATACATATTCTACCTGTACTAATTCCAGTAATATAACCTATTTAAATGGCTCTTGAACTCATCTTTAAAAGCGTTATGATCTTTAACACAGTCTTTGGGTTACTGCCCCATATTTTGGTTAAACTGATCCAAAGTTAAACACCCTATGAAAAAAATTATTTAAAAATTAAGTGAGGTTAAAAAGATAAAAGTGGATCTTTTAGGCTTGGTAGATACATTATCTGATTAAATTCAGATTGGGATGTGTAGTTAATATGAACACACCTGTGAGTTTCCGGCCCCTTTAGATTAACTGATCTGTAAAATTTTTGCCCATTTTCTCAATATTTCTTAAAAATGAAACTAAAAGCAGTATTCTCACAGCTACTATTGACATTAAGGTGCAAAAGCCCTATGATAGAGACCCGAGAAAGAAACAATCTACATTGAACAAAAAGCTTAGAAGGGCAGACGTACTGATTTCATAGAAAAAAAAAAGTAACTAAAATAAAACTTTTGACAGTAGATGTGTTCAGTCATTTAACAAATTTCTTAATCTGCCTCGTGAAGGATAAGTATTCTATCTACAATCCAGAAAATATTGCAATGCTGATTGTATGTTGAGAAAATAGATACGTTTATCGTCCATTATGCTCTCCAGATGTCCAAACAATCCAACAATTCTGGTCGGCAGCCAAATGCAAGATAGATAGGGTAAACGCATCGAAGGCCCACTTCATTTTCAAAAGTAACTTATGCTTGTAGCAACTCATAATACATGGATTACTCCACACATAAATATGGCAATTATTCAACTAGCCTACTTTAGACATAAAACTGTTAGAAGAAAAACAATGTAGACTAAAGTACGTATAGTCATTTTGTTTTTCAAAATCCTGTAACAAGTACAGACAGAACTTTATCCATACCTGGTGTGAGATGACAAATAACAATCAACTTTTAACATTATCTAACACTGTTTTTTTCGTTTGTTTTAAGAACACATTGTATGATTTGTGTGAGATATGGCATGACAATAGCTATCTACAAAAACTATGCATTAGAATATAACCAAAATGAGCGGTAAATGCTAGAAGGTCATCCTTTGTGTAGAACAATTAAATGCTCTCAAGTGATGGATAACCCATAACTTCATATACAAATAGTAAATTTTTGTGTTATCATACATAACCCATTACAAAATACGTCAATTTATCTAAGAGCATCCATAAAGGTGTGACAAAAATTACTTTTTAACTCAAAATAGCAATTAGAAAATACCACATTGTGAAATTTTGTCATCTGCTTTTCGTCATCTATAGCCTCATTCCTTCACTTATCGATAGTGTTTCCCTAATTATCTCCGTAAAAGAAGTTATTGTTGATATTTTGCCATTGTCTATAATATACCCTTTCAAGAGCAGACATGAGGCGGAGATCAAAAGATTTTTTTGGTTTTTGGTTTAAGAACTGTATGAGTGGCATGTCGAAGTTTGACACACTAGATCATGGCCAAGTCAAGAAAAAGAATGGCCCAAGGCAAACAAGTTCGCGCTGCTCAACTCGCTAAACTGGCAGCTGCCAAGTATGAAGTTAGACCCAAAGAAGCTTTTGACACTGATGTTGACATGACCAGTTCTAAAGAAACTGTTGACAACGATGTTGACTCGATCCAACCTAAAAACGTCCAAGAAGTCCAAATTTTACCCATCAACTGGAAGAATGCAACCGAAGAGACAGGAAAACAGAGATATACTCGTCTTCTGAACTATTCAAGAGAGACCATCAGTAGGAAGAAATCTGTATTGGCTAAGGCAGCTGTAGGTTCACGTTCAATCCATGATTTTTTTAATACAAAGCCAAAGGAAATTCCCCCACCTGAAGTCGTGAAGGCAATTTACAGACCAAGAAGACCCGATGAAGCAGCCCTAGAAAAGATTCGTATTACTTTACCACTTATGGATCCAAAGGTCAGAGTATCAAGGACGAATGAGCGGCAGTGTAGGGAAGGCGTAGCTCAATTTTTAAAGTACAAAGTTGTCTATAAGATGATGTTGCTCCTATTAGAAGGTAGCACTTATGTTGAAGCATCTACTGCAGCTGTTAATATTTTTTGGCCTGATGCTTCTAAATTTTATCGTGGTCGTGTTGCCCGGGAATGGCTGAATGCGATGTTAGAGACGGGAGAGATTCCACTTCATCAACAAGGGAAACATGTCAAGAGAAGGTCGATCTTGAGCGATCCTGTAGTAGAAGAAATGTGCATTAAATGGCTGCATAGCCAGCAGCCTACAGATATCAGCTTATCAGTCCTTCGCCATTATATTCAAGATCATGTACTAACGGAAGTACTGGATCAAACAGCAGTTACTGAAGATTTTGAAGATGGAATTGGCATGCAAAATGTACCTCTTCCAAATAGTACTTTAGCAACTTATAAGAGTAGGTGGGGATTTTGATATGCATATCTATATAATTCGGTTCAACTTCCTGACAAAACGAGCACCACTTTATTACATAATATGTTTGTCCCATTTGTTTATATGTCTTCTTCAATCACTGACTTTTCTAGCCATTAAAATTACAATACAATCATAGCTAAAGTGCGATATAGAATCGTAAAAACGAGATGCATTGCATAAACAATTTTTGTGGGGCTTATACTTTACAGTGGTCAGTGTTCTAGAAGTTGTGTTTAAATTGCCATTCCCAAAACATATATCTATAACTACCAATGATCTCGTTTAGCATGTCCATAACCTTATGCTTAAGCTATTATTAAATTATCGATACATGGATAGTCATAAAAAAAAAGACTGTTTTTTAAAGGTTGATTTTTATTTTTTTTTGGTTTTTATTTACATGGCATTTATAGATAATGGGAAAATATTAAAGATGATATAGATAACAAAAATATTATGACTGTAAATTATCTACTGGGAATTTTTGATCAATCATTTGAATCCAGCTGATCATCTCTTGACGAGTTCCTGATTGTAAGGTATAGGCATTGTTATTGGTATAAAGAGCAAACACATTGACGCGCTACAAAATAACAAATTAGTGCTTAATAACAAAGGTGATAGCATTTAAAACAAAGGAAACTTACGTCAATCATTCTTTCAAGAGCTTCATTGTAATCGATGCGAACTGAACCAACATTGATGACACCTTGCTCATCCGTTTCAGTGTCATTTGTATAAATGTAAATATAAGGTCGACGAATTACGAACCAGCGTTTAACCCATAGATCTTCGGCGGCATTTTTTTGATACAATAACCATCCCCTTTTTGAGATACTGGCACTACTAAAACATGTTAACTTTTAAAAGAATAAGCGTATTCACGTAACTTACGATTGTGTCACAAAGACCACTTCGGCTAACAATTTTGATGTGAATAAAGGTTCTGGGATTACAGAAATGGCATTTTCAATCAACAAAGGTGGATCTTGACTGATGACAATTTCCTTGTCCGTACCCAATTTTAAGCTCCATAAATCAACGATCTTTTTTAGTAAAACTTGTCGATCTTCATCAGAAGCTACAGTGGTTGAACAGCTAGATAAGACCGAAGATTTAGGAGAGACGAGTTCTTGTTGCTTTAAAGCTAGAATTTGCGTTGTAAAAGCAACATGTTGTTTACGACTGATGAACTCTTGAATCTGTTTAAAATCATTGACAAGAGAAACACCACGGGGTCTCCAGGTGCCCAAAAATTCTTCGCCATGCACGTATTTGGATGCTGTATTTAAACGCCATAATTGACTTAAACGTCTTGTCATGGGAGGCTTCAGATGAACCAAAAAGACCCCACTATATTTACTAGGATGCTTATCTTTTGGATACAGCAGTTTACGAATATTACGGAATTTGCTTCCGCCTGTGGACCGATCACGACCTTGAATTTGGAAAGCGATATCCATATTAAACTGCACCGGCTTTTCACATCGTTCCGCTTCAACTTCCCATCGGAGGTTAAGAATAACTCGACTGTTGGGGTCCGTAAGTCTGTTCAAAAAGATACATTCATGCTGAGAGCTATCCCACGCACCTTCTGCTGTGATTTGGCTGGTTCCATCAGAACAATAAATGACATGTTGTTTGGTTAATAGCTTAATGGGAATATTTTCTTGTGCGGGGGATTCCAAGATACGGCCTTTACCATCCAAAAGACGAACATGACCCACCGAGGCTCTTTTAATCTTGGTCCATTCAAATTGGTGTCCTGAAGTATGAGACAAGGTAAAGCAAACTCTTCGCTGAAGACCCTGGCGTAACGTAAAGTAACCTTTATCCATAGCCCCTTTAGATGTTAACTGAACAGGTGTGTATTCTCCGGATGGGGATAGTTCACGTACTTCGATCCAGGCAACAATGTCATGTCGTTCTGCTGTTAACAGCTCTTCTTCAGATCGACGTTCTAGTGAACCTGCTGTTGAATCACTATTACTACTAGCTGATTTGACAGACGTACCATCCATAACTACTGCCTTTTGTTGACTTGCCTGAAAGAGGTCAACCAGGCGTGGTCTTTCTCGTTGATCGTCCCATCTTTCCTGTTGCAACAACACACGTGTTTGAGCCAAACCGTATACTTCAAATGCAATAAATCCACTGGTAAGAATATCTAGCACAGGCTGTGTGACCACCAGAGATAGAGTCTGACCATAATTCATTTGGTATGGATTATTTTCAAAGAAGCTCACTGGCTCAGTTGCGAATATTTTTTCAGCTGGTGAGTGAGAAGGTATGCCACCAAATGAAGATAATCTGAATTGAACATGCACGTCTGTAAATTCTGATTCACTAATACCACTGAATTCCAATAACTTGATTTCAAATAACAGGTTTTGGCCTACTTTCAAGGTTGTATGATCATCAGCTTCTTCTTCCTCATCTTCATCGTTCAAGTCATCGTCAGAATCGTTTTCTGGGAAGGAAGGTTGTAATGGGTGTCTTGAACTTTCACTGTTACTATGAGTGGCGACCACAGACCTTGCGATAGGCGATATTAAAATACGTAATTTTCCTCGTATTTGTCCTGTGCTACGACAAATAATTTCGGCAACACTTTCGTATGATTGTTGAGTGATTAGACACCGTACGGATGTAGATGCAACACCGATGAACGAGTATTTGGGGCAAGGATTTTCAAAGAAAGGGTCTTCGAAATTAAAATGTTTGCGATACAGTGGACGATCAATAAAATTGTACAAGTTGCGCATTTTATGCAGTCGTTGTTTCAACCTTTCGAGAGACCAGACGTAAATCACTTGGTTCTTTTTATCTATAACACGTACACCCACACAGGGTTTTGGAGTAGACAATAACATTGTGTCTTCATCGGTTTCAAACTGGTGTAGAGCAGATGTCGTTTCCCAAAAAGATAAATTGTTCGAAAATGGCTCGTCTTCAATTACAGCAAATTGATACAAAACTTCCTTTTTCAATTCTCTTGAGATGATGTTGGCTTCTTTTAACATGACAGCGTTTGTCAAGACAACTTCAGCCATATCCACAGTACGTAATTGTTTCCATCTGCCCAGCACCTTTTGGATTAATCTGGTTTGGCGCTCATTATAAATAGGCCCAGTGCCGTTGGCCATAGACATAGCTTGCTGAGAATACTGTCTAGACATACGATTGATCTTTGCTTCGAATACACGTTTTTGGTGATCCAATTCTTTCTGCATACGTTCTTTTTCTTGCTTCAGCTTTTCTTCTAATAGGTTCTCTGAATGGGCTACAGTAATATCGGTGTATACACTTTCAGTGCCATCTTCATTCATGATGACGGAAGAGGAATTTCTAAAGGAATCTCTTGTTGTGGAAGAATCATCATCATCGCCATCCGCTCTACTTTCACTTCTAACCCGTCTTGAATTTCGGATTTTTGTTATATCGTCGTATAATTTTTCTAAATCCTCATCTTTCAAATCCCCAAAGTTCTCTTCGGTGGCATAGTAATTTAATACAGCTTCACGGCGTGCGTAGTTCCAATCAATAACTTCAGACCCAACCATACTCTCTGAAGAAGGTGATTCTGGTCTACTAGTATCATCGTCGACGACTGCTGTCGTTCCACCATTCATGCTATTTTCGATTGCGACTTTTTGTAGATCCCGTTCTTTTCTCACTTCCTCCGGGTTATTAAATCGAAAGATATGGTAGTAACCAAGAATGATACGGTAGCCACTTTTAAGTTGTTTTGGTGTCGTAATACGCATACCATTGACCATGGTGAGAGAGTCTTTGTTTGGGTGTAGTGTCACAACACCATTTTTACTTTCAAAAGAGCAATGCTCTTCTTGAATATTAGAGCCACTAAGCCTAATATCTGCCTGTATTTCACTTTCTTGTCTTCCTAGTCGGGTGAAACCTGGTTTGATTTGATACATGAGACATTCGGACATGAGTGGATCTTCGTTTAAATTGACAATAAAAGGTATTGTCTTTGGTGTATAAACCCCCATATCATTCTTTTCGATCGTGATACCTAGTTCTTTCAAGGCCTTTTCTCTGACATGGTGAATTTCTTCAGTCTTTTTCAACTTTTCTTCCCAGCTTTCATTTAAATTGGCCAATAACTTTTCCGACACCTGCAATTGTTCAATGATCTCCTCTTTGGACATCTTCTTTTTCTTGCCAGTACTATCCATGATCTCCAATTCTGATATGGGTGTTTTCGCGGAAGCAACAGGAGTGGAATTAGTACGTGATGTACTGGAGGTTGACTTAAGTCCTGTGCTATTCGAGCTTTTATATGCACTAGAGGCTGTGAGTTGTTCTACTTCTTCGGGTGCATAAGTACGCAATCGATCACGCAATAATTCCAATTCGTCTTTCAAGTCTCGAATTAACTTTGCGTTCGGATCTTCATTTACAATAGCCTTATTTTTAATTCGTTTGGCTTGATCTGCATATCTTAGTGTACTGAGAGTTTCATCATAATCTGCTTGTGAAATTGCTGCAATCATTGCAGTTTTTGAATTACCACCCAACGAATCTTTTAGTAAATAAGTCAACACCTACATGTAATAAATTTAGTTCGAATAACAAGAAAAAGGCAATAAAATACTTACGGAATCTCTGTAAGGAACAAAGACCGGGTTCTTCTTTCCTTTTTTCCCTTCTTGTGCCGATTGTTCTGCAAGACCTGCAATGACTTTACCCAGTGTAGTCAAAGAACGATTGATATTTGCGCCTTCTTTTAATCTTGCACCTGTAGCACCTGTACTGTTGGCACGCTCACTACCAGCCAAATCAACTAAACTGATTCTGGCGACTTTCTCAGTCTCCAGCTTTGTTAAATCATCCAACCTTTTTTGAGTCAAGAAGAGAGTGAATACAGCATGGGATCTCGAAGATGTTTCATTCATGTTGGTGGCAGCGACAGTTCTTGCTTTATTACCTTCGTCCATTAGATGATTGATATCGTCAAATGAAGTAACTACTAATCTTGAAAGATCCTCCACATAAGGACCCAAGGAAGGGTGTTCACGTACTTTTAGGTTTCCCTTATTTTTCGGGTTCAATAGATCGTGTACTTTCTCATTGTAAATTTCGATATAAGACACTTCAACGCCATATGTAAGATTGGGTTGTTGGTTGCGATTGATTCTGTTGAACAGCTCTGAACAAGTACGAGGTGTGATACCTATATCTTCGCCATAACCCATCTAGTTAAAGTTTTAGTAAAGTTGAGAATGATCAAGAAAAAACGAAAACAAGAAAGAGATAATTACATATTTACCATTGAATATGATTTACCAGAACCCGTTTGACCGTCTAAATTATGACATGGATGTGTTTACATGTTAATTATATACGTTATGTCATTATATATATGTGTGTATTAAGGGTACTTGCAAGCAAAAATACAGCAATTATAACCATCGAATGCATGATCCAATAATTCTTCACCCATATCATTATAGACAGTTTGTTGATCGGCATAACTTGGGTCGTTTTTGTCGGCAGACCAATAAGATTTGTCAAATGTGAATGCCTTTACGTCTTCCGATTCTTTTCCTGTTCGTTGATCAGGTGGTCTGCTAATAATCGTCTGGTCGCCGTCCATACGAATTAAACCTACTGCCCCACGAGCAATTTCTATAGAGGGGTGTTGGTAAGTAAAAACTCTATTTTCAATAAACGTCAACTAATGGTTACCTCTGGCATTCATGGGACGACAACGAACCACTACCTTGATATTTCCACCACTCATTATTCTTTCTAGTATAAATAGGAATTGTTAATGCATAACTTTTATTTTGACTTTCTTGAAATGTACCTACAATCAATTAAATATGAGAATAAAACTGTTTCAGATGTTTTGAAATTCAAGATGATGAGGTAGAAACTTGTTCAATTTAATGCAATTGTTATTTCCCAAATAAAAAGGTCCCTTAATCAAAACCTTATTACAAGAAAGAATAATAATTATAAAAAGAATAGTAAAAGTATATTTATGTAGAAATAAAAAAAGGGGAAAAAATAAAAAAGATGTGGAGCTCTTTGTTTTCGTTGTTTAGGAACTCCGTCCCAAGCAGTTTCGTGTTTTTGCAAAGGTTACAAAACCTATGTGATTGCATGATATTTTTAGTTTTTTATTCCACAGTGGCAGCTATAAATGTGCTCAGCGAAGGCTCTTTGTCTTCCAGTGTGTTGCTGTCCTGCATATATGTACTATTTGTCATGCTTTATCATGATGGGATCTACAGCTGACACTCTTATAAAAATATTAGTGCTATAAGTTACACACTGTGTGTTTGTAAATTAACCAAGTCGGACATGCCCTTCTTAAAAGCTACAAGTTCATTTCCTCTGCATTTTTTGTTAACGTGAGCCGCGTTTCTTCGTTATTATCTTTAAGCAGAATAAGTGATACCATGGTCTACAACAGCTATGAAAAAAAGCATTTATGTCTTAAGCATGTGATCATTTTTGGTTTTTGGAACACAAAAAACAGACTGATAATGTAGTGGCACTAAAATATAATATGAGAAATACTTTTAATCACATGTGTCATGTTGCTCCTTCATGAACTGTCATGAAAAAGCAAAAAAAAAAAGAAAAATAGAGCAACCACGTCACGAGCATTATCTTGTTCTTATATTACTGAATCTGATACGCGTTTTGCAGCAAATGTCCAAACAAAGCTGAAACAGACAAAAAAATTATAGTCGTACTTAACTACTCTATCCATGCGTCCTGAAATGGTAACTAGGGAAACTTATTGATACTTTATCATAGCTACTAATGCTTGTTGCATAAAATTTACGAAAGAAATCGAGACAAACCCCAGCTTAGGTACCCAGAGACTCGTGTGAAAGGCTCAAATTACAGTAAGTGTCTTGAGAACAAAAGCACCGGCGATGTTTACAAAATAAAACTGCAAAACCTTTGTGTGTGTAACACTCCTGCAAAAAAAAGTATCGGTCATTCAAAATTTCGTATGAACCTGTTTTTTTCTCTCTTGGATCGTTTTTCCTTTCTTTTCCCATACTTTTTATTATGCTTTCAACAGAAGATGAGGCTGTACCACCCCAAGTAAGAAGTGTTCCCAAGATTGATTTGACATTATTTACTACAGGTGATGGTACTGTTGTAAGTACGAAAGAAAGAATCATCAAAGGTAAAAAAAATTAGGTTCGTGTTATATTATATGATAAACTAACCAGGTATTATAGAGGTGCCGGCACCAGCAGTACATCTACCTACGGATGAGCAATTTTGGAGCAATGAAAGACCTGGTTTACCTGATATTAATTTTTTAAAGGACCACTTTTATCGCGAAGGAAGATTGTCGGAAAGCCAAGCATTGTATATTCTTCAAACAGGAAGAGACATCTTACGATTAGAAAACAACTTGTTGGAAATTCCAGCACCGGTTACTGTATGCGGCGATATACATGGTCAATACTATGATCTTATGAAACTTTTTGAAGTGGGTGGAGATCCAGCGAATACAACATATCTCTTTTTGGGTGACTATGTGGATAGAGGCTATTTTTCGATTGAGGTATACCATGTTTGTTATTTGTTTATTTATTTATTATTAATCCTTATCCTGTTAGTGTGTTCTTTATTTATGGAGTTTGAAGATTTGGTATCCCAATACCTTCTTTTTGTTACGAGGAAACCATGAATGTCGACATTTAACCACTCATTTCACCTTCAAAACAGAGTGCCGTCACAAATATACTGAACGCGTGTATGATGCATGTATTGAATCCTTTTGTTCTTTACCCTTGGGTGCTGTTATGAACAGGCAGTTTTTATGTATTCATGGTGGTTTATCACCCGAGTTACACACCTTAGCAGATTTTGATACCGTGAGCTTTTATAGTAACAGTTTGATTTTATTCTATCACTCATATCTTTTAATAGATTGACCGATTCCAAGATCCTCCGACTCATGGATTGATGTGTGATCTGTTATGGGCTGATCCACTTGAAGAGTTCGGTGAAGAAAAAACACCTGACTTATTTGTGGATAACCGTGTAAGAGGATGTTCTTATTTTTTCACATATCCCGCTGTATGTGCATTTTTACAAAGAAACAACCTATTATCTATTATAAGAGCACACGAAGCGCAAGATGCTGGGTTAGTAAAAATTACATATCAGCTACCTACAAACAAGGTCCTAATTGTTGGTTACTTTAGTTACCGGATGTATAGAAGAAACAACACAACTTCTTTTCCTGCTGTCATGACCATATTCTCTGCGCCCAATTATTTAGATGTGTATAACAACAAAGCGGCTATTTTGAAATATGAGGATAACGTAATGAATATTCGACAATTCAATGCAACTCCTCACCCTTATTGGCTACCTCAGTTCATGGATGTGGTCGAATGGAGTCTACCGTTTGTGGGCGAGAAAATTACAAATATGTTATTAGCAATTCTCAACATCTGTAGTAATGAAGAGCTATTAGCTGACAACAGTCAAGAAAAGAAAAAACCCAAACAAATTGTGGATGCCTCTACGGCGGATGAAATTGAACAACGGAAGATGGTGATCCGTAACAAGATTTTGGCTATCGGTAAAATTTCGAGGGTATATTCTGTGTTGCGTGAAAATTCTGAGCGTATCACTGAACTGAAATCGTTGTCGCCCAGTGGAAGATTGCCGTTAGGTACATTAGCATTGGGTGTGGAAGGCATTAAATCAGGTAAATTAAGTCCCTGTCCGTTGTGTAACCCAGTACTAACTTTTATGCGATAGCTATTACGTCATTTGAAGAAGCTAAAAGAGCAGATCTGGAAAACGAAAGGCTGCCTCCATCTGGTGAAGTAAGAGATGCCATGATGAAAGAAGAGACGGATACAAAAATAAGGAACGCTGTAGAAGAGGAAGATACTGAATTAAGTGAAGTCGCTGATGTTATCATGAAGGACATATAAATTTAATTAAAACTCCACTTTTTCTGCTCTCTCTTTTGTTTTTTATAATGTTTTCTCAATCAAGAAGAGCATGCGAGCACTCAACCATATAAACTATATTATATATGATTCACTAATAAATATATTGCTCTCAACGAATCTCAAAAGGCGGGCGTCTCATGCGTTAATAGAAACATGATCAATACATTTACCACAAAATATGAACTTCTCATGCAAGCGCGTGGTTTCTTCCAACAACTCGAAATTCGTATAAAATATCCTTTAATGAAACAAATGAGACTTTTTACGTTAAAAGACATTACTGCGCTACTTGGATATTTCTCGGGCATACAGCCTGACTTTTATTGGGTACCACAAGCTTTATGTGTAGGCTTATGGGCAGCAAATTTCTTACAATTTGAGGGTAGTTTATGTCTTTCATTTTCATACCTTAATTAATGGTTTTATTTATATGAAGAAGTTATTTAGTCTTCAAGATCAAATTTTTCCCTTTTATTCCTTTTTATTTTTCTGGGACCAACTTATAAGTATTAATGTCAAGTCTTACCGCCACACATTAACCCTTAAATTAACTTAAGCGGATATGATGGTCCCTGTGCTTAAACATTCTCATATTATAAATAGTATAAAATTAAGTATTACCCGCAATCTATGTTGTAATTATACGGCCTCTCCTTTTGCTCATATCATAGACTCGCAAGGTTGAAATTCATGTTTGTGAATTGACAAATGTGCAAGTCTTTTTATGAAAAGCGTTTTATCTGGCTTAGTAATCAACATATTTGGTAGATTCCTCCTAAAAAATAATAGATTAAGTAATTACGCATCCGTTCATACAGGTGAATGAATAGCCAGTCATCCATCAGACTGTTCAGTAAAGCAAATGCTTATCCCCCAAGAAAATAAGGAATATATGACGCCAAAAGTGGGTGACATTATTTTATTCAACACTATACTTTTTGGGAGTTTATTTATTCTTGCATTGTTTGACTTCGGTTCCGCACTCAAGAATTAGTTCTACAGGTCTGTCCGGGCTATAATCGTAACTTGATTTGACGTAAGCTCCAGAAACCATATATGTCTTACCGAGTTCGACTTTCGAGTACTCGATGTTTGCTTGGGTTCGGAAAGCTTTAGCTTTGATCTGGCCCTAAAAATGTATTAAAAATATTGCTCAAGATAAAAAAAGGATCAAGCACATACCGAATTATGCTCTAAAATAAGACTAAATATAACCCCTTCTCCTGGATTGTACGCATAACCTTTCCCTTTTTGTACGAATTTTGCTTTGATCGTCCAATCGGCTTGGTTAATTCCAATGCTATTGAATAAGTCTACCCTCCTAACTTTTTTATTACTAATTTTTAAAAGTTTGAGAGCGTCCTCGAACGAACGATATTCAGTTTTAATGGGTTGGATATTTTTTTCGGCCGCTGGTTTGACGATTTGGATATTTTGAGTAGATTTGTCCGTCTGAGGACTTATAGCAGGTGTAACCGCTTGAGTACTTTGAGATTCAGGGTTTTCAACGGGGGTAACCTTTTGATCAATTTTTTCGGCCTTGATGGGTTCCACAGATGTTACCACTTGACTATTTTGAGCATCTTCCTCGAAGGACTCAATTCTTTCTGTATGCCGAATTCCGCACAAGTTGACTGGATTTCCTATCAACTTCGCGTTAAACACAACAATATCCAACTCGTTAATTACAAGCAATCTAAAAGGAAGGAATATTGATTAATTCACATTCTACATGGCAAACGTTATAACTGGCGGTCTACCTAGGACATAGTAAAGTGCGACTGTATTCCTGTATTCTGATTATGGTGTTTATCTGGAGGCCATCATCCTCCACCAAATACCTGTATGATTTGGCCAGGAGAGCTAAAATAAATAAATTATGTACATCAGTAAGGAGTGGTCATTCAACAAAAGTTATTCATATTTACCGGGCATGGTGTTTATGCCATCGGAAATCTTTATTCTTTGTAAAATGATAAGAATTAATGACATGTTTATAAAAGTGACAGTGAATCTAATACTCACTTAATCAATCCTTCTTCGCTTTTTTCCAATTGAATGATCTGAACGATTGGTTTTATGTCTTCACAGAGTATTTTGATTATTCCGCTGCTTAACTGCGTAGCCATTTTTTGTAAGACGAAGTAGTACTTTTTATTGTGGGTAAAAAATAGACGAAGAACATCTGCTTCTACAAACTAATCGATTATTTTTATAGGGAACGACTGCTTCTGGGCGCTATGTCGAAATAAATATTGGTCATTGTATAATAGCATGTTAGTTACTTGTATTTGTCCTCTTTATTTTTATCTTTTTGAACGAAACTAAAACTATGTCTAATTATAATCCTTACCAAAACTTTCAAATTAACAATGATAAAAATAATCAATACCGTACAACCATGGTCGACGCTAGCAACAAAACTGACGCTGACAACAAAACTGCAGACACTAACAATAGCCGTATTTGCATTATGAACATTGCTGATTTTCTCGACAATGAACAACACCCTATGCAACCCACGCAAGATGAGACCTCTCAAGATGAAGAGTTAGAGACCACCGTTGTATCCAATAATGTCAGTTCATCTTGAAACTAACAACAACCAGCACCACGACACAATCGCAACTAGACAGAAATGGAGGAACAAAGACTTATTGAATACGTTAAGTGTGCTATTCGAGTAACCAATATGTCTAGTCATTAAAAGAGTGGAAGAAGAATGCAAACAGATATTCGATTCTGGGAAGCTGTAACTAGATTGTTTATTAAGCAGTCTACACTGACCAGATCAAGAGAAGCTTTGGAAAGAAAATTCAAAATTATGAAGAAAATGTTCAGGGACCTATACGACGAGTTCCTTCTTGTCTTTTTTGGTGTTTGGTTTGATTGGAAACGCTGCTTCTGTTAGCTTTAGATCTGGTTCTGTATGTTTATCTGTCTCATACTGGATGCATATTGTTTGCTTTTTCGCTTATGTAACGATACAGTTATTGTCATGAAAAAAAAAAATTTTGTAAGACTTCGCAATAAAATATTCATACATAATTTATTGCTCAATTGGCTAGGAAAACATAATAGTTATGTTTAATCATGTATCTATCGAAAACTACTATCCTAAACTACGGCCTGACAATGATAATTTTCCACGACGACCGTAATGAAGATGGGATGGTACTGGTCTTGATAGCATGCTTTTCAGCAAAATTCGCCTTGAATCCTTCCCATAACTAATCATCGGCAAACAATGATCTTTGTGAATTGATAGTGCTATCATTTAAATCCAAGATGGATGACAAACCATTTCTATGTAATCATTACGTAGTTAGAGTGTATAGCTATGTCAGATATTATTTATGAAACCTACGACATACTTTTTTATCTCCCGATCAGTGAGGGGTTTGTTCAACACTAACTCATTGCGGAGAGTTATGGCTTTGTCTTTGATAATTTGAATGATATAATCGTCGACATTATAGTTGCTATTGTCCACCTAAAAACTGAATGATAGCGCGTTAATACAAAAATGTATCAGGAACATGATTATTTAGTCAAGCCATACTTCAGTTCCAGAAGTTTCAGAATTTTCAATGTGACGTAAGCCTAAATCATATTAATATCTTGGTTACTTCTATCGAATCCTTCTTACCATTACTGCTTTCCCCTACTTCCTTTATTAAACGGGACTTGAATTCTAGGTTTTGTATTTCGACTTTTTGCTCAGCATTGAAGAACTTTGCCTGAACAAACCCGTCCTGTTTTTGGTGAGGTCGAAGAGTGAACAAGCTCAGCCAATTCGATCTGCCTCTGAGGAACCTTCAGCTCGTACCCGCGATCCTTCTTTTGGTCCTTCGTCTCCTGTACCATCCGTGATTCCTCTCTCTTTGTCCGTGAAGCCTACAGTTGACAACGATACTTCTTCTCCTCCTGTGGATCCTGCCGAGACTCCAAGAATTCATCGTACTTCAATGTCATTAGACAGGGAAGCTGCCAAAATTCTAGACACAGATAATAGGCAACAAAAAAGTTCCAATTCTTTATTTTGAGCTGAACAGGCCACAAAGAGAGAAAGGGAGTTGAATCAGGTACTTCCTGATCCAAAACTGTAGATACAATCAACATATTCAGCTTATTTCTAAACAATACATCAATTGCCGTAATGGTAGGCTCTTTTCTACTGGATAAAGTATACTCAGTACTACCAGGAGCACCATGGAAAGCTACGCTTACGCGATAACAAAATATACTAGTTAGAATATATGAATCTCAAACAGTTGCTGCCAATTAGGCCTACCTGAAACTCTTTTCAAAGTTCTGAGATATGGTTGGTGAGGTCAGGGCTATCAGGAAAGGCGACTTGCAAGATATTCAGATTCGAATAAAAACAGGAATGATTTATGTCCTTACTTAATTTGGCGCTTTTGCAGTAAGATGAACCAAAGTTATCTAGGCTCCACTCCCATGGTTGCAACTTATTAAAATACCCTTTTTATTTCAGTTAGTAAACAGGTTTCAAACAATTGCTGGTTGAAAACTTACAAGTATTTTTCAATTACATAGAAAGTTCTTTTAGTTTAATAGCGACTGAGGAATCCCTCAGAACAGCCGTTTTTTTTTTGAGGACAACCAAAGTGCACGTAGTATCAGCATAAATCTACAATGTGGTCCCTACTATTTATAGTCTGACCACAGCCATTTACACTGAAATCACTGCTATCTTCAGTTCCAGACCAGCCTTTAAAAGTTGAGGCTTTTGAACGCATAAGATTGCTCAAAAGAAAAGGTAGTGTTGAACAAGAGAAAGAAGGCGAAAAATCGAGGCGTTTCTGTTATTTATCTGCAACAAAAATGATAAACAAGAAATAGTTTATGCAGGATGAGGTAAGCAGCCTTTACTTACTTGAGAAATTTAGCTAAAAATATATAACCTACAATAGGTATATGTGACGCTGCAACCTTTAATAATCTAACATTTATTCAGTATTATTTGCCAATACTGAAATGTAGTTTGTAAAACTACTGTCATGGACAAAAGTTTTTGTTTTCGATGAAAATAACTAGTATTATATACAAAAACCCTCAACGGATTTCAGATCAATGCCACCACCGTAGCTAGAATCCATCCGGAGTTTTATATCTATTATATTTTGCACCAGATACCGTATAATGATTCCTTATGTACGCCATTGTCTTGAGTTGTTTCTTAGGGGTAGCCCAAGTACTTGTACCAATGCTGATACTACATACACTTTGGATGTCTCAAAAAAAAAAAAAAAAAAAAAAAAAAAGGGAATTTATTTCTGGTCAAACAAGAATTGTCAGATACAGCATTTGTCTTTCTTTGTTACCTTGTTTTCTAGCATGTATGTTAAACTCTTCAATACGATTGGATTCTGCGTGGAAATCAGTATAAGCGAGTCTTTCCATAATAAAATGGCAACTCGTCTTTGCTTGTAGTTCATACTAGCCATGGTTATCTGAAGCTGTCCGTTATACGTGACTTCATAATACAAATAAATAATGGGCTTTTTTACAAGAAATAATAAAAAAACTTTGTTCTTTTCAAAACTATGCCGATCGAAGTTGTACCTTTAGGAGCAGGTACTTATACGAACTAATATGACTCCATGTGAATACTAACACGGCTGTCTGCAGGACAGGATGTTGGAAGAAGTTGTATCCTTGTCACTATTGGTGGTAAAAATATTATGTTTGATTGCGGTAAGCTGCATATTTCGTTTTGACAAGAAGCTGTGCTAATTCTGACTCGATTGACAGGAATGCACATGGGATATCAGGATGCTAGACGTTTTCCCGATTTCAGTTACATTTCAAAAACAGGCAACTATACCGATGTTTTAGACGCAGTTATTATTTCCCATTTTCATTTGGATCATTGTGGAGCACTACCTTTTTTCACAGAAATGTGTGGGTACAATGGACCGATATACATGACTCATCCAACACGAGCTATTTGCCCCATTCTTTTAGAAGATTATCGAAAAATCACAGTGGAACGTAAAGGAGAGACCAAGTTTTTCACGTCAGAAATGATCAAGAATTGCATGAAAAAAGTCATTCCCATTAATTTGCACCAGACGATTAAAGTGGATGATGATATTGAGATCAAGGCATACTATGCTGGCCATGTATTAGGTGCTGCCATGATTTATGTACGCGTGGGTCAAGAATCTGTTGTCTACACTGGTGATTATAATATGACTCCTGATAGACATCTTGGATCTGCCTGGATTGACAAAGTTCGCCCTGATGTTTTAATTACCGAAAGCACTTATGCCACAACCATCCGAGACTCCAAGCGATCCCGTGAACGTGATTTCTTGACAAAAGTTCATGAGTGTGTGGCAAGTGGTGGCAATGTAATCATTCCTGTATTTGCTTTAGGTCGTGCTCAGGAGCTATGTATCCTGATTGAATCTTACTGGGATCGTATGGGGTTGGATGTGCCTATTTATTTTTCAACGGGTCTTACAGAAAGAGCTACTGAATATTACAAGCTTTTCATCAACTGGACCAATCAAAAAATTAAATCCACATTTGCACAAAGAAATGCCTTTGATTTTAAACATATTAAGGCTTGGGATAAAACAAATCTTGATTTGCCTGGTCCTATGGTCTTATTCGCCACGCCTGGTATGTTGAATGCGGGAACTTCACTACAAGTGTTTCAAAAATGGGCACCTGATCCGAAAAACATGGTTATCATGCCTGGTTACTGCGTAGCAGGTACTGTCGGCGCAAAAGTTTTGCTTGGACAGAAGATTATTGAGGTGGACAAATATACAAAATTCGAGGTGAACTTGCAAGTTAGAAATTTGTCATTTAGTGCCCATGCTGATGCTAAGGGTATCATGCAACTTATTCGCATGTGTGAACCTAGAAATGTCGTTTTAGTACATGGAGAGCGTGGTAAGATGGATTTCTTGAGAAGTAATATCATGAAAGATTTCGGAATCCCATGTCATATGCCTGCTAATGGTTGCAGTATAAAGATGGAAACAAGTAGAGCTTTAGAGGCAAAGATCAGCACAGATTTACTAAAATCGCTTTTATCATCGGCCAACAAACGAGATTCTATACCAAGCGATGGTTCTGAGAAAAATGCACTAAGACCCAGCACATCCGTTCCCATCAATGCTACATTATTAATGCATTTTAACACAAATAAACAGACAGCGGCACCAACAATAGAAATTGTAAAATCAGTCGATTTTTCTGCAAACGAAACACAAGCAAAAAAACGTGAATTGTTTTTCCAGGTTGAAAAACCATTCCAGATTGCTTCTTTGTTATCAGATATTGCACATACAGAAACGACATTGGAGGATACTCAACGAAGAATTTTGGATCTCTTACAAGTTGCATTAGCTAGAACAATTGGAAAGACATGCTCTATTGAACGCCGGGCGGCAAGTATAGTCATTCGTAGTGTATCACTTTGGTTGGATCAAGTCAAATCACAAATACTAAACATCAAATGGAGCTTTGAGGATGAAGACTTAGCAAGTTTTATTTTGGGAACTGTCAACACAGTTTTATATGACCAAAAAGTCATAGGGACTATCTAATACTACGTGATGTGTTTTTTTTGCAAAAAAATAAAATAAAAACTCGCACTTTTGTACATACATCTTTTCTTTTTAATTTTTTAAACATAGGAAATTTCGTCTATTCCTAAACTACGTCTCACTTGCATTAAGGCAACCAGCTCCTTAATGCTTTCCTCCAGAATCACAACATTATTTAACAGCATAGAAAGAGTAATTTCGGTGCTCTTGTCTATACGTTTAGGTCTAGATGGGTCCGCTGACTTGGGTGCAAATGTATGCTCGTCTTCATCATCTAAATCCAAGATAGGCTCCTCTCTTTCACTGACAAAATTGGATGGGAATAAAGGTTGGATTCTCATACTTGAAGTCTTTCGAACATGTAATGCCAACGGTGACATAGGGTTGTTCATAATGACATTCATATTGATAGGCGGCACTTGTGGTGGATTGGCAGATATACGTGGGCTAGATCCCAATGCCATTGTGGAACTGGATGAGGATGGACTTAAAACAGGTGTTGGGTCTGTAGACAACGAGGATCGAAGCACAGAAGGTCTTCTATTCAAAATCCCGCTTGTATTTAATTGTTGGGCTCCCGTACTAATGGAGCGGTTTCCAGTAGAGAGGGATGTAGATGGTTTGATAACTCTATTATCTAAAAATGATGTTTCACCAGCGATTAAAGCATTGCGTCGTTCCTCCAGGAGCTTATCAAAAGCTTGGATTTCGGATCTATAATAGTCGACTTGCTGAGTCAATGTGCGAAGCAAAGTAAAAAATGGAGGATATGACTTGAAGTATGTGGGTGATGTCATTTTGGCCGACTCTCTATCAGCACCGAAATCAACAGATCTGTCATCATCATCATCGTCTTCATCTACTGGTGCACTGGTGTCATAATGAGCATAAATATCTTGGCTACGAATTTTAGTCTTGTTGACAGCGGGCTGTCCATCCGAATTCAACACAAGTATATCATCACGATTGGTACGGTCTGTTTCACTGAATGATATCCAGCCTTGTAAACTGCGATAAGGACAGAGTGCTAAAGCCGTAATGACACCTGTCAATGCCAAATTTAATTCGGATGATTGAGTAAAGAAGTGACTTAACAAGCTTAGTAAGATTTGTAAAAGGGGGTCGGTCGATCGTATACGATGTCTGGATAGTGTCTTGACTCCATGGCATTTAATATTTTGCTTTCTCTTTTGTCGTTTTTCTTGCTCTTCCCTTTCTTCCTTCTTAATATCTTCATAGCGTTGGCCGTACTTAAAACTTCTTCTTCTTTTGGCTTTTGGCATTTCTTGAGTACTGTTTCGATTTCCATCAGTTGGAGCGTTTGCGGGACTAATACTTTGATAGCAATAATCTGAATCGATAGTCATTTCCACGTCACGAAGATAGTCCTCGTAGCCACATGCCAATACATCCTTGGCGTGATCCGAATCGATGGCTATGATGAGCGAAAAATACAATTCAACTTCGCGAAGGTGGTGAGAAATAATGGTTGGATTATTCAGGTTGTCGGGGTAAATGGATAGTAAATTAAGGGAATACTGACAATGATTCTTGATGATTGTCTTGAGAAGCTTTAATGTTGCGATGACGGTAGTTTGTGAGTTGGACTTAAGTCGACTGAAAATTAAATCTTTGAGGGTAAAATGGGTTGATGTAGAGTTCTTTCGATTGATTTCGAGTTTTTCAACTGCGCTTGCGATGTAATCTTCGGCCTCTTCTGTGGTAGGTGCAGGTGTTGCTACAAGTGATGGGCCTGAAGATTGTTGATCTTCGTCGTCTATCAAATATCCAACTACTACTCTTGCTAAATCCTCTTGTTGGATCGTCTGCAAAATGATGTCTATGTAACTGATGACTGCTACGGAAGAGCCATCGATATCTGAACATTCCAAAATGGATGGATACAGAATATTTTCTAAGAATATGGTACGCACGCTTGTCAATAACGATAGGGAAATCTCTGCATTTGGGCAACGTGTAAGTACATCTTGGCAAAACTCTAATAATTTTAAAAAGGAATCCAATTGATATTTAAATTCAGGTGAATTGGAATACTCTGCACCTAATCCAACAGGGAATCTGATATTGTTGTGTGATGGAATTGATTCGATGGAGTCTTGACCCAGTAAAAAACTGGTTGGATTTGCGTATATTTGATCGTCCTCATCTTGTACAATTAACTTTCTTGGGAGCTGAGAATACAAAGCGCCGAGTCCAGCGGCCATGATGGTTGCAAAATCAGATCCCAAAATAAAATCGCCCAATTGATCATTTGCCATTTCCATAATAAACAACAGTCCTGTACGAGCAAAATCGCCTGATCTACCTTCACGATGCACAAAGCGTAATAAATAAGTGAAGAGTAGAAATTCATATTCTGGCTCTTGTTCAATGGTTTCATGTAACGGGTGATGATCGGAGCTTTTTTGAGGTGTTGTTAACCAATGTTTGTCATGAAAGAAAATATTCAACAAGGCAGGAAATCCATGAATTTTGGAACAAATAATGTACATCAGGTCGACTAAATCATCACTATACAACTCGCTTTGACGATCATCCAAAACACAGAAACGTAATAACTTAATTGTGGGTTTATGAACAGCATTGTGAACCAAAAACCGATCATCCAACAAATCTACCATACTAGCAATGGCTCGAATTGCTTCCCCCCGGATACCCACAGGGTAATCTGCTTTTTCTGCCACCGTCACCAGATACTGTAAGACGCCGTTCTTTAAAAAGTATTCCATACATACACCTGTTGTATTATCTTCCTGTCGTGCTTCTTCATCCACGAGTAAATCCACCATCTGACGTAATTTGGGTGGTATCTCCGTTTGTTGGACATGCATATTTGTTTTTCGATCATCCATGACAAATATATTCTATAAGATACCAATATACTTAGTCTAGATATATTTAGGGCAGACTCCCCTCCACTTACATGAACGTACTCCCAACATTTGTGGAATTTGGCAAGTTGCATTGCGCTGGTGGGTTGGACCTTGGGTGGCGCAATGCGCTTCTTAAATTTAGCGAAGTAATCCATCTACTTTGTGGGAAAGCAAATGATGATGACTTGCAAAAGGAAAATTGTCGTCAAGTTTAAAAAGGAAAAGAAAAAGGTTAAAGTGTAAAAAAAAAAAAAAATCTGTGCACTATCCACTTGAACCAGTATTGGTTAATTTATAGTGTCACAAGAGCAGGTTTTTAATGTCAATTGTACAAGCCTGATTGACCAAACTTTCGCTGCATTATGTATGATAATCATTGCAGAATTTTGTATCCAGATCGTCAAGAACAACTGATATCAAAGCTTAATATTTTAATCAGGGGCTGATGATAGTTATATCCAAGCTGCATAGCAAAATGCTTTTTGGTTAAGGACACGGTGGTAATAGGATTGTCTGACACGATGAGATAAGTTGATGCCTTTGCTTATCGAAGTAATTAGCGAATAATTTGGCATAGGTGTTAATCAATTGCCTCAATTAGTTTGTAATTTCTTTGTCTCTAATCAGAAATTGATATTCTGTTAATTTACACCAAAAAAATATTCGAAGGAACCTTGAACGAGGTCTATCCATAGGGTTCAAATATATAGTATTTTTTTATCATTATACAACTAAACCGCTTTGACCCTGATTTTTTCAGTTGAATACTACAGAATATATATCTTCTTAATGATTTGGGTCACACCGCAAACTGCAACCTTGTGTTGTTGCTTAACCTTGGCTCATCATACTTGTCAAGGTGACGTCTGTCCATGGCTAAAATGCTGAAACCAATTAACATATGGACAGGTACTATTAAATGATCAGCAGTAGTTATATAAAAGAACGTATAGTATTTAGAGTAGCTATTCTGGTCTTAATAACTTCTCGAATAGTGTTGATAAGCTTCAGCACTCTGATTAATTACGTATATTCTTTTATCATCGAGGGTACCATCAGAAAAAAGGAAATAAGACGAGACGATTAACTATGAATACAGTGCTTTTTATTTAAGTGGTGGTGCTAAGGTGGATGTATATAGTCACTCGGTATACACTTTTCAGCAAACAAAAAACAATGAACATATATATAATGAAACGGTTTGAATGAATGCGCATTGTTTATATATGTATGGAGTAGTTTTAAAAAGATGTTAACATTTGATACAGCTGTTATAAGAACATTATCGTCTTTACTTGATAAGAGTTTTGTAAATGGGCTAAATTAGCATGCCATTTATTACGCTATATAAGTTGGTCATCACAACACTCTATATACTTGGTCGGTTTAGTACAATGTAGGTTTATAAATATCAACTAAAAACCAATTGTAAGAAACATACGGTCTAGTAAAATAAGGTTTTTGTAAGGACACACAACCTCAAGGCCATATAGAACAAATGTACACTTTCAAGCGATTTATGCTTATCAGGACATAAAAAAAAAAGGATAAAAAAAAGTTTATTGGAGCATTGCTAAGAAATTTTAACGAGTGGGACGAGGCTGAGTGTAGGGGGTAGGGGTAGCAGGTCTTGGAGGGATGTCAGGTTGGGGAGTAGGGCGGCCTCTGAAGAAGTTATTCATTTTGTTGTGTTGATGATAAAAGAAAAACTTGCAATTATTCTCGCGTATTTATATTACTCCCTTGGCAACATCTACAATTCAATTATGAAATATTTGCAAAGAGAATTGTGACAAGTACATTTCCTTTCATAAAAAAGTTGTCAATAATAGTAATTATATTGTTTGCATTTACCGCTTTAATGACGACTTTACAGCTTTACATTTGCAGTAAATAATACTTAGTACGTCAACATTGTTAAGAGATCTGAATTTTGTTGTTAATTTTATCTTTCAATTATGAACATAGGTGTCTAGTTATTACATTAGACGCAAATGCTTTGACTAAATAACATTGACTGAGACTACAGTCCCTCTAGTTATCTCTCTGATCATCTCCATTGCTAAGTCTCTCGGGATCAGCCAAAACCATGTATATATCAAATAATGATGCCAGTTAAAGATTAACTTGGTATCATTATGGTCAACTCTAATTATATAAAACATATGTTACTTTAGTTTTGATAACATTTAAAGCAATGTTAAAAACTTTCAGGTTTTATCCAAAAACTCTCTTTTATTACAATGATAAGTATAAATTTGCTGCTATTGTTAAGTGTATAACTTTAAGAATATAAATAATAAGAAAAAGACAGACATAATACTATGCATAGGTATGATAATCTTATTCAAGCGATGATGTCAAGTATCATGTATGTGATACCAAAAATACTGACGTAATAAAAGAAAAACAATGAGCATACCTATAATGAAGCGTTTTTGAGCGAATACGTATTGTTTATACTGCTTATGTGAATTAATTTTATGAAGATCGTGGGATTTGATGAATTACTTTTAAAACATGGTTGTCTTTTTGTTGATGCATGCAATTTTTTATATATATGTTCGGTAATAGGGTTATAGTGTTACTATGGATCTTACATTATTTGGATAGGCTACCACAGCACATTTTGTAATTATTCAGTTTTTCGAATAATGTATAATGGTTTATAAATATTAACCAAAAACCAATTAAAGGAACATAGTATGATTCAGCAGAATAAAAATTTTATAATCATGCGTACATGAAGCATTATAATTTTTTTTTTTTTGTAAATAGAATAAAGCCATACATATATTATATATGATAAAAAAAATAGGTTTTTATTGGAGCATCGCTAAGACGTATTAACGAGTGGGACGAGGCTGAGTGTAAGGGGTAGGGGTAGCAGGTCTTGGAGGGATATCAGGTTGGGGAGTAGGGCGTCCTCTGAAAAAGTTATTCATTTTGTTGTGTTGATGATAAAAGAAGAACTTACAATTATTATTGCGGTATTTATATCCCTCCTATGGCAACATCTACAATTCAATTATAAAATAGTTATAAAGAGAATAGTGACAAGTACATTTCCTTTCATATTAAAGTTGTCAATACTATTAGTGCATTGTTTCTATCTACCGTTTTGGTGGCGACTTTAAGATTTTACCTTAGCAGTAATATCTAAAAGCTTATTATCGGTGTTAACTGAAATGAAAATTTTACCTGCTTTTATGAGTACAAGTGTCTTATGGTAACTATCGGTTACAGCTGTTTTTGTCTATGATATTATTATATCTATTAAACAGTGTTCCGTCTCGCTCTCTTTTTATTTGGTTATATTGGGGTTCCACGAATCAAAATTTAACAGTACGGCAATTGGAAAAACTCACTCACTGACACCTGTTGCAAAGCTAAAATACCACTCTTGCGAAGGAATAGCATATATTCAAGGACAGTTAAAATATCAAACTCGACTTGATTGTTTTGTATATTGATGCACCACAACTGTGAGTATACTAAGTATTTTATTGAGATGAAATGGGTGGATAGACAACAAAATGGTTCATTTGCTTGAGCGTCGTTTGTCCGGGGATCTTCTTCCAAATAGCATATGAATCACAATCTTGTATGTATAGTTAACGAATTATACATATTTTTTTTAGAGATAACACGAATAACATCTTCCATCACATTTTCTATGTTCAAGAACCTTGATTTACTAACTACCTAAAATTGGTAACGCTACGAAAACCTGCAAGTTTGAATCGCATGACTCTGGCAATTTTTATGTGGTTCATGTTTATAAATACTACTGTATTTTTATCAGAAAGTCTCACAGTATATTATTTGGGCCATCTATTAACATGATTTCAGATATATTCATTTATATTTCCCGTTTATGGTAAAGTATTGTTCGAGTTCTTATTACCTGACTACACATAATTTGAAGAAATTGCCATTAAACTTCATCAAATATTGAACAGTCGAGGATGAAAGAGAAATTTTGACGGCATATATTAGCCTCCTCCTAATATACCGCTCGATTTCAGGGAACTGGGGATTCAGGATCTCACAATTCAATGGCATAACGATTCTGTAAATGTTAAAGCGGGAAGCCACTTTGGTTTTAAAAACCCACCCTTAGATTAAATTGAGCAGCTACTGTGTCAACAAAATAACTGTAGACTACGTTTAAATAATTTATAATACCCCACCCACAAGCATCAGAGGTACAAACACCGACCAATTTTTTCAAAAAAGTGGTGTAAGTCATTTATGTTTATGCTGATTCAATAAGGGAAATATCTTGTCCTGACAGCTATTGAGGTAAACTTAGATTACATTTAACCTGTGTAATTTTCTTTAATATCTACCTCTGATCTCCATGTATGTTTTGATGATATATTAGTATTATTATTTGAGCGGCCCAAGAAGTTATTTTAAAACCTGGGCCCAAAAAGAGCGCGTTTTGCCGGCGTCGTGTAGTAGTTGGAAAATCCATTCGGTTCCCAAAAAAAATTTCTGGAACGCGGATCTCAATTTTTACTCGGATCAGTTTTTGGTTTTGTCCCTTGCATAAATAAGCTTTTTGTATGTACAAGCTTGCTTTATTCATAAAAAATAAAAGTGGAAGGGCTTAGATATTGCCTATTTTTAACAAGCGAAGGATTACCTTGTTTCCTAAAGGAGGTCAGTGGCCGTGATAGATCCACTCTAAGGGCAATTTAACTAATTTTTTGATAAAGCCGTTACCCTCATTTTTTCTAACCAATGGGATAATACACCAAGTGGTTTTCCAAATATAGACAATGTGTGTAAAACAATAAAAAAGTTTATTTTTAGATGCGTGTTGACGTGAATGTTTATTCATGTTCACGCGCGCGCGCGAGGGGGAGGCAACAAAAAAAGGTCCGTTTATTCCGAGAGTAATGTTTACTTAAAATCAAATTAAGCTAAATATGAAACAAAAGGCTAAAAAGAAATGCAATATTCATACATAAATTGAAAATAGGGGTTTGAAGGTGGAATGCGAAATAATAATAAAAAGGTAGATCGACCAATGGAACGACGTGGCAGATCTCTTTCTTTGTTGCTTGATCTCTTCACTGCTCTCTCTCTCTCTCTCTTTCACCCCCTAACTCTAGACGTACATAGAGACATAAACCGGAATTTTTATTATTATTACTTAGAAGTGAGTGTATCTGCTAACCCAGGCACAGAGAGCAAAGAAACGGATGTAACACCGTTGGAATCGGCTTGTGAAAGAAGAGGTCCGACGCTCAAATCCTTCCAAGATTCCCAAACCTTGCGAACAGCGTGTTTGGATTGGTTGGATAAGACGATACAGAAAATAGCGTCGTAACCACCTGCGCCGGGTACACCAGACATGACAACACCGGGTACTTGTGTACAGGTGTCCAACAAGTGTGTTTGTTCCTTGGGTTCAATAGGCACACCGGATAATTCGCTCATCTTCTGTAAAAGTCCACGCACATGGTTGAAATCATGCACAAGAGAAACGAGTTCTTTTCCAACCTTGCCAGAAACAGCAGTTTCCCATTCTGTGCATTTTAATTGCGCACATGTTTGAATCGTGGTATTATATTCTTCTCCGTCGTCGTGGTATAAAGAGGTTAGTTGACGAAAGTGGTGTTCCACCAGAGAATTGTATTTGCCCAGCTCATTCCAAAGCGCATTGGCTAATGATTATAAGTAATCTACCTTGTCATTAATCTATCCTAATAAAACTCACCTTCGTCGGGATTGGCCTTTTTCCAGGCCAAGACTTTGCCGACCAAAGTAGGTGTATGACTACCAGCGTCAATATCAGCCAACATCAAATCAAGCCCAGGTGGCAATGTAAAGGGAGCAACCTCATTGTCCCATTCGGTATTATCAGCATCCAGTGCCTTGGATAAAATAGCGGCATCCACATGTTCATCCTAAGCGATAAGGAGAGACAAACGTTAACTTTTTTTTTTCCTGTTCGACCAGGGGGACTTACCATAATGGGAGTTAAAATAGCAGGGTTGAATCTTTTGTAACGATGACTACCCCAAACAGCGGAAGAAACATCGAAACCACTACCTACTTTACCTTGAGCAAAGCAATGAACGAATTGAGCTAAATTATGAATCAAGGTCTTTTCTTTTTTGTTCAACTCATGTCCGACGACTTGAAAGAAGAGCAAGAGAGCAGCGACAAGTGAGGTGGTTAATGCAGCTGAGCTACCGAGACCCGTTTTATGTACGCTACCCAAAGTAGCATGTGTTTTACAAAAGGGGTCCAAAGAAGCCAACGATTCAGCATTATTCTCCAAATGTTTAGCCTCCAACTATTGTAGATTTAATCCCACTTGGTCAGTGCGTTCCTTATATCTTTAATTGTTACGATTACGTACCTGAGCACGCTGGGAATAGAAATCATTGTCACCCACAATAGTAATTTCAATGCCTTGAGCCAGCTTTTCGTTTAATGCGTGAGAGCCAATTCTTTGAAGAATGACGTCGAGTGAGAACTTTAAGCAAGTCTCGACAAATTTATTTTGGGATTCGGTAGTACTAATAAGAGATGTCAGTTGTCAGGGTTTGTAAATATAAACAAACACGAGTTATTTTTTACATGGAGTGAAAAGCAAGCTTTTCATTTGTGGCGATGGCTTGGTAAGTCCAAGATGCTTGTTCAAATTGAGGAGAAAGCACCGTGACGGTACCTGGTGTTGTGGTGGAGGCTTGCGATGAAGGTCTGATGACGGTGTAGAAACGAGCGGACGTGCCTACAACAAGACCAGTAAAGGCCTGTTCAAGCACCAAGTAACCACCTGCTAAAAGTACTTTTCCGGGAGCTGAAGCAATAGTGCAAGGCGTCATCATGAATTGTTATTAGAAAAGAGATGAAGATTTAAAAAAACGAGATTTAACTTTTTTAAAACACGCGCAAAAAAAAAAAAAAAAAAAAAAAAAAAAAAAAAAGGGTAAGGGCGGGACCTCAAACGTTTTATAAAAAGAAAGGGGTTATTCGCTATATAGGATGATGATAGTGGTGGTGGTTGGTTGGTTGGGGGGACGAGGTGATTTATGTACAACAACTCTAAAAAAAAAAACTTGTTCTCTCTCTTTCTTTTGTATTTTTTTTTTTTTTTTAATAATGTCTGTGGACGCTTGTAACTTGCACACTTCGTCTATATTTTTGCAAAAGATTCGACCCAGAGAAGAAAAGAAGAGAACATCATTTAGTAAATTACAGTCAGTTGGTTTATCACTTGTTGCATCCGTCTCCAAAAGAAAAACATCTAGTAAAGATCCATCATTTAATAAATATGCGTCTACCACATCGTTACCAAATCATAATAACAAACCACCACCCGCAAGATTAAAACCTTCGGTATCTGCCAGACCCTTTTCACAATTCTTTTTTCCCGTCAAGGAAGAAATGATACTCGTTGAACAACAAACAACAAGGCCTGAAAAAAGAAGACCCACACTCACTAAAAATAAAAACAATAACAACAGGCATAGTGTCTCGTTAGAGCTAATAGATGATTCAAGTAATTATTCCACCTCAAGATCGTCCTCATTAAAAACCATTAAAACTCAATTCGTGTCGGATAATGTAGTCATAGCAACCGCAAATTCTTCATCCGATATCATCACTAGCACGAGTGCATCTTGTATACCAGCAGACATCATGACGATGACTTTTCCAACGAGTAATAACAACAAGAGATTATCTGGTGTAGCAAGAGCTAGAACCGTACTCCGACTGGATTCGAATAAGTCAAGAGAGATCAGAGCCATCCATGTATGGAAGGAAGCCATAGCGCAGTTATCCACCACGGATGACGAACAAGATGAGCTGTACACCATTTTGTCACATCCTGCATTGATTGTAAGCAAGAAAAAATGTTATTACCATAAATTATTACAAGTCCTTAATTATTTGTTTTTATTTATTTTTAGCCGGAGCAACCACTAGAACGACAACGCTTTGTACGACAATCTTCGCCCAAGGACTTGACAATGATGCGCTTCATCTTGAACGAGTTGATAGCCACAGAGAAATCATACAATGGACTGTTACTCCTGATCAAAGATGTAATGTATACCTCAAGCAATGTATATCCTTTTTTATTTAATTATGTTTTTCATAGAGATACATGGAACCCATGATTGCTGCTTCAAGGACAAAAGATGCTCTGGTCAAATCTGCAGATATACCCATCCTCTTTAAGCATCTACCTGAATTGTTGGCCTTTTCTGATCGGTTATTGTCTGGTTTTCAAAAGACGAGGAATAACATTGGGCAAGTCTTTAAAGGTGTGGAAACAGACCTTGTTGTCTTTTTAAAATACGCCATGCATTATCGAACAAATACCAAAGCAATCAGAAGAGCATGTTGCAATGTCTTGTTTGTAAAGATAGATCAGGTACTTTTTTTTTATTATCTATTACTTAATAACGCATGAATATATACTTACCGGACAGAAATAAAAGGAAAATTTGGCGAGAAGAGATACCAATCGCTTGGGAATGTCGGATTATTTTATTGCGCCCATTCAACGAATACCTCGATACTGTTTATTAATTAAAGGTAATCATTAATATTACGCCCACTAAGAACAGAGATCTGTATGTTTATAAAGATTGCAATTTTAGATCTGCAGAAATACACGCATCCATCTGATTCCAATTACAGTGAATTGGATTTCGCTTTAAAGACCTTAACAGGCTTAGCTGTGGCTATGGATCATGTACAAAATAAAGTGCCTCGTACATTAAACTAGTAGATAAAAAAATAATGTTGTAATCATATACATAGGTCCCCCTTGAAAAAAAAAATACTATTTATTATTATTATTATTGCAGCAGCAGCAAGCATAAACATGATGCACACGAACTCTCCCCCCTTTTTAATCTAAATCTTGCTTGGGCCAAACATCAATGGCCTTAAACTCATTGATGATCTCCAACAATTTATCTTTGGTAACAAGCGGAACGCTATACTTGAATCCAGTTTCGCGTTCAATCTTACTGCCATCCACTGAAAGCGCATGGCTGTCCAGGATTTCTAAATCAAGATAAGGGGATAATGGTGTTACTGTGATTCCATTTGCACGCACGATCTCTGCCCAAGGTCCCAAATGTTTTTCATTCACAGACTCTGTCACACTCTCCAAATTCAGCTATTCATATTCCCAATCTATTTTAGTCGTCTTGTTTCCTTTTGTCTCTTTTTTTTATCTTATTACCTTGGCAAATGCGGAAATAATTGTACCGTGATACGATGTCTTGAGGTTGAAAATATCTCTCAAATGAACATTGATGGCTTCTTGATCTATAGTATCATCCTTATTTCTTTAGTAACAATTTTTTTTTTGATAGTACAAGGTGTTACCTGTCTCTTGTTTATCAGCCAAATTGAAGACGGGGACTTTCCCGGTAGCAGCAATATTATTGTCAATATACCATTCTGTTAAATACCAACAGGCTCGAATCACATCCTCTACATGCACTGTATTAATCTTGAGGTCCTTAGACCAAAGATATTTCATCTCTTCCTTCAAGTGCGCATAGACTCTTCCAATAATCAAACGTGGAGCTATTTTTCTTTTTTTATCAGTCATCTTGTCATAGTGCCCATAAGAAACTTTTACTTACTGAGACCCAAAAGAGCGGCAGGACCGTAGACAAGTGCAGGACGAATGATCAACAAATTGAGACTACAAGAAAGGGGGCGTATTTAGGGTTAGAGTCAGGGTCAGGTTAGTTTTTATCAGTCAAAAGGGGTAACTTACCCGTCAATTTTTTTCAAGGCTTCCTCTGCCTTGTACTTGTGTTTACCAATGACGGTCCATGGATTGATCTTTGAAGTTTCTGTGGAAGGATCCTACTTTAAAGAGTGAGTGGTACGGTAGCCAAAGTTTAAAAAGAAACCAAACCTGAGAACTATCGTAGACTTCGGCGGTTGAGATTTCGACGAAGAGTTTAATGTGACGCTTAGCGGCTTCTGTAGCGCAATTGACGGACAGGTTAAAAATGCGTTCCTGATAAATTTCAGGGACTTGTGAGTATTTGGTTTCGGCGGCAAAGTTGAAGACATAATCGAATTCCTTGCCGTCGTCTCTTTCAAAGCAAGCTGCAATCGAAGCTGTTTATGTTCAAGAGTATGAGTTTTTTTTTTCTTCTTCAGTTGGAATGGGTATATATGAGAGGGATGGGACAATCCTGTTTTTACCTGCATTAATGAGATTACTTTGCTTGAATTCGACTTTGGAAAACGCGGTTTTAAAAGTGTCTGTGAAATAAGCTGTTTGTGGCAACATCTTGTCAGCAACACGTATACTGGCTACGAGATTGTTTTGGGTCAAGTAGTTGACAAAGTGTCTGCCAATGAAGCCAACACCACCTAGCACTAAAACATTAACTTTTTCAATAGTCATGGTACGATAAAAAAAAGGAGGGTGAACGGAGTAGAAAGAGGTCAAAAAAGAAGAAAAGAAAAAAAATATATATATATTAATAAATTTGTGTGACACAGGATAAAAGGGGGAGAAAGCGATAGAGTTTGAGCAAACATGATAATTTGTATATGGAAATGACGTCGGATATTATAAACAAACAAGACTCTATAAATGAACAGTAATTTATCAGCAGTAAACAGTAATAATTAGAGAAGAAAACTAAAAAGATGTAAGAGAGCACATATTGGTTTTAATCTGTTTGGTACCACCATTTTATATAAATTTTTCAAGTTTAATCTTTTTTTTTCCCTTTTTCCCTCTTTCCCTCTTTCCCTCTTTCTCTCTAACCACATAACATAAGAAAATGAACCATGAAGTTGGAGAATCATCACAGCCACCACCACCACGATCCACTTCATTACGTCGCAACATGTCAAAATCCTCACAAGTTGACGGAAAACCTAGACGACAAAGATCACTTGTTCGACCTGAACGTGAACGAAACGATCCCAATAGCAGACTTTATCATTATCGACAACGAGCTGGTCAAACGGACGATTTAGCGCCTAGTACAACAGGAAATGGGCCTCCTAACCAACCTCCTCTTCCTGCTCCCCCACATAGAGAACAGTTACTAAGACGAGGTAAAAGCATATTAGGAAGAGAGGAGAAAAACGAGACCACGGGCGGTGCCATCACCTTTGTAGAACAAAAGCAAAAAAGTACCGGATGTAATCTCTGGATGACTTACTGTATCATTTTAACATGTTGTATTCCCAAACAATTATTACGCTGTGTAGGCAAGTAACTATCATCTAAAAAAAAAGCTATACAACTCTATGGTCACACTAACCTTCCATAAACAGGTGTGCCTGATGGTCCTGCTCAGAGCGCTTGGCGAGAAAAGATAGGCCTTGTCTCCTTCATTTTGTTCATCATGGGATGTGTCGGTTTCCTCACCTTTGGTTTTACACAGGCCATATGTCCTATCCCACCCATGAGTGTGAGGGGAGGCCAAGTGAGTAACGGCTACTTAATCATTGGAGGTTGGGCCTACATGCTAGCAGAATGGTCCCACCCTGTAGGTATCACCAACGAAACCACCAACATATTGTACCCACCTATCAATGCAGGTGGCATGGACGCTTCCTTTTTATTCCAAACAGTTCAACCCGACTGTGCATCGGTTTTCATCCCAAAGCAAGGCGAGCAACCTTATTATTTCCCTTGTCAACTCTTCAATCCCAATGCTACTATCGCGCCTGATCAAACAGGATACAAAAATGCTACAAGTTGTCATTTATCATCGAGTGCGCGTGGTTTATATCAGTCGTTTAAAACACAGGGAGTGCCTAAAGCAACTGGCCTGGATAAAGCAGCAAGAGTGTATTATGATTGGAACGACATTACTGCAACTGATCTCTTGACTGTATATAATGGGTAAAATAGTGAGCTAAATATACAAGATGGTACTAACGCACACGTATAAATAGAAATGTCTTGAACCTTAAATTACTGCAGTCTTTGCCAACAGCTTACTTTGGTGTGCCTGAAGGAGGATTGATCTCACAACTGTTACAGACACCCGAAGTATTTGCGGGGAAAGATTTAACAAAGACAATCAACGGTAATGGTAAATTAGATTCAGCAGAATGGGAAATGGAAGCGAAATGTCTATCTGCCACCATCAAGGTAGGATCACTGGATACGATCAGCATTGGTTGCATGGCGTCTGATATTGTGCTTTATGTCTCCTTGGTTGTAATTCTGGGTGTCATTCTTGTCAAATTTGGTTTGGCCGTGATTTTTGGTTGGTGTCTTTCTTGGAAATTGGGTAATTTTAAAGAAGGTGAATCGTATGCTTCTCGTATGAAACGGGCACAAGAAATTGAAAATTGGACTTCAAATATGCAAACATCTGCTCCTTTACCAAAACCACGTATTCAATCAACTTATTATGGTGCAAATAACAGTCGCCGTAGAAGTTTGTTTCCTCAAACCTCTAGGTTTACTCAACCTATGCATGGTTCCACACGCTTTGATGGGCCAGGTTCTTCTTCGGTATGGCGGACTCCTAATAGGTAAGATTTTATACAGTAAGCATTCCCGCACAGATATACTCATAGCATGATTGCCCAACAGTGCATTAGAGGGTCACGTAAACCGACAATCTGTGTTTTTGGATGGAAGACAATCTGTATTTATGGATGGTAGACAATCTGTGTTTATGGACGGTAGACAATCTACACTGGATTTTAATACAAGTCGTGCATCTGTGTTCTACAATACGCCTAATTCGACTTCAGCACGATTTATGGGGACATTGGATACACCCCGTCGCTCCTCTATCAATTCAGCGTCAGATGCGACTAACACTACAAGCGATTCTATGGGAGGTCCCGTGTGTCCATTACCTTTATCCCGTCATGCTGTCAGACAACCCCCTTCTGATTATATGCCATTTCATTTTCCATTAGCGCATACTGTGTGTTTGGTGACGTGTTATTCAGAGGGAGAAGCTGGTATTCGTATCACTTTGGATTCCATTGCGACCAGTGATTATCCCAACAGTCATAAACTCTTACTGGTGATTTGTGATGGTTTGATTACGGGTTCCGGCGAGACGAAATCGACACCGGATATCTGTGTGGGTATGATGCGTGATTTATTGGTGCCAGCAGACCAAGTGGTAGCCAATTCATATGTGGCGTTAGCTGATGGCTCACGACAGAACAATATGGCTAAAGTATACGCGGGTTATTACAAGTATGATGACAGCTCAGTGGATCGAGCTCATCAACAACGAGTTCCGATGATTACGATTGTCAAGTGTGGTACAGCGCAAGAACAAAGTGAAGGGGGTAAATCGGGTAATCGAGGTAAACGTGATTCGCAAATCATCTTGATGCAGTTCATGCAAAAAGTCATGTTTGATGAACGCATGACCATGATGGAGTATGAGTTTTTTAACGCGATATGGCGAATTTGTGGTGTCCCCCCTGACGCTTATGAAATTGTATTGATGGTAGATGCAGACACCAAATTGTTTCCTGACGCGCTTTCGCGTTTAATTTCGTGTGCGGTGAAAGATCCTGAAATCTCTGGACTGTGTGGTGAGACCAAGATTGCGAATAAGACGGATAGTTTTGTGACGATGATGCAGGTGTTTGAATATTATATCTCCCATCATCAGAGTAAGGCATTTGAATCTATTTTCGGTGGCGTCACCTGTTTACCCGGTTGCTTTTGCATGTACCGTATTAAGGCACCCAAGGGACCAGATGGTTACTGGGTCCCGATTTTGGCGAACCCGGATATTGTGGAAAGGTACTCTGAGAATGTGGTGGATACATTGCATAAGAAGAATCTATTGTTGCTTGGTGAAGATCGTTACTTGTCAACACTCATGCTACGTACATTCCCTAACCGCAAAATGATGTTTGTTCCACAAGCAGTGTAAGTTTCTTTTTTAATTTTATTATGTGTGTAATAACAAAAAGAAATGAATAGATGCAAGACGGTAGTACCAGATACGTTTATGGTGCTGTTATCACAGCGAAGAAGATGGATTAATTCAACCATTCATAACTTGATGGAGTTATTGTTTGTCCATGATTTATGCGGCACATTTTGCTTCTCTATGCAATTTGTGATTTTTATGGAACTGGTGGGCACATTAGCTTTGCCTGCAGCCATTTCATTTACACTATATTTGGTGGTGATGGCATGTTTAGGCCAGCCCTCTTTAATTCCGTTGATCCTATTGGCTTTAATTCTTGGTTTGCCTGCAGTTTTGATTGTGATGACAAGTCGTAAAATAGTGTATGTAGGATGGATGCTTGTTTATTTAATCAGTTTGCCCATTTGGAATTTTGTGTTACCTGTGTATGCTTACTGGCACTTTGACGATTTTTCGTGGGGTGATACGCGTAAAGTTGCCGGTGCCAACAAATCGGACAAAAAAGGAGGCCATGCAGATAAAAGTGGCGAGTTTGATAGCAGTGTTATTATTATGAAGAAGTGGAGTGAGTATGAAAAGGAAAGAAGAACGCGTGAGGCTCTAGATCGCAATCTGCCTGTCCCACGTTTTGTGGATAGACCGGGATCAACAGTGGACGTATTTCGAGATTCAGTTCATAAGCGTACCAGTAAAGGCTCTGCGGGTTCCAATGATAGTGATGCACCCTTGACGGCCGGTTATACACGAGAACGTCAGATCACTCAAGGATTAGCGATACAAGAACATGCCATTCATATCAGCGGTAACAATAAAAATGGAGAGTCCCAATCTTCGAATGAATCGGTTGGTCCCGATATCCCGCTTACTATGCTACACCGGAACTCATCGCAAGAGTCCTTTCAAAGGCCTGCTCCTCGTGCAAACTACAATGCTGCACTGGTAAATAACTTTGCGGAAGATGATCTTTATAGTCCAATGTGGTCTGATCCAGCCCCTCACCACCATCATCATCAACCCTTTGCCGACGATGATGATGAGAATGACAATGACGATTCTTTACAAGACACAAGACCTCCTTATAAGACAAATATACCTCATGATTATAGCTAATCGAATTAAGAAATAGTAACATACGTTTTTTTTTTCTTTCTCTTTGTCTCTCTCTATTTCTCTCTTTTTGGCATATTCCTGGTTTTGGCATAGTACCCGCTTCCCAGTTCACTTCTTATCTCCTTTCCCCTGTACTTTTTTATAACATGATTTTTAATACACACATATATATTTTTACTGTATTATTTGCTTCCTGTTAATAACAAATAGTGTGTGTTTTCTGGAACTTCGTCTTGTTACCTGGTACACAATAATTTGGAGTTAATTATGCACAATTAGAGACACACTGAGTGCAACGTTGCACTTGTCTGGTGATACATGGATCCGAAGTTGCTTTTTTTATATAACACGTTTCAATTTCTTTCTTTTCTTTTTCTCTCTTTGTTTTTTTTTCTTTGTTACTTACCCTTTTGAGACAAATAAACAAAGGGTCAATTGCCATGTGGCATAACAAGAATAAAAAAAGAGAAAAGAATAAGGGGGGGAGGGAAACGGAAAAGAGAAATCCATCATGGGACAAAAAAAAAGCTAAGCTTTTTTCTCATCTATATGTTTTTCTTGATTTTGTGCTACATCGGTCCTGAGATTTTATTGAACAAACAAATCTTTTTATATATTAGCGCATCAAAAAAGCAGAGATAAAAAAGATTAATTTTTGGCAGATCGAAATAAACTTTATATGAATTTTTTTTTCTTGCGCTTCTTTCAGTTCCCTAAAACAATGAACAATAAGAGTAGTACTTTGAGATGAGAAGCCGGAAACCCTGGTAACCGGAAAAATAAAAAAAAGTCATGCTTCTAATAGAGAAAAATTACACTAAAGGAAATGACCCATTTTCGTTCCATGTACTGCAACCAAAAACAACTTTTTTTCTCACACGGCGTTCCTAATTCTGTTGTAAAAAAAAGAGGTATATACACAGCTAGTGAAACTACATGTGACATAAAATAGCGGCGTATGTGTTTAGGCGTACGCAAGATTGTATACAGAATCCATAGAAAAAACGTTTTTTTTATATATAGGGTTGATGGGTGATAGATTCTCCCCCCTTGATAGTGTGTATTCCCATATTTTCCCACCCGGCCATCGATTTCAACAGATCAATAAAACCCTGCAGTTGATGTCATCCGCTTTGGCTTTGGTTGTACTAATCAGACGATTTATCAAACTTACTACAGGATCAAATCTCGTTTTAGTGGGAAAAAAATGTATATATATATAAAGCCATGCGTACAAACATTTTCTTCTTTTTTCTTCTTCATAATCACTTTCTTTCCACCATTTTTTTTTCAACCTTGTCAATTGTTTAAAAACTTGCCTTCTTTTTAAAAAAAAGAACAAGAAGATTTTTTTTTGAACAAGCTAGACTTAAAAAACTAAAAAAAAGAAGAAAAAATGTCATCATTTGAAGAGGAAAAGAAGCAAACCTATACGGAAAAGGTGGAAGTCTTTATGGAGGAAAAGAAGAAGGGAGATGTTCAATTTGAAGACCACGAGCATGTTGAGCATGAAGATGAAATCTCGCCTGAACTTGAACTCATGCTTCACACTGATCCCTCTACTGGTCTTTCATCTACAGAAGTCGCTGAGCGTATCGAAAAGTTTGGTTTGAACGAATTGCCTGAACGAAAGAAGAATCCCATCATCAAGTTCTTACTCTATTTCACGGGTCCCATTGCTTACTTGATCGAAATTGCTTGTATCATTGCTGCTGTTGTAGGTGATTGGTTGGATTTCGGTATCATTTTTGCTCTCTTGGTCATCAATGCCTTGATTGGTTTCATTGAAGAAGCAAAGGCCGAATCTGCCTTGGATGCCTTGCGTCAAACTTTGGCTCTCAAGACCCGTGCTTGGAGAAACTCTGAATTGATTGAGATCAACGTCAAGGAGCTGGTCCCCGGTGATGTGATCGTCCTTCGTATTGGTGATATCGTTCCCGCTGATGCTCATCTCTTGGGTCTTGGTGTAAACGGTGAGGAAAACTTGACTGAATTAATGATTGATCAATCTGCTCTTACTGGTGAATCTCTCCCTGTTGCCAAGAAGAAGGGCAGCACTGTCTTCTCTTCTAGTATTGTCAAGCAAGGTCAAAACTTGGCTGTCGTTACAAAGACTGGTATCAACACTTACATTGGTCGTGCTGCCAACTTGATTGCTATCACAAATGAAGAAGGTCATTTCCAAAAGGTTATTGGTAAGATCGGTAATGTTCTTATTTGGTCTACTGTCGTACTTGTCCTTATTGTCCTCGTCTACAAGTTGGTTGCCTTCCGTGGTACAGAAGATGGTGAATGGAAGCATGTTCTTGAACATTGTCTCGTCTTAACTGTTGCTGCTATCCCTGTTGGTCTTCCTACTGTGATGTCTGTTACCATGGCTCTCGGTGCTAAGCAACTTGCTACCAAGCAGGTTATTGTCAAGCGTCTTACTGCTGTTGAAGAATTGGCCTCTGTCTCTGTGCTCTGTTCTGATAAGACTGGTACCTTGACCTTGAATGAATTGACTTTTGATGAACCTTGGTTGACCAATGATTATACTGCTGATGATATCCTCCTTTACTCTTACCTTGCTGCTGAACCAGGAGCTAATGATCCTATTGAATTTGCTGTGCGTCGTGCTGCCGAAGGTTCCCTTGAGGTTCTCAAGTCCCGTCCCGCCAAATCATTGGATGTTCCTGGTTACAAGGTTACTGCTTTCCAACCTTTCAATCCTACTACCAAGATGACTGAAGCTACTATTATGGACTTGACTACTCAACAAAGTTTCCGTGTTGCTAAGGGTGCACCTCAAGTCATTACCCGACTTGCTGGTGGTAGTGATGATGCTGTAAACGCTGTTAACTCTTTGGCTCGTCGTGGTCTTCGTGCACTTGGTGTTGCCAGAACCGTTCCCGGAGATTTGACTAACTTTGAACTTGTTGGTATGATTTCCTTATTGGATCCTCCTCGTCCTGATTCTGCTGAAACTATTCGTGACTGTAATATTCTTGGTGTTGATGTCAAGATGATTACAGGTGATCAATTGATTATTGCAAAGGAAGTCGGTGCTCGTCTTGGTATGGGTCGTGTTATTCTTGATGCTAACCATTTGGTGGATCCTACCAAATCCGAAGAAGAAATTACGGAACATTGTCGTCGTGCTGACGGTTTTGCCCAAGTCATTCCTGAACACAAGTACCGTGTAGTTGAGTTGCTTCAGAACAAGGGTTATTTGGTCGGTATGACAGGTGATGGTGTGAATGATGCTCCTGCTTTAAAGAAGGCCAATGTTGGTATTGCTGTTGAAGGTTGTACTGATGCTGCTCGTTCTGCTGCTGATATTGTTTTGCTTGCTCCTGGTCTTTCTACCATCATTGATGGTATCAAGACTTCTCGTGCTATTTTCCAACGTCTTCGTTCTTATGCTCTTTACCGTATCACTTCTACCATTCATTTCTTGTTATTCATGTTTATTGTTACCATGGTTCATAACTGGAACATGCCTGCTATCTTGTTGATCATGATCTGTGTCTTGGTAAGATTTTATTTATTTAATTGTCCATTTATTTTTATTCACACACATATACATATTAGAATGATGCTGCTACTTTGGTAATTGCTGTTGATAACACTGAGATCTCTGAACGTCCTGATAAATGGAGAATTGGTCAATTACTGACCATGTCTTGTGTCTTGGCCGTCATGCTTACTGTCCTTTCATTTGCTCATTTCTACGTTGCCCGTGACGTTTTCCATGAGCATCCCTATGTTGTACATTCCATTATGTATTTGCATATCTCTTCAGGTAAGATTTTATTTATTTATGGGGAGAACCTTAAAAAACTCATCTTTTGTTGTTGTTTGTAGCACCTCATTTTGTTATTTTCTCTACTCGTGTTCCCGGTTACTGGTACAAGAATATGCCTCATTGGTTGTTCACTGTTTGTATTCTTGGTACCCAAGTTCTTGCCTTATTCTTCTCGGTCTATGGTGTCTTTGGTGAGAAGGAAGAAGTCCGTGGTTGTGGTTGGGCTTGGGGTATGGCCGTTCTGGGTGTCTCACTTGTTTACTTTATGCTTATGGATGTTGTTAAGGTCTGGCTTTTCAGAAGATGGAACTTTGCTCTTACTGCCAAGTTGGCCCCTACACCTAAGCGTAAGGCTAAGTTGGCTGCACGTGGTTTAGAATCATCTCAAAGAGAACGTTTAGAATGTGCTTGGAAGAAGGTTCAAGAGTAAGTTGTGCTACAATCAACCAAAATATAACCAGTTTAGCTCTAACTTTTTATTATTAGTCCTGTGGAAGCACACCAAATCATTGCTGCCTTCAAGACTGCTGCTTTAAAAGCTAGATAAATGTGTCTGTGATATATTTACAAACACACACACACACACAAAACGAGAGAGGAGGATGTCTATTACTTAATTATTATTACTTTTTATTACTATTTTTTTTTAACAAACAAACAATAAAGTTTTTTTCTCCAATCTGAGCTTTCTTTATTTAGAATGTGTGTGTGAATATTTTTTGTTGCGATACCGGAAAGAGCCGTGAATTGATTGCACTACTGTGATAAAACTAGAACGCTGATGTAATGAATTTTATTTTTTGCACTTTTTGGAAATATTTCGATGATAAACACATGATACAATTAAAGTGTCAAGTAAACAGGTTAGGGTGCGGGAGTGCAGAGTGGAGGGGAGGGGAGGGGAGGGATGAGGAAACAATAAGAGTTAAAACGCCGCTAAAAAAGCACTGGCCACACTTCATGTGATTATCAAGTATGGAGCATGAAAAAATCATGGTAAAGACTGGTTAATATCAACGAGATATTTATTATTATTATTATTATTTTTTCACATGAGAGGTTTGTTTGAGAAAAAAAAAAGGTTTTATGTTGTAATATAACAAACAACGCCTCAAAAAAAATCTTTTTAGATTATCATTATTTATATATAAACGACTCCTTTTTTATTTATTTCACTATCTTTCTCTTTTCTCTTTCTCTCTCTCTCTCTCTTTTTCTTTCTTTTACTAATTAAAAATACAAATGGGCAGAGTTGTTAAATGTAATCCAGCCGATAACGGTAAGCTTATTAAAGAAAAAAAGAGAAATGTGGTCGGATGTACAAAATATTAAAAAAAGAGTTGTGTACAGGTGAAAATGGACATGTAAAGCATTCAGAAGGCAACCATGAGAAAAAAAGGGCTCCCAGTACTCATTTTGTAGAACGCGTTACATCTATCCCACTCATCAAGGACAGCGTATCCAAAGCGCAAGATATTGCCAACAAGACGGCTTTGGGCAGGTTTACTTTAAGTCAAATGAACAGCACGTTAAACAACTTGAGCGACTATGCCAGTAAGAGCGAACCTATGCAAAACTATTATAAGCAATATGTTGCATCTCATGTACAAAAGGCAGATGAGTTTGGATGTAAATCACTCGATGTGATTCAAACAAAGATACCAATAATGAATCAACCTACTTCCGACATTTATCAAAATGTGATCAACAAACCTAGGCATGAATTATTTGGACAGGCCAAGATTAAGCTTGATTCTACCATTTCAACCGTGACTTATCCAGCACACGTGGTTATTCGAGAAACAAATAAACAACTTGGTATTTGTGTTGATAGCTTTGAAGGTGTTATTGATAAATATCTTCCTGCGGATGAAAAGAAGGACATTCAAGTTAAACAGAGTGAGGAAAATCAAGTGGTTCGAGTCTATGATATATTAAGTGATGCCTCACGTCGTCTCACTCATTTAGTCACAAAGACACTTCCAACCTCGCGTGGTGATTTATCTGTCATTGCCGAGAATAATACAATGCTCCAGAATTTGACGAGTCAAATACGACTCGTACAAGAAACATTGGTACAATCTGTTTCAGTCTACGGTAACCTTGTGCAAGAAAAGTTGCCTACTACTGTCACTACGAAAGCTCAAAAGACGTCTGAATTATTTGCTCATGTGTCCATCACCATTAATGATCAATTAAGTCAGCTTGTTGATTATGTTAAAACACAACCTGATTTGGTTAAACAAAAGTTACATACCCTGATTGAAACAACCAAAAGCCAGTTTGGGGCTCTTCAACAAGAATTCGCACGTCAGGATATCAGCTATGTCGTTAAGGTCAAGCATGTGGCTGGTAGCATTGGAGATCAAATTTTACCCTTGCTGCAACAGTTGTCTAGTCAATTGGAGGCATATTCGGAACTGACTCGTGAAAAAATCAAACATGAATTGAATGTACCTCTTCACTACTTTGGTTTAAATCAAAAGATACACACCCAATAAATGTTAATAAAAAAACAAAAAAAAACGTTTATTTTTCTTCTGTTTCAACAGCGGGTGTTTCAATGACAACATTGAATGCACCATTCTTTCCTCTTTCGGTCACAATCATTTTATCACTTGGTTTGGGTCTTGAATCTGTTGCTTTCACAATCAAACGCATCTTTTCGATCTTTTGCTTACGTTCCATTTGACAAGCTTCAAATGAAATAGCAGATACACCAACAAAGGTGGCTACTGCCCAGTTTGCAGAGGTGGGAACTCTACGTTTGCTAACAAAACGAAGTGCACCCATTGTCACACCAGCAGCTATAAATAATATATGAGCTTATCTATTGCTGGTCTATTTTATTTTTATTCATTTTACCCATGCCGTAAAGTAAAGCATTGCGAGCACAAGGAATCTTGTTGACGTCTTTAAAGTCTTCAATTTTGACAGTCTAAAAAAACTATGTGTTCAGGCTTGCTGTTTCGTTTTTTTCGGCTTGTTCGCGACATGTTACCTTTAACGCATCGACGAATTTAGGTTCTCCTTCTGAAGACATTTTGTAAAATTAAAAAAAAAAAAATAGGCAAGCTTAGTTTTCCTCAGGCTTTTCAAGGGCAGCCCCCATAAAATGATGTAATTCTCAGACAGCGGTCCCCCTTCACGGAGCATGAAAAACATCTTGACGGGAATGCCTCCATACCGCTCCCTTTCTCTTTGGTAAATAAACAATGTTGACTTCTGTCATTTGTAATTTCACCAGCAAAACACATATATAAAAATGGAACAGCACTATACTCTATAATAGGCCTCCTTGTATTTGAGAACCTGAATGGTTTTCACATACAGGTTTGGAGCAGGAGAAACTTTTAACAGTCGCCTTTATAGATGTCTGCAGGAAAGTTATAAAGAGTACAACACGTCATGATATTAGCTCGCTTCTTTTGGCACAGAGTTTTCTTTTGAAAGCAGCTTATAAAGGGAGGGAGCTACTGATAACGGTGCTTCTCCTGACTTTGGTATTGCTGGGGTAGATACTGATTACCAATGCCAAATAAAGCCACACGCAAAAGCCCGTAGCATAATACCCTCAGCTCCAAGTCACGATTACTCAATGATAAGCCCACCGAGGGCTCAATTCGGCTGTAGTGTGTGTGTCCAAACAATGCCACTACCCTTCAATTTAATCAATCAGGGTGGAAGCCTTATTTTAGACATGTTTGCTCCAAAGGGGGGGGGGCTGTATCCGACAATTTATATCTTACGAGAGTATTTGTAAATACTCTTCTGCTTAGGACCATTTTTAAGTATTACACAAATGTCCCGTTCTATGGACTTGAGAATAATATATCAGCTAATACTTTTGCTAATTTACCAATAGCTTTTGGCGGAAGGAATATTGCTTTTGCCCAAGTTGAGCGTGTGTTGTGGTGTCTTGAAGAACAGAGTCATCCAAGTCTTGTGGGACGCTCAAACAGACTACATGACCCTGTAACTGTGTCCGACAAAAGCAGGCTTACGCAATGAATTGACTGATTTTATTACAGGATTTGTTGTACTGTTTTAAAAAATAGTTCTTTCTTTTTGTTTACTATCGGCTCTTCTCCTTTTAAGAACAAAATTTCGGTAGAATTAGAATTGGGTGATCCGACCTGATATAATAAAATTATAATGGGCCTTCGGTTTGGCTTTTTTAAGTAAGGTCGGGGTAAAAGGGCGTAGCTTAATCGATTACACGTGATATACATAATAAACATGTCTGTTTTTAGCTGCAGAGAGAAAGAAGGGGAGGAGGTTCAACACGCGTTTTATGAAGAGTTTTGTGTAAAATTCATTATTAGGGTGCGCACGAGCCTATCATTTATACGGGAATTAATAATAAATCTGGGGGAGTACGGTTTCTACTAATCAAAGAACGACTATCAGGGATGATCGATATATAAAGTGTTGTTACATGTGAACATCAATTGTTTAACAGCATGTGAAAAGCCTAAGAGAAAAACTCTTTGAAGGGCGTTTTTCTTTTTATTCACTAAAAGTATTTGTTATTTTTTTATTTATTTTATCGGTCAAGTTCTCTAAATGTAAATTTCTTCCAATACAAAAAAGAAGTATGACTAGGGGGGGAGGGAGGGGGGGGGGAGAGAGCGTTACAAGCAACATTTGTGTTGTGCGCGGGCAATCATCGTATGACAAGAAAGACAAACAGATACGTATTTTGATGCTTACTACATACATTAAAAAAAAACGGTCCCAATGGATATAACAAGTTTTTTTTTTATTATTTTCTTCTTTTTCTTTTTTAATTTTTAATTTTCTAAAAAATCTAGACCTGTACCTTACATAATACACTTTTTTTTTAAACCAAGCCAAAAATTATTAGGTACGCTTTGATGGTCCATTTGTTATTTAAGAATTAACAAAATTTTTATTTGCCTATAGCATATATATTTTTTTTATCCTCGGATTATTTTCTCTAGAATACGTGAGATATGTCAACTTTCAATGAATATCAGCAATTAACTAGCATGCAGAATGATCATCTTCTGCATAATAGTATGGGTACGCCTTCAATGTTCGAATACTCATTTCTCGACTATCCAACAGGTAACATATACAAATGTTATTGTTTATGGAATCTTGTCTGGAAAATAACAAATAATAAACAGGACAAATGATGCTTAACAGTAGCAGTCAAGTTTCATTATCTGAAGCATCGGTTTGCTCTTCAATGGATATTCGGACACCCGATATACTTCCGGTTGCCGATGCATCTTTGTCTGTAACACAGGCAACTTACATGACTCAACAATGCCCTGAGTCTGGATGGCCTACCATGAACAAATGTTTGTCTTATCCATCAATCAAGGCTGAATATGATGCCATCAATGTAACTCATCATTCAGAATGAAAAAAAAAAGAGACACGTAATTAATATTGAATGTAATTTTAGATGCGTGAATCAATGCGTAAATTTCCTCATCATCGCCGCAATACTGTATCACTACCCATCTGGTGTGACGGTATAAAACAGGAAGATTTCACAGATGATAGAAGACAATCGATGAATGACTTGAATAATTTCTGTCACTTGACAAGGGAACAATTAATTCAACGCGTTGTTCAACTTGAAAAGGAAAAACAGTTATCGGCTTGTAGTCATATTGGTAAATTTTAATTTTTTTTTAATATTACCCCCCTGGACATCTTCCTAATACAGTAAATCAGGTTCCATTTCTCCAGTCTTAGGTTCTACCACCACCTTAGATCATTCTGATGCAGATGAAATTCACCCTTGTCTGTGGAATCATTGTGATGCATCAGCTAGTTCCCTAGATCAGTTGATATCCCATATTCGGGATATCCATATTGGCAGTGGCAAAGTAAGCATGCATAGTTACTACGTACTATTTATCTTTATTAAACTTTTTTTTTTCTAGGCAGCCTACTATTGTGAATGGTCTGGCTGTTCTCGAAACCAAAAACCCTTTTTAAAGCGTCACAAGATGCAAAACCATATGAGAACACATACTGGTGAAAGACCTTTTGAATGCCATATTGAAGAGTGTGATAAAAAGTTTTCCCGACCAGACTCCTTAAATACGCACATCAAAACACACTCAAGCATAAGGCCTTACGCTTGTCCAGTAGATAATTGTGGCAAAGCTTATTTCCATTCAAGATCACTACGTAAACATGCAAAGTCACATGAGACATCTTCTTCATTGACACCACCACCACCACCAACAGCGTTACCACAGCATCCTTACAATAGAGGTTTAAAACCCAACAAGTTTTACCAGCTAGAAACGCCCACAACAACAACAAACATTACGCCTACTATGCAACCTTATGCCTTTTACGCAGACGTAAAAGTTATGGACAATTATGAACAGCAACAACAACAAATAGCCGCAGCTGGTACTGCTTATTATTCTTCTCATTATGTTCAAACCTATGATCATCAACTTATGACTCCTTATTAATTATATTATGTCTTACTATATTGTTTCTTTATGTGTATGCTACTCCAATAAAAACCTGTAACCCCCCAATCATCTTACATCTTAAAAGTGTGACTAGCTTTTTATCAGCTATTTTTTTTTATAACTCCAAGGCCTTTCAAAATATCAGTAAACATCTTTTTTTATCTCTTTTTTATCAGTCATGTTGAGAAAGGCATTACAACAATCATTTAAAAGAACTAGCCTTGTTCAACCCTTGGTAGCTAATCGCTTGTTTTCGATCCATGCTACCCAGCGTCAGGAATCAGGCACCTTGAAGCCTACTTCAGGTAAGTTATTCCTTTTGGAAACGAAAGCATTTTAGTTCATGCATTGACTCTATTATTAGACTCTTTGGGTTTTGACACCAAGGCCGTCAAGGACTTCGATAGACCTATTTATCTTGATATGCAAGCTACTAGTCCTACTGATCCCAGAGTCTTGGATGCCATGCTTCCTTACATGACTGAATTATACGGTAATCCCCACTCCAGAACTCACAAATATGGTTGGGAGACCGAAAAAGCTGTCGAAAAAGCCCGTGAGGTAAGGGATAGAGACATGTTCAAGTAGTTTGGACTTGTTTGATACTCATATTTCATTTCTCTTCTCAAAACAGGAAGTTGCTAAATTGATTAATGCAGACCCTAAAGAAATCATCTTTACTTCTGGCGCTACCGAATCCAACAATTTGAGTATCAAGGGTGTTGCACGATTCTACAAGAACAAAAAGAAGCACATCATCACCACACAAATTGTAAGTAATAACAGCAAAGTATGCATGTAAAAAAAAAAGAGAGATGCTGACTAATCCGATGATAGGAACACAAATGTGTTTTAGATTCATGCAGAGTTTTACAAGAAGAAGGGTTTGAAGTCACCTATTTACCCGTACAAACCAACGGTCGTATTGACATGAAGCAATTGGAAGAAGCCATTCGACCCGATACTGCACTTGTTTCCATCATGACCATCAATAATGAAATTGGTGTGATGCAGCCTATTGAAGAAATTGGTAAATTGTGCAAGTCTAGAAAGGTCTTTTTCCACACCGATGCTGCTCAAGCCGTGGGCAAAGTCCCTTTGGATGTCAACGCCATGAATATCGATTTATTGAGTTTATCTGGCCATAAATTGTATGGTCCCAAGGGTATCGGTGCCATCTATGTCCGTAGAAGACCCAGAGTTCGTTTGGAGGCTGTCCAAAGTGGTGGTGGTCAAGAAAGAGGTTTGAGAAGTGGTACTGTTCCTCATCCTTTAGTTGTTGGTTTAGGTGAGGCTTGTAAAATCGCTAATGAAGAAATGAAGGTAATGGTCATTTTAAACGATAAGCAAATGAGAAGTTCCCGTGATGAAACGTGCCTAACGGTATCGTAAAATTATAATGGGAGTGAATGGTTACGTCTTTCATTAGGTTCTTTTTGGATTTATTTTTCCTCTTTTAAAGTAACCAAAAGCAGTTTCAAGTAAATAAGGGGTTTTTTCTCTTTATTTATTTTTGAAGCGGTGGATGTTTGCTTTGGGCGGTCTAATCGGTTCATTAGGAATAGTAAGGTTTTCACAATGAATCATTGTGCAGGGGTTCTGAGGAATATTTTCATTTGCTTTTCATGCTATTTTATGTTTCTTGAGCTAATCGATTTTTACAGTACGATCATGATAGAATCGCTAAACTCTCTAAACGTTTAATTGATGGTATTCAATCTCAAGTGGAAGAAGTCTATCGTAACGGTGATCCCGATCATAACTATCCCGGTTGTGTCAATTTATCTTTCTCTTATGTGGAGGGAGAGTCTTTATTGATGGCCTTAAAAGACATTGCCTTGTCCTCAGGCTCCGCTTGTACATCCGCATCGCTTGAGCCTTCCTACGTGTTGCGTGCTTTAGGCGCTGATGATGAAATGGCACACAGTTCGATCCGTTTCGGTATCGGAAGATTCACTACAGACGAAGAAATTGAGTTTGTTATCAAGAGAGTAACTCAACATGTGCATAGATTAAGAGAAATGTCTCCTTTATGGGAGATGGTGCAAGAAGGCATTGATATCAAGTCTATTCAATGGGCTCAGCATTAAAATAATTTTTTTTTATTGCATCAACACTTGTATAATAATAATTAAATAAAAAATATATGACAGAAAATCCGTAATATTGAGGACTCGCAAGTTCCTTTGTGAAATGACTATCGTCACTAAGGTTCAATTGTTTCATCATGTATCATGTATAAAAAAATACAATTACATTCTTGGTCGATTGTCTTGACCTATTTCGTAAGAAGTATTGTGCTGATTAGATATGATAGCCTGATATTAAAATAGGATTCATTATGACCAGAGCTGTCACAAGAGCTTCGCTATTTGTGTGTCCGTCTTCAAACAATCCATAATATAAACCTGAACCAATTTATATTACAAACTTGAGAAATCAATTGCCGTAGTTATGTAAAAACATATCTACTCGGCGAAGTTGGTACTGTGGACCATTGTTGTTCTGACAATAAACTTGAACTAATGGTGTTTCTTTGTTTATTCTTAAAGGTATATCAGGCTCTACGCAGAGTTGCGCATTTTGTTCATTCTTTTGTTTAGTTATCCACATCATATACATATAATAAAATTATGGCCGACGTACCCAATGTACCAGCAGGAAATGAAGAGCGTCCCATTATTGGGGGAGGTGCAGCAGATCGAACAGGCGAAGAAGAGCGCGGAAGAGGCAGAAGAGGTCGAGGAGTGACAGCAACTCCAGGTAAATACCACATAAAAAATTTGCGTGTATTTAGTTTTTAAAAAGAAAAAAAAAATGGTAGCCACCTGCCCATCATGTAATAGAACATTCAATACACAAGCCGGTTTAGCCATTCACAGAAGACGAGCTTCTGCCTGTAACCCTGCTAATCAACCAGCTAGAATTAGTGCTATAAGCGTGTTGACTGTTGCAACCGTGTGGTTCTTATATGCATTGTATGGTATTACCCGTGGAATTTCATATGGCTTATTAGGAATTTATTTCTTCAGTAATTGCACACCTGTTAAATTTCATTCCTCTTTGGCAGTTCTTGTATTAGGTATTTTTGAAACATTTGGTTTGAGTCCTTTGTATCGTGCATCAGCTCGATATAATCGTTTTTCTCGATGGTTCAGGGAAGCTTATCGTAGCTTTCTACAAATATAATTAAACCCATTGAAACCTACTTTTTATATAACTATAATACATAATAAATTCCCTATTGCAACAAATATTGCATTATCAATTTCGATTTGGTTGAACAAATTCATTTTAAAGCAGCTGCTTTTCTCAGACTTGACGCATTTTAAAAAACACGAGTCACACAGGACCGAGGATAACGAATACGCATTGAATGAGCATGGAACACCTTTGTTTATTCTTACGTTTTACTTATAGCTTTAACTGTCCAATTATTGAATAAACAAACTATATTAAATACACATCAAAGACATGTCGGGAACAAACGCGTATATGGTGGCCAACTTGTTGGAAAAGGTACGAAAAGAATATGCAACCAAATAGCAACACGTACTAAAGAGAGTGATTAACTTAGATGAGTAATGAAGACAGAGATTTTCGTTACATGGCCCTTAATGATCTCATGAACGAACTTCAGAAGGATTCCTTTCATATGGATGCTCTGATTGAAGGAAAAGTTGTTAAAGCAGTTTTGTTGCTCATGGACGACAAGAATGGTGAAGTCCAGAACTTGGCTGTTAAATGGTAAAGTTGGTTTGTCTCGATAATAGTTATGACTGCTAAGTTTTTCTTCATAGTCTTGGTCCCTTAGTAAAGCAAATTAAAGAAGATAACTTGCTTCAAATTATTGACCGTCTCAGTGAATTTGCTTCTCAACAAAAGAATGACGAGTTACGTGGTATTGCAAGTATTGGTAAAGTGTATTTTAAGCGTATACTGTACGTTCGCGGCATTTAACATAAAAAAAATAAACTAGGCTTAAAGACCGTCATCCTTGAAGTTGACACGAGCAAAGGAAATCAAGTGTGTGCCCGCATTATTCCCAGATTATTATCCACGATTCAAAACGTAAGATTAAGCATTATATTTATACAATTAAGGAAAATCATAGACTAACATATGCATGTTAGACTGACGGCTCATATGAGATGCAGATGGATACATTGGATATTTTATCAGAAGTCTTGGCTAGATTCGGAAACCAGATCTACCTCGAACAGCAAACAAAGATCCAAGCTACACTTTTACCTTTACTTTCACATAATCGTGCTGCAATTCGTAAAAGAACCACGTTTGCTATTGGACATCTGGTCGTTCACACTAATGATAATTTGTTTGCCCAATTGTATGCCTACATTGTAGAAGGTTTGCGTAGTAATGCTGGGTCCAGTGAAAAACTTCGTACTTTTGTTCAATGTGCCGGTGTATTAAGGTAAATAATACACACTTATTGGCCTTTCTTCCTTTTAATTTTTTTTTTCTCTTCTATAGTCGTTACAGCACTGCTCGTTTGGGTAAACATCTTTCCGAATTAGTGCCCATTATCTCTAGCTATGCATCTGATACTGAGGACGATGATGAATTGCGTGAGATTTGTCTCCAAACTCTTGAATCTTTTATTCTCAGATGTCCCGTCGATATTGCACCATCCATCCAAGACATCATTTCCCTTTCGTTGGACTTTATTAAACACGATCCTAACTTTGTTGAGGATGATGAAGTAGGAATTTTAGCTAAAAATCTATCTAAGTTTTACTAATTATACATGAATAGGATGAAGACGAGGCCATGGACGAAGACGATGAAGAAGAGGACGAATATGATGATGTTGCGTAAGTGCTTGTATTCTATTTTCAAATACACAAATACTTATTTTTTGCAGTGATTATTCTGATGATGACGATGATATGTCATGGAAAGTACGTAGATCAGCTTCCAAAGTATTGTCTGCTATTATTGAAACACGATCCGATTTATTACAACAATTATATGAGTCCGTTGCTCCTGCTTTAATTAGCAGATTTAAAGAACGTGAGGAATCAGTTCGTGCAGATATTTTACAGACATTTATCACTTTATTGAGACAAACCAACGTTTATGGTGGGAACAATGAGGAGCATGGGTTACGTAGATTTAGTGTATCAATCTTTGATGAGGATTTAGAGGATTTACCTTCAGCCTCTATTCAGCATTCTTCCGAATCCACTGATGGGTAAATCATCGCAGAAAACTGCTATCACAAACACATGTATTCATATCTGTTTTTTTAGGCCTAGGCAATTGCTTCGTGCCCAAGTACCTAAGTTATGTCGTGCGTTGTCTAAACAAATAGGATCTAAGTCTACACAGACTCGTCAAATTGGGTTCCACTTATTGCGTGAACTTGTTGTCGTTCTTCATGGAGGTCTCGCTGATCAAATTGACCTGTTTGTGCCAGTTATTGAAGCATCTCTTTCTAATCCAGCAGCAGACCAACAACAAGTTGCTTCTTCTTCCAACTTAAAGATCGAAATCCTCTACTTTTTACGTCTTTTCTTTCGTTATCATAATGCTCAAAGCATTCAACCTTATATCTCTCGTCTTGCTCCTGCAGTTATTAAGGCTGTTTCTGACAAATTCTACAAAATTTCTTCCGAAGCTTTCTTGGTCTGTATTGAGCTTATCAAGGCTATCCGTCCTATTTATGTTGATCCTAAAACCTCCGGTTACCAAATTTCGACAATCGCTAACGAGCATATTGTATTTATCAACGAAATTTATCAAATCACATTACAAGTACTAAATACTAGCGATGCCGATCAAGAAGTGAAGGAAAGATCTATTATGTGTCTCGGTACTCTTTTGACCCAAGTAAGCGATGTGCTTCAAGATAAACAAACTCAAGCTTATGACGTTCTTTTGGAGAGATTAAACAACGAAGTCACTCGTTTAATCAGCGTCAAAACACTTACCATTGTGTCCCAAAGTCCTGTTGCTGCTGGTGATGCTCTTTTGAGATGTGTTCTTGTCGCTGTCGATGAACTTTCGCTCCTTCTTAGAAAAAGCAATCGTCCTTTACGTATTGCTAGTTTAGAGTGTTTAACTATTTTGGTAAATAGGTAAGCTTCAGCAAGATAGAAAAGAAAAAAGGTTAAATTCTACAAATGCTAAAACATTGAATAGATACGGAGAACATATTTCAGCCGCTAGTTTCTCACGTTTGTTAAGCGAATTGAAACCTTTAATTTCTGACACAGATCTTCATCTTCTACCTCTCGCTTTAAAGACAGTTCAATCCATTTTATCTTTGAGTCCTGCTTCTATCAATGAAGTCAAGTTATATATTACACCATCCCTATTCGAGTTGATTCGATCACCCTTACTTCAAGGTGCTGCTTTGGATAGCTTATTAAATCTTTTTGCCGCATTTGCTAAAGCCAGTCCTTCTGACTACCAAGCGTTAGTCAAGGGTTTAGTTGATCCTCTTTTGGACGTCAACACATCCGGTGTGTCCGCTGGTGGTGTAGCTGCCGTTGCCAATAAGCAAGCTGCTTCTACCGTTGCTCAAAGTGTTGCTGTTTTAGCTGCTAACACAAGCAAGGAAAATCGCGATAAGACTATCTTGGAATTCCAATCTTACATCAAGAAGACTGAAACCAACGATTCTATTAAATATCTTAGTTTGTTAACTATAGGTGAAATAGGTCGTAGAATGTAAGTTTCAACTAACCGTTAATTGTTTAAGATGAATTGACACAGTTATATAGTGATTTGAGCAGCTTTGATCACATTGACGAGCAGATCGTTGCTTTGTTTGCAGCTCAGTCGGAAGAAGTTAAATTTGCCGCAGCCTTTTCTTTGGGAAATATTTGCGTTGGAAACATTAACAGATATTTGCCTTCGATCGTCTCACAAATCAAAGATCAGCCCAAAAAGCGTTATTTATTGTTCCATGCTTTGAAAGAAATCATTACACGTTACGACAGTAAAAAAGAAACTACCAATTCTTTAAGCAACGCAGCTGACGAAATTTGGGCTCTTCTGATTCGTAGTAGTGAATCCGACCAAGAAGAAGGAACTCGTACTGTTGTTGCTGAGTGTCTTGGTAAACTTGCCTTGACTGAGTATACCAAATTCTTGCCTCAATTGGAAGAACGTTTAGCTGCCTCATCAGCATACGTCAGAGCTACAGTTGCTACTGCTATCAAGTATGCTGTAGTCGATCCATCTCAGGCCTATGATGATTTGTTAAAAAAGATTATGACCAAGTTCCTATCTCTCCTGCAAGATACAGATCTGGTATATTTTGATTTTAATTTTAATTCTAAGAAACTCTTTGTACTAATCTGTTTCTTTCTTTTTTTTAGAATGTTCGCCGTTTAGCGTTATTGACAATAAACTCAGCTGTTCATCGTAAGCCATACTTGATCCGTGATGTTCTTCCTCAACTTATTCCTTTGTTATATGAGGAAACCGTTGTTAAGGAAGAACTCATTCATACCGTTGAAATGGGTCCTTTCAAACACAAAGTCGATGATGGTCTTGAAATTAGAAAGGTAAATTGCCTTTTTTTTCCTTAATAGGTGTATGTATTTTTCTTTGCTGATTAGATTTATTAGGCTGCATATGAGTGTATGTATACTTTGTTAAATTCATGTTTGGACAAGATTGATGTTTATGGTTTCCTTGATCATGTCCGAGTTGGATTAGATGATCAACATGATATTAAAATGTTGGCGTATTTGATGCTTATCCGCTTAGGCAAGGTCGCTCCCACCGCCGTTACCCAAAGTAAATGATATTAGAGTCTATAGAAAAATTAGAATGTTACTAAAAAAAATATTAGGATTAGATGATCTTGTTGCTCCTTTAAAGGCGACCCTTGACGTTAAGATGAGAAGCAACGCTGTGAAGCAAGAAGTTGAAAAGAATCAAGAATTGATTCGTGCAGCCCTTCGTTGTATTATCTCATTGAATAACCTTTCTGAACCTAGCGTCTCGCCAAAATTCGAAAATTTTGTTTACGAAGTCAAAAATGGACCACTTGCCGAAGAATATAAATTAGCTGTGGTTGAGGCAGAAAGTCGAGAGAACAGATCCGCTGACTATATGGATCTTTCATAATTTAGCTAAATTTACATACATGAAATAAAATTATATCGGTTTACTAAAATGCTCCCGAATATGAGATTACTTTCAAATACGGTTCAATGGAAATTCATAATGCTAGTATTTAACAGTTATGCAGTATATAAATCTTGAATAAGTATCTCCGGACTACGCAGACCACTGGGCGTATCATGCAATAATGAAAGTTTACGACAATACCGACCACTTAAGCTTTGAGATAAAAGCTTTTAATTTATCATAAACATTCCATTTTCATAAGATATATCAGTGTGATTACTAAAAAAAAGCCAAATGATTATGAGTATACAGACCACACACACACACTCACGCACGTGAATTCTTTGTGACGACGACGGAAACTAACTAACTCAGCTCGTGATAAACTTCGACATTTTTCATTTCTGGTTTTTACTATCGTTCTGCTTATTTTCTAAATGTCTTCCGAACAGCAAGCAAAAGACTTGATCACTCAAGCACAAAAAAAGTTAAACTCGTGGTCTTTCTTTGGGCCTTCAAACAAATGCGAGGATGCTGCTGAGCTATATGAAAAGGCAGGAAATATGTTCAAATTAGCCCAACAATGTAAATATATGCTACTTTTTTTCTTTTCTTTTTTTTTCGCAAGACTAAAATGTGCATCTACTAGGGAATGCTGCCGGTGATGCCTTTGTGGAAGCTGCGAAATTGTTTGAAAAAGGTGGAAGTGCCAAGTTTGAAGGCTCAAGAGCTTATGAAAATGCCGCAAAAAGTTACAAAAGAAACAACCCAGCTGGTAAAGAAAGAACGAGACTGTATGAATACGAATGGACATTTAATAGAACATTTCTTCTCCTTCAATAGCTGCTGTAGCTGCGTTAAGAGAAGCCGTTGTTCTTGACCAGGCAGGAGGAAGTTTTAGAGCAGCTGCTAAACATTATCAAGAAATCGCTGAATTATGTGAATCCACAGAACTAGATAAACCTCAAGATGCTTATGAAGCGTATGAAAAAGCTGCTGAACTATACAATGCTGACGATTCTCCTGCGTAAGTCATTACAAAATGGGAAGAGGAGGATTAATAACTGATGACCTTCATCTCTAGTTTATCAAATAAATGCCTGCTCAAGGTTGCTCAGATTGCAGCAGATTTGGAAAAATACGATGTTGCCATTGAGAAATACGAGAAGGTTGCCGTGGCCGCTATTGACGATCCTTTACTTAAGTGGTCCTTAAAGGACTACTGTTTTAAGGCTGGATTATGCCATTTATGTACTGGAGTAAGTTTGGAAGGGAAAATCTAAAATTAAAAGTGCTAAATGACATAGACTGACATGTGTAATAGGATATGGTTAAAGCAAGCCAAGCACTCGCCAATTATTGTAATATGGATATGTCTTTTGAATCAACTCGTGAATACACATTATTGAAGGGTGTTATAGATTGTATTGATCAAGGTGATGTTGACCATTTCACTCAATTAGTTTACGACTATGACAAGTTGACAAGATTAGATGCTTGGAAGACTGCTGTTTTATTAAAGATTAAAAAGTCCATGGATTCTGATGAGTTACGTTAATTTACATTTACCTATTTTGGAGCCTATAAAATAACAATGTCATGTTACTTCTCTTTCTTTCTCTCTCCCTCCCTCTCTCTCTCTCTCTCTCTCTTTCTCTTTATTTACCTATCCTCTTTTCTTTCCCCCTTTTTTTCTTACTCATTTCTATTCCAACATAGATACACATAATATATTACCATTAAAAAAAATTATGTACTCTGCCCAACTTCCAATAAATTCGGTTGTAGACGTTACAGGTTGGATTTATTTTTAAAAATAAAATAAAGACAAACATGATACTAATTGTTTTGCGGAAAACCTATAATTAGATACTCCTAACGCAGTTACACAGAAAAAAGGATTTGTTGATTTCAAAAATTTAAAACATACGCATTCTAGACTTATTAAAAAACAAGATTCATTGTTAAAAAAAGCGTCGATCCATTATTTACATATACTGGAAAATAGAAATCCTTCATATAAAAAGGGTTCATTGTACATACCAAAGAGGACATTAACGAACCCAAGAGAACCATCAAAGAACGACGGATATGACAATATCAACGATGATTACATTTTACGTGTTGAAGATACAATAGGAGACAATGACAAGTAGTTTAACTTTAAGCTGTTGATTTTATAGATAAAAGACTAAATAGAACCGTTCCTTATAGATATGAAATTATGGATTTGATGGGCCAAGGAACCTTTGGTCAAGTAGCAAAATGTCGAGTAAGAAAAACCAACCAGCTTGTGGCAGTCAAGGTCATAAAACGACAACCAGCATTTTCGATGCAAGGCGACAAAGAAATTCAAATTTTACTAAGGGTAACGAGCTGCTACAAGGTTATAGAAAATAAAACTTAATCTTAATACTATAGCTTAGAGATCGACCAAACAAAAAGGACAATTTTTTGCAATTACAGGATTGCTTTACACACAGAGGTCATACATGCGCAGTGTTTGAATTACTATCCATTAGTTTACATAAGCTTTTTAATCAACAAAAGGGAAGGCCTAATCTAACAATTAGTGACATACAAAAAATATCAATCAACATACTAGAAACACTAGCTTTACTAAAAGAAATGGGGATCATTCATACCGACTTGAAACCAGACAATATTTTGATGAAAAGGTACATAAATGACAAAGAAAGCTAATATTTTTGTTCACCATTTAATTCGTTACTTTAGTCTTGACGATATTCACGATGTCAAATTAATCGACTATGGATCTGCATTATTGGTAACAGAAAGTTTAAACTATTATGTCCAGACAGCATTTTATCGATCTCCCGAGGTGATTTTGCATGTGCCTTTTAATTGTGCAATCGATATGTGGTCGTTCGGATGTTTTGTGGCAGAGATGTTTTTGGGTATACCCCTCTTTCCAAGTGGCAATGAATACACCTTGATGCAGATGATGGTATCACTTTTAGGGTAATGACATCGATAACCAAAAACAAATTGTAGAATTAATAAATATGTCTATTAGATGCTTGCCTCCAGATGATATGCTGAAAAAGGGCAAAAGATCCAACAAGTTTTTTCATCTTAAGGGTGATACAGGGCCAAAATTAAGAGAGTCAGTAAAGAGCTCACATGATATTACTGTAAGTAAATCCACCCTTGCTGACATTATACGGGGGTTCAAATCATTTGATGGGGATGATGACGATTCTGTAATCAATAACGATGAAGGTATAAGACCATGATATATAATCGCTACAAAATGACTAAAAACTTCAATAGACATGCTAGATCGAGAACGACTTTTAGATTTTTTGAGTAAAATTCTAGTATTTGATCCTAATATTAGACTAGACCCCATGGAGGCCCTACAACACTCTTTTATTACCTCTGTAGCATCCCCAGTTATCAGCGAACCTTCTGCTGTGCAACTAAATAATGAGCTATCGCCAGCTCCGGTTCATCTGTCTTCACCTAATGCAATCGCAAATAATTCTTCTTCTATAAATACATCAAGAACAACGGAGGAAAGTCCAGCTATCCGAACCCCTCCTAATCCACATCGTTACATTAACCTTAGAAAAAGTAAAGAAGGCATACTATTATCACCGAGTAAGTCACCCTACAAATCACCAGATGTCACTGCTATACCATATCTCGAAAATAAAGCACTGTCACCTCCTCCTAAAAAGGTTTTAAAATCTATACTTAAAAAAAGTCTATCGCTGATTACCAACAATTTATTCAGCCACAACAACAACCTGCTCAACAAGACAATACGCTAGATGCTAGAGTTAATTTTTTGTACAATGAACCCCGACCTCAATCAGCCGTGCTGATACCTAACGCAGTAGCCCCTCCATATGACCAACAACAACAACAACAACAACAACAACTGCAACAACTACAACAACAACTGCAACAACAGCAACTACAGCAGCAGCAACTACAGCAGCAGCAATATGCAAATTATGGAATACAAACAAACAACCAATTACAAAATGCGATGGCGGTGCCCACATACAACCCTAATGGCTATCAGCAACAACAACACCAACTCCAGCAACAACTTGTTACGGCTTACAATAATGCCGGTTACCATGCAGCACAATTACCATATGTAACAGTGCCATCGCCTTTATTATATCGGAAGCAGTACAACGTACCCCAACAGGCCCCCGTGTATCCAAATAGACACTTTAGTCCTAAGCAGCTTTTATAACTCATCATTCGTGTTACATGTGTGCATAAAAAAGCATGAAAGGGGGTATCATTTTCTTTTTTAATATAATATAATACAGTCTATTTAAATATATAATATACAAGGTTTTTCGTCTATTTTGAGTGTTTCTTTTTGTTTGGCTTTTTGGCGGTTGAGAAGGATGAAGACCAAGAGTTTTTATTTGACAGATAATCGATACCAAATAGAGTTTTAATGAAACCTTGAACGGCAGATTTGATTAATTCATAGTGCTTCAGGTTTAGTGAAACTAGTGTACTACTGAAAGCTGTGTTATTTTCACTATGTAACATTAGGTTTTCTCGTTGAGAGCGAAGGTACTGGACCAAATAATTCAATGAAGCTGTAGTGACTTGTTCATCATAATGTATAGTTAACTCTCCGCAATTCTCTAGCATATCCTTATATGCATAAGTGTGTAAAAATCGAATAAAGCTGGATTCTAATAGAACGTAGACTGACGTTTTCGCTTCATTAAATGTATCGGCTGTAATGATGGTTGTTTTTGACAAGAAGCGGCTCGTAATGGTACGTTTCACTCTATCATCAAGGTTGATTTCGAAACTTGCGTTGCTCGATATATATTGGTCAAATATCTTTTGGGCCTTGCGTTCTTGTTCAGCCAGGGATATATTCTTGTTTTTGAAGATTTGTTCAAAGCATTCGACCTCCATGAAAAAAAACTGAGTATTATGTTAGTCATATTAAAGTTAACAATAATAATAAAGACTTTGTCGTACCAAATTTTCAGAGCTGAATTCGTCCAATAGATAGAAGAGGAAGTAACATAAAGGCACTTTGGATTCTAACATGGCTTTCAGGCCTTCTTTCATGATTTCGCTGACACAAACATCAATTGGTGAGGGTTCACCAAAGAAACACTCTAATTTTTTTGAGGACCTGTCAACCTTAACTTTATATAAAGCGTGTACGTCCAAAACATTGACTAAGGACTCGTCCATAAAAGATGGTAAGGATAGTAAACTAAGCGCAGCAGCCAAGCTGGTACGCCTTGAAGGAGGTTTTTCATCAACTGCCGAAGACCTTCTTGATTTGGATATTGATCTTCTTCCCTTTGATAATTGTAACATATCGACTCCACTGTACATACTTCCAATACTCATATGAGATGTTCTACGTTTTTTCGACATGTAAATTCGGAATGAGTTAAAAAAAAAAAAAAAAAAAATCCCCAGAAAATTTTTTTAGCAATGATGTAAGTTCCCACTTTTTTAATCAGTAAGAAACTAGACCAATGAAATTGAAAACTACAAGTTTTTTCAAGACATTGCCAGTTAGATTACACGGTTCCCCTCCGCCCCTTTTTTTAATACAAGTAACAGGCCGATGTTTCGTAAAGTTTAGGCCCGACTGATCCGATAAAAGGATCCCCTTTTGAAGCTTAAAGCCGATTACGTAGCTGCTGAGTAACAACAAAATATATTTAACGCTCCGTACGCCAAATGGTGTGACGATGGGATTTATAACAAAATGTAGTAATCTTTGCCATTCTGATTTGCATGATACTTTGTCAGTTTAGTTTTTTTTGTTCAAGAAAGCGTCTTAGTAAAAATAAGCTCAGCTTCTAGATCAAACTTTTCTTTTATAGATCCGCATTGTACTCGGACCACATCCTTAAGGTTTTGTGAAAGACCTAATAAGGTATTTTGGTCTGTTTTACTGTAGATATAAAAAGAATATGTGCGACTGATCATTCACTGGGCGTTTAAAACCACTTACTATTTTATAAGGTTTTAACAAGTATGCTTTGTTCAGGGCAAAGATAATAAATCAAATCAAATTGGCCGACTCTGTGCAAAAGATAATTTTGTCTCGTTAAAGGGATGAAGTTAAGAGTTATGATTATCATATGCTACATTAAGAGCCTTTCAATGCAAAGAATCGGATTTAGTTTAGAGTTTATAATCGGCGAGCTGCAGTCTATAATTAACTGTGGCATGTCGCTAGTAATTTAAGGTCCGTGAGGTTAGTACAGGTAATAAATTTAATTTTAAAAAAGGATCTTCATGACAGTTAGTAGCAGGCTAATTTCTAGAGATCTGTCTGCCATGTTTCCTTCAAGACGAGTTACCACATACATGTTCAATGATGTAGAATATTGTGTTGTCTTGACAGAAGCATGTTTCCTTATATCTTTTTTATTTATTAACATATGCCGGCAAAACCAGTTTTATTAATAATCGTACTTTGTATTCCGTCAAACAATGTAATGTACCAATTCATCGTCGCGTAATGTTACATAAAACCCAATCCTATGGCCACTGTTAAATTATTGCGCGATATACGACCGATACCCTGACATTTTATTTAAACAATCCACCAAACATTTCCCCATCCCAACAGACGGGCGAAAAATAAGGACATATTCATGGTTTCAGAGACATGTACAGTAAAAACTGGCTGTTGTATCGTTAGAGAAAAAATAATGGGTACTATGTCACACAACACTCTTCATAGCAATCAGAAACGTACGATTTATTATTGCCTCTGGAAATCGACAAACCCGATATTTCAGCTTTTCTTGTTTATAACCCTGCCCGTCATGTCTATAGTTCCTATAGTCCTAAAACCAATGCTTATTTTTTTGTCCCACCCGGAAGCATATTACGAAGTAGGAAAGCCCAGATAAACATTAGAGAGTCGATATGGTTACTTTAGTGTAGCCTGTTCTATGCTGAATAATACAGGAATAAGGATATACCTATGTAATATAAAAAAAATTCTCGTATACAATATATTCTCCCTCATTTATCCTCAGGTACCGAAACATGGCGTGTATATCAAGAGAACTCTATCCATATTAAGAATAAAACTCAACTTGAGATACAGCTTCCGGGAAAGAATTAATTAGGATTGGTATGGGCTGAACGATGTCGCAAAAAAAAAAACCTTTTTGGCGATGCGGGTAGTAAAAGTCGTCGAATCCGGGAACACTGGTAAAGCATTCGATAAACCTGTTTTAAATGCCTAATCAATCCTAAATTCATATATTTCTTAGATTCTAGTAAAAAAAGAGCCTTGCGTTGTACATGTAATACATATGTTCGGAAAGATTTCTTGTTAATTACGCCGTGAAAGAATCTCACTTTGAACACTTCTTCTCCTTTTCTTTTCTCTCGTGAATGAGTGTGTGCAATTTTGCTAAAAGAATGACTCACCGAATTTCCAAACTTTTTCTAAGGTTAAGTCTTTCTATTTTTTACCTTGTAGTGAGAAGCTGACCACTTTTTCTTTATCCCTTAAGACACAAGCAGTGTACCATTCGGTTGGTTTTTTATACCTTGTGCGAGGGGTAGGGTCTGGAACAATTTGAGGTATTTAACCAAAAAGCAACTGGCTCAATCATATCTTTACTGTAATGTTTACATATAGTAGCTAAACTTACAAGTTTTTTTTTTCTTTTACTTGACCATATCAAAAGCTCCTTTTTTTGGTAGCGCTATATGTAGCACCAATACTAAATGCAGAGCCACTGAAATGTCAATTTTCCCCTTTGGTGAGGCATTGGCTAAACGTATCAGACTCACCCAACGCACTTTCCGCCCCAGTCCGGTACTAAAACTTCAATACGCCGTTAATGAGCATTTCGGCTACAGCCTTAGTTAAATAAAAGCCTTAAGCTACTAAGGTAGATTACCGCCACCGGGTACCAGACCCCCCTTAGTCTACGCCTTGATTTGAGCAAGATAGGTCACCACCAATAGGTCAACAGTCAAAGTAAACCGCTTGTAAGGTCCTTGCAACAAATTTTTCAGATTTTACAACTCTTTTCTTAAAAACATAGCAAATGGAATTTAGGAAACCACTACCTATCAATACTACTACCTAAGAAGACTATCTTCACGTTAGATAAATCCATATAGCGAACGAATACAACTCCCTTATTCAGCACATAACTAGCAGGAGGAATTTAAAAAATCACAAACAAGCAATACTACCGCTGTAAAGGACTACCGTAATGTAGTGACAATCAGTCAGAATCACCCTTCTGATGCCAAAAGCAGTATGTGAATACATCTTCATAACAATCCATAGCACCAAGCTACGAACTCTCATAGCACCATGTTGAGGGTAGTCATCTATATCCTCTTTGTTTTTGGTTCAGAGCAAACTTGAAGATATGCCAATAGCTTGTAATGTTAGTGAAGCAAGTAGACAACTACAGAATTCTAATTTGCTTGGGGTTTTGTAAATGTTTGTATTTTAAGTAAAGGCCCAAACATTATGACTGATTAAAATCATTCTGGCATAAGCTCTTGTTTATCAGCTTTTTGATTAGATGCTTTTATGCGCTCCTCATTCAAAGTTAATTTCATCCCGCTCAGGTACTACTTTTATTCGATTGGATAAGTTCATTGCGGTTTTTTTCAATCTAAAAGGTGCCTTTTAATTTTTTGGCCTCTCATTTCAAAGTTCGTTTAATTATTTTAAAATCGAATGGCTATATCTATATTAAAAAGCTTCATAAATAGTCTCCACGCAAGAACGTATCAAGGCATTTAGCATAATGCTAAGCAATCGCATTCAAATGCTCAGGAGAGACGTTATTGCAAGCTTCAGCGATACGAGAAGCTAGATCTTCAGCATCTTTAAACGAACTTCGTTTTATCTTTTTTTTTATAATAGACCGAAAATTCTCTATTGGGTTGAGCTCGGGAAAATGAGGAGGAAGGTAGATGCTCCTGTAACCTCTTTAAGTTATCATTTCATCAATCTTTTCAGGAGTATGAATGGGCGCGTTGTCCAGCACAAAATAATGAACTTTAAGCTCGGGATACAAACCCATTTTATTTATATCAAATGCAGACTCGTCTACGAATACATAGTTTTTTCAAGTAATTCATATTAGTAGTGGTCCACATGATGACCAAATATTTACGGGCTTGGATCTTGTATGAATCATTTCTAGCAAATTATGTAAGTGGTTATATTTACAGTCTCAATATAATTCAACTCAGCATGCTTAAAAAGATCAGTCATTGTGATCTGGTAGTTGAGGCATTCAATCGCTACTACAGCAAAAGGAAAAAGTTGTATCTGATCCATTAATTATTTGCATGAGAGTTCCCGTCGACTTTAAAAAATACTTGGCTCTATATTGTAGGTTTTTGTTTAAGTTTTAGCAGAATATTTTCTTCGAGCAATAATTGCGCAAGATCAGATTATTCGGCAATTGAACCGACGAATGTATCTTCAGTCAAGTTCTTTTCAAATGCCCTAGATGCGATTTAGATCCTTTGAGTTTAAGTTGTTCTTTAATTATTGTCTCTCGTTCTCCAATACAACTGATGCTATTTGGAAAATAAATCGAATCCTGGTTGTACCTATCATTATTGAAAAAGGGAACAGTCGTAATTATCAAACTTGCTAACTTAAGTTTTAATTTTTTATATTGAAAAGAGAAATTGCATCAGCCATTGCGTGTTTTAGTGTCGTCATAGTTTTTTTCAGTGACCTTTTTTAAACAATCTGGTACAAGAAGTGATTCTCTTATCTCAAATTTTTAAGTTGTGTTTGGTGTTAGAAGCCTCAGATGTAGGCCAAAATGTCTATCATCATTCCGAATTCCGAGCTAAAATAATATGTTAAGCTGAAGGAAGTAGCACGTTTTAATTTTACTTTTTAAGGTCATCAAATACAAAATCGAGAAGCCTCTACCTTTCTTTTGCATCCTATAAAGATTCATTATGTGTTATTGTGTTGGCTGTCAAAGAGTACTGTTTTGATTCGAATAAAATGCAAATAACTTGTCAGTTATGCCCCCCTTTTTACTACTGTGATACTCGAGTTTTGTGATACGATCCGTGTAACATATTAACCCTGCAACAATTTATTACTCTCCATTATATCGTGGTTTATCACAAAAAAAGTGTTTAAAGAGCAGGTGGTTGTGTACACGAGTGAGTTGATGTATTGTCTTTGGATTATTGTGAGTTGCTGGTCCATGATTGATTTTGAAATAATTATAGATTGTTATTGACGATCTTGCAGAAAACTATAGGGAGTGTAACATAATATTTAATAGTTTTTATGGTACTGGACGTGCTGATAGTAAATTTTTGTCTGTATTACTGGGTCTGCTTATGAAAACATGATTTCTTTTTTCTGCTACATATAAAACAGGGCATAAAACTTTATGCTGTTTTTTTTGTATACATTATGTGCTACTGCGCACTATTACCTATCGTCTATATAAGTGCATCAGTGGGTTACTTTTTACCAGCATATTCCATGTAAAAGTTTGTTTTATTATGCATGAGCTTGTTTAACTTTAGCACGAGATGGGGTACATTTTACTTGGTCATATTATACAATGTGATGCTACCAATTAGATGAATCTCTTAATATAATTGAGTTTTAAAGCGAAGTAAAAATCTGGTAAGTTTAGCTATTTGCTGCTGCCTCTATTTACTGATGCTATTATCGTATATGAACCTTATAATAAAAATTGGATTGATGATGCTGGCTTTTTCGTTCAGTTTGTTAAAATACCTCAAGTTGGTCCAGACTCTACCCCTCGCACAAATTGTAAAATCCAACTGGATGGCGCACTATTTGTGGTTTAAAGAGCCAAAGAAAATGTGGTCAGCTTATCATTAAATGGTAAAAATAGATAGCCCAACTTTAAAAAAAAAGTTTTAAACTTTGATGAGCAATCCATTCAGTGAAAAACACACACACACACACACACATATTAAAGAGAGGTAAAATGCTTAATATGAAACTCTTTCACGGAGCAAATAGTATGTAATCTTTCCGAGCATATGTAATACATGTACAACGCGACTTTTTATTTTATTTCACTTTTTTTCTTTCTTAACTCTCACGAATTGGTTGATTTATGATTGATTGGTCATTTGAAGCGTGACAAAATCAGGTTTATTGAATGCTTTCAACAATGTTCTCGAATGTGAGGGATACTTTTCATTTACTGTATCACCAGGGATAGGCTTCCCTTTTTTTTTCTTTTTTTTTGCGACCGCGTTCAGCCCGTACCAAACTTAATTAATTCTCCCCCGGGAGCTGCATCCCAAAAAAAACTCCAAGCGGAATTTATTCTTTATATGGACAATCAGAAGTTAGAATGAGGTCTTTTGATATATGTACACACCGTACCTGGTACCTGAGGTTTCGGCGTATGTTATTTATGGGTGCTCAATGTAAGTATGAATGAAATTTCGCATGATGTATCATCAATTATATGAATCCTGCTTTATTTATGGCATTGGGATCCACATCATTTGTTTTTGCATATGATTGCTGATGCCATAGTAAGCATACGTAGCTCTTTTAGACTTACCCGATCTTTCTTGCTTTGAAATTGGTGTTAAGGTAAGACAAGCAACAGAAAAACTCGTTGGCCTTAGTACTATAGACACTATATGTATGAGGGGCAGGGTATAAACATGACAGGTTTATAAATATCAAGACGCCCCTCTAAATCGTACGTTTCTCGATTACTATTGAAATATGTTGTGTAACATAAGACCACCCCTCCACATGATGATAAAATGGCCAGTTTTTTCCAATTTAAAACTCCCGTGAATGTACTGAAAAGAATTAGTCCCCATTATACCTGTCAGCTTAGGCTGATTTTGCAGTTTTCATTTATCAGTACGCTTATCTTCTACGCTGGGTGGGGATGACGATTTGGTTTACTATTTTATAAAAAATATCCATTGTAAGACCCCTCAAACATCGAATAATGACAATAAGATTGTGGTAATACCATGTGAACACGATTGGACGAGGCTACAATATGATTTATACTACGCTTAAATGTATCTGTAATAGAGATGACTTTTGCACAGATTCATATATTATTACATAAACATATAAACACGTGGTACACACAGAAACAGTGTACCTGGAAATCATAAGGATTACAAATTATAGATATTCATAAAAATTTAAATTAATGATACGCCTCAAAATGGTATTTGTTAATAAGAACATCTTTTTGTCATCGTCAAAACATACATTGGCTATCAGATCTTGAATGATATATGGCTAATCAACCTTTTTTTAATTAAGAATTAGCTGTCCTGAAGATAAAGATCCATACAGACCGCATCCATATAACGATATACTGCCACTTGGCATATAATAAATTGTATAATGCTAAACATAGCCTTAGATTTTATTTTGTTGACCAACAATCTGGATATGAGACTTGTAGTTATACCACCATATCTTCAAATAGAAAAGCTAATTTCGGAAACCAATTTGACCGATTTACTTTGATAATTAATAACTATTTTGTCCTGGAAAGAGTATACTTGTGAAAATCTTTTTACATAGAAAGATTATGTGTTTCTCAGACTGCCAATGAGTAATCTGTCACACAAATGCGATTTCGTCGAACAAAATAGACCAAAATACCTAGTTGGGTCTATTTCCATAAACCTTAAGGATGTGGTCCGAGTCCATTGCGGATCTATAAAAAAAATAAAGAGTTTTTGATCTAGAAGCTGAGCTTATTTCTTAAAAATGCTTTCTTTAACAAGAGCACTAAACTAACAAAATATCATGCAAAAAACACGGATTACTCGAGAACAAAACACTCCCCTTGTCACCCCATTTTTGTGGGTAGGAAGTCCGCCTTCTAAAAGGTGGATGACGTATCTTCTGTTATCATCCAAGTACTTCTTACTAATTCCTAACGTTAGTTTAGGACGGGTTCATGATTGTGAGTGTTATAAAGCCCTTTTTTTTTCAAGCTAACATATAGTGACACGTTACCTATACCTAGCTTCGCAGATGCTGACTTTCATGGCGAGAATTTTAACCTGTATTCACTTTTGGCAACTTTTTCTACGTGCAGAAGCAGGAGCTAAAATAAGTGAGCTTATAGACAGAGTAGTTGGCTGAAAAATTGGGATATGTGTGGTCGAGAAATAGCAAATATTTGAGCCTTGGTACGTATGGGGGGTTATATTGTCATAAACAACGTTTCTTTATCCTTACTATCTCTATCGCGGATAACTTAATAGTTAAGCGAGTAAATGATCACAGCATGAAGCTTTATTGATATGTTGTCAAACCTACTATTAACTATTTTCCCCTGGCTGACCAATTGGTATTTCGAAAAGCTTGACCTATTGAGTTTCAAAACAATGCAACCAATTAAAATCACAAAAAACTCGATGGGCGAAGTGACCGAATGACGAGTGCGAAGTATTGTACAATCAAGTGATAATCGAATAGAGCTTATTGGTCATCAAGGTCATGTAACGATAGCAACAGCAAAAAAGAGAGAGGGGGGGGAGCTTTACGTAACGTTTATAAGGGGAGGACGTCACCCGATGAAGTTTAATTCCCAGAATGGGGGGTGGAGATCCAATCGCTTTGATGATTAAAAACAAGGTTGCTTTTTTTATTTCAAGTCATTAAACCGTAATCATTATAAATAACCATGGAGTCGAAATTCACCGAGATCTGTAGTCGAGTATTTTACAGTGGATTACTAGTGGCTATGGTGACAGACAGAGATGGCGTTATTATTTTAAAAAGTACATAAAATTATTGGTAGTAATAATAAAAAATCAGAGGAAAGGTTAACCTGGTTTATTTTTGCACAGGTGTTTCGGACAAAGCCAGAGATGATATGACTGAGCCGATGATTCCTATAACGTTTGCCATCGCGAATAATCAGGCAAGTCGAAAAAGAGAATATAATATCATGAGGTTATTGCAGAACCAATAACAGGCTGAATTTGAGAATAGGCGTCCAAGCTCGGACTTGAACATAATAAAAGTATTATAAGTGTTTATGAAAAATATCAAGTCATTCAATTGGATCAGGCACCATTAATCATTACACTGGTAGCCGACTCTGCGGCCAACACTGGTAAGGGGGAGAAGTGACTGTAGTGATGGAATTAGCAAAAAATTAACTCGTGAGCATAAAAAGGGCTGTTTATGAACCTTGGTAAAAATATTTTAGAATTGACAGAACCTCTTGTGGAAGCCATGAAGGAGTAAAAATCTAAAAAAGCATATTTTCATGCAAATTTTAATTGACCAGAGCCAATAAATTGCACTGGCCAACGGGAAGGACCAGTCATGAAGCATCCTTTTACCAATTTAGCAAAGAACGGAATCTATAAAAAAATGTTTGTGTACCCAAACAAAATTACTGTTTTAGGAGGATGTCCTTAAAAAACGTATAAATACGGGTCCCACTCAACCCTCATTATTATTTTTCTTCTTTTTCTCTCTTCCTTACTTACCTAAAAAAAAAAAAAAATGTTACCCGACGGCTGGTTTTACATTCGATCTACTGGCACTGGAAATGTTATATCAGCATCAACCAGCACTGATGATTTACTTCGATCACAAGTATTGGTGACTCCATCAACATTGTCTGACCATGAATTGTGGTGTTGGAAAGGTCAATTTCTATCAAACAAAGCAAATGATTTAGTTCTTGATATTCGCAAAGGTCGTTTGAGATTGATTGAAGACACCGAAATCTGTCTTTACAAGACAAAACCCTTGGAAGAAGCCCATAATCAACTTTGGGGTGTTCGACAAGATGCTGTGGATGCTTATGGTAGAAAATTACCTGGCTCTTACATCTATTCACTTTGCAGTAACGAATGGGTACTGGATGTTCAACCCGCTTGTGATAATCAAAAACTTGTTTTATTTCCTCTTCAGCCTATTGACAATGATAATCAACGTTGGTTATTTGTACCTGAAGGTGAATTAGATTTAACTATTCCTATGACACAAGTCCTCGCCTCCATCTCCACCACCATTTCTCCTTCAAATAGCACAACTTCTTACTTTTCTTCAAATGATACGATTATTACTCCACCTGGCTCCGTTTCTTCTTCACCTAGCTCAAATATGGTCGAAGCTGATTTCCCCAGAGGACTCACTCCTGCTAAGCGTGGATCTCATTCTGCTATATTTTCCATGGAAACATTTAAAGAGTATCATCAACGTGTCTATACAATGAACGAATCCTGCGTCAGGTAAATTTAAAGACATCACATAATACATACAGTGTAACATTTATTAACTCTTTGTTATAAAATAGTGACAAGGGAATTGCAATGGCTTCTGCTTATCAAATCTTTCAAAACTGGAAACTAGATCAAATCAGTAGCGATAGCATGACTGGTTTTCCTTTATCTTCGTCAGGTGAGGTGCGTTCTAGGTTACAGTTATTGACGCAAAATGAAGTATCAAAACTATTGAGTCAATCAACCAATAACAACAAAGAAAATACAACCACCCTCTCAAGTCGATTAATTGCACAATTATACGATCAAACACCCATTTCACCATAACAAGTCACACACACACTTATCCCCATATGATTATCAAAACTGCTTTCCTTACTTGAACACACTTTCCTTAATCCTTGATCAATTACCATCTTTGTATTAAGCTTTCATATGTACTACACACTCATTTTACCGGCAATCTCCGTTTTCCTCATCCGCTTCCGAAGTTTATATACACACTCTTTTTCTCTCTTTCCCTCTCCTTTTTTCTTATGATTATATCTTATGCTTATATATTTTTTTATCTCTCCGCTTTCTATTTCTCACACACACCAGAAACACATGTAAAACACATCATTTTGTACAGTAATATTATTTTGTCTTTTTGACTCCCCTCCCCTGCCCCCTGTTTATAAAAAACCACGCTTTTTTTTCCATTTTTTTTTTTTTAAATATATACATATTTTTTTTATAAACATGTGATGATTCTTGACAGAAGACTTTCTTTTAACATCTGTGCACAGGTATCCCTTTTTTTTTCTTACAAGGGGTGTATGACAAGAAGAAAATAACTTCACGAGGTCTGATGATATTTAATGTGTAATGTGGCCTAACCGCGCAGACATTCCTTGTTACATGAACAACTCCCACACGGGATTTAGTGAACTTAGTATATTTAATAAAATCCAGGCTGCATAAAAGTTTGTATTCCCCCAATTATTATTGTTATTTTCAAAATTCATCATGTCATACTGAGATTTTTTTTTTTTTATATCCGTGCCTGTGAAAAAAGTTTGTACGTTGTCATGGCGTGCGCTATTTCCTAAATACACCTGTTTTTCTATAATAGTGATTTGCGTTTTAAAATTCAAGATTTTCTAAAATAGAAATCAGACTTTTTCTTTGACCAATCAAGGGTTTCCTAGTACATCCCAACTTTTTGCCGGTCAATCAATTTTTTTAGATTAAATCCCGTTCCATATTTTAGTATTGGTTTATTTTAAAAATCACTTGCTCTTTCCCTCATGTCAACTATTACTGTAACGTCTTGCTTCCCTGCTATCCACTCTAATAGATATTCGTTTCAAGTCATAATTTAAAAAGTATCATTCACATATTGATAATCTATGTTGCCCTATTTATGCATCATTATAACCTTACCAGTATTATATTTCTGATGGTATCCTAAAAGACTGGTAATAAGTAGCCTTTTCAGTTTTTTTTATACTTGAGCTTATCCACCCTTCTGTAGCTTTTTTTCGATAAAGGAACAATTAAGTATTCAGTAAATGCAGTCATAATCCATTGATATATCTCAATACGTGATAATCTGTATCGATAATTATAAACGTAACCCACAGCTAGATTAGCCACTCACCCACAAGAATACATCCATCAGATTGAGAAGCCATCTCGATCCAACGAAATGCTGCAGCATCTTAACTACGACCCATTGGGTCGTTAGGCTAAACTTCAGATAGAATAGTTCACAGGAATAGTTTTTATTGTGGTTGAATCCTGTACATACATCTATATTGGATTATATCGTCTCATAACTGACTTTGCAATCAAAAACATCGAAATTATTTGTTGCTGCCGAAAGTATTCATAAACACGATAACATCGCAATTAAGCCAAGGCAAATAACATCTTATTGAGGATAGTAAAGTTAATGATATCATGAACTGATACCCATACTGGCCTACACAACCAGTTGAGAGAAATCTGTAATCGTCCGATCGTGACTTAAATACGTTATTCCACTTTTTTCTTTAAGAAGCTACACGGCTCTTTTTTTTTTGGGCTTTTTTTTTTTTTGCACTGGGGGAAAAGAGAGAACTTAAATGATTACCCTGTTTCAAGCTTTTTTTATTTGTGTGCCCCAATTATGTGAATATGCAGTGCTACAATAAACAAGATGAGAATGTGGGGTCCTCCCCCATAAAGTTTTCATATAAACAAAGAAATCGTTCTAAATCGAGAATCCAGGGCGATTGCCATAAATTCACTTGATCCCGTTTCAGAGCACAAAATGCACACAAGGCTGAGTTGGGTGACGTCGACAATTTTTTTTAGGGTCTCGGAGTTTCTGGTGTAAACCCAATACATGTCTTGTCTTTTCCCCTTTTCTTTTTTTTTTTTTTTGCACAGTACACAAAATGGATACGTTTTCTACGAATAAAAATCCCACGTGGAATTAAGTATGCAGGGTCTAACAAAAAAGGGAAAACAAATAGCGAACATGTTTACATGCCAAATGCTATTTTCCTCAGCGCGAAAATTTAGCCGCTTCTTCCGAAACCCTCGGCTCACAACATTTAGTTTTTGCGTGGATAGACTCAAAATAAGCAGAAATACAAAGAACAGGCTATTCTTTTATAAGTAAGAATTCATATTATTGTTCATTATGAGGCTGTAAGCTAAAATTAGCTGACGGACGGATAGACTCTGGCGTAAACCCTTAAGCTCCGGTTAAACCAAAAAGTACATCATCGAATATTTTTTTTTTTTAATGAGAAACAATTTTTTCTTTTCCGTGAAAAAACTTTTTTAATTCTCTTTTCTACTTTTTTTTTTTACTTTTTTCATAAAAACGAGCCTATAAAAAAATGAAATTCTCACATACATTGCAGTTAAATGCAGTGCCAGAATGGATTGACAGTTATGTCAAGTGAGTACGAATTTTATTTTTTTCTTGTAATTCACCAAATATAGAAAAACTAACCCGGAAATAGTTATGATTCCTTGAAAAAACTGATTTTTCAAATAGAAAAAGAACATGTTGAAGATATAAATGCAGAAACAGATCCAGAAAAGGCTTCAGAACATTTGAGGGATGGAGAGGCCAAGTTTATCAGTGCCTTGGATGCTCAGCTGGAAAAAGTTTTTGATTTCTACACACACAAGGAATCCGAACTCTATGCCATGTTGGATGACCTTGAGGCTGAGATGGATGGCAACGGCGATATCCATAACACCAGTGAATTCTCTCACAAGGAAAATTTAGCACCACTGGAACAACTTGATTCCACCTTTCAAAACAAGGAGTATCCCAACCAGAAACTAGAGAAAATTGCTCCTGTTCGTCGTGCATCTCGTTCATCTCGTTACTCTTTTGAGTCTCGTATGTCCGTTGACAATGACGGTGCTTTCTTGGTCGAACAATTGTCGGACATACGTTCTCAACTCATCCTACTTTACATTTCTTTATCCGAACTTGAGTCATACGTCGAACTCAATCGAACTGCGTTTGAAAAAATCCTTAAAAAATATGATAAAGTGCTTCAAGGTGATTTGAAATCTCGCTATCTCAACAAAATGGTGATGGACAGTAGACCATTTATGCCAGAAACAATGCAGGTTCTCAAGTCTCAGTTAACTCGTATTGAAAATAGCTTCGCAAATGCCTTCTGTGGTGGTAATCGAACAATTGCGCTCCGTCAGATGAAGACACATTTAAGAGACCAAGTCACTTTTGAACGAAACACGGTTTGGAAAGAAATGATTCGTCAAGAACGTAAAGTCAATGACACCAAATTGATCGAACAGAAACCTGTGAAAACATACAAGATCCCTTTCACAAATCACAGAATCAAGTCTGCCTTGGTATCTCAACTTATTTGTTTGACTATTTCTATTGCCGCCTTGATTATTTTACTTCTGGTGGATTGTTTCGGTCAGAAACAAGAAAATTATTGTTTTGCCTTATTGATTTTCGCCGCCATCATGTGGGCTACAGAAGCTATGCCTCTTTACGCTACTTCCTGTTTGATTCCCTTCATGATTGTACCCCTAGGTATTTTGCGCAACCCAGATGGTAGTGTCATGGCAGCCAAGGCAGCTGCCAAAGCTACTTTTGCTTCCATGTATAGTGGTACTATCATGATGCTTCTCGGTGGTTTTGCACTTGCTGCTGCGCTATCTAAATACGGTATTGCTAAAGCCTTCGCATCTCATGTATTGAGCCGTGCTGGTACGAGACCTATGTGGGTGTTGCTTGCTATTATGTTCGTTTCAGGTTTCCTCAGTATGTTCATTTCCAACGTGGCTACACCCGTGCTTTGTTTCACATTGATCGACCCAATCCTTCGTACTTTACCTGATAGATCGCGTGTGGCACCTTGTTTAATTCTAGGTATTGCTCTTTCCAGTTGTATCGGTGGTATGACATCACCTATTTCTTCTCCTCAAAATATTATCACTATTCAATACATGAATCCTAATCCTGGTTGGGGGCTTTGGTTTGGTGCTGCTTTACCTATTGCTGTGCTGTCTATGTTTGTATGCTGGGGACTCTTATTATTGGTGTATAAACCCGCTAGCGATACACCTCATTTGAACACGATCAAACCTACCAAGGAAAAGATTACCAAGACACAAGTGTTTATTTGTCTTGTGACGATTCTTACCATTGCCTTATGGTGTGCTGAATCCAGTATTGAATCTAGCATTGGTGATACGGGTATTATTGCTGCGATCCCATTATTTGTATTTTTCGGTACGGGTGTATTGAACAAGGAAGATTTAAACAACTTCTTATGGTCTGTTGTTGTGCTTGCCCAAGGAGGTATGGCGTTAGGTAATGCAGTGACATCTTCTGGGTTGTTACAAGATATTGCACTTCGATTGAAAGATGGTATTTCGCATTTACCAGTGATTGCAATTCTTGCGGTATTTTGTTTCCTGATCTTGGTATTTGCTACCTTTGTTTCACACACGGTTGCCGCTTTGATTATTGTGCCGATTGTGATGGAAGTAGGACAACAATTACCTGTACCTCATCCTAATCTTTTGGTGATGGGAGCTGGCTTAGCCTGCTCGGCAGGAATGGGATTGCCTGTATCTGGGTATCCGAATATGTCTGCCATCATGTTGGAAGATCCATCCGGTAAACCCTATTTGACAACGAAGGATTTTGTCATTACAGGTATTCCAACAAGTATTATTGCCACTTGTTTAATTTTCACACTTGGATATGGTATCATGTCCGGTATGGGATATTAAACAAGGAAAACACACATTTGTTATATAGTTTCCTTTTTTTTTTCTTTCTTTCACCATGTTTATACCGCGCCCCCTCTTCTCTTTTTGTTTAATCAATTAATAAAATAAAAACTTTTTTTTTTCTTTTCATGATAGTACTAATGGGACATGGTTAAATCGAAATTGATCCATTGCCTTACAGATTATTTTGATGGAAAATGAAGGTTTGGGCTGAGTTGTTGTTGCCATGAAAGATGTATAGGATTTACTAACGCAGTAAAACGCCGTAGTGGTACGTGTAGGTTCTAGAACAATAATTCTGGCCACCTTTTTTTGAAATCTATTATCACATGTCTTTAGAATCGAGAGTTTCTTGAATTCTGTTTTAGGCATATTGATGATCCTTTTGTGATCCCAATCGCAATCTTGTAGGGTCAAGTATCTTAAATGAATACAGTGGCAAGAAATGTGGTACAGTGATTCCGCTGTTATCAAGGACTTATCCAAGGTAAGACAATGTAAAAAAAATGTCGTACTTTGTAATTTGAGATCAAAGTAGCATTGTGAGATGGAAAGTATGGATATATTGGGACAATGATCGAATAAGGACTGAACTGATGCTGGGTTTTCTATTGATTTTTTTTCGACTGCTTGTAAAAAACTGGGAAATTGAATTTCTAGACGATGAATATAAATACCATACTCCTTCAGCACCTTCATGTGTATCAAGTCTTGGACTTTAATAGTTGGTAAAATGGATCCTTGAAATCGGAGATATAATCTTTTGCATTGATCATGCTGATGATAAGATATATCCGGTACACCCGTGATGACTGAGGATCTACTATCATAGCTCATATTTACAATAGTCTTACTGGAAGATATATATTGCTTGATAAGAAGAACGGGATCATTGGGTGCAGGCGGTAAAAAGAAATGAATTGTAGATTGAGACAATTGAGTTGTGATGAAACGGCTCAGCTGGTCCAAGAACAAAACAGGTGACTGTTCTTGTACGCGTAATACAAGTTTTTGCAGGCAAGGGAGGGTTTGTGTAATCGTATTGATAAGATGAAAAGATATTACACGAACATTTAAATCTAGAAATTGTAGCCTTGTTGGTTCGAGGACGTTTTGGTTTGCTGATTGGCCAAAATGATTTCCCAAGATTCTTGGTGGATGTTGCGGGTAATCAACGGGTAAATCACGGATTGAACTTGTTGTAGTCATACTAAACTCTGTAATATTTGGACAATCCTTCAACATTGGCATCATTTGAGTGAAATTATGTTTATTTGTAGTAATCTTGAGTGCCACCAATGCGGTAAATGATTGTATCATAAGGGAAAAGTGTGACAGGTTATGGATATAAAAATTCGTAACTTCCAAATGTGTTAAACTGGATTGAAAATGAAAAAATCGGTCGAGTTCGTACTTGCGTTTAAGAATATTTTGTGAAATCTGAAAAGAGGGGAGTTTGTTCAATTTTGTCCAATATTGTTTCATGTTGGATGATATGAGCTGGCCCCAAAACAAGGTGGGTATAGCAAATTCTTCGACGTTGGGGCAAGACATTCCTAAAAGCTGGAAATCAGCAACCCTGGGAATATTATTATCACTGTATGTGTGCCGATGGAAATCTACCCTTAATGTCTTTACAAATTGTCCTGGTAATGGAAGGTCACTGTGAATGGATATTGAGAGCCACATAGACTGTATGAAGTTTAAAAACGGGTAAGTCTTGTCGTTTTCCGCTTCTATAATGACAACATGTTTATAAAATGCGCGTTTGGCTGGTGTATGCCATGCATGGCAAACGAGCTGTGAAGAAATTTGGTCTTGCTTGTTTGTTAAGCAATCAAATATCTGGCTTAACAACTCTGTTGGTAAGAATATCATTTTATAACAAATAAAACAAGAGGAAAGGGAGAGAAAGAGGAAAAAATACCTAGTAGAATTTTATTATTATTACTATTATTATTCATGTTGTGGGAAAACTACAAATAAAAGTGTTTGTTTATTGTATATTACCTGTATTTTATATGCACTTATATAAAAAAAAGGGAGAGCTATTACTTAATCTAATCATGATCCCGTGACCAATCATTTGTTGTTATTGCATCATGAAACGCCACCATGTATGCAACTAGATCACATCACGTATCTATTGAGAATAGAACATGTTTTGAAAAAGGTATGAAAAAATAGTGTAATACCCAATTGGTTGGTAATTTTTTATTATTATTTCCTTTGGCAATTGATTTTTTTTATTTGCTTAATGCGACGGGGAAACATTTCAATATGAACTCGTTTATTCCTATTCTTATATAAAAAGCGAACCTTTTTTTACGTGAGCACATTTAGTATTACTAGTAAACAATTATAGTTAAAACATAAAAAGAAAAGAAATGAAAGTATCTGGTTCAACAAAATTTGGATTGATTTTTGCTGCCACTCTTTTGGTATCTACAATGAATGTTGACGCAGCCTGCCAAGGTGACATGACCATCACGAGTCAAAATGACATGGATCAAATTCGTAACTGTAAGACTTATAGCGGTAATATCCTGATTGACAACACAGCTGCATCTGATTTGAGAATGAATGGTGTTGAATTATTGGAAGGTGATTTGATGGTGACCAACAACAACGGACTTCAAGGCTTTGGCTTACCCAAGCTTCAAGGAATTAACGGCCAATTAAAGTTCGCAAACAACAAATTATTAAGTTCCATTGATGTCAAGCAACTCTATGCCATCCGTAGTCTCGAAGTTTCTGTTCATCCCGCTTTGAATGAGCTCAAGTTTGCTGCTGGTCTCTCTCAAGCTGAAAAGATTATTATTGCTGATACAACCTGTACCCGAATTGATGGTTTCAAGATGACAACTTCCAAGGATATTGAAATCTCCAACAATATCTACTTGAAGAGTTTATCTTTTGCAAATATGAGCAGTGTAGGAAATATTTTAATTTCTGCCAATTCTCCCGCTTTGATCCTTGATGTAAAGTATACAATTGAAAAATCTAATGATGTTCCAACGACTAACCTTATTTTTTTTTTTACAATTATTGCTAGTTGAACACAGTTTCTGGTCTTCGTGAAGGTTCATTCCGTAATTTGGCTGGTATTGAATTGACTTCCCTTCAAAAGGTGTCTGGTGATATATCATTTATCTCAAATACTTTTCAAAGTTTGGATCTTCCAGCCGCTGTGGATATTATCGGCACATTGACCTTGACAGATAACATCAACCTTAACAACTTATCCATGTCCAAATTGGGACATTTAGGTGGTGCACTCTCTGTGGTGGGTAACAACCAATTGAGCTCGGTCAATGCATTCCCTTCTCTTCAACAAGTGGATGGTACGCTGGATCTCAGTGGCAACTTTGATGAGGTTCAATTCCCCGTTTTGGCAGATGTGCGTGGAGGTTTAAACGTTCAAACATCAAGCAATGTGTTTGCGTGTGATGACATGAATCGATTAAAGGCAGGTGTTATCAAGGGTAATTCTTTTGTTTGCAAATCTGCAGTTGCCAAACCCAAATCAGGTATCAAAGGTGTGAATGGAAAAGGTGGATCATCTGGTGGCAGTGGTGGCTCTGATGATAGTTCCGCAAGCACTCAAAAATCAGGGTTCTTGGTTTCTTTGACCGCTGCTGCTGGCGCTGTTGCGTTCGCTTACATGATTAATATTTAGATGAATAACAAATAGAATATAACATAATAATAATAAACACCTCTTTATCCAATAAAGCTACCATTTCGTATCCGGCTTGATTTAAACAAACAATGTCCTGAGATTTACAGGTAAAAATATTAATAGAACCCTTTTCTGATTTGCTACTGGTCACATGTTAAAATCATGCAGGCAGGCAGGCAGATAAACTCTTGATCCACTCGTCCTCATCAGTCTTTTTTTTAACTGATACAACCATAAATGATGAAAATTGCTGCAAATCTGGTAAGCACTATTGCCTTATCGTGTATTGACCCTATTAACAGACATTTAATAGGGACATGACCTTGCAAATAAAGCCCTTAGTTTTGAGGGAAAAGCGGACTGGTACAATGCTCTCATTGCACATGATAAAGCAGCTAGTGAGTTTTTCCTGATCACCCTTCCTTTTTTTTGTTGACTCTAACATAATTGCATAGTTGAATTTGAAAAAGCTATTAAAGACACAAGCGATGTCGAAGTAAAGTAATGCCATGTAAATAATTTTAAAACATTTTATTCATTGAAACTGATTTCATAATAGTCAAAGCGTATATTGCAAGCATTAGTACGAAATCATTCGACAAAAGCTAAAGAATTAAAAAGAAGACTCGAGCAACCCGATGCCACTACTGCTTTTGACATGAAGAAGTTGGAACTTGAAATTCATGCCATTCAAAGCGGTGAATTAGGAGCTCATGTTGTTCACAAACCTATTGGCGATTCTTTTGCGTTGCTACCAAACGAGGTATATTTTGTTTACAGAAAAAGTTGTAATTTGTGCCTGATAAATATCTTTAGGAAGATGACGCGGAAGATCCGTTTAACAAATTTTGGGGAGTGGTAGAGCCAATGATGAACAAATTATCGACTCCGTTGCACGTAAAAGATGAATCAGCACTCAATGCTACGTCCGAAACCAACGTATATGAGGTTATCGTGGATGAGGAAGAGACAAGTCGCATTGAAAGAGAGATGGCTTCTATTATCGAGTCCTTCTTTGTATCACCTGCAAGTACCAAGAAAATTGAGGAGGATCAATATACCCATAAAACGCATTCAACAGATTTCGAGAGGTAGGCGCGATTTACAAGCATGGCATAGCGCAAATTCTAACAGAAGCACAGGGACCCAAAAATAGTGAACGGAGAATTAAAAGCTCAGGTTCAGCAATTAACAAACCAGATCCAGAATCTCGAGAAGCGATCTGTTGATAGCACTGTTCTAAAAAGTAGTATTGTACAGTTTAAATCCGATGTTCACAAGCAAGCGTTACGTATATTACAAACACAAGATACATCAATGATGACACGATCTGCTACAACGACGGGTTCGCCGTTGGTTAAAAACATTCGTACATTAGGCACTAGTACGGCTGAAATATGTAAGTTCTGAATAATTCAAAAAGGTGAGAGATGAACACTAAAAAAAAATGTTAAAAGTTCATCGTATAAAAGAATTAGAAGATGAGAACCGGAATTTGCGTTCCCAAAATCGAAAACAGGATGCACTGATGCACAAATACAGAGAGAGATGGGAAAAGTTAAAAGAGGGAGCTAAAAAGCGGCATCCAGCTTCCGTGACAGCCCCAACAAACCCAACTTTACTTCGAAGTTTAGCTTCCAACAATCCACCTGCTTTATCATCAATTGACAAATAATCTATTAATGGAAGCGGGAAAAGAAAAAAAAAAAGCTTATTTTATTCATACAATAAAGGCAAGGTCATTTTTTTGTTTAGTTTTTCGTATAGTTGTATTTTTCTCTCCAGAGTTCGGATACCTTGCGCATGTCACCAAGATTAGTATTATCTAAAATTGTTAAATCGTTAAGACCACCTGACTTGTGTTCGGCTGTATCCTTGTCTTCTGCTAGTTCGAGAATCATGTGAAGCCAGGACATGGCATTCCATACTGTGAAGAATTCTTCGGTCACACCTTCTTTTGCGCTCTTGCTCATTCTGGCATGCAAGCCCGGGTTCTCAAACAATTCCAAGAGCTTGCAAGCAACACCTTCAACGTCACCAATTGGTACCAAGAAGCCATTTACATCACGTTGTATTTGAAGGGGAATACCACCTGCTTCATAAGCAACAACGGGTACGCCCTTTTGCAAAGCTTCAGTGACCTTGACTTCAAAACCTTCTCTGTGGGAAAGTTGGAGAGCAACATGAGCGCCTCTGAGAATCATGTTGAGCAATTGATCGGAAGCAGGCAGACGAACGGCAATGATGTCACTTGAAATAAGAGTAAACTTCTTAGACTGAATAATTTCGAGTGTTTGCTCAAAGATGAGGGTACCATCTGGGTCATCAATACTACCATGACCACAAATAACAAGTTGGGGTGTCTTGTAATCTTCAAATGCACCATCCATCTTTTCACGAAGTAAGCGGTAAGCTTCCAATACATCGGGGATACCTTTAGAAGGATCGAATCTGGCTACTTGAACAATATAGGGTCTATACCAATCAACTTCATTTACACCGAAATCAACACAGGTACGATTGAATACAGATTGATAATATGAAGTACACCAGCCATTTAATGGTTTGTTCAAACCATCTAATGGATCTGTAGCAGCGGGCAATAAGACTACGTTTTTTGGAGGTACTCCATCGGGAACAAAGTTGTTAATTGGATGGGCTACAAATAGATCTGCTTGTTGAATGAAGCCCCATAAGAAGTTCCAGGTATCGGCAGTAGGACCATCAGGATGTTCCCTGATCAAATCAGCTCTAACCTCAATGTGAGATCTAAAGATGATTTTTGTTTGGGGAGCATTAATACGGATATGAGGGATTATGCCCGCCACTATCCAAATTAGTTAGTTATCGTACCCAACATATTAAGCATATTTTAGACTTACATTGTGGGTCATCAATGATGATAACATCAGAGTTTTTGATAGGACCCTTGTGATCTAACCAAAATCTTTTGGCGTTTTCGTCAGACCATGCAATAAAAAGTTCTTTGTCCTCTTCTGTTAAACGGACATCTGGGTCAGCAACACCTTGAAGTACGTTATGGAATTTACGCTTTGTAATATCAAATACTTCAGGCTTAGGACGGGCAACATACCCTATATATAAAAAAATAATCAGCTCATGAAATTTATATTCTCTCATGTCACAAAAAAAAAAAAATTACAATGTACGTCAACACCGTTCAAATGAAGAAACCGGAGCAATGCATGACGCATCAATGCAACTAAAAAAAAAAAAAAAAAAAAAAAAAAAAATCTCCTCGTTAATTTATATTTCTTGTGTTGTCTGTACTAATGGTCTTACCTCCGCCACCTTGGGGAGTGGAATTAAAAAATGAAACTCGCAGCTTTTTTTCCTTGAATGAGTCACACATGGATTGAAGTACATCCCATGTCTCTTTGCAAACAGTGTCTTGATAGGCATCTTTGGTTGCAATATGAATAATATGATTAAAATCAACTGTAAGAGGAAAATATGTTAGTACGGCGTGGTACATCATGATGTGAAACATATACCTTCAACCTAAAGTAGCACGACAATTTAATATAAACAAGACGTCAGTATGATATGTAAAGTAACAAGTAATATATATATTGTACCTCATGACGGTACCCGACAGAAATACGTGGAAGATTTCCGGGGTAGTTTGGACTCAACCTATTTGCACATGCTTAGCATAAAATCAAAAAAATAGATATATTATCACACTGTACCACATGACGGCTTTTCTAACAGCAGCACTTGCTCTCTCATCTGAAGATTCTGCATTTGTTTGAACACGGAAAGGAAGGGCATCCAAGTTTCTCCAATAATCAATGACAGAGGTACACTCCTCGAGAAGATTAACGGAAGGATCATTTTGGAGAATGTCGCTTCCAATATCATGAGAGGAAGCAACGAGCTGAACTTTAAAGTTTTGTGCCAAAGAGTAAATCTCAACGATTTCATGCAGTTTGGTAAATGCCTCCATAGCCATTTCCTTTGTGCTGGATGTTTCCGGAGTATGCTTGAAAAGCTCGCCTTCATAGTAATCAGTACAATACATACCGTCATGAACAGAAATTGAGTAATAACTAGTAGAGTTTTCACGAAGTTCAATATCTACACCGAGATACACAGCAACTGGAACTTGTGCAACAGAGAACCTACGCGAAGTTCTTCTAACAGGTACTCTGGGAGGATTGGGAGGCATGTTGTAACTTAAATAAGAATCAATTAAAAAAAAGATTTAATGAAGAAACAACCCGAAAACTTGTCTCATTGAAAAGTTTTTATACTTGCATTTTCTTTTTTTTTAAACTCCCTTTCAAAAGTCTCACATTTAGCATGAATTTCGGTTTTCATTGGGCAATAATTGTTTGTCAAAAAAAAAAAAAAAAAAAAAAAAAAAGAATATGATTGTATTAATTCCTGTTTTTTGAGTTTTTTAAGTGTACTCTTTTTTTCTCTGTAAAAAAAAAAATTATCAGATGGGAAATACGCAGTCTAAAAGCTCAAAGTGTTTTTCAATAAAGTTCAAACATTCTTCAATCAGAAAAAAAGCTACGCATATGTTTGATAGAAAGCCAAGTAAAATAGCATCAATCACTTCAAAAGACGAAAGCAAAGAATTGACGGATTTACAAAACGATCCTAGAGTTGGTTCATCACTCCCACCATCACCTATATCTATTGCCAAAGACACAGATACCAACTCGAGTGAACTACCAAAGCCCCTGATAGTAAACGACAGAATATATCAAAATACCAAGAAATACATGTTACCCATTGATGATCAAGAGCAAGATAAACTTGTTCAAGAGGTAAGACCCATATGAATATCATGTCTTTCTCGTTAATCAGACTCTCTCTTTAGCATTTCCTATACAAATTTATTTTTGGTAATAACTTCTCTGCCCCTGTACGCGATTTATTATCAGGACATTACAACGAAAATTCGAAGCGCAATTCAGTTGGATCAAGTAGCTGCATCATCGAAAATATATCACAACCAAGAATACTAGATATCGCTTGTGGAAATGGTACATGGTTATTGGAAATGGCAACCGAATTTCCAAATAGCGAATTTTATGGCATTGATTTCTCGCCAGGTTATCCTACAACCATTAAGCCTGCAAACACCTCCTTCGCCAATCACGATGTACTCAGCCCAAACGGGTTCCCTTTCCCTGAAAACCACTTTGATTATGTATTCATGCGACAAGTTTATACTTGTTTTTCTGAATCTGATTGGACGGTATGTATAACTTTTTTTTTTCGTTTAGCCACAAGTAAACGGAGACTGAGCTATTAAATATAGTTTGTGGTAAGAGAAATACGTAGGGTAGTCAAGCCAGGTGGATTTGTTGAATTTAGGGATCAAGATCCTATACTACGCAGAACAGGTGACATGTCTAGTGCTCTATTTAAAAAATGTAAGTTTACGTGTATGGGTAAACAAAAGAAAGTGATTACTAATCTCTTTTTGGTGTAGACCCTGACTTAATGAGGGAAAAACATGAGGTCAATGTGTTCTGGGCTAGACACATGTATGATTGTCTTCATGATATTGGCGAAATGACAGATATGCAGTTACGGGTCAATGAACTGCGCTTCGGAAATTCGGGACCAATAGGAGAAATGATTGACACATCACTTCGATCTGGATTCGAAAGTCATCGGCGATTTTTCGAAGAGACTTACAATAAAAGAGATTACGATCAAATGGTGGAAGAGATTGTAAATGAATCCATCGTACATCACTCATTCTTCAATTATTATGTATGTTGGGGTAGAAAACCATTATTGGACTACGATAGCAGCTGTTCATCCGACAGAAAGCTCTCAGTTTCTACTTGTTCATTACCAACCAGAGATGAAGCTGGCGAAAAAAACGATTTGAATCCATCCAAACTTTCAATAGAATGGAAGGATGATAGTGGCGATTTCACCTCTCTTGACGCTGATAATGTATCCGATATCGGTCAATTCGTTGAAGGATTTGAAGAATAATAACCAACACAATAACAATTATATTATATTACACGTCAAATATTTAGTATACACTTGATAATTGACGTTGCTGAAAGAAAGAGTAATTATTTAAACTTCAAAAGTACTTTGGCCCAAATTCAAAAATAAATTCCTTTCTTTCAAACAAAAGTATGGATTTGGGGTATACCTCTTAACTGCATGAATTATATAGATTAGGCGAAGGTGTATTAGTTTATTAGTGTGTTATTATTAGGTATTATGTCTAAGCTGTGTATATATGTAATTTTAAATAAATTATGATGTTTTTTCCAATTCATCTTCTTGGTTGATCTCTTGTTCTTTTCGTAATCTTACAATGCTTTTCTCAAGTACATCGCAATAATTTTGGTATTTGATAATGTCATGCAACATGTACTGGGATTTTGCCTCCCAGTTAGATAAGGCTTTAGCGTGATTGTGGCTTTTTTGAGGGAACTACAACAAGGTCAATATAATTTAGTATATGAAAACGTCCTTTTTTACTTGTAAAAGTATGTGGTACCTTGACAAGAACTTTCTTTTTAATCTCACGATGGTCGTTAATTTCTTGATTTAGTAAAACCAGGTACTTTTGTAAATTTTCAAAATGTGTCACTTCATCTAACACACTCGATACCATTGTGGGAGCAGGAGGAACCCAATGAGAAAGGTTGACTGCATCTGGATCATGAAAGTATTTACCGGTAATCTTTTGATTACTTTCAACAGCGTCCAAGTCCAAAATAACATCATCCAAGCAGCTTCCCCAGCCGTACTCGATATTACTGACACCACCTTGAAGGGGTTCTTTACTTTGACGTGCAGCCCAATAATTACATGTTGAGACCCATTCAATAATCTGTTCCTGAGATGCTGCTTGAATCAGGTAAACCCCTCCACTTGGCTCTTGAATGGCGAATACATTTGGTCTGCTTCGATTATAACCTGGTGGTGGGAGGGCGTTGGCCAAAGAATGGTTCAGCTGAATTGAACCTAATAATTGCGAGTAAGCCTACAGGAGTAAAAATAAATAAGAGGACAATTCTCGTTTTTAAGGATTGAGCTTACAGTCCATCTGTTATTGCCTATCTGTGACGCACCGCCAAAGGAAGAGGTAGGACTGAATGTTGTACTATTGTTGCTAGCATAGTTCTTGGTAAGTGAATCAGCTAAATTGGCAAAACTTGCACTGCTTGCTCGAATCATGTTTTTCCTTGCTGATGAATCATGCGTGTCGGATTGTAGTCCATACATTTTTAATTCGCCTTGGCCAACGACTAGTAAGCACTCACGCCATTCACGATGTTTAGCTTTTTGATTGGCGCTTTCCAATAAATGTTTGCGCATGACTACACCTTCTTTTAGGTAGGGCGGTCGATTGGCAAAGAGATCTGCGGCGTGCGTATCCATAAAACTCATCATATGATTCGGTGATAACAATGATCCGTTAGTCGTATTTTTAGACGAACCACCAGAGGAATTACCAGAATGAACAGATGAAAATGACTCACGTCTGTGAGTGCGGTTGTGATTGTTGGGAATTTGTTTGTTTGACGAACTCGTACTTTTTCTCGGCTACATAAATCATCAAATCGGTCAAGATAAAATTAGGTACATGCACATATTTTATTTTTATTACCAAGGGTTCATCCAAAAATAGCATACTTTCACGCGTTGAAGTAGATTTGTGTATCATTGTATTTAAACTACGTTTAATATCGATCATGCGTCGTCCGCCGATCATACTCATTCTTTTTGATGTCTGGGTGGGGCTTAAAAAGTCGTTACCCGCTTCAGTCGATTGTTGGTTTTGTAATGGTTGTAGAATCTGATAATGCTTCACTGATACATACATGTCCTTTTTAAATAAACAGTTAATGGGGGGTTTTTTTTGTATGTGTCACATAAAACATCACGTTATTACCTTCAGGTAAGCTTCAATGCGAGCTTCCCAAGCCAACATAAAATTGGGTGATCTGGGAATTCTTTTGGGATCCGCTTCTTGTTGATCTTTAATTGTAGACATTGTATTTCTTACAAAAGCTTGTCGTGTCATCCTTGTGTAGTTTCCTTGAGCCACATGCAAATCGGTGTTTAGTAGCAAGAGTGAATACACCACTGCGTATACAATATCTGTATACAAAATAAAAATAAAAAAAGATTTAAGAATTAACATGTCATATCCTCAGGATTTTCACATACCTGCACTTCCAAAAAGTGATTTGGGGTTACACTGCCAATATCGCTTTGCAAATGCTTCCAGTATCCGATCAATTTGTTGAGCTTCTGCACGGAAATAAAGTTTGGAACAAACCTTTCTAAATAATTCATTAGCGTTTAGCATAATTATCTCATCTTAAACAAATTAAATACCTAAACGCACTATCCAATCTCATTGTTGCAAAATCAAAATAATTCATGTATTCATGTAACGTATTTGTATTCAGCGTTTTGCTATTTTTATAAATCAACCGAAAGGCAGTTAAATTAATACCTTTTAAATAAAGAGAAACGTTGTACCAAATTACCTCTGGCCAAGCCATTCTGCAATTCTTTCGTGTTGCACAAAACTTTCGTCTTCATGCCACAACAATGAAGCACATTCTTTGGGATCATTTATGGCGTCAACATCTTTAACAGGTGTCTCTTCTTCAATGTTTTGATCATCATCCTCTTCTTCAACCTCAGTTGTTGAGAGTAAAATTTCGGGATTGGGTGGTAACGATCTTTGAGGCGGAACTGGTAAAAGTTTGGGACTAATTTGCTGAACTCGTACATCTTTTTGAGGTACCGTAGGTGGGGATTTATCTGCAAACTCTTGTTGCAGTTGATCCAACATATTCTTTCCTAGAAGCTGACCGCTATGTCTCTTCCAATTGATCATTGACTGCACGACATCCTCAGGTGGTGGCTTACTCGTTCGTCGCTGTTGCTTCTTTAATTCCAAAGAGTTTGAATTTGCCATGATACTCATCATAAGGCCTCCAGCGCTTCCAAAATGACCCCCACTAAGACGTTTCGACAATCTTGTGTCAGTCCTCTCTCTTTCCATATCATCCTGCGAGATCCCTGTTGCGTCGACGAATATGTCATGTTGTATCTCACCAACTTCATCGTCTTCATCATCGTCATCTTCGTCATCATCGTCATCATCGTCTTCATCATCATCATCTTCGTCGTCGTCGTCGTATTCATCATCATCTTCAACCTCCTCTTCAGATTCCACAGTAGTAACTAATCTTGCTTGATTTCTGGTTTGTACATTGCTTGCTACAATATGAGCCAAGTCTATCGATTCATTTTTATGAGTCTCATGAATATCTGAAACACTTGTAGCTGCAGTGATATTTTCAGTTGATCCATTCTCTCCATAAATTGACTCTGGTCCAAAAGTGCTGTAGATCGAATAGGATCCTGTTGACTTTCTTGTGGATGCGTTTGACAGTCTGGCATTGGTGAGAGGGGTAATGGGTTTTGCGGGAGGCTGTTCTTTGACTTGTTCGTAATGGTATTGAGGTTTATAATTATGAAGTGGTGCAGTTGGTGACATAGGTTGATGAAGTAAAAGAGGAGGCAATTCAAATTTATTATCTTCTTTATCTGCATGAATAGGAGAGTTATTAAAGAACAATGAACTGGTGTTTTCTGCATTCACTTTTTTATCCACAGATTTGCTGCGTTGCTTCTTTTTGAATAAATTTCCAAACCCTCGATTACTAACGTTACTCTTCTGAGAAAAAAATAAAAAAAAAAATAAAAAGTTTAGTGTTATGTTGAACGAAAAAAGGGTTGTCACTAACCTTTTTTGAAGAGGAGTCTTCTGGTAACATATCCTCGGTTTTAATTCCCAATACAGTTTCGAACTTCTTTCTAGAAACGGTGGATGAAGGAACAGGCGTTACAAGTGGTTTTCTCTTGATTTTTTGTTGACCATGGATGGGAGGCAGGCTAGTGGGTAAGAGAGATGTTGACGTGGAGCTTGAAGGTGTAATTGGCGGTGTTGTCGACGGTGATTTGAACCTCGATAGAAAATATCCTTTAGGCTTATTAGTGTTCCATAAAGAAGATGAAATAGATGAAGTAGTATCTGACTGAGATAAATATGGGGTCCCTGATACTGAAACAGATCTTCGTCTATTACTGCTACTATTGCTCATAAATTATAATAATTAGAAAAAAAAAAAAAAATTAAAGAGAGAAAAGGGAAAAATAGGTTACTGGCTAAAAAAAACTTTTTAGAAATACAATAAATGCCTGGTGTCACAGTAACCTTTTTTTTATTTTTATTTTTACCGTGTGTTTTTTTTAGATTAACGACACATGCAATTTATGTTTCATTCTGTATCCGTGGTTTTATGTCTACTAAAGTTTCTAAATTTCATTATAGGTGACGATCACAAATAGTAATGACCTCCTATTAAATTGGGCCCGCAATAAAACAGCCTCCTTTCTCTTTTAACAACAGCACCCCGTTCAATAGACATTTTTATTTTTATTTTGAAACCTCTTCGTACTACATAAAACATTTGGAAATAAATAAATAAAAATTACCATGTTGGGAAGTGGCCTGAATTATAGAGAAACTCATGAAAACAGCAATGCTGTACCTACGCTTTTCTCCCCGGCTTTGCTTAGTATTCACATATAATACAGTGAGATCGTCCGATCCTCATAACCGGCAATAGTCCTGTTTTTCTTTCAAACCAAATCGTATAAATTAATAATTCAAATGCAGGTATCTCGATTCCAGTTTAAATGCCCCCATGTGAGAATTGATTGCGCAGGTCGAAATATAGGCCGAAAATATGTAAGCGGAGGTCAATTCTTGTTTAAATAATCGCATAAGCACCCTTTATAATATTACCCATTCAACTTGTAAGGTCACGCTTCATTACATACATAATTTGGTATACAACTACGACAAATGCCACTATCGATTCTGTGCCTGAAAAAAGAGTCAATACATCTTGCGGTAAAAGTGCGACAAGATTATATTTTTGAAATATGCCTTTAAATGACGCCATCCAATAGATTTGGCAGATACTCAATTTACCCCTTAAATTTATAATCTATATTCTCCATACCAAAATGACAAGGTTGTGCACTCAAAAGACACTGATAGTAGTGTTATGATGCCATCATCGCCAGCCGAGTACATTAGTACAGAATACTTTGTACATGTCTTGATGGAATTGTATGCATCATATACATACACTTTATTGATAACGCGATAACAATAAATACATTATAATGATCAAACAATGAAAAAAAAAAGTAGGGCTATTATATCCGGATAAATCCTTATAGTAGGGATGCACATGCTGACTACAATAAAACGTAAAAAAAAACACATTTGTCAATTGAAAGTTGACACAATTAATCTGGGTTTCGGTTGATATATATTTTATTATTATTTTTAGTTTAGCCTGACAAAGGTAATCCACACATTTCACAGTTTTCAGCTCCTGCTGCATTGGTAAAGGTACAATGTCTACAAGAGACATTTGCAGGCGCGGGTGCCGATGAAGAGCCCGCTGATGTCTTTGAATTTGCTCTAGCATTTCCTTCTATAATCACCTTAGTAAGAACGTTGTCCCCTTTTTTTAAAAATATCACTCTATGTTACCTGTCTCTTTAATAACCATTTGAAGAGTATTCCAGCCGTTCAGGTTATTTATTTGTGAAATATCGCCTTCTCTACTTGTCACAATTTGACAGAATTGTTTGAATTCATCAGCTGTGAATATATCCAATGATTGAATGAAGCATAACACATGGAAGTCATCCAGGGCCTTTTTCAAATCAGTTGGTTCTTTAGCACCATTCAAGCACTTTGTAAGGGACGCAATATCTTGGTGCACCAATCCTCCTCTGTTTTCAATAGGGAAAGTAGAGGAGGGGTTAAATAAAGGAGAAGGATTATGAGGGAAGCCATTGGTGACCTAAGAAGAAAAAAATAAAGTTATTTCATTGAAATTTTTTTCATTCATTGTTTCAATGCATTACATTGACCAAGAGATATTCCACGGGGAAGGTTGGTTTAGCTGATTGCTTGACGACGACGTTATACTCGTTTTTGAATTTATAAAAGACTTCAGGAACATAACGTTCATGAGGGATACTATCTTTAACACGCATCACAGATGGTTTCCTGCTTGGTTCAACAATCTCTGCTGCCTCAAGGGCTGTTAAAGTATCTGAGACTTGATACGCCTTGACATCGATATTTCCTTCTGTATCACCAGAAATAACACAAGTAACGAATTTGGAACTGAATTTACCGGTGACAGATTGCTTAGTAACGTTGGGATGGCGTCGTTGCATCTCTGCTGCAAAAAGACATTCAAGCGAGGATAAAAAGTATGAATTTACATGACGTTTGGCTACAACACTTCCACTTCCGGTGCCATCGTCAATCAAATCAGAAAATACCATACCAACCTGCACAAGGCCACATGCCTCTGCTGCTTGATTCACCTTGGCCTCCTCTTCCCAAGGCAAAGTTAATTTAATACCGTCGAAATGATCTTCTTGAGGTGGCTCATAGATTGCTTCGACTACTGCTTTGATGCCTAAAGGAACATCAAGATAAGGCTCGTATCGACCATATAAATATCCAAAACGTTGAGACCCGGTTGATCTCCAGAAATTTAAAAAGGATTCAATTAATGATGCTGATGAGAATTCGATATGATCCACCATACGATAAGTCTGTCTTTGAAGTGTAATAGCACTTGGTTGACATTTGGTACAAATTCCCTCGGGCCATGGTGCGTGTCCACCAGTACAAGGTACTTTCACCTTAAATTGCTGTTCCTCCAAAGGAGGCACATTGTTTCCTGATGCAGCCGAATTCTTGGATCGCTGTGCGGCATTTAGTTGACGTAAATAGGCGTGGAATGACATGTGCTTGATCTTATTTTCTTCCAGATAGTTGGCATCATAAGGCTAGAGGAAAAGAAATTAGTAAGTCGCTCAGCAAAATTCCAATCATATTATTTTATATACCTCTAAAGGCATACAGTAATCACACATGGCATTAGCTCCGTGACGACAACTACAGGAACAGGTATTTATTAGTAAGCTCATCAGGTAGGTGTTTTTCAATGAATAGGTTACAATTTGGGATCCTTTTTGCGATCGATTAATCCTCTTTGTTTTTCCAAAAAGTCGTCGACGGCATCTTGCTTAACAGAAATAGGAGCATTCTCATTGCTGTTAGGTTTCACTTGCTCTTCCTCGGGCTTACTATACGTAACGTAGATAATGTCTCCATGCCTAAAGAAAAGACCATATTAGGAACGACGTTTTAAAGTTCGTTATTTTCGTTCGTTTTACTTGAGGCCTGCAGAATCGATAGTTTTATCTGCTAATTGGGAAAGAGCAGCTGCTGTTGCAGGATTAGGGTCTTTTCCCATGGCCATTGTAGAAGGGTCGGCTACTTTTAACAGCTCTGCCACTTTTAAAGCAAGAGTTCCAAAGGTCTCTCCGGCTTCGACTTGAACTCGGTTCATACCCTCTTTGGATCGTATACGAAGCAACTATATTACGTCAGTTTTTTTTAATAATGGTAACATGGATAGTTTTCTTACCATTTTATCTTTTTATAAAAAAGTAATACGCAAAAGAAATAAGTAGAACTGCTTTAAAAAGCGGGTTTGCATTTATTATGTACTTTCCACGCAACCTATAATCGTGACCGGTGAATTACGCGTAATTTTAAATGCAAAGTCTCGGGAAAACGAAACGATGAACTACGTCACTTTCATAGTATCTGTATACAAGACTTTATTGAAGTTTATCAGTACTAAGTAGGATATGAACGCAATCAGTTTATCGTAGTAAAGGCCGCGATTAGGTTATTGGTTTGAATAGAAAATCATTAGATTTATTAATAAATTTTATGCTCTATTCCCAAAACGTTGGTAAAAGAAGCAGAAATCTTGTCCTTTTGCAAGTTCTTTCCGATCAATACGATTTTACTAGAGGTATCGTTGGCATCAATGTCATCGCCAGCAAATCCTTCTTGGATATCATATAAATCCTGGACACCCTGGATTACCATTCTCTTTTTACTACTGCCGTCCTGTAATAATTTATCCTTGGGAGGATATAAGATACCCTTTAATCTTAAAACGGTAACAGGTTCATCGTCTTCATTAGATCCAGAAACTCTCTTTTCCCATAATAATTCTTGTATCCAATGTTCGAGTTTTTCTACTGTCTCTAAATGTTGGTCAAATTGGATACAGACGGTTTGAACTTCCTATATAATTGTTAGCTAAAAAGATCAAAGTATGTCGCATACAAATATTACATGGCTGATTTGATGGGCATGGTTACTTCCGTGCTCTTGAATTTTTTGGGTTTGCTTAACGAGTGCAGCAGCATTATTCACATCATATGCCTTGATATCAAGAACATAGTCTAATGGGATTCTACGTAGGATGAATAAGGATGAGCATGAAAATAAGTATAGGAAACCTACTTTGATCTTTCAGTGACAATCATATCAGCCACGGTATTGATTGAAGATAGATCCTCCTTTAATTGTTCTAATTCTTGCTCGTTCAAAAGATCCTTCTTGTTGATGACGATACGATCAGCAATAGCAACTTGCTTAAGTGCCTCATTGATCATGACATCCTCCTTCTTTTCATTGATGTGATCCTTGATGTTCTTTGCATCGATTAGAGTAACAATGCCGTCCAAATAAATTTCACTTCCTAATCCATCGTCTAACCAGAACATGGATGCAATTGGTCCTGGGTCTGCTAAACCACTTGTTTCCAACAAAATGTAATCAAACTTTCCTTTCTTTTCCATTAAGTTTTCAATAGCCTTGACCCCGATGTCCCTATTTTTTTTTTTTTTTTTTTTGTAAGTATGAGTTTAGGAATAGAAGGATGGATGAATGACATACTTTGTGGAACAACATAAACAGCCGTTTCTCAATTCCAACCATTCCTCATAAAGGCTACCGTCTTGATTGACAGACAGACTTTTTTCAATATCGCTACCTGCACTTAATTAATTATCACTCCAGAAAAATACCCTTCTATCAACACTTACTGTCTCCAAATTCGTTTAAAATCACAGCAATCTTTTTATCGTGCTTTTCGGTCAAAATATAGTTCAATAAAGTTGTCTTTCCGCTGCCCAAAAAACCTAGCAACAATGTTAGTGCCACTAATGACAAGGTTCTTTTTTTTTTTTTTCTAATATACCTGTAACAATGGTAACAGGAATCTTGCGATGTTCGCTTTCTGTAACAACGTCGATACTTTCGTTGTTATCTCTGTAATTTTTTATTAATTTTTTCTTTATTTAAATATGAGCTTGCTAGACAATCATATCTTACGCTTCAGTGTTTGCAGGTACGAGCTCTGGGATATCGTCAAATTCTTCAGACATGGTAAATGTAGAAACAAGTTATAAAGAAGAAAAAGAAAAAAAGAGGCCTTTTTCATTTTAGCGCGACATGCTTACTCCGAAAAAAGCGTCACACTGTCAAATTTGATTATGCAGGATCGTTAATCTTTCACTATAGCCCCTCAACCAACTAACTTTCTTTATTCTTTACCGACGACAGAAAATACAGGCGAAATATAGCCATATATAGCTTGACATGTATAAATGTAAATAATAATCAGCCCAACCTCATATAATATTTACTCTCACTCACAAGCATCATAATCATCATAAACAATTAAAAAGGCTTTGATTATACCAGAAGTAAGTAACGAGGATAAGGCTGGATTGTTAGAATCAGCTATTTTCATTTCTGAAAACAAAATACACGGACTCTCAAAGCATTCAATCGGGTTTTCACATAGCAAAAAAAAAAAAAAAAATAAGATTGACCAATTGAAGTTCTGAAAAATGACCAAGTGATGTTCGGAAAAGTGACCAGATGATGTTAAAAAATGTCTAAACCTCCGTTTTTTTTTTTCCATACAAGTCTAAGAAAAATGTTTACGTCGATGGACATGCCATATTATCCAAACGTTATGGGACGATCGATTTTTGTCTGCCATTGAATATGCTTCACTATCATTACATGTTATTACTGAATCGCTGATAGACAACTACCAAGCTCTGACTTGCTTGGGAGGTTTTTGCAAGTGTTTCTATTTTAAGTAAAGGCTCAAACATTATGGATGATTGAACAGACAAATGAAATCATCCTGACATAAGCTTGTTTATCTATAAATAAAGCTGGTTCACACACTTTATCCTTCTTCTTTTCTTTTCCCTTAACATACTTCTTTTATCTTATTATGAAAGTAACCGATCACGTAAAAAGGTTCGTTTAGTAGTGACTCTTGTTTCTTTGAAAAGAAGCTAAATTGAAAAAGATATATATTGTGATATTGCGGCTGCGGCTAGTCTTTGCTATAGGAGGGCGACCTCCTAGGCAGAGAGTTCATGAGTTTTGGAACTCACGAACCGTAAATGGCTGTGATTGGACTGTAAATGGTTGTGAATATACTGGCCTGCTGGTCTTCTGGCCAGAATTTCTGTAAGTAGTATAAAAAAAATACGTTTGAAAAAAATACGGAGGTCTAGACATTTCCCTTTTCCTCTTCCTAAAAAGTATTTGCCTGGAACTATTCTGATGAGCAAGCTATTGTTAATTGATAAAAGATGTTATTAATCTTGTTGTCTCAACAGTTATTGGTATGACCTTAAATATTTCTGTTAGCATGCTACTAATCCTTTTCGTTTGTGTAGGACCAAATGCCAAAGATCAATACGTTGCCATTCCAACTGAGTGGGTTAATTTTACTCGCTCTGATGTCGCGTACGAGCCAGTCAACTGCTCCAGTGATCTACCGCGCATTCTAATCGAAATTCAAAATAAGGCAGATATGCATTTTTATCAACGGCTAATCGACTACTCGCGTTTGGTTGTCAGATAGTATAAAGCATCTAAGCTTCCTATTGTTGTGGCAATTGTGATTAATTCAACAAGTAAAGATCTACTTGAAACTGAAATACCTGGTTCTCATATCCCTTTCGCCAAGCAGCTGTCGAGTATTGGCTGGGCCAGCTCATGTCTTTTATTCAATGCAGAGACTGTTGCACCCTATCTCAACGAAACCCCACTAAACCCATTACTCGCACTTGTTCACTGTCTTATTGAACAAGAGTCATCACTTATGAACTTTGCACAATCCAATGATCCAACCTTGATTTCTTTATATACCAAAATGAAAAATATAGTTGGTGACCCTATTTATGAAAACGAAAGCTCTATTCATGTATTAAAAAGTGTATGTGCTCAATCAAAATCGGAATGCTACAAGGCAAAGATAGCCCTCCAAAATCAAGATCAACCTGTTGGCGTGCGCATCGAAAGAGCTATAAATATTTTGGATAATGCCATTAGGCCTTCACACCAAGACCGTCTGGACGATATTGATTTCCTATTATAGATTCTCAATTTAGAAATAAATCGTTCGACCCAAAAGTGCAGGACCAACTCCCGTCCATGTCCTGCACTTCGACCCGATTCTCAAAAAGGAAATCTTAATTCACAAAACAGTAAAAAGCAGACAGTTAAGCGTGTTGGAATATTAGAAATACGTCAGCTGAATATTATTATTTGTTGTACAAATGGATATAAATTGCTAAAATCATCTTTGGAACAAAAACTGTCCGGACGGTCTTGGTGTGAAGGCCTATTGCATATATCGATGAAGTAACACAAAAGCGGCATTTTGAGGATCCATTATCCGATTTCGAATTTGCCGAGCAACAAGTGGATAAAAACTGGTATATACCATGGAAAGCTCAATTCCAACAGTGGAAAATACTGGGCCGCTTTGAACAATATAAGTCGTATCAAAGTGCTCAAAGTGCTTATCACCGCTCCATGAAAAAGCAAAAACAAACTGAACAAACTGAATACCAACAGGGAACACCTGCAGAAACCTCATCATCATCACCTCTTAGGGAAAGGCAGTCATCATCATAAAATGAATATTAGTTATTTATATGTTCCCCTCATCATAGTTAATAGGAAAAATAATAGTATTCTAGGCATTAAGAATCAACGAAGGATCGCTTAATAGTTAAGCGTATAAGGCTGTTCTCAAGCAAAAAAATTTGATACCCCCCTCCATAAGGAAATTATAACCTTTAAATTTCATAACTACTCCATTTAAAAAATTATACCACCCTCTGAAGGTGGATTAATTCTTAAAATGGATTTGCAAACCCCTAATTGTCGTTAATGCGTTATTAAGATTTACATGTTAATTTCGGTGCTATGCATACTGGATATGCACAAATATTTTTGAGGAAAATGAAATTAACCTGAAGAAACAAAATGCTGTTATTTATGAATATGTAGCCAATACATTCATCATTATGTGATAAAAAAGTTGGAAATACACGCACAAGACCAAATACTGGCTTGTGAAAGCAGCAGTTAAAAAAATCGCTAGTAAAAAAAGCCAACAGATTACAATGACCGAGGATTTTTTTTTTTTTTTTTTTTTTTTTGCATGAATCTTGCTCATTTTTTATTTGGACAGAAGAACACAAAAGGGTGATTGATTTAACGCACGGTATAAAAATCATAATTGTTGCGGTTAGATGCGTTTTACCTTTTATGTAGCGCAGTCAATGATCATGAATGGACCTTGAGGGGAAAAACTATGATTGGACGGAACGAGGGGGGACGTGTGTGTGGAGCGCGCGCGTAAGTCGGTTACATTTTGGATGAAAAGTCACGGGAACTTTAGTGGCTTAGTCCGAGATTTTTTTTTCTGGGCTACCACTTAAAAAAAAAAAAATATCATATCCTGCTACTTTTTTCCACATTAAATAACACAATTTTAATTAACAATGGCTAAAAAGAAGGGTGGAAAGAGAAAGGACGACGACTGGTAAATTTCGTTATAGAGATTTTTTTTTTTTTTTGGCTGGTTTCTCGGTACTTTTTTCTATTGCTGGATACTAAAAATTCAAAAAAAAAATATGTAGGGAGGACCCATATGCTGAGGAAGCCGCAGCCGCCGAAACCAAACCCGAAGAAACCGAAGAAAGTTTTGCTCAAAGAGCCACTGCTTTCAGTGCTCTTGCCCAAGATGATGAAGAGGAAGACGGGTAAATGTCGACTTATTTTCGGTAACTTTTATGCGCCGCGTCACTAATTTCATTACTTTAGTTTAATGGCCATGGTCAATAAGGCCGCCAAAAACAAGGTCAAGAAGGGAAAGAAGGGAAAGAAGCAACAAGTAGAAGAAGAAGAGGAGGAAGAGGAGCAAGCTGCTCCTGTTGCTGTTGCTGCAGAAGAAGCCGATGTCGATGCCGATGATTACGATTGGGCTAATGACACCAAGAAGGGTAAGAAGGGAAAGAAGGGAAAGCCTACCGAATCCCCCGCTGAACCCGCTTCTCCTGCCCCCGCCGAGGAGGAAGGAGAATTCCGTATCTTGACCAAGAAAGAAAAGGAAAAGATCAAGAAGGATAAACTCAAGGAAGCTAAACGTTTAGCTGCTCTCGAAAAGAAGCAACAACAAGAAGCTGAAGATGCTGAATTTAACAGACTTCTTGGTTTGGAAGGAAAGGACGCTGCCGCTGCTGCTGGCGGTGATGCTGCTGCTGCTGCTGGTGGTGAAGCTCCCGTCAAATCCAAAAAGCAATTGCTTAAGGAAAAGAAGGCAAAGAAATTGGCCACCAAAGAAGTCGAACCTGAGGCTGCTCCTGTTGAAGAGCCCGTTGCTCCCGTTGCTGCCAAGGGTAAGAAGGCCAAGGGTGGTAATGTTGCTGCTTTAAGAGTAAGTTGAAAAACATATATTTTAGCCCTGTGCAATGCATATTAATGAACAAAGTAGAAAATGGTCGAAGCTCAACGTGCCATTGAGGAAGCCGAACGTAAGCGTATTGAAGATGAACGTAAGCGTCTTGAAGAGGAAGAAAAGAGAATCGCCGAAGAAGAAAAGAAAAAGGAGGAAGCTCGTGCTGCCAAGAAAGAGAGAGAGAGACTCAAGAAAGAGGAACTTCGTAGACAGGGTAAGTTACTTACCAAGTCTCAAAAGGAAGCTCAACGTATCGCTCAATTGCGTCACGAACAATTATTGGCTGCTGGCCATATTCGTGTCCAAGCTCTTGAAGAGACTGATGAAAAGCCCAAGAAGATTGTTTATGGTAACAAGAAGAAGAAGGGTCCCACCAAGGAGGAACAAGAGCGTAAGAAGGCTGAAGCTGCCGAAAAGAAGCGTTTAGAAGAAGAGGAAAAGAAGCGTTTGGAGGAAGAGGCTAAGAAGGCTGCTGCTGAAGAATGTAAGTATATTTATATACATAAAAAAAAGCGTATGGGCATGACACTCATTTTTGTTTTGTTTTTTTTCTGTAGCTGAGGAAGAGGATGATTGGGAGAAGGCTCTTGAGAGCAGTGACGAAGAAGTAAAGAAGGAGGAAGAAGATCTCGATAGTGATTGGGATGCTTCTAGTGCCGAAGAAGAGGAGGAGAAGCCTGCACCTAAGGCTGCTGCTCCTGCCAAGAAGGCCGCTGCTCCTGCTGCTGCTCCCGCCAAGAAGGCCGCTCCTGCTGCTGCTGCTCCTGCCAAGAAGGCTCCTGCTAAGAAGGCTGCTCCTGCCAAGAAGGAAGAGTCTGAAGAAGACTCTGAGGATGATTCTGAAGATGACTCTGATGATGATTCTGATGATGATAGCTCTGACTATGATTCTGACGAAGATAGCTCTGATGAAGAACTTACTGCTACTCAACGTCTTGCAATCCAAAAGAAGGAAGAAGCAGCTGCTCGTCGTATTCAACGTCAACAAGAAGCTTTAGCTAATCGTTCCAAGGACGATTTGCGTTCTCCTATTTGTTGTATTCTTGGTCACGTCGATACTGGTAAAACCAAGTTGCTCGATAAGATTCGTCAAACCAATGTTCAAGAAGGTGAAGCTGGTGGTATTACTCAACAAATTGGTGCCACTTTCTTCCCTGCCGATGCTATTGAGAAGAAGACTGCTGTCCTCGGTGCTGATCGTGCTGAGAAGCTCAAGGTTCCCGGTATCTTGGTTATTGATACACCAGGTCACGAATCTTTCACCAATTTGAGAAGTAGAGGTAGTTCCCTCTGTAACATTGCTATTTTGGTTGTTGATATCATGCACGGTCTTGAACCCCAAACTCTTGAATCCATTCGTTTGCTTCGTGATCGTAAGACTCCCTTCATTGTTGCCTTGAACAAGATTGATCGTCTCTTTGAATGGAAGGCTATTCCTGATAACTCTTTCCTTGATTCTCTTGCCAAGCAAAAGCCCTCTGTTCGTGCTGAATTCGAAAAGCGTGTTGATGAAACTTTGCTTGCTTTTGCTGAACAAGGTCTTAATTCCCAACTTTACTACAAGAACAAGAACTTTGCCAAGTATGTCTCTTTGGTGCCTACCTCTGCTCACACTGGTGAAGGTATTCCTGATATGCTTAACTTGCTCATCAACTTGACACAATCTCGTATGAGTGAAAAGCTTATGTATATTACCGAACTCGAATGTACTGTTCTTGAAGTCAAGGTGATTGAAGGTTTAGGTACTACTATTGATGTTGTGCTTGTCAATGGTTGGTTACATGAAGGTGATCGTATTGTAGTGTGTGGTCTAAACGGACCGATTGTGACGACTGTTCGTGCACTGTTAACACCTCAACCTATGCGTGAATTACGTATCAAGTCACAATATGTTCATCACAAGTCAGTTAAGGCTGCTTTGGGTATTAAGATTTCTGCTCCTGATCTTGAAAAGGCAATTGCTGGTTCACGTCTTTTGGTGGTTGGACCTGATGATGATGTTGAGGATTTGAAGGAAGAAGTTATGTCTGATTTAACCAACTTGATGTCATCTATTGATCGTACTGGTCATGGTGTCTGGGTTCAAGCCTCTACTTTGGGTGCACTTGAAGCCTTATTAGAGTTCTTGAAGACTTCCAAGATTCCTGTCTCTGGTATTAATATTGGACCTGTTCATAAAAAGGATGTTGTGAAGGCAAGTGTGATGCTTGAAAAGGCAAGAGAATTTGCAGTGATGCTCTGTTTCGATGTCAATATTGATAAGGAAGCTGAAATTTTGGCTGAAGAGATGGGTATCCGTGTGTTCCAAGCTGATATTATTTATCATTTGTTTGATCGTTTCCAAGAATACCATGCTTCTATCACTGAACAAAAGCGTAAGGATCAAGCTTCTTCTGCTGTCTTCCCTTGTGTGTTGAAGATGATTCCTCGTGCTATCATTAACAAGAAGGATCCTATTATTATTGGTGTGGATGTGATTGAAGGTACACTTAGACTTGGTACACCTCTTTGTGTGATTAAGACCAATGCTGAAACCCAACAACGTGAAATTATTACACTTGGTAAGGTCACCTCTATTGAACAAAACCATAAGACGATGGAACAAGTCAAGAAGGGTGGTGCTGGTGGTGGTGTTGCCATTAAGATTGAGTGTGCCTCCTATGAAACTCCTAAAACATATGGTCGTCACTTTGAAGATAGTGATGAATTATATGCCAAGGTTACTCGTCAATCTATTGATATTTTGAAGGAATCTTTCCGTAACGATTTATCCAAGGAAGAATGGGCTCTTGTTGTAAAGCTCAAAAAAGTCTTGGGTGTTGATTAAATTTTTGGTTTAAACAAATAATAATATATCACAATAAAAAGGAAAGAAAAAAAAAAGGGTCTTTCCTATCCTCTTTCTTTTTTGTCAAAACATGCACATATTCAATAAAAAAAAAAGTATTTAGAATTGAAACTACATTCCTATTTTTTTTTACTATCTCACAGATATATAAAAAATTATTTATTTGGATGACCGATCCTTGGCTTTTCTTTTATTATCCACTTTTTACCTTTTGCTGACATTTTAAATGGTAAGTTGTGAAAGCACTGTTATATACAGCAATGTCTTTTAATAGATGTTAACAACCTATTCAAGGCACCTCAAGAAGACCAACGTAACTTACTACAGCCTGAAGATTTAGAATCAGGTTATAGACCCACTCCATCCGCCAATGTCAATAACAACAATGCACAACAGGACAACAACACTACCACAGCAATAAGAGAGTATTTTGAGCAATCCAGGTACATACATATATATATATATATATAAAAAGGTGTCACATATATTGACGCGCATCACATCCGTAAATACAAGCCATCCTATTGCAGCGTTGTTTTTCTTGCTGTTTAGATTAGGTGCATTATTGACCTATTTATTGGGATCATTTTTCACGGACAATTTCACTTTTGTATTTGTCTTGACCATTCTTTTCCTCGCCTTTGATTTCTGGACAACAAAGAATATCTCGGGTAGATTATTAGTGGGACTTCGTTGGTGGAATGAAATTCAGCCGGATGGAACCAATAAATGGGTATTTGAAAGTGCTAGTGTAAGTGAATAAAAAGAAAAGAAATAGTGTGAACGTAGGCTGATAAGATAAATAGCCTAGTAGAATCAATAATGCTGCTGATAGTAAACTCTTTTGGTGGATGTTATATGGTACACCTGCTCTCTGGGGCTTATTTGCATTCTCTAGTTTCATCACAATGAAGCCTTCATGGTTAGTCATTGTTGCTGTTGCTCTTGCATTGAATTTAGCAAACGTTTACGGTTATTCTCAATGCGATAAAGAGGCTAAAAAGAAATGGGCTACTGGTATGGCTACACGATCTGCATTAGGTTCATTAGGAAGCGGCGCAAGTGGATTAGTTGGAAAGGCTTTCACTTCGGGTATTGGAAAAGTGTTTGGTTCAAGATAATAAAAAGTACTTTTTTTAATGATTATTTGTATTGGGCATAAGGATCGTTTCCTGCAATATTACGACGTTGACCAAAGCTCATACCAGACTATTGAAACATGTCATTAAACAATCTCTTTACACCATTGTATGTATTACTTACTTGGTTTGCTCCTCCTGTATATCCATATTGATACGTGTTGAATGTCGCATTGGCAGCATTGGCAGCGTCTTTTGAATAGGTGCCTTTTTGCTTATCAGCAAGCTTAGGGCCGAGATACTAAAGGTTATACAATTAACTAAAAAGCAGTGATAATATTAAATCGCGTGATAGTTACAGTAGGTGATGTTCCAGCTTTATATCCATATCTCGATAATGCAAAAATAGAGTCGATCACTTGTGTCATGTTTTTCTTTTCGAATAAATCAATTGTTTGGAAAAGATCGTGCTTTGGTACTCCCAAGGCCTCAGCTCCCCGTAAGAAAATTGAGATATTTTCCATCTGAAGTTACAACTTTGTTGAGAAAAAGGACTATTGTGTTATGTTCAAAAAGACTTACTTGGATGAAGGGCATTTTAGATTGCTTGAATCTACCTTGTCCGGGAACTAATTTACCAATGACCCTATTGTCTGTTCAATACATTTACATGATGAATCAACTTGAAAAAAAAAACTTACTTGCACAGAATGACACCGTCTTTTAAACTCTCGGCAAAATCGTCACTAGGGAACTTCTCGCCAATAATTTCCTCCATCCATTGTCTAGCTTCTTGTTCACGTTCGACAGAATATTTAGAGTCAATTCTGGCTTGAATCTCTAGCAGTTGTACAATCGCATTAGAGCCAAATTTTCTACTGTATCAGCATAATCAACTACAAACCTTTATCGATTCCATAAAGGGGGGTTTCTTCTTCCATATTGTATAAACTAAAAAGGGAAAGCTACTTCTACTTGCCACTTCCTGCGAGATAACTTCGGCTTTTAAAAAGTTTCAAGTCACAAACAACTGAGAAAAAAAAAAAAAAAAAAAAAAAGAGTAAGGCAGAAGTGTGCAAGCCGGGATAAGGGTACCCCCACACATTATTATTTTTTACCTCTTTAAAATATAACGAATAAACAATGTTGTCTAGTTTAAGTAAGCGATCCTTACAAGTAGCACGTTGTGCTTCTAGAGCCAATGTAAATATAAAGAAGCAGAAAAAACAATGTCACCCCCTGTCAACTAACCATTCCCAATAGGTTACACGTCAAGCTTCAACCAACGCTCCTAAACACACAGCCTATGAAGAAGCTCTTCAATTGATTCAACTCGACAAAAAGGAAAGATTAAACATGTTGAGTCGTATTGAAAAGGAAATTAGCCGTGTCGCCAGCAGTAAGATCCTACCTTATTTGTACCCCTGGTAAATACTAACTGTCTACCTTAGCTTCTACTCCTGCTCAATTAAAGGCTCTTGATGCTTTAAAGTTTGACTTGCAAGTAAAGGCCGAATTAAACGAACCTGAAGTTCAAAAGAACTTTAAGCTTGGCAACAGTAAGGACTTTTTATACTACTACAGAGAGGAAAGAAAAGAAAACTGACTATTGTTATAGTTGACATGTCTAAGCCAGTTTACCGTTACATGTGTCAAAAGCAATTCGAAAAGGCACCCAAGAGTAAATTAATGGAACGTTTGACTCAAATGAATGTTATTCCCGATCTTTTAGCTCCTGGTATGAATCCTGTTGTTGAAGTAGCTGTCAAGTTGGCTGAAGGACCAATTGAACCTGGTGTATTTTTGAAGCCTGAACAGGTAAGAAGAACAGATATAAGAGTAGAGAAATATATGTGTATTAAAGAAAGGGGTGCCGAAATGATAGAGTATTGAACGTCCTCAAATTGATATCACCAACTTCCATACTGAATCACGATTATACACATTGATGATGGTGGATCCAGACGCACCTGATGTCGAAAACCAAACCTATCAACAATACTGTCATTGGTTAGTATCCAACGTACCTTTATCAGCCACTTCTCCTACTGTCAATGGAGGTGATTCTGTCTTGGACTATGTTCCTCCTCATCCTCAAAAGGGTACCAAATATCATCGTTACACTTTAATGGCATTCGAACAACCCAATGAAGGTCAAGAGAAGGTTGATATTAAGGTTGAAGGTAGAGGTAACTTTGATGTAAAGAACTTGGCTAAGGCTCATGGATTAAATGTCACTGGTGCCACCTTCTTCCGTGGTGAATGGGATGAAACTGTCAGTAAGATCTATAGCGAAATTCTTAAATCAAATGAGCCCAACTATGGTAAACCTCCCAAGGTTCAACGTTATATTCAAAGAACCGTGTATTATTAGACTTTTTTTTTTCTTTTCTTCTTTTCCCCCTCATTTATACATAAAAATAAAAAAAATATTTAATTTTATTAACCCAGCACCCCTTGTCAAATACCAATGTTGATTGCAACAAGAGCCCATTCATTGTTAAAAGCCACTATTTGTAAACGCTTTATAGCCACTGAAGCAATTACCAACGACGATGTTATTCACAGAGTAGATTTACGAGTGGGAAAAATTGTTCAAATTCAACAGCATTCAGAAGCTAATCACTTGTTTATTGAGCAAGGTTAGTCTTTTTTTAGAAACACTGAGTAGCTCACTGACCCTATTTATCTCTAGTTGATTTAAATACAGAGCCTACAGACTCAATTCCCAATCCACGTACAATTGTTAGTGGCCTTGCACCTTTTATGCCAATGGATTCACTTTTGGTAACACTTGACAACTAAAAAAAAAATCATGCATAATTTATTTTATTTATCTATTCGTCATAGAACAAATCTGTCATTGTAGTGAGCAATCTCAAACCCAGTAAGTTTCGAGGTGTTTTATCTCAGGGCATGCTTTTAGCATGTTCATCTGCTGATAATAAATCTGTGCAATTACTTTCTCCACCCGAGAATAGTGTAATTGGAGAACGTGTTCAGTTACAAGGTGTAGAATGGCAAGGACAAGTAGATGCTGTGTTAAAGCCCAAGCAAAAGGTATTCGAGCAGGTCGTCCCTTTCTTAAAGACGAACGAAGATGGTATTGCAACTTATAAGGGCATCCCATTCACCACTTCTGCAGGTGAAGTTACTGGGGACATTAAAAATGCTCAAATATCATAGATTCTCGTTTTAAGCGATAAATAAAGCCCAACTTTGTTCTTTTCATTAATAATTCCGTAAGACTTGCAGGAAGTGAATGTCTAACTTTACAGTCCTTTTTTTAAAAAGAGAGGTCAAAAACATTCTTGTTGATTACATAAAAATGTTTAAACATGGACATGGTGCAGGTGAGGACCTTCATTATACCATGAGTTTGTATGCTCTTAATGATGTGAATTTTGTTGGAAAGGGATGGTTTGTGTATCGTTCAAGGGACTGGTATCACGCGAAATGCAGCTGCTGAAACTGATGGAAACTTAAGCATTTCCCTGCTACATTTTTTTTTCCTTGGGTTCTGAAAAGGCGGGCGGCGGTACTGGGTCCGGCGTGTGTCAGCTCTCGGGTGCTTTCACTCCCAAATGGTAGCGGCCTCAGAATCCTTTCTTTTATACTTTAATTTAATAAAATATATATACGCAATTCTATTGGCTACATTTTGCCTCAAGCCAAATGCATGAAAAGTCTCCATTGAAGCGGGTTTTAAATGCTCTTGGGATTGTTAATGGGCTTCCATTCATTATTTAATAATGAGAGTGTGCATGTCTGGAGTTAATTCATGGACATTCAGACCTATTATTCTACAGGAAGTATACAACCAATGTCGAAATCATGATTTATTGATGAATGAAGATATGTGATCCAGATTAGAGTAGAGATCATGTGGCCTGTAGTAAGTCCAGTGTACAGCTGCAAAATCAAGGACATATATATTTATCTATCAGTAGAGTCTAATTTAATGCACACCTTTCCGGAAGGCAATCATTGTAGATAACACAGAGAGTTCTCTGTTGACCATCTAATTACTTAAGAACTGCAACAATATTACATTAGAGCCGCCTCTAGCTAGTACAGAAGCCACATATCTTTTGCTGTGTAAATATACAACGTATATCAGAAATGCCACAGCGTTCAATTTAATTATAATACTGGTTATTCGCCTCTATAATTTCCAACTAGAACAACTCACTGACGCATAACATACATGTTGCTTTATCTTAATTTAATTAATAAAACAATCCATTTATTTTGCACATAAAAAAATTAAGCAACTTGGGGAAAGTTTCTTCTATTTAACAAAACCGCCTTTAAACTGCGAATGTCGCTCTTTAATCCAGCTACAGCAGCAGAATCACTGTTATTACGGTTGTAAGAACTTCCAGGTGCATAGGAGGCATAAGAGCTATATGGACTCGTTCCTTGAACAACATTTTTGAAACTTGTTAAATCTGATCTGAAATCACTGTATGTCTTTTGTTTTAAAGTATCCGTTATACGTTGACGGGAAGAAATGATGAGCGTATCGATTTTGTTGGATAATTCAGTCTGTCGTGAGGCAAGTGCATCCATCACTGTATTTTCATCGCCTTGATCAATCACAGCATCCAAATCGTCATTCTCCAAACGAAAGCTTTTTAAAGACTTTTGTAATTTGTCGGCAATTTCTTTACGTTGATTGTATCTGGTACGTTGATATTCTGCAATACGATTTAAGAGGGGTGCGATGAATTGCTAAAACAAACGAGTTTAATATTCATATCCAGATAAAGACAAATGTCACTTACTTTTAAAAGACCCACGGCACCGGCTGTTAATCCAACGGCTCCCATGCCTAATATGACAGCCATAGCAAATACCTTTTCTGCTGGAATAGGTGGGCTTGCTGGCTGAGGATAATATACAATTTGTGGTGGTCCATAATTAGCATTTCTAGCAGGTAAGACAGGTGCCAGTGGTGGTGTCTAAAAAAAAACAAATTATCACATGTTAGCATAGGAAAAAGAAACGGTATTGTATTAAGGCTTACATAGCTATTTGTAGCTGTACTGTTGGAGGAAGGAGTACTAGTTGAGACAGCAGTTGAAGAAGCGTCATCGCCACCTGATCTTTTAAATGCTTCATCAATTTCAGCTTGGTTCAATCCCTTCTTTTGTAAGAATGCAATCTTTTTTCCTTTGTCGGCGGATCTAACGTTAGGAGAGCTCAAGAATGAGACAGCAGACTTGATTAAGTCTTCTCTCAAGGGTGATACGATAGCTGTGGTGGGTTCTGTAACAGCTGTTGTTGTTGTAATAGGTGCTGTTGCAGGAATAGGGGTGGCATCCGATACAGCAGGAGTGACAGGTGTGGTTTCTGCTACACTAGGAGTAGCATGGTTCGCCAAAAGACTATCGAGCTTAGGTGGGGAATTAGAATCAGACATTTAGAAGAATAAGTGTACGGAAAAGAGTTCAAGAAGAAAGACAGAGAGAGAGAAAAAAAAAACTGTGGGGATTATAATTTTAAGGTTTTACACATGCTGACAAACCGAAAATTCGACCAAAATGAGGTGTACGAAGCGGGGATAATTGAGGACTTGAAAGATTATTTTGTATGATATTATTAAGTAGTTAGGATTAAAGAGTTGGATTATATGTATGTTGGTATTTATATGGGGGAAGGGGGAAGGAATTATATGATATAAAATTACAATTTTTTTTTTGTGTGTGTGTGTTTGTTTAACAGCAGCGACTTCGCTTGTTAGATCTAGTGTCACTTGTTAATGAAAATGAGTTACTTTCATTCATATCCAGTTCCATTTGAGGGACTTTCACCATCTTGGCGATTTGAGCAAAAGCTTTCTCAACATTATCACCATTCTTTGCACTAGCCTCGAAAAGAGGAATCTGCATTTTATCGCTTGAATGCACTTCAGCCCAAGCTCTTGCCTGTCTCCTTGAAACCACTCTATCATCAATGTCGATTTTATTTCCAATCATCAAAATAGGGAAATGACGTGCCTCTTCGCTTGGCAAAGACGACTGTTTTAAAAAATCCTCTCTCCAGCGTTCTACTTACAAGGTTAGATAACCTTCTACCGTGTGCATATTAATAAACTTACCCAAATGTTGGAAGGATAAGAAATTATTGACGTCGTAAACTAGTATACACGCATCCGCTCCTCGATAATAAGCGACTCCCAAGGACTGAAACCTCTCTTGTCCTGCTGTGTCCCAAATCTGCATCATGACTTTTTTACCATCGTCCGTTTCTACTTCCTTTGTAATGAAATCAGCTCCTATTGAATGTAAAAAAAAAAGGGGGGTGGGGAGATTAAATATTGCTATACAGTGGGTGTCAACGTCGTATATTACCATACCAATGGTAGCTTTATAAGCATTTGTAAATCTCTTGTGAATGTACTATTATAGTAAAACAAAAAGTAAGTTTTAAAGTTAAGCTATGTACGGTAAGATATGTTATATTTTACCTGATTCCGGAGACTAGTCTGTACAGAAAGATTGAATATCAGTAAATAAATATACACATGATTGTTAGCCAACATTACCTTGCCTACACCACCATCACCTATCAATACAACCTTTAGTATGTCTTTTTGCATGAAAAGATAAAATTTAATAGCTTTTGTTTATGTTTACAAAAGGAAAGAGGGAATAAAAACAAAAAGGAAAAAAAATATGGTTTCCTGTGCTCTCTTTATACTTGAAGTTCCGACGGCCGCCTTTTTAGAACTCATGACATGTAATCGGTTATCTTTATCTTCTGCAGTAGTTAATCTAACAAGACAATAGCATAAAAAAGCAATCTATAAAAGGCAATACAGCTGATAGACAAACAGTGCAGTAAAATAATGAGATGGGCGGCAAGCTACAATTAAGCCGTCAAAGGAGACGTGTTCCTTTTTAAACACTTATTGTTTAGGTTAACAACTACAATAAATACCCATGGTTCTTCCGAGTAGGTAATAAAGCATGCGCATACGTGCTATGTAATATAGTAAATACTTTAATATTTATATAATCTGCAATTTGTACGCATAAACTATTTTTTTCTTTTTCGTCCTATCAACGGCATCAATTATGGAGTTAACTTTCTTTGTCAAAATGTTGTAACCGACGGTGATAATGTTCTTCAATAGCACAACTACGTACAATAAAACCATTACAATGATATTTAATTTTATGACAACAAACGCAGTTAAAACAATGATACCGACTATATAAATAAAAGAATAAAATGTTACTCTATCTTACTTTCTACATTTTGCAATCCTAAAAACAACTGTCAACGGCGCATTATTTTTAGTGATTCTACTGATATGGCTAGCATATTTAACTCCATAGTTAGATCTGCTTACGAGTTTGAAGAGTATTGTCTAGAGCAGGAGCAATGTAGATTTGTTGTGCCTTTTCTTCCGCACAACTTGATCCGCCTACTTTATAAGGGTATTGTATACATCTATAGCTATATAGCTTACGTGGTGAACATTGTACGCATCCTTTTAGAAAATATAGGTGCCACTATAAATTACTGTATTCTAGAAATACTCAACATATTATTTTGGGCTGCCTACACATTGAAAGCACTTTGTCACGATATCATTATGATGGTTCCTCACACCGTTAGGAATCCCCTTTCAGCTCCGTATACTACGTCTAGTAATCCTAAAGCAATTACTACGAATATCCTATCTCCAGCTTCAAGTAATTCTGTTCTTAATTCGGGGAATACAATCTGTTCTATTCTTGATAACAACAAGTGCGTACAAGAATTAAAGTCCATTCCTACCAATTGCTACTTGTACCAAATTTTACCAACAGCAATTCGTGGTGGCTCTAATGAAGTCATGGGAAAAATTAATTACATCATGGCAAGAGTAGTTATACCTACCACAGGATTTATTTACCCTATCACTCATGTGCAGCCAAAATTTAATCCGATAGCGTCCATGATTGACACTATTTTAGAAAAACTATCTCCTACTACAAAAATGATGATCTGCTCTGTCGAACCGCAACCTATGACTAAGGCTCAGATGATGATGGATTTGTTAAAACGTGTAGCACAGTTTAAGAAACCCACAGTTTCTTACACATTAAATGCGACAGTACAGTGTGTCTACTCCAAGGAAGGAAGACAAAATTTAGTCAGCATAATTTGTAAGTTGTAACGATGAAATTTTAGTTTACATGTATTTACAATGATTTTTCTTTCGTTCCTTATCCCAGCTTTTTTATTTCTTATTTTCATCGGCTGTATTGCATACTTCACCTCCCGCGTATTTTATCAGTTGATTTTACGCTATATAATTAAGTGGCAACAACCCCCAACTACCGCACAATACAATGTGGTAGTTAGTCATGATGGAATAGAAGTGACAGGAAATAATATTAATAATATTATAGATACAGCAGAACCTACTCAGAATGAACCCATTCAAGAAGAACTGGTTCAGACACAGCCAGCTGTAGAAACGCTAGCTCAAGCACAACCGGCTCAAGCGCAACCAGCTCAAGAAGTGCAATCAACTCAAGGGGAGACAGCTCAAGTGCAACCAACTCAAGAGCCAGTTCAAGCACAGCCAACTCAAGTACAACCAGCAACACAGCCAGCTCAGGTACAGCCAGCTCAAGCTGAGTCAGCCCATAGAGAACTTAAGCAAGTAATATTCCAACAACCTCAATCTAGTGCAGGGGAACCAAGTCATATAAGAATTACACAAGGTACTCAAACGCAATTTACCCAACCTCGATCGACTCAAAATCAGTCAACTGGAAGTCCAGTTATTAGAGATCAAGCTATTAGAGATCGAATAACTGGAATTAAATTTAATAGAACTCAAACTACCAGAAACCAAGCTGCTATAGAACGATTTTCTAGAGACCGAGCTACAAGAGATCAAACTACTAGAAACCAACCTACTAGAAGCCAAACTACAAGAGATCAAGCTACTGTAGATGAACCCACTAGAGATCAGACTACAAGAGACCAAACTACAAGAGATGGAACTACAATGGATCAAGGTAATATAGATGGAGTCACTAGAGATCAAACAGCAAGAACTCAAGCTACAAGAAGTCAAGCCACGAGAGATGAAGCTGCTAGAGATCAAGCAACTAGAGATCAAGCCATCAGAGATCAAGCCATCAGAGATCAAGCTATCAGAGATCAAGCCATCAGAGAGCAAGCCATCAGAGATCAAGCTACTAGAGATAAAGCCACTAGGGAGCAAGCTACTAGAGATCAAGCCGCTAGAGATCAAGCCGCTAGAGATCAAGCCGCTAGAGATAAAGCCACAAGAGAGCAAGCTACTAGAGATCAAGCCGCTAGAGATAGGGCCATTAGAGATCAAGCTGCAAGAGATCAAGCTGCAAGAGAGCGAATTTTAAGAGATCAAACTGCAAGAGAGCAGATTTCAAGAGGCCAAACTACTAGAGATCAAACTACTAGAGATCAAACTACAAGAGGTCAAACTACTAGAGATCAGGTTACGAGGGATCGAAGCACAAGAGATCAAACTACTAGAAACCAACCTCTTGGAGATCAAGCTACTAATAGAGATCGAACTACCCAACGACAGCCTACCAGGAGCAAACCTGTCCTACATCCAGTGTTCCCAGTAACACAAGAGCAGTATGATGCAGCTCTAGAGTTTGAGAAGGAAGCAGATTATTCAAGATCTGACCCAGTAGTGTTTAGGGATACTGAAGAGGACTTACTAACAGAACCTGATAAGTATGGAAAAGCAGAAAAGTTACTGAGGAATGCTCTTAAAGAGGCTGAAAAAATCATAGACACCAATTTGGATACCCGATTCCCCACAGAACAAGTTCTGGACGAGCGCTACGAAACAATCAGTTTAGAAGAACTATACAGAAAAAAGCAACTTGCTGAAGAAGCTGCATCAGTTTGGAAGGAACCTCCACCATTTGTTCCGTTAGACGTGGACAGATATGAGATTCCAGGTGCTTCTAGAGGACAAAAAGGGAAACAGAAAGCGGGAAAAGGCCAAACGTCCAAGCCATAAGATAGAAAAGAGCTCAAGCATTAAGATAATAGATAACTCTTTGCAAAAGCAAATGTAACCTTTAATTCGTATTTAGTGTGCTATGATTAGAAATTTTAACAAATTTGTTTTTGCACTTATATCATTGTAAACAGAAATAAAGCGAGCGCGTATAGCTGTTATGAATATCAGTGTTGTTATTCCAGAATTTCTTAAAGATGGCTTTTGATGCACGGGCTGCTTTATGCTACTATTTAACTAAATCTGGCAGAGTGTTTATACTGTCTAGTCTATGAAACTCGTGAATTGATTGAATGGAAACATCAATGTCACAGGTGGATACAAATAATAAAGTTGCATATCAAACACAAACAATGTCGCATAAAGATGACGGTGCAATTGATCACATGTGGTGCTTTGATTCGAAATTGTATGTAATTATTTCATTTTGATTTGAAACGCTCATGTAATGTAGATCTCAACAAAATAAGGTTTGGAATGATATATCCAAGCAATAGTAGCGTGGATGTATACTATCTTCTGACCTTTATAGAAAGGGGAGAAGTAACGAAGATTTTTTATTTTTTTTTATTTTGACAGCCCAGATTCAAATTTGAAAAGGGATCAGTTATTAAATTAATAGTGAAATAGACCAGCCACTGTTTTCTTGTGTGGCAATACCCTCATTTCCAAATAAAAATAAAAGAACGGAGTCTGAATCTAGGAACAAAAAGTAGGTGGGGAGTGTAATGCATCTGTCGATCAAGCTGAATTAGGGGTGCTCTTGTACTCCATGCGACATGATGATTAGACCACAAATGCAAGATAATATCAAGAAAAAGATGATTTGGTTATGATCCTCATTACATAGACCCTCAAATCGCCAAAAGTGCAATGCACACGAAAAGAAATGTCAGGGCGGTTGCCTTTAGCATTTAAAACCACGCCAAAAAACTGGCGATTTCGTATTTGACGTGTTTTAATAGGCGCGTCTTTTTTTCTTTCTTCATTTTTTTTTTTAGTTAGTACTTTATAAATGGCAAGAGCATTTGAATTACTTGTTAGAGAAGTTCAAGAACAACTTCATGCTGTGTTTTTAAAAAAGTCAGATCAAAATCCTGGAAGACATGTCATGGCAGAAGCAGCCAACATTCCTTGGTAATTAAACGACAGATAATACGATTCGAAGGAGACTTAATTCAGAACTAGGTCTTGGGTTGCAGTGACTACAACAAAGATTCTTTCAGAACATCCAACTGGTTTAACAAAAGTGATTTTAGTCTCTATGCTTGAATTGGCTGTAAGTTATGGACGGAAGGAGGTTGCTCTGAAGAGGACTAATTTTTCTTCTTATGATATGCAGTGGGAAAAGGCCTACATGAAGCGATTGAAAGGATTCGATAAAAGTACAGAGAGAGAAAACAAGATGATAAAGGCAATATATTGCACAAGCGACTGACAGTACATATTCAGATTTTAGTTCAATTCAGGCAGTTTATGACAGCAGTCTTTCAGAAACATTCTTATTGGAAGTTGTGGTCAAAAGATGGGAGAATATTCAAAATTCTGATATTTATATCCTTTTTTTTATGTATGCATTAACCATTTTCTCTCCCCTTTATCTATTTACTCCTTGACATTTCATACACCAAGTAACTTTAGTAGACGAAACATCCACACGAGAACTCGATTTATATATGCACCCCAAGTATAGCAAATGGATAAAGTACATGAATCACGAATTCTTAATGACTCGAAAGATCAGAATGCTATGTCCTCCCAAAACAAATGCACCCATCATCAACAGATACAACGACCAAAAATTGGACCGCATACATAGAATAGCATTGATTCCACCTACTGAGAATCTGGTCTTCATGTTGGATCGTTTTGATAAGGCATTTGTCCAGAGAGAGTTTAAGCACAAAGTCCGTGATATCACACCCAGACAGACTGACATTCATTTATGGCTCAAGATCATTCATGTCGAAATCATTTCTCACATTACAACCTCAGCAAATCTGGATGCCGAAGAAAAGGCCAAAATGAGTCGTACGGATATTTATTTGATGGATATGAGTAGTGACAATCAAACGGTCATTTTATGCTTGTATAACGATCAGACTTCTCTGACGCCTATCTTTAAGCGCAATGACTATATTGGCATGTACAATCCATCTATATCCTCCACGACCAGACACAGTAGAACTTCTATTTGAGTGTTCCAATGAAAGTGTGATATTTCTGATGCCTGAAAAGGAAGCACAGGAAGCACAACTGGCAAAAATTAATCTTACTAGTATGATTGAAGACGACGGATTTTCGTGTTCAGATTTTTCCAAAAAAGATATCCTAGAACGTGATGAAGAGGTAGGCCGATAAAAAATAAAAACTTGTTCTGCATTATTTCGATTTTAATTTATAAATATATTAGGGATTTATGAACTGTGAAAATTACACTTCAAGAATATATGTCAAGGATCTGGATTACTGTATGCTGAATGTAACTTTATTAGGGAAAGTCGTCGGATTAGCAAATAGTGTAACTATTTTTTTTTTTTTTTTTTTTTTGAAAGACACATTTTACTGATTATGAAACAGAATCCGTTTATTGATCCCAGTAATGCAGATCGAAGAATGAATAGATACGCTTTGAGAATTGCAGATTCGACAGGTACGTTTTGGAGAGCCTTACACGTGAAGTCTATTAATAATTCGCGACCGGTAGGTACCATGGATGTCACTCTTTGGGAGGACTCTGGCCGTGATTCACGTCGACTAAAAATCGGAATGTACATTCTACTAGAGAATCTAGTGACTTCGGACAGACACGATACCAATGGTACTCGTGTCTGGTACGTAAATGGAAGCATTATACTAGGGACAAATTTGTATAATAGTAAGTAGTAATATTGGTGAAACTATAGACACACCATTTAATTTGCAATTCCAGTTTCATTACTTAATAGTTTATTAACAAGTAATTCATTGCGAAGTATTGTACCTTTATGGCATGCCAAAGAAACAAAAGAGGATCATTTTCAGATAGAATGTACCATTATTGGCTGGGAACTCTATATAGAGTCATCCATGGATCAATTTGTTCTCAGCAGTAATCAGACCACCAGCAGTAGTAACCAAGTCGATTTTATGGAGCTATCTATTGGCGATCGTATCACAGCTCTTTCCCGTAAATATAAAAATATATATGGATAACAGACCAATGAAGAGATAGGTTACTCAACCGAGTCGTTTTTAGACATTGGCTGCTTGAATCCACACAAAAACAGAAATCAAATCGAATGCGAATTTTGCGGATGCCAAATTGATAATGATGTTGTACACGTATTTAGACCCAAACCAGGTGTGGCAGAAACTACATCCGAACGTGGCTGGGAAGGGTGGGTTGAATGGATATTGGATGACGGGACGAGCACATGCAAGGCCTTTGGAGGGGAAGAAGTAAGTTTTTTGCAAAGAAAAATATAAAAATAGAAATTACAGGAGAAGCAATTGTTACTATACTTACGTGATTTATGATTTTTTATAGACTTTGCTGAATGTTACTGCCTACCATTTTAAACTCATGTCGCACAGATCCCAAATAAATCTTTTGGACAGTGTTGTTGGTCTTCCAATTTTATGCTCACTTACAGTAAGTAGCATTGTGTGACATTAATTCGACTGAGAATTAAACAGCACAGATAATCTTTTTTTGTTACTTTGTAACATGGCCATTCTAATGTCTTTTTTTTTTCACGTTAGGGAACGAGTACATCAACTTACAGATTGGATCAAATGACCCTTTTAGAACCTACACAGCAGGAGTGCAGGGACATGTTAGAAATAATGGACAAGAAATGAACAATTAGAAGACTGGGAATAATTCTTTTTCAGTTACCATACAACGTGTTCTCAATGTATCACAAAACAACCTCTTGATATATAAATCTTTAATTTTTTTCACAGTCTTTTCTTTTTTTTTTCTTCTTCTTTTTCATATCCCACACACACCAAATCTCACCCCCTCCCAACACTATCCTTAAAAATGAAGTTCACCATTCTTTCTGCCGCTGGTATCCTTGCCGCCATCTCTCAAGCTTCTGCTGTCACCGTATGTGCAATTGCATCTTTTCTCAATAAAACACACGTTATCAATCAACTAAACATACATTTTCTTCTTTTTCCTTGGCAATAGATTGTCACTCCTTGGGCTAGCTCTCCTGACTGGGTAAGATCAATCTCATATATCAGATCTATCAAACGCAATTGACTCAATTTTATATTACAAATGATAGGTTTCTGGTGGTCATGGTAACATCACTTGGACTACTACTGCTGCCGATGCCGGTCTCAAGTGTGATATCTACATGTTGAACGGTAACGTCCAAAACTCCAAGTAAGTATCCATGAATAAATAAAATCGAAATCAAAACAACTCAACATTTTAATAAATAGCATTGTCGCTCAAGTCACTGACCCTGCTACACCTGTTGATTGTTCCGCTGGAAAGTTCGATGTAGGACAAAATTAATTTTGAAATGAAATATACATCAGATATTGATCTTTTTTGATTGTAGATCTATCCTTTGGGTGACTTCGCTACTGGTCAATACTCTATCCGTATTGGTCAAGCTGCTACCAGCACTTGGGTCTACTCTGCCCTTTTCAACTTCAAGGGTAACGGTACCTCCTCCCCTATTTGTAAGTACCTCCACCAAAAAAAAAAAAAATCGTATGAGATGTTGGAAATTAGATGTTAAGTAATTTATTCTATATAGCCGTTGTTGCCTCTCCCTCTGCCGTTGCTAATGGTACTGCTGCTGCCGTCCCTGCTGTTTCTGGTGTTGCTGCCTCTGCCAGTGGTAAGGCCCCTACTGCCACTGCTGCCGTCTCTGGTGGTGCCAAGAACAGCACTTCTTCCTCTGCTGCTGCCTCTGCCTCTGCCTCCACTGTCTCCGGTGCCGAGTCTTCCATGAACATGAACTCTGCTGCCATTGCTTTGGGTGCCATTGCTGCCATTGCCCTTGCTCTCTAATTCCCTCTCACCACTCCATCCTCCTTATTTTCTTTAAGACCTATTAAGAATCTATTGATTGTACGATTATAATATTATTAGTTTTATTTAATAAAAAAAACAACAACAACAAGAAAAAAGATACCTCGGTATACTATGTAAAAGATACAAACCACTAAAAAGCAAATGTCTCATTAAATGTTCAATTGATGTAATATGCGTACCTGAAAACAATGAAAGTATATATACACCCAAACGGGCATAGATTTGTTTTTATATAAAAATGGATAAATTATGTATAACATTCTATACGAAACATCAGTGCATTCAAGCTATTTCCATTTGGATCCAATGAGTGCATGTGCATACACTTACAACCACAGTTTGACACGTTATTTATAAATTATGCTGTGTAATACATCCTGTCTCTATTTTTCTTTTTCTTTTTTGTTTCATCTAGCCCCTTGTTGAGAGGCAAATGATTTTCCGACGTGATATACATTTTCTAATTGCGGTTTGTGCGACGATGCTATAAAACAAACAACAAAAACCTTGCTTGATCGGAAAAAAAGGGGGTAGAGAGAGAGAGAGGCAGAACAACTTCAAGGAGCAGAAAAAAGAAAATTATAGAGAGTAGCAATGCAATAAGGAGCTATTATATAATCACCATCTCTCTATATATAAATATACCCAAAGCATTCATAGTGAAATCCTGATTTCTGGACAAATTTTCGCCGCCAAAAAAATTTCGTTTGCATACTAGCTTTTTATTGGATAAGCCAACAAATAGAGGAAAAAAGGGGTGCAAAACAATAGTCCCTCCCTTGTCTGAACGACATCTAATACAAGTCCCTTTATCGCTAAGAATATTGTGGGATCATTGATGAGCAAGAAATAGAGAAGATCCTTTTTTCTCTCTCTTTACAGAGTAGTTTTAATTTATTTACTACAAGTAGATCATTGATTCTTTATTTATCATGTCTTTTTTGTTTATTTTCTCCTTGGAATAAAAACTATCCTAACCCTTTATTAGTCTATATATTCGCCTCTTTTTCTTTTTCTTATTTTTCTCTTTTTTTAACTCAATTCTCCTTTCTTTAATTTTTTTTCCCCTTGTCACTTAAAAAACTTGTATCATAAAATGACACTATCCTTTCATAGAAAAGGAAACAATGTAGAAAAAACCGAACCCAAACCAGAAAAGCAATCCAACACAACCGCGAGCGGAAACCAAGACAGCTATCTGAACGGCATTGGATCATATGAATTTATAAAATCGTTAGGAAGTGGAAAATTCAGTAAAGTCATGCTTGCGTATCACTTGGAAACTCATCAGCAAGTAGCCATCAAGGTTAGAGCAAGAATAATTATAAAAAAAAAAATTTAATTTATTATTTCATTATGCTAAAAGAAGAAAAAAAAAAACTTTACTAGATCATAGATAAACAGGCACACGACTATAGAGTGATGTCCAGATTAGTTCGAGAAATATCCATCATGGAGATACTGCAACACGAATATATCGTTAAATTGTATGAAACATTTGAGAGTTGCGATTCACTCTTTTTAGTAATGGAATATGTGCCTGGTTGGAACCTGGATGAATATTTACAAAAAAAGAGTCAAGGTGCATTGGATGAAGACGAAGCTCGTCATTTGTTTAGACAATTGGTTACTGCTGTCGACTTCTGTCATCGTAAATGGGTCGTTCATCGTGATTTAAAGGTAAATTATCGTTTTTTTTTTTTGTTATTATTTTACCCTTGTTTAACTCGTTTCAAACAAATAACAGACGCCAAACATATTGATTACACCGGATGGACAGGTGAAATTAGCTGATTTCGGGCTGGGTAACAGATATGGATTACAACGTTTAAGAACCATCTGTGGTAAACTTATAAATAAAAAGATACATTGCATCCATTCCTGGTACTCAATTATTTCTTGTTTTAAAAATAGGCTCTATGCTTTACTATAGCCCTGAAATTATCACAGGCCAAAAATATTACGGCCCTGAAGTCGATTGTTGGTGTCTTGGTATCACCTTGTTTCGCATGACGGCTGGCTTTGAACCTTTTTCGCATGCACACAGTAAGTAGTCAAAAAGAATAAAATTAGAAAATAGTCCTTTATTCTTTTTCTTATCTTCTATTCTTAAATAGCTGTAGGAGAGCTTAAAAAGGATGTATGCAAATGCAACTTTCCCATGCCTAGTACATTAAGTTCAGGATTGCAAGCCACCATTCGAAAATGCTTACAAGTGGATCGCCGAAAAAGAATGACACTTCGCCAGGTACTAAAAGATGATCCCTGGCTAACAGATAATGGCAGATTACATTGCCCCGTATCCATAGCGCCAAAGACAGTATTTGAAGAGACCATGGTGATGCAAGAAGGTGATAGAGAGGATAGAGATAATAAGACCAGAAAGCAATTTATGAAGGATTTAGAACGAGATGCACAAACCGCAAATAAGGTTCGACGCACCGTGATTTATCATCCACTCAACACATCCACGTATTACACCACAAAAGCCGGATCATCGCAATCTATGGCCGCTGCCGGAGCACAGGTGCAAAACGTGGAATTATTACGATCCGAACTACTTCAATCCATTCGGTCCCGTGCTAGAAAATTGGGTATGAAATCTGCTGAGCGCTGGGACACCTTAAAATCACCGGGTTTAAAATCCCTCTTATTCTCTTCATTTCATCATAAAAAGAAGGATTCCCTATTTGCCACTTCTTCACAAACAAGTAATTCAACGTCATCATCGAGATCCTTATCTGAAATGGTGCAGCGTATCACCAAGGACCAAGTGTATCATTTTCAACTAACAAATCATCATCAATACACACATTCATCACGACCTCCATCGCTGTCTTCTTCTACCTCCACTTCTTCCTTGTCCAGCAGCATTGATGCTAGAGACAGTGCTGTAGCTGCTATTGAAGATGAGATATTGAGCATAGAAAAGAAAAGCAGCCGAGAAGTAATGGCTTTACTGAAACAAACATGTCAGCTGATGGGTATCACATATGTCCAGGACTCTCCCGTCTCACTTCATTGTGTATTGACTCTGAGAAGTACACCCAAAACGACAGCTAGAACATCCTCATCTGCTACACTACTATCACCTTCCACATCCAATTCACCCGCTCCACCCCCGATTTCTGCACACACACGTAAACAAAGCCAAACCAGTAGTATGGGCACCATGATGGGGGGTGATGAATCATCCAGCAACCGCAAGCGATTATCCTTACCTCTGATATCGCATTTAACATCCTCCATGACGACATCATTTTTTGGTCGCAGTAAACCTCGTCATTCGATGGATGAAACGTCTACTGTAAACAAGAGCGTGTCTCCAGATCAGACCAGAAGAAAGCAAAAAGAAGGCACAGCCATGTTTACGATACAGCTTGAAAGCCACAAAAAAAAGGTGGATCGTGTAAGCCTTCGTTTTTCAAAGCAGCAAGGTTCAACCACTGTCTTTAAAATGGCAGGTGGTTGGGTAGCTGGTGTGGTAGCATTGGATGGGAAAATTGGCCGTTAAAAAGGATCAAAAATTGTAAAAACAACACATTATGTTTATATGTTATTAGAATAAAAATATGGCTTCGAGAGCATATATTTCATTTATACCAGTACTAAAAGGGTTTTAACTATCACCGACTCATGTCACGTGAAAGGCCAAATAAGCTATTGGCGGTTTGAAGTAGCGCTTAGTAAACACTCGGCTAAATATGACAGGTGTCATACACGTTATTTAGTAATACACACTTCTCTTTACATACAGACAGCCATTTGAGCAATGAAATAATTGAGCCAGTAGTTTTTTTTTTATTGTATTTACTAATTTTCTGCTTTTTTTAAAAAACTTATATTACTTTTACACTTTTTTTTTTCATATCGTGGCATTAAGACATTCCAAGTCATGTGTTATAAGCAAAAATAGGTGGTGGACATAGCTTATTAAAATACTTAGGCTTGCATGATAGCTTTAGGTGGAACGATCAATTCATTGACAGAAGTTTCCTCTTCAACAGTAATATACTTGACAAGGTCGGCTGGACATGTTTGTTGACTTATAAAAAGATGGTTAATCCATGTGGAATGTATGTTTGTAACTCTCTCTCTTTTTTTTTCACTTACGCTGTCTTGAGGATATTTAATTTTTGTCTTACAGTAAAACCATTACAAACCATGGCAGCTCTAACAAAGCGAGGCATTAAGGTAGAGTGGAAAGAATGGAGTGGCTTTGCAGTGTGCATCTTTAAGTAATCTACATTTGTCTTGAGGTATAAGTAAAACAATTCACATGATCTTCACAATGAGATAACTTACCGGTAGCGAGTTTGTAGCATTCGTACATAATATCTCTTTGACAAGTGCTTACGGCTCTGGTTTGCAACCAAGGCATTTGCATAACGATGGACATGATATACTCAAAAGACCGTTCAGGGCACTTTCGATTGTAGAACACCTACAAGCATAATGATTTTTTTTCAGTGCTCATGAGAGAAAAAAAATTACTCTTTCTACTCTCGACTTAACATACCTTATAGTTTCTACTAATTTGTAAAATACTTTGTAAGTCCCTTTGACCAATAAAGAAGTCTGAAGATCCACTGGAGGCAGCAGTATCTTTATCTTCAATCATTTTAACATCTTGGTTTTTATCTGCAATCATCTTGAGACCTTGTTGTTTATCTGGAAAAGGAATTGCCACACCATTTCGGAAGGATCCTGTCCAAGTAGAGAAAAGTCTTTGGCGAAGCTCATCATAACTGCTAATTGTGAATTTAAGACGTCGGCCTTGTAAAGGATATCTTGAAAGCGTGTTCATAGACTCTTGATTAATATTAACATCAGCTTTGGGCTTGACTTCGATGAAAGCTATGCCATAAGTCTTGCCAGTTTGTCTATCCATGATGACCTAATTCCGTGTTGTCAGTTTTATACAAAAAACCTAGTTTTGGATGACAATGAATGTCACACATACGTGAACATTGTGGGGTAACTCCGTGATAGGAGGTACAGAGAAATAGCTGGACTTTTCAATAAACTTGTTCAATTCTTCGGATGAAGTGCACCAAGGTACCTAGGTATATCTGTTAGTAAAAGCTTGTTATGTAAAGTAGTTCTTTGTAATCTTACGTTCAAAACCTTGATAACCATGTAAGAAGGAAGAGCGGGAGTAGGACTGAATAAACGATTATCACCTTGTGTGAGAACAGCAGATTCAGAGATATACTTTCTGCTGGTGCGACCTGCAGCATCTGGATTGAATAAAACAATATCGGCTGTGACATCAAGTGAAGTGGACTTTGTTGACTTGTCATCGGTTACTGGTTCTTCCGATGATTCGCTTGTCAGGGCTACTACTTGAGACCAGCTGAGTGCACGTTCAGAAGGAGTGGGGTTTTGAGGTTGACTTTGAATAACACAATTGAATGATTGGGTTGTTGTTATTTTTTGTGGGCTGGCACAGCTTAACCGTCTGTTAAGCAGCTGCGGATTTTGCAGGTTCGAACGATTATCATTTACGCTAATTTTTTGTAAAGGCGATGATGAGAATGCATGATTTGAGGTGTTGCCAAATAAAGAATAGCCAAAGTTTTCGCCTTTGTACTTTGAGTTCTCAAGATCATTTTTATCCTGTTCATAATCACCAAGAGGAACTGTAAGTGAATTGAAAGGGTCGAATGCTTCAAAAGACATTGGGAGAGTGGTGGGCAAATCGTTCATTCTGAAAGGATTTCTTCCGTAGTTTGTTACTTTTCAAAAAAGGTCAGACATTTTTTTTTTTAATCTTAAAAAAAAAAAATGTTGTTACCTTGGTGGTCACCATAACAAGGTGCAGAAGGAAAACTTGGTACCGATTGTACGTTTGGAATATTAGACCAGATGGATTGGATGCTATCAGAGAGACCCATAATACGATCTTATCAAGACCAGATAAGAATCATAAATAATGACAAGTATGAAAAAAAAAATGTGTCTTATTTACCATTGTTGTTTGTACGAACTTCTGGAATAGTTCCATTACCTCGGACTCTCCAGGAAGTAACTTTATCTGCCCTTGATTCAACTGGATTTCTGATACGACTGTTATGACAATCTAATTTTGATAGAACATGTTAATCTTTCAAATGCTCTTTGGTTTCCTGTATCAACTTGCCCCTTTTGTTCATTTTTAAAAAGTGTTTGAAAGGAAAGGAAAGAGAGAAAAAAAAAGGAAGTACCGAAAGAAGAAAAAAAAAGAATCCATTCACATAAATAAACGTCACATATGTTAACAAGAATACTCACCTGTGGGTGTCAAAAAGAGTAAAGAAAACAGCCCAAAGTAATACCTCATGCCATAAAAAATAGCATCAGTAACATTTGTCTTGTATTTCAAAGCAGATGAATTTGTTAATATAAACAATAACAAGTTGCTGCTCAACGCTGTCATTTTAGTCTATGAAAGTGCAACACACTTGATTAACATTCATATCTGAATGTAGGGTGTAAGTGATGGGTTTTCTTGTAAAGAAAGAAGGAAAGAAGACGTATACTTTATCAGACTGATATATGTGAATATGTATGGAAACTGGAGGTAAAAACCGCAAAAGGTAATATGAGGTGACACAAAATTGACAGCAGTAACATGCTCTGACTTAAAAAGTACCACCGACAAGTACTGACAAAGTAGATATTTCATGGTTGAATCATAAATGGTTTTTTCTATCAACTACGAAACTTGATGCAACTCCTTCTTATCTCTGTCAATGTATGTATCCTTGTTCTTTAATTTATAGCTGCTGGTTGTAACAGAAATGGGCCTAATCTTGTAATAATTGAATCAAACCAGGCACAGAAGCTATATTGAGTCCAGGGATTAAATGTCACAGTATGACATTACATATTTAAAGATTATACGGTTATAACATGTGCGCACAGTGATCCTTTTTTTTTATTACAAGTATTAAAGCGTAATCATAATTTATTACACAAATTATATTTCTGTGCATAGCGGACAAGTATTCCGGGAAGATATAAAATACGTATGATGATAGGGAAAGATAACAATCATTTCGTAAATAATCAACAAGTAGAATACCATCACCAAATATCTACAAACACCAAAACTCACTTAAAAGCGGTTAAATTTAATAACTTTCTACCCTCGCAGCAATTACTAGTAGATCTTATATCAACTTATCTACCCAACATAAATACAATCGCATGCTTACCAACCGATTCTTGGGATTCTGATGGATTCTGGGTGAGCAGAAGTAATATTGATCTCACTGATTTTAAAAACCTAGATAACTTTTACTGTATGGTGGAGAACCTCTGTCATTCCTTTAAACATTATTTCTTGCACTTGCAATATACAGACGGGGATGAATCTTACTACTACCAAAATACAGAATGTCGCAAATCATTGGAGCTGATGTATAGCGGGTTTTTTGGTCTTTGCTTTTACAAAGGGGAGATGGCACGGACTGTTAAAATCGAATGTAAAAAGGATGTAAAAGTTATAATTGACTCTTATGATGGAGGTGTACTTGCAGAAATTGACAATGGTCATCGTCTTGAACAAGTCCGCACTGATTCTCATAATACCTATAATATCGTGCGCAATTGCCTTTGAATTTTTCAAGAAACAAAATGAATAAAATATTGGTGAATCACGATCAATTCCAGGAACTGAATAAAACACAGCAATGTCTAACAGATCCATTCAAAGCAGTTCATAAAAATGACGAAAAACTGAATAATTTGAGAAAGTGAGTGAAAGATGTTTTGAATCCAGTGTGATCCATCGTAAATACATAAAATGAGGGGACAAGCCATATTGATACTTATATGAGATAATTTCTGTAAATGCTATCCGATGGAAGTCCGTGCGAGAAAATGACAGAAATATTAAAAATGTGAACTTTGGTTTTCGGGCTTAGCATTTAAAATATACTTTTTGTTTTGACTTGGACCAATTTTGACTATTTGCCTTTAATCAATGACATTAGAATTCTCAGAGAACATTGTATTAGTAGACACCAAGGAGCAATATAAAGTAGAGGTAAGAATTATTAGAAAGGCCACGTAATTTTTCTGCTTGGTAACTTGATACCTTGCAGAGTTTGGTAGAGGTAGGCTTAATTTGTTGTAATACCTTCTTTTTGCCACAATTCCGGATGTTCTTTTTGCTACAACTAGGTTCAGATACGGGGTACCCTCTCGCTGCTGCTCTTAATTACATATGTCTTCCTCGTAAATTGCTATGCCTACTAACGAAATATAATCCCGGTGCTTTTGAAACGAAATTTAATATCTACTCCCTTTAATAAGTAAATGGCAACGGGCGGAAATTACAATGTGGCTGATGCTTGCACAAAAAAGCCAAAATGTGCGATTACCAAAAAAGGAAGGCCAGTGTGACTGTCAAAGTGCTATTTCAAAAAAGCAATTGTTTAAAGGACTCCGTTTTCTAGACTCTTTTTAATCCTTTTTTTTCCCCTTTATTTCTTTTCACTAAAAAAAATCAAGAAAACAAAAATGAGTTCTTCAAGAGACGATATCCCAATGAACCGTAAAGACATGGACGAAAGTGAGGAGCCATTTTTACCTATACCTGTCCAAAGCCGAGGTGAAAAGCAACATCCTTTACCTCTTATTGCAGCAGTTGTCAGTTTCTATTTCATTATCTCACTGTCTGTTGTGTTTTTGAACAAGATTATCTTGAGTGGTGCTTCTGATTTCCCCTTTGCACTTTTCGTCACTTGGTATCAACTCGTTGTTGCCTTAGGTCTCTTATTAGTTTGGGCTTCACTTGGTAAAAGGTAAGAATTGAAAAAAAAAAAGCGAGATGAAGGAACGAAAGCTAAGAGTCATGTTAGCTATAAAATGTTCAGCATCATTCCACCTTATGAATTCAACATTGCCATTGCAAAGAAGGTTGCTCCTTTAACTTTTGTCTATGTTGGTATGTTGGTATTGAACAACTTGTGTTTAAAGTATGTCGAGGTTACGTTTTATCAAGTAAGTGGGTTTATTACGAGAAGAAAAAGAAGGAAGGGAAACACTAAGACTTTTTTTGTTAGGTTGCTAGATCCTTGTCCATTAATTTCACCATCCTTTTCACCTTTGTTATCCTTGGTAAGAAGACATCTCCTGCAGCTCTGGTAGCTTGTGGTATTGTATTTATGGGTTTCCTTATCGGTTCTTACGGCGAACTTAACTTTTCTTGGGCTGGTGTTGTTTATGGTGTCGGTTCCAGCGCCTTTGTCGCTTTATATGGTATCTACGTCCAAAAAACTTTGGGTGCTGTAGATAATAATCAATGGTAATGATCGAGATACACATTAATATTACACTGTATACATTGCCCTAACTCAAAAACTTTTTTTTTTTTAAACAGGAAATTACTTCATTATAACACCACACTTGCCATTATCTTCCTCTCTCCCCTTCTTTTATTATCTGGTGAACTTTCTGAAATCATTGAAACCTCTGAAGTTATCTATACATCATACTTTTGGATCTTAATGGTAAGCAGCGATAAAAAATCAAAAAAAAAAAGTTTTAATTGGATATTAATTAAAAATATTTAGACCATCACTGGTGTTACTGGTTTCGGTATTAATATTGCCATGTTCTTGCAGGTCAAGTACACTTCTGCTTTGACAAACACTATCAGTGGAACCGCAAAGGTACTTATCGATGTATATATATATTATTTATTTATGTTACTAAAAATCTATTTTAGTCTTGTGTTCAAACTGTTTTAGCCGCAATGATTTTCAAAAACGATATCTCAGCCTTGGTAAGTGTTTCCGACGATCTTTTTTTTTTTTTTTTTTTTTTTTTGGCACTAAATAATTCTTTTTTTAGAATGGACTTGGTATTCTGTTAGCTTTGGTCGGATCAGGTTATTACGGTTGGGTTCGTTACCAAGAGAGAATCTCTAAATAATTTAGTACAACTATTACACAATCAAATAAAAACGAAAAAAAAAAAGCATGTTCTATAGATTCATAACATGCTTTTTTTTTTTTATTCCCAGTTGAAAAATAATTATATTACCTCCTTTTTGTGTGTAACCGACTCCCACTGTGTTTAGACTTCATTGTAAAAAAAAAATAATAATAATTACATCACACTATCTCTTCATCATCTTTTCATTGAAAGATGTATTTCACCAAAGGGCTTCCCCTTATTACTATATCTTTGTTTATTGCTATTTATATATTCACATCAGCCCAGATTCCTAGACACAAGTGTTACATTTCACCTATTTCTGTCTTTTTTACCCAAAAAAGGAATTATATATTTATGCACGTCGAAATGATCTCAGCACACAGTTGATCCATTTTAAGCCATACAGAAAGGAGCACTTACACCTTCAAAGTATGTAGATGTAGAGACACTTTCAAGCTGAAGTTTGACCGTACCTATCAATATGTCATCAGTGACGTAAGTACATGTAATACAATTTACTAGCGTATGTCCTGAAAATATATATATATATATATATATATAATAATAGACTTCTCTCCCAAACGGATGATGAGCTCATCATTCTCGGAATCCGGCAATAACAATGAAAGTGTCATGTAATTAGAGTTTTGGTCTTACCGTACTAGCGTTGCCATTTGAGCTTGGCAAAAATACGCCATTGACGTTTTTTATTTAAACATCCGCAACTCTTGATTTGCACAGTTATGATAACTACTGGATTTCATAAGTTATCGTAGAAAGCTTTGTTTGTATCTTGGAGATGTGTACCCAATGTACATGTTCTAGAGTGAGCACCTCCCTTTCTGTTACTCTATCATACTGTAACGGTTATTACTTTACCCATTAATATATGTCCCCTTTTCAATATATCATCATTTGCAAAAATGCTAATTATTTATAGATTTTTAATTCTTGAAGCTGTACGAATCTAATAAAGAAGAGAGTCTCTTGCAATGCAAATACGTGCTATGAACAAACAAACAAAAAAGGGGAGGACCCATCAGCGATTACGTGCATGATTTGGGCAAAAATCTCGGTATTAAAACAACCCCTTAGGTAAACAAAGAAATTCATACAAAGAATCAGCTTGGAGTTATGTAAATTGGTATAATTATAACCATGCATAAAACCTTGTCAACGCAGAATATAGGCTTTCTGATAAACACATCATTATTCTTGATATTGATTAAACATACATGTACATTTCATTCTAGTATATACCTCTTGTCATTCTGGCAAGTCAGGTCTATTATAAGTTGTCAATTGCTGTTGCCCAAGATTACTTAAGCCAATGCACTACACACACCTCTACCTGTCTACCACAATTTGCACAGTCCTCGCACCCCTTTTTTCTTTCTTTGCACAGTAACATTTTTTTTTGTGTTTGAATATGCGAGTTTTGTGTGTTGCTGAAAAGCCAAGTGCTAGCAAGAAGATAGCAGGAATACTCTCGGATTCACAGTTTGCGACAGTAAGTTTTATTTTATATATTGATATGCAATTCAACACTTACCTTGTAAAACCATTGAAAAAAAAAAAAGTCAAATACAGGCGATCAACATGTCAAGAATTACGAATTCACATACAATTTGAGCACAGGGCCGGCCAGTTTTGTAATGACATGTTTAAAGGGCCATTTAATGGAACTTACTTTTGATGGACCCATTAACAAAGACTGGAACAATTATGCTATCGACGATTTGTTCCATACACCTGTCACAAAAACCATTTCTGGCTACCACGTTCCCATTGCCGACAACATTAAACAACAAGTCAGACGAGCCGATGTTTTGTTTATCTGGACCGATTGCGATCGAGAAGGTGAGGCTATTGGAGGCGATGTTGCTGATTTGTGTCGACATGTCAAACCAAATATTCAAGTCTGGAGAGCTCATTTCTCTTCTATGCAACCAGCGTAACTATATATATATATATTTATCTATATATCATCTACTGATTGATTTCCAAAAATTTTACTAAAAAAAATAATGTATAGCGCTATCCACCGGGCCGCCCAAAACCATGTGCCATTGGATATGAAACAAGTCGAAGCGGTGAGAGCAAGAAGTGAACTTGATTTACGAATTGGTGCAGCATTCACTCGTCTCCAAACAATACAACTTCGTAGCCACTTTGATCCAGCCGATAGACCAGTTTTAAGTTACGGTAGTTGTCAGTTCCCTACACTTGGATTTGTTGTGGATAGATATCAATTAGTAGAAAACTTTATACCAGAGGATTTTTGGAAAATCACAATGACACATGAACAACAGAGAGAAGGATCTGATAATCAACCTATCAAGACAACATTTAATTGGAGAAGGAAACACCTTTTTGATCAGTGGGATTGTTTCATTTTATTCGAGATTTGCTATAACGTTAAAATTGCTACAGTCACCAAAGTTCAATCCAAGCAGACATCCAAATGGAAGCCATTGCCTTTAACTACAGTTGAAATGCAAAAGGTAGCTTGTCGGGTGTTGGGTTTATCTGGTTCTCATATTATGACGATTGCTGAGGATCTTTATACAAGAGGTCTCATTAGTTATCCAAGAACAGAAACCGATCAATTTGAACGTGGATTTGATTTTATGACACTGATAGGTCATCAAACTCAAGATCGAAATTGGGGAGAATATGCTCAAATGTAAGCTAACTTACCCCATTATTTCTAATTCTCTGATGCGCTTTCTTCTTTTAGGCTACGAGACGGTGAGTTTGAACAGCCTAGATTTGGTACAAACAATGATAAAGCACATCCACCTATCCATCCCACAGCTTATGATGTAACATTGACTGGCGATCATAAACGAGTCTATGAATTTATTGTTCGTCGATTCCTTGGTTGTTGCTGGAAAAATGCTATTGGACATGAAACCACAGTAGAAGTCAAGATGGATACTGAATTTTTTGATGCCAAAGGATTGGTTATCTTAGAGAAGAACTATTTAGAAGTCTATACATACGATAAATGGAGTGGTAACGAGATTCCTGAATTTCATGAAGGCGATCAATTTGTACCGGATTCTTTAAATATGGAGGCAGGAAAAACTACCGCTCCCAAATTTCTGACAGAATCCGACTTAATTGGTTTGATGGAAAAGAATGAGATTGGCACAGATGCAACCATTGCTGAACATATCCAAAAGGTCATTGACCGCAAGTATGTTTACAAGGAAGGTACGTACTTTAAACCGTTGACGTTGGGTACTGCGCTTGTTCTTGGGTACAATCAGGTTGGACTGGAAGCTAGTTTAAGTAAGCCGCAACTTCGTAGAAGCATGGAGGCAGATCTTAAGGAGATCTGCAATGGAAATAAGACATTTGAGCAGGTGAGACGGAACTCTTTGGCACAATACCGTGAAATGTTTGATATTTTGAAAGTCAATTTCTCGAGGATTGAACAATCTATGCGAACGAATTTCAATATGCAAGATGACAGATCCCATGGAGGCAGCGGGACTAGCCGAAACCATGGAAACGGAAACAGAGGTGCAGGACGAGGAAGAGGAACTGATTCTGCGCCTACAAGAGGAAGAGGAGGCACAAGAGCGAGAGCGAGAGGACGTGGAAGAGGTCAACGGGGTAGAGGAACATGATTTCTGTAGCCTTTTATCCTTATTTTATATTGTACATACCCCCATTTCCTTATATGGTCCTCAAAAAATAATAATTAAATATATAACGTAAATAGCAATACAGATAATGAGCATAGGTTTTCTACATAAATGAATTTAATTGGTGGGATACATTTTAATTATTGCATAAATATATACCATGTACTCCTCAAATTTCTAGAATAACGCCCTTCTTCTTTCTGTAATCCATGGCAATTTCTGATATCATCCAAAACACGCTTGATTTAGTTCCCAAACATAAGCGAGAAATTCAGGTAATCAGCATCGGCTCTGCCGTTGCATTTGCTTTGTCCTATATTGCCTATGATATTTTTTTGCTACCACCTCGTAACATTCGGCATTTGCCGCACTGGAAGTATCCTGACTTTATCAAAAAAATCTTGATAAAGCGAGCAAATTTTGAAAACGACATGAATTATTTTAAGGAAAAAGCATCCCATCCTGGTCTTAACTTGGTAGTGAATCTAAAACGATATAACAGTTTTTTTTTTTTTATCATTCTAAAAGGAAATCTCTTTTAGAGGCCGGATCGAATCGGATGGTCGGTTCATGTTTCTAGTCCTTCTGGGGTAAAAACTATCTTCAACAAACCAGGTTTGTTACTAGTTTTTTCCTAAATTTTTGCCTAGTTAATCTTAAAGGACTAAATGCACTGTAGATATTTTTATCAAAGCACCAAATGGTATAGGAACTCAAGGGACAATTTACAATAAGTTCATCGGTGGATCCAATGTACTGCTTTCTGACGGTGAGGAATACAGGAGACATAGAAAAGTAATACACCCTCGTTTATCTTGAAACAACTATACTTAATATTTGTTTTCTTTTTTGTTAGGCTGCAAATCCTGCATTCCATCGCTCCATGCCAGTTCAACTTTTTGGGCATATGACACAGACTATGTTTGAAGAGATTGACCGATTACAAGGCAAGAGCGTAAATATGACGGATCTATGCGAGCGTTTGACTTTGGATATTCTTGGAAGAGCCGTGTTCGGTAAGCCTAAATGCAAACACTACTCGAGGAATTCCTTTTGAGATAATCGACTAGATTTTGAATTCAACTCCACGGGAAATCCTAAAAACGAATGGGCCATGGTGTATCAATCCATCATGGAAGCTATGAACCAGAGATTTTTCTATTTCCTTCCATTTATGGATCAAAACAGCTGGCTTATGCTGTTTCCAAAAAGACGACAAGCCCATCAACAGCTGGCAAAGTTTTTAGGGATGATTTCTGATATGATTGTTTTGAAGCGTGAGATGATTGATCGCGGCAATAGTGAACTTAATGATAGTGAAGTTGATAAAAGAGAGACTGATCTCCTAACATTGATGATCGAAAGTGAAGCCAAAAACGACAAGGACAGCTTAACAAACGATGAAATCAGAGTGGGTGATATATTTGTAAAATGGATCGTTGTTATTTAACGTTTGATGTAGAGTAACTTATGCATCTTTTTCTTTGCGGGTCATGAAACCACTTCAAACGCGTTTGCTTTCACTATTTACAACCTTGCTAAAAACCAAGTATGTGCTATTATTAGAATTAATGGTAAATAAATTAAGATAGTCGTTAGGATATACAAGAAAAAGCCCGCCAAGAAGCAATTCAACAATTAGGTGACGCCCCAGAAGATATATTTCCAACACTTGAGGATGCGTTAAAGCTAACATATATCAATCAGATCATGAAGGAGGTACGTATTTTTTTTTTCGGTACTTTATATAAAGATATTACTTATGCACTCTATTCAGACAATGAGAATGTTTGGGCCGGTTATTGATACTGCACCACGTATTACAAGCGAAGACACTTATATTGACGGCGCTTTTATTCCCAAAAATACTTTTGTCACTGCAAATTTATTCAGTCTTCACCATGATGAAAGTATATGGAAGAAACCTGATGATTTTATTCCCGAAAGATTTGAACCTGGAGGTGAGGCTGATCAGATTTATGAGCAGGGGGTAAATTGGGCTCCTTTTGGTGGTGGAAGACGCCAGTGCATCGGCATGAATTTCAGTTTATCCGAACAGAGAGTCATGATATCCATGTTATGTAGGCACAATATATATACAATATAAAGACACTGAACTGATCACAATTCATATAGTACGTAAATATAGTTGGGCATTACCAGAAGACTCTATTCACAAAGAGAAGGCGATAACAAGTGGTATCATAGCAATCAGCCCTGTGAACCTTTGCATAAACTTCAAGAGGCGATATTAAAAACGATGTTACACCAACTTTGTCAGATATGGCTTTGCGCAATGTTGGTTATTTTTATTCCCGGGAGTTTTCAAGATGTTAAATAAAATTATATAAGGGGTAGTTTTATTTACAGTAGTATATGGTGTAATATGGTATCATTGTCAATGTTAGTAATGTTACAATAATAGTGAGAAATCAAAGCTCATCAAGTCATGTGGGCTGTACTTTCAATAGAGGAAAGTCTTTCTTGTTCGTACGAAGTATTTGTTGCTAATGGTTGTATTTCGTAAGCACGTATATCCATATTTTCTCGCTGTTTACGAGCTCTATCAACTATTTCCGAAAACATTGCATCGTTGTACGGGAAAACGGCCCCATCACCTAATCCACGCTTTATAGGCACTAATACATAAAAGTTAGTATTTTTCACATTCTTTGGTTTTATGACTTGCTCCTTACAGAACCAACCCCACGGACTGTTGCCCATGACTTGTCTCCAATTTTCGCCCTTTTTACGTTCCCATAAATTATCGTATACCGAGACTGATACAACTTCATAATTTTGTCCGGACATGTCAAAGTCTACTCTGATTTCATTGGGTCTATCGGCTAAATGCTCGATGGTGGTTTCGTTTCGAAGGATATAAGCTGCATGAACTCCCGCAAATCCAACCACTGTCATTCCAAATATAAAAGCTCTAAGATAAAAATACTTAGTAATGATCTTTTGATTGGAATTTTTCTTTTTTTTCCCTACATGATGATTAATGCGATCCAGTGAGGGTCTAGTGGGGCATTCTATATATCCAAATTATAAGTAATCTCCAGTTACTATAACAATATCTCTTTCTTACCATATCCTTGATTCCTGTAATGACTAAAGGCAAGGCACTAACAAAAACCCATAATCCATAACACCCCGTATAGAACACAAACAGGAAAAAAAATTTGTAGTTTGCAAATCCTACACATCCACTTACCCTATAAATTGGTTATTAGTACCTAAGATTTGGCAAAAATAGTGGCAAATCTGAAAGCTTTACCAAGGGCAATGACTAGAAAAATAAAAAAATTAGTAAGGGCGCAATATCATTTTTCTTCATTTCCCCCACCAAGCCCCAAACTTACTGGTCCATTTTAATTACACAGGCGTTACACTCTTTACAGTGATGAGCCCTATCTGGCTTAAAACATTCACACAGATTGCAATATTTGGGTTGTCCATCTTGTTTACTCACTGATATAATAGGCATTACATCTATTTTGTCCTGCGGATCTACATATCGGCTGGTCATGGTGGTCCAATTAAACAATTTTGGTGAGTAATAATAGCGAGGTAAGCCGGTAGGGGCCAACGCGCCCTGGTTTGATTCCGTGCTGAGAAGAGGTGTGCGTGCCTGCAGGGGGGGGGGGATGAGCTTACTCAGTTTTTGTTTATAATATTATACAATATGCTATACTTTACATTGACAGGTTTCCCTGGTGAAGTGAATAATACTCGGGTATAACTTATGATTGCCATGAACCAAAGTATACTGGCTATAACGATAAATATGACTGTATAGTATTATTAGTATCAATGCTTATTATTTGAATATCATACACATACCTGCTTCTACTGAGTGATCAGGGGGTTTGTTCAGTAATAGATACGCTGTATGAAATTAAATTTAGTTGGAGGAGTTTTTTTGTTACAACAAGTCTCAAACTCACCACAAACACGGAATATGTAAACATACCAAGTATAACTCAATAAGCCATAAACTACAACAGGCAGAATAGATCCTGCAATCTTTGCAGCTAATGGCGAAGGTGGTGACATTTTCTTAAATAAAAGAACAAAAAGCAATTGAAACAAAAAAAAAAAGGGAAAAAGAAAAAAAAGAGCTTGGAGTTTATTTCGGCGTTTTAAACAACGTCAATTATGACGAAATTGAAAATGGACCGTTTGATTGAGGGCATTTAAAAGTGCAATCTATCGAGAAGCTTTTCAACGTGATGTCCATGTACGTGGGCAATTGACTTTGTTAAAGCTTGATCAAAGTCCCACTTGATATCATCAATATGCCTATTTGAAACAAACGATTAGAATATTAAATCGGTAAACATGGCCGATTAGTGGACTTACTCGATGCCAACAGACACACGAATCATATCCTTGGTAACACCAGCAGATTCTTGTTCTTCATCAGTCAATTGTTGATGTGTTGTTAAAGCAGGTGCAATAACAAGTGTTTTAGCATCACCAACATTGGCTAAATGAGAAGCCAATTTGACAGATTCAATAAATGTCTACAAACAATGATTAGTTTATAGCCAATGAATTAAACTTCCGAAACGGTACCTTAAGAGACCCCTTGACACCGAATGTTAAGACTCCACCGAAACCATGAAGATATTTCTTTGCCATTTCATGAGAAGGATGTTCTTCAAGACCAGGATAAAGAACCCAAGCAACATCTTCTCTTGCTTGAAGCCATCTAGCCAATTCAAGTGTATTGTCAAGATGGCGTTGCACTCTAAGAGACAATGTTTCCAAACCTTTGTTCATAATAAAGTTAGTTCTATATACTTCCAATTTCTCATACATCACCAAGGCACATACCTTGAAGTAACAAGAAGGAGCCAAAAGGATTTTGACAAGCACCAATATCACGTAATGTTTCAGTCTTGAGGCGGAAAGTGAATGCAAGTTTGCCGAATGTTTCCCAGAACTTTAATCCGTGATAACCGGGCGAAGGCTCAGTGAAATCAGGGAATTTACCATTGCTCCAATCAAAGTTACCGGCGTCAACGACTGGAATAGGAAGATCTTTAGGAACAAAAAAAAATCTTCCATTTCTACTTTATCACTTACCAACTCCGCCAATAGTTGTACCATGGCTAAACATTACAGAAAATTAAATCAATCTCTTTGGTCACAGATAATCTCAATGTTTACTTACCCGCCAATCCACTTTGTAGCAGAATGTACAACAATATCAGCACCATGCTCAATTGGCTTGACAATATAACCACCAGCACCGAATGTGCTAAAAAAAAAATGCATGCTTAAGTCCTAGTTACATTTTTTTTTAAAAAACACAAATGAAACTTACTTGTCAACCACCAAAGGGATGTTATTTTCATGAGCAACAGCAGCTAAAGCGACAAAGTCAGGAATTTTAAATTGGGGGTTACCAATACTCTCGACATAGATCATCTTGGTGTTTTCATCAATAGCATTACGGAAATCCTCGGGATCCTCACTTTGAATGAACTTTGTAGTAATACCCATCTTGGGGAAAACCACCTTGAGCTGGTTATAGGTGCCACCATACAGACTGGAACTAGCCACGATATTGTCTCCAACTTTACAGAGAGTAGAGATAGTAAGGAATTGGGCAGCTTGACCAGAAGATACAGATGTAGCAGCAACACCACCTTCAAGAGCAGCCATACGTTGTTCAAATACATCCGTGGTTGGGTTCATAATTCTAGTATTGGGTCAGTATTTTTTCTATAACAGCACCATGTTTTAAATTTATCTTATATTATACCTGGAATAAATATTGCCACTTGCACGGAGGGCGAAAAGATCAGCACCATGCTTAGTATCATTGAACACATAGGAGGATGTAGCATAAATTGGGACAGCACGAGAGTTTGTAGTAGGGTCAGGGCTTTGTCCAGCGTGTAATTGGAGGGTATCAAAGTGATACTTATGTTCTTTTTCGTTATGAGTCATTATGAATTATAATTGGGAAGAAGAAAGAAGGTTCATACATCTAATACAAATAAATACTAAATAATCCAGTGTAACGGATGAGGGGCTATTGGGATTAATTGCAGTTTTTTATTGGCTGTAAAAATTGATGATCCCTCCTTGATCAATGGCGTAATGTAGGTCCATTATGAAGTACATTTTTTAACTATTATAAAAATAAATAAAAAACTAGTATTATAAAAAGTTTTCTTCGTTCTTTCCCGGGGTTCCTCTTCAGTTATAATATTGAGTATCACTTGATATCACAAGGCACTACACTTGTCATCTTTATTTACCTTTTACAAACACGCGGCTTCAAACAAAACTTTATCCTGAACTTTTTTATCAAAACAGGTTAGTTTAAATTTTAATTTGAAGCATTATTAGGCTTTTTCTGGTTCCTTTTTTTTTGTTATATGAAAATCTAGTACTTGTCGTTTCTTTTTTTTCTTTTCGCTTGGAAACAAGTAGTGCAATATAAGAAAAACCCTTATGCAAATGGTCATTCAAGTATAGCCCTACACACATGATGTATATGCATCTTGGGCAAACTGAGATTAAATGTCCTGGCACTCAGCACCACTATAAAATGTTTTCGTCTTTGTCCATGCGATTTTCAAAAGGGATCAGTTGATGTATGAGATTAATGGGATTATATTTAAAAGAGAACTTGTTAAATCAATTATTTATATGTGAAGGCTTTATATATGTATGTAGTAAAAATTAGACTTTAGAAAGTCATTTATCTCGGCCAATCAATGGTATTTTGCATTTATCGCGAAGTCTTACGTCTTAACATATTGGATCTTAGAGAAATAATTGGAGCAATAAAGCATTATGGGTAAATACGGCTTTCAATCTTATTTGCTATGCTGGTAATAAAAGTGCTGCGTACACTTACAGACGGTGTTATTGCATACTATTTGTGACTGAAAACCTTTGCTCTCGGGAAATCAAAAATTAAAAAGTGACCATTTTTTTTATATTAACGCGTTGGGAGCGCAGCGCGACCTTTCAGAAAAAAAAACATTCGCGGTTTCTCTTTACTTCTATTTTACATAAAACTTGCAAAATGGTTCAATTAACTGCGGGCGCAATTAAGGTCCTCTACGATGATGACAAAAGTTCTCCCCTTTATAGTGATCCCTTTGTGCAAGTGATCAACATCAAGGCTGTTGCTGTCGCTGGTGGTACTCGTTATAGGTGAGAAATAATTGACAACACAATTGCGCAGTTTTTTAAATGCCTGAAATAAACTTCTTTAGAGTCATTCTTTCCGATGGTATCCACTTCATGCAAGGTAAACCACATTAAAGTTCCTTGTTAAAAGGTCAGACACTCATATAAAGTTATTAGCTATGCTTGCCGCCTCTCATACCAGCCTTGTCGAAAATCAAAGTTTAAAGCGTAACAGTATTATCAGACTTAAAGAATCTGTTTGTAATCTTCTCCAAAACAGAAAGTAGAGTATTATCAAGCTGATAAAATGGGATTATGGCGTATTAATCATATGCATATAGGATTTTGATTGTTTTAGGCTTTGATGTGATTGAAAGTGACGTCGATTCTAAAGTGGGAGCACCCATTACCCTCGAAGGACACGTTACACCTGCAACACCTAAACCTGAAGGAACAAGCCAAACTTCTTCTCCTGTACCCAAGCCTGCCACCACATTCAACTCAGGCGGCACCAATATGCAACTGGAAGCTTCTCTCACTCCTATCAAAAACTTGAACCCTTACCAGACCAGATGGACTATTAAGGCTAGAGTGACTCAAAAATCTCCCATCAGAAAGTGGCACAATGCTAGAGGCGATGGTCAATTATTCAGTGTCAATTTCCTTGATCAAACAGTATGTACATAAAATTGTGGGACAACAGGTACATAACTAAAATATTTTTTTGTGGTCTAAATAGGGTGAAATTAAAGCTACCGCATTCAATGACCAAGTTGATCGTTTATACAACATGTTTGAGGAAGGAAAGGTTTATTATATCTCAAAGGCCAGAGTCACGATGGCAAAGAAGCAGTTTTCTACTTTAAATAATGAATATGAATTGGGTTTGGAACATGGTACTGAAATCGAAGCTTGTGGTTCTGAGTCTGCCATTCCTCAAATGAACTATGAATTTGTTAAAGTTGCTGATCTCGAGAAACATGAAAAGGGAACCAACATTGATATAGTCGGTGTTGTTACCGAAGATATGGGTCTTTCCGAAATCGTTAACAAGATTAGTGGAAAGCCTACCAACAAAAGAGAACTTACCATCGTTGACGAATCCTGCAAGTCCGTTAGACTGACTCTTTGGGATACAGTCGCTGAACAATTCGATAGTTCTAACAATCCTGTCGTTGCTTGTAAGGGTGTTCGTGTGAATGATTTCAATGGTCGTACTTTATCTTTGGGCGGTGGTGGTTCTATCAAGAAAAATCCTGACTTGCCTGAGGCACATAAACTCCGAAAGTGGTATTCCGATAAGGCTGGTTCTATTGTTTTCGATTCCTACTCTTCTAATATGGGAGGAGGTATGGATCATAGCCCCTCTACTTTCATGACCTTACAACAAGCAAAGGTTCAAAACTTGGGTCATGGCGAAAAGCCCGATTATTTTAGCTTTAAGGGTACTGTCGTATATATCAAGAGTGAGAATCCCGCCTATGCTGGATGTCCTACATGTAAGAAGAAGGTATCAATGGAAGAGAATGGCTGGCGTTGTGAATCCTGTCAAAAACTTCATAATGCACCTGTATACAGATACATTTTAACTGCTAGTGTTGAAGATTCCACCTCTCAAATCTATGTCAATGGTTTCGATGAATTCGGTCAAGCTTTATTGAAGGTTAGCGCAAATGAGTTGATTGCTTTGAAAGATAGTGACGCTGGTGCTGCTCAAAAAGTTATCAACCGTGCACTTTTCCAAACATTCAATTTCAAGGTCAGAGCAAAGACTGAGTCATATAATGTAAGATAAAAATGCTTCGTAAAAGATATGACTTGATTCTTAACGGAATTTATTTAGGACATGAATCGCGTCAAGTATAGCTGTGTCTCTGTGTCTCCTATCGACTTTGTCCAAGAATCTGAAAAATTGGTTACTGCTATTGAAAAGCTTTTGCTTTAAAAAAAAATGTACAAACAAATAGCTCAAAATGATCAACATATTTTTAACGTCAATCAATTTAACATAAAATAAAAATAACTAGCCTCTCTTCATATTAAACAACTGTTTTACGAGTGATAAATCTTTAATTGTAGTATCCCGCTTGTTAGCTATTTTACCGATTGGTCATATGCCGTGTAGTCGTTTTTATAAACGTATTGCCAAAATAATGTAATAGCCCTAATCTGTGCTTATGTATTTACGGACATCAGACCGTGAGTAAGTTTTTATAAATAGGAAAACAACAAAAAACGCATTAGTGTAACCGGCATGTGCTTATGGAACTGACCTCCTGCATTAAGTAAACGCCGGATTAAACTAGGTTCTCTAAAAAGAAGTATAACAATGCTGTCATGCTACCAATGATCCAAAGCTATTAAAAAGTTGTATCCGTCTTTGATTACATTACGAGGCTATTTGTCCGTTGTATTTTCCGGATCGCCTCATTATTCGTGTGTAGCTAATAATAGACGAATATCAACTGATCATTTATGCTCGAAATCAGTAATGTCACTAAGATTAGTTTAAAAGATACATCTTGATTGTACATCTGTTGGTACTTTTTCAAGTAGAAATATTGTTAGTAAAGCAACATGTACTGTTTTATAGAGAACTCTCGTTCGATGATCTAGAAAAACATCATACAGTCAAATAATTTGTTACCATTTGAGAAAGAAGTGATCACCATGTATTTTAAGGATAAGGCTACTGTATTTCGTATTACATAGAGAATACAGACAAATATTACTTAAAAGTATAATTATGACTACTTTTATAAAGAAAAAATGATTCAGATATGGTAGTCGAAGGATCAAAGATCTGTAAAGTAAGGCTTCTCATCAAATCTTCTAGCTACTACAGTTGATTCAAGACATCAATATCAACCAGTCATTTATTACTGACCTTACAAGAATACTCAATTTATAAAATGTAATATACATTATATAATTCATAAGTTACCCAACGTTATACAAAAAATCCAGCGGTTTATTTATGTAATAAGAAGGGTTTGATTTCAAGGGATAAAAAAAAAAAAAAAAAAAAAAAAAAAAAAGGCAACGCTACATAATAATTTAGTTACACATTGTATTCCTTTCCGTTTATAAACTTTCATGGGAACGAAAATATATTTTCACCTGTCTACTGCTGCCGCACAACATGTGTGCTATCCTTTGTTGATTAATAAATAGAACACGGTATAAATACTTTAATTCGTGTATTTCAGATTAAAATCGTTTTCTTTTTTCTTACAAACTTTTTTTCTTTTATATTCAGACAGTAAAAATATTTAGAATGAATTTAAAAGAAGGCTTTTTCGCTTCCCCCTTTAATAGTTCGGATGATGAAATAGATCCAAATACTGATGAAGGACAGGAAGTTCTCTCTCAACCTGCTGCCACTAAGTGGGAATTATGGGGTTATTATCTTTATTATAATGGTGTATGTATACCTTTAAACCATAGATATTGTGATCTTCATGTATTAACTTTTTTTTTTCGGAATTACAGGATAATGGTTACACCATGAACAGCTATATGTTGAATATTTTACAGTATCTTGCCTATAATGGTGGGTTCTACCCTGATACACCTAATGTTAAGGGTTGTGATATTCACGATAGCGATAGGAATTGCTACGTCCTTTGGTCGGGTACTAAGGGTATACCGGTACCTTCCATGATGCTTTATGTTCAGGCCATTTCATTTTCTATCCAATTCGTTCTTTTCACTACATTTGGCAGTCTTGCTGATTATGGCAAATGGAACAGATACATTTTATTAGTGGCTACAGTCATAGGCTGTGTCACTCAAATTGTTCCCGTTGCTTTTTACAAAGATGATGGATCCAGTTGGAACGCTATGCTGGCTATTATGATTATTGCCTTGATTTCTTATGGAACGTCTCTTGTATTTTACGGTGCTGCTTTCCCCACCCTAAGGTAAAATAACCACAGCTTGGTCAGAAAATTTTGAAAACTTCCAGGTTTAAAATCTGGAAAGAAAAAGTATCAGTTATTGATGTAACACAAGCTAATTTTCTGTTTAGTGATAACTTACCTATCGTCCGTAAAGCCCGTGGCGATCCTAGCTTATCAAAAAACGAAAAATCTGTTGTTATCGAGAAATGGAGAAATCACGTATCTGCTATCTCTACAGTATTTTCAAATATCGGTTTTTTAATCATGACAGGTAGGAAATACAATCCAGTATTTGATTCTGCAAATTTATTAATTTAAATGCAAAAGGTATTTTATCTGGAATATCGTTTCTTCCTTGGAAAAATTATAATTTTTATAACGATGATGAACATGTATTGGGTAATGTTCCTCTATTCAATTTTATTTCCACTGCTGTGTGTGGTGTATTTTGGGTTATTAATGCGATACCTTACTTCGTGGCTGTACCATCCAAAAGACAAGGTCCACCCCTCCCTAGCAATGCCAATCATTTTACAATTGGTTGGAAATCAATTTTCGTTGCTGTAAAAGAAGCCCGCAAGTTAAAATACTTGTTTATGTATATAATTTCTTACTTCATGTTCGCCGATGCTATTTCAACTACTAACCAAATGATTGGTATAACCCAAGCTCAAATCACAGACTTTAATGCTCAGCAGATCACCATTCTTAATTTGGCTTCTGCTGTCACATCTATTATCGGTTGTTTATTCTTCCTCTGGTTGTCTAAACGCTTTGGTGTCAAAACAAAAACAAACTTGCTTATTATTGTTGGTCTTTCTGGTGTGGTTGCACTTTGGGGATGTTTTGGTATTCGATTTAACAATTTTGGTATCAAGACCACTTGGGAATTGTGGGTGTTCTATGTCTGGACCGGTTTATTTTCTGCTCCTATCTGGGCATGGCAAAACACCATGTTAGCGGAACTCATACCTCGAGGTAAGGAAAATTTGTTCTTTGGTCTCTTCGGTGTAATCAATAAAGCATCTTCTTGGATTGGTCCTGTCATTATTGGTGCAATTACCCAGTATACTGACAACCTTTGGAAAGGATGGCCTTTTGTCCTTGCTTTGTTTGTTGTATCGCTCGTAATCATTTGGTTTATTGATGTCGATAAGGCCAAGCTTGATATCGAAAAGTATTTAGGTCAAGAGGAGATTGACCATGTTGATTATGATAATAGTTCGCCACCAGTTTATATTGAAGAAAAAACCAGTGTCTAGCCATGCAAACCTAATTGAACCTCACACTGATCTATTGTTAACATGTTAATCACATACCTTAAAATTATATATCCATTTAATGTTTTATTTATAATAATCATCCTCTATCCCATCTAAAGTTCCCTCTACCAAATCTGTTATTGGCAATCTCAAATGTTAATCGTCCTTGAAACTCTTAACAGTTAGATAATTATGTTTATTGATAACCATTTAAACCAATAAGACTCTGATGCTACACTAAAGCGAGCTTACCCATATATATATAAATATTTGTGCTGCTGTAGTCAAAACAATTCACCCTATAACAAATATGAGCCGTGATACCTATGTTTTTAACCGTGATATGCTTTGGAGATTTATGCTCTAATATTTATCCCTACACTTGTAACATATGCGTGACACATGACACGATTTGTGAGTATGGCTGAGTGAATGTAACCTATTCTCAAAGCTTTATTTTTTTTTGTAATACGGTGCTCTTTTTTTCTGTTTTTTAACTTTTTTTTTTTTTTTTTTTTTTTTTTTTTTTTTTTTTTTTTTTCAGATAATAAGAATGATGGCCAGTGACTTGGAAGGTAACTTAAATTTTTAAAAAAAGTACAACAGCAATCTTAGATAGATAGCATAATTCACGTATCTCCTAAGAAAGGGACGATTAAAAATCCGCTTTTGTTTGACCGTTCCTGCAGTATGGACAGAGAAACACAAAACACGATATTTCTGTCTTTGAATTAGTTCAACACGCAATACGTTTGTAGCCAAATATAGTCGACCCATTAGAAGACAGTTACGATGAAGACTTGATAAATATCGACCTTCCTTCAAAATATGAAAAATTTGATATAAAACATGGTCCAATCATTAAAGATGATAGTTCTTTCGATTGCACTTTAGGAAATCCACGAAAAAGTTTTTGATCCTGTTGTAGGTGAAGTTTTGAAATAGTGGAAAAATTAGAAGCAATATTTTTGGTCGGTGGCTTTTGGCAATCGTCATATCTGTTTGGAAAGATCAAAGCAAACTGTTCTCAAAAGTTCCGTTTAATATGTCAACCAGAAAGTGGGCAGCCAGCCATTGTCTGCGGTGTTGTTTTAATGGGATTAAATCCTTCACTAGTTAAACAACGAGTAATTCGTCGTACATACGGATACCAGTACGCAATGGAATATGACGATGAGAAAGATAAAGGAAGACCGAAAGTGATGTACGAAAATGGCAAGACCCAATGTAATGGCAGGTTCCATCAGTATGCCAAAAAAGGAGATATCCAGGACATACGTTACTACAGCGAGGCATATTTTACAATCTCCTATGATAACCAACCATCAATACGTAAAATGATAGGTTATTTATTGGAATACGTGTAAATTCCTAACACAACTTCCTGTGTAGATTTATTTGCCTATGATGGCGACATAAATAATAAAGTAAGATACACGGGCGGATGATCCAAAGGTCAGAAGATTATAGAATTTGACATACTTATGGCATCGCTCCCAGGTCGGACGATGGCCGACCTAGTGGACATTGACATACTGTTCTATCTGTATCAAACCGAGATTAAGCTCAGAATAAATATTGAAAACAGATAAGCATTTACACAGGGTCTTATCCCAAAAACATTGATCATGTTCCAGATGATACGACTTAAAAACAGGGTATAATCGGTGTTGGGAACATCAAAACGACTCATAGTCAATACGAGAGATCAACAATTCCTGAAGATAGTGGAAAGATTGGCATCCAAGGAACCATTCTAGAATAAGTAACGCAAATTTAATAATAACAACAAACAATAATAAACTAATCATACACACATATTTTGGCATATTGAGTTCGCCGTTTTCTTTCAGATTTATTCAACGAGCGATTACTTTATTTCGTTTCATATCATTTTGAATGCTTTATATCTCAAGTTTTAATGCTGTAATGTCACAAAAAGGGCTATTGTGATATTTTTTGCGCAAATTTTGAACGTGATGCTCTGTGTTACGAAACCGCGTACTTACAACTAAAAAACTATATTCAAGCACTGCCTTACACATAAATGAACGTAAAAATTTGAGATAAAATTTGGTACGTTAAAAACAAAATATGTAAATCCAAACTTCCAAAAAGTTAATTATGCAGAACATGCTTAATAAAACAGTGTCTAAATGTATGAGAGATAATGTTTATTTTGAATAGAAGGCTTTCTTCGCGGCACTTCGTGTGACAATAATAAACTGGCTTAGACAAATAATGCCAAAGTTGTTATTTATTAAACGTAAACTAAAAGATAATCCCCCTTACTTATACTCCTTTTTCTTTCTTTGCACTATAACCAAACTTCTTGTTATATACACCGCGTACGCAATTAAATGATAGGGGAACTAAACGGCGATAGAAGTATGATATTTAATAGATGTATCAACAATCAACTAACAAGACTGTATATAATTAATAGCTTATACAGTTTCGGGTTTATCAGAAGAGACAAAAAAACATTACGAAATTGTTGTGGGCATTGATTTTGGAACCACTTATTCTGGTGTTGCTTACGCGAGAGTCGGGGAGATGGAAAGCGGACGTGCTCTCGTCAGTAATATTGACAAGTGGTAAAAGTCTTTTCTGCGTTTTATAAGAGTCTGCCTATTTACGTATTTGATTTTAGGCCTGGAATTACGGCTTATAGTCAAACGCCAACAAGATCAGCATATTTAAATGGCAAATTATCTAAGTGGGGTGGTTTTGGAACTGTTAGTAAAGCCACTAAAACTATCTCATTGTTTAAACTTCACTTGGACGAAACCAAAACACATCCTAACTCAATATTGCCCTACGGACTAGAATTAGAACAGGTGATTTCAGATTACCTCAGATCAATTTATGAACACACGTGCACACTTTTAAAAGGCCGTTTTGGAAAGACACTTGATACAAGTAAGCTACGGTTCTGCTTGACGGTACCTGCTGTTTGGACAGAGAAGGCTAAAAACATAATGCGAGATGCGGTCATTAGAGCTGGGATTATCAGTAAAGAAGACCCTCAGGACAGGTTGTTGCTAGTTGGCGAGCCAGAAGCTGCTGCTTTGTATTGTGAGACTTTTCTTGATGAATATAATCTTAAACCTGGTCAAAATTTTCTCATTTGTGATGCTGGTGGAGGAACAGTAGATCTTGTGGTATATCGTATATCTGTTGATAAAAATGGCAAAAATTCACTTATGGAGGAGGTTGCAGGCGATGGTGCAATATGTGGTTCAACTGCTCTGGATGCTAATTTTAGGAGATTTGTTTCTGAAAATATGCAGTTATTTTTTAAAGATGAAGACGCTTTGACTGACAAAGAGCTGGATGCCATTGTCAAGGTATTCACGGATGAAACAAAGGTATATGAAAAATGAAAAAAGTAAAAATAAAATCGTTCTCTCAAAAGCTTTTAGTCTCAAGTATGTCATCCATCAAATCCCGATTATGACGAGGATTTCTTAATTGTAACGCTCCCTGATCGATTTGGAGAAATAGAATATGTTGTGGAAAAAGACAAACTATTTTTTACAGATTCTCAATTACTTATACATCCTGAAATAATGTTATCGGAGATCTTTGATCCTGTAATCGACCAGGTGCTATCTTTGATTGACACACAGCTTGATAGAATAGACAGAACGCTAGACGCGATATTTTTAGTTGGTGGATTTGGTCAATCAACCTATCTGCTTCATAAAATTACAGATAAATTTACCGATGATGTAGCATTGATTTGTGCCCCTGCGCGTGGAGAAATGGCTATTGTTCGTGGAGCTGTCTTGATGGGATTGGATCCTCAGTTTGTTAAGCAGCGTGTCGTACGTCGAACTTATGGGTATGAATGCTCGTTAGGATTTGACAACGCATTGGATCCAAAGAGGTTAAGAACTGTTGATCAGAATGGTGAAGTTTATTGTAACAATCGGTTTAAAAGCTATGCTTTGAAAGGAGAAGTTAGAGATGTAGATTATTATGCTTATACATCATTTAAGTGCTATTACAACAAAAATCCTGTATTGCGTCAGTAATCCGTCAAATATACGATACTACAATAATCTAACTATAAATATATTATAGAGTTATATGCCTATGATGGTAATCCTGAACAGCTCCCCAGATATACCACAGATCCTGCGGTGAAGAAAGTCACTGAATTTGAAATTGTATTGCCAAATATTCCGGGCAAAGGCCCCAGTGATACTGTTGTCATCAATGTGAAATTTTATCTCTATCAAACTGAAATCAAGCTTGAGGTAGAAATAGGGAACAAAAAAAAAGTTTATACAGGCTCTTATAAAAAGACGGAAAATATGCCAATAGTCGGAGAAATTTTGAACGGTGTCCAAAGTATGGAAATAAAGCATGGTTCTGAAAGTTTGGAAAAAAGTTACGAAACACAAACAACGAAAAAGGATCAGCCCAAAAAAACAAGTGGAAATGACATAGGAATTCAAGGAGTTATTTCTGAAAAAACAAACTATATCAGAAGATAGCACTTAATAAACGTTTTATAATTTTGGCTTTTGAGGTTATGATGTTTGTTGCATTCATGTAATTATTGTAGTAAGTTTGAAGCGGCTAACAAATTAACCATGGTAAAAACAAACGAGGAACGAAAATCGATTGGCTAGTTGTAAGCGTAAGCATCTTTTCGTAATTTAGAATGCTAAAATACACCAACCGCAGATTCCTAAAAAAAAAGACGAGAGTGCTTGGTTCAATGAGAACTGCCCAGCTGATTCTGTCAACTTGGGCAAAGCGGCTTGGACATTACTACATACAACTGCAGCTTTCTACCCTGATCGTCGAGCACCTTCACAAGTGGATTCAATGAGATTTTTCAAGTCCGTTCAGCGACAACTATCCTCGCTTCAAGGTAAAAAAAAAAGAAGAACACCCATGCATCTTTTTTTTAAAAGGGAGTTCAAAGAATATATGTTAGAAAAACCATTTTATGCAGGAAGTCGTAAAGAGTTCAGAGAATGACGTTTTAAACAGCGTAAAAATTTAAACGAAAGACCTTGTCAGCTTTCGTTTGACTGTGAATTAATACTTGATATCTAGGTATATCAATAGACTTATATTGCCATATACACCAGTTCTCTAGCTTGTAGGTTTGATCTAGGGTGCCTCATAAAACCGTTTGTAAAACCAGGCATCAATGACTAATATTTTCTAAATGGCAATAATACCTCTGACTATCTAAGTTTAAATAATTAAAACAGTTGTTTGTGTGGATTTATTTTCGCTTTTCTTAGCAACAGCCAAAGTGCACTTGGTTACAAAGTAAGATATGTGATTTGGTTGCCTTTAGACCTGGAAAAAAAGATATAGTTACAATAAAAAACAATGTAGCAGTTACAAATAAATGTATATTGAACGATTTATATACTTATTTTGACAATTCTATCGTCACTCTTTCGCTTTTTAGCTTGTTTTATCTTAATGTTACACAGAGATATTAAGGTAAAGTCCATACGAGAAGCCGAAAGTAAGCTATAACACACACATACTGGTTTGCCCTATATTGGTTGTATCTATTTCAAGACTATAAGTCATACTGAATTCTTGTGTCTATTAAAGTATTATAATCCGGCGATCTAATTACAAGTAGTCTATCACTCTGGCTGTCCGTAAGAAAATTTGTGTGCCACTAAGGACTCAATTTATTTTCTTATATTAGCGACATCAATGATATTACAAGGTGCACTGATGACCCAAAAGTCAAAAAGATTATAAAATTTGACATAGTTATGCCACCGCTCCCCGGTCGGAAACTAACCGATCTAGTAAACATTAACATACGGTTTTACCTGTACCTGACAGAGACTAAGCTCAGAGTAAATATTGAAAACAAAATAAGTATTTATACAAGATCTTATCTCAAAGGCAACGATCATGTTTCCGATGATGAGACTGAAAAAATAATATATTCGGTGTTGGAAACATCGAAACGGCATGCAGTCAATATAAGAGATCAACAATTCCTGAAGAAAGCGGATAGATTGGCATCCAGGGAACTATTTCAGAATAAGTAACGTAAACTTAATAATAATAAACAATAATAAATTGACCAGACACACATATTTTCATATAGAGTTCGCCATTTTCTTTCAAATCTATTCGACGGGTGATAAGTTATTTTCAATTCGTATATTTCAAATGTCTGAAAATTCAAGTTTCAGTGCTGCAATATCACAAAAAGGGTCACCATGATACTTTTGCGTATATTGCAAAAATTTACGTGTATATTATAAGTGATTATATACTTCGTACTTGGAAATAAAAAATTATCTTCAAACGCTGTCCTACACATAATAAGCGTACAAATTTAAAATAAAATTTGGTATTGCCAAATGTCCGTCGAAAGGAAAAATATTTATATCCAAACTTCTAGGAAGTTATTCTTTTACAACTTACTCAACAAAACATTGTCTAGATGTATAAAAGATAGATGGCTTTCTTCGCGGCGCTTTGTGTGACAATAATAAGCTGGCTTAGACAAACGATGCCAAAATTGTTATTTATTAATCGTAAACTAAAAGATAATCCCCCTTACTTATACTCCTTTTTCTTTTTCTTTTTTATTGCACTTTAGTCACATCTCTTTTATTATATACCACGTACGCAGTTAAATGATAGGGGAACTAAACGGCGATAGAAGTATGATATTTAATAGATGTATCAACAATCAACTAACAAGACTGTATATAATTAATAGCTTATACAGTTTCGGGTTTATCAGAAGAGACAAAAAAACATTACGAAATTGTTGTGGGCATTGACCTTGGAACCACTTATTCTGGTGTTGCTTACGCGAGAGTCGGGGAGATGGAAAGCGGACGTGCTCTCGTCAGTAATATTGACAAGTGGTAAAAGTCTTTTCTGCGTTTTATAAGAGTCTGCCTATTTACGTATTTGATTTTAGGCCTGGAATTACGGCTTATAGTCAGACGCCAACGAGATCAGCATATTCAAATGGCAAATTAATCAAATGGGGTGGTTTTGGAGTAGTTGCTAAATCCATTGAAATTATCTCATTGTTTAAGCTTTACCTGGACGAAACCAAGAAAGATCTTATCATCCCAAAATTGCCAAACGGAGTCGATACAGAACAGGCAATTTCAGATTACTTCAAAGCAATTTATGAACACACGTGCATGCTTTTAAACAGCCGCATTGGAAGGACAATTGATACAAGTAAGCTACGGTTCTGCTTGACGGTACCTGCTGTTTGGACAGAGAAGGCTAAAAACATAATGCGAGATGCGGTCATTAGAGCTGGGATTATCAGTAAAGAAGACCCTCAGGACAGGTTGTTGCTAGTTGGCGAGCCAGAAGCTGCTGCTTTGTATTGTGAGACTTTTCTTGATGAATATAATCTTAAACCTGGTCAAAATTTTCTCATTTGTGATGCTGGTGGAGGAACAGTAGATCTTGTGGTATATCGTATATCTGTTGATAAAAATGGCAAAAATTCACTTATGGAGGAGGTTGCAGGCGATGGTGCAATATGTGGTTCAACTACTCTGGATGCTAATTTTAGGAGATTTGTTTCTGAAATTATCCAGTCATTTTTTAAAGATGAAGACGCTTTGACTGACAAAGAGCTGGATGCCATTGTCAAGGTATTCACGGATGAAACAAAGGTATATGAAAATGAAAAAAGTAAAAATAAAATCGTTCTCTCAAAAGCTTTTAGTCTCAAGTATGTCATCCATCAAATCCCGATTATGACGAGGATTTCTTAATTGTAACGCTCCCTGATCGATTTGGAGAAATAGAATATGTTGTGGAAAAAGACAAACTATTTTTTACAGATTCTCAATTACTTATACATCCTGAAATAATGTTATCGGAGATCTTTGATCCTGTGATCGACCAGGTGCTATCTTTGATTGACAAACAGCTTGAAAGAATAGACAGGAAGCTAGACGCGATATTTTTAGTTGGCGGATTTGGTCAATCAACCTATCTGCTTCATAAAATTAAAGATAAATTTACCGATGATGTAGCATTGATTTGTGCCCCTAAGCGTGGAGAAATGGCTATTGTTCGTGGAGCTGTCTTGATGGGATTGGATCCTCAGTTTGTTAAGCAGCGTGTCGTACGTCGAACTTATGGGTATGAATGCTCGTTAGGATTTGACAACGCATTGGATCCAAAGAGGTTAAGAACTGTTGATCAGAATGGTGAAGTTTATTGTAACAATCGGTTTAAAAGCTATGCTTTGAAAGGAGAAGTTAGAGATGTAGATTATTATGCTTATACATCATTTAAGTGCTATTACAACAAAAATCCTGTATTGCGTCAGTAATCCGTCAAATATACGATACTACAATAATCTAACTATAAATATATTATAGAGTTATATGCCTATGATGGTAATCCTGAACAACTCCCCAGATATACCACGGACGACGCGGTCAAGAAAGTCACGGAATTCGAAATCAAATTGCCAAATCTCCCAGGCAAAGGTCCTAGTGATATTGTTGTCATCAAAGTAAAATTTTATCTCTATCAAACCGAAATCAAGCTTGAGGTAGAAATCGAGAACATAAAAAAAGTCTATACAGGCTCTTATAAAAAGGTAGACAATATGCCATTTATCGGAGAATTGTAAACGGTGTCCAAAGTATGGAAATAAAGCATGGTTCCAAAAGTTTGGAAACAGGTCGAAAAACAAAAAGGAGAAGCCCAAAAAAAACACGTGAAAATGACATAGGAATTCAAGGAGCTATTCTTGAAAAACAAAACTATTTCAGAAGATAGCACTTAATAAACATTTCAGAGTTTTGCCTTTCGAGATTATTTTATGTTTGTCCCCTTTATGTAATTATTGTAGTGAATTTAAAGCTTTAAGAGGCTAAGCACTGTGACTGTGATAGGCAGAAATAGATCCATCAATGTAGCTGGGGAAAACAAATTAACCATGGCAAAAACAAACGAAGAGCGAAAATCAAATGGTTAGTTGTAAGCGTAAGCATCGCTTTGTAAAATAGAATGCTAAACTACACCATTCTCAGATTCTTTAAAAAAGGACGAGAATGCTTGGTTCAATGAGAATTGCCCAGCTGATTCCGTCAACTTGGGCAAAGCAGCTTGGACATTATTACATACAACCGCAGCTTACTACCCTGATCGTCCGGCACCTTCACAAATGGATTCAATGAGACTGTTCATGTCTTCGTTCATCGACAACTATCCTTGTTTTAAGGTATTATAAATAAAGAAATATAAACCCACTCGTTAAATGACAGCCAAAGTTTGTGTAGAAAGAGTTTAAAGAATATATGGCAGAAGAACCAGTCCGTGTAGGAAGTCGTAAAAAGTTAAGCGAGTGGCTTTGTAAACAGCATAACAAAGTGAACGAAAGACTTGGCAAGCCTTCGTTTGACTGTAAGTTAGTACTTGATAGATGGTTACAAGGATCCTTAAAACAATGCGATCAATAAAGAGAACTTTTATGTCACACGCTTTTCTTCAAATGGATGATGAAGTCAAGCTTGTCACCCATCTGGTATCATCTTTTAGTCATTTAAATTTGCTGCATAAACCTGATGGTGCAGATATTAAGTAAGAATGCTTATGGCTTTCCAGTATTCAATTACTCAATTCAAAACAACATCAATAAAACTTCCCTTTCTCATGCTGCGAAGACACATTTCCGAATAATCATTAGAAAATAATACTATTGATGCTAACCTAGCCTTGTAAAACTCGCCGTTTGTAAAATTAACATTGACATCATAATTAGTGCGCTTTAATAAGATTTTGCTGCAGCATCTTGATTTTGGATCATTCAGATATAGCGTAATTAACATGGATTTTGTTTTGGTAAGTTCCAAATAATTGGGTCAAAGGAGTTTCCATACAGATTGACAAAAAATCGTAGCATATGTTTAAATTAACAGCACGATAGACTCTGGTCAGTCAAACGTGATCTTTTGTATGAAACAATTTTGAGGAAAAGACCTTTTGCACAAAGTTAATCGTGGTGTCGGAGACGGAAGCGCTCAAGCGCACACTGGAATTTTAAAAAACACAATGCCAATTCGGTTGTTCTTAACGCCGGAAAACCCCTTTTGTAAATTGCCTCAACGATGAAATGGCGTGTTCTCATTTTGCTCATGGCAGGTGTGTCTATGATATATCTCGTCAGTCTATTACAAGATACACCTTATCCACACCCTGTGGTTATACAAGCCTCTATACCAAAAACATCTCGGGTTAACGAACCTACTCAGATCCTTCTCTCCATTCACCATGACTATATTTATCGTACCCATGTCCACTTCGAAGCCGTGTTAGATGCTAATAGAGCCTATGTACGCGGTGTTGATTCCGTCAAGGCTGGTGTAAACGGTACGTGTTCATTTTTTCTTTTAGTAAAGCTACGTAATAACGGTTTGTTACACACATAGGTTTAATCATACAGTCTAGAAAGAAAAAGGCCGATCTATTGGGCGAGGTTGCTGAAGAAGGTATGGCTACGTCTATTGTTAAAAAAACATGAGTATTTAAGAAATTGAATAGATTGGGAAGTTTGCTTTAAACATTTACTGAGTGGGCCTATTACCAAAATTTCAAAATCAGCAGAGGGTACTGATTCACATCAGTTTGCGATATTATACCATGTTATGGATGATCAAGATATCAAGCATTTTGTCAGATTGTATTATTTTTCTACTGATAATCATGGAACTACAAGTGAATACAAGGACTTGTTATTGCCTGGAAATACAATGATTAATGCCATCTCATTAGAGCAGGATACCATTTTGTACTCTCGGTAAATTACAATATACATATGAACAAGAGATATAGTGCTAATTTCAATCTAGTGATCCTGACAGTTACCGGTTTAGAGTAGCTGCTTTACCTGATAATTTATTGTTACCACCTCATTCTAAAAAGTCTAGCCCTATACCATTAACCACAGGACAAACCGGTGACCTTGCAAAATGTAAAACTTGATGATATTTGAGCATCAGCATTTTTAGTAATGACTAATTACATTTTTAGCCAACTACCAACCAAATGCCACAGAGTTATACACTGGTTTATTATGCAAATTATATTCATCGAAGTATGTATTGATCTTTGGAAGGATATTAGATTTAATTAAATTTGAATGTATATAGCCCACAAACTTACCGTGTATACTCTCTTGATGTTTATAAGACCAAGTATCTGTTCCATTCAAGTGTTACGATTAGCGATGGAGTAGCTCTCAGCCCAAAGGACCACGGGTTTAACACAGGAAACTGGGTGTTTAGAGATCATTTTAGTTCCAAGGTATTAATAATAAGAGTTTTTATATGACTTGTAAATACTGAAGAGCTGATACATTAGGATAAGGTGATAATTGATGAGAACCTGGAATACATGACATTTGTGGATGGGGCTCATTTTCATCAAGAAACAACCGAAATTGAAATGCCAAAACCTAGTATATCTCGATCCAGGTATGGCAAAACGGTAGTTGTATCGTTGATCCGAAACAATTTTCAAACACTGGATTTTACAGATCGTTTGGGTGCTTTGATGAATGATGCAAGCGAGAGAGATCATTTATACAAGATGGAAGATGGCAAAATATTGCCAGAATTTTATCATTCGATGCAAGCCATTGACAGTGTTGAGACAGCTGAAACGGCCTATGATGCAAGTGATATCAGAGGCGTACAAGTCAATGAAAATGGCACGTTATTAGCTGTTTGGACTAAATCAAAATCGATCTACATTTACAAACGCGGATCTGCCGATCGTGTTACAAAAAGTTGGACTGGCGTAGGAAAGATGTTTGATGCAACCGCTTCGTATATAAACATTGAAAGTCCTCACCATCTTGAAAAGCCACTAGAGTGGATACTGCGTATGGTTATCACACCAAAAGAAGGCCATATTGGATTTGTAACAGTAAGTTTTAAATAGTTCGGTTGTCACACTACTAATCAAGCAAATATAGCCTATCGGTGCAGCTATGTTTTGGAACTATAATGATTCGAATTTCATCTGTGAGTTTTTTTTATTTTTGATAGTTTCGTTTATAAAGTAACTCATCCTCTACTTATAGCCATTGGAATGAAAAATAATATTGTAAACACTTATTTGATTGATGAAGTAGAAGAGCAAAAGGCTGTCAATTTTCAAAGTTTTATAAGGGATAAATGGGATTTGTGGACAGGTAGGTGTTATTGAATCTTCATTCTTATTTTTAGAGTCTAATGATTTTTTGTTAGTCATGACAATGATTGTGACGATATTTGTTGTCAACGAATACAAGACTTATTCGTACTAGACTTGTTGAACTTGAATACTTATATGATTATTTTGAATAAATGCAAGGTTGATACCTAAAGGGGAGAAAATGTGGAGCAAAATTATATTTTAACAGTGACATCTATACTATACAATGGCCAACATCATATTGGAGTTACTAAACCATAAGAAGCTTTGCGCATAAATACAGTACGTGAATTGCTCAATAATGGCAACAAGTACTGCTGCCGAGAGATAGTTACGAGATACTTGTCCATTTATTTGTTTTGCATAATTCATGCATATATTTAGTTTAGATACTTTTAATTCATAAATTACAGCAGTAAGTGATGCAAGATAGATATACATTTGATTTTGATGATTGCATGATTTTTGAACGCTAGCCCCCTTTATAGCGCAAACTAAGTTGGTTTTAAAAATGTGGCTCAACATGACCGAACATTTAAACAGTTAAATATAATTAGGGAGCTAATGAAAGGAGAGATAAGTTATTAAGGCGGATATTAATCTTCCCAGATATAGGATATGGCAGTAATTTCGTGGAGGGAAAGCAAATACATAGATTATGTCGATTTAGCATATAGGAGTGTTACACTGTTTATTTTCTTCTCAGCCAAACAAACATTTACTGTCTCAGCCAACCCCTTTTTTTGCTTCTAACACAGAGAGGCTCGTTTTTTTTCTGTTACTCAAGGTTATTTTCCCAGCGCGAACGCAAAAAAAAATATAAAAAGTTTAAAAATAAATTATCTTAATGACATCTGTTCCGACCATCTCCATCACCACCCCAGATTTGGAGAGCAAAGATTACATGGCCAGCGGAACTGTTACGCCCACCACTCCTGATTCCCCAACCGTGTTTGATGTCGTTAAAGAATTAGAAAATAAGGAACCTTATATTGAAGATGAGGCTTTGGACCTGTCCGAAGCAAATGCTACCCCGCAAAAGTATGGTGTGAGATCAGCCATAGACAGCGACGACGACGAGCGCGAGGAACCAAAGACCATCAAAAACTTTTACAATCAAAAAAGCATTTTAATCACAGGTGCATCCGGGTTCATTGGAAAAGCACTTTTATGGAAACTTATGCAATCTTTGGGCCAGTCCTTTGACAAGATTTTTGTATTATTAAGAAAGACCAGACAACATCAACGCTCAGCTAGAGATCGTCTGCAAGATGATATCCTTTCTAATAAGGTGAACACTACCCCTTCTTTTCACTATCTTGCATTTTGATTAACGGGTCATTTTTAGGCATTCGTTAGTCTTCGCAGATCGATGGGCTCAACTATGTTTGATCAAGTTGTTCAAGAGAAAATTTATCCTATATTTGGTGATCTGACCGAGCCTAATATTGGGCTATCTGGACAGGACCTGGATGACATTCTCAACCAGGCCAATGTCATATTTCATTGTGCTGGTAGCATGGATGGAACTGAGCAAGTGGATGCTGCCGTTAAGGTACGGGACCAGGTTTCGAGAACAGAAATGTAAAATAAAGCTAATCTCATTTTTTCTATCATATAGGTGAATACATTCGGTACTCTTCAACTTTTAACTTTAGCAAACCAATGTCACTCAATTGATGCATTTATTTACTTGTCAAATCTCCAGCAAATTAATGGCAATGGATGGAAAACTGCCGATGAGAAATATCTATATCCTTTATCTACAGATGCAAAAAATGCAACTGACATTTTGACCGAAATTATGGCAGAAGGATCACAATATGCTGGTTTTAGACCTCTTTACAGCAATCCCTATCTATTCTCAAAATCACTTGCTGAGCATGTATTAGTAGATCAAGTCATTAGGAACAAAGCAATTGGAAGCTACCAGTTCCCTATTGGGATTATGAGATTATCACCTGTTGGTCCCAGTGTCCAAGAACCTTTGATAGGCTGGGTAAAAAAAAAACCTCCCTGAAAAAGAAAAAGTATGTATTGATTTTATTATTTTTTAGGCTGATGGGGTAAATGGTATCAATGGCACAATTTTGTTAACAGGCAGAGGTAATAAAGTCATTCAGCCTCATCTCGGAGATGGCGTGGCTGATGTTGTACCTGTTGACTATGTCGCACGTTTAATTATTGGTTGTGCAGCAACATTAACCCAATCTGAACAGTTCGAAGTTCCCAAGATATCTAGCGTACCAGACCTTAAGCAACATAATGTAGAAGAATACACTCAACCTACAGAACCTATTCGCTCTCATAAACGCACCTCTAGTCAAGCAAGTAGAATATCTATCCGAAGTTCAACTATGTATCAAAATCATCAAACTCCCAGGATGTCATTACCCGGTCACCAGGAACAAGTTGAACACACTGTACCTGCAATTTTCCAAGTGTCTATTTCAAATATGCGCCCTGTCACTTGGAGAGTTGGCTATGAAGCCATTCGTCAATACTGGATTAAAGCAACTAGTGTAACTTTAGCTCCTTCAAAATCTTATTTCAATGCTCCGCAGAGAAGTTCAACCATGAATAGTATGACATCTACTGCTTCTCCCGGTCTTTCGAGGGCACGCACAGTCATGAATTCTTTAAGAGGATATTATATGAATCCGGTTGCCGAGACTGCGTCCAATCATGTTGTTAATGTCACACCAAGCGCTTCCCAGTCAAGTGATAGAATCAATGGTGCACCATCATCTGTCAATAGTAAGAGAAATTCACATCGTCTCAGCCGTACCGTAGATAAAGCAGCAAAGTTATCACACACGATGAAGGACAGCATATATTCTACCTCAGGGTCTTTAACAAACAATCAATCTATAAATGAAAACACGGCCAATTTGATCTTTGCCGTTCGAAATATCGATGTCGGCATGGAATTCGATCCTAGTGTGATTGTGCCAGAAGATGCAGATGGGAAATTTTGGGTCAATTATCTGACAAATTGTAGTTATGGTATCCATTATTTTGTTTGTCAAGAGACCAACTTAAGGTTACCTACGCCAGTTTATGGTTGGAGTTGTGCTATTCAACCCATTGATTCTGCCGTTGGTGATGAAGATGGTGGATATTATCAGCATGTTTTCGAGAGACAAGTAAATAGCGCCATATATTCTCAGGATCAAATATCACAACGAACAGCAAGAATGGTGGCTCATATTAAAGGGCTTCTGATGCATAATACACCTTTAGCCTCATCTACAAACAAAGAGAAAGATGATGCATGGTTAACCGATCTGGATGATTCTTTGGATGATTGGTGCCAAGACAACGATATGGCTGCTGCAGACAAAGACAGACGTATGGCTCTTGGTAAATGGAGGAAGAAAGTGGGTAGTAATGATGAATCCGTCAAAGTGATTGTTTTGAACGATAAACGTGTCAATCAAGCGATTACCCAGATTACACAAAATGCCGGTGTCCCCAAGCAAACCGCGGTGAATGAAGCCATGAAGATTTTACTAAGAATGAGTGAGCGTACTCAATTAGCGTTTGTTTGGTTTACGGGCTCTTTTCTCAAGTCTCTTTTAGACGATATGTTTGATAATGTTCGAATCTCAGACGAAAGTTTACGTGCGATCCGCCAATCTACTATGGGTAAGCGTGTGGTGTATGTTCCTGTTTCTAAAAGTATGTTAGACCCACTTTTAGTGTGGTATATTGCAATTCGATATCATCTTCCTGTACCTGCTTTAGCTTGCGATGAAAGCATGTCTCAAATGGGACCAATTTCTGATGTATATCGTTTGGCTGGTGCCTATTATGTTAAACGCGACAAATCCAAACGTTCTCCCTTAAATTCCGCTGTCACTGCAGCCTATACACAAGTCTTATTACGTGAACATGGTGCCCTATCATTCTGTCTTGAAAGATCTCGTTCAAGAACCGGCAAATTCCAAGAATCGTATCCCGATGGATTTGTTGATATGATCATTGAAGCAACATTACAAACTAACCAAACATCGCGTTCTGCCACAAATACAGCAAGTGTAATTAACAGAATTGTTTCATCTGAAATTAATACACCCCCTGCTTCGCCTGATTCACCTTCATCTTCCGTCATGGCTAGCCCAACCATGAGTATCGATAGCCTTGCTCATAACTTTGTTCCTACTCAACAGCAACAGAATAGAAAAGTGCATAAAGACGTAGTATTTGTACCTATCAATATCACGTATGAGAACGTACCCGAGCTCTCTCATTTGATTGATGAAGTATTGGATCAGCAACCTGCACGCCCAACAACTGGGAGAGCCAGATCTTCATCTCAATCCTCCATGAATTCCGGTCGTCCTGGTGGTGTTGTTCGACCTAGTGAGGCTAAAGACAGAAGAAAGACTTTGCTCGATGGTTTAGAGACCCAGAAGAAATGTGGCCGCGTCACTTTTGGTATCGGTCCCCTTGTCAGTGTGCAAGAGATTGCCGAGGAATGCAATAGAGAGTACACTGGGTAAGTAAACATAAAAATGTTGTGGCAATAATAATTTTAATCTGGTTTTTTTTAGTGAGAATGGGGAGACATACGAGTCTGTTCTGGTTAGCAATATCACAAATCGAATCCATGAATCCCAATGTACAGGATTAGTCGTATCACCTGTCTCCATTATATCTGCCATTATTCTTTATGGCCGCGCTACAAATGGTGTATGCGTCGGAAAGATCAAGGAGTTAATGGAGTGGTTAAGACACGAGATGGTACGCAGTGGATATACTGTTGACTGGCAAGGTAATTTATATATCTTTGATCAAAAAGAGAATTAATAGATCTAACATTCCAATATTGTAGAGGGAGAAGATTTAGATTCACTTATACTTACATCCTTCAAATTACTGAATGAGCCAAAGAACTTGATCGTGGATGGTAGAGAATTCAACGATGATACCAATGTCAAAGTAAATGACCATGCAGATAATGTGATGGCTTTATCTTACTATGCCAATCAAATGATCGATATTTTCCTTTTGGATGCATTCTTTTCAGTTGTTTATCTGTCATTTTTGGAAGATTCTGTATTAGAAGACGAATTTATGGATCGATTCCGTTTCTTGCTACAATTATTGGAAAGAGAATTTGTGCTTGACTGGAATATGGAAATCAAGTTCGAAGCGATGATCAGCTCCTATGTGCGAAAGCAAATTATTCGTGTACATGATAACCGTCTACTGTTACTGGTCAATTTGGAAAATGACCCAATTCGATATGAACAATTGGTCTTTTTGGCTTCTTTGGTGTATCCTACTGTTGATGCTTATTGGATTACTTCCTGTTCGTTATCTGCTTTAGAGGCTGTTCCTATGCTCCCAAGATGTATCATTCCTTTATTAACACAGTGGATTGCCACACATCTAATTACGGGTAGACGAACTATTTATCGTGAGGTATTATCAACAGAGTCCAGCCGAACTGCCGTTGATGTGTTTATGTCAATGGGCTTCCTTACAGAAATTCAAGCCAAGGAAAAACTGTCCCCGGATGCACAAATTTTGTTGCATGAATTAGGTATTCCCACTTCTGAGGTGCTGATTGAACTTTCGGGACAAAATAATGACGGTGGTAGTAAACGTGTATCGCCTGTCGACCCCGAAGGGATGATGGTAAACACTCTGTTTTCGCATGTTATACATAGAAAAAAAAACCTAACAAATGTTTATACAGAAGGCTGTTATGGCACAGATACAGATGAACCGAGCTAATTCCAACATGGCTGATCTTTGTCAGCAAATCGACTCTTACAGACTAGGTTCAGCCTCCAAGCGCGAGAGTTTTCAAAATGCCCAAGTGTTCCAAAAATGTCTGAAGCAAATTAAGGGCATCTTGCAAGCCAATTCAAGCTTTGCTAAAAGACGAAATGTCGTTTTACCTGAAGATGAAGATGGATTAGCTCAGCTGGTATATTCCTTATTAGCCAGCAGTGTGCCGGTAGGAGATAGAGCTGCTCAAGCTCGTGCTTTACGCCGTATTTCCGAAGCGTATAATTTGAGATAAAATACCTCCATATTACCCTACTGCCCAATTTGTTACTTATATTTTTATACATATTATTTTCTTTTTGATCTATTCACCATTTTATAAATTTCTTACAACTATATTTGAATATATTCTTACCGATCTTCTTTAAATTAATATTCGTTAACCATCAATTGCAAGAAATGCATCTATTTCAAAATCATTGGATTAAACATACTGCTTATTTATTTGTACAACGATATCAATTAGATTGTATGATAAAATTTATTGGTTCAAGGGACAAGCACCGGTCAACAAACTAAACAAAATGCTTGATCCAACCTTCATAGTCCGCTACAGACACTCTCAAAGAAGCTGGTTGTAAAATGAAGCACTTTTTGCTTTTAAAAGATGCATGATTACAATGAGCTTTTTCGACTCACAAACAGGCGGTAACGTCAATATGTTTGTGTATAATCCCAATAAGATTATTGGAGAGTTATAAACTTTTTTTGCTTTGACAAATTAAAGAAGGTGAATGCTTTTACATAGAACAATGTTTTATGTGTTGTAAAAACATTTAAAGAGAGAGAATGTGCAGCGATACAGCTATTCCTTTTAACAGCAATGCAAGCAGAACATGGATAAGCAACAGTCCCAAAGCATGCTCATTCACACTGCATAAAGCGTGCACAGTGATGACCAAGGGGACAGCATTAAAGATATTTTCGCATTGACCTTGTTGAGAATATCATGACTTAACGACAAATTAAAAATCGGGAGAGGAAAGCCCAGCAGCTCTTAAAAAAGTTATGTGTGTTATATTACATATATTTGTACAATAGGAAACTTTTTGTATTCTATCTCTTGTTCGATCCTAAAAGCCATTGATAATAATTATTGTAGTAACTTGATATGAAAGTTGACACCAGTCTTATAGACTTATTTTGACCAAAAATGAAAAGATTTGGTATCAAATTAGGAGCGTAAGGTTGATTTTCGGTGGGTGTGTCTAGTGAGTTGTCGGTTATTTAAAAGAAAATTCTGTTGCGCAAAACCTCTTGCGTATGCTCCCTCAAAAGCGAAACTCTTTATTGTTTTAAACACACCCAGAAAACACCAATATGGATTTCGAAGACTCATTTGCCTCAGCACCCGTTCGATATGCACTCGATGACATTGACAGTGACGAGGAACTCGAAGCCTGTGTCAACAACCAAAAAGTTTCTGTGCAAGCAAAGATTACTATGGATTCAGACAATTGTCAAAGCAACTTAACTTTAGTGCTTGGTCTGGACGGACCGGGCAACGTGTACATTCATTCTCTCGAAGGAAAGCTAGCTGTTATTGGAACTGTTACTCGTTTTGTAAGTTTACAAACGATTTTGGGGTTAAATTGATCTTTTAACACATTTACAGGTTGATGACAAGGATGCTGAAGTTAAGGCTTCTATCCTCCAGTTGAGCGATAAACAAACTCTATTTATACCCTTCGATGGTGCTATTCAACCTGAAGAAGCAGGACAATATACCAAGGCAGTTTTAAATGGTTTTGCTGGAAAGATCGAAAAGGTAGTTGTATTAGATTCATTCACAGCAGTTGGATATACGAGTGAGGTTTGGGGAGATGATTTGACACCACCCTTCTTACGAGTGTTACAAACATCTGCATCGCCTACCATCAAGGACTTAACTTTATATGAATCACCCAATATGATCAAAGGATTGGCTGCGTCAATTGTGAATCATGTAAGAAATTGAAAAGTCGCGTTCAGATTTATAGAAAAAGTCTAACATACTATAGTGCGAAATACATTCTATTCCGTGTTACGATTTGTTAACCCTTCAAGAATCCATCTATGGTAAACTGTTGATTACTGTGGAGATCTTACAAGCTTACGATGAAGGATTAAAACAGTTGGGTTTAAAGGTCCACTTTAATGAAAAATTGATGAATGAGACTTTAGCCTCTCGTCATAGCGGCCGTGTAGATGACAATCATCATCGTCTGTACCTTTAAAAGAAATAAACTATGAAGAATTAAATGGTTGTACTTTTTTTTGGGTTTTATTGTACGGGGTTGAAATGTGATCATAAAATATATAACAGGAAGAAGAGAAGAGAGGTATTACTACAAAGGCTTATTTAGACAGCCAAGAGTTCACCCCAGTTACGAAGAAAGACAATAGCACCAGTGAAAACGGAAACAGAAAGAGCAATGTTGAGGTTACCTTGACGCTTCTCGGGAGAAAAAAGTTCCGACTTGATGGCTTGAACGAATGAGGTCTTTTGTTCAGCTTGTTCTAATTGACGTTTATCCATTTTAATATATAATCTTGTAGAAGCAAAAAGAAAAAAAAAGAGAAAAAATAAAAAAATAGGTCTTAGTGTGAGGGGAGGGGTACCACGTAAAGAAGTCACGCATTTTCTAATTGGTCTAAATATGTTTTTATTTTTTATGCAATCTCTTCAATCACCATATCCTCATCCTCTTCCTTATCAACTTCAGTAATCTCGGGAGCATCTTCATCACGAATCAACATGTCAACAATTGTGACACATTGTTCCTTGATTTCCTCATCGGTCTCTTGAACATGAAGACGTTGAATAACACGATAAACTTGCTTTTGACGTAAATAATCACGACCAAAACGCGTTGTAGTTAACAAAATGATGGATTCCAATAACATGGTACGGAGCATTGGATCAGTTTCACGTTTCTAAAGAAACAAGGGTTATTATTTATCTTCCTCTCTCTTCATTTCTCTTATGGTCTTACCTTATCTTCACCCAACATTTGAATTTCTTCAGGGAACTGCTCAAATTCTTCGATTTCATACTCTTCGCTACCACACAAAGGTAATAAAATGAAAGGCAAAACATTAATATCCAATGGATCTAAAAGACGTTCATGTTCACGAGTTTCAAAACAACAGTTCTTGATGACTGAATCAACACCACCACGACGAATGACACTAGCATCTTCGGTAAAGATTTGTAACTTGGTGAGTGGGGACAAATTATCAACAGCTGCACGTTCAATCATAAAGACACGGCCAAGACGGATACTGCTGACATTAGAGAACACACTAGCCAAAAAGTGATATTCGGCTTCAGGGTTGTATTCCTTTTTGTAGCCCTTGTGGAATGCCTCAACCAATTGATCCAATAAACGGGTGGATTGACTTAATCCTTCTACAGGTTCGGCAGTTGCTTGGATCACTTTTACACAAGTGGGCTCATATTTTGTCATGTTGGATAATAACATACAAGCAAGATCTGCAAGAACAGATTTGGCATTCTATCCAATTTTCATTTTAAACCACTTGAACCTCCCATTTTTTTACTCATAAACAAAACTTACTGTAATCAAACGTCCCATATACTTGAGAAAGTTAACATCGTCTAATTCCTGTTGAACAAGGGGATCACTTGACAAGTTGATTAATGATCGAAGGGCATCATGAGCAGTGATCTTGAAGTAACTTGTTAATTTACATACTAAGCATTACATATGCACACTATAACTTACGGGATCCTCTGTCACCAATTGCTTGAGATCTTTACAGACAACTTGTCTTTGTTCGAGCAATAAATGACGGTACTCACTACCATTAGGAGTATAAGGTACGAGGTGGTGAAGAGCAATGGCTCTAATCTAAATCAAAAATAGTGTCAAGACTAATTTGACATGTCAAAATTTTCTTTCTGTTTCTTTTTACCTCTACTGCAGGTTGATGTAAGAAGGGAATAAGCTACAGAAATCCACTGGGTTAAATAAAGCCGGTCTACTTTTCCTAGGCTATTTTCATTCTACCTCTCTGATTTGTGCGTCCATGGTGAATTTTTATAAAGGAAAAGGGTTTTAGAAAGGCAGAGAACAATAATATTTTTTTAGGACATGCCACCGTGACTGTCCCGATTACAAATTCTATCCTTCTATGGGCTGAGGGTTCATTTTCTTATATGTACTTATCAATGGGTTTAATGTCTTTGATACTTTCAATTTAAAGGGGAAAGCTACTACAATTTTTAAAACCGTCTATTGATCTTTATTGGCATTTATGAGGTGATCTAACTGATTTGTCTGGCTTAACTTGTTTCATGTTGCTTGATGATAAAGCTTAGAAAACAAAGTTATAGCTTGCTAACTCGAGTGCTTCATTTCCATTATAGCTTCCTTTGCGACTGGAGGTTTTTTTTTTAAAAAAGATGGTGCTCGTATAAGTATGGTGCTCAAGCAAGAAGAATGAGAGATTCGTTAGAGACGGAGAGTGAAACCATTATGTAATAGCCGCTTTTTGGGCGCGTCGTAAATGCGAGAGCGCGTTTTATAATTGCTAATTTTGTGCTATTCTCTTTTTTTTAAAAAAAAAAATACGATTCCAAATGATTACAGAAACGATCCATTGCAACAAGCGAATCAAAATAGGTATACGTCTAAAGAAGTTTTAGGGGTCTAGTTAATACTTACTAATAATTTACAATTGCTATTAGAACATGAAAAAAAATTGGAAGTCGGCAGCGATGAAGACGACATGTTTGGTGACGATATCGCTTTTGACGATCTAGAAGACATTTCAGCACTTGCAACACCTTTTCCCGAAATCAAAGTTGAAAACAATAATGATTTATTACAGAAAGAGTTAAGCAACTTACCAAGCCCAGCTCGAAATAGTACATCGATACCGAAGGTATAAGAGAAGAAAAGGAGTAGACATGATGGTTGTTAAGCACAAAAAACAATATACATAGGAAAAGAGAAGCAGATTTATTCGATATATGGTTGCATCTGTTGCAGAAGGAGTATATCAAGAAAACGATGACCAACATTATGAAAAGAATGTATTTTTGATACAGGAAGATAAAAAACAAACGACAATGGCCAGACTTCGAGGAGACTGGACACATACCGTCATTTGCGTGGGTGATGTAGTACACATACCATTTATATCCCATACGCCAGAGGTTATTATTGACAATGCAAAGCATTTCATTGTGGTGCATCCAGATCGTCTAATTTCATGCACAGCTGTAGCTGACAGCTTTGTCTGCACACGTAAATCGGTATTACAAGTCAAAGTGCGTGGTATCAGTGAATATACTGAAGCATTAGTGCATGGAAATATCATTCATCGTGTCATACAAAATGCTTTGAATGTAGGGGATTTTAAAGTTGAAAGCATCAAGTTGGAAATGGAACGTGTCGTCATGGACAGCCTAAAGGATTTATATGCTATGGATCAAGACGAAAAAACTGCCCTGTTGATTTTGAATGAATATGCAGACGGTATCAGTAAATTTGGGTCGACATATGTCTCTAATAAACCACAACCTGCAGCACGTGTAAATACTGATATGGGTGTGGATCCTTCTCTCATGATGGGATTCGAAACGATCTCAATTTCAAAGGTTCTGGATATCGAAGAACACTTGTGGAGCCCAACATTTGGCATCAAGGGAATGGTCGATGCTTCAGTGGAAATGACTATGAGTAAGAATGACAGGGTTATCGTCGTTCCATTCGAATTGAAAACAGGAAAAACTAACAAGTTCTTGACAAATCGTGCTCAAACTTTACTTTACACTTTACTTATGGCCGATCGATATGGTAGGTTAAGGATTATTCATGTACACCTCAGTTCTTTTTTTTCTTCTAAACTGTTCCAAGATAGATGTGGATGTTGATGCTGGTTTGCTTTATTATTCGAAAACAAACAGTATTTATGTTATCCCTTCCTCACACAATGACTTAAGGTCGCTCATTATATCCAGAAACTCTCTTGCAGTGGCCTTCAATAATATCAAAGTAATCCCGCCCATGATAAAGAATAGTCATACCTGTCAATACTGCTTCGTCAACGATGCTTGTACGATCTTTCATAAAGCTGTAGAACGAGGAACAGGGTCAACCAGCGGCTTATTCAAATTGTTCGATAAAAAGACAAGCCATATGACAGATGCGACCTGTAAGTTTGTTGAACATTGGTGGAATTTGCTGGATAAGGAAGAGGTTGATATTGATTACATCCGAAAGGATATCTGGAGTCAACCTGCCGATATTCGAGAGCAACTAGGTAGATGTCTAGGCGATATGTCCATCAGTTTACCAGGATCTCAGATCGATCCGGACATGAATCGATGGCAGTATAGCTTTATCCGGCACCACTCCAACCCCAATAAACAATTATTGTGCAATTTTTCGACAGGGGATCCTATAGTGATTTCCAGCATGGAAGGGCATACAAATTTAGCCATGGGATTTGTAGCACGTATCTCTAGTGAGGAAATCACAATAGATCTGACCGAGCCGTTACGAGACCCTCCTCACAAAACTGATGGATTCCATTCGACCAATCGTCAACACTTTAACAGTTTTGTTCAATCATTGTCTAATCCTAGTGGGTTCTACTCGACAGAAATGAAATACCGTATCGATAAAGACGAGATGACCATTGGTATGGGTATGCTTCGAAACAACCTGATTCAATTGGCCTCATTGGATAAGGAAGGTGAATCCAAAAAAGCACGTCTTAGGAGATTAATTATCGATTTAGCGAAGCCTGAATTCAATTCCGACGCTGTTTCTTTGCCGTCTACACCATACATGAACCCGAATCAAAGGACCGCCCTGAAACATGTACTACAAGCTGAAGATTATACTCTGATCCTGGGTATGCCTGGTACAGGTAAAACAACCACCACTGCCGAAATAATTAGGCAATTGGTCTCAATGGGCAAGTCTGTTTTGGTCGCAGCTTATACCCACACAGCTTTGGATAATGTACTACAGAAAGTACGTGACAGTGGTGTGGATATTTTAAGATTGGGAAATGCACAAAAGGTGATACCGAGCTTGAGAGACTGCGTACCAGCGAGCAATCCTTCCGTCCAATCCGTAAGAGATATGCAAGATTTTTATGCTTCTAAAAAGGTAGTCGGTGTAACATGTCTGGGAATTGGAGAGTAAGTGCAAAATATGCAGCTGTATGAAAAAAAAAGTGATGATTGACAAAACAAATCTAGTGTGATACTTCAAAATAGAGAGTTTGATTACTGTATCATTGATGAGGCCTCACAAATCACACTACCTACCTGTATCGGGCCTTTACGATATGCAAAGACCTTTGTGTTAGTGGGAGATCTATATCAATTACCGCCAATTGTTAGGAATCAGGAAGCGTGCGATGGCGGTTTGGATAAATCATTATTTTCTATTTTGGCCGAAGCAAGACCTGAATCTATGTGTTATCTCGAGTTCCAGTATCGTATGAACAGTGATATCATGTATATATCGAATTATTTCGTATATGGAGGAAAACTGAAATGTGGTAACAATGAAACAGCACGTAGACGACTTGTACTACCGCAATTCGAAGCAGGGTTGGAAGCGATACACAAAAGTCAAACCCAAAGTTGTAAAGGAATGTCTGACTGCTGGTTAAGGACTGTTTTGGACCCAGAGTAAGTTTTCTTTTGTGCACAAAAGAAAAAATAACAAACATTTATTGAAACTGTTTATTGTTGTTTGAAAAAAAAAGCCGCAGGGTCATTTTTATAAACATAGACGCATTGGACTCGAAAGAGAGTAGACCGTTTGGAAGTTTTTTGCAAAACGAGGTGGAGGCTTCTCTTATTCAGCAGACAACTGAAGCTTTGATTCAATCGGGAATTACGGAGGACCAATTGGCGTTGGTGTCTGTCTATCGATCTCAACTGCGACTTATATCTCAAGTGTTAAAGGGGAGACAAGGGATTGAGATTGCTACCATTGATAAATACCAAGGTCGAGATAAAGATTGTGTCATTATTTCACTTGTACGTAATAACAACACTGGTAATGTTGGCGACCTTTTGCGAGATTGGCGTAGATTAAATGTAGCAGTTACGAGAGCCAGAAGTAAATTGATTTTATTCGGTTCTTCTGCCACATTGAAATCAACCCATCTGTTTAATTCTTTACTGTCTGATTTTGAAAAGAAGGGCTGGGTAAGTCATATATATTCTACGTGTTTCATCTTGTTGTTTATCATGCTCATTCTGTACACTATCTAGGTACTTAATCTTCCCAATAGGTCTGAATTAACTCACCATATAACCACTACAGCGAAACCTGATGTGACACCTTCAACATCTAATGGAAAAAAGACATTTACAAATGCAAATGTGACGTTAAAAAAGAACGATATTCTGAAGGACATATATAACAGTTTATAAACAAATATATGTATACATAAAAAAAAGAAAATGACGCTATTTTTTGTTTAATAAATAGGGAGGTTTTATTTTAACAATGTTTGTTTTGATATACAGAAGAAAGAAGGAAATACGGGGAACATTTTTCCCAATGTGATGAAAGGCAACTTTCTGATCGGACGTTACAGAGGTACTATGTAACTTGCTAGCATATGCAGTACATTCCGAGTCGATTTCAATTAGTGGCTTTAATGAGCAAAAGCTAAGCCAATCATAACAAAAATACTGTCGTGCATAAATCGTATTATGTGTAAACCAGATATCTGGTCTGAATTAAAGCAAAGGGGGGAAACAAATTTAAATGATGGCGAACAAATGTCATAGAAAGGGAATCTATGCTGAAAGGGAGTAGTATAATTGCCCTGATCCCAAACGTAACGATCTACGGCAATACAGACGATTAAGATGGAATAGTGACTTTACCCCAAGTTACATGATCCATTTCTCTAATGTTTCAGAAGGAACTTGTATCCAATTTGTCTAAATGGCACAACCAGAAAGCACAACTTTTATGAACACAGCCTGCCTTCTGGCATCCTTATTTATCAATTATACACTTTGGACTGTATTTTATCTTACGGTCAAGGATGTCATGTTCTTGTAACATGGGATTTGCATATTTATAGAATGCTTAGAACGCAATAAAAGTGTAGTATGCTATTCATTACTAATAAAGACGTTGTTACCATTATCGATACGTTAAAAAATATAGTTTCATATATTAAGCGATGACGCTTCATGTTTTCTTTCACTAAGAACTAAAATTGCTCGATGAGGTTTAGCTCTAGTGATTACGGAGAAAGATACATATATCTGTAATATGTAGCTTCAACTGTCTGCACAAGATCTGTCTCTGTTATTGAACTTGGGTATTTCCTATCGCCAAGAAACCTTTTTTTGTAGCCATTCATCCTGATCCAAAAATATCTTTGTGGACCTTACAAAGCGGGGCAGCCTTTTTGTGCCTATTTGACATTGGTTTCATGTTTGGCAAGTGATTGCGTGTGACTGTCTACTGGTTTATTTGCAACCGCCATAATCCACCGTACCGATTGTTATCAGGCCTCCTTTTTGGAATATTTCCCTTTCCTTTTTTTAACATTTTTTTCTGTTTTTTTCTGTTTGTGTGTGTGTGTATAATAAAAATTCCTTTATGGACTCATTACCAACAATAGATGAATGCAATGCGTGGATCCAGGAACATTGCCAAACGATATTGTCTTTTATTGAGAAAGGGAACTTTGATATTAAAGAAACAGCACAGACTACCTATGATAGCACCAAAATATTAATTAATGCACTTGATATATCTAAAAAAGAAAAGACTAAGCTAATGAATAAGCTCGAGCGATACTCCAAATTCAAACAAAATAACAACATGATGAAGTTGTTGGTAAGATAAAATGGCCATATATATAAAAAGATTATTAAATAGTCGGATCAACTGTAGATTTTAAACATAAGCGATATATGTTGTCAAGTCAAACAAACGAGAGGAGAGCGGGTTTATTTATCAGTGACAACATATAATTTCTTACGAGAGGAGGAAAGAATTCTATCATCAAACCAATCTAGTTGTAAAGTTGACTACAATTCTATTTGGCCGGACCAAATAGACGAGAAGGCTTGTTGGTTTAGAAATTATTTTGTTGGAAAGCAATATATTACACTAATTGGACCAATCATGGATAACGAAAAGGAACTATCAATAATATCGATTGTAAAAGAATACGAAAGAGCATCAAATCAAAAGTCAGTCCTACAATACAGAATTATTGTTCGTACCAAACAGGTATTTTCATGCAAAATATGCATACCATGTATTTGTATTCAATCTCCCTCTTTTTTATAGGATATCAATATGGGTTTTATCGTACATGAATCCGATGCAAAGGAATTGATATTGCAAATTGAAGAATCGGTGGGACACTATAATAAACTAGATGTAGAATCAGATTCCAAAAGACATCGGCCATTACGAAGTATCTCTTCTGCTATCATTACGGGTATGACCAATAATCAATATCAACAACAGCAATCACATCAATCAACTAGAATTATGCGCGCTTCCATTTTATTTCTTTTTCAGGACATCAATTTTAGACTATTTAAAGAATTGTCTGCTGAAACTACAATATTAGCAGGATTAGAAAAAGAGTTTTTAAGATATGACGAAATAGGGGTAACATAAACAATTTTATTCTATTTTATCACCATTCTTCTAATTGTTTTTTTTAGATACCAAAACACTATAAATTTGGCGTCTTAAACATTAAAGATGGTCAGAGCACAGAGGAGGAATGGTTTTCAAACTCTGGTTTATCTCCTGGGTTAGAGAAACTCATGAATATTATTGGAAAACCCATCGAATTAAAAGGTTACAAAGGTTATGCAGCTGGTCTGGATACGAAAAGTAAAATGATAGTTTTTCTCAAATGCGCAAGCCATGTAAATTAACTTTTTTCTTAGCCGGTGAATCTGGTGAAATTTCATATGCTTCGTCATGGAGAGATCATGAGATTATGTATCATGTAGCACCACTTATGCCTTCACGGGAGCAGGATGTACAACAAATTCACCGTAAAAGATATATAGGAAATGGTAAAGTTCTTTTGTTTATCCTAGTATAATCTAATCTAAATCAACATGACTAGATATCGTGTGTATTGTATTTATGGAAGGAAAAAACCAAAAGTTTGATCCGAATTCAATTCGATCTCAATTTTTACATGTATTTATCATTGTGCGGCTGGAAGTTGTTAATCATCAAGATACATGGAGGTAAAACTTTTGTCGCGATATTAGTGAGGAAATCTAATATTTATTTTTATGTTAAAGGGTGGAAGTGTTGCATAATATTGATGTAAAGCCTTTTTCACCGCATATACCAAGCCCACCTGTATTCTACAATGAAGAAGATTTGCGAAAATTTCTGATGTTAAAATGTAAATAACAGAGAAAACCAATGATTTACCTTTTTACTTAAGCTTTTTGCATAGTGATCAATGCAGAGAATTCTTCACTGAAATGTGACCGATTTACCCTTCCAAATAGCAAAGCTCGGCAGAGTATTTTAAAGTCTTTGATCGACACAGGATTAGAAGCAAACCAAGTAGCAAGATCATTTGGTAATCATAGCAGATTCAACGGAGAAAAGAAGTACTATCCTAGTGGCGCTGGAAACGGAGAAAGACCTAAATCGGCAGGGGCTCAGCAGCAGCATATTTCAAGTGTTCGAGGTAGTTTCAAATCAAATAATACACTATTAGTATCGACTCGTTCTATTACTCCTGAGCTTCCTCCCGTTCCTTCTATTTCAAGGTCGGGCGTATTACGAGACCTCAAGAGTCTCACCAGAAGAAAGAGTGGTGCGGCCAATCCTCGACCACTCAATCAAAACCATAGTAATAATTCTGCCAGTGCCATTGTTCCCAGACAACAGCATCGACCTCCTATTCAAAAAAATGACGGCTCCTCTGAAGAAAAAGAAGGTACAAGTAATAACCGCAATAGAAGAGTCTCATGTATTAATCATTACCAAGGGGAGAGGAAAAAGATGCTGGAACCGCTTTGTGAAACAAGTGCCAGCACTATATCGGTAGCCTCGACAACAATGCCTGTCAGTGGTATTCGATACAAGGCCCATAATTTAATGAATACAATGATTGGACGTAGAAATTCTCGGACAGGTTTACCGCACTCGTCTTGAAATATATATCACCTTTTTTATATATATAAGTAATAAAATCAAGTACGACACAAATTAGTCTTTGCCCCCTGATACCCAATGAGATGAAACAATGGATTTGTTTGTAGGGTCCATAGCATCATTTAATCTAGATACGCAATATCGACTAATAAAGATGATCGGTGTCCGTGCTAAACCATGTATGTACCCTTTACTTGTTGAAGTGAGCTTCTTCAGTCTAGACATTGACAAGGCATCTAAAGTAGCACACTGTATTACCATCATGTAAACTTTAATTTTCGTTTTAGGTATAAAAACAGATATATACACTCTTTCAAACAAGACAAAAGACTACAGAAGAAAAGTAAAAAAAGATCAACGTGGCAAGATGTATTTGAAAGGGCAAATGAAAAAAAAGTTTAAAATGAGGGAGTTGTCTCTTTTTTAATAATATGGAGGTTTTCCTTATAAAGGAAAAACTTGTTTGTTTATTTCCAATATATAAAGTTGCCATGGTTGAGGCTTGTTTATTCTCCTTAAAAGAGGGGGCTAAAAAAATATATCAACTTTTTTGGAAACCTTCTCTTTATCTCTTTCTCTCTTTTTCTCTCTCTTTTTTCTTCTAAAATCAGAATACATACACATACAATGGGCTGCTGTCAATCCACCGAACAAGTCGAGGAAAAACAAAGAAATCATGAGATTGATGCACAAATCAAACGCGACCGTGTCAATCTAAGAAAAGAAATCAAAATGTTGCTTCTAGGTACACTTGTACATATATATGTATACTGATAAACATCTAACAAATACTTACAGGCGCAGGCGAATCTGGAAAATCGACCATATTAAAACAAATGAAGTTGATCCATGACGGCGGATACACTCCAGAAGAAAGAGAAAGCTTTAAAGAAGTTATCTTTAGCAACACAATGCAGTCAATGAGAGTGACTTTAGAAGCGATGGATAACTTAGGCATCAGTTTTCACGATAGTGAGAACGAGGGACATAAAAGACTTGTTTTGGAAGCACCACCACAAATTGACTATTTAGGTCATGAATTAGTCGTAGCCATCACTTCTCTCTGGGACGACGAAGGAGTGAGAGAGTGTGTTCAACGATCGAACGAATTTCAATTGAACGATTCGGCACGATAGTGAGTAGAAAATTAAGGGGTGAGCAAAAATTGACATGGTTACTAACTGTTCATAAGCTACTTTGACTCGATTCTCCGTATCGGACAATCAAATTATATGCCGAGTGATCAAGACGTACTAAGGTCTCGTGTGAAATCCACTGGTATTACTGAAACTACATTTGTCATTGAAAGCCTTACATATCGTATGTTTGATGTTGGTGGTCAAAGATCAGAGCGTAAAAAATGGATTCACTGTTTTGAAAATGTCACTGCTCTTGTGTTTTTGGTAGCCATTTCAGAATACGATCAAGTATTATTCGAAGATGAAAGTGTAAACCGTTTACAAGAATCACTGACTTTGTTTGATTCCATTTGTAATTCAAGATGGTTTATAAAGACTTCCATAATTTTATTCCTGAACAAGATTGATTTGTTTGCTGAAAAACTACCTAGAAGTGCACTCGTTGACTTCTTTCCTGATTATAGCGGAGGCCAGAATTACGATGCAGCTTGTCAATATCTTTTACAAAAGTTCGTTTCCCTGAATACCAGAGCAGATACCAAGCAGATATATACTCATTTGACATGTGCAACAGAAACAAAACAAATTAAATTCGTCATGAATGCTGTAAACGATATTGTGGTTCACGATAACTTACGTAATGTTGGCCTATTATAACCTTTTTCCTCTTTACTCTTCTTATTTAATTTTGTAAAATCACTCTTTATACATTTTTTTTTCTTGTTTTATTATTACACATTATTCCTCAAATCCCCCAACAAACAAGCCTGTTATTATTATTATTCCTATTCGCAATAAATGAATTAGAGAGAGAGATAATCCACTTCGCTCCCTAAAAAAAAGTTCATGCAAAAGAAACTATATGTGTAACTAAGACGCGGTCAAACCAATCCGAGTATTCAGTCCCGTGAATTTTTCGCCTTGTTATTGTGTTCATTTACATGTCGCGTTACACGGCCCCATCGTACACACCAGAGGGGTAAAAAGTTGCGACTCGTGTAGCACAAAGAAACGGACACTACCTTCTTTTAATACCTAATAGCCTCTTGCATATTTTAAGACAATATTCGTGCTCCTTACTTTTTCGGGTCTTGACATAAAAGTGTAAAACTCTTTCTTGGGTAACACGTTCTTTCCGCTTCTTTCTTATTCTGTTTAAGACAGCTAAAGCGGTCGAGTCAAATCTCTATTTCAGCCATTACTACTGATACATCGTTTAGTTAATGTCTAAAAATAACAATACTGCTTAGACATCGTTTAATTAATCTAAGGCTTGTTTATCGAATCGCTCCGATAAACCCGGAATATTTGTCATTGAAACTGTTTATACGCCAGTCAGAAACATTCTCATATGCTGGAAGATCTTTCGCATATGTGCAAAAGAAAGAGTAGAGAAAGTATTATAATTGAATTGAATAATCGTCAAGCTAGGGATCAATCATCTACTTTTGGTATCCAATACCGTGAATAAAGCCAATATTTAGAACGTTGTTTCCCTCGCAGGAAATTTTGGTTATGCGTGTGTCAAAAGCGATTGATTTGCTTGAACATATTGTGTGCAAGAATTACTAATCTATTTGGAGTATTGTTATTTAAAATGTAGATTCATTGGTGAAATGCAATCACTCAAACTCTATCTTTGCCCTGTTTGGTAAGCCAAGATATAAAGGCGCTGTGTGGATAAGATAAACAGTCAGCAGTTATAAAATGTACCGACAAATAGAGTAATTAAACTGGTCTAGTAAATTACATGACGGTCGTATTTTATTGGTGCTAAGGTGCTGATGACTCCTTACAACCGTGTTTCTGCTTAAGATTGAAACCATGTCAACGCTTCCGCATCGAAAGGTTGATCCACATTTCACACTATAAAAATTATAGCAAGGATAACTATGTTGAGGAGTTATCGTTGTAAGTCTCAGTTCTTTAGTGTCATCCCGAATGGTAGACTTGATCGACTAAAACAATTTTTTTTCTTATACTTGTTGATTTCAACGGTTGATGTTTATATACATATAGTCTTTGGAAAAATTCCTGTTACCGTCTATCACTAATTGAAGCTTTATTTTGCAAAAAGTTATTTATTGCGCAGAAGTTTTATTTAGTAGCTGTAATCACTACGTTTCTTGGAGATGCCACAGGATCAAATAGGGGCCATAACCAGACGCCTTTAGTTGGGCTGTCCTGGATATTTTCATTTAAATAAAGCCATCTGTCAACCAAAATAATGCTTTCTAAAATAGGAGCTAGTAATACACGAAGAGTCCATAAGATTGTAATTTGTTTATCCACCTGTCTACGCTTGTATTCTTGATAATACTTTTCTGCTTCTTCAGATGTAATGGTATCTTCAGGTAATTTTAATCTTTTGGAAGCAGCCTTGACATAAACTGAAAATGAAGTAAAGTCCTTCTTCTTGTTCAACCTACCCACAACAGGTGCGACAGATGCTTCAATAAGTCCTTTTTCTACCATGATCAGCTAGACGAAATAATGTCAAATCATCGACTTATATTACTGGTCATTTTTTAAGTCTTACTTGTAATAGGGCCCTAAAGAAGTGATGTTCATAGGCAATCAATGTTTCTTGTTGCTGGTCTACCCACCTAGCAGGAGCTTGGCAAGAAAGCATTCTTGCAGTGGGACCCAATTTAAAACCTATTTCACGCACTTTAGTGCTGACAGGAAATCCTAATTGCGAGTCATCCATGTCATTATGTTCATGCTTCTCAGTAAGAAAATGGTAGCAACAACCCACGCTAACCAAACAAGTTATTTCGGGACTGGAAGTAAATAATCTCAACATCATACTTGCGAGATCGCCGCAAGTATGAAGGCCACACAAGAGCCATTTTTCTTGTGTTGTTGTGTCATGGTTACCCCATTTTGATAGGATGGTAGATGCGTTTTCTGGTGTGATGAAGTCTGTCACATGATGCAGTTTTAAATCGTCTTTGTCCAAAAACTTAACTGCTCTATCATCGAATTTCTTCGCACCACATGTTTGAATCTCTGATGAATCCACAGCTAACACTTTGAGGTTGGTTTTGAAAGCCAAGGACCTAGATAAATAACCTTGCCCGGCACCCAAGTCTACAATGGACTCTACTCCGTGATCTTTTGCAATTTTTCGGATGACGGGTGTCATACGTTCAACCTCGTGGATCTTTTTTTCAACCATGCCTGCTAAAATACGTCTATCGATATCGCTTTTGATTTGCTCGGCTATCTCAATACAGAATCAGCAAATTTATCAAAGTTTAAAAGGACAACTGATATATGAACTTACAACCAGCTGCATTTACTCTGGGTAATGCGATATCTTTGGTATCTTGAATAAACTTTCTTAATGATTCTGGCCAATCTTTCTATAAAGAAAAATGAATACAGGACGTCAAACAAGAAAAGAAAGAGAGAAAATACATACATTGACATCAGATCCCGAGGTAATTTGGACAATGGAATCGATCCAGTCCTCACCCAAGGATCCATCCTGGGGAAGTAACACATTTCTCCATTCTTCATCCAAGATCTCCCATTGATTGAATGTCATGAAATCGACAATATGAAGGGTCGTCCATTGACGATATTTTTCAATGTAATCTGTTAAGGCTTGTACATACTCCTCGGGTGACAGGTGAGAATATTTTTCTGGTAATCTCAATTGCTGGCTTGGGATCAGTCCCTCATCGATTGCACTCATTAAACAAATTGGTTGAAAAAAAAAATGGAAGATCTGTTTTTTTTTAAAAAAAAAAGTTTATTTTTAAGTCTCAGCGACCACACCAACCTGAGCAGGTCTCAATATTCTGTTCTTTAATGTATATCCCACCTTTTGGACAGTGAAGATTGTACCGGGCTGTTTATCAGGTATGGGAGTTTGGAACACTGCTTCATGTTTGTTGGGGTCAAATTCTTGATCGAGTGGGTTATCTATTTCAATATCATGGCGCTTTAGGGTCTTTTGCAAAACACTTTCGGTCATAGAGACACCCGTATAAAGGTGGGTCAGTTGTTCAGCAAGTTCTTTGCTATCCTTTTGCATACAAGCTTCCTTGCTTCTAAACTCTTCCGGTACAGATTGTAGTGCCATACCTAAGATATCAAGTGAATCCAATAAATCTTTGGCAAACTTTTGAATACCAAAATCTTTAGCATTTGCTACTTCTCTAGTTGCACGTTGACGTAAATTCTCTTGGTCAGCGAGGGATAACAAGTACGAAGCCTGCAAATTAGGTAAGTGAAGATCATTCATGCATACTGTAGTTTTTTTACCTGTAATGTTTTATATTTTGTGTTACACTCTTTCAGTTGTTCTTCGAGGGAAGGTTGAGAGGTTTTTTTTTCTTGGGGTTTATGATCACTTTGACTATGATCATTTTGACTATGATCATTTTGTTGATTACCACCATTTTCCTTGTATTTATTGTTATCTTGTTTCTTTTCTTCTTCTTTCTTATGACTACCTTCTTTCTTTTGGCCGCTTTCTTCTTTCTTGTGGTTGCAGACAAAGGTTGAAGTAATGAAAGGCCGACTAGTGTTTATACTTTTGAAAGGTAATTGATATCGAACTGTTCGACTAAACATTTTTTTACGTAGGAAATGAATAAAAGAAAAGAAAAAGATATGTGAACCCCCAAGAAGTGATTTGAAGGTTTTCATTCTGAATCATGTTTTAGATATGTACACTACATAATTTTGGAGTTGGGTGGTCACCTGATGAGAATAGGTTTGCCACTGCCAATTAATAGGCAAGAAAGCGGTTGTTCTTAAAAACTCGATCACTTTTATGTTTAGTATTTTGACATAAACGATACAAGCCAAAAGGTCTCACTCCATATGAAACTGTTTGATTGGGCCCCATTTTTTTTTATATGCAAACTACACATGTCAAATGCAACGTGGATGAATTACTTAATAAATGCCAATTTTTAATACATGCTTTCTTGGAGGAGATTAGTAAAGTTATGAATTTGTTCGTTGCAAATCTGAAGCCTTCGCAAGAATGTTCTTAAGTCCTTGATCTAGACCAATGATGCCATTTTCTGTAAATTCTTGAACGATTAAATTTTCCATAGTGTCACGCCTAGTAGTAAAAAGTTAAGTATAAATGTACCATATAAATATATAAAAATACTTACTCGACATTTCCATAGCGAACTTTTAAAGACAAGGTTTGAAAGTCGATGGCAGGAAAATTAAAAACATCCTTGACTTTTATCTCAAAACTGATTTCTATCCTTAATTTTTCTTCAAAACTAAATAGACAAATATCGTATTTAAAACCAGCCATTAATGAATCCGAAGGATCTTCGAGTGTCGTAAGTTTAGTCCAGCTTCTTGCAGTTGCGCGATCAAGTTGTCGTTTAATAATCTCCACTGAGCTCCAATAGAATTCCATATCTTGCAGAATCTGTAGTCCGATGAGTCAAAATCATATACTTTGGTCATACTTTTCATCTTACCTCTTTTGGATCCGACCTGTTTTGAGCAATGATGTCAAAACCATGCAATAGCTCAACAATAGGTCCCAAATCATCAGCTAAACTACTTGCTATTTGCCAAGTCACAGCATCTGAAGAGCGATGCGATAGTTTTTCCAGATCAATCAGGATATCAATGCCTCGGCCAATTTCTACGTGTAACACTTGCTCGTCATTTCTTTTTAATTTCCATCTGAATAATTCTGAATACTCTTGGTAGTCGTTTTTCGCATAGACCAAGTCTTTGACAGTGATGTTGGATGTTTTCTCGGTTGCCAATTCTGCCTCTTTGAGTGACTTTTAAGAAAAAAAAAAATGTAAGTTTTTTTTAATATGCAAGTTGTTTCATTTTACAAACCTCATTCAATTGTTTAATTTCATCATCCAGAGCCTTATCTTCTTCAGATAATTGTTGATCGCGGTCATTTAAACTGTTTACTGAATTCTTCAACTCATTGTAAAAAGACCTATTGCTTACGTAAGTGATTGTATCTTTCTTAAAAAATGAGATTGCTTAGGCTTTACCCTTGGTATTCAATTTCTTTCTTTAGTTCTGACATCTTTTGGTGATCAATTGATTGATTGTCTTGTTCTCTTTGACGGTAATTCTGCAAATCGACACTTAAACCTTGTTTGTACCTTTCAATTTTTCCCAACTTTTGAGCTTGAATAACTTGCAAGTCGTGGTACTGATCCAATATAGCCTGGTAATCCTTCAATACACTCGGAAACTCCTTTAATTTCTCGGTCCACAGAGAGATCCATTCTCGTTCCGATTTAAGCAAGCTGTATTTCTTAATATCCCTCAACTGCTGAGAAATTTTCATTTGCGAGGAGACGTTGGCATCCATAAATTCCACAAAGAGTTGTGGGTTGGTCGTACTGACTTCCCGATCAATCTTATCGATAATATCGTCGCTATTTTTTATCGATACAATCAATTGATCGCAGGCCTATAGGGTAGCGTTAATATTTCTAACGTTGATAAGCAACGCTTTTTTTTTTTTTAGTGCAACACACCTCTTGATAGAGATAAAGTTCAGGTAAGATTGGCAATGATTCGAAAGTCGTTTCTTGATTGTCTGGTACATCTAATTATAGAATAAGTTTCCTTTTTGTCAGAAACGTATATAAGTTAATATTACCATTCTCGTCACCGTGGTTGGATTCGTCTTTTTCGACCGGCAAATCATCAGGAAATGTAATCCCGGCATGAGACAGGTATTCCGATAACGTCATTTTGCGTTGTCTGATAGACTATTATAACTTTAGTATCCTATCTTTATCCGCTTCATCGGTTAATTTTTGTACTTACAATATCATCTTTGGGGTCATAAAAATGGGGCGAATATGCATCTACATCTACGATATTTTTGGGTCAATTAACAGCACCATGTGCCACTTTTTTTTATGAAGACTTTACCATGAACATCATGCAGAGACTCGTTACGTTCAGAAAATGGGCTTCTCTCGTAAAACGATCTGGGCGAAAATTCGGAAATTCGACGTCTTTGGGTTGATCCAGCAGGCGAACCAAGGAACGAGCTTCTTGTTGGAGTTCTTTGTATCACTTGAAGAGGTGTTCTCTGTGGTGTGGATCTTTGAGGGCTTTGTAAAGGGGTTCTTCGTGGGGTTCCTAGAGGTGTTTTTTGTAACGTCTCTGTCCTGAGTGGTGATCCTACTATAGGAGTTCTTTGGGATGTCAAGTTTCTTTGTGGTGTTCCTGATTGGGCTCTTTGAGGGGTTCGAATGTTGGGTGATACATGTGCTCCCAATGGTGTCCCAAAAGGAGATCTTTGCGAGGATTCTGACGGTGTACCAAAAAGCGATACATGTGGTGATCCCAATGATGATTTATGTGGTGTTCCAAACAATGGTGAATGTGTTGATTTAATTGGCGATCTCTCCGGTGTTCTAAGAGGTGATCTTATAGGCGATATCGAAGGAGATCTAGGTGGTGATACCCGTGTAGTGATATTTCGTGTAAACTCTTGAGTGATCACCATACTGTCGCCATCTGTAAAGTCCTGAGTATAATTATGTGCTACGGGGATATCTCTCTTGTGTCTATCAATAAAAGCTGATCTTTCGGTAATAAACATATCACTGTTTTGTGTATTTTCCATGCGAGGTTCTTGGGTAATTTCCATGTCACTTCGTTGTGAATTTCTTTGGGTAATTTCCATATCTTCTTCCTCCTCCTCCTCTCCCTGTTGTGAGTGAATTGTTTTATCTTGTGAATCAGTTCTGTTGTGTGGATAGGTATGCGTATAATCTCTAGTAGTATTATCCTGTGTACTGTTTTGGGTAAGTTCCATATCCTCTTCTTCCTGTGATTGAATTCTATTGTCGTTGATATTTTCCTGGGTATGGATTCTCTTATGGATGTGAGTATGGGTAGAAAATCGATAGTTATCTCGCGTATTATCCATGCTATTAAGTCGAGAATCCTCCTCATCTTCATCGTCATCCTCATCGAAAATATTAATTTTTCGTTTGATAGTCGAACCTGTTAATCCTGGCAAATAATCAGTTAGATCACCTTGGTTGACCCTGTTTAAGAGAGTGGGTGGTACTCCTGTCACTTTCACATTAGGACTTTTAGGATGTGCCAATGGGCTACCAAACAGATCAGGCCGTCTTTGTATAGTTAGCATACACCTCATCAATGAAATATATATAAAGAAATACCTCTTTCTACGATCGGATGGAGATTCGGACGCCCTTCGACTTGCGGGGGAGTCCATGATATCAGCATGTAGTAAAGACGGCTCATTTTCCTCGAATATATCCTGTATACTGTCTGTAAAGTGTAATTCTTCAGTCACCATGTTGCTCATGAATCTGGCAGATGTGCTGGGAGAGTCTGTTTGATTAAATAATCTGATTTTCTGCATAAATTAGTTTCCTTTCAACACGCTTTCTTTTTCTTTTATTTCATTTTTTTTGTTGTTGTTGTGAAAGAATACCTGAGGTTGGCATCTGGAGCAAAACTAACTCTTCTTTCTTCGAGGCTAACAAAAAGAGGCCGGATTAATACGAAATGCGATGCTCTTTTCTTTTGTAGTTTACCCTTGATCTTGTGAATATAAAGGCGAATTAAATCTTGCTGGTGATTCTGATGCTCGTAATATACTTTTTCTAGGCGACTAAAATAAGTCAATAATTTCCAACAAAAATGAAGAAAAAAAACCCCCCATTCCAATATACTTTTAAATTAGAGAATCGACCTCCAGATTTATCTTGCCATCGTTGTTGGTTCGACATTGTTTAGTTTTCGTAAGAAAAAAAAAATACCAAATTATCAAAAAAGTACATACGCAGGATTAAATAATAGTCACAAAACCAACCACACCTTGCCCTGTTGTCAGGAAAGATATGACTATCGTCAAAAGAGAGCAAGTAACACTTATGCTTTTTTGTGAAAAGTATAAAGAGAACAACATTATTTGACTTGACTTGAATCACTGACAACATTTCTTTATTTAATGCTGTCTCGAAAACATAAGAGACAACCCTGGATTTAATCGATACTATGCTACAATTAAAGGATAGAACATTATTATTTATTATACCGATTAATACACTATATTGATTGTTTATATGTGTTTGATCTGTAATTGTAATTGAGTACGCCATTTTATTGCTATTTTGTAAGGTGTTCCAGACCACACATTTTAAAGTTATCGGAGTGTGATAAATTGTCTTTGACAGATGTAATATTGATGTTATTGTTGAAAGTGACGAATGTTTTAGCCAGCTAAAAGAAAACAACAGATAAGCGAAAACAAAAAATGATGCTATATTTTCAAATACATCTACTTGTAATCACTGACTAGCTATAAATGTACAATGCTTTTATTACTATTTTAAGTGGTTTCTTGATGGTTACCTTAGTGATCGCTTGTAAATATGCCAGCATAGTCTGATACCGACTGATTACCAGAATGCGTAAAAGAGTAATGATATAAACACTGTATTGCAAGTCTTCCTAATAATAGCTTCTTTCGATGGGACAGCTCTTCGAATTCTTCAACTATGAAAAAGTGGAGGGGCTAGCTCAGACCGCCTTTCTTAAAAATCTGACGCGACCACTGGTTTAATTTTTTCCATAACCTCCCACTTTTTGTAAACCCAGCTTCTAGTGTGAGCCAATGGAAGAAACCCTTCGCCTTCGGCTGCCTTCATCAACGTTTAAGACATTATGTTTATTAAGAATGCCGGTTTATATATTTAGTATCCCAAAGTTGAAAAAAAACGAGTGACCAGCTCCAATTTTATTAATGGCCATTAATTTGCTTTGAATTAGAACAATGAATAAGAAGGAAAGGAAGTCCCGCCTAAATGCTTACATAAGGCTGGCAAACAGGAAGAGAAAACCCCCAAATGTACCAGCAAATGAGATGTGTAGGATTAACCAAAGATTTACCACCAAATTCGGGATAAAACCGCTCAGATAATTCGTACACAGAACAATAGATAAGGGGAGCCAGATATATATCTGCTTCCTTCTTTAGGCGGGAAGATGCGGGATTTTTAATTTTTATAAATCAGCCAATGTACACAAAAAAACAAGACTAGTGATCTGACGTTGATAGTCTTCCAGTCGGGTGGAATATATGGTAAAGGATAGGAAAAAAATAGCCCAGATAATGGTACGATATTTAAGTAAAGTGGGAAACGAACGTGCTAGACATAAATGCTCATATCACAAACAATCGCTTATATAATCAAATGGTCTGGTAGATTATTATCATAGGAGTGGAATTTGAAACGGGAAAATAAGGGTCTGGCAATCCTCTTTCCGCCCCTGGAATAGACATTGGAAATCAACGGTATTCAAAAAAAAAAAAAGATATAAAAGCTCGGATATTTTAATTTGTTTCTATTTTTTTATATATTATCTAATTCTATACACTAAAACAATGTCTCCTACATCGCTCTTACACCCTCTTGATACTAATAATGGTACATTCATTGAAAGAAAAAGCTTGAGAAGATTAAGTATATCCTCTGACTTGAGTGATGAAGAAATACAACCTGTTAGAAGAAGCAACAGTCATAACTGGAGTCACCTTTTATCGCAGTTCGATTCTCAACCTGATTTAATCAAACTTATACAATCCTGTAAAGAAGAAGAAGAAAGACGTCGCGAAGAAGAAACTAAAATGAAATTAAAAGAATACCAAGTTTTGCGTCAAATGCAACACATTCAAGATAGACAATATTTTGATAGCAAGTCCCAGAAGGAATTCAATCTTCAATTACCTCCATTATCTTTTTACAAGTAATTTCTGACCTGCATTTCTCTATCTTTTTCACTCTCTTTTCTTATATCCTCTCTCATTCACAACTTTTGTATCATTTTCATATAACATTCACCTCATTATAAATAAAATCTTTTTTCATACATGTATTTCATTTATTTGGTCTCTTAAAGTTTTTGGCGGGCTCTGTTTCAATCTTACTTTTAATCACTTCTTATCTGACACATTTCCTTAATGCAGCGATCGTTCTCCAGGTCAAAAAAAAAAAAAAAAAAAAAAAAAAAGGTTCATTTTGCGATTTTAACTTCAGTCTCCCTCAAGTAGAAAATAATTGGAAGAAAAACCTCCTTAAAAAGTCCCTCTAAATCCCGGGTTGTAGCCATCCCGTAGTGACCATCTGGAACGAGGTAAAAACGTATGTCCCATAAGCGCTGGGATCCACCTGTGGCACCCGTCTGAATAAAAACATTGAATCTAGTCACTCCCCAAACTCATAGACTCGTCCAGACTTGGATACAAAATAAAATAAAAAATCAGAGGTTACGATGGGCAGTCTAAGAAGGCATTTTTATAAAGACAAAAGAACAGTTTGAATTTACCCATGACACTGCAGCAAATGCATGTTGGACTATTGTATGATGGGGTTTTCCGGGAATATATATGAAAATCTCGGTTTTAGTCAGATACTGGAAGATTTGAGCTGTTTGGGGCCATTAGTTTTTCCACTGGATTAACTGCTACGATTTTCTAAGCTACTTTTCGTGAAGGCAGTTAATTTTTTAGCCTGTTTCATTCAAGCTACACAGTATGCTTTATCAAAGCTCCCCCAGGTCTGATTAATCTTGATTAGCAACAGAAAAAAAAACTCCTACCAAATTAAACGGTTATAAGTTTTAGAGGATATGAGCGATCAAAACAAAACATACTATACATCCTTATCTGTATTCTATCTGTATTCTTCTTTCGGAAAACTTACACTCATACAAATCCAGAGCCACAGCTGATAAGAAAAAAAATGTGACCTCCCAAAAAAAAAAAAAAAAAAAATTGCAAGTATAGTTTTTATACAATTCATCGAATACATATGACAGCAAACAATTGTAGGTAAAATTTAACACGAGGAACATCTGGGATGCCAATTTGGCGCTGATTGAAAATAAACTAGCACTTTGATTTTCTAGTACTGTTACCGAATTCATATATTTTACCCATCAAAAGATCCCAAATGTCTCTTCGCGATAAAAAAAAATCGGTTTTTTTTCGCGGTCTATAAGATATTTTAATACGAGTATAGCCTCAGTACAACAAAGGATATATTACTATTTTATAGCCACTAAAATGAAATGAAAAGTGAGAGGCTGTTTCATGGAAAGCTCCGTACGGCTTAATGATGACAAGAGTAAATTATACGCTTAGAATCTATTAATAGTTCATAGTTCTGGCATGTGTGCTTTTGTTACTTTATATGACATTGATATCTATTCATTACAAGATTTTGCCCAGTGAACAGCCTTCAGTGGTATGACGAAAATAAGTGGGCTAATGCGTGATTTATGAATAAATTTTACATGGCTATTTATCCTTAATGTGATGTGACAATCATTTTTTATTATAATATCTATGATATCCTCAGCATATCTTGATGTCCGTTGCGTTTCTCTTTTTTTCCTTGGCTTGAATAATTTTTGGTACCTTGATTCTGGTAGCGAGTGCACCTTGAGCGTATTGCCAAACCAGTTGCAAAGAGGATTTAGGAGAAAGCAATCCGCATAGTTGTGGATGAGTAAGTCTCCATCCTTTTCGTTCTCAGACGTAATGTCAGTATCTACGGCTTTTAGAAGATGCATGCATATATCAATCATTTAGAGTCAACTGCCTGTAGGGTATTCAGCCTCAATTGTAGTTATGTATTCTTCGTTTTTTGCAAATTAGTTTTCGATAATATCATCAAGTAATCTGTAATTTTCTAAAGATATAATAGTAATGAAAAACTTTGGAATACTTTCGATGCAATCATCCCAAGCTGTATCCTCGACACCAAAGTACTTCTCTTTTTCGATCACAGCAATACTGTTGAGCGCTAAAGCCTCAAACTGATCTGCAAGCTTGATGCCGAATTTACCCTTCTTACAAACCGTTTCCAAATATAAATTAAGCTTTTGATATGTAAGCTTATCAGTATCAGAATGAACTTTATCATATCCCAAACAGGATGTAAGGAGATTCTTTCCCTATTACTAAAGGTTTGAAGTCATTGACAAGTTAGAATAAACCCATATACTCTCAAGACGAGATTTTTTCAGTATCGTTCTTTCGAATTTGTGACGCTACCGCTATAAACCGTAATACCAATTACAAAATTGGCTTGACGAAACCGTACAATATCACGAATGGATTCGCGTGATAGTTTTTTTGTTGCCATTGCAATTGACCTGCTATTTTTAAATTGGACTAAAACAACAGGTAGTTAATCAGCCCCTGTTCTTTGCAATGTTTTCATCAATCAGCAATATGGTGGTAAGCTTGAGTCAAAAGTTGATAAAAGAAATGTGCGATGCTAGTAGACGCTTCAAAGTTATTACCGTTTCTTGTTTTTTAGATAAAATCAAGTACTTACAAAAGTTACGCACGCCGAGGAAAGCCTTCCTTTTGAGTCCGTATTTTTGTGATGGGCTTCAAAAAAGCACCTACCTTTAAAAATAGTGTGATCTTAGTTAAAGAAGGTCATTTCTCGATGACTATACTCCTAAGGATGAAGCTGTCACCAGAAGCAAGCACCAATGTCCCACATATTCTTTTCTCTTCAAAAAAAAGGGTTGTTTCTGTTCCATATTACTGGTATTTTATTAGAAATTTGAACCTTTTGATAAATAGGGTTTTAAAATAAAAAGAGGTGTAAACATTGAGGTTGGTTTTATTTATTTATGATGGAAATCGTAAAAAACTGTCACCAGACGATGATTTATAAGGGGGGATAATAAGCCATATTACTAAAGCATTAATTTATTGAGTAGAGACATTAATCACTAAACAGTTAAGCAGAGGTACCACATTGAATACTTATGAAAAGACATACACTTTTTGTTAATGACACCCATTTCTCCAGAATATCGACACATATTCAACATTAATAATTGGGATTTTGGCTAGAGTCAAACAGATAATTGACAGCTCACTCAATACTAATATAGTTAGCATACGTGTTTATTGGTGCTTATACTCACCTAAATGTTCAAATAGTAGGTCTTTCATTGCACATTAAAGGCCTGCGGCAGCACGAGGTCTTTTTAAAGCACAGCGTTACCATACCATGATGGAGGCCAAAGATTTACAGGAGCGAAGCGAAGGTCACAATTTCGATGTCACTTCTGATAAATAAGCAAAAAAAAAAAAAAAAAAAAAAAAAAAAAAAAAAAAAAAAAAAAGAAAAAAAAAGGAATGAGTTCTTAACGAACAGAAAAAAAAATATTATTAAAAGCAAGGGATTTATTGTTGATAATAAAAGAAGCCATTGTTTCAACAAAAATATCACATCCTTATTGCCCAAAAAAAAAAGGCCATTAAGAAGTCTTCAGCGTTTTGTTATTTTAAGTGTGATAGTTTACTTTACACTAACTATAAAGACGCAGAAAATACTGGACTTAAGAAAAACACAGCTTGTTCTGATAATTAACATTTTTGGTTGCTGAACAATATCGAATGTAAGCATTGGGTAAGCAACAAGAGGGAAAAGTGAATAAAAAAAATACGGTTGAAAGAAAAACAAAGAATAAAAAAGTACTTTAAATACCAGAAGTAAATAAAAAACTATCACAACTTGAACTACGTATGGTTTTTGTTGTGCTGTTACGAAGAAGAAAAAAAAAGTAGATCTGGTATACCCTCGATGCTCGGTGTAGCCTAACTACGGTGACTTCATGGGCCTCTCATGGAAGGTAGGGGTATGATGATCGGGTCCAACCAAGAGTACCTGAAGCAGTTTGCAAATAGTTGAAATAAAGTAAAGCTCCATAGGATTCCTTTATTATAAGCACAATCGCTTGAGGGTTGCTCCGTTTTCAAATGTTTAAAACCCAGTTTCTAAGTTTATGCAGCCTTACAATTTTTTATGCCCTTCCCTATTCTTAAGGACAAAAGCTTTACTATTTAATCTAATTCATAATACTGCAAACAAAATAAAAAGTACGATATAACTGAATACCAGTGTAGAAACACTTCTTTGGTTCTCATTCCACTTTAAAAGTCAGCAACTTTTACGGGGTCTTTTATTTCTGAACGATGTCGACTACTACCTTTTCTTAAAACAATTGCAGAAGGGTCAGATAATGGGTCAATGCATGATAAAATTAAATTTCACTCTACAAACCCAAAAAGACAACACAACAGCCTTTAAATCGATACATAAAAGCAAAAAAAAAAATATGGAATTGTGTGTGATACCTGCATTTTATTTCTTGATATGCTTACCAATCCTTACCATTGAGAATCTATATATATATATATGTAATGTTATAATAATTTGAAAGCGTATGAGTCATAAAAAAAAAAGGGGGTGCTACACTTGAGAAAGTGTGGCTCTGACGTTATTGCTATTGTAAACATGAAATTATTAGGACAGGAAGTACTGGTTTTCGTATGACACATCATTATGGATTTACTGGTACCACTTATATTTGGTGTGGGTAATTTAATAGCTGCTTAAAGAAAGCTAAACGAGTGTGGTGGTCGCTTTCGATATGCATCGATAATAATGGACCATTTGATCTGACTTAATATCAATGTTGCTCTAACTATTGCAAATATACACCTCCCTCCTACCTTGTTTAATAATTAATGTGCCTGATTATTATGGCATCTCATCGTGTACGTTACCAAATAACCATCCATTGTTTCTTATAAATGAGACTCCTATCCCATTAATTAATAAATACTTGTATATGCTGATGACTAGATCAATCTCAAATATTGTTGTGATAAGGAATTAATTGGTTGTAACTTGATCTACATGACAGACTCCATCCATATTGATAGCCTTTGATATAAACACTAGCAATTTACTTTATGAACAGGTACGATACTCATCGAACCTGGCAAAATCTTAGTTATAAAATCTTACCATTGTACAGAAAGCCTAAAGTATAGACGAGAGAGATCTTTTACACATTCAATATGAAATTTAAAAAGGAAATTGATGATATGGCAAGGATGAGACATATCTTAGCTAGCTGGTATACATATAGAAGAGGCTAAACTAAAACAAATGTATAAATCCAAATGTATAAATCCAAATGTTGCAGTGGTGAGTTACATGTTGAAATCATATTTAATGTGCTATCATTAGAATTGAAATTAATGCATTTCAAATCATCAAAAGCGGCACTGGTTATTTGGAGATACATCACAATGGGCTTGAAAATGATATGTATGCCATGCCTGATTGGATTTTTGAAGCAGTTTCCAGATATTGAAAAGAATATACATAAAATATCACGGATGGGGCGTAGATGATGGTTTTTTGACTGCCATTATAACTGACTTGAGGTTTTTAAAATGGACTAAAGCAACAAGAAAACCAGTCAGTGCCTGTTCTTTCTATATTGCCATTAATAAGCGGTGTTATGGCTTATTAATTAACTAAACTTTCTGAAAATTTCACTTTGAAGGCGTTTAAGCATTTTGAGCGTCGTAGCTCTTAAGGTTATCGCCATTTCTTGGCCTTCACAGGTTCACACAAGGCTGCTATATCAAATACTTGTAAGCGATTCCTTCACAAAATGAACTGATTTAACAGCTATGGCGAGAATAGTATCTGAAAGTGGCCCACTGGAGGTTTTATATGGCATGACTGGCGATCTGCTGCCGGTGAAATCAAACCTGAACAAAAAGCATCCTATTTTCCTCGTATTTTAACTATCAGACTTCCATTTTATGTGACTGCTATGGATTACACACTATGAAATTGGTGTAACCAAACTCCTTATAAAAAAGAAATGGCACAGCATTGTAAAACAAGGCTCCAGACTTTTTTAAATCCTTCTGTCGGAGCTTGCCCCGGGGAACTATTATTTTGCTTTCATCATGATGACTGAGGTATAAACAAAAAAGAGAAGCATTCGGGTTCGGAAAATGAAAAGAAGAGAAGGGGATAGAGAGAGAGAGAGAGGTGTGCACAGTAGAATTGAAACGGGTATGACGATGGGCGTATAAACACTAGTGGGGGCATAAAGAATTGTCAAAAGTTTTTTTTTTCTTTCTTTTTCTTCCAATCAATCATATTCAAGCATCGAGCAACTCCCAAAAGGGGATATTTAGTTTTTTAGAGAGAGAGAGAAAAAAAAAATATTCTTTATTCGCTGTTTCTTTTTGTTTTTATACATAATTGTACAAACATGTTGGAACACACTAGAGCCAAAGCACCTGCAGAGTCAATAAAAGAGAGTTTTATAGGTGAAGAGACTAATGACGATGAGGAAGAAGAAGAGGTCAGTTATAAAGCATCCCAGAAAAAACAACAAAACCGTAGTAATACACCTGAGCAAGCCAAGAAAGGTAGAAAGAAAAGCAATGGTGATCCCAACCGAAGAGACAAAATTGGAAGAACTCGATTATTTGCTGCTGCAAGAGCAGGTCATCTAGACAAGATTAAGGAATGGATTGAACAAGGTGCTAACGTCAATGCCAAAGACAATGCCAAATACACACCTTTGCATGAAGCCGCTAACCATGGTCGAGTCGAAGTTGTCGAATACCTCATGCAAATGGGCGCAGATATAAAAGCAAGAGCCATTGGTCTCGACACCCCTCTTCATGAAGCCAGTAATTGCAACTCTGAACAATGTGTCAAATTACTCGTGGACGCTGGAGCTGATGTTTTCTCTCTCAATGAAAAAAACCAAAGACCCATTGATTTGTGTTCAACAGACGAATGCGAAGCAATCCTGACCAAGAAAATGAAGGAATTGGATAATGTGATTAAACGAGATGGTCAAGGCAAATCACTTTTGCATTATGCTTGCTTGAATAATCAAGTCGACAAAGCAAAGGCCTTGATTGATCAAGGTGCAGATGTCAATGCAAAAGACAATCAAGACATTACACCACTTCATTTATCTTGTGCACAAGGTCACTTAAATATTGTTAAATTATTATATGGACAAGGTGCACTTGTCAATATTCTGGGTACACCATTGGCCGAAACCCCTCTTCACCAAGCGTGTCGCAATGGGAGAGAAGACATTGTGCGTTATTTGATTGATGAAGCAGAAGCCGATGTGAATATCGAGAATAATCAGGGTGAAAATCCATATCATGTTTCAGCTTCTTTCCCACCCATTCGCCAGATATTGACAGCTCGCATGGATGAAATTCGACTTGAAAAGGAAGCTTGTCATGCCTTGGATGAAACGGCCAGAAAAATGGCTCTGCAGAATGAACCAGAACGTCAACTCACCCGTGAAGAGAGAAAGATTCAGAGTTATATGAGAGTCTTTGACAAATTACAAGGCGATCAACAAAACAAAGACGACGAGTCTGCATCATCTGCCACAACAACTACCACTACGCCTCGAAGAAAGAAAAAACCAACAACTGCCGCTAATCGAAAGTCGGCTTCAGTAGAACGAGACGTGACACCTACCAGAAAAGCACAAGTCAAATTGGACCCTTTTAAAAAGGACAATAGTGGTGGAACTCAACTTCATAAATTCGCTAGTCGTGGTGACCGTGATGCTGTCAAGACATTGTTGGAATCCGGTGCCAAACCCGATGAAAAGGATTATGCTGGTTGGACCGCACTTCATGAGGCTGCTTTACATGGCCACATTGAAGTTGTGAAACTTTTGATAGATTATGGTGCCAATGTCAATTCCAAAGGAGCCGACATGGATACACCTCTTCATGATGCGACAGAAAATAATCATTGTGACATTGTAGAGTTATTATTGGATCATGGCGCAGACCCATTTGCCAGAAATATGAATAATGCTGAACCTATTGATCTTGCCACTGCGAATGAATATGGAGACATTATTTTGGTATTACAAAATGCAAATCCCGTCAAAAAGAAGAAGAGACCAAAGGTACTGTCAGCAGGGCCCATGACAGATGGTAAGTTGATTTTAGTGATTTAACAAAAAGGATTACTCATGATTCTCATGTATAGTGAAATCCAATCAGACCCAAAAGCCTAAAAAGCGACGACTCATTCAAGCAGCCGACCTCGAAAAGAACCAATCAGTGGAAGACGAGATAAAACCGGTTAAATTGAAAAAGCTACGACAACGATCCTCTTCACCGGAAATAGTTAAAGTCAAGGAAGAAGAGATTCATCCCAAAGATATCACTAGCAAGGAGAATCTGAATAAGACACGCTATATTCCCAACAAAAAAAGCCATGATATACCTTCTAAAGTGATTGATCACAATCATCCATACCATTCACCCATTCATACACCCCCACCAGAACAATGGACCAAGCAAAAACATGACGGCACGCGATATTATTCACCACTGTATACTGTACGAATCAATTTTAATTCACCCCTCACATATTACGTGGTGGATTTGCAAGTCTGTCTATTCCTTGGATTTACAAACCTGGATGATTTCTACAAGGCCTATCCGTTCAGCAATAAAAAAAAGAAGATTCACGACGAAGGTAAAAACCGACTTTGGTCTACATTAAAGCACATGATTCGAGAGGAAAAGACAACGTTTGTATCCAGACAATTACACTTTATTCCTTTGGATGATGTTCTGGCTTTGATCAAGAAAGATTACAATCACCTCAGCCAGAGTTTATTGACCATCACTTTGGATATTGGTTATGAAGAAATCGATATCAATAAGAAGTATTGTAATCTTCCTCCCAAGATTGCAATGAAAATGAGAAAATGTGGTTATCAACACTATTCAAATTAACTATACCCCATCTTTCTGTATTTTCCCTCACAAACTCTCTCTCTCTCCTTCTCTCCCTCCCTCTCCCTCTCTCTTTTTTTCACAGTACATATATCGCATCACATCAATAAAAAAAAAAGAATAAAAAAACAAGGAGTATTTACATGTAAAAATAGTGTATATTTTAAAGCTTACAAACACGATCTTGAATGTAATTAAGCTCTTTCAAAAAGCCTCTCAAGGTACCTTGGCTCTTATCAGGGTTTTTGTCACCACTGATGGCTTCCATCATGGGAGGAGGACCACATACAAAGATGATGGAGGACTCGACATCAGGTTGAGGTAAGGCCTTTTCCACAACATCACGTGTGATATAACCCGTCAAACCTTCCCAAGTTTGGGGCGCAGTTTCCAATACATAGACTACCTTAAAACGGTCAGGATAGGCCTTTGCATAGCCATCTAATTCTTCCTTGAACAAGATGTCTTGTTCTGTTTGATTGGCAAAAATTAAAGTGAATTGCGATTTCTTATCAGATGAATCGGGGCTGAAAACCTTGCGCAATAATTGAAGCTGAATTAAAAAAAGGTGAGATTTTCACTTCTGATTACATCATTTTTATGTGTTATTTTACCATGGGAGTGATGCCTGTGCCACCTATTAGAAAAAAGATAGTGTGTTAGAAGAGAAAAAGAGTAAAAAGAAGAGGTATAGGTTACCAGCAACCATGCCAACTTGGCTCACGGGCTTCTCATCCCAGTTGTACTTGACAAAGGGACCCTTGATATCGACGGAATCACCCACGTTTAAAGAATGGATATGTCTACTCATGACACCAGTGGGATAATCCTTAATAACAAAATCAACATGACCTTGGGTCTTTTCTAAAGAAGTAGGTGTATAAGGGCGAATGACTTGTTCTGTCTTGCCTTCCTTGGTAATATCTGAACGGAAGACAACACATGAAGCGGTGGGTAAACCTGCCACGTCAGTGGGGTTGGGCAACTTGAAACGAAAGAGACTGACGTTATGATTGACACGTTCAATCTTTTCAAGCTAAAATTATTGTAATCATGCATTTAATTTTCTTTCCTGCTTATTAAAATATATTAAATTAATTGTTGTTACCGTAAAGGGTCTAAATTCAGAAGGGGAGAAAGCCATTTTACTTATAAATCTTTTTATCATAAAAATAACAAAGGAAAGGTACAGTCAAAAATAATAAATAAAAAAGTTTATTACCGGATTTTTTGGTGGGGTTCTAAAAAATAAAACTTAAAGTCACACTACTGTGTGTTCAGCTTAGCGTTGTTTATAGAGACAATTAATAAGTCGTCAATTAATTTAAATAGGTGTAAAGTGCCACACTAAATGGGTTTACCAAACCCGGACATACGGAATTGTACCTCAAAACGTGTTCTGATCTCAGAAGGAGCATAATCATTTGTTCTTTATGTGCAGGCAAGGCATTAGTAAGAAAATCGGGAGTGCATGTAGACTAGTTCCCTAAGAGCATAAACCCATTCCCTTCTGATTGGCAAAATGGGAGTTCCTCCTTCTATCCCCATGTTGACGCCATCCAACACTAGTATTGCGTGTATCCCTTCTCCAACATAATGTAAAACTAATGCCCACCTAATGAAAATATACTGCAGGTAAAAAAAAAAAAAAAAAAAAAAAAAAAAAGGATGAGTTTGCCGTGGCAAGACTATTTTGAAACCGTTTGTTTCCACCATGCATCTTTTACACGCAGATGGTGTGTTGCTACGCTTTTTTAAAGTTTAGTTGTAAAAAGAAACCATGAGTTTTCAAGTGGGAGGAAACCTAAAATAGGGCTGCAAATGAACCTCTTACTCAGCAGCAAGAGTATTAGTAAAAGTCACGCTATGGAAAAAGTAAAACCAAATTTGTAAACATAAACCATGCTTGCGGGGGACCAAACACACGAAAGTTTTTTTTTTTTTTTTTTTTTTTTTTTTTTTGCTAGGCTTTTTATACTTTTGCCCTACTTTCTTAAAAACCTACAGTATAGAAGGGGGGGGGGGCAGCTTATCAGAAAGTAATCAGAAAAGGGAAAAAGTTTTCGCCTCAAATCATACACTAACGCCACTATTTGTTGTCTTTTTTTAATCCGTCAGTCGGAGGGGCAATGGTGAGAAATTTACTTTTTTTTGTTACGCCACTTTTACATTTGGGTGGACAGGTGGGAATGTTGTCAGTACAACCTCTCACCTAAACAACGTGTCTTTGAAATTCGTAGAGAAGTCTAAGCATTCGAATTGTGCAAGACAAAAGAGAGAAGAAGGAGGCTAGATCTAAACTGGTATAGCGATGAGGATTATGTAAAAAAAATGTGTATGTTTCACCAAAAAGGGGCCCTTGATGACGTATAAATGGGCGACCAAATCCGAATTCCTGGGTGAAAACGGAGAGGAAGTTCGTGGTTGCCATTTTTTTTTATAAGAGTTAATTTCCTTTTATTGTTTTCGTGAGTACAAAAAAAAAAGTGTGTGTTTGATCTACAGCAGCAGCAACGCGCGAAGGAGAGCGGGAAGTGTAACAATGAGAAAAAAAAAGTTAAGCGTTTAACCACCAGCAGTGGCAAAAAAACCTCAGGTTTCAGGGAAATTATGATCCGATTTTTTAAAAATAGCTGAAATATATAGGATTTACCTCTTTTTCCATGCAGACCAAAACGTTACACAATATGTGGTGATACGTATTGTGTGAATTTTTTAACTAAATATAGTAACCCTAACGCACGATATGGCCTACGTTGGTGAAACCACTCCTTACACTTAAATTCTAGCATGATCGCTTTGATTAAAAAAAAAATTAGAAAAACGATGGCAAAAAAAATTTCATTTGTTGCTAGGTTACGGTTGCCGAGGTAAATTGGTATCATTTGTTTATTTGTTTACAAAGTAAAAAAAAAAAAAAATGGATCTCCGATCCCAAGTACATGGATGCAGAAGCCGCGATCAAATTTTACTTAGCATATTTGAATTGAATGTCAAAACATCTAAACACAGAAAAAAAGGAGTTTTTTTCCCATTCAACCCATTACTTTGGGTTTTCGGAGTTTCGGTAGAAAGTATAAATTTTTAAGTGGGACTTTTTTTTGAATTCTGTGTATGTATGTGTGTGTGTATGGTAGTACGTCCTAGGGCGTGCATACAAAAAAATAAAAAATAAAGCAATTAAGAAAATGGGTAACTTTAACGACACGTGGGATTCGAGATGGGTTGAAACTAAGGCACGGATCAATGGAAGGCTGAGCAAAAAAGAATATCCTAAAACTCGGGGCTGGACTATAAATATGAAACCTGGGTTGGTGTGAAAGCGTGTGTGTGTGTGTGTGCGTGCGTGTGTGTGTGTACTTTGTGTGTGTACTTTGTGTGTCTGCGTTAATGTGTGCGTGTGTTCTTTTTTATAATTGTGGACTTTGACCTTGAAAAAATATATTTGGATATAAAAAATCTTTATTGTCACAAAACCTCTTTTTTTCTCTTTTCTTTTCTTTTTTCTCTCCTTTTACTAAATTGGGATTTTATTATTATTATTTCTCTCTTTTTACATGTTCTTTATAAAATAGATATATCAACATACACCCCTGACAGCAACAACTACAAATAATAAAATTTATTAGAGATGACACTCACGAATGCCAACATGACTCCACCTTCGACATTGTAAGAAAAATAAATAAAAGTTGTATTTCTTGGTTTAACAACCTTTTTTTTTTTTTTTTTTTTTTTTTTTTTTTTTGTTAGATTTTCATTGATTGTACGTCAACAGCCTTGTAAAGCCAGACTATGTAGCTTTAAAGAAAAAGGTTTGTTTTTTTGAAACAACGGGGGTGTATCTTTTTTAACATTTGTTTTTTATAAAGTGGATAGACGACCTATCGATCCTCCACCTATTATCCAGTTACAGAGCAACCACACAGAGTAAGCAAACGATGCTAGGTTAGAAATTAAGAATGACTATACTGACTATTGAAATCAAAAAAAGTCATGATTTTTTACAAAACCCATATTTTTTCCTCTACGCCACACTGACGGATACCAGTGGCGAAACGGATTTACATTTCGTCCATGGTAATAGAACCACAGCTGGAACTGTCGTACAATCACTACATAAACTTAAAGATGTTGACAATACAGGTACTTTCATATGTATAATGTATTATTATAAGTTGACCTATTTTTAAACTTTTTTTTTTCAGATGGTGGCTTCTTTATTTTCTCGGATATCAGTATCCGATTAGAAGGATTTTATAGATTGAAATTTACCTTGTACGAGATTGACGGGTAACGTATTTTTAGATATTTTTTTTTTAAAAGAAACTGACTCATATACCCTTGTCGATAGCCCCTTTGTAAAGCGAATGTGCTCCATCGTTTCCAATGTCTTTCAAGTGTACTCCCCCAAGAGCTTTCCCGGCATGTCTGGTGCGTGTTTATACTATATTTATCATCTTCTTTCTAAACTAACATAACATAGAATCGACATTTCTAACGAGATCGTTCAGTGATCAGGGTGTTCGAATAAGAATCCGAAAAGAACCCAGAAGTTCCCTATCGACAAGGTAAAGAAAATAGTCGATGACGAATAATTAATACAAACAAATAAACATGTTGTATTTAGCAGTAATCACAAAAAGCGACGAAAAGACAAGGTGTCCGACGAGGAAGAAGAGGAAGAGGAAGAGGAAGAAGTGAGCCCAATGTCCAGCGCACATCATTCGTGTTCACCTCTGCCCGAAAGAAAGGAGACATTTTCTCCCATGTCAATGCAGAATATTTTGTCCAATGATAATGATTCAGAAACAAGGTTATTCTCCACAAGGAAATTACCACTGCCGTTACCATCGCAACCGTTGCCACCACCACCACAACATAATACCCATCACCACCACCCCCATCCTCATTCTTGGATTTCACAGCCACCCATCTAAACCCCCATTTTCCCCCTTCTCCCGCCACGTATTTCCCCCCTCCCCCCATCCACCCAATCAAATCGTGATGACGTTCCAAGAAACTTATCCAATCAAATTTATTAAAAAAAATCCCCCACTTTTGTTTTCTTTTTTTTTTTTTTTTTTTTTTTTTTCAATACTTTCTTTATATATATTTTTTTTTTACCTTGGTTTTCTACATTTGGTAACCAACTTTTTTTATTCCATACATATTACCCTAATTGGATTTTTTTTTTAATTCTGGAAAAAAATAAAATAAAATACATATAAAAACAAAATGAACCCTAATCAAATACCTTCTGAAGATCCTCTCTTAAAAGATGATGAAGAGAATGACTCTGCTGCGGATTCCGATGTCAAGCCTTCAAGACGTTCTGGTAGAAGAAAGATCAAGATTGAATATATTGAAGACAAGAATCGTAGACACATTACCTTTTCAAAGCGTAAAGCTGGTATTATGAAGAAGGTTAGTAATGTTTCATTCTAATTTTTCTATGACCGCGTTAATATGTACTAAACTAAATTAACATTTTTTTTTGTGTGTGTGTAGGCGTATGAATTAAGTACATTGACAGGTACGCAAGTGTTACTGTTGGTTGTTTCTGAAACCGGTTTAGTCTATACCTTTACAACTGTAAAATTGCAACCCATCGTCACTAAACCCGAAGGAAAAAACCTGATCCAAGCTTGTTTAAACGCACCCGATCCCATCCAAACCGACGCCAACGTAAAAATGACTTTTTATTTTTTTTCTGCTTACTTTTTTTTTTTAATTGACATTTTACCTTTTAGGATAATGATACAGCCGCTTATAATCCTGGCAACGGGCAATCTCGAGTTGACATTGATAAAAAACCCACTGCAGTCTATGAAGAAAAGAAGGCGGATGTGATTCCTCCACCCACTGTGTCTGCTGCCGCTGCTGCTGCCGCTGCTGCTGCTGCTGCCGCCGCCGCCGCCGTAACAGCTACACCTTCTATTCCCCCTCCTCCTCCTCCATCTTCCAATACTGCTCCTACTGCTCCTGGTGGATATACAAACAATCCCGTCACAAGTCCATATCAGCAACAGCCTTATGGCGCTTCACCTTCTGCCGGTCCACCTACCGCTATGCCTCCCATGGGCTCAAATAACTATGGTCATCCCAGCTACATGAACCCTAACTATCAACAGCATCAACATTCTCCTCAACAGCAACAACCTCAACAACATTCTCCTCAACAACAACAACCTCAACAACCTTATGGCCAAATGCCTGGTCCTCCCTTCTATGGCAATCAGCAACAGCAGCAACATTACATGCAACATCCTAGCCAACAGCAACAACAACATCCTGGTTACTGGCCAAGTAATCCTTCTAGTCCTGCATTAAGACAGCAAGAAGATGACAAGGCAAGAAGAGGCATGACTCCCAATAAAAAATAAACTTCTACATTGTTAAAAAATAAAAAAAAAGCATGATTATTATTCTATTTACATATGATGAGAAAAGAAAAAAGTTTATTTTTGTTGTTCCAATGCGTTGACTCTTTCTAACAATTGAAGCACTGTTTTCTCCAAACTGGAGACACGCTCACGTTCTTCATTTAATAAATGATCGTATTCCTTTTTAAGCTTTTCGATTTCGTTCTTTGTATGATTTTTCAATTTGGTTTCGAGGACTTCGTTTCCACCACCACCGCCAGGTGGTCCTGCAAAATTGAATCGAGAGGCCAGATTTTTAACACCAGCAGGACGCACTGGTGCACTTTCCTCTGCATCTTCCGTTGTCTTAGTTTCCTCTGCTGGTTTTTCATCCCACAGACGACGTGTTTGTGTAGGCTTTAAATGACTCTTGGAAAGCACATCACCGCCCACTGCAAAAGGCGTAGGGAATTTAGCAAAGATGGGTTTAACGGGTTTGGCAGGTGGCGAAGGACTACTCTTCTTTTCTTCCACGGGTTCTTCTGCAAGTTCCTTTTGCAATACTTCGGTTTGACTAGGTTCTTGATGCAATTGAGGAGAGCGACGTGCTCTACCTGCTCCCATACGAACACGTGTAGGTGCTGTGAGTTTGGGTCCACTGGGTATACTATCAAATTCATTCTTTTCTTCCTCCTTTTCCTCCACGGCAGTCTCTGTCTTTTCTTCTACCGCCAATGGAGTCTCCTCTTCGGCTTTCTCGGTCTCGACACCAGATTCCTTTTCCTCTTCATCTGAAATAGGATCTTCTTTGATCACGGCAGGTGATTTCTCCTCCTCACTAGCTACAGACACTTGACGTTCAGGCGAACTTTCTTCAGTGGGTGACTTGATACTTTCTTCCTGTGCAAGAGTAACAGGAGATTCACTAGCGGGTGATTCAACATTTTCAATAGCAGGTGATTCGACCTTTTCAATGGCAGGTGATTGAACCTTTTCAATAGCGGGTGATTGAACTCGTTCAGGAACGGGAGGTGAAGTAACTCTTTGAGGAACAGGTGGGGAAATCACTCTCTCAGGTACAGGTGGAGATGTCACTCTCTCGGGTGCGGGTGGAGAAACCACTCTTTCGGGTACAGGTGGAGATGTGACTCTCTCAGGAACAGGTGGTGAGGCAAGAGGAGGTTGCACTTGTTCTACGGCGGGAGATGCAACTCTTTGAGGAACGGGTGGTGAGTTGACTTTTTCAACAGCAACAGGTTCAACAGAGGGAGGAGCTTGGTCAATAGTGTCAATAGCAACAGGGATTTGCTCTTCGGCAACAGGAGAAGCTTTTTCTTCGGGTGCCTATTCACATATTAGTAAGTAGAATATAAATAAATAAAAAAAGACTCACATCTTCTTCTTCCTTGGTTTCTTCAGTAATGGAGGGAGAGAAAGGTTGTGCAGCGGGTTTAGAAGCAGTAGGTATAGCAGCAGAAAGAGAAGAAGGTCTTTGAGCAGGTGTTTGGACCGAGATAGGTCTTGCTGTAACGGGAGATTGAACAGAGGAAGGTCTGGAAGAAGAAATGTTACGACGTGCACGCGTAGGTGTGGGTGGAGCTACCAATTCATCCTCCAATTCACGTACAAAGTTACAAGGGAATACACCGGATTGTCCCTTTTCATTCTTTCCCTTCCACCATCCATCGTCAATATGACGGTCAAGGATCTCGACATATTCACCACGTAAAAGACTCAGTTCGTCCTCACTTTCAGCGTCATAAGGATGTAATACAATTGCCTTTCCGACTACAGTAAAAAAAAAAAATTAGCATTGTGTGCATATGTGAGTGATGGCATAACTTACGAGGCTTTTGGGTTTCTGCAGATTCGGATGGTGTAGGTTTAGAGACAGTGGGGACGACAGGAGGGGCATCGGTCGTTTCCTTCTTTTCCTCGACATCATCCTTCTTTTCCTCAACATCCTCGGCAGCTTCAGCAGTAGCATCAGCAGGGGCAACAGGAGCAGGAGGATGAGGAATAACTGGGGCAGTAGCGGGAGGAGGAGGAACAGACTCGGTTTTTTCAGGTTTAGCTCCGCCGGTTTTCTTTAATCCGGGGAAACCACCTGCTAATAAACTTCCAATGCCACCTTGTTTCACACCAAATGCGGCTAATTTAAAACCTCCTTTTGCTATAAATAATTTAGTTACATATTGTCCAACAGAGAGACAAAAAAAACTTACGAGGCTCTTCATCAGTGGGTGATTTTTGGGATTCGTTGCTTAATTGAGGTTGACCAAGGTCAGGACGTCCAGGCATATCAATGTCTTCAACATACTAATTCTATAATGAGACTTGGGTTGTCACTGTGTTGTTTTTTTTTTTTGCTTACCTTGGAAGGATATTTTCCAACTTTGCCATTTAATTCGCCTCGAGACCATTGGTCGTCGATGACTTCATATACGTTAATAATGCCTCCACGATGAAGAGAGATTTCACCGGGTTCTTGCATGGCGTAATCTTCCATGACGCGAGCCATACCAATGACCTGATCGACTTTTTCTAGGGAGGTGTGTGAGATACGCATACAAATGTTGTCAATTTTTTGTTTTATTTATTTATACCTTTCTTTTCTTCAACAATGGGTTCTTCTGTCACTGGTACGTCATCTTTGGTTTCGACATCCTGTTTAGGTTCTTCTTCTTGTTGTTGTTGGTTATTTTCTTCTTTGGGAGTGACAAACTAGAACAAAAAGTGAGTAAAGGCAAGCGAAGGGAAAGAGTTCAACGCTTTTTTTTTTTTTACATTGCTAGGAAAGAATCCTAATGAACCGTCCTTCTTTTTACCAACCCACCAATCAGGGTCAGAAAAATCGGTCACCTTGATAATTTCGTCTTGGTCAAACGAGATTTCGTCGTCTCGTTGCGCTTCATAAGGATGATGAGCAGTAACTATTTTGTATTCTATGCAAGTAAAGCAAGGTGAGCATCTCTCTATTCTGGCGGCTCAATAAACTACTACAGTATACACTTACCAGACATGGAGGGGGGTGGGAATGAGTAAGGAGTAAAGAGAGAAAGAAAAAGAGCACGAGCACCTTTATTTTTATGTAAATTAAATTTAAGACTCCGTTATATAAGCGCATATTTACAATTTCTTGGTAAAACGTTTACACATGCAAGTATTATTCGCAGATATAGTTTTCTGTTGCATCAATAGATACAGAGCTTTTTGTTTATTGTCACAAAAAAAGTAAAAGAATGGAATGGGGGAGGAGAAGGCGGCAATGATTTCAGAGCGCGTATTCTTAAAAAGGGAGAAGGGGAGTTAAGGGACGGAATATGATATTGGCGTAGCCAAAGCACGGGAGGGAGACATTGATTTCAGAGCCTGTATTGAGACATTGATTTCAGAGCCTGTATTGAGACAATGATTTCAGAGCCTGTATTCAGACAATGATTTCAGAGCCTGTATTGAGAATATGATTTCAGAGCCTGTATTGGGAGATTGATTTCAGAGCCTGTATTGAGAGATTGATTTCAGAGCCTGTATTGTGAAAAAGGCGATGGGAGAGAATCACATCCCTCCCCCCTCCTTCAAGAGCACGCAAACAACAAAGCACACACAAAGCACACACAAACACACAAACACAAACACGCCATTTCAGAGAGCCAACAAATCGTCAATAGGCAAGAAGAGGGACCTTTTGAGTAAGGAAGCCTCTTCTTTTGGTAGGGCAGCAAAAGGGAGAAGAGGAGACATCATGAATCCTTCCCTCCCATCCAATTCTTTCAGAATCCCGCTGCAATACATCACATCGTTCCTTTTGGGTGCCCACAATGTCGCATACAAGTTCACCGTCCTATCTGCTTGCCCCCACCCCCGCCAACCCCGGCCGATGATTTCAGAGCCTGTATTCATACTTGACTTGAATTCAGACGAAAACGCGTCTTTATATAAGAGTTAGGTTCTTTATCTTTGTTATATCTTTGTGGGATTTTACGAACCTTGCCCCAAAGTAGAACTTTTGACTTTCTTTTCTTCTGCAAAGTCTAGCATCAAGGAAGTACCAAAAGAGAGAAAGAAAAAAGCAAATTGAGCAGCGACTTTTTAAGGAAAAAATGACCCATTAGTTCCTGGTGAATGTGCTGTTATGTTGAGCGATGTATACCTTCTTTTTTTTTTTTTCAGGAGATCTTTGTGTTGAAGAAGATTACTTCATGGTGAGCATAGTAAGCGACCTCCAACAGCAATGGCAAACAAGAAGGGCCATTTTTAAACGAGTGTAATCAAACAACACAAAATGTTGTTTGGGGTGGAGAAAAAAGAAAAGAAAAAAAAATTTTTTTTTCGTCACGAAATAAAAAAGCTCATCTCCCACTCATTTTTTATATTCAAAGACGTTGGGCGTGTGTGCGCATCTCCTTAAATACCCGAACGATAAAAAAAATATGACGTCAGAGATTTTGTTGGCTTTTTCATCTCGAATGAACTTACTGGAAGAAACCACGACCATACAAGCTTGTTGCTCCTTTCAACAATTGCACTAGTCTTTTATTAAACGAAAATAAGTGTGGCCTATATCTAAAAAGAATCGCCCTCATGCTTATGGCAGCATTCATGTTCATGTTACACGAATATTGGCAAAGAGAAATCACCAGTGGCATTGGTAATAATTCATGCCTGTTGTGGCTCTGCAGCAATAGAATCCAGAAATGAATCACACCTTTGTTCGTGTATATCTTTCTACTGTCATAGGACACTTGTATTTTTGACAGTGGCTGAATTGGCCTCAATTGGACCCATATCAGTATATCAGTTATGGGGATTTTATGAATTAGTGTGCCTATGGATGTAAGCAAATACTAATATTTAGCGCGTACTTGTAAGGTGGGTTACTGATTTTAAATGAATACTTCGGTGTACTTCGCTTATTAATCAGTAACTCGGGTTGACAGTCAACACCATAGATGATTTCTCAAATTACCTTCGAAAACCAAGTACATTGTCTGCTCAAACTAAACTTGATAATCGTACTTGCATCAACTTCTATAATTATTTATACACACAGGTCTTCTGTACATAGCTCTAAATAAAAGGAACTTACGTCTATTTTTACGTGAATTTTCCAAGCCTCGCTTCTTACATCTTTTTGATGTTGACACGATATACATATATAAACGTGGGCTTTCGTCAACATTCTAGAGATTATGTGATCTACAGTAAAGCTGAGAACCCAACTTGGGAGGCCCACCCTTCGTATAGCAAAGACAAGCCGCAGCCGTAATATCACCCATATCTCGCAAAAACTGGAGTACACCTTTTTTAATTATCGTTTTCTTGAAGAAACAAAAGTCATTATGAACTCACCCTTTCACGATATTTGGTATTATTCTTTATAAACATAGTCGTATACATGAATGTATGTATATACATATATACTTTATAATAAAAAAGAAGTAAAAAAAGAAAAGCGAACAAAAATAGTGCGGAGAAAATTTTATTTATTTAGACTGATAAACAAAAGCTGTTTTATGTCAGCAAGATGTAATGAAACACATAATTAGAAGACGAAGTGATTGATAAAAACCAAAGTCTTACTATTATCATTAAACACGCCGAATAAAAAATTATTGACTCTAGCGCTTGTGTTATTTGGTGCTATCGCGAGCATAGTTTAATGTAATTCAATATCATGGGAGAAAACATGGTTTCTTAGCCCAGAGAAGAAAAAAAAAGGTTGCACAAAAAATACACGCGCTGCATAATAAATCTAAAAGTCTATTTTACATTTTCCCATTGATATAGTGTTTGTTCTAATACGAGCAGTTTCTGCTTTTCCATTATTAGACTTGATCTAGAGATAGATTGCATAGTTTGAATCATTTGCCGTGGATGAGTACTTTGGAAATGGGCCAATTCATCAGAAATCATTTTATGAGACTGAGTTATTTGTCCATCAATGTAATTCAATTCGTTCATGTTCTATTTTTTTTTTTGTTTAGACACGAAGAAAAAAAATTCAATGATTATCTTCAAGACCGCTTACCTCAATCATTTTATCCTTGTCTTTTTCTACATATTTCTTCGGCGTGAAAATGGTATGCCAGTGCTTGGACTTGCATAAAATCTCCTTTTGCTGCTCTATATTCTCTCGAAGTAAACCACGTTGATTAAGTAAAGAGAACGGTCGCTGTAATGATAACTGATAACAAAAAAAAAAGAGCTTAGAATAACCTAGTTTTCGCTCTTTCTATTGTAATTATTTTACCAAGATACCGTCAATCATGTCATACGCCATTTGACTTACTTTGATTAATTGAGGCCACGATGATACATACTGCAAAACCATCGAGTCAATAATATAATTCAATTTTTAAAATGTTTACATGTACTTACGGATCGATCGCCAGTGATATTTGCGCAAATTCGAATGGTTTCTATGGCCAATGGAGTAATCAGGGCAGATGTTTTCAAGCAAAGTGAATTTTGTGCTACCATGCCCATTTCAGTCTGAAGCTCTCGTTGCGTATCCATGATTCTTCTTGCTGTGGTCAAAAGATGAAGAAACCCAGACTTTAAGGGTGTCATCATTTCCTGTGCATAGGTTAAAAAATACTCTTCGTCAAGCGTATTGGTGACAGAATGGGGCAAAGGTAAATCACTAATCTTTTCTAGCAATAGTTTTCTTCTAGAGAAGGAGTTATCACGGATTAAAGTGGGTTGGAGATCTGACATGGAGCGCACAAAGGAAATGACAAGATCGTGGTAACGAAGTACAGGGTGGTATTGCAACCAATCCATGAAGGATTGTAGACGTGTCATGGTGAGATCAATCCAAGCCAATGGAGGAGGTTTTAAGTCAATGAGGAGGGGATCTTGTAGGTTTTGAAAGGTAGGTAAAAATGTCTCGGGCATCTCGTACAAGAGTTCTTGTCGTAAAAACGTGAAATCGTCCAGACGTCTCTTGACAGTTCGCATCGTTTCTGGTTTGCCCATCTGTCGTTTTAGATAAATAAATAGTGCCTCGTTCAGAACAGTTTATGCTTACCTGGCCGCTCTTGATAACATAGTATAAATCGGTTTGTCCATTATTTAGTTCAAACCATGGTCGGGTAATATGCCAAGCATAATGGTACATGCTAGTTTTTTTAGCAGGTGAAAATAAGGTGTGTTTCACGAGATGCAGTTCTTTAAAACCATTAATAAAATAGACAGGGGGAAAATAATATTAATAAAACTGTTTTTACCATCTAAACACATGGCTAATTCTGGAATTTTACAAATAGTGGCAGGATGCTCGTCTCGATAGTTGACTGCATCCAAGACAGCACCATGTTTGACCAACGCTCTTATCAATAAGACTGCATTGTTTATACTCTGTGCAGATGCAAGTACCGAAGTTTCTGCAGTGATATGAAGAGGAGTATTACCATGCACCCAGTCCCGAACATTGACCGAGATATTGAATTGCTCCACCATGTAATCCAAACTTTTATCTCCCAACGTCAAGCCTTTACCGGTATGCATGGCTAATAGATGAAGCAATGTATTGCCATCATGATCTACTATTGCATTACCGTCGCGTGTCCTTTCCGTCACTAATTCAATCATATCCAGCCTTCCAGCCAATGCCCAAGTCATCAATGGTGAACGTCCCTTTTCATCCACGTCCCGAATTAAATCATGCATGTCATTTTCATTGTGTAACACCCATTTTAAGACTTGAACATCTCGACATGCATGATAAAAAGTCTCCATGTTCTTGTTCTTGTAGTTTCGCTGTGGACAGAGTGAAAGCAAGTATGTCATAAATTCAATAGAACATTTGTTTCTGGAAGCCACGTGGAGAACAGTATCCCCCGTCAAAGTGTTTCGATGTTGATCCAAAAGTGTTTGGTGACCAGCCACCTGGAGTAATGCTTTTAGTATTTCCAAGTTATCGATGGCACAGGCATAAAGAATGGCGGTATTTCCATAGTTGTCAACCGCCTCATTGACAGAATGAATAACGTGTGGATGGGTTAACAAGAGTTTAACAATCTCGAATGATTTACCGTAGTGAATAGCTAGCATTAAAGGAGTTGAATTCATGTCGTTTGTCATGGCCCCTTTGACAGGCATGGATAATAGGTAATTGACGATATCGTATTGATGATGAATACAAGCAATCATGAGAGCGTTGTTACCATAGGCATCACGGGTATCATGTGCATCACTGGTATCATACCGAATAACTTGATCCAGGTCACCCGTCTTGATCGCTGACCAGTATTGCACGTTTTGTCTGGATATGTCGGATAGCTCTGCGTGAGCGTCTAGTATATATTCTAGTACACCTTCAAATGTACTCAAAGCATAACCGTATTTCCCTGTTACAATATTTCGTTCGAACGTGTATTCCTATATCAATAGTTTTAGACTTGTCATGTAGTTTCATGATGTTGTTTTGCTTACTTTCATGTAAATTAGGTTTGCTGTAAGATGGGGTACTTTACTTCGAATGAGCGTGATTAAGAGTAAGGGTATCAGGGAATCCGAATCGAGAAAGGTGGCGGTATAAGCGGAAGGGTCTCTTGTTAATTCGGATACGGTGTTGAGTAGACAATCCAGTTTTTCAGCGGGTGTGCGAAACGAGCCAATTCTTTCGAATTCCGAAATGGCAGCGTGAACTCTGTTTCTTTGATCAGTGATTGAAGTGGGTAGTCCAATTTGAGAAAAGTCCAAGTGTTCCATCTCTTCCAGGGCTAACGTTAATTTTTTGTCGTGGTCTAGTAAGAATTGGGTGATTTTAAAGAAGGCTACATCGTAGGTAGAGTCCATGATATAACTTTTTTGTCATTAATATGCTTGTCCTTATTTTTATGGAAAATTTACGCTGCTGCTGCGTCGTCGTACCTTTCAAACGATCCAAAAACGACTTCTAATTCTATATGTGTTGTATCTAAAGTCTCTATTAACTGAAGAAGAGATTACTTTTATGAGCATAAAAGAAAGAAAGAAAAAGATACGTACGGTGTAGCCATCATCCAGTATGTTTTCCATGCAAGCGTGTAAACTTTTCAACGAATCACAATTTACTGAAGTGTCACAAAACTCTAATACTAATTTGTCGATTTTACTAATGATTTCTTTGGAATTGTTGAGTGCGATTGTCTTGACCATTTCTTTAAAACTGAATAATAATAATAAAAAAATATTTAAGGGTTAAAAAAGAAAGAGAAGAGATAAAAGGGAAAAGGTACCATAAATCAGTGGGTCGAACCTATATATAATGGAAAAAAAAAAAAAAAATTAGAATGGAAGGTCACACGATTATTTATAAAAATATAGCATCATCATTACCTGTTGTGTTGTTACTAATTCACAAATGACAATAGGATGATCCAGATATAACACCATGTGTGTGCAAATATCATGGTTGTCTGTATTTCGATATAATAAATGACAATGTAGAATTTTCACTTTGTTCGTATCATGGATAATGAATCCATGACTTGTTTTATACACAATTGACTCGTTCAATGGGAACAGTAATTGATAATCTTGGTTCTCTTCCTTAATAAGCTTCTTCTTTTTGTCCGTCAATTTTAACCGAGAATTGGCAGCTTTTATACGAGATTGCCATGGCACATGAATGACATGACTTGCTTACAATACAAAAAAAAAAAAAAAAAAAAAAAAATTGGCGAGATGTTAAAAAAAAAGAGAAGGGAAAGGTAAAATACCTAAATAGTCAAATAAAAAAGGAGAATTTGTTGAATTGAGAGAAGGAGGCAAAAGGATAATAGAAAAAACCTCTTTACTGTTCAATCGAGGGTCTTTCAAAATAGAATCCAACATATTTAAAAACGTGCTATTTTGGATCAATGCTAAAAAACAATAAAAAACCCGAGAATAAATAAAAACTTTTTGGTGTAATCATAAAAAACCACTTTTATACCAACTTTTTTTTTTTCTCCTTAAAATTGACTTATTTGTGTTATCGTACTCTCAAATATTTTTCTTTCTTTTTCTTTTACTTTTAACATTATTTTATTATGGGAACTGTTTGCTGCAAAGAAGAACCAGTGGATTTATTAGGTGAAGGTATAGAATAATATAATAAATAAGAGTAAGAGAGGGTAGGAGTTTTAACTAAAATTCTAAAGAATAGTGGAATTGTCACATTTCATATTGTTAAGGTCGGTTGGAAAAGGTGCTTTTGGCAAAGTACGTGTGGTTCAGCACAAAGGCACAAAAAAACTATATGCTTTAAAGTACATCAATAAAGAGAAATGTATTCAAATGAGAGCAAACGATAACATCATTTCAGAAAGAAGATTATTAGAACATATCGATCACAATTTGATTGTTAATTTACGTTATGCCTTTCAAGATGACGATAATCTGTTCATGGTATTAGACCTGATGCTTGGTGGAGATTTACGTTTTCATCTGGATAGAATGGGCACATTACCAGAGAAATACGTACAGTTCTATGCTGCTGAGATTGCACTCAGTTTAAATTATTTGCACACCAAGAATATCATCCACAGGTAACATCTACATGTGCTCTCTCTCGCTCTCTCTCTGTTTGTATATTAAAAAATTATCCAATTAAAAATAGGGACTTGAAACCAGATAATATATTACTAGATGAAAAAGGACACGCGCACTTGACAGATTTTAATATCGCAACACAGCTAAGCCAAAAAAGAGCAAGGCTCCTAACTTCAATTGCCGGCAGCTTAGCGTATATTTCGCCCGAAATATTAAACAAGCAAGGTTATTCTTACTCCGTGGATTGGTGGTCCCTTGGCATTGTCCTGTTTGAACTTTTATATGGTCATGTAAGTTCCCCTCCTTTAAATATTTTATTTACCTTCTTCACCAACAAGGATAAATAATAGAGACCGTTTAGAGCAAAGACAAATGACGAGTTACAGAAATCGATTTTAAACGACAGCATCGAATTTCCTAAAGAGCCCAGAATTTCAGCCGAAGGAGTGGATTTTATTCGAGCATTATTAACACGCGATATTACGAAACGACTTGGTGTTGGAGAAGGAGGGTTCAAGCGGCTCAAAAAACATGTATGGCTTAAGGACATGTGCTGGGACATCCTTTCATCCAAAGCCGTAGGTGCTCCATTTATTCCAGATGTATGTTTTTTCTCCTCTATTTTGTGTAATAAACAATTCTTTATTTGTGATGGAAAGAGAGACCTAAGTTTTTCTGATTTTATTTACAGGAAAAGAAGTCCAACTTTGATCCAACCCACGAGCTGGAAGAAGTCTTGTTAGAGGAAAACCCGCTCAAGGTCAGAAAAAGAGCACAGCCCAACAAAAAGAGTACAGAATTGTTTCCTGCTACATGTAACATGCTGGATCGACAGTTTCTGGATGATCACTTCATTTCCTATGACTATACAAAACCAGAAGAGAATGAAAAGCGATTTATCAAGTATAAAAAGAAGGTAACAATCCAAATATATAATAAACATGGCAAGACTTCATGTGACTTAAATCATCATTAGGAACAAAGAAACTCTACAGATGAAAGCTATCCCATGTTAAAATCAAAGAAAGCAAGCGTCTCGCAATCAAAAAAATCAAGCATCTTGTCATCGCCTACCGACCAAAATTATGTGCAGGAACCCCCTATCGCTGCCATGGTTACACGAAACAGGTAAACTATCCCTTCTAAACTCCTTGTAAAAAGAGATGAGGGATAGCACGGGCTCAAACCTCATGTTTGTTGTTGTTGTTGTTGTTGTATAAAGGGCATCCTCCAATAAATAATTACTTTTTTAAATTACTACTGTCAAGGAAACAGTTTTTTGCTTTTTTTTTATAATTGTTCAAAAATGGTGTGATTCCACGGCATTTTTTAGTATTGCTTTTCCTAACTAGGATATGACAGCTACTCAGCATGCATACAATACAATCTACTCGCATTTGACGGACAATTTGAATAACAAAGCCGATAACTGGAACACGAATGCGAAATTTTTGTCTAATCATTCGATATCTATATAAGCTAACTATACTTCAAGCACTCAAGGCACTTCATGTGTATGATAAATGTGTACATCATTTGTATGAACCTTATTTATGTTATACTGTCTCTATAAAAATTGGCCGAGCATAAACTTTCCCTTTCCCACTTGATTTACTCCCCTTATCTCGGTAACTAGTACTAGTCTGTTCGTCAATCTGTCAAATAATATTTTTTTGTGTAGCCAAAGAAATTCAAATCTACATGTGCTAACAAATGAATACCAATAGATGTGCAGAAAAGCCTGAAAGGCTTAGAGTTTCCATCATGCAATTCAGACCCAAAAAGATTTGGCTTATTTTGTCTTGAAATAAGGAGCTAGGGGAACTATAGTATATATTTGATCCAGATTATACGGATATGATATTAGATCCAGGTGCCATTATTTTATTCTTTTGCTCTTGTGCCGTAATCCTTTAGGCAAAAAGACTAAAGAATATCGAGTACGATGAATAAATTTATAATGCAACTATACAACCAGTTGAAAATTTTACTTAAAGGAAACCATGTTTGATACGGCGATACGATAATGAGAACATATTAGGCTTATTGTTTAATATTTTTGGATTTAAAAGGCTCTGATCTTCCTTCGATTGACCAAATCGCCTTTGAGATCATCATCATATCTCTGACAGCATTCATGTTCTTTTGCCACATCTTTTCACAATCTTAGGCAGCAAAGAACTCTAATACCCTTGAAGCCGGGTGTTTTAATCACCTTCAGGTCATCAAAATAACATTGGCTGCATACTTTGGATGTTTTATATTCGTCAATCGTGATAGCGATCAACTCACCTGCAGCTTCACGTTTTTTTAATGATCTCCACATAACCCCCAGTCACACCACACCGTAAGGCCCTTTAGCTTAACCAGGTTCTTTCCAAACATGCCTGCCCCAAAGACTACCAGCGGAACCTTAGATTTATCTTCTTCATAAGGAAGTGGATTCCACTTATTTGGTCTTTCCGAGCAAAAGGATTGACAATTTAACATAAATATTTTTTTAAAAAAAAGATGGGTTACTTGCTTCTTATCAGTTGTCGTTCTCATATCAACCTTGGCATCTCTCTTCTTAAACTTCTTCTTTCTTCGCTTTTTTATTTTCTTCTTGACTCCTTTACGTTTGTTATACTTTGAAGTAACGTGTACCAAAATATTCACCATCGCTTCATCAGCTCGCTGTCTTCCTTGATTTAGAAAAAATCTGTCTTTTGTTGCACCAAATCCATAAAAATTTAAAAGGACATTCGGGTGACTGAAAATGTGCTGGATATACTTTCTGAGTATGTATTGACATCTGCAGTTTTTGTTGTAGACATCCCAGTCTCAATCGCCTCTACCCCATTCTTTTTGATTTCTCCAAAACAGCCTTTTTTGGTATAAAGGACTACCCGTTAAGTGGTAATACTCCTTAGTAGTACAACAAAGTATACTATGTTTTCCCGATCTAACCCCTCCACGGCCTTTCTACCTGGAACCAGAAAAGTTGGTCGGAATACATTTTCCATTTCTTCAGAATTAAAATCCGTAAAAACATTTGTGCGAAAAAATAATCGAGCTCTATTTTTTCATTAAGAACTCTTTAATAAAGAAGAGAGTACAAACTGATTTTGGATACAGGTTGAATTCATCTTAGAGATGGCTTTTTTTTTAAAATTTTCGGAGCAGTGTTTATTTGCTTATTTGTGTAATTGTTGTGAGTCGCACTAAAACCTAAAAGGAATATTTCTGCTCGTTCCTTTTTTGGAAGATTTGAGTGTAGATTTTTTTTATTAAGGTGTTACAAGGTATTACAGGTACTTCATAATTTGATTACAAAGAAATAGGGGTTTCGTCTGATAGATCACGTTCCTCTAACGGATTGTTTTCTTCTCTCTTCTTGAAGATATCTTCAACTTGATTGCTGACTGAAGCAATATAATCGCTGTTCACTACCCAAAAACCACGTTCTTGTAATAATGAAATTCTTTCCTCTCCAAACTAATTTACAATTAGTTGACGGGTTTGAATTTGACACTAAAAAAAAAAGAGGATGCTATTTTACCTTATGGTTTGCATGAATAATATAAGGTTCAATACCCCTTGAGCCTGAAAGGTCATTATCAAAATAATTGATACCGTTTGGAAAATGAATGATATCTAGCAGCACAGTCATTCCTGTCTTTACATGCAACTCTAATTGTGACAGGGCACTGTTAAATGCTTGCTGCTGAGTCTGGTTATAGTTTTGCTCCTGGATACGGACAGTGCTTGCAAGTACTCGTTTTGCCAGATTGGCGTTGGTGCGCATCATGACCAACCCAGAATTCATGACATGTTGATCGGAGCTGTCTTGAGTAGTAATAAGCTGTGTATCGTGTCGGATGTGTAGCAATGTTTGCATGTATTCCATAGTTCTGGCATGGAGCATGATCTGATTCACATCCAGCATGAGTACATTTTGAATATCCGTTACATAGGCTAAACGTTGAAGCACCCAGGTCTTCACGTGTGTCAATCGGGCGATCTCATTATCCAGCATATTATTCTCTGTGTTTCTGAATAACTCCAAATTGTCCAAGAACCAATCATCAGGTATGAGCACGGCCTGATCCTCATACCCGGTAACTACTAAATGCATATAGAGCTTGGTGTCTGTGCAAAAAACCAGGAACGATTCTTCGTCGGCCGCTTTTAACAGGTCAATCCAGTTATAAAGTTCCACTCGCATAGCATAGCCTGCTACTGTAACAATTAAACCTTGATCTTTGCTATTGACCATCATCTTTTCGAGAATATCAGGCTGAATAGGACTGAGAAATTCCGGCACAACTAAAGGGGTATTTTCACCAAATGGTACCAGTGTAATATTATTTGTTGAATAAAGTGAACTGGGACAATCGCAGCTGGGTAGAGTTTCATTACTTGCCATTGTGCCATTAAGTAACACTGATGATGAATTGGCGGATTGAAAATGCTGCTGTTGATCGTCAATGAAAAAGTCTGCGGACGTCTTTTTCGGGCTGGGGGATTTAATTTCCTCCGTGTTAAACTGGAATTGATAGGTTAAAAGTATCACAATTAGAAATAGAATGGACAATCCATATTTAAAATAGGTAAAATGTGTTGATTGCATTTGGGTCATACAAGTAAAGAGCAATAGACAAAAAAAATCTTGGCTTATTTGTACACAATGAGACCGTCCTACACACCCGTGTAACTTGATGAGATTTAAATGTCCGTTTTCAATAAAAAAAATACACACCAGAGTTCAATTTACAGGCAAATACCATCTCTCGGAAAACTTTGGAGGCAGTAAAACTATCTACTTCTTCCCACAAAGTACGGGACGTTTACATTGAGACAAATATCATAAAATACAGTAGGACTTTTATTATCATAAAAAGGCGGAAACTCGCTAGCCAGTTCTAGTGTAAGAAACGGATCTCTTAGGGACAGTCAGGGTGTGCGTAGTCGTAATGTTGGGATTATGATACTTTAATAGACCCCAAAAGGTCAATATAACTTAATAACTTGAAATTTATACACATTTATTACAACAAAAATAGTGTAAAACCAGTATATGTTTGTTATTGCTTACTTTCAGCTTCTCGTTTGGGCTTTAACTTAATATTTATGCAATATATGTCTATAGACATAGCTGTCAAACACTAATTACAATTAAACGAAGGCTTACCTAGTCTTTCGCTCAATTTTTTATACTATTTACAAGACAATTCGTTCAACTTTTTACGACGTACTACATAGACTGGTTTTCTACCATATATTCTTTGAACTCTTTCTACAAAAAAAAAACAATTGATGATAAGTGTCTTTTTTTTACTTGAAACAAGAATAGTTTTCCCTGAATGATGACTTAAACAGTCTCATTGAATTTATTTGTGAGGATGTTAGCCAACCAAGGCAGTGAGTTGCAGCTGTATGTGGTAATGTCCAAGTATCCCTCCTCAGGTCGACGGAATCAGATGGACAGTTCTCATTGAACCAAGCACTCTCGTCCTTTTTTATGGAATCTGCGATTGGTGTATTTTAGCATTCTAAATTGAAAAGATGCTTACGCTTACAACTAAACATTCGATTTTCGTTCTTCGTTTGTATTACCATGGTTAATTTATTAGCCTCAGCTACATTGATGGATCTATCCCTGTCTATCGCAGTCACGGTGCCTATTCCCTTATTGCTTTAAATTCACCACACTAATTACATAAAGGCACCAAACATGATAACCTCGAAAACCAAGACTCTGAAATGTTTATTAAGTGCTATTTTCTGAAATAGTTTGATTTTTTAGGCTTCTCCTTTTTCTTAACCTGTCTTCAAATTTCTAGAACCATGTTTTATATCCCAAATTTCGGACATCGTTCACACTTCTCCGATAAATGGCATACTGTCCACCTTTTTATAAGAGCCTGTATAGACTTTTTTTATGTTCTCAATTTCTACCTCAAGCTTGATTTCGGTTTGATGGAGAAAAAATTTTATGTTAATCACAACAGAATCTCTGGGATTTTTGCCTGGAAGATTTGGCAATATAATTTCAAATTCAATGACTTTCTTCACCGCAGGATCTGTGGTATATCTGGGAAGCTCATCAGGATTACCATCATATGCATATAATTCTATAATATATGGCTGGTTAGATATTACAATCCCGTATATTTGGTGATTACTAACGCAATACAGGATTTTTGTTGCAATAGCACTTAATTGATGTTTTAGCATAATAATCTACATCTCTGATTTCTCCTTTCAAAGCATAGCTTTTAAACCGACTGTTACAATAGACTTCACCATTCTGATCAACAGTTTTTAACCGCTCTGGGTCCAATACGTTATCAAATCCTATGGAGCATTCAAACCCATAAGTTCGACGTATGACACGCTGCTTGACAAACTGAGGATCCAATCCCATCAAGACAGCACCACGGACTATAGCCATTTCTCCACGCGCGGGGGCACAAATCAATGCTACATCATCGACAAACTCATCTTTAACTTTTTGAAGCAGATATGATGATTGACCAAATCCACCAACTAAAAATATCGCGTCTAGCTTTCTGTCTATACTTTCAAGCTGTGTGTCTATTAAGCATAGCACACGGTCGATTACAGGATCAAAGATCTCCGATAGCATTATTTCAGGATGTATATATAATTGAGAATCCGTAACATATAGTTTGTCTTTATCATCATATTCTGTTTCTTCAAATCGATCAGGAAGTGTTACAATTAAGTAATCTTTGTCATATTCGCGACTCCTTGGATGACATACTTGTAACTAAAAGCTTTTGAGACAATGATTTTGCTATTACTTAACTTTATTTTTGTTGTACCTTTATCTGGTCCGTGAATTTGTTAACAATATCATCCAGCTCTTGGTCAGTCAAAGGCTTTGTATCTTCAAAAAATAATTTGATATTTTCAGAAACAAATCTCCTAAAATTATCATCCAGGGTAGTTGAACCACATATTGCACCATCGCCTGCAACTTCTTCCATAAGTGAATTTTTGCCATTTCCATCAACAGTTATACGATACACCACAAGGTCTACTGTTCCTCCACCAGCATCACAAATGAGAAAATTTTGCCCTGGTTTAAGATTATATACATCAAGACAAGTCTCACAATACATAGCAGCAGCTTCTGGCTCGCCAACCAGCAACAATCTGTCCTGGGGATCTTCTTTACTGATAATCCCAGCTCTAATGACAGCATCTCGCATTATGTTTTTAGCCTTCTCTGTCCAAACAGCAGGTACGGTCAAGCAGAACCGTAGCTTATTTTTATCAATTTCCTTTCCATAACGGGTTTTTAAGAACTCGCACGTGTATCTAAAAATTGCTTTGAGGTAATCTGCAATTGCCTGTTCTATATCTATTCCATTTGGCAATTCTGGGACGATAACATCAGTTTTGGATTCGTCCAAGTAAAGCTTAAACAATGAGATAGTTTTAGTGGTTTTACTAACAGGTCCAAAATTACCCCATCTAGTTAATTTGCCATTTAAATATGCTGATCTTGTGGGCGTCTGACTATAAGTTTTAATTCCAGGCCTAAAATCAAATACTTAAATAGACAAACTCTTATAAAACGCAGAAAAGACTTTTACCACTTGTCAATATTATTGACGAGAGCACGTCCGCTTTCCATCTCACCGACTCTCGTGTAAGCAACACCAGAATAAGTGGTTCCAAAGTCAATGCCCACAACAATTTCGTAATGTTTTTTTGTCTCTTCTGATAAACCCGAAACTGTATAAGCTATTAATTATATACAGTCTTGTTAGTTGATTGTTGATACATCTATTAAATATCGTACTTCTATCGCCGTTTAGTTCCCCTATCATTAAATTGCGTACGTGGTGTATATTAAAAGAAGTGTGATTATAGTGCAAAGAAAGAAAAAAAGTAAGGGGTATAATCTTTTATTTGACGATTAATAAACAAAAACTTTGGTATTATTTGTCTAAGCCAGTTTGTTATTGTCACACGAAGCGTCATCTATTTAAAATAAACATTATCTACTATTCATATGGACAATGTTTTATTGAGTATGTTATACATAAACAATTTACTAGAAGTTTGTAAATATATATATATATATACATGTTTTTGACGTATATTTGGCAACACCAAATTTTATTTAAATTTTTAAGCGCATTTACGTAAGGCAACGATTTAAATTAAGTTTTTATTTCCAAGCAGGAGGTATCGTAACACATCATATAACATCGCGTTTAAAATCTGCACGTAATTTTTCGCAACGTACGTAAAAATATCATGGCGATCCTTTTTGTGATATTGCAACATTAAAACTTGAAATTTCAGATATTTGAAGTGATATGAATCGAAAACAGGCTATCACTCGTTAAATAAATTTGCCAGAAAATGGCGGACACTATATGTCAAAATATTTGTCTTTGATCAATTTATAATTAAAATTAGGTTACTTCTGAAATAATTCCCTTGATGCCAATCTCTCCGCTTTCTTCAGGAGTTGTTGATCTCTTATATTGACTGCATATCGTTTCCATGGTTCCAAAACCGAATATACTCTGTTTCTTAGTCTCATCATCAGATGTATGATCATTATCTTTGGGATAAGACCCTTTGTAAATGCTTATTTTGTTTTCAATAATACTCTGAGCTTAATCTCTGTCTGGTACAGATAAAACTGTATGTCAATGTCCACTAGATCGGATAGCTTCCAACCTGGGAGCGGGGGCATAAGTATGCCAAATGTTATAATCCTCTTGACCTTTGGATCATCAGTGTATCTTGGAATATTATCTATGTCACCATCATAAGCAAATAAATCCACACAAGAGGCTGTTTATGTCCCAGGATAAATTAATCACTCATAATGTTTGAGCCTTTACTTATGATAGAAATATCACTGTATAAAACCACATGTAATGCTGACCTTGATATTTGTTTATCAGTATTTCAGCATGTACCAACAATAAAGCATAATCTATGAAGAAGAAAGATAGTGAACGTACGGGTCTTTTAGGGAGCGCCAATTCTTCTTCGTATTAAGTGACACCCAAGAGGTCAATTTAACTTACTGCCTTAATCCGAATACAGATATATTACAATAAACATATGGGAAGCATTCACGCGTGCTTTTTAGCTTACTTTGTCGTCTTGTTTGGTCATTGCCCTAATACTTCTGCACAAGACTGAGATCAAACGAGTGCAAGAGTAAAATAGTCACGAAGTAGAGATCGTTCAACATACATTCATTAGTAGCGATTACATTGTTTCTGATTGTATGATGATCTTGTTTTTGAGCTTTTGACTAACTAGGTGCGCTTTAATTGTGTTTATGCGGCTCTTCTTTTCGACATTGTTGTCATGGCCCTGACGGCAGTGTCCCACACAAAGAGTATGTTTTACAATAGCGGCACATGCTTAATAGCTGCGGTGACATTAGTAAAGTATATCACTTACAGCAATGGGAATTATTTAAAGGAAGGAAAAGTAACAAATGCGCAGCAAAGGGTAGAATAAGTTCGTTTAAATAATAAAAAAAAATAAAGAATAAAATATATAGTAGTTATAAAATTTGATCGTTTATTTAACTATGAACACTATAAAGACTGTATTAATAGAGTGTAAATATATAACGAATGACTCGAAAGTCGCGATAAGCAACGCTAGTTATAGGCTTATATCTCTCTTCAGCAGTATGTTGACCAACAACTTCATATAGATTTATACCCATTTATCGCATTTGACAACAAAGGGTAAGGGTGAGGTGTAGGGTAGAGGGTAGAGGGTAGAGGGTAGAGGGTAGAGGGTAGAGGGTGGATGGTGGAGGGTGGATGGTGGAGGGTGGATGGTGGATGGTGGATGGTGGAGGGTGGAGGGTGGAGGATAAAAAGGGGAGGGGAAGGGCTAACCTAGCTAATAGCTTTAAGGAAAGGGAGCGTTGTCAACCGATTAAACCCTTCCCAATCTGGCACATATTTCAGTGACTAGATAACATGAATCGAGCCCGTTAAGGCCGTGATGACTTCACGAGCGAGGGATTTCACCTTCACATGCCCACTGCACATGCCCGTCAAACATGCGGAGCGCACCACAATAATTTGCCAACATGCTAAAAGAATTAAAAGGAAAGGTGGGAGGGTGGGGGGAACGAACTTATTACCTGCTCCAAGTACTTGTAACCAGCTTCGGATTACTAACCGCTATAGCCTACTAACTCTGCTACGGACCTAATCGACTTGAAGAGAGTGTTCTCCCTATGCCCGTTCCTCAGAGTTCCCTGCAGCCTCAAGACTGCTCCAAGGATCACGCACTCCCCGCCAGCTACAGTACTCTAAGCCATAAGTATAAAAAATAATAACATAGGCACAGAAACGATTCGGACTGCGCAAATGTTATTTTGCATGACACCGAAATGCCATACAAGATGAAAGAAAGTTTAGTGGCGGAAAATGTTAGAATAACATAGGCACAGAAACGATTCGGACTGAGCAAATGTTATTTTGCATGACACCGAAATGCCATACAAGATGAAAGAAAGTTTAGTGGCGGAAAATGTTAGAGTAAAAAAAAGGAAAAGATAAACAAACACTAACCCCCGGTTATTATTTAGCTCGCAAAAAACCAGTCACGCCATTTGAGTAACTTAAGCCTGTTTTTTATAAAGTGAAAGCCCTCAGTTTATATATTTAAAGAGATTAATGGCTTGAAGGGATGGAATAAAAGTACTTTATTGCTGCATATAGGCGGGACAACAATAGTGTCAATATTTCAAGTCCAGATAATATCCTAAAAATGTGCAACACATGCACATAGGCCTTGCGTTGAACTTCACGAAATTAGAATGCCCCTTCCGTCTGTCGGGTATAGAAATTTCAGCGGCATTTGCGAAAACAAAGGTAGTGTAAAGATCATTTGCATTTATAACTTCAAAAACCATCTTCATATATTATCTTTTCCTTTTTCCCCAACCAGACATACTATTCAAGTGAAAGATTGGCATTTAAGGTGGCTTAGAGCACTTTTTTTTTAAAAAAAATAAATAAACGGCGTGTGTACTGTATTTTTTCTTTAACCTCACAATGTTATGTGCTAATTAAACAATTAGGGAATAGATCTACGAATGCTTACTTGTGTGGAAAAGCTTGTTTTAAACGCTGGCTTTAGGGAGGACGGTAACACTGGGTTTTGTCGAAATCTGGATCACCCTTTTAATTGAACTTGAAACGGGATTCAAAGGCATTGCATGTGGGAGCCTTTGCCATACCATTGCTAATTTCTCACCTTGCGCTTCTTTTGACTGACAGAATAGTTTGGTTTGGAAGATTATGCCGGGAATCGTTCGGGTAATTTCCATGCTAGAGGCTGTAGTTGAGTTTTGGGCTACATAGTAAATACTCGTCTATCCGTTAGATCGGAATTTTCAAGTATGTGAGCTGAAAATTCGGTGCGCCCTCCGCGGACCAATCATCTGCCTTTTGCTATCTGCTTAGGGGTATTTTTTTCTTGGGTCAGTGCTGCAGGTATGATGAGCACACTTCTTCCTCTAGCGGCTATGGGTATCAGGCAATACATGTCAGAGAGCCCGCGTTATTATAATCAGCATTTACAGCAAGTATGCAACAAGAATGTACAGCAACAACAGCGACAATGTACGATAACTAGTCTTCTAGGGGCGAAAAAGTAAAAAGGTCTAGGCAGCGGATATTGATCCAGGCAGCATCAAGTCAATATCGAAAGAGGAAGTCCTTGTGGATTCATCTTGTGTTTGAAGTGGAGGGATGGGGCATGATGTATGAGGCGAGTTTAGTCAAGAGGATTATTTCATCAATGTCATTTCAAAGGCCCCATTATATTTGTCCATGCATATGCTTGTCTGTGTGTATTGTTCACAGCATTTTTTGAGACCTGATAGTGGAACCAGCGTGGGCCAACCTTCTCGTAGGCACTAAAGCCTTTTGGGGAATAACAGAATTCAAGGTTTTTCTCTATATGACTGCCTCGATCAACACAGTTATTGAACATATCTTTCATGCCTTCCAAAACATTAACATTCATGGTCGTTTGTAAACGTAAGGGCTTATCTTGGATATCTGCAACACCATCATATTGTGTGTTATGAGTGATATATGCGCTGATGCGCTCAAACTTGGTCTCTACAACAGTCATCAAGCAGGCAAATGTTCTTTCTTTCCCTGATTAATTAACAATCTTAATTAGAGGACTTTAAGCATCTATCTTTGAAGACCTTTTTTTTTATGGACATGAAAGACAAGAAATAAAAGGCGGTATAAATAGTTTAAAAGCACATATTTTATCAAGATTAAAAGGAAAAGAAACACATTAGCCACTCTAGAAGAGTGTTGCCCGGGAATGGTCGCGCGGAGACTTGTGTTTGTGCACTCCCTTCATCTTTTTATCTGGCAGAAAGTGAGCGAAAAGAGAAAAATCCATGAATCTTTGGTTTGGAAAGAGAACGAAAAAAGGTTAAAGAAAAAAAAAGAGAAAAATAATAGATTGGCCCAAGAATGTATACTCCCTCTGCCACAAAAAAAAAAGATTGTTCTCTCCTTCCAGGTAAATTTATGAAATAACGTAAACAAAAAGTGTAAACATCTCATATTTGGGGAAGGTAGTAACAGCTATCAATAATGAAGCTCTCACGCTTTAAATGATGCCACTCTGATACTTGCAATGAAATATGTATTCCTCTCTTTTACCAATGAAACTTTCCTTATGAGACAGGTTCATTTTACTATTAACACAACTCCCTTTCTTTACGCGGTAACCACTTTCGTGCTATTATGTTTGTCTATTTATAAAAAAAATCAACACAATTACTTTCTGGACAAAATTTTAAACGTACGTCATGCGAAATGAAAGAAGCTGTGTGATTGCATGACAAACAAAAAAGTAAAGGCAACATTTGACTATTCTGTTTAGGCATTATCCATGATGCGTGCCTCAAAATGCAGCAGTAATCGCTTTATTTGATATCTCAGCTTTAAACATTCAAATCACACATTGACATTTGCTACTTGAGACAATCATTGAAGTAGAATTGAATCTTATGTGTACTGCGTTTTTGCCTTGTTTTATCTGGCATGAAAGTGGCTAAAAATAGAATCTTTTATGGTCGATGGATCATGAAGAGAACTTGATGTCGTACTTTTTCTATATTTTTTTTTTCTTTTTTGCGAGTCAACTAGATCATCAACACTGAAATGATTGAAAATGGCCAGTTCAAATGTGACATTTAATAAAGGAGCTAGTGCGGCGGGCTGTCAAACAAATAACTCACCTTGTAGATAAAGACGGTAAAAAGCAGTAGGATTTTTAAAATTAAAAGCCAAATCAACAAAGGTTGCTTTTTAATCTGTGGCATTTTCCGATATCATGGTAAGTTGATTTTTTTCAGGATACCATAAAAACCATGCTTTAAATGCCTATATTTTTGTTATAATACACAAATCTGGCAAGAAATGCCATATTCAGCGCAGGCAGTAATGTTTTTATGCTCATCTATTTTTATTTTTATGCAGTGTGACTTCTATTTCGCTGCGAGGATTTGACATAAAAGGTCGGGAACATCAGCTCACATATATTTAATCAGTTCTTTTTAACACCAACAGAATTTTTTTAAAATAACTATACATTATGACTGTGTTTGACGCAAAATCGGACTTGGCAGTACAAGGACTACGCAATACTATTCTTAAACGATTATCGTCGATGAAAGTTGATGTAAAACCTGGCGAAGAAATCATCCTGAAAGAAAACCCTCGTCGATACTGTCTATTTCCTATAAAATATCATGAAATCTGGGAGTTTTACAAGAAAGCGGAAGCATCCTTTTGGACAGTGGAAGAAGTAGACTTATCCAAGGATCTTATTGATTGGAATGAAAAGCTAAACAAGGATGAACGGCATTTTGTTGGACGTATCTTGGCTTTTTTTGCAACTTCGGATGGTATCGTGAATGAAAATTTGGTTGCCAACTTTTGTAATGAAGTAAAGATAGGTGAAGCCAAATGCTTTTATGGATTCCAAATTATGATTGAGAATATTCATTCGGAAATGTATTCACTATTGATCGATACGTATATTCGGGATCCAGACGAAAAGGAGTTTCTGTTTAATGCAATAGAAACTATTCCAGAAATCAAGACAAAAGCGGATTGGGCATTCAAGTGGATTGCGGATACTGAAAAACCATTTGCTGTACGAATCTGCGCGTTTGCAATTATTGAAGGCGTGTTTTTCTCGGGGTCGTTTGCTTCCATCTTTTGGCTAAAGAAACGTGGCTTGATGCCTGGCTTGACTCTATCCAACGAGTTTATCACAAGAGATGAGGGTCTTCATGCTGACTTTGGATGCCTGCTATTTCATCATATGATTAACCAGCCTCCTTATGAAACTGTGCTCGCAATTATGACAGAAGCGGTTAAAATCGAACAATCTTTTTTTAGGGAAGCTCTACCTGTCAAGTTGATCGGCATGAATGAAGAACTTATGTGTCAATACGTTGAGTTTGTAGCGGATCGCTTACTAATCTCTCTTGGGTTTTCCAAACACTACAACGTGTCTAACCCTTTTGACTTTATGGATTTAATTTCTTTACAAGGCAAGACAAACTTTTTTGAAAAACGTGTGTCGGATTATCAACGTGCTGGTGTCATGAACAAAAAAGAAGATCGTAGCTTTACCTTGGATGCTGATTTTTAAACTGTGTCCGTAAAAACATTCTTACCAGCTATGTCGTCATGCTATATTCCGGCTAGTGGATATTGTCGGTAACTGCTGGCTACAGAAAAATAAAATTGTCGGGTCTAAAAAAAATTGAATTTGACTAGAAAAATGTAATAGTAATATGTCTGTATTTACATTTATGTGTTGAGAAAGGGGAGAAATATTATACCAACAAAACTTACGCAGCAACTTACTTTCTGACAGCTTCGATTTGATGTGTCTAGAAATGAAAGATTGACCATGTCAAACGTATCCATGTAAGACAATATTAGTCTCTATCCTAGATATACTCTGAATTCTTACCTGTAGCTTTGACAGGTCAAACATTGAAGCTGACACACCTTAGATATGCAGTTTGGCGACTAAGGCTGTCAAAAAATGTATTCATATACACAAAAGTTGAGTCATGTAATATGGTTAGATTGCATATCACTCTCACTACTTGTTATGATAAAATATGAACTCAACTTAAAATTGCCAAAAGTTACGATAAAATCATGGAGAGATGCTTAAAATGATAGACTAAGAGCAACTTGGAGTGACTATACTGATAAACGGGGAATAGATATAAGTAAGTATCTAAATTCATACACATATGAACGCCATTGCGCGTGACAGATGCAATCATACCTCTGTTTTTGTTGAACTCTGCCCGCCAAATCTTCAATATGGTCTATTTTTATAAATAAACTTTGTCTTGAATAGAAAAAAACACGTATGATAAGAAAATGGGGAATACTACTATTATTTTTGTTTGTAAACAAAGGCAAGACGCCATAAATGGATCTTCCGTTATAGGATAACCAGTTTGCATCAGGTCTAGTAACTGATTAAGGCTTTCATCATTGTTTGCGTCTTTACAATAGACATGGCTAAGCAACCTTTTTTTTTTTTGTAATGCAAAATTGATTTATCATGCACTAAAGTTGAAGTGACACACTCCGTTAGTGTCACTTCAATTGGGTAACACAAACCCAATACACTTGAAAGACAAATGTATTCATGAAAATATAAAAGGAAGGAAGAAATCTTCTCTTTTTTTTTGAATCATCTGTTTTTGGCTTTTTTCCCCTCTTTCTTTACATGCTATCTTTCAACGCCGTAAAGTGCTAATATCACTAAATTTTAACCCAAGTTTTTTTTTTTGAACGCATAAATCAACTCCGGTCGCCTGCAATTTGGTTTCCCCTCTTCTCTTTTATTTTTTCTTTTCCAGTTCCTGATTATGGACTTTGTAGCAAAAGAGGCTGTAATAAAGTATCAAGAACAAAATCGAGAAATTATAAGGCATAACATTAGACTTCAAGAACGAATCAGTATGCTGGAGAGTGTCATTCAAGAGATGCGTCAAGACATTCTACGTTTTCGAATTAAGAAGGTCATGACGAAAAACAAGAAGAAAAAGACTACAGTGAGCAGTCGAAAAGATAAAGCAATTGATACGACGAGGAAAGAAAACATATTAAAACCTAAATGCAATCAAACCAAGGACAACAAACCACCAGACATGGTATCAAAAACAAGGAGAAATACGAAATCGATCAGCTATGCTTTACCGAGTACAAAAAGTAAATTAAGAAAAGGAGACCCTTTTACCTTTGGTAACGAATAAACACTTTTGTACATATTGTTTTATTATTATTATTACTAGTATTATTATTATTATTTTATTTATTTCTTCTTTTTTTTCTTTACAGTTACATATTTAATAAATCACAATGAAGATAACACTCTTCTACTTTGCTCAATCGATTTTCTAGCCAGTCGCCAATGCAGTCCAATTGGCCACCCTGTGTTGTAGTGCTTGTAGTAGTAGCAGGAAAGAAGGGATAGAAGGTCAGGTCGTTGGCGTACCAGTAAGGCTCGCTTGTCAAGGTCTTTGCCTTTTCAATAAACTGTCGAATCGAACGAAATTTTGAAAAGTTGATCAAATTGGGATGATTGACAGAAAATGTCGAATTCTCTTTGAAAAACGTCTGATCCTTCAAGACCACCGGTAAAAATGGCACAGCCGGTGATTTAGCCAACTGAATCTTTTGTCGATAATAGCGCATGTTTAAACTAACGTCCAAAAGCTTTTGTAACGATTCAAACGTATTTGTGTCTCGATTTGAAAGGGATTCCCAAGTCTCTTTTAGTTTAGGGGCACTGGATAAACCCATTGTAATAACCATACACGTATGGTAGTTATTCAACTCCAAACAAATCTAAATCAATCATGGTTAGTATGAATCTTATTGAACTAACATCGTCCATCTATACCTTTGCTATTTCTATAAACTTTTTAAGTAATGCTCGTTTTGGTTTGAGATAGGATATACTACAAATTTCATGGACAACCCAATGACTCACCTATAAAACAAATGAAAATAAATAAAATGTCACATTTGATTTTATTATGTCTGTTGTATGTTGCATTTTACCATATTTGCTCTTTTGGTCATTAACTCCACATAGTCATACTCAGCTTCTAATTTGTTCTTTTTGCAGCTGCTCAACAATCCATGAGCCTGAATAGACTTGAATAAATAGTAATCAGCCAGAGTAAGATATCTTGCAATGTCCTTTGATTCCAAGGAAGCAAAAGAGGTATACAAACCTGTTGTATTATTAGAGGAGTGGACGACGGTAGGCGAATCCGGTGGTGTAGTGAGCGACGTCAGGTTAAAAAGACCATTGGACGGGCGTCTAGGATTGGTAGACAAGTGTACAGGTGGGAAAGGTGGTGTATGACTATTATTGTTATTGACAAAGGGAAAATGAAAATTAAAGTTGGAATTACTATTCTGCTGACTTGAGGTTGTGTTTGCTGTAAGTGAAATAATCAAATGTTGACCATCTGCAAATTGCATTGACTGTACTTTTAAGCCGGATCTGATCTTCTCCAGCTGCTGGTTAAATTGTGGGCCAAGTAATAAGCTATCATTGTATAAGAACGAATTGAGTCTTTTCAGGAGATTCACATCCAATTTAAAATCTTGGTAGTAACCTTGTATCCATCGTTCAACCACATTTAGAACCCTGTCATAATGAAGTTTATTAGTAAAAAAAACAGACAATTTGTTTAACCGTAGGTCACTTACTTTGTTTGGATAGAGAATTGCCATTTTTGAAAGTATTCTAGCTCACCCGGAGATGGTTCGAGGTGAAATCGATTAATCAACATGTTCAAGAAATCGATAGAAGGAATAAAATGACCATGGTTCATTAAAAAGGTATCAATATATTCCTCATCTTCTGCAGTTTCATCCGCCAATCTCTCGAATAATTTCTCTCTTGTTCCAGCTATTGCTTGTAATCTACCTTCCATCATCTCAAACAATAACACGACGTTCCCATTTTCTGTTACTTTAAGTAGTTTCCCACTATTGTTGTTGTCTAATTTCTTGTGCTTTTTGGATGGACTTGTAGCTGTACCCAGTGATCTGCCTAATTTTGTTCTTTTCATCAACTCGTCTTTCTTATGACTGGTGTTTTCTAGCAATGTACTCCATGTTTTATTTTCTTCCAAGGTTTTAGCAGACGATCTTCGACTGTATGCAGTTGTTTTTTTCTTTGCATCAACTGGCAATGGGGGTATAGATGCTGCTGCTGGTGCTTTGGTTGCATGTTTTGGCGGTGTTGGCGGCAATGGCATACTACTTGTACGAGGAGGAATAGGAGGTCTCTTTTTGCTAATATTAGCATCTGCAGATTTAGGTGGAGCGAGCTTTGCATGATTCGAGATCTCACTTGTGGAGATTCTGATCTCTGTTGCTGAGTTTCTCTTTGAGCTAATGGAACTAGACCGTTTTTCTTGTTTGTTATTCATATTACTGATGACATGGTCTTGAGGATCCATCAATTTTCTTTGGACATCAAGTCGATCAACGACTGTCGAGAAAGTGTCCTTGGGCGGTGGTACAGGTGGACAAGTGTCTACATCCATGGCGTAGTCATGACTTGGTGATTTTTTGATTTCGTTTGGGTTGCTATCATTGTTCTGTAGAAATTTAGAGTCGTCGGTGGATGAGATGTGAGTTTTCGCTAAAGTGTCTGTCACGTCGTCTAAAATCATGGAATTGAGTGTGGATTGTGAAGAAGAAGATGATGAAGTAGATATGGCCGAGAAATAAGAAGAATCGGGTGATATAGGTGAGTTCATGATAGTTAGAAAGTTCTCAACGGTTGGTAAAGGAGGTAAAGGCGAATTATTCCTTGTCATGGGTGTAGAGGATAAAATAGTTGGAGGTGACAATAGTGGAGCGACAAGTGATCCGTTACTCCGTCTCTTTTTTCTTTTGGTCTTTTCATTCTGGTTATTACTATTGAATTCTCGATAGTTGTCTTGTTCCATAGAATCAATGACCGTATAAGAGTCGAACGATGGTGATGAAACGAGCTTGGATTCATAACGCTCTTCTTGATCGCTGGGACTGCTTTCGTTGCTATTCTCCTCCAGAGACCAAAGAATGTTGGTATTCTTTCCAGACGGTGAGGTCAAATAGGGTCGATTTATGTCTACCAGATGGTTGTTGTTTAGCTTCATGATCACTTGTTTTCTAGTGCTTTCAGCGGATGAAGTTGAAGTAGAAGCTGAGGAAGGATAGGTTCCCTGCATCGTATTTTCGACATCTTTTGTTATGGACTATGAAAATAAAGGAGAATAGAAAAAGTTAATAAACGACACATTTTTAAATGTGACCTTTTTTTTATATATATACCTGCTGCTTATTCTTTAGATGACCACTGGTAAATAGATTACTTAAACTTTCACGTTTCTTTTTCGAATCCTCTTTTGGTGAAAATTGAAATAAATCTTTAATGCCTCTTGTGGAAGAACGTTTCGAGGCCTGCTGACGACGTTTGTTACTCCAATCGATCCTGTATTCGCTGGTATTTTGTTTTGGTTGTATGGCGCTTGAATTGTTGGAACTGGAGTCGTCATCCCAACCGGTGCTGTTATCGTCGCTGTTATCCGGGTCTTCCTCTAATTCAGAAATGATGGCGGTGGCACGATGGTCGTAAAGAGAACGTTTCTTTTTCGGTGGATGACCGGTACTCGGTTCGTATGAATGACGGCTCGGTAATAAAGTCATCTGAAAAGCGGGACGAGACTTGAGCGAATGAATACTACGCATGAATTTTTTGCCAACTTTTTGATATAGTTGTTATTAAATAAAAAAGTTGGCTTTACATGTGTTTTTTTATTACCTGTGTCTGGTTTCTCTCTGTTCCAAATTTAGAAAACAATGTTAAATAAGTTCATGTTTGGGCCATATTTAATTTTACCTGCTACTATTTGAATTTAGACTATTATTACTGTCATATTGGTGATGAGATAAGGTTTTTGTAAGGGATTCGTCTGATGAGTCTTTCACAAGACCTGTGTTAGGCTGTGAGTGTCTTCTTTGAAAGGAAGTGGATGGCGAGACTAGATAAGAAAAGTGTGAGCTCCCAAAGTAAAAAGACCCTTTGTGTCTCCCTCATTTCGATCCCTTTTTTATTTATGCGCTCCCCTAATGTAAAAAAACCGGACCTATTCATCAATCATAGGCAGGAACTTCTCTTTCATTACAGATATCCCCTCTCTCTTTCTCTCTCTTTCACACACACACACACACACACTCTCTCTCTTTAATATTTTACACCGTGGTTGTAAATATGCTTGTACATAATTCTATAATAAACATTATACCTTTATATGGATGCAGCTGGAACTGCATGTTATTGTTTGATGGAGATAATGAAAATGCTACTAACGAGTCTACCAAGATATCTGTATGATGGATAATTGCTTCCTGAGCATTTTTGGTGGTGGTTGTCGATTGATTTAAATCTTGTTTCAATATTTGAATATGGTACAATATCACTTGCATCTCCTTTTTGATGATGATTTCTATATTTTCGTCTGATTTGTTCAAACGTCTTTGTGTCGTAATGATGGCATGTATAATGGAGGATAGTAATGTGGATGCGCTTAGTACAGATATGATTTGGGAGGATGCATCCAATGGATTTGTAGAGAAAGTGGTTGATGTGATGGTAAGGATAGTATGAATAGAAGATCCAACGGATATCCACAGTTGTCGTATCTATTTCATGGTCTACATTAGATATGAATATACTCTTTCTACTTTGTCAAAAGGGCGTTTTAGTTTAAATAATGTACCTCTGGGCTTTGTTGGTAGGCCGATGAAAGTGTGGATGTCGTTGTTATAGGATCAACCAGTTTTAATTTATTTAATATTACACGTGCAGTTTCTTCCATAATGTATTAGAAAAAAAGAAAAAAAAGAAAAAAGGAAAATAAAAAAAGAGAAAGAAGGGAAATAAGAAGACGAAATTTATTTTTGTCATAATTATGTACAAACATACAAACATCCGCACCCAAGCACATAAAATGTGGATGATCAGGAATTCTTGTTTTAAAATGATTGAGATAATAACCCCATTTTTACTGCCGATTGAAACTAGGTAATAATAGTGTATGATGACATTTACATTATTGTAGATGAAATACCTCAAAAGAGAATAACGTTGTTTGTTGTTTCACAATGCAATAATTTAAATGTTCAAAATATAAGGGGTAAAGAAGGGGGAGAATTGGCATTTTCTGGTAGCGGTTACTTTTTTGACTTGCTAATACCCCCTTGGAAATCCCATTTAGAAGGTTACATCATTGTTATTCATTGTCTATTCAATATTACACTGCTAAAAAAACACCCACAGAAAAAAAAAAAAAGCTAATATCATTTTAGCATGGATGTATAAATAACATAAAAGAAGCTTGCAGCCAAAAACTAAAACAAAAATTCTTAATTATCTCGCCAAGATTTCTTTTAGATGGAGCTTAGCTAGAACTGTAATGTTGTATTTATAAAACATATCATTTGTTTAAATATGATATGAGTGAGCATCCTTTAGAAAAACAAGCAACTAACATGGAATACGATTGACAGTCTCGCCCGTGGCTTAGGCCCGAACTCTCATTTTTTTTTGGCAACTGTCTTCTCCGCAACAAAACTTATAAGCAGCCTCCCCCCCTTTTTTTTTTTTTTTTTTTTATTTACATAACACTTTTTTTTATACCGTTATGCATATCACTCGTTGTTATTTCTGTTCCGGACCTTGTTATCCCGGTCATGGTACTATGTTTGTCCGTAATGACAGCAAGGTAAACTCAAATCTAATCGAAGATAGAAAGTAGATCTAATAATGATTTTGAATTTAGACTTTCCGTTTCTGTAGATCCAAATGTCACAAGAACTTCAAAATGAAGCGTAATCCTCGTAAGGTTCGCTGGACTAAGGCCTTCAGAAAGGCCAGTGGAAAGGAAATGGTTATTGTAAGTGCATGGATCTATTACGAAGGACATGGATCTTTATACGAGGGACATGGATCTTTATAAGGGAATGTGAGTGTTAAATTTATTTTTGTCCTGTAGGATTCCACCTTTGAGTTCGAGAAACGTCGTAATGTTCCTGTCCGTTATGATCGTAACATGATGGCCACCACCATCAAGGCCATGAAGCGTGTTCAAGAAATCCGTTCCAAGCGTGAGCGTGCTTTCTATAAGAACCGTATGGCCGGTAACAAGGCATTGGAGAAGGAAGATGATATCCGTGTTGTTAACCAGAACATTGAATTGGCTCCTCTTGAGTCCAAGAAGAGAGTCCAAGCCATGAAGGCAGAGAAGGCCAAGAACGAAAACATGGAAATGGAAGATTAAAAAAAAAAAAAAAAAAAAAAAAAACGTTCACACCTCATAAAAACTTTCTGTCATAAATCTACACAACCCTTTCATATCTCTCTCTCTCTCTTTTCAACTCTTAATTTGTTTTTTTTCCCTCCTCCTCACATTTTTCCCCTATCCGTATCCGTATGTTTTGCTTTGTATATCTATAAGGGATTTTTTCATATTTTTTTTTTCTAAGCATATAAATAAATTACCAAATATCTGTAAAGTCATCCGACATGCATGTCCAACTGAACGTCATCCTAACCGAATTATGCGGCAATGATATCAAGATGACGCTGGAGGGAAAAGTGCATATATTTATCAGGATATGCAAATGTCATTACGAAATATTATGGTACAAATGAAATGCTACTACAGCCTCTTTTGCATATTTGTAAAGAAAAACCACACACGATCCGATTAAAAGAGGCAACGCACAGTAATTGATCATAATGAATAATTTATCAGAGTATGTGTAATCACCATACACCTAGCGAAACACTGAACAATGGATGTTCTTATGCATCCAGAGTGAACATTGAATAGAGTAAAAGCTTTACAGTTGCCCATACCAAAATTTACCTATAAATGATACCATTTGGTGTGAAAGAGAGAGAGAGAGAGAGAGAGGTTTTTTGTGTAAATTCAACTGGAGACAAACCTGAATGTTCTTAATGACATGCATCAATCAATTTATCAACAGGTTAAAATCAGTTTTGAAGAATACTTAAAGTAAGTTGATATGAGTACATAGTATTATGAATGTTTATTACATCAAGCTGCCTGGACACTTATAAAAGAAAGAGGCATACAAGCTAAACATGGGTATTTTTGTTGTTGTTGTTGTTGTTGTTGTTGTTGTTGTTGTTGTTGTCTTGGAGGTGTGACTTTTATTGCACCTTTTCACACATCTGTTCATCCTGTTGCTTTTTATATTGTAGTGACGATTTCTTATAAGTGATGCTGTTGCCCCCCATGAGATCCAGGGTCTCTCTCTTTTTCTCTGCGGCAGCCATGACACCTTTGGCTGCCCTCGGTTCCATTTCCTGGAAATTTTGCCAGACGTAATTTTTCAATTGATTTGCGCCGGGTAGATCCTGAATCATTTTGGCAATGGTGGGGTGCTTGAATCCATAATAATCAGGACCACTTGCTGAATTAGAATGCTCTCTGTGCCTAATTTCATTGGATTTGCGTACGACGACCGTCCAAGCACCTGTGGCCGAATTTGCAATGATGGGATCCATAGGCTGATCTGAGGCCAAGACATGAAAGCGAGGGCCATCGCCACCGTCAATGATGGTGGAAGTAATGACGGTATTGTTGTGAGGGTCAATCATGCTGGGATAGGTTCTTCGTACGGTATAACCAACCGGAAAGATGTAACGCTCGTTATGAAAGGCGTCTTGATGAGGATTGATTTTACCGAGACTGAGTACGGTCAAGACACCTATTTGCTGAGGTAGCTTTGGATGACCTTGGTTGTCTCTTTCTATGGGCTGAACTCGTCTGGTCTTGATATTCATCTTGTTCATTTTGGTGCGTTTGGGTGGAGCAGAGGCCACGGTGGTTAATTTTGAGGTGACACCAGCAGGTTCTTCATCACTTGTTTCTTCGGATGACTCGTCTTTATTGATTATTATCGCATGATTATTCTCTTTCTTTTCATGGTGGTTTTGTGCAAGTCGATCCAGTAATAAACTACACAAAAGTGATTAATAGAGAGATACGCATGCAGAGAGAGAGGGGGTCTTCCTACTTTCGCTCAAAATAGAGCAGTTTGATCTTTTTCTGTGCACGTTGAAAGCCTCTTGACAATGATTCATTCAACTAAATCAAGATAATCAGCCATAAGAATAAGAAGAAGAAAAGCTGTGCCCCAGGGTGGGTCTTACCTCGATAGCCTCCCGAAGTCTTTTCTTGATCTTGGTGTATTTATCCAGACGGTCATCCATTAATACTAAGAAAAATAAAAAAAGAGAGGAAAAGAGTGAGAGAGGATGGGAAAAATTACAAGAACCGAAACAAGAAATAAATGAGAGTGATGGATACACAGAAAATGAAATTTCTATTGGACCCCTTTAATATGTTTTTTTCCCCTTTTTTATGTATATAATACAGTGCTCACGGTACTTAAAAAATATTTGCGCACTTTTAAATCTCAATTTGCATGAAGATTATTGGCCAATTTGCGCATTTCTTGACGTCATTTTGAATTTCATTTTGCGTAATATTTGCGCCAATTTGCCTTTCTTTTTAACTTGTATTCAATCACTGGAAAAATTATGTTTGAAAATGGTCAGGGAGACATTGTTAACGAGAACGGAAATGAGGCCATGGACTGGGAAGAAGAAGTCAATCCTTATAACACAGAAACTTTGAGTAACTTTACGCAGTATTCCGAAAAGCAGCCAACAGATCTCGACATGACAGATCCTGATCTTCCTGAAAGAATGGCACAGCTAGAAAAAACTATCGATGCAAGCAATATATCTAAAACTAAATATGCAGATTATTTAGATATTCAGAAAACTTTATTTCTGTATTGCTTGCAACTTAAGTTTTGAAGTGCTGCAGTATTAGCCAGAAAAGCTGCGATTAATGTTCGCACTGGCCAGGATTGGGCCAAGAAGCTGATTAATGATCCCGATTCTGATATTTTCGAAAAAAAATACGAACAAGGCTGTCAGTAAGGGAAGTCAGCTTCAGGAAGAGCATAAAGCTCATTTAATTGAATTTTTTGATGACAACCCGCATGCCCGAGTATCCGATGCAGTTGAGGAACAGAGTTGATGTCAAAAGCGATCATCCACAATCCTAAAATCATCATCATTATTACGACTACTCTAACAAATACACAAAATAATTACCTAGTAGGGAATCCTGAGTGGGACAATGGCGCTCGCTCAGATGTTGTCCTAGAAACAAAATCATCAGTATTGAACCTTCCTCCAATAATCATTGAAATTTAACATACGGTTAACAGCTTGTTTATAAAGAGAGTCATAAATTACAGTCTTGAAGCTTTTAATAGACATAAATTGGACCCTATTGTTCTAATTATATGTACTGATACCTTATCTGATCCTGTTGCCAAAGACGCAAAGACCAGCGATATTCCTGCTTACTATGACTTCCCTTCTACAGGTTGGGCTTGTAATTGCCTGATTGTATGTAAAAGACGCATCCCAGAGTATATTGATACCATGCCTTTGAATCCATTCATTGCCTATTTTATTTCTGAACAGCCGGGAACCGACATACCAATTTTTTTAAAGGGCTCAAATGGTTGACAGGCTAAACTATTTACCAATGCAATTCAAGGTAGAAGCAAAGTCAACGTTATATATGATGTCAAGGTGTCAAGTCGGTATGAGCGCAAGTAACCTATGAACAAGTCTCTCCTGTTCACTTTACCCAGATGACCCAACTATTCAATACTTGTACACTTTGGGGTCACATTCGCATCGAAATCGTCTTGGAGATCAGCATATTACCGATATTTTGGCACAAGTACTGGATACCCAAGATCACGAACATACAATGTATTAGAACTTATTGACCAGAATTCATCATCTGAAGCAGTTGCCAAAGCCATCAAGAATTTACAATCACAAAACCACGCGATGAAAAGGAAATACACTGATATGAATCTCGGGCCCTCCTCTACCCCTAATAGTATCTTAACAGCAATATCAACAACAGCAACAACAACAGCAACAGCAGCAGTAGCAGACCTTACTGGTGTATCACAGGACTGTCTCACCATAGGTATAACTACTCTAATGTAAATACGGAACATGTAAGAATAACCGCTACAACAAATACCAATCACCGACTTAACAAACATGAACATATAATGTATATACAAGAGCAAATTAAGCATTTAAAAAGGATTATCTTATATTTGATTGAAATTATTGTCTCTTAGACATCGGATATTACAGTTACATAACAATAAATTGTTCATTTTGGTTTACTGAGTTTGGGTCCATATTTGCGGTGCTGACCGAGTGAAAAAGAAGATCAATTATATATAGTATGTTTCTACTTCTTCGTTGATTTATATGGAATTGCATTACAAGCTTCACTAATTCTAGTTTTTAAATCCTCAGTATTTTCGAACTGGCTTCTTCTAGCCTTACTTTTAAGAACTGCCCAAAATTGCTAAATATGATTAAGCTCTGGGGAATAAGGAGAAAAATGAACACATTCATAACCTCTCGTTTCTATCAATCCATATTTTTTGTCGTGAATGATAAGATAAAATCCTTTCATTTCAGGATATTTATTCATTTGACCTAATGTTTTCTTAATGAAATTAATGTAATGACCAGAGTTGGCTCCAGCAGAAAAAGATTTCTTTGAAGCTGTTGCGTTTCTTTTACGACTTCCTACCACTTTTTTTTTGGGAGGTACTGGAACTCGTATTTCAATATTAGCTACTCCCATTGATGAAATAGCTCCAAGGGTAGTATGACTATCTGCCTTAGTCAAAGGTGTAATGATTACAGCTGGAGTTCCTCGAGATGATCTTGCAGTAGGTGGCCTCATATTAATGTCAAAGGCACTTTCATCGATGAAAATACAATTGTTGATGAAGTTGATTTCTGTCTTAGACCACTCTCGACGTAACCGAAGCTATCATCGGGATTATTTCAAGGTTCAGGATGACGAGTTGCTTTCTTTATCGACAGATTACATTCCTTGGAAATAAACTCTCCAACGACTGTTTCCCTCAAACTAAAGTTTTCGAAGTTTTCAGTTAAGCTATCAACTGCATCTTTGGTACGGGCCTAAGGATATTCATCAAAATAATCTATCAGATATTGTTTATGTTCATCTTGGAGTTGACTTTTCGTCCTGTCAATTTTGTTTGTATTTTTCTCGTGTATATACCATTTAAGGTCTGTTGTAAGTCGTCTAACTCATTGTTGTCCGGTACGCTCGTTTATTCCAGCCATTCTTGCAGCTTTGGCAGCTTTAAAAAGCTTTAGTTTAAGATAGTATAAAAACAAAGTTTTCTGGTCAATTGAATACGATTTATAGTGTCTTAAAAAGTTCTCTTGCGAGAGCTTAGATTGAATCTCTTGCATTCGGCTGTCCTGCTCAAAATCGTTTTGATCAAGCTCGACTGGAAAAAAACAAAAAACGTAAATTAAGGTTTGGTAAACCCATAAATTGAGAATTGAAAAAACCGTAAATTGGCCAATTAAAAAAGCTCAAATTGGGAGTTTGAAAAAACGCAAAAAAATATAAAGCCGCAAATTGGTACAGTGAGCACTGTATCATGGACAGTCTACTACAGAAAAGGAGTGTATTGGTGCTCCTTTTATTGGTATGTTGTGTACTTTTTTATGTCTTGCTTGGCGTAGAAAAGAAAGACACGTTTATAGATAAAGTAGAACAAGACAAGAAGAAAGCAGCACATGCGTCATCTGTTCACATTGTCAAGGACAATGTTTTACCAGTAGAGTTTCCATCCCCATTTCAATTACATACACCCACCAAAGATGAAAAGTTCATTACGTATTTACCTCACTCAGGTTTCCATAATCAACGCATCGAACTAGAGAATGCACTCTTACTAGCGTCGTACCTCAACCGCACACTGTTGCTACCTTCAGTCTATTTAGGCAATCCAGCGTTTCCATGGTTACGGTTCGACAAAATGTACGAGCGGCTATTATTGCAGACGAAGAATGGACTTAGTTACTGCTCCGAGTTGAGGGAAGGAGAACCATTGAGTACGGAGTGTCTTAATTATTTTCGGTGGACAGCAGTACCTTGGACGTTTTTCTATGATCTGCAGGCATTGAATCGAAAAGTGCGTATTGTATTTCGACAGGACCTTAGTTTAGAGTGGCTCAATGGGACATTGCAGATAGATGCAGATGACACCTACTTATTCAAGGATAATTCACCCTTTGATTTCCGAGTGTATGATTTACCCGAATCCAAGACTCCTTTAACTCGATTTGTCAACCGCATTGATCTTAGCACATTGGAATCTATCAAGGAGAAATTAATTCATTTCGGGTCTGTGTTTGGTACGTCACGTGTATTGGCCCAGTCTAAAGAACATGCAGAGCTACTCCAGTTTATTAGACAAGAAATGATCTTTAAGAATCCCGTGTTGGTGGATACAGCAGCCAAAGTGGTACAGCAGTTGGGTGGAGTCGGACAATTTGTGGGTATTCATTTACGTGTGGGGGATGGTATGTTCAAGACAAGAGCCTCAATTGCAATTGACGATATATATCATCAATTGGTGGACGATTACACGGATTTGTCGATTGACGGAGTCATGCATTATGATGAAGAGCATGATGAAGACAGAAAAGAGAATACAGAATATGAGATTAAGCAGTTACGCGAAAGTAATGTGGTGAAGGGAGATGATGCCAAGCCAATCACGGTGAATCATCCATCGGACATCCAAAGTCGACTAGGAAGAAGCCAGCTACCGAGTTGTCAAGTAGAGGGTGATGGAATGAACGATCGATTTGCAAAAACAACCATCTTTATAGCTACAGATTGTCCCAATCCGCGAGAGCATCCATTGTTACGCAAGATATTTAGGACATTCCCGTGTACTTTTGTGCTTGCTGATTTTAAAAAAGATTTGATGGAACTAAGCAAGATCGAGGTAGTGGATGAAAAGGTTAAATTGAATCCATGGCTGATTCCAATGGTGGATGCCATCATTGCGTCTCAAGGTCATACCTTTTTTGGCACCAATTCAAGCACCTTCTCCACTTATATTGAACGTCAATTGCACCCTGTTTATACCAACCAACATGCTTTTATCTGAATGACGAAACCGATCGATGAACTTTATCCAAAAGTAGAAATAATAAAGAATTAAAAAAAGATCGATCGAGTTCTATTTTTTTTTTTCATTTAAATAGACCTTGGAAATTTTTTTTTAGAATTTTTTTTCATCTTTTTCTTTCTCTTTTCTTCTTTTTTTTCTGTTGTCATGGTTTACCGCCAATTATTATATTAAAAAAAGAAGCAGACTGAATAATAAAAAAAAATATACTTTTTTTTTTTACCATTAAAGGCAAATCCTTTCTTTTTTTTTGTTCTATAAAAAAGAGAAAAATACGCAACACTGCAAAGTATACGATCCAATAAACGCACCCATGACCAGGTCGACACATTACCTGTAGGCGCTCAACAAGTAGACTATAAGAAGCAAAAGCAACAGCAACAGCAAGTAGTTTGTTTTGAACCGCATCATGTGACGCAAGCGCTCAGCATCTGTCCTTCCTGTCACGGCAAATTAAATAAGCCATCCACTTTACCATGTGGATACACTGTATGTCAATCTTGTATCCCTCAGAATGATACCCTATGCAAAGCACCCAACTGTGAACGTATCCACACCATTCCCACTCAGCCCAATGTGATTTTCCAAGCCATGCAAGCCATTGTTGTCAGTTTCGAAGCCAGTCATTCGTTGGAAGCACTTCGAAATAGTTTGAACATTACTAGCGAATGTCCCATCTGCTGTACTCGTTTTACCAACCCTACCACTACACCTTGTGGTCACACATTTTGTCGAAACTGTCTTGTGCGTTCTCTCGACCACCAACGTTCCTGTCCCTTTTGTCGTGACTCTTTAGACTTTTGTCCGCCACCCACCACTGTCCTTACCGAAATCCTTACTAAACTTTATGAACAAGATGACGAATCCATGGATGTCCATGTCGCTAACGATTTTGATGCTTCAGACACCCGCGTCCCTTTACTGATCGGCTCACTTTCATTCCCTCATATCAATTGTGTCATTCATATTTTTGAGCCTCGCTACCGTCTCATGCTCCGACGCATCATGGCATCCTCTCGAAGACGTTTTGCCATGTGTCTCGCCAGACGCAAACGTACCTCACAAGATCAGTCTCCCTTCTTTGAATATGGCACCATCCTCGAACTCATGCATGTACAAACTCTTCCTGATGGCAGGTCCATCGTCCAAGCCGTCGGCTCTCATCGTTTTAAAGTCCTTCATTTTGAATTAATCGATGGTTACCATATGGCCGATATCGAACGTATCGATGATATTGACCGAGAACAAGAGCATTTACTGGAACAACAACAGATCTTGAAAGCAAGTGCTATGCGTGCTCGTCAACATCAGCAACAATTACAGTCTATGCAACAGCAACAGCAGCAGCAACAGCAACCAATGTCCCCCGTTGCTACGGCTCCTATGGCTGCCCGTCCCATGGCTGCCGCTGCTCGTCCTATGGCTGCTCGTCCTATGGCTGCCGCTGCTCGTCCTATGGCTGCTCGTCCTATGGCTGCCCGTCCTATGGCTGCCCGTCCTATGGCTGCCCGTCCTATGGCTGCCCGTCCTATGGCTGCTCGACCAATGGCCACACCTCGACCTGCGCAAATTGGCATGGGACAACAACGCCAATCGTGGGCCCAACAAGCACATCCTCAAACGCAAGCACCAGCTAGCCGAGCACCATGGTTACAAATGCATGTGCGGGGCCTTTCAGCGGCACGACCAAAAGCGCATTTACAGCCGCAACAAGCGTCGGCCAACACAACGTTACAGGCGCCAGAGAAAGCGGAAAAGAACCGACAGGAACAAAGCACAGATGAATTGTTGGATGAATTGGCGACGTTTGTGGATAAATTGTTACTTCACCGACAACAACAACAGGGCGGTATGGCCAACTGGCTAAGTGCGCTTGGAGATCCACCTGTACTACGAGGTGCACAACGGGATCGAGTGATACTAAGCTGGTGGATTGTGAATATGATGCCTTTGGGAGAAGAAGAAAAGTTGCCACTGTTGGGTATGCGCACTGTACGAGAACGTGTATTATTAATTGTTTCCTGGGTCGATAAATTTCATGATCAATGGTCCTTATTTTTAAACAATCCCAATGCATCGGGTTCCTTAAACACATGCTGTATTTCTTAGATAACTTATTTACATTCATTTACATTTATATATATACACACATTTAATATGCCACATACATTTTCCACCCTACTATCTAGAATTAAAATTAATTTACTACTTATTTTAACATATAAAACTTGTTTCATTTATGTGGGTGTATATGTGTGTGTGTGTGTGTGTGTTTATATTATTATTAGTTATTTTGCATAAAAGGGTCATAAAGTTTTCGGGTCATGCATAGAAGTAAAACAATCTTTTAGGGAGAAAACCCCTATCCTTGGGGCGATCTTTTCTGTCTTTTAAATTCCTTGTCTTGCTCATTGTTACATAGAAGGGATCTCAACACACGGTTCTAGAAGTAAGCTACTTTTAGTCAACTGAATTCTTTTTTTTTTTATGTATATATATACCTCGATTTCCAGGTCGTGTATCTTGGAGCGTAAGTCTTCCACAAGGTCATCGTTGGGAGCTAATTGTATTAAGGAAGGTAATAAGGGCGGACTGTAGGGTGAGGCTGAATTGAGGATGGTGGGCTTAGTATGGGATAGCGGTGTCGCTAATGGTGGAGGGCTTACTTGCCACTGTGACGTCATGGAAGGGATATGGTGATAGAGAGCGTCTTTTTTGACGACTGGACTTGTTTTAAGGCATGCTGATCCTCCCTCTGTCTTTCGGTGTCTATTTAAGGCATCAAGTCGACTAAATGATCGTTTACAGACGGGACAATGATAGGGTCTTTCGCCCGTATGTAGTTTCTGATGTCTTTTTAAATCATGCAAGCGCAAAAACTGTTTCTCGCAATCACTGCACTAAACAAGAAAGGGTTGGTTAGTATTGCATGGAACATAATCTAGACTTTTATATCAGTGCTTTACCTTACCTGAAAGGGTTTTGCGTCGGAATGAGTGGCTCTATGTGACTTTAGACTATGTGCCCGGTGGAATACTTGGTCACAATCGGGACAGGGAAATGATTTTGACGTGCCAGCGTCGTTCTTTGTGTTGATGGAAAATTGACTGATGAGTGATTCAAAACTGACGGTGGGACTGACGGGTGTAGGTAATGCTGTCTCTTGCGGTGGTGAATTCTGATGGTTCATATTTTGATAAAAACAAGAAAAAGAGAAGGAAAAAGAAATATCATTGGAAACTGTCCTTGTATTTATAAACATCTCCGTAGGGCTGAATAATAATAATTTTTATTTTTTTTATTTTTTTTATTTTTATTTTTTGAAGTAACAGCTTAAAAAGCATTAATTTACATATCTTTTGGCTCTTATAATTTAAAGTGTATCCATAAAATATAGATGGAAATAGCATAGTTCAATGCATAGTAAACATCGTAAATTGTTCATTTGAAGTGTCGTCTTCGGAAAGACAATCACTTGTGGCTGAAGTATATAACCCACACACACATTTTTTTTTTTTTTTTTTTTTTTTAGAAGCCACATTGGGTTCATTTATCCTTTTGTACGAACTCCCTTTCCATACACCCCCTTTATCTTTTCTGGAGGAGGCGTCGTGGGTCACACACACATGGTCTTTTTACTGTTCTCATCAATGCACAGGCCATATTTTTTTTTCTCTTCCCGCTCACCCCTTTTTTTTTTATTGTTATTTCTTTAATGTCGCGATTACAAACTTACTTTAGTTCGGAATTCATTGCTTCTGGACAAGGCACTGAATTTCATGAATTCATCACAAGAATCACACAAGCCAAAAGCAAATCAGTAATAACCCTTTCCATTATTTTTTTTTTTCTATTCATAAGCTCATTTCAGTGCATAGGAAGAAACAAGTCATGTCACGGAAGAACTCTCGAAATTAACACGCAGTATGGGTTCACCCGACATTTCCTCCGTAAGCACCGTCTCTCTTCTTCACTCTTGTCAAACCAATAACCTTTTTTTTTTCTTCGTAACGATAGACCCGGATGCGGGATTACCTGACCCGCCTAATCCATTGTTACATGCTGGGCTACTCGGTGGACTTTAGCATTATTTATGCCATCATGGCTTCACAGAGCGGAGAATCCGTCATGGACAAACGTGTGGGTTACCTTGCATGTACATTATTCCTGCAACGCAACAATGAACTCGGCATCATGTTAATTAATACGCTACAACGCGATCTCAAGAGCCAGAATTATCTCGACGTATGTGCTGCATTAAACGCCATGTGTTATTTACAACATCCCGAAATGCTCGATAGTCTTCTAGACCTCGTTATTGCCACTATGACCTTCCCAAAGTAGATCATTTGTATATGGAGCGGAATGTAAAAATAAGAAAAGAGGCTAAATAGTTAATACTCATAGGCAAGTGGTGAGAAAGAAGGCAGTGATGGCCCTATACTTTTTGTATACACGCTGTACCATTGATCGTCTGGAAGCCCCGCTGAGACAAGCGTTGGAAGATAAGGACTTTAGTGTAGTCTTTGCTGCTCTCTCCGTCTGGAAGCTCATTCTAGTGGTACACTTGTAAAAAAAAGAAAAGGTAATATTCAAGATTTACTCACCCATATCTACATAGGACCACGCAGAACAGTTTGGAGACTTGTTGCCAGTGGTGTTTAGGATTCATCGTCAGCTGATTGAAAAGAGAATTCATAAATCATTTGTATATCATGGCGTGTATGCGCCCTGGGCTCATATGGACTGTCTGGCTATTTACAGTATTTATTTGCAACTGAACATTGGGTAAAGGGGAAAAAATGGTCAAGGGAATAGGAGACTTGACTAATTTAGAGATGTAGGTCGCCAAAGGAAGTATATGATATTGTAATGGAGTGTGTACATGCGATGGAAAAAAAGGTAGACGCAGCCTTTGGTAAGCAACCAGACAAGTGTTTTTTATAAATGTAATTGTAACTTGTGTATAATGTAGCTGTTGTTCTGGAGTGTATTAAATTGCTGTCGGATATGGACCCTATTTTACTCAGTTGTTACTCTTCAGATGAGAGCCCATTTGTGGTGCTAGAACCTTTTTTGAACGCCAGCAATCTCAATTTGAAATACCTGGGGCTGATAGGGATGTCGTATGTGGACGTGAGTCTATGGCGACCCAGATGGCTGGATGGGTCCCTGATTGGGGATACAGTTGCATCTGCCCCCTTTGACGAGACCATTGTGACACAAGCCATGGAGAATTTAGACATGGTAATGCACAGAGAGATTTTAATGAATACCAGTCCTGCTTTGATCGATGCGTGTGCTCAAAGCACCAAACTGGCTTATTGGCTCCTGAATCGTCTGAATGAACATGTCGATCGAAATGCATGGTATATTGAAACTGTCATGCAGATTATGGCTGTAACAGAGAAAAGATTGGACGATGATTATGTTGAAACCCAATGCAGCCTATTAAAAGAAGGTTCGATAAAAATAAGCTAAAAGGCCATTGCATATATTAATTTATATATTTTCAATCAGCTTTATTAGGAGAAATACAAGAGACCACCAAAAGAGAATGTTCTGTAAAGGTAGCCTATGATTTATTAAAAAACACGCATGGAGATACGATCCCGCCCCTATTGTTACAATTCGCATTCTGGGTAAAGTTGAATCCTTTAATTCAAAAAAAAAAAGGCTAATAGCGTACAAAAATAGACCTTGGGGGAGCATGGTTATCTATCGAGTCTATCATCGGATATCGATCGCATGACGCAATTGATTAAATGGCTTCGACTACTTCATGATGATGATTTGCAGACGTGTGCTTTACAAGCCATCAAAAGATGCATCTTGCGCAGTAAGACTTGGCTGTCGGGATTGGAACCCATCTTAAAGGAGTATAAAAAATCTCCCGTGCCTGAAAAGCAGCAGGTAAAAGAGAGCGAAAAACCCATCATTCATTGAATTTTTATTTATTGTTTAAACTGTGTGAAAATGTAGATTTCTAGAGAGATTAGTGACATGATGAAGGATGTTGAATTTGAAAAGCATTTACAAGAGACAGATGTTACACTATCCACCATGGCAGTAAGTAGTGAAACCTCTCCATCCTTTTTATTTGGGAAAAAAGTGTATCTCAAACATCCAGATTAGATTTCTGCTAACCCAAATCGACCCAAGAGTGTCAATCCGTTCTTGACAAGTAATGAAATTATTTTAGCGGATGAAAAAAAAAATGTCATGATTTTTGCTTATCAATGATGATGTATATTAATAGATGATGATTTTCATACTGACCATCCTCGTGGTACATTATCAATTAACGTTCAGCAACAAGACACCATTGGGTAAGCTTTCTCTATTTTTTTTTTTTTTTTTTTTTTACGTATGTTTCTCTCCTTTTTATTAACTTATATCATGATAGAATAACCCAGGTAAAAGAATTATAGAACTTGTTCATAGGTATAACCTTTTTCGTTGTGGCACTGACCCTTTTTTTTTTCTATAGGGTATTTGTATTTATGTGTAACCCGCTGATCCAAGTTTAACTTTTTTATCTCTTTTTTTAGGCCAAGGTCACCATGAGGGTGATACAGAGGTAAACCAATATAATCCAATACCAAACTATGTGTTATTAACATACATAATTTTCATATAGGCATTTGGTAAACGTTGGATTGCCTTGACAAAGGAAGAAAAGCAAAAGTTTGAATGTTCCGTCACAGAAAGTGAGAAAATAGCCAGACGTCTTGGTAAATTATGGCATCTGAATGTCATTCAAGTGATTGGCCAAGAGTTTATTGCTGTAGAGGCAGACTCCGCCTCCGCAGACAGCGGCAGCATTAGCATTAGCATCAGTAGCGTTTTAATTCATGTTGTCATGTTACCACGCCATCAAATCCAATTAACCATCAGGGCAGAAACGGATGAAGCTATCCAGTCTTTTAAAAGACGTGGATCCATTCAATAAGAAAAAGAAGGAAGAGATTTTTAATGATAATAATTATAATAGTTATGAAAAAAAAAAAAAGAGAGAAACTATTTTTGAGCTTGGTACAGATTTCCCTAATGATGAATAAAATAAGTGTGAGAAAAAACAAAATAGATTTCCCGGAAAACTAAATTATATAAAGATTATACCATTGAAGGAGAGGAAGAGGGTGGATTTGTATCCAGAGAGGTATCAGGAGCGTTTAAACAAGATTGAATCAGATTCTTGCCTTCTGGTTTAGTGACGAGAGGCTGAAGTTTGGGTGTGGTAAAGGTATAAACGAGGCCGGTTTCGGATACGACTAACAACAAGACTTGGGTACCCGTGAGTGTGGACAATTCATACGCCTTTTTCATGATACCCGCCTTTCTTTTTGAAAATGTAATATGACGTCGAGTCTTGTCCTCAATGTACTCAATCTTGATCTTGCGACGACCTGACCGTCTCATGGGTTTCTTTTCTTCTTCCTCATCGTCTTCCTCATCGCCTTCCAGAGGCTCTTCCATAATCACTTGGTTTAACGCTTGTGGTCGGTGGGGTAAAGGAGACGTCTGTTGTTGTTGTTGTTGTTGCTGCTGATGTTGCTGTTGTTGAACCAAATAAGCTTGTTGGCTTGTTGGATAATAGCCTGTTGACTGCATTTGTATATTATTTTTTTTGACTTTTGAAATTATAAAAAAGGCAATCGATATAAAAGTAAATTTTTAATAACAAGTTTTTTTTTTTTTTTTTCTACTTTATTTGGGTACAAAGAGAGAAAAAGGGCAACAGCTAGAAAAATAAAAGAGAAATGGAGCAAGATATACAGTCATTTCAGGAGGTAGAAAGTCGCGGCTTCAGAAATTGATACCGCCCAACAATGATTCCTGTCCAACAAAAAAGTCACTTGATGACGGTACGCTTATAGTCGGGCCAAATCTAGCCAATAAAAGTGCTAGGAATAGTGTAAGGAGCCAATAACATTGCTCGAAATAGTGTAAGGAGCCAATAAATGTGCGCGAAATAGTGTAACTGGGTTTGAAATTTTTTTTTTTTTCTTTTTTCTATGTGCCTTTTGTTTGTCCCCTCGTGAATTTTGACACTTATAAATTGATCAAATTTCCACATAAAACACCGTTTCTTCTCTTTGTTTAACTATCTGTTTTTTAAAATAAGCATCTAATCTGTACCAGAATACATACATCATATAATTTAAGTAAGGAATATCTATTGATTAATTGATTGTCGTTCAATAGACACATTGCTTTCAAATAGTCTTAACTCCAAAATAGATGTCAAATATTTCTCTCAAAAAAAAAGGGCGTCCATCCGGCTCTAAAAGTAAACCTGGATCTAAAGCACCTGGTCCTAAACCGGCTCATTTAGTCAATCAATCCCGTTTAAGCTTTTCAAATGTTATTGCAACACAAGCGGAGAGCAGTAATTCTGAATTAGAAAATTTATCAATTTTACAAGATACATTGGTGATTCAACAATCTCAAGCAACTAATGATGATATTGCAGAAAACAATGAAGAGGTAAAAAAATTAACATAAACAATGCTGTAATTTTTGCGACTTACACGTATCCTTGAATAAGCATATTAGTACAGCATCATCTCAAAGCATTGCCACGAGTGAAGATAACAGAAACATTGGCTCAAATATTGCTGACGAGGTATTACCAGATCAATGATTTTTAAAATATTTAGCATACTGATTTTATACGTAACTTAGAACATTAATCAAGCTGCTGGTGTGGATCTTGATGTCGATTATGCCGAAGATAGTGACGATATTGATGAAACTCAACTTCTTGACGAGCTCACAGAGGAGCAATTTAATGCTCTTGAAAACAGTATTTCCAATATTCCTGAAAATGGATGTCTTGATAATTATCTTGGAGGCATACAGGACAATCTCAAAGGTGGAAATGTACCAAGTCAATATATCAATGGCACATTTTGGATCAACCCTCCAAGCGTTTCTTTTTCTTTAAAGCAAAAAATCAATCCCGAGCTGCTTTACCGCCCAAGAGTATTTGTATGGCTCCCTCAGTTTTTGACAAAGACTCCTTTGCACTGTCCAACATGCGCAAAACCACTACTAGCAAAAGAGTGGGTCCAAAAAACAAAGGCTCGAAGAATAATTGATCTGGATGAGTAAGTTACATAATTGGTTTGAGACTATGGAATGCATACTAACTATAAACATTTCAGCTGTTTCTATCTTTTGAGTGTTCGACTTAAATGTACAAATAAATCAACCGTTCATACATTTATGGGATATGCATCTTCAATTATTAGACAATTACCACCAAGGGTTCAGGCTGATTTCCCTGCTGTGCTTACCCATCGTTCTGGTTTTTCAAAGCAATTAGTAAGGCTCCTACGCACACAATTTCAAAATGCTGCCGGCCCTCATAGAATGCACCAAATTTTACGAATAAATCATACAGAAAAATTCGATTCCATTCAATTCCAGTACTATGATGCTTTAAAAGATAAGCTTGATGAACAAAAGATGGCTAAGAAGCTGGTAGGAAATGTTTCTACGGCTACAACATACCCAGAGTTCTCGACGTTTAATGATAGAAACGGATACAACGGATATGTACCTTCAGCCAATTACATAAGTTATGTTTATTGCTCAATCATAGATGAACTCAGGCCTTATATGAATCATCACACGTCACTTTTGGATGGAATTGTTTTAAAAGGAGACCATTCTTTTAAGGTATGCACACATCAGAATTCATATCCAAACAACACAGGCCAGCAATTAATTTTTTTTTAGATTATAAAACATATGGCCAAAATCAATGGGGTGTCAACATTTTCATGTCTGTATACCCTCTTGAACGAATACGAAGAAATTCGCCTACAAGTACTTGCGCCTACAAAGTCATTGGAACACTTGGCTCCATCTTTTAATAACATGATGGAGAGCTATAAAAAGTATGGCTTTAAAATGCCAGAGCTTTTCTACACGGACAATGTTCTTGGTGATCGGTTGTTCTTGGAATCGACAATACCTTCTCTCCTGAAAGACGTTATTCATAAAAATCCAACTTTAACAGAACAAGTCGATTTGAACAGCCCATTCAAAAATTACCCCGTAGCCAGATTGCCAGATAACATAACGGTATCAATTTTAAGTACTACTATCGACATTAATCAATCATGCCAAAAACTTCTTGACGAATGTTTACAGCAGGGTACAATTGCCATTGGATTTGACTGCGAATGGGCTGTAAGAGGTAAAAGATCAGCAATTTCCATCAGTGAGCAGTCTGGTTTGAAGTTCGTTCCTGTAGCTTTGGTGCAAATCGCTTACGGTAATTCTGTCTACTTGATGAGAATACACTCATTCGCCTCAGACAATCTACCTGAAAATTTAATCAAGATCCTCACTGATACTAAAATAGCCAAAATCGGAAAAAACGTCAGCGGTGATCTTACAAGATTTCGCTATTTTGGTCTCCAACAATGCCCTGGTCAACTGGAACTTGGTACCTTTTGCAAAGATAAGGATCTCATTGAAAGAAGAAATACATCTTTGGCCGATATATGTGGGCTTGTTCTGAAGGTGCAGTTACCCAAGACAAATTTTGTTCGTTGTGGCAATTGGGAAGCCCCAATCCTTTCAGAAGAGCAAATAAATTATGCAGCTTTGGATGCTTGGGTGTCATACGAAATTTATACCAGATACAAACATATGCCCACAGTTCATCAGAAAGTAACTGTCAACACAACAGCCGGTTCTTTTATTGCAATTCATTTGGACAAATCTGCCTCGTCCTCTGTTGCTGGATACGGCTATATATGCAATGATGATACCCCTCCTACAAATAATACCCATGAAGCACTTCATACCAACAGTGCACTGATTGTAAAAGTTGTGAAGATAACTATTCCTGGGTACCCTTTGGAGTGTTACAATGAGGGTCTGACCTTAGGTGATTTCCATGATATACCCTTCACTGTTTATATCAAATGCAAATATCTGTTTACAGCTTCAGAAAGAGTACATAATGTAGTTTCTGATACTTCTAATACCCCAATCATACAAATACCACCCATTAGCAGCGATACCACTTCTTCACCAATCAATACCAATAAGAATTCTGTCGACTCTCGTGTTTTAAAAGATGGATTTCATATTATGGACATGATCAAAATTAATAAGTCTCATGGAATGCAAAAAGACTTCATGCGTCGTTTCCGTGACATCATGTATGTATGTGACCAAGAGGATAAAGCTTTAGTAGAAAGTTATCTTGAAAGTATTGGTACGGACTGGAAGACACGGATGTTGGTAAACCCTGCTTGGATATTCGAACGTGTAAGAAGGCATATACCCCCAGCCGAAGAATTATACCCCGCCTTGAAATACCTTTTTGAAAGCTACGGTCCTCTCAGGTGTGAGCATTCCGGCCTTAAACTCTTCAATGACGCAGCTGTTGCCATGTCCCTGCATGTGTTGGATTCGGTGAAGCAAGGGCATGTCTCAGACGTTGTTAATGGGCCTCCATTATATACCGAAAAAGGCCTGGATAAAAACAATCTCATGACATATAAATGCTCCAGAGGAACAAGCTCGGTTGAAGGAGCATGCCATATGAACATTGTTCGAAGGTTTGCTTCTTACAATGCATCAGTTAGATTGACCGACTCAATTTTAGCCGACTACCGGTTATATCATAACCTCAATGTAAGTAATAAATGATTTAACAAATATTTCATAAACTGAAAGTTATACATCATCATAGGTTGGATCAATTAACAGATACGGTAAAAAGCATCAAGGTCATTATAGTCCTTGGCTTGTACTGGCTATAAATTTATTAAGAACTGAAGTAGGTCACGATACCGTTATGAATTATACCTGTGAACGCTATGGGAGCTACTTGAATTTTGAACAGACCAATGAAACGTTTGGTGTCGTCGATATACCCAGAACATTTGGCAACTCAATTGGAATTAGGCCTACTGAATCTCTTGCTCCAAAAAAAGTTAAAATAACAAAAGGTCGGATGACAGAACTCGCTTCTTTGCCTGTGGTAGAGCTTCCGAAAATTGGTTATTCCGCTAACAAGTTCAAATCCAAATATCTATCGAATTGTCAAGGCACCTTGTATGCTGTAACTGCTGTTCATACAAAGGAAGAAGTATGTCTTTTTGAAACTCTAATTAATACCCAAGGCCAAGAGAATACATCTATATACCAACCTTTTGATTCGGAAAAACCGAATTTCGAGCTTTTCGCTTTAACATGGAACTCTAAACATTGCCAACATGATACCAATATTTATTACAAGACACCAGGGCATTTAAAATCATATTTTAACATTTTAGAAGACAGGAAAAAATACGGAAATACTGTTCTCAAAAATATTGAAATATCACAAAGTGTTCGAGTACTTGCTGAATCCCCATCCAGGTTTATAAGATCAATACCTGCATTACCCAAACCAATACCCCCTATAGAGCAACATTTTCCACTTGGTACAATCAACCCACCATCACCTCAATTACAGATGATACGCCCTGCATATCGCTCCAGACATATCCCGGGTGCCACCCCTCTTACAATACCACTTTCACGCCACGTTACAGCTGAAGTAATCAATCTATCAAATAACAGAAAACGAAAAAGAGTATGTGTGGTATGCATGGTAGATAACTGTCCTGGAAGTTCCAAAGGTTCTCTGTGCAGTAACAAATGCGGACGTTGCAGACAAGAAAGCTGTACAGGTAGACACGTTAAACAACCAAAAACTGGGAAGAAAGATTTTGTACAGCCTTTGCCTTGTTTAAATTTATAAATATAGCTGATAATGTATGCTGGAATTGCTACCCGTCATTATTGGCTACAAACCCAAATCACTAATACCTAATTACAAATAAATCATGATATTTCCCTTAAATCACTTCAATAAATCTCGTAAAAAACAAATGGAACTTTACACGTAAAAAATTAAGTAAACCCTTCTAAAATCCAAAAATTTGGGTGCCCAAGGGCACCCAAATTTTTATGAATTAAATGCAAAATCAGATGAATTAAATGATATTTTAATGAAATGGCCCAACTATGGTTACACGGCCCACTTGATCTTAAAAACACACGTGCCATAAACTTTGTTTAGTTTGCCATGGTTACCATATAAACCATGGTTACCATATAAATGGAAGCCATAGTTCCCTTGCCTTCTTTCTCTGTTTATTTTACACTACAAGATCAAAATGAATACCCTCCTTTTTTTGTGTGTGTGGATTTATAGAAGTGACCGACTTTGCATATTTCGACTCTGTTGCGAGACAGTTAGGTATTCGTATTCGTATTCTCAGGGAGCATAAACGATATTTTTAAAAAAAACAACATGGATGGTCTTTTAATTAACATCAAAACTATTGTAGATCTTGACAGCATATATCGAGTTTGTAGTAGGGACGATTGTTGACGATAGTCACAGTATTTGAACAACGTACGGCTCTTGCTTTATCTAAACGATTTTCAGATTTTGACCTTTCTTTTACTATTTTATTTGACGGTAACACATGAGAAGGAAGGGGGACTCCAAAAAAAAAAGGTCGGAGAAGGTTATGAGAGAGTTTATTTTAAATGATTGCATGAGTTGTAACACGAAGAAATAGTCATCACACACTGTCTCTATTCATCTTTTGTCTCTTTTCATTATTTAGATACCATTCACTATAATTGTTATTGGTATATTCCGGCGCCTTTCCTTTTTCGTCTTCTTCAATTAGAGTGAGCTGTGGCGACATGATTAGACTTGAATTTAATGAATAGTTTTGTTGCAGTAAATGTAACTGCTGTTGGTGTTGTCTCTGTACCACTAAATGCGCACAATACCTCTCTAATAGACTCCCCAGTGTACCTTGGTTTAAAGGTTTGGGTAACACGTCTGTCATGCCACTCTGAAAGTATTGTTGGATATCTTGGTCTGTTGTATTCGACGTCATTGAGATAATAGGCGTCCACGTATCGTATTGTCGGATATTTCGTGTAGCTGACATGCCGTCTAATTTAGGCATCATGATGTCCTTATAAAAAAAAATCATAAGTGTTAATAACATGCGTGCCATCTCTTTTTCAGATATTTATTACCATGAGAACGAGATCATATTTGCCTGTACCTAGTTTTCGGACAGCTTCCATGCCATCAACGGCAACATCAATTGTACAACCGGCGATTTGGAGTAACCTTGTTGACAATCTACGGAAGATGGAATCGTCATCTACCAACAAGACACGCGGGGGCACTGACCATCCTCCCCCTTGTATACGTTTTCTTTTACGCGTATGCACCACTGGCATCATTGTATTTAATTGCTGTTGCTGTTGTTGCTGCTGTTGTTGTTGATGTTGCTGCTGTTGTTGTTGATGTTGCTGCTGTTGTTGTTGATGTTGTTGTTGTTGTTGCTGCTGCTGCTGCTGTTGATGTTGATGTTGTTGATGTTGATGTTGTTGTTGCATTTGTTGCAATTGCTGATCCATGGTATTTTGAGACAATCGTTCAAGTTGGCCTTGACCATCGGTGGAGATATTATTATAAGAATGCAAGATATTTTGGAGGTCTTGTTCGACGGGTAAATTACTCTTTTGAACAAAGCTCATGATTTCCTTCATCAAGGTGTCTTGTTCTTGCATGTTCTTTTTAAAGCCTTGAATATTATCCAAAACAATACTGTATTTTTTATCAAATGATTTGACCCTGTCCGTCATCTTCTTTTGGGTCTCTTTTAAGCCGTTAATTTCCTTTTGGAGGTTGGTGGCGATTGTCTTTAATTCTTCTTCTGCTGCATTGGTTGGTATTGTTGTTTGTGGGTTAGGGGTGGTAACCGATGCGTTTTGTGAAGCCTGTGCTGCTTTTCCTGTTGGTTTTCTCTAGATGCGGAGGGGAGGGGGAAGGAGAAGTCTGTTATATAGAGAATAGAATGGATGAAAATCTAACTATTTTACCTTAATTTCTTCCAATAGTTCTTTTCTGTTATACTTGAAATTGGGATGTTGAAACTCCCATGCCTAATAGCCTGTATTAGCTCCCATATATATGATAACTATACATAAAAAAAAAAAGGCATCCAATCATTTACCTGATCGCCATACATACGTTGGCCGTCTTCAGGCATCCTCAACTTGTGAAAATCGTATTTATTCAGCTGACGTACAAAACTAGCAAAATTGGAATGTTTGAAATGCTTTGGTAAAATATGTCTAGCAAACTCGTTGGGGTCCTTGACAACAAAAGTGTCTCCTTCAGCTCCCCATGAGAATATTTGCGAAAACGAATTTTCATCCAACATGCTATGATTAGAAATAAGCTTAGCTCTCCTTTTTGCACATATAAGGTGGAGCAAACTGACAAGACTTACGCAAATAGTTTCTTTACAAACTCGGGTATACTATTAGAAGAAGGTAAGTTGGCATGAGTTTCTGGTGGTGAAGAACCAAGCATATTGAAATATATATAAGTTTTATAAAAAAAAAGAGAGGGAAACAAAGGGAAAACTCTAAAATGAAAAAAAAATAAAAATAATAAAAATAAGAGGCGGGCTTTCAATGGATGGGTTAAGATACATCACTTTTTCAAAAAAGAGTGCAAGGCTAATAGTTTATAGAGGCTCTTTGTAAGTTTTGTTTATTTATAGTTCCCTGTAGTTACAACACTACGGCAGATCTCGTTAAATAGAATAGTGTACGTTTTAACTTTTCTTGGAGGGTTTGTGCTACAAAGAGGACGCCCCCTCATAAAACCTCTTTTAGAGCTCCACCCCACACACACACACACACAAAGTTCTAGAGCGAACTCAACTGCTCTCATGTAACTCGATACTTTTAGCTCGCTTTCATACTTCAATACCCGCTAAATTAAAAACACTCTTTAAAAACAGCTTCATAAAAGGAGGGTCACCCGCCCCTTTATTTCGCCAGTCACAGAATACACCAAGAAAAAATAAAAATAAAAATTGGTTTACTCTTTCTTTTTTTCTTTTACACTGCAAATGCACAAACGCAAGGAAGCACCCACAGTCAAAGTTGAAGAGAGAAACAAAAAGACACAATCGATTGTAGGAGTTGAAGCGTGGAAACTTGTATTTAACGATGCCCGACAAGCATTCACAGACAACCAATTCAAGGAGGCCGTTGCATTATTTACGCGAGCCCTGACTTTGAACCCAAACCACATTACTTTGTTGGATTGTCGTGCAGCTTCCTATGAGAAACTGGACCAGACCAAACTAGCTCTCGCAGATGCTGCCACTATCGTTAAATTAGCACCCACGGACCCTCGTGGCTATTTACGAGGTGGAAAACTCTTTGCAAACCAGAAAAAGTATTCTAAAGCCTTGGGCCTTTATAACCGCGCTTTACAGAAAGTCGATCCTGTAGACCCTCGTTATAAACTCATTGTGGATTTAAAAAGCAAGGCAGAAAAGGCCTCGAAACCACCGGCCTCCATGAACATGATGGATAGATTACCTTACGATGTTATTGGTCTCATATTCTCTTACTTATCCTTTGATCGTCGAGTACAATGTTCTGCCGTATCCCAGAGTTGGCGTCGCTTTGCTTTACAGTGGGCAGGCATGTGGCGTCATTTAGACTTTGAGAATAGAAAACCCACACTAAACATCATTCGAAAATATCTCGGCTATGCAAAAGGTCGTCATGTCCGTGGCTTCGCACTTCACAATGCTAGTCAAACCACACTTCAAAATGTATTCAAAGGCCTGGTAGATGAAAATTGCCAATATATAGAAACGCTGGGTAAGTACCACCTCCTTTCCCACAACATTAAAATAGGAGTATGCTTAAAAGAGAGACTAAGTAAATGACTGTTTTCATAGATTTCAGGAGATGTGATATTTTACTTATTTCATTAGCAAGGATGTTGAAAGTGATTGGAAAACATGTCGAATATCTCAACTTGGATCATACAAATCTCACTGTGTCTAATATACTGGATGTTGTGATTCCAATGTGTCCCAAATTAACACACTTGTCCATCCTCGGACTCACGGCAGGTCAGGAATATGCAAAGACAGAATACCCTTTACTCAACCTGACTTACATACGCTGCAACATCTTTGCCGATAAGCTCATCCGACTCAGTCCCCATCTAGTGACGATTGATGTTCATTCGAATAGCACGTACTTTCATCATTTTTATAATGGGATTGTAACGACGCATAAAGAGTTGGAAACCTTGCATTTTAGTTACGGGCATACATCTGAGAAAATAGGGTGGTCACCCAATTCATGCGTGGTATCCCAACGTAAAGGCATCTTGAATTTTGGTATCTATGAAGATCGTTTCTTCAACGCCAATGTCTTACAATCCTTTTTGATTGAAAACCCTCATTTACAACAATTAACTGTCGTGGGCTGTGGTCCTGATATCGGGACCGGGATTGAAACGGTGGTGACACAGGGTGCATTCTTATCTCAGTTAGTAGGGATCCATTTATTTAATTGTCCATCCTTGACCGAAACGGGTTTGCATCATTTGGTGGTCGCTTGTCCTTCTCTCCAGGCTGTGTCTGTTCCCAGACTTTTGTCCGTGACAGATGCCTTTATGCAGGATGTGGCAACCCGTACCTCGATTTTAAAAAAGTTGGATATTTCAGATTGCAGTGCAGTGACGGGCGTGGGTCTTCAAAATTTAGTACGCGCTCATAAACATCATCTTCAGAAATTAGTATTAAATAACTGTCAGAGAATCAGTCCAGATGCTGTCAAGTGGGCTGTCGAGCAACTCGGTCCACGTGTTATCGAATGTAAATTCAAGTATAAATAAAGTAGCAGCATATAGTAAACCATCTTTTTTTATGTCTCACTGAATTCAAATTAATACACCTTTTTTTGGTGGATGAGTTGAGACATCAGTAAAGCTACATTATAACTCACAGTCGCTATATCTTTTACAGTACACATACATTACTAGTTTTAATCTCGTAAAGTTACACCCGTTGGCTTTTACTACCCGATCCAACGCAAGGCCTATGTGCATGTGTTGCACATTTTTAGGATGTTATCTGGACTTGAAATATTGACACTATTGTTGTCCCGCCTATATGCAGCAATAAAGTACTTTTATTCCATCCCTTCAAGCCATTAATCTCTTTAAACATATAAACTGAGGGCTTTCACTTTATAAAAAACAGGCTTAAGTTACTCAAATGGCGTGACTGGTTTTTTGCGAGCTAAATAATAACCGGGGGTTAGTGTTTGTTTATCTTTTCCTTTTTTTTTTACTATAACATTTTCCGCCACTAAACTTTCTTTCATCTTGTATGGCATTTCGGTGTCATGCAAAATAACATTTGCTCAGTCCGAATCGTTTCTGTGCCTATGTTATTTTAACATTTTCCGCCACTAAACTTTCTTTCATCTTGTATGGCATTTCGGTGTCATGCAAAATAACATTTGCGCAGTCCGAATCGTTTCTGTGCCTATGTTATTATTTTTTTATACTTATGGCTTAGAGTACTGTAGCTGGCGGGGAGTGCGTGATCCTTAGAGCAGTCCGGAGGCTGCAGGGAACTCTGAGGAACGGGCATAGGGAGAACACTCTCTTCAAGTCGATTAGGTCCGTAGCAGAGTTAGTAGGCTATAGCGGTTAGTAATCCGAAGCTGGTTACAAGTACTTGGAGCAGGTAATAAGTTCGTTCCCCCCACCCTCCCACCTTTCCTTTTAATTCTTTTAGCATGTTGGCAAATTATTGTGGTGCGCTCCGCATGTTTGACGGGCATGTGCAGTGGGCATGTGAAGGTGAAATCCCTCGCTCGTGAAGTCATCACGGCCTTAACGGGCTCGATTCATGTTATCTAGTCACTGAAATATGTGTCAGATTGGGAAGGGTTTAATCGGTTGACAACGCTCCCTTTCCTTAAAGCTATTAGCTAGGTTAGCCCTTCCCCTCCCCTTTTTATCCTCCACCCTCCACCCTCCACCATCCACCATCCACCATCCACCCTCCACCATCCACCCTCCACCATCCACCCTCTACCCTCTACCCTCTACCCTCTACCCTCTACCCTACACCTCACCCTTACCCTTTGTTGTCAAATGCGATAAATGGGTATAAATCTATATGAAGTTGTTGGTCAACATACTGCTGAAGAGAGATATAAGCCTATAACTAGCGTTGCTTATCGCCACTTTCGAGTCATTAGTTATATATTTACACTCTATTAATACAGTCTTTATAGTGTTCATAGTTAAATAAACGATCAAATTTTATAACTACTATATATTTTATTCTTTATTTTTTTTTTTTATTGTTTAAACGAACTTATTCTACCCTTTGCTGCGCATTTGTTACTTTTCCTTCCTTTAAATAATTCCCATTGCTGTAAGTGATATACTTTACTAATGTCACCGCAGCTATTACGCATGTGCCGCTATTGTAAAACATACTCTGTGTGGGACACTGCCGTCAGGGCCATGACAACAATGTTGAAAAGAAGAGCGGCATAAACACAATTAAAGCGCACCTAGTCAAAAGCTCAAAAACAAGATCATCATACAATCAGAAACAATGTAATCGCTACAAATGAATGTATTTTGAACGATCTATACTTCGTGACTATTTTACTCTTGCACTCGTTTGATCTCAGTCTTGTGTAGAAGTATTAGAGCAATGACCAAACAAGACGACAAAGTAAGCTAAAAAGCACGCGTGAATGCTTCCCATATGTTTATTGTAATATATCTGTATTTGGATCAAGGCAGTAAGTTAAATTGACCTCTTGGGTGTCACTTAATACGAAGAAGAATTGGCACTCCCTAAAAGACCCGTAGGTTCATTGATGTATCGTATCACTATCTTTCTTCTTCATAGATTATGCCTTATTGTTGGTACATGCTGAAATACTGATAAATAAATATCAAGGTCAGCATTACATGTGGTTTTATACAGTGATATTTCTATCATAAGTAAAGGCTCAAACATTATGAGTGATTAATTTATTCTGAGACATAAACAATTAAATCATCCTGACATAAGCCAGCTCTTGGTCATCAGTCTATAAATAAGATTCGTTCACACACCCTTTTTTCTTACCTCTTTTTGTTCTATTCTTTTTTATGTTCATATGGAGTAAAGCAATAGGGAAAAGGTTAGTTAATAACGCCTTTTGTTTTTACGCGAAATGCATCTTTCTTTAAATACTAAAAAAAAAAAAGATAAAAAAGATGACCAAACTCCATTTTTTGCGCGATCGTAGCTAGCTTACTTTCGTGGATGAAAATAATAAGTGGATGGAGATGTATAAAGCGATAATTAGCATGTTAGCGAAGCTATCGGTACAAAAGACAAAGCCATTGTACAAGCCATTAATATGTGGCATACGATGTAGATTTTAAAAAAATGGTACATACCGTTATGAATATTTAAATCCTATGCTTGTCCATACAAGTCTTTGTATTCACCATAAAATTAGCTTTATGGGCTCTGCTTTTTACAGTGAGATCATTACCATTTATGCGAGTTGCTAATTTGCCAAAGATCGAAAATCGATAAAACAAAACATATAACTATTAGCAAACAAAAGTAAACTGAGCTTTTTTGTAGCGCAAATGGAAGATTAAACCAGCAGCATGAGCAAGATCGAGGCAAATTCAAACCTGATTATGTAGCCTATGTCAACGTTAGGTCTGCTAGGCATGATATCACGATTGCTGAGGTAAAGAACCCCAAAAACCAGTTTTGGAAGGCCATCATCCGACCTTATAAAGCTCGGTCAGCAAATGAAGGTGATGCTGAATAATTTGGTAATTCATCGTGTCAATTCTCCTACCGTATGCGATATTTTAGTTGAAGGTAGACCAAAAGTTATGCATCGATTAAATTATTATTTACATATCCGTTTTTTTTTTCTTATGAATAGGAATAATCATTGCTCACTTTATAAAATGAATCTGATTGGACCGCATTTTTCACCCAATGGTTTTACTCTCATCGTTTTCACAATGCAGAAATATCTTTAATCCCAAACATGTTCTTATGCCTAAACAATTTGAAGGTAATATTAAAGTGTATATATATTTAATAACCTAAATACAAAAATTATATTCCGTACAGAACATTTGCTGTAGATACCGCAAAGAAAATAGAACAACATGAATTAGTGAGGGCTAAAGGGAAGGCGGATTTTCGAAGTAGCCGCCTTCCCTTGTCCTGGGTTCATGAAAATACATGCAGATTCTCGATGGTCTAGGAATCTGATAATTATTATGATATATACATCTTGAAGCTAAACACAATAAACCAATTTCTTTTCACTCACTACGCCATTGATATTACCAGAACACCCATAAATGGAACCATTTGAAAACGGAAGGCTGGCGCTAAATGCAATGGCTCCACACTTCTTTTTAAAGTAACGTTTGTTGCTACTAAAGTTAAAAATACATTAGTCTTAATCCATGTATATAGAGTTATGCGACTGAGTTTTTGGAAAGCATGAATATAATGTTTTTTGAAAAAAAAAAAAAAAAAAAAAAAACGATCTCTGACTAATGCATTGGGATTGGAAGACAACAATCAAGGCAATAATTAAAAGTCCTAATTTAAAGCCCAACCCTTTATTTTTAGTATAAAAACCATTTTTTTGTACCTTCCCGCACCCCCACCCCCTTTTTTTTCTAATTTTTTTGTTCTTCATCTAAATCATCATCCATGACGAGCTTACATACGGTCGAAGGCAAACGTATTTTATGTACTGCAGACGTAAGAGGTAAAGAGAGAAAAGAAGAAGTTAGTGATGATGAAGGAATAAACTCATTGACATTATGTTTAGGTAATATCTCTGAATTGAATCGTCTTGCACGCGAGTTCAGCGCGCACTATATTATTCACACGGGTGATTTTGGTTTCTATGGCAAGTAGCTCTTTATATGGGAGAAACTTAAAAAAAAAAAGCTAACTCTTCTTATGATTATTAGATCGATCCAGTTTAGACCGTATTGGCGAGAGGTAAAGAAGAAGAAAAAAAAATAACAAAAAAAAAAAAAAAAAAGAAGGGAGAGCTAACTGAAAGTTATACATATAAAAGACCGTTGAAGCATTGGATCCAATACACAACACTTGTGCCTAGTCAGACTCGTACAAGATTACTAAACTCCTCTCCTGAAGTGATGTATCGTACACTGGAACAATCACCTCATACGTTATTATCGGAATTCCCAGAATTTCTCTCGCGTGAAAAGCAACTAGATGTACCTGTGTATACGGTATGGGGTGCATGTGAAGATGTAGCCATCATCGAGAAATTTAGATCCAAGGAATATCAAGTGGACAATCTATTCTTGTTAGATGAAGCGTCTACTCATCTTTTGGATATTGGCGGTGTCAGCTTAAGATTATTTGGCTTGGGTGGCCCCGTTGTACAACATAAATTATTTGATAATGGTGAAGGTACGTCTCTCTGTTTCTCTTGTATTTATATTCTGTGTTACTCACAACAATAATAAAAAAAAAGGCACGGACACAATTGCAGGTGGGTTGGGTGTTATGTGGACCACCGCTTTACAGATTGGTGAGCTAGTCGAGTTAGCCAATAGTGTCTATGATACCTCAGAGACAAGAGTTCTCGTCACTCACGCTAGTCCCGGAAGAGAAGGTCTCTTGGCTCAATTGGCACTCACCCTTCATGCAGACTTTACCATCTCCGCTGGTCTTCATTTCCGTTACAATATTGCTTACAATGAATTTGCCTGTCAACCTGAAATCGATCACTTTAGAAATCGTCTGATCCAGTCACAGCAACAGTTTATGCAGCTCTGGGATGCTATTAAGGAGCAGGTCGAAGACTCTGTCGAGTAAGTCCTTTTATTTTATTTCTTGTGTACCGTATAACTGATTCTTATAAAATCCATCAGTGAGCACCAGTATGCTCTTCTTCGTAACGCTTTAAACGTAGTCAACCGTATCCCTCCCTCTCTTTTGGAGATGGAAGGATCGGATAAATCCGAAGCTTCATGGGAAAGAGATGAATTAGCCTATAAAAACATGTGGAACTTTAATTTACCTGATGTCGCTTATGGTTCTCTCTTGTTCAATATTCATAACGGTATCATGGCTTCTGAAATGAGATCTTATGGCTTGAACTTTTCTTACCGTAGAAACCAGCAACAACAACAACAACAACAAGCTTCTCCTGTGACTTCATCGGTTGCTGAAAAGCCCAATCAATACAGAAACAGCACTAGTGCTAATTCCGAATGGCAAGAGGAGAACTACAATAGCAACCGCAACTCTAAAAGACAAAGCATGGTAAAAAAAAAAAGAAAGAAAGAAAGAGAGAATGAAAGAAGGAACTAACAGAGCGTAGCAACGTAATCTTTATACAGCCTATGTCGGTGGGTTGTCCAACACGACAGTAACGGATGAAGATTTAAGAGAATACTTCGGATATGAAAATGTAAAGGGGTAAAAAATACTAGGTGTGACCATGAATCCTCCGACCAATCTAATATTTTTAATAATGAATCTAGGTCACTGGTATCAAATTCCCCATGGATCCTACGACACAGTTGCCAAAGGCTCATTGTTACGTAGATTTTATTAACGGACATGCACTTGAACAGGCTTTGACAAAGAACGGGATGATTTTCCGTGACAATAAGTTGGTCATCAACAGACCCAATACCCAATTTAATAATAATAATTCAGACAATAATAACAATCGTGGTCGAGGTGGCAGAGGTGCCAATAATAACAGAGGTCGTAACTATCGTGATAGTCGTATCATGAATGACCACTGAAACGTTTTATAATCTGTTTCATGACATCACTTGTCAAATGATCAATAAAAAAAAAAGAGAGTTATATATATGAGTGTGGGATTTTTAATTCTTTTTTTTTTCTTTTCCATTTTTTTTTTTTTTTTTTTGCCAAGACAAATGAGATTTTTTGCATTATCCGCAGTAGTGATTTCAGTGTTATCTGTATTCACAGATGCTGCTATTACCAGGTATAATTATAGATATATATTTAAAATATAAATTATTACTATGACTGATTTTAAAGAACTATAGAGTTGCTATCAAAAAGGTAGTTGAGACTCCCTCTGAAAGACTCGAAAGATACTCTCATACGGGAGAATACTTGGCTCAAAAATACTTTAAATCTTCTCAACGTACAAACCAAGTGAATACGTTCCAAACAAATGCAGATGGTACAGCCAATCATGGTATTCCTCTTTCCAACTACATGAATGCCCAATACTATGGTGAGATCCAAATCGGTTCTCCCGCCCAAACTTTCTCTGTAGTCTTTGATACAGGATCTTCCAACCTTTGGGTTCCTTCTACCCATTGTAATTCTATCGCTTGTTTCTTACACAACAGATACGATTCTGGAAGATCTAAGTCTTTCTCGGAAAACGGTACCGAGTTTGCTATCCAGTATGGAACAGGTGCCTTGGAAGGTTTCATCAGCGAGGTAAAAAAAAAAAAAAAAAAAAAAAAAAAAATTATATTCAAGTGCGCGTTCAATCCGTCGATGACGTCATCTACTCACACTTTTATTTTCTTATTATGTAGGACACGCTCACATTGGGTAACATCAAGATTGAAAATCAAGGCTTTGCTGAATCTGTAAAAGAGCCCGGATTTACTTTTGCATTTGCTAAATTCGATGGTATCCTTGGTTTAGGCTATGATACCATCTCTGTTCAACATACCGTACCACCATTTTATCATATGGTGAACCGTGATTTAATCGATGAGCCCATGTTCTCGTTCTGGTTGAATGATGCTAGCGATGAAAGTCAAGGTGGAGAGCTTGTATTTGGTGGCACTGATCCTCGTCATTACAAGGGCGAGATTGTTTGGTCAGATGTCCGTCGTAAAGGCTACTGGGAAATCACAATGCAAGATATCAAATTTGGCGGAGAATCTATTGAATTGGATCCTATTGGTGCTGCCATCGATACGGGATCCTCTCTTTTGGTTGCCCCCACGACCATCGCTGATTTGATCAATCGTGAATTAGGTGCCGAAAAGAATTGGGCAGGACAATACGTTTTGGATTGTGCTAACGTACCTGATCTTCCCGAATTCTGCTTTGTCTTTAGCGGCAAAGATTTCTGTTTGCAAGGTTCTGATTATGTATTGCAAGTACAAGATCAATGTATCTCTGGTTTCATGGGCATGGATATTCCTGAACCTGCTGGTCCTCTTTGGATCGTAGGTGATGTCTTCCTTCGTAAATTCTATAGTGTTTATGACCTTGGTAACCACAGAGTTGGTCTTGCCAAGTCCAAATAGTTTCTTATATATACATACATCTATCTATCTCTTTTTTCTTCTTATCTCTCTCTTTTTTTTTTATTTCTTTTCAAATGCAAATGCTAAATAAATACCAGCGGCTTCCCACTCTTCTTCTGTCATTTCAGGTGCTTGTCCTCCAATTACCCCAATGCGAGAAAGTAATCGACTGTGCTCCTCTTCTTTTGAAGCAGAAGTGTAAAAATCATGAAAGTTTTCCTTAAATTTCAATTTCAACCCATATTCCCCTGCCAACCTTATATACATACATCTAATGTGAGCTTCTTTTTTTTTCTTTTTCTGATTTTATATCATTCTATTGTTTACCTTTCAAAGGTTGGCCAGTGAACCAGGTATTCAGGACAATCTACAGCATCCACCAGATGAAACATGTATTTACAGCCATAAGTGGAAAAGCCAATTTTCTTGCGATCATCGTCTGTATCTTGGATATCGTCAAAGGTGATACTGTAAATGGAATTACCAAACCCAAATGATCGAGGAGGCTCTTGTCTAACGCGCTTTACAATCCAATTCGAGTCGGGCATCGTGCCAATAAACATGCCTCCTGAACGTAACCGACTCGACACATTTTGAAGCATGATACGTGCCTTTTTTTCATTTTCAAAGGCATAATGAAGACAAAATTGCATGGACACCGTGTCAAATTGTAGATCTGGGCGTAATTTAGGTGCAATGAGTTCCTGAGGAAAGTGTCTTTAGTCTCTTTTTTTTTTTTTGGTAGTCGTAGGGAGTATTTGTCTCCTTACTTGGTAACAGTCCATGGCATAGAACTCTGCTGTAAAACTTCGGTCTCTTAGTGTCTTGTATCGACTCTGCATCTGTTCCAACGACACGTCAGCAATGTCTAGGGTATTAGGAATGAGTATATAATGCATTAAAAAAAAAAAAGAAGAAGAAGAATAGACAACATACCGGCAGCCACGAGGTGATGTATTCTTGCTTTGGCCCACTTGATTAGGTCACCGCCTTTGCCACAGCCCATATCAAAGACGTTTTGATTAGGTCTGACATAACGATGAATTAAAACACTTTTGACCCAATTATTAAAACTTCGAAGTCGGATAATTTTCGATTCTTTACGTTTGACAGCACCAACGTCGGGCCGTTCATTATAATGTTGTGCTACGGAAGAAGGCGTAGAGTCGTAACGAGGTCTTTGTGCTTTGTTGGGCTGATCTTGATGTTCAAATCCTCGCTTCATTTAAGATTAAAAAAAAAAAAAATAGAAAAAAGAGAAGAATGATTGGTGTGACACCCTTTTTATGATTATTATTATTATTTTTTATTTCTCACACGTAAAAAAAAAAAAAGGCTTTTTTTTTATAAATGTTATTGTTATTATTAAAAGATGTACAAAAAAGATTATTTAAAAGATAGCATCCAAGGCACAACAGAAACACATGGCAGCCAAACTATAAACAAAAAAGACCGTTAGTATTTTTAGTGTTCCTGTTTAAGTTTTTTTTTGCGGGAGATAAAAAAAGTCCTTTACCATCCTAAACACATGGAACTATCCTCCTTTTGAGGCTGTTGTTGAACATAGACAGTTTGTGGGACAGGTCTTAACAGAGAGATAAAAAAGGGCTTAGTTATTTTGGATAAAGAAATATATAAAAAAAAATAAACAATAAACTCACTGTGGTTGGTAATAAGGTTGTTGGTATTGGGGTTGAGGTTGATAAGATTGTTGGGGTTGACCATAGCCTTGTTGATATTGAGGTTGACCTGGAGGTGGTGTATAATAATTGGGTGGTTGTTGGCCGTATCCCTTTTGTTGTTGATCCATATTAATTTATTAAAATATTAAAAAAGAAGAAAAAAAGAGAGAGAAAGAAAAAAGAAATTGATTTCTTTTTATTTTATATTTATACACCTCCTATCTCATTGGTCGGTTATTTTAGAACACCAAAAATAAAAAATAAAAATTGAGCTTTTTGAGGCTTTCTTGGCACTTTTCTTTCTTGTCTGTGTGTGGCGCATTCTACTTGTGTAAATGTACAAAAGTACCCTTTGAATAGCCACCACGTGAACACACCCTTATTCATGTGGCTTTTGAGCATATCCAAATTAAGCCATCATCATTCGTAAGTAAAACACGTCCCCGTGGATACGCCAAGAATTTCAAATTATACTTTTGGTTAGAAACACAAACCAACTGACAACATCCACACTCTATATATTTTTAATCAATCTCTATGCTCTAAATTAAAATATAATAAAAAAACAAAGGAGTAGTAACAGATGAAAATTAACGCCCGCTCCAATAGAATCCCCCTCCCCTCCCTAACAACCCGCTTCAGCTCATCCATCCCATCAAAAAAAAAAGTCTCCTTTCTTTCACAAGAATGTAAAAAATATCGGTCTGGATTCTTATACACTGTCAACCAAATAAATAAACACAGCGTATTTACACCATTGGTTTTACCACGTTACGAGAATTGTCCATATACCGACAAAAACCTTGCCCAATGATAAGTCGAGCATTCCTACCCGTGGACAGGCACCAGGAACAATCAATTCGCTTTAACCAGGCTATTCCATTATGTAAGATGCCCTTGTTCATTAGTAGGACAGCAAGTTGTAATTATTTTTTCACGGTTCATCTATGGGGATCTCTCTTCATTATAAGTTCAGGTGAAATAATAGAACTTTGATGACCATGTTCATGAACTGTTATTTGTGAAAGTAATAATCGTGAGTGATATGAACTGAGGTTTAAAAATTATAAATAAACCACAAAAGACACAACACTCATATCCTACATGTCAAGCAATTGTGTCTTATAAAGAAAGACTGTAGAACTTTGCTTTTCATTCTTTCTTCCTACGTTCACAGCTACATTTAGCATTGGTCAGCTATCCATTGGGCAAAAAAGCAACGTTTGTTATTCGCTCTATTTACGTTAAAACTTTGACAACGCTGTTTGTCCTTATGAAAACGCAGGCCCAAGTAAACCTTATACACGTGCCTTATCGATTTTATGAACGATTGACATGTGCACAGAAAGTATTATACACCCAATTTGAATTATTTTACAGCAATGCAAGTCAACCAAGGTGTCTGGTTACATGGAACATGAAGAGGCACATAACAATAAGAACCCGAGTTTCCAAAGAAGTCTCTTAGGATCTCCGCCAAAAGACGATCTCGGCTCGCACGAATGTGACCCTTTTTTTTTCACAATAATCATGTAACATTGTAAATCGCTTGTTGATATATGCTATAAAAAATGGCTGACAAATGATTCTCTAGGAAAAAAGAAATACACTATGTATTGATATTTAATAGAAGAATAGAAATAATTTATTATTCATTGATATGTAAATAAGGTCATGAGCATAGACTAAAAAAAAAAGAAGAATTGCTTTGTCGTAGTCGCAGATGTAACTAAGTAGGGGGGATATGTATGTATAATAGGGCTTAAATGGTGATATAGTTATGTATAGATAATGACATTAAGGAAGGAAGGCTATTGTGAGCGGAATGAGTGATTTAGTATCTTTGATTCTTTGAGCCAAGTTTACTGAATAATCCAGCCTTCTTGGTAGGAGGAGGTGCTTGCTTTTTAAAGGGTCCAACACCGGAAGCCTTTGCCTTGGTCCATGCAATAGGACCGTATTTCTTGATCATAGTGGCACCATCATTCTTTTTAGCGACCTTGGTTCTCTTGGTATTACGGCCCGTCTTTTTTGCTACGGGAGCACTCTTGGTGGATGCCATTTTAGCTTTGATACCACGCATCGTCATTGGTTTGCTGGTGGTAGCAACAGGAGTAGCTCTCTTTTTGGAGCCAAAACTGAAAGGACTACATAAAAAAAAAATTGGTAAATACATCACGAAGTTTATATTTTTTTTTTTAAAAAAAAAAAAAAAAAAAAAAAAAAAGAAGCACTATTTTACCTTTTCTTGACTGTCTTCACCTGTCTAGGTGCTGCAGATCTCTTTTGGTGATGTCTGGATGATGTTGAAGTAGTATTTCCCATTTTTATTTTTAATAGTTGTTATTGTTGTTATAATAATGATTAAAAAAAATATTGAGGAAAGTGCTTCCCTATTTATATAAAAAATATCCAACAATGACGATGATGGATCAAAAAAAAAAAAACCGCATTGAGCAACACGTGAGAGCAAATTTAGTCTAGAAGAGACTAGTTTGACACCCAAAATTGCTTATTTGGACCACTGACGTCAGGGATAGAAAAATGACGATTCCACAAAAGCTAGACTTTGTTACACATGAGAGCACAATTCTGACGATACAAAAGTTGGTTTCAATGTAACCTAGGGAATCAGCATCATTGAACATATGCTATTTAACAAAATGGGCAATTATTATTTTAATCTGCTGCAGCGTAACAGTATTTTCAAGTGGTGAGACTTGAGTGTTTTATGCGGATCATATATTATGGATAGAGTATTTAAACTAGAATTATTGGGGCGAAACGTTACGGTGCGAGTGAATTGTTAGATCCTGGATCAGAATTCGTGCTTTGGTCGTTTATGAAATAAAAAATTATTAAAGCGAACAATGTTGTCTCCAGAGTTTAGTAAAAACTATTTATACTTTTTTATAAAGAACAAGCACGCTAGATACACACACACACACACACTACTTATTTTTAAAAAACATTCTAAAATATAACGATGTGCATGATAAACAAAAAAAAATGGGGCATATTTATCTCTCTTTTTGTATTTATGCCTTCAAGGGATAGTATACCAATGCTGTTATCATGATAGACCCTTTGATGATTTTTTTTTTACGTTAAAGAAATTTCGATATTGTATTGGAAATAATAAAGATGTTTGATTTTGGGGATGTGGATGCCATTGTTTGTTCACTAATGCTCAACAGACTTCAAAAATAAGGATTGTGACACCTGCCTTTTAAGTTTTTTTTTTTTTTTTTTTTTTTTTTCATGTGCAGGGTCGTCAAAAAGAAATCCCATGGCTGACACCTAAACACTCGTTAGTAAAATAACTACAGGCTAAGGTTGTAAGACAACTGTGTGGTCTGGTGTAAGCCGAAAAACAAAGAGTCAATTTACGTCGTGATTCAGGGATTTATTCTATACGCATTAATAAACTGAAAACTACAAATTCAATAATGGTTGTCGATGTCTTGTAGAGTCATAAATATGATTGTCTTTAAACAAAGTCGCGTTTATTTGAGAAGTAGGTATTCTATAACTCTTTCACTTGCACACTCTCATTGTTAATTTAATGAATGGAAGACCATTCACACTTCCCAAGAGCATTTGAAACCCGCTTCATGCATTTAGATGGAAGCAAAATTCAGCCAATAGAATTGCTGGAAAAACTATTTTTTATAATCTATCCAAAAAATAATTTTCTTTTTTAGATTTTTTTTCATTTTCATTAATATTAAAAAACCGCGTTAACGGTAAAAAACCAAAGCCCGGTAAACCAAGGCAATATGATTTTATTTTAAAGAAAAAGAAAAGAAAAAAAATGAGGAAAAATCCTGCCCTTTTTATACCTTTTCCCCCACCCCCTCAAAAAAAATTTTTGGGTAATCACAAGACCCTTTCGTGACGGGGACTTTTTTGCTTCATGCAAAAATTATTTCATGTGATTCGCGCGTTTGCTGCGCAATGCCACTGTCTCGCGCGCGATACTAGTCCCTCAAACGTTACACAGCTCTATCTCTTTCCAATAAAATTCACTTTATTAAGAGCATGTAAACTCATGTTAAGGTCTTCTTGTAAACTATGTTCGCGTTTAAACGCTTTCTATGCTACTACATGTCCAACGAACGTATTGGAGGCCCTCGCAAAAATATTTTTGGCCGTCTTCCACAATGGCCTCAAAGGTCAATATATTCCATTCCTGCATGTCTAAATAAAATTAGAAAAGAATTTTCTAAAATAGTATTTAAATGGTAGTGGTATTCTACCTGTGTCAATAGAAATGTGTCTTGTATTTCTTGCTGTGTCTCTTGTAAATTAAGCGACCTAACCATTCGGGCTCTTTTGCCAATGTCTTACTCTCGTAATGAATCATTTGAGTAATAATCGTACAATGGGTGGCAGTCGCTTAAAGAATAAGCACACAATCTGAAAAGACGTAACTTATGTTCCATCGATACACTTGGTAATGCCCAACTTTAAACCCTTCACTTTATCAGTAACGATGTCTAGACTTGTGCGCTTCTTTAATTCCTTTTTGCATTTCGCCCATCTAAAATCACTGCGTCCTTTATCTACATTTTATCAGTATGGTGATCTATACTGTAGCATCGTTTTTGATTCTTGTCCTTGATTTTATGTGTGGTTACAGGCTTAGCTTACCTGAAACCGACTAGAGTAGAATTTAACTGAACATCATTCTTATCATATCAGAATATTTCAAAAGAATGTAAATCATGAATTTATTAATTTATTAATTTCTGAACTTATTAATTTTTACACAACTATCATCATATTATTAATATTAACAGTGTGAATAGTTGATTGAGCTTTTGGTTTCTCCGCTTGATGGACTCTTTATTCTTTTAATACTTATCGGTATTTATCAGTAACTCACACTAGTAGTATCTGTAGAATTTGCTCATTGTATCGTCATCGTCTATCGATTTGGTGGGTGGTGGTGTCATCACTTGTTTAGAACAGGGATCATGAGCCATTAATTCTGCTTATGATTTCCTTTGTTATTCGAAAACCTTGATCTTTACATTAAATAAAATAGGTGTATTCTATTTTTCTCGAAAGATATAATTTGAATGCACAAAAGGTACTGTTGCTGTTGTACATAAAAGTGCAGTACTTGCTCATTTACAACCCGAGTAAATTTCCACATTTTAGTGAATACGAGTAACCATCGCTCTATAGATGCAGATACTACCTCTTACAAAAAAAAAAAGCATCGATAATTTAGGCACATTCAACTTTTGACGTTATGGATATTCAAACATTTCCGATTTTTGCAAAGAAAAGGCACGATCTCCCTTTTTTGTTAGAACACATTTAACAATCGGAGAGGCAAACTTTAGAAAAGGCAATAAGCAGTAAAATCTTTAATAATCTAAAGAATGTGTTGCCCAAATCAATAAAATGAGTTAATTGGGCCCACAAATGCAGACGCATAAAGCTTATTTTACAGGCTAGACACACAGTGCTTTTTATCTCTTTAAATTTTTATTTTTTTGGGCAGTAATAAAAAAAAAAAAGGAATACCGTCTTGAATTGAGCCCAATTTCTTTTTACATTGAATAATATCTTATGATGAATACAATGAAATAAGAGACAGTACACTAGATACGATTATGTTTAAGCTTTTTTGTGCATTAATAAAAGCTGAAATCGACGTCACCCCAAAAAAAAAAATCAAAGACGAAAACAGAACAAACTTGATTGGCTAACCACCCAGGGATATCATATTTTTTTCAAACAAAAAAATAATAACGTTTTTTTTTTTTTTTTTTGCTTTTCATTCCATCACCATGTTTTCACCTGCTATTAAGAGAAGTGTAAAGATCAACTGTTTGAGCAGATATGTCAGAAAATGAAGATTTAACACGCTTTTTATGATATAGTTTGCCGTTGCCGCTGCTGGTACCGCTTGGGTTGCAACCGCACCTGTTGCCTTTGCCGAAGAAAAAGTACAAGAAAGAAAAGAAAAGAAAAAACTTGTTTTAAAACATGCGTCTTACATGAATATTTCTTTTTATTTATTTAGCTTAGCATTTACGACGAACCTGAGCCCAAGGTTGTTATTGTTGAGTCACCCACAAAGCTTGAAGAACAAGTTTATATTGCACAAAAATTAGCCAACGAAACTTTGGAAGAGGGAAAGGTACAGGGCAAATTGATATTATTAGAGGATTTTTTTTTTAAAAAAGAAAAAAAAAGAGCAGAAAGACTGACATATCATGTAGACTCATGTCAACGGTTGGGTCCAAAAAGTGCAACAATTAGAAAGTGATGTTACATGTAACTATGATTGACAAAAGCAAAAGAAGAAAAGAAGAGAGACACTTACTTTTTTTTTTTTTGTTTGTTTGTATTTTAGCCAACATCCAAAGCACCATTGATAAGGATGAAGAGATTTTCCCCAACCTTCTCTATGTTGGTGTTGCAGCTTTAGCTGGTACAATCATTGCACGTAACCGCAATGTTGTCCTTCGTTTCTTGACATCCAGTACTTTAGCCGTTGGTGCTTCATATTATTTACTTCCCAAGACCACCCATAATGTTGCTGTTCAACTTGAAAGAATCGAAAAGAAATATCCTCAACTTGTTTCTGTTCATGAGAGTGTCAACGAGACCGTATTCGGTGTTCGTAAGCAATTAGACGACGCCGTTTCACAAGTGCAAGGTGCTTATACTGAAAACACCCAGAAATTACGCCAACAAATCCAAGAAAACACTGACAAAGTTAAGAACCAAGTCAACAGTGCTGTTGGTTCCACAAGCACCGAGGCAAAGGATAAGTTCGACGAAGTAAAGAAGAATGTCGAGAGCATGTATTCAACAAGATCCAACGTGAGTTAAATCATCTAATTGATAGTTTATTTCTGTGATTTCTAATGCATTATCTTTTTTTTTATTATTTTGATAGCCTGGTGTTGAGGAGACCTTAAAGAAGAACTAAGCAACAAAAACAAAAAAAAAGTGTGTAGCTTTATAGATCAAATACTTGTTTTAAAAAAATAAAATAGCATATAAAAAAGAGAGTTGTATGACCTGACAATGATATTATCATAATGAAACGTTTCTATTTTACACCATTGCAATTTAAAAATTCAGGCAAATTCTTTATTTAGATGAAACATTTTACTCATCAATTAATGAGGATGGATTATTTAAGGTGGTGACCGACCAAATTTTTGTTACTGCTTCAACTGCATCAGGCGTGTTTCTAGTTTTTACCACAAGTGTTTTAGGGATGCTCTTAATCTATAGTGTGTTAGTTTTGTTGTGATAGATAAGTAGGAACAATGGACAAACCTGGTCATCTTTAGCACTTTTTGTAGTTGTATAATATAATCCCAGAATCAGATTTGTTAACAAGGCTTCTTTATTCTCCTCGTCTTGATCTACTACTGATGATGTATGGGGCCTCAAAACACCCATGTTCTTCTCAACCATCTAATTGTTTGACAAAACTTAATTTACAACATATAAAAATGACCCTTTTTGTATGTGTCACCTTTAATTTATCTGTCAAACTGTCATTAAACCCATTGTTTTGGCAAGTATCTTTGGATGTTTTAATTATTTTTTGTAATGACTGGGCTATTTGGGGTAGATGGGATATAACAGGTACAATCCTCTAAGGCATCATGATGAGTAGTAAGATTAATTATACTAATTTATTTTATACCTTCACAAATGCCCCAGAAAAGATAAGGGGATAATGACGAAATATTCTTTTGGTTAAGATGCCACTCAAGACTTCTTGGAAATAATTAGATATGGATTCTATTTTAAAATCATGATTCCAAGCTAATTGAAACATCACACTGTCCTTTGTTATCCAATCAAGATGAATGTGTAAACTCTTTAGGACACCGTGTGGTGCCTTCTTTTGTAGCAAGTACGAAAGTGGTGATGAGGCAAATGCCTTGTCAATCTTGTACTGAAATAAGTCACCTTTACAAAATGATTGTAGTTTGATAAAGTCAGTGCTTTCCATCAGCTTATTTAAAGAGATTTCGATCCATGAAGGATACTTTAAAGTATTCAAGCCATTTAAGGTACATGTGATGCGGATAGATAATACACTGTTTGGGTCTAATACAATGTCTAATTTGTTTAGATCAAATGGTTCATGTTGAAAAGATGACAACAACTCGTAAGACATGTATTGATGGCAAGTCGCTTGACAATAAAAGGATGATTCATACACGGTGTTATCTTTAAGCAAAATACCTTGTTTACTTTTATGCTCAGCAATAGTAATTGATGTTTGATCTACATGTTTGACTACTTTGGCTGCACTATTCATAGTAGGCATTGAACGAAGTGCCTGGTCTTTTTCCATAGTGTGTTTGACAGCACAGACTGAAGAATCAGGTAGTTCATCTTCAGACTGTGAATCACCATATGGATCTACATTCTCTGCTAAAGCTGTAATATCGTCTTGAGTCAAATCTAGTAGATAATCGGCACTGCTGCTCATGATTTGAAAGAGAGAGAAAAAATGTTGTTTGCATAAACTAGACTATACAAATAGAGAAAGAGAAAGAAAAAATGGCTATTCAGGGGGCCGGATCGGAACGTTTCGGTGGTGTAGTCCGGTATTTCCCTTTTTAAACCCGTGATAATTGGAAAGCTGTCTATTCCCATTGCAAAAAGGAACATGGACAGGGCCTTTGGGTGTGTGTCATGAAAATTCACATGATATTTTATTTATTATGGTTTTCTTTTTCTTTTTTTTTTTTTTCAGGTACACTCCAAAAAAAAAAAATTAAAAAAACTGGCCCCGTTTACATAAAGGTTAAGTAAGCAGTACCGACAGCGGTACCAGCAAGAACGGCATAAGCAGTGGTGTAGACTTGCTTGATGTCAAGCATTTTACCAGCATCCCAAACCTATACAAACAATCATCCACATATTAAAATCTCGGGTCATAGCTTCTTTTTTTTTTTTTTATGCATTGCTTACCAAATGTCTAACACCGTTAAGACTATGGAAAACAAAAGGGGCAGAAACAGTGGCCTTGGCAAGAACCTTCAATGCGACAGGAGCAGCAGCAGCGGAAGTGATGATACTGGCAGTGTCGATGGTGTAACCCAAAGCAGGAGCAGCGAGGTATGAAAGAGCACCAACATAGAAAGCTAAAATTCAATTAATATATTTTATATCCAAAGTAATTACAAAGAAAAAAGGGATCTTACCACCACCGAGAGCAGCACCGGTAATTCTGTGAAAAGCAGACAAGACAGCAGTGATTTGCTTCTTGTAAATAGTCAAATGAGGGGAAACAGGACGGAATTTACGTTGTTGACGCAAGATTTCGGATTCAGCAGCAGCACATTGTTCTTGAGCCTTGCGAGAAGCGTTGAAGTGTCTATAGTCAATTGTCAGGTTCATTTGTATATGATATAAAGGCAAGATAAATTACCTGACGCCGAATGCAGGAGTGGCAATGGTACTTCTAAGAACAGAGGGATCTATGCAATATAAATATCTTTAATGATATTTTTCTTTCTATTATTCTTGTCAACTATAATTACTTTGAGCAACTGTCTTCAAGATGGAACGTGTGGCCAGCATATTTTAAGAGTGGGGTGTGAAAAAAAATAAAGAGAGAAAAAGTGTGGAGAAACGAAACGAGCGGGGGGTTTTTTTTTTCCTGTTCCTTCCACAAATCTCCACAATAAGAACTTTCATGGGTGACATCACTTTTATTTCGGCTAAACCATATTCCGTCGGTTCACTGTTTTTTTCTACCTCAATTGTCTTGACTACGTACTATCACACTATACATAAACATGATGAGCGAAGAAACAGAGAATACAAACATAAAGATTGAACCCAATACTTCAGAAACACTAACAGCAACTGCTTTGGAAGTCGTGCAAGAAGATACTTCCAACGATCATCTCTCAGCTGAGCAACGCTCTCAAATGGTGAAATTCATTGCCTCACCAGTGCACTGTAAATTATTTGTGGAAAAGATCTCCATCAAAGGTGATTCAGAGTATAGAAAAGCAGAGATCATCTTGGCAAGAGAAACAAACAAGAAACCGTCTACACTGGAATACTATGTTCATTATGTAGAATTCAATAAACGTCTAGATGAATGGGTACCTTTTCAAAGACTGGATTTTAGTAGAGGTGTCGAGTTTCCTAAGCCCAACAATAAAAAGACAAAAAAAGGTGCTGCAGATACAACAAGCAGAGGCTCTACACCACAATCCAACATGATGAAAAAGAGGCTCGAGAGTGAAGTGAATTTACCTGGTGAGGAGATTATTGGAGAAGAAATCGTGCTGGGAGAAGAAGATGAAGAGGAAGAGGAAGAATTTGAAGAGGAAAAAGAACCGAGGACTGCAGAGGATGAGTTCTCTAAAGAAGAAGAGATAGAAAAATTAAGGACGTCAGGATCAATGACACAAAACCTAAGTGAAATTGCTAGAGTGAAAAATATGAATAGAATTCAAATGGGAGAGCATGAAATTGAAACATGGTATTTTTCACCTTACCCAAAAGAATACGCTTATTGCGATACACTATACATATGTGAATTTTGTCTGCTATATTATCAGTCACATAAACAACTAGAACGACATCGGACAAGGTGTCAATTACAACATCCACCAGGAAACGAAATTTATCGAAAAGACGATATTTCATTCTTTGAAATTGATGGTAGAAAACAAAAGACTTGGTGTAGAAACCTGTGTTTACTATCAAAATTATTTTTGGATCATAAAATGCTGTATTATGATGTTGATCCATTCTTATTTTACTGCATGACAAAGAGAGACGAATTGGGATGCCATTTGATTGGCTACTTCTCAAAAGAAAAGGAATCCGCTGACAATTATAACGTTGCTTGTATTTTAACACTACCTCAATATCAAAGACATGGTTACGGTAAATTATTAATCGCTTTCTCTTATGAACTTTCTAAAGTCGAAGGTAGAACTGGTTCTCCTGAAAAACCATTATCGGATTTGGGTCTCATGTCTTATCGTGCTTATTGGACCGATACAATCGTCGGTTTCTTACTATCAACAAACGAAGAAGTGACTATAGAAGAAATATCTCAAAAGACCGCTATTACCACTCAGGATATTTTACATACGCTCCAAAGTATCGGCGCATTAAAATATTATCGCGGTCAACATATCATCTGTCTTGGTGATAAAGTCGTTGAACAATGGGAAAAGATTCAACAAAAGAAGAAGCGTGTTATCTCTCCTGAGAAATTGGACTGGAGACCTATTCACTTTACTTCTTCCCAATTAAGATTTTTGTAACTTTCTTTATATATATAATAGTAATAATAATAATAATAATGGTGGTAATAAAATTAGCGAGGCTATTTCTTTTTTTTTTCTCCCATTTGCAAAAAGAATATAAAGTTCCAAATAAACGGTATCTCCCCTCGTTTATCTCTTTTCATATATATTTATATACATGGTTAAATTTATCTTATTATTAAGTGCACTTATCACAGCTGTTGTAGCTAAATGTAAGGTAGATTTCTGAAAAGAGTGATCACCCGAAATAACATTATTTTCATTAGTGACTTATCCTACGGATGGAACAGTTTGGAAAGTCGGAGAGCCGGTCTCTGTGGTAAAGATAGACTCTACTTTATTAATCTTTAATAAATACTCACATATATGTTAGACATTTGCACCCGGACAACCCGCAGAGACTGTCAACATGTACTTTAGTCATGATCGAAGTATTGTTATAGGCTCAGGACCAATTAGCGAAGGTGGATCTTTTGAATTTATTGTGCCTCCCAATGCAGTCAATCCCGCTGGCGGTCCTGCTGAACTTGTCGTTATACATCGTGTCGATCTTCATCTCTACTCTGTAGATACAATCGCTATCCAAATCGAAGGATAATATACTCTTAATAACAATAATAGCCGGAAATTTATTCGTCTCCCCCCTTTAATAAATAATAAACTAATGCATGATAAAATAGTATCACAAGCAATAAAACCAAATAGAAGAGATGCTTTTTTTCCCGTTTAGACGCAAATAACTTACAGCAACGTTTCCACACTAATCAGTATTTGAAAGGAGCTGGTTATGTAAAATGTCTAAATGAGTAACTATTTTGATTGGCCATATAATAAAAATTGATTATGCTGTATTCCCAAAAAAAAAAAAAAGTAGCTTGATTTATTTAAGTCGGATAGGTTTACAACTTCATGGCTTGTGGCTCGCTTGACGTAATAGAGACCGCTCTGTAACATGATTTAATTAAAACGCGTCTATATGTATTACATGTTGTCGCTTACTGTAACACGACTGAAAAGTCTTCTTCGACATCGTCGTCATCCCAATTGTCATCCCATAAATTATCATCGAGGTTTTCCTCGTCATTCTCTTCCCAATCTGAAAAAAAAGAAATAAACACTACCTTAAACCGTGTCCACATATATATTTTTTATATTTTTACCCTCAGCTACGAATTCTTCAAACTCGTCGTCTTCTTCCAAAGCACCGAGTTGTCCATTCTTTTTGGCAGGCTCTTCTTCAAGTGGTTTGTCTTGAATCTTGGGTGGTGTGACAGTGTTACTTGAACTCATCTCTGTAAATAAAAAATAGTTACGTAGAAAGGATAAGGTGAACGCAAAAAAAAAAAAAAAAACGCGTGTTGTGCATACGTACTTTTTTTTTTTTTTTACTCCACGTGACAAAATCTTAATGTTTTTTAATTCGCTGGTAGTTGTTCATATTTCATTGCTTACAGTACTCTAAGACCAGTCCTTAGCATGATTTGGTTTGCATGTGTGCATAATATTCTTATAATCCAATGCGCTTTATGTAAACCATTGATCGTGCCTATTTTATTTTTATAAATGGTATGCCTTCAAACACACAACATGTTTTTATTTCTAATGCTATTTAGATGTATTGAGAGCTGCTACTTAGTTTGTATATTCAATATGGAGTAACACTTGTCGTTCATAAATTACTCATTGTGCTAGGCTAGTGGATCATGAAAAAAAAAAGTCAAGTATAATACTTGTAGAAACTTATACAAGTGATATCTGCAGAATATATATATATACCATCTACAACAAATGGCACTAATGTATGGAATTTTACCAGGAGTTCTTGTTGGCCTTTGCGGGAGATTTATGGGATTGCGCTCTGTATAACAGCTGTTGGATTTACCCTTTGGATATTTCTTTAAAGAACCAGTATATTCGATTACAAAACAACATTTTAGTGCTTCTAAGATTATTATAACATCGCATAGCTGACTATAATATTCTTATTGTAAAATATAACTAAAGCTAATAGCGTTGCTGATAAAAGATAAATTACAGATGATAAAAACGCTCTTTATTATTCATACACGAAGGCTCTTTTGGGGGCATCAGACTTCTCGCATTATAAAACATTGTGTACCACGTTTTATAACAGTGTCCTTGAGCTGGAAGTAGATCTATCCGCATTTAAGTAGTCTAGGCCCAAACTATATGACTCTTCTTTCACACCCTCTATATTATTTCAGACCGAAGCAGAAAAACGTGCCAGCATATGAAAAATAAACTACAAACAGATCATTAAAATCAGATGACACGTTACGCAACGTACAAAACCCGAAAAAAAAAAAGGATTGTGTCATAGAGATTTACTGCTACACAATCAGCAGGAGAACAGATTTTTAAATTAATGCTACAAGTGACGCATCGTTATTGATCTGTGGATTTCGATCGTCCCTATACAACCGTTTCCTAAAAATTAAGTCAAAGGAAAACAGGCTGTAAATATAAACTACATACTATTTCTTTCTATAATTTCGTTACTATAGACACACAAAACGGATGAGGGTTAAGTTAATATTTAATAGTTACACCTACACTGTTCTTTTTAAAACTATTTTGGTGATATTCATTTTGATTCGTACTTTTTTTTTCTTGGTGCGGGTGTAGTGTATGTAAGAAATCTATATTTAAAAAAGCCAAGATCTGGTTTCTGCACAATTTTCAAACAAATAAAGAAAAGCTTAAAACAACTGGATAATTCTATATATCTGATATCATAATTGCCTTTTCGAATAACTACAATAGATTCTTGTCCAAAAAATGACGTTAAACAATGACGTTAGAAGCCACAAAAAAAAAAACTAAATACTGGTAACACACACAAAAGCTCAGCATTTATAGGAATCGCCAAGGAGCATGATTCATTTCAATCAGGTTAGACTCGTGTAACCATCTAAAAAAGTCTAGCTCATTTAGCGCCCGCTTGTGTCAAACCTATTTTTTATATAAAAGGTGCAATGTTGTCGTTTCATTTTTATATTTTTCTTTTTATCATCAATCTTAACAACTCTTCTCTTTACAACAACAACAACAACAACAACAACTAAAAAAAAAATTAAAATGTCATTTTTCGGACACTTAGCAACTTTCTTTACCTTTGCAGCACTTGTACTTCAAGTGTTCTCTATGATTGGTTCTACCCACAATTCTCCATTTTTACGTGATCTATACTTTGCCAAGGTTGACGTCGCAAGTCAATATGTGATCTTTGGTTTATGGGGTTACTGTACAGGAACAAGTTCCGGTGGTGTCCAAATGTGTAGCAAGCCTGTCCCTGGATTTGATTGGAGTAAGATCTCTGAGCTTAGCGAATATGTCGGTGGATTGCACAGCTTAGAAAAATTATTCCTCGCCAACTTCATTTTATACTGGATTGCATTAGGCTTCACTTTCATTGCTTTAATTGTTACCATCATGAGCCACTTCAGACGTGGTCCCGATCTCTTGGCCTCTATCATGACTTTCATTGCTTTTGTCGTTATGTTGGTAGTCTTTGTTATTGTACTCGTGATCTCTATTCGTGGTATTAACACTGCCAAGGGAGTCGATTCCAGTGTTCATGGTACTTTAGGCCCTGCCACTTGGATGACAATGGGTGCTTTCATCGCTTTATTATTCTCTTCTGTCAATTACTGTTTCGCATGTATTTGCGGTGGTGGCAGAAGAGTCAAATCCGAAAAGGTCTAAACAATAACAACCTTCCTTTTTTTTTTATATATTCCACACTATGTAGATAACATGTATACTATTTAAACTCCCATTACTTTTTGTAATTTACAACCACTACTAATACTATTATTATTATAACCCATTCACAACAATACTGTTGCTTACTTATCCTTACCCCTTCCCAAATTACTCTTTATACAAAATAAAATAATGTTCAAATTATATTAATATTTGCAGCTTAGTGGCGTTAGAGTTTATACCAAGACATATTTCATATAATACCTTTTTTGCAAGCCACATCCAGATCATGAGCTTCTGTTTGTTTTGCTTTATGTATTTTTTTAGACTTTTTTCTATAAATATATATCGAGTTTTAATCGGCGGTTTCTATGTTGTAACACGACAGACGCTTTTTTCCCGAATGTTCTCATCAAAAAAAAAGTGCCTATGTCTCTCCGAAACAAAAGCATAATGTAGGGCTCTTAATTTTCTGTATTATTTAACGCTGCAGTTTGAAATATAAGAGGTATAATAGTCGATACATGCTATTTCCTTGGGATTTGAGATTCTGCAACCTCCCTCGAACAATAAATTGTGGTATCAGTGCTTAGCTACAAGTTGAGCAATAGAAAATCTCACTTTATGAAAGCTTATTGATATAAAACAATAATTTTCCAGAGATTCAAGCAGTTACTGTACTAAATATACAGGGATCACAAATAATTGGTTTTGACGAAAAGCTGAGTAATGTAGGAATTTATATTTTGAATTTCGAGTAAGCAATTTGTACGTCTGTTTTCTATTTTCTAAATTATAAGTGCATTTACGTAAATTTGGAGCTTGATATCTGGTTACCTTTCATAGCGGATAATTTATCGATGAACATTTTGCACATGTATCTATCGCTATTACATACAAGTGTATTAGTGTTTTACACTTCTAAACAAATTGATGTTTGTTTAAAGCTGTCTTCAGCTATCCTTTTTATAAGTACCATGTCATTGCATCCTGACTTAAACAGGTTCTTGTTTATCTATCATTTTTTACTACTATTACAACCAGCTCTCACCCTTTTTATCTTTTTCTTTTCTCAAATATCTATTTAATAAAACACCAAGTTCCGTAAGAAGATCAGTGAGTAATTTATTTATTTTTTCTGAAGAAAGTATTAAGGCATGATAAAATCACATCTTTTTATACACAGAAACTTGCATTCTGATATTTGTGTGATTATTAGAGTGATCATCTACATACTTGTGTTTGACTATGCAAAGCACTCTCGTCCGTTCTACTTGTAAAGTCCGATCGTATGCTTTATGAAGACACCATCAATGTCTTTGACGACCACATGAATAACTTAATGATATGACATGTCAAGGCAGTTCCAGAAAAACACTTGTTGGCATATTATACCCCAGCCAAAATAAGCAAATATTGTGAAATCAAATCCTTTCGAAACTTCCTGCCCAGGAAGCACTATCATAGCTATAGCTTCTTACATGACAATCGGCACTAAAATTTTAATAACCACATTTTATATAAGTAAATTATGACTGCGTGCACTTGGGATGTTCCCAAGGAAAAATTAGTTATCCCCAAGAAAGGCGATTCAAATGTAGTGAAATACGGGCTATTACGCTTCAACAAACACACGTGTTTGAATGTCAGTTTACTACAAGAGCTCATCGTAAGATTATCCACAACAATGTCATGGCTAAAAAATGGCGTTGATCATGATCTCCAAAGCGACAGCACAGACCCGGGTGTGGATCTCCCTTGTGTGATGGCGCCTTTCTTCTAACTTTCTTGCCCATACAGTTGATGCTGTTAGTAAATTCAGCCAGGGCATCCTTGACCAGTCGATCTCTAATACTTTTTATTTCTACTGCAATATGCTGTCTCCGTATGAATCCTAACGTCATGCATGTTCTTAGCCTCTAGGATGAGCCTTTGATGCCTGATTCGATTTCAAAATAGAATTGAGTTTTCAATTCTAGCCCGCTTAATTTGTAATGGACTATTTATTTTGAAGTTCCGATCATGAGAGCACCTCTTGAGAGCATCTACTAATAAATTCGTAACAGTTGTAACCAATTAAGGAACAACAAGATCAAAAATTTGTAATATTTTTAGGTGATGAACAACAGAGTAATTAGCTTTACGTGAAAAAATTTGTTAGTTAAGAAAAAAAAAAAGGTCATCAATACTCGACTGGTTACATCTGTTGTCAAAATGAATGGTGTACTTTTTTTTTATTGTCTAATTAATGTATTTTTAGTATGAAATCCTTCCGACGCGTCATAAACTTAAAACCAGAATAGTGCTCATCAGTTTTAGACTGCAGTAACGTCCTTTAGCCGCATATTTCAACAACGATAAATTTGAGTTGAGACAGGGAATGACGGACTGAGAAATGAGGCCAAAAATGAACAGGGAAAACATGTGACATCAAATTACGGCTAAGAAAAAGAAAGACTAGTATGGATATTTTTATCTCAGTTATTTTAAAACAAGTCCGTTACGTGTTTTTAATGCATCAATCATATTATTTACGTATGACATATTTATGATTCAATACCCCACATTTTTTAATTGAACATTGAGTATTACAGGTCAATTGATATTAAATGAAACGATATTTTTAAATGGTAAAAAAGCAAATTTATTTACGAATTGAGGTTATTTACAGTTATGAGTAGAGAAATGCTAGTTAGTTGCACTTTTTTTTATCTACTTGTCTTCCTTGTCCTTCTTGTTAAGGTGTTCAATGGTTTCATTTTGCAAGTGTTCAACGGGCTTGTCGTGGTCCTTATCAGCCTTGACAGCAGCTTCACTGTGAGAGGCCAACTTTTCGTTCCATTCCTTGTCTTTCTTGCCTAAAGACTTGTTCTTCTCCTTTTCGAGGACGGATGGATCATTGTCAGACATGTGAGAGAATGCAGTCATTGTTCTTCTGGTAGTAGCTTGGAAGGTAGAGGCAATGGCAGTAGTGCGGTAGGCTTTGGTGATGGAGTACATTTTTGTGTTATTGGTTAAAGTAATACAAGATTAAAAAGATAAAATGTAAAAAAACTGACGAGGAAAATGCACTCTTTATATATGCAAACTTTTGCCTGATTATTTCCTTATTTGAAAGTCAAATATATGAATCATTCCAACGTCATAAACAAGTTTAGGCCTTGGGGGGAAGCACGATAACGTTCCGAAGATCTACTGCTCACTGTCAAACATTTTTTTTTTTTTAAAAGTGACGTATTTCCAGTTTTAAAAAACCGCGCTTTTTATTTTTTTTTAGATTCAGTCCTGGGTGGCCAACGAGAAATATTTTTATTTTTTTGCGGTAGCACCCCCTCCTTTTTATAACCTTTTACAAAAAAATAATTTATAAAAATGAAGTCTAGTACTATTGCTTTAATTGCCACAGGTGTAGTTGCTACCGCAGGCCTCGGTTACTTGGTATACTTTGATTCCAAGAGACGTAGCGATCCTTCTTTCAGAAAGCAGTTGAGTATGTCACCTCGACTATATAGCCCGAGTCACGCTTATTTACACATACTTACTTAGGACGTGAACGTAAAGAAGCTGCCAAGGCTTCAAAGGAGGCCGAAGAAAACTCCAAACAAACTAAATTGCAATTGATTGAAAATGTCATTGTTGCATGTAGCAAAGAAGCATTACCCTCTTCACCTGAACAGAAAGAAGCATACTTTATGGAACATGTTGCTGCTGGTGAAGGATTATGTGGACAAGGTAATTTAATGAAGCGAGTGAGTGAAGGCTGTCAATAGGCTAATTGATATGGATAATATAAAATAGGCCCTGCTTTCTACGATGAAGCTGTTTTGCCTTTCTATAAGGCACTCAAGGTTTATCCTGCTCCTATGGAACTACTTACAATTTACGAAAAGACAATCCCCGGACCTGTTTTCCAAACTATTGTTTCCATATTGTCCATCGAGGTAAGTTTATAAAAAAAAAAAAAAAAAAATCTTGGGCTTTAAACCACGATGCTAATACTGATTCTGGGATTTAGCAAAAGGCAATGGAGGGTCAAGTCAATGAAACCCCCGAAGCTGCTGCTGCTTCTGCCACTGGTGTCGATGTCGAAGTAGAGTAAATTTTAGAAGAAGAGAGGAGATAAATAGAATCTGCATGTTGTTTGTAAATAAAAAAATAACGCCTGTAAACAAAAACAAAAAAGTCTGTGTCACCATGGAAGCGTACATTGAAAGAAAGGGACCACCATAGATTTAATCTGATAATTCCTGTTTAAACCCTTTATTTTTCACTTTAATATGGCACACTTTGATAATCCAGTATCTATTGCAACAAACACATTATTAATACCTGATATACCTCTATGTTTCTTTGGATGTGATGATGCTATGCTTATGATTCATGACGCGTTCTCAGAATTTGGACCTTTATACACTTTTGTACAAATGAAGGGTTTCCGTAGACTGATGATTGTCTTCCAAGAAACAGAACATGCCGTAAAGGCAAAATCTTCTTTAGACAAACATTATATTATTTGGAAAGAAAGAAAGCCTTTCCCAGAGATTGTAACAATAACCAATGAAAAGGATGAAGAAACTTGGCAGGATTACGAAATCTTAGAATTACGAGTTTATTATGGACAGGTAGGACTCAACCACCCTACTTTACCTTATATACTGATTTCTTTTTTCTTTTAAGCATTTCTCCATTCATGTGGATCCAGCACTTAATTCACTTCAAGTTCCTCAGTTTGAACGAAATCTGTTGATCTCTCCGCCTGGTTCACCATTTGACGGTTGGGAACAGATTGCAGAAGACCCTCCTAATCAAGCTATCTTGGGCTCTGACCTTATCTGTGCAGCTGAAGTTTCCGATTATGAGCTTGACGAAGATGAAATAAAGTTAGATCATCGACCCGAGTTACCAGCCAAGAAACCATCTTCTAAATTTTCTATTGTATGTGCCCAAGGAACCGAGCACCCTGAGCATTTACCTTCTATTACTGTACAGGATTGGGACGGTCATATTACGGTGGAATTGGATGGTGAAGAAGAAGACTTGAAAGTGTTAAAGAGAAATCAAAAGAAAATGACTGCTGCAGATGTTGTACCAACAGCAATGCCACCACGACGCTCATAATCAGTGATGAAAAAAAAAAAAAAGAAGAAAAAAAAAATGTAAATATTTTATTTAAATAAATAGTAAATGGAAAAAAAAATTGTTACATGTTGGAAGAGATTGTAGAGAGTAGAAAGATTACATTGTAGTACTAGGGAATTTAATAGGGTTTTATGAAGGTCCTTGATCCTTTCGATACGAAGCAGGCAATAAATGGGCTCTTTTACCTACTTTTTTCATCAAAGTACCTTCAGCTTCTAATTCTTTCTTCAATAAGTCTTCACTTAATTGCCGTCTTTGATCTTCTTCCTGTTCTTTATCTTCTTGGCTCTGTTGCTTTTGTTGCTGTTGTTGTTGTTGCCAGTCTGGTCTTCTCATTCTCTGCCTGAATGTATCTGCGATTAATAATGCATCTGTTGATGTAAGCGGTGGCTCTGATCTACTTGAAATATTACTAAATGAGGCAGTTGACTGTGGTCTATTCTCACTATCTCCCAGCATGTAAACACTGTGGTCCTCCATCAAGGGTAAAGAAGGTACTGACATAAACCCAAATGATTGTTTATTGTTTGGTTGAACTGGCGTAGTTGGTGCTGTAAGACACTTTAGGGAACCTCTCTCTGTGTTGATGTTGGATGTACCGAGCAATCTAGTCGGTCCATTTCCGGCTGTTAGCAACGGAGATGACATGACAACTGCGTCAGAAGAAAAGTTACTATAATTATTATTGTTATGAATTGCCGATGGATTGGTGATTGAAACAGAAGAATTGTTTTGATAATGCAGTTTTTCCCTACTGCTACTGTCGACATGATTCATTGGAAACATGGAACTACTCGCTGTGCTTCTTAATTCTGTATTAGACATGTTAGAAAAACAAACAAACATGACTATATGGCATATAATAAGACGTACCGAGATGTCCCTTTTCTCCATATACCAACTTTCTTCTTCGACTGTGTCTCATGACCCAAAAAACAGCAATACATGCACCTACTACAGCTAAGCATGCTAGTACAATAGCTGCAATAATGCCGGGTTGAATAACTGTACGATCTTCCTTGTCATTATCTTTTGATGCGCTAGAAGGTGACGGAGTTTGTGAAGGTGGAGGAGTCGGAGGAGAGATCAATATTTGATTCGTGGGTGTAGGCATTATTGTGCTGCTGATGATACTAGAAATGTTGCTTGGTAACGCCGTTACAAGTGGAACTAGAGCGGCCTCTAAGAATAGCCACGTTAGTATACATCAGAATCAAAATTTTGTAAACAACATACGCGCTACTAGATTGTGTATCGGAGGAGGGTAATCAGAATACATATTGTTGAATTCTTTTTCAGGACTTAAACCTGTTGGTACGAGATAAACCAAACTGTCGTACGTTTTAGCTGATGTATCTAATCTCCAAGTATCATCAATCAAAACCGGAACACTTCCTTTTGAAGTTTTTATGCCAGTCAGTTGTTTTATGAGAACATTTTGATAGTTTTGTACAAAGTAAATATAGATATCCAACAGAGGCTATAGTACATAAATGAATTAGCGAATTTATGCATAAGAGATGTTAGGAAGTAAAAGAGTACTAACAGCTGAGGCATATGTTGGATATCTAGTAAGATCATAAATGATTTAGAATACGCAACGATATAGCTTAATACGGTAAACTTACAATGGGTTCCAAGTTATCGGATACCATGTTCCATTTTGCCAAACATCTCCTGCTTTTGGTGAACATATTGTGTCTGTGTTACCATTTAAACCACAAGAGGCTATATCAAAAATCACGTTTAGTAATTACACTCCTTATACATAAATGGAATCGATCGGCCAAATTTTATTTTTATATCTTTTATACCTGTTGGTGTATGTGTATGCTGTGCAGAACTTGTGATGATGCTGGGAGTTGAAGTTGTAGTTTGTTGACAATAGGTTGTTGTGATAGATGATAATAAGGTGATCCAGAATATAATGCGTTGATTTGCCATCATGCTGAGGTTGATTTATGTTCTCCTTTAAATAGTGGTATATATAAACTTGATTTTTTTTTAATACTGTTGTTGGTTTAAGAAAAAGGTTTTTATTATTGAATTATTATTATTTTTTCAAAAAAAAAAGTGTCAAAATAATAAATATTTATAGTGGCATTCACATAAAATACAAAAAGAAAAAAGAAACAGGAAAAAAGAAGAGGGAAAAAAAAAGAGGAAAAAAAAAGAAGCCTGTTGTATATACTTTTTTTTGAAGGACAACAACAAAAGGAGAGTTGAAGGGGTTGCTTGTTAAAGGGGAAAAGCGTTTAAAAAAGACGCGAGTTCAAAAAAAAAAGTTGCAAGAAACAGACTCAAAATATAAAAAAACCATATACGAGAAGAAAAGGGGAAAGCAAGAGTGAGAGAAGAAATGAGGGAGGAATAGGAAGGGGAAATGAAATAATAATGTACTTGGTTGGCTGGCTAAAGATACCTGTACTTGCCGCTCTACTCTGTAAATATAAATATGCGCAGCTTTGCTTCTTCGTGTCATGGGTGTCTTAGATAGGTCGCATACTATAATATCGTATTTTTCTTCTTTCAATACTTCACGAGTTGCATTGTTTAACAGCTTCCTATAGCACACATCGTTCAATAGAATGACTGACGGTAGCAAATATATACGATAGTGTAGAGCGCTAAAAAGGAGGCATAGGGGCTAATGTGTATTTATATATACACATACATATATACGAAAAAATATATAGAAGAAATCAAGGCTGAATAGGAATTTCATCTCGTGAGCTTTTTGTATGAATATCTCAAGATGCAGGATACACTTGTGTATGCTCACGTTATAGAATTGCCACCCGAATAAAGCATAATGTCACTTATTGATCCTGTATCACTGCTCATCTAATGCTACTAAATGTATGCAGAATAAGAAATTATTGTAGGAAGCGCCACGTCTACTAAAAAAATAAATATATATTTTTATAAATATTGACCTTAATGTCTTTCATTGATTTATATCAGTAAACAATAGTCTTTATTTGGACTGCATAATGATGTACTTATCCCCTCACTTTATTTTACATGTACATAAACAAAAAGTCTAGAATCCGTAGGTGACCCAATTAGAATGTATCATTTCAAATGTATTTATTAAGTATTATTATGAAGGTAAATAAAAAAGAAGTGAGCGTATGTAAGTAGTAGATGAATTTTGTTGTTTTTGTTGTTATATTTAGGCAGTCTTGGTGGGATTGTATTCTAATACAGTTCCAAAGCAATAATCCCAAATCTTTGAAGTGATACCATAACCTCCTTCATAATTCTTATAATGATGGGCCATATGATACTTCTTCATTTCTTTGAAATGAACCTTAAATACTCTAGCGTGATGGAGGTAATAATGTGTACAATCATACAAGATGTATCCAAAGAAGCCACCAGCAATTACCGCATGTGCCATCATTGGAGGAAATAAAATGTGTCCTAAAGTAACAAGAGGGTATGCAATGACAATACAAAGTGTAGGTGGCATAACCAATCTCAACCTAAGAATAATACATTAGTATATAAACATAGATATATCAACAATATACTTACTTGTCCATAGGCAAATAGTGATGGAAGCCGTGAATAACAAAATGTAAGACAAAGGCCAATTGTGTGTCGGGTAAATAATCATCCAAATGGAAAAAGAAGCGATGAAGAAGATATTCCAATAAAGACCAAATAAGTATACCAAGCACAAATGATAAACTCGAGCCCTTAATGTTTCCAAAAACAAGCGAGTTGTAAAGTTGATAGCCAGCATAAGGTAACCAAACTGTTGGGATGACATACCAAGCTGTCTTTGTTAAGGGTTCAAGTAAAGGGTGACCAAAGAAAATGGCAGGTGTAGACATATAACGAGGCTTATGTACTTGTTCCAGGTAGAATTCCTTTGTATATCTAGCACGAATGAGCTGAGGTACTAGCGCTTTACTAAGATCCAAGAACTGGTTCTTCTTGACATCTGTAGTTATATCTGTCTCGGTTGGGTGGAAGTCTTCTTTGCCAAATGTTTTGCTTTCTTCTTCCTCTTCGAGTAAAAGCATACGTTGTTCATGAAGTGTCAAGGGAGTCTTGCTTTTCTGTTTTGTTTCTTGTGGTTTTTCGACAATGGTTCCAATACAGTATTCAGATAAAATTTCATAGGCAGAATCAGAATGTTCATGTTCAAGCACATCCTTCATGACATTTGTAACATCTTTACCGGCGTAGTCAAAAATAAGATCTTCTCCGCCAGGATGATCTTGCATGAACTCAGTAACATCATATACTTTATCTTGATAGATTACCCAACAAGAGTCTTCGCTTGCATGCTTTGCCACTTGCTCTAAACTGTATTCTTTAATTGTCATTTGAAGCAAAAAAAAAAAGGCGGAATAAATAAAGAGAGAAGGGGGGGAGGGGGGAAAATTATTTTTTCTGCTCTCATCTCGGTGATACGCTGCCCAGCCCGCCCAATCAAATAAATTAAAAAAGTAACGGATGATTTTTGCTTTTTGCCGAGCTTTGATTAAACAAAGCCTATTAAAAATTGGTGGAGAAACAAATCACGGGTAAACTTCTTTATGATTAAGGCATCACCTTATCTGGAACATATGTTTGTCAAATACCCCTCAACTTGATGTAATATTTTAATAGAAAGCTAGGGCGAACTCAAGCGATTATTTTTTTATTGATTTTTTTCCAAGTCAGACTCATCGGCCGCTTTTCGTTTGGTTACATCCGAAAAAACCGTGTCTAGCAGAAGCGTGAGCATTAATGTCGATTGAAGCTGGCTTCCACCAAAAGTACCAAAGTTGAAACATATCACTATGAATGCAGTAAAGTTTATAAATTGATCTTACTTAGACCTCCACTATCCTAGTATCAAGCAACTTTAATGATTATCTATTCAAATGCGAGATGATGTAGACTATACGAAAAACTTCGAAATGGCTTTCACATCTCTATGCTACTACTACACTTAGTATATTTCACAGCATTTATGGTTTATTGGTATTCATCAAATGAAGATATTGAGAGAGTGAATTGATGACAAATTAGTATAGACCAATGAAAACTATATTGCCAGTCTACAAATGACTCTGGATCTTAAAGTTCAAATGCTAACCGTCATAAATAATGTTCCACTTCATTCTCCTGATGCGACTGACCCTATTATAAAAGGAAGAGGGTTGTATACCTGTCCAACTCCAACCGTACTCGCCCGAAATAAATTCTATTGAGATGTTTCAAGAAGTTTAAAAGATACAGTAGAAGAAGCAAACTAAGCGATGGCTGAAACTCTTCTGTTGTTCTTGAAGAAAGCGAAGATTTCTAAATTGAGCATTTTCAAAAGTCTATCCATCATAATGTAAATATACTTTCATTAAATGCTTTAATAAAAATTTATACAAAATACTTTGATGTTCTACCCAAAATTGGTCAACTTAAAGGAAAAGCGATGATCTTTAGTCACGAAAAGCTGGAGAAACTAACTTCATATTAGTCTTATTACTTTGAGCGGACTTTTCAAAAATCTAGTAGTTGAAACTAGTGGGTCCAAATGATATCACATCTTTTTTCTGAGTTACTTTAAAAGGTAACCTCACGTCCGACAAAATTATTTTTTTGTCAGTGCGGAGTAGTGACGGTTAAGCAGTTTTCCATCAAAGAAAAAAAAATAAAAAATGCAGGGTTTACCTTTTTTACATCGTTATTAATTTTTGTAAATATGGCTATTCAACCTAAGACCGCCGCATTGATTACTGCTGGTGTTGCAGTCTCAGCAGGTATTGGATACATGATCTATTTCGACCATAAGAGACGTAATGATCCTACTCTCAAGAGAAAAATTAGTAAGTACAAAAAGGGACCCCGGTTCTTTTAAGTGTGTATCACTGACAACACATACAGAGAAAGAGAAGAAGAAGGCCCAAAAGCAAGAGAAGAAGGTCGAAGAACAAGTTAAACAAACTGCGCTTCAAATCATTGAATCCGTTATGGCCGCTGCCGAAAAGGAGCCTATGCCAACCACTGCTGAAGCCAAGGAAAAGTATTTTATGGAACAAGTTGGTGCCGGTGAAAGCCTTTGCAACAGAGGTAAGTTACACTTTTTTATGGTTGGAATTGTTGATATTTATTGTGTTGTATAGGCGAGGCATTCTATAATGATGCTGTCTTACCTTTTTACTTGGCTTTGAGAGTTTATCCTGCCCCTATGGAATTGATCATGATTTACCAAAAGACTGTGCCCGAGCCCGTTTTCCAAATGATTATCAACATTATGGCACTTGATGTGAGTAAAAAGACAAAAGGAGAAAAAGTGAAGTCGCAGTGCTGATTATTTGTGTGTTCTGTAGCAACAAAAACGTCAAAACTTATTCTACGAAAAGTTCCCTCCTAAGGAAACTCATACCAGATTAGCTGAGTTACCCGCTGGTGTCAACGAAGAGGGTAGCCCTATTGTCCGCCGTTCTCTTGTTGCCGATAAGGATATTGCTGAAGGCGAAGTTATTTATTCTGAACGTCCTCTTGTATCTGCATTGTACCCTGAGTTAGAAGGATCTCATTGTAACTTCTGTTTGAAACTCCTCAATGCTGAAAACAAGGTTGAATGTCCTACTTGTGACTTGATTGCCTTCTGTAGTCAAGAATGTTTAGCAAGTGCCAATGAAGATTACCATAAATATCTTTGTTGTCATAACAAGTCTACTGAAGTCAAGGAAGCTGACGAAGCCGAGGAAAAGAACATTGCTTTAGAGTTCCACGAAACTTCCAAGGCCAAGAACACAAAGTATCCTTATATGATTGCTCGTTTCTTGTCTGCTATGGTTACCGAAGAGTTGTCTAAGCAACAATCAGAGGAAAAGATTGGTGAAACTACATTCGGTGCTTGGGATCATGTTGATAGATTTAGATATTTAGAGACCACTGCCAGTGCTGATTCTACCTCTGAAATTGCCATGTTAAAGCAAGTGCTTGGACCCAAAGTTCAAGGCATTAGCGAATTTTTGTCTGATGAGATCTATTTGATGCTCAAGGGTAAGATGCTTTTCAATGCTTATGGTATTCCTGCCGCATCAAATGACACTCTTGTTCGCGAGTCTGATGAACACGTCAGATCGACTGATAAGGATGCCAAGTACATCGGTGCTGGTCTTTACAAAATTTCTACTTATATTGGACAATCTGATGACGCTGCTAACGTTAAGTTGACTTTTGAAAACGATACTCTCACTGTTACTGCTATCAAGCCCATCAACAAGGACGATGAACTTCTTGCTTCTTATACATTACCTATCCCTAAAAAGAATTAATTCTCGTCTCTTTTTTATAATCCCTCATCTTTTATATTTTCTAAAATAAATTAAAATAGAACTTGTACAGTAAAAAACAAAGCGCCCGTATTGTTGATTGTCTACACTATTACTGCAGGACGTAATCAAGCTGTTCTTTGTTTACTTACATGGTTTTTTTTTTTCAGATATTTTAAAAAATTCCTCCCACTTAAAACAGTACAAATATCAAAACCAATTTATATATACAGGTTGCATTTGCTAAGTACAGAAGTAACCGAACTTGGTCGGTCGGATGAGTTTGATACGATTCACTCACTTAATTGTCCATGGGTACAGTTTCAATTTAGGAACAAAGACTTTAGCAAATTGCTGCAAGAGATAAAAAGAGTGATGTAGACCAATAAAATACCCAAGCCTAGGTTTTTAGTCTTAGCGATAAAAAAAAAAGTTTTGTACCTGTCATTTTGGTAATGTTTTGTAACCAGTGTCACAAATTATGTTAAACTTTAAATATGTTTGTTAGACTAATTTTATAAATAATCAAACCTGCAACCTTTTTTAAAATCTTGTTAACTTTTATATAATAATGCAAGCTATTACTTTACCAGCACCGTTAAAATGCTGTTATACTTGGATGAGGAGAACAGGATAAAACCTTAATAGGCAATAAAAAAACACGAATGAAGCCCAGCCCAAAGACAGACACAATTTGCCGGAGTGAAATAGGTGTCCGGCCCGGAGAAATAAAGAGTTGCATCTGCACTGGCAAAGCAAATTCTCTCCAGCATATTGACCAACAGCGGAAATGCAGTTAGTGAATCTTCCTCTTTTTCCACTAGTTAGGCAAGTATAACAAACCCAATATAAAAGATGATTTCAAGTAAAATAATCTTTGATGGATGGATGTATAGATACGATACAGTGAATAGATTCATCCATCATGAATAGATTGTTTAACTTGACTGAATCGATAATTTTTTGAAAAAAAAAGGAAATTCATATTAACGATTTTTTTTCTTTTAATTCCAACACTCCTTCACCAATCAACATTACTACAACTCTCAATTTTACAATGATTAGTTATGGGTCGTGTCATTCGTGCTCAAAGAAAGGGTGCCGGATCCATTTTCCGCTCCCACACCGTTGGCCGTAAGGGTGCCGCCAAGTTGAGAGTCTTCGATTTTGCTGAACGTCACGGTTATGTTCGTGGTATTGTCAAGGATATCATTCACGATCCTGGAAGAGGTGCTCCTCTTGCCAAGGTTGTCTTCCGTGACCCTTATAAGTACAAGCTCCGTACCGAAACCTTCATTGCCACCGAAGGTTTGTATACTGGTCAATTCATCTATGCCGGTAAGAAGGCTTCTTTGAACATTGGTAACGTTTTGCCCTTGGCCTCTATGCCCGAAGGTACCGTTATCTGTAACGTCGAAGAGAAGGTTGGTGATCGTGGATCCATTGCCCGTACCTCCGGTAACTACGCTACCGTTATTGGTCATGGTGATGATGGTAAGACCCGTATCCGTCTTCCCTCTGGTTCCAAGAAGGTCATTCCCTCTACCTCTCGTGCCGTTATTGGTATCATTGCTGGTGGTGGTCGTATCGATAAGCCCCTCTTGAAGGCTGGTCGTGCTTTCCACAAGTACAGAGTTAAGCGTAACTCTTGGCCCAAGACTCGTGGTGTTGCTATGAACCCCGTTGACCATCCCCATGGTGGTGGTAACCATCAACATATTGGTAAGGCTTCCACTATGGCTCGTGACTCTCCTGCTGGTCAAAAGGTTGGTTTGATTGCTGCTCGTCGTACTGGTCTCCTCCGTGGTACCAAGAAGATCAAGGATGCTTAAATCTCTTTGTACTATCTCCACAAAAAATAAAATTTACACTTGTTGCAACTTTTTATCTCAAATTAAAATAATTAACTAGCTTTTTAATATACTTTTTTTATTGTTATTCATGTATCTTTTATGCAATCTTAAAGTGTGAGCATCTTTCCGAAACGAAGACCTGCAACAGCCAATCCAACAATCTTTACAGTTTCGAAACCAATATAAGCACGATGTGATTTGGAGAAAGTAGGATCGTCAATAGCACGTGGTTGCTTTGCCTTTTTGTTCAAAGTAGGCAACAAGTAAGCAGCTTGGACAGCTGTTACTGCTGCAGGAATCAATACAGCTTTACACAAATAGCCATCGACAAAACCGTTGTTATCAATGATTCGCTTGCGCCATTCAAAGAACAAGTCTAAACTGAGAACACCAACAGCGATCTTTTTTAAGCAAGTTAATATCAAGATCCCCCGCACAGATAAATAAAAAAAAATACTTACCTCAATCTTGTTTAACCAATTGAAACGGTCTCTACTAACGTCTGACTTTTGCTGATCAGTCAGCTGAGGAGATTGTATAAAGAGAGGGGTTTCCAAAAAGCTTAAATTTAAGTTGGTTGCGAACCAATATGTATTGACAATAGCCAAATACAAAGTCAAGTCTCTAAGAGTAGATCTCTGCCAAAACTTTTTGTGTAAGATCACTTCAATAGCGACGGTAGGTACAAGTACTTTGACAGCAGCCAAAGGGTCTTCCAAGAAACGAGCACAGCAGTTTGAAAAACAAGTATTGGGCATTATATGAGAAAAACGATAACAAAAAACCTAAGGTAAAAGAAAAGATGTATGGAAAAGGTAATAAATACAATTGAGTAAATACCCCGTACATAACGGAAATATCTATCTCTGTTTGTTTCACTGACAAATTCCCGACAGATGCTTTAGATCTGCTAAAAAGAAACCCCCGGACTCATTTCATAGAAGTGACAACATCAATCAGCCATACACAGATGCTTTCTATTTTAAAAGTATAGATCAGTATTAGGATTATGTCAGTGTTGTTTGCAAAATAGTATTACATTCACATCAGTATAACCTTAAACTTGGCAGGCGCTGAATATATGTGCTTAGCTGATTAGTTGGAGAAGTACTTATTGCAACAGATATTTACCAGTACAAATGGTGGTTTTTTATTGTAATTGATATCAAGCGGTCCTGATTTTAAATGTCGAAGTACTGGACGAATAAATGTAATATTTTCTGTCGTACTTCTTTAAACAAAAATCGAAATAACTTTCTCTACAACATTATTGTAAATAATATAAACCGTTCTAGTGTTATTCATGCTATTATTTGTAAACAACACTTGTATGTTCCTGCGCCAAAATTATAGTGGTCTTATTCTTCGTTATCATGTAGCATAATCAAGAATGGGTCATTCTATCAACACCCAGCCTTTTCCATACTATGTTTGTTGTTGTATCAGTGGTTTTACAAAAAAAAAAAGCTTCAGTAAATCTCTAAATATCCAAAGTATTACACGTGTATATTTATACATGTTTACATAGTAGCAAGGAATCTCTACGTGTTGAGAAGACTTAAAATTTCAATGATCCACTTGACATACAATCACGGTTAATTATCTCGGGTTTACATAAAGTTGAACGATCCCTATTTCTTTATCAGTAACATAGAAGTATTAACGAGTAGCTGAATTTAGTATTGCGAGAAATCATTTTTTACGAGTACATTTTGTGACACATAGATTGACACGCCGCCGTTTAGCTTGGAAGGGAGAAGGAGCACAGGCAATTGTGCCTTTTTTTTTTAATAGTTGTTTTCGCAAAGTTCCACATGGTATTTCGTAAACTTGCCGAAAAGGCTAAAGCCTTCGACGCGTTCCCAAAAGTTGAAGATGATAACCAACAACGAAGTGAAAAGGGTGGCATCTTGACAGTTATAGTTGCAATTTGCTTATTCATGTTGACCATGAGCGAGTTCACCGAGTAAGTCGATTCTGTTTTATCTTATATGATGGGACTTACTTACACTCTATTGCAGCTATCGCAAATACCACACCAACTACAAATTCTTGGTGGATCATACAATCGATAACAAAATGCAAATAAATATCGATGTTACAGTAGCAATGCCATGTCCTTGTAAGTCGTCTATTATAGAAAGAGCTTCGAGATTGTTATAATAATTTCTTATATTTTTTTAGCATTGATGATTCATGTGGTTGATGCGACTGGACAGCGCAACAGACTCACTCAAGACCTTAAGCTTATTCCTGTTAGTGACACAAATGGTATTTGACTTTATATTTCTTTTACTGATTTATCATAGGCTCAATTCTCTGCTGGTACTGCAACCAAGTACAAGTAAGTCGCAACCATCCCAAACAATGACAGCTATCGATTGACACATTTTTTTTATAGACAAATTGAAGACCCCAAATATATTCACGAAATGATCCAAGCTGCCAGTGGTAAACCTTACGATCATGGTATTGCTAGTAAGTACGTTTTATATGGAAAGGGGCCGGATGATCTAACATTGTTATAGATGATATGGGTTCATGTAGAATTTATGGTTCTCTCAAAGTGAACAAGGTGGCTTCAAACCTTCATATTACATCTGACGGGCACGGATATGGTAATAAATCAAAATATCATTTGTAAAATTGGGGAGTGGTTTTTAATTAACTTTTGTAGCAAGCGTTGCCCACACAAGTCACGACAGTAGGTTAAAGGTGGATGCTTTAATTCTCAGGAAACTTATTTTTATTTATAGTTATGAATTTTACTCATCGTATTGATGAATTTTCATTTGGTAATTTCTATCCTGCTTTAGTCAATCCTTTAGATAACAGTATTGAGATTGCCCAAACAAGTAAGTTAGGGTTAAGAAAGGGGAAGGGGTAAATCCTAGATGTATGCGAGGGCACTAATTTGAACATAATCTTTAGATTTCGAAATCTTCCAATACACCATCTCCGTTGTAAGGGAACAAAAAGTCAATAAAAATTCATACTAACTGAAAATAATGTAGGTACCAACTTCATTGATCGATCGCTGGGGTAATTTTTTGGATACCAATCAGTACGCTGTTACCGATTCACACAAGGCCTTTAAAGAAGGCCAAACGATTCCGGGAATCTTTTTTAGATATGAAATTGAGCCTATTTCTGTTCAAATTACAGAATCTCGATCTCAATCATTCATGCATTTCTTGGTTAGATTATGCGGTATTTTGGGTGGATCTGTTGTTACTGCAGGTGCATTCTATAGATTATTCAATTTTGTTTGGACTGGTGGTAGAGAAGACCCTAAACTTTACACACCTACCCACAATATGATGAAAGGAGTATAGTAATAATAAAAATTACATCATCGAGGATGGTTGTACACACATCGAGATTAAAATGCAACGATTTGCATCCTGGCTTTTTTATTATTTTTCTTAAATTGTATATATTATATGACAAAGTTATACAGAAGGTGCAATTAAAACAGCATTTACTAGATCCATCGATTTGCCTTTTTGACGGATTCGGATTCTTTTTCATACAAGTTTATCAAATCAACCAGCCGATTAGCAAAATTGGACACTAAAACTGGATCTTCTCGATGAATGATGAATAGCAACTTGTATAATGATTTACTGTCCGATACAATCCTAACTTTACAAAGGAAACACGCTTTGCTGTTGTGCTGTCGTTGCTGATCTACAACAAATGAGCTTTTGTCGATTTCCCCAGACCACAAAATTTTTCCATCTGGAAACATGCATCCGTTCAATTTTCCCTGAAAATGCTGGGGTTTTTTTGGTTAGACTTTCATTGAATCCCCACATGTGTAAGAAAAGAAAGGACTTACATCGGATAATATATAATGCAACTTCCCTGCAGCAATAAATTCAGACTTTGCCATGCATTGTATTGCAAATTCTTGTCGGGTGATCTTTGGAGATTTCTTTTTTGGTTTTTTAAAAAACCCGTTTTTGAATATATTACATGTATGTTGTATATACTTTTTAACTTGTGTAAATTTGGATTCATAGGATACTACTTCTTGCCCAGACAGTGACATGAGTTGATTTTTTAGTCTATGATGTTCTAATTGGGGTCTATACTTTTGTGATAGCGGTGATAGGAGGGTTTCATGTGTCGTAGGGGTCCTTTTGGGACTAACCTTTTGGGGGGAGTAGATCTTTGCTGGGTATAACATAATCTGATCCATCAATGCAGATGTTGTATTATTTTGTGTAGGTTTTCTATTTGGTTGTATTTGGGGTTTGGGTATTTCAGAAGATGCGTAGCGCGTATATTTAATAAAAGATGTCCTTTTGGAAGGCACATCGTTTATTTGTATCTGAAGTCTCATACTGTCATCACATGCCGTAATAAGATTACTACATGGTGACTCTGGTGATGGCAAAAATGTTTCGGTATCACAAATACTATCTTTAGAGTTTTTTCCAATGGAATCTGTCGATCTTTCCATCGTCCTATTTAGTCGCTGTTGCAAAAGCTGATAGGTGAGCTTCTGGAGGTTTGGGCTAATATAATAGGATTAGGGTATTTGTGAAGCATTACACGAAGGCTAATAAAAAAATGGCATACTTTTTTTCCATTAGAAAGGAAACAATTTGATCATTCGTCAGGTCCCGCCACAGTACTTTTAAAGTTTTTTGAGTAGGACCATGAAGATCAGCTGAGCGTAATATCAGTGGGTGTTTAAGCTGATCATCATGCCAAGGATTCGATTGTATGGAGAGTGAGTGGATGGATACCATTGTAGTGGCTGTTGTTGTAGCTGACAAGGAAGAAACGATCCATGGATGCGATAAGATATCATTAAACTAAATATATATTAGCAAGTTCTTTATCAGTAACAAATATTTATGTATACGATACACATAACATACATACACTTATGCGTTGATTTGGGTCAATCACTAATATTCTATAAATAAGATCTTTTGCTGAGGAGGACACCCAGTCTGGAATCTTTTTGAAACGTCCCGTTTTTATTTTTGCTAGTAATTTTCCAACGTGATTGTCATCAAATGGTAGTTTTCCGGTTAACAAGGTATATAAAATGATGCCAGCAGACCATACATCTGCAGAAGGGCCATAATATGGAATTCCCTAATAAAGTATACTTGTCAATATTCTAATAAAGATGATTATTATGTATATTTGTTGCTTATTACTCTTATAATCTCTGGAGAGACATAATGAGGGGAACTATATTGGACATGTAAGTATGTAATTGTGATATCATTTAAATAATACAAAATTTACCCACAGCTCGTTTTTAATAATGCATTAGAAGATTGCATCGTTGCCATACCAAAATCTGCTATTTTGATATTTCTTGCTTCTTTATCCATTAGAATGTTTTCAGGTTTTAAATCTCGATGACTATTATTATTTTTTTTGATAACAAAGAATTGTTTAAAAGAACTAAAATATTATTTTAAAGTTAAATGTAAATAAATAGACATACCATATGTTTCTAGCATGACACCATGATAAAGCACTTGCTATTTGTACAAATATATTTTTTGCTTCGTTTTCAGATAGTTTTCCTTTTTCGTTAAGGTAATAAAATAATTCACCACCTGGTATATATTCTGTGACGAAATAAACGTTATGTTCATCCTGTAGTACTTGATGTAAATCAATCAGATTTGGATGATGTAATAATTGTAATACCGCTAATTCTCGTTCCACTGCTTGTGTCGTTTTCATGGAAGAATTGAGTTGACTTCGTGGAATGATCTTGATGGCTACCTTTTGCCCACTTTTATGATGTATACCAAGTTTAACACGACCTGTACAAATTATTTTATTAATTTATCAATTTTATCATAATGAAATTTCGATTTCATACCTGATGATCCATGACCTATTGTAGATGAAATGAAAAAGTCTCCAATTTGCTTCATTTATAAGCAATTATTTATTTGTTTTGAAAAAGAATGAAAAGGAAGAAAGAAAAGAGAAAAAATTAAAAAAAAAAAAAGGTGTAGAAATGTGTATCACTTAAAGGATGATCACCAACTGCCTTCACCTATTAAGTCACATGTCCTAATTATTTCAAAATCACCACGAATCATCTCATTGTTCTTTCAAATACATTATTCTGTCTCTAACCCCTTCCAAGTAGGAGTTCATTGATTTTTATACGTTTTTAATTTTAAACAATACTATGATCAATACAGGAGTTAATCCTTCTTTCTTAGTGGTTTCTTCTTTCTTGATTTGATGGCTGAATCGCCTAATTTACGCTTTTTAAATGTCACTGCTTGCTTTTCATCGTCTCCTTCAATTGGTATATCCAATTCCTTTTCTTTAATTTTAAAGCTATGTAAATCTTCCTCATCCTCATCGTCGTCTTGGAACTGTGCTGCCTGATCATGTGTAGCACTCTCTTTATTATCCTTATGTATCTCGTTGCTTGTTTCTATTGCCACGGGTTTCGGTACAGCTACTGTTTCCCACTCACCTACTTTAGCAATCTGTGTATTGACCGCCCACTCTTCACGTCCTTCCGCTGCTTTTGCCTGCTGCTGTTCAGCCTTTGCCTGTTCACGCAGCTCCTCTATAGTGGGTACTGTAGGATCCACATGATAATCATAGCTTTTTTTGATTGGGGTAGATTTGGGCACATAGCTTTGGCCCATTGATTTCATTGCTGCCTATTATCTTTGTTTAATTTGCAGTCCTTTCTATTCTCTCTTTAACGCAAACTTACTCTTTCGATACGTTCAAGTTCTTGCTGTACATTTGCCTTGTCTTCAATATCCTGTCTTCCTTTTTGGTAAACGCCGCGTAAAAATCTTTCGACTTCGTCCTTGTGGGATCTACCATTTTCATGAAGTGCAATGGACTAATGTGTAAATGTTTTAGTAATGACTCTTGTCTGTTTATAAGATCAGACAACTCACGGGCTTGTTATTAGCAACATACTTTTTACAGTATTTACACCAATGGCGCTGTTGAGAAACCCAGTAGTCAGACCTAGTATTTTTTTTGTCAGCTCAAAGTTTGAATGTTACATGATTAGACTTACATTAAGTATGAATTAAAAAAAAAAAAAAAAAAAGGACTGGGGATTTTTTGCAAGCCAATTGGGGAAAGCATGAATTCACTTTCAGCTCATTTGTTTCTTTGGGTTGTACGCGTCATAATCCAGGGCGTCTCACAAAAACAAACACAAAGGTTAGGCTAAAAAAAGATACAACATCACTGCAGGGATAGACATTAAAGTGGTACGTTTTCAATGTGCATGCTGAACCAAAGCGTTGGATTTTTTTTTTTTTGGACTGTGAACTCGGCGTAGCCGGCAGTGCACGAGTAAGAAAAAAAAAAAAAAAAAAAAACTCGGGCAATATCTATAAAATGGAAATGCAACATTCAAACTGGCTATATATAGAGTGATTGGCAGCGATCACAACAAAGAAGGTTAAGCCAAAGAAGGAATGTTTCACGTTTCCACTTTGACATGAATATGTAAAAAAAAAAAACAAGAAAAAGAAGAGTTTATTACAAGAAGAAGTGAGTATATTGTCTACTTTCAACATGAACTTCCATATCAGTTAATTTATATTCATTCAATTCTTGCTTGATTTTCATTGCCATAATATGAGTTAATTTTTGACAAGTGGAGTTAGTATCACAGCGACGATCGTAATCAGCGGGCGCAAAAGTTTCATGAACTTGAATGGTACTGCAAAATTGAATTCTTCTTGTTTCGATACCAAGTGTACTCGTTGAAGAAGAAGCGGGTTTTAATTTGGGAGAGCCATGTAATCCTAAGCCGTAGTGGAAACCTACAAGCGTCGATGGTTTTTTATTATTGATGTAGTCTTCATCAATTGTCTTGACTTTAGAAGAAGAGGATGTAGAAGGCGTTGGCGATGGTAATCCTGTTTCTGGTAAATGAATAAAATTTCTTTGCTGTTGAGGAGGGGGTAATCTACTAAATGAAGAACGTGATGATATGACCGAATTGGGTGAATCAGGAGTGACACTGTTACTACTACTACTGTTATTTGAAGCAGAACGAACTATTATACACATATACTAATTTAGTCTCTGCATATTATTTATCATCATGATGCAATGTTTACCTTTCAATCCACCTTTTTTTACATCGACTCGCAATTCAGGTCTTTTTTTATTTTCTTCTTTTACAAGTTGACGTAAATCACCAGAGGAATGACGTCTCGTATTGCTTTCCTTAGTCATCTTTTTTGCTGCAGCTGGTGCTGACACTGGTGCCTGTGCTTGTGCCTGCACTGGTGGTGATGGTGTATTGACACTAGCAGTCTCACCCTTTTGGAACAGACTTGAAAGAGAAGCAATAGATCGACGTCTAAACGATAATTGTTTTGGTGCGGATTCGGTAACGGTAGAAGAAAGCGATGTAATAGAGCCGTTTCTTTCATTCAGAGTACCAAGATTACTTGTAGGAGGTTGGTTCTTTAAGTTGTTCATACTGAATACTTTGCGAAGTTTTTTTGTTAATGATAATTTGGTATTCATTGACATGTCTGATTGAATAGACATGGCAGACGTAGTGGAGGCTATGGAGGGTCTTCTTTCACTATTTAAAGTGATTACACTGCGCCGTCTACCATCAATGGATGATGCTTGTGATGATGGAGATGGTGGTGGAGGTTTTCTGGTTCGGTTATTATTGATGATTGGTGTGGATGTGGATTTTTGTACTTGGATTTGGGAGCTTGAACTTGAGGTGTTACTCGAAACTCTTGTACGTGGTCGATTCAGCTTCTTTTGTTGTTGATAATACTGAGCTGCATTATTATACTGCCCTTGTGCTTGTTGTTGTTGTTGTTGTTGTTGTTGTTGTTGAGGCTACACATAATAAACACGTTTTTTTAGTTTAGTATAAATTGGGAGGTGAAATAATATAAAATTTACTGCTATTAACCAATTAAATATATAAAAAAAAGTGCATAAAATGTTTAAAAATAACCTCATAACCAAAAATAGTATTGTTGTACGACTATGGTTGAATAAGGCGCGAAAAATGGCGGAGTGGGGGATGGGAGAAGAAGAGGGGCATTTAATAAAAAAGGGAGTGGTTTATTTTACCTGGTGATGTTGATCAAATCTTAGCGAGCTAGATAAATAGGTTGCTAACGCAACATCTTCATCGTCGGTTGGTTGTTGCTGTAATAAGACTGGGTTGTGTTGAATTGTAGTGGCCATAGTGATTAAAGTTTTTTTTTTTTTGAGTTTTTTTTTGTGGGATGTATTATAAGAAAAAGATAGAAAAAGGATTTACAAAAGGAAAGTAGGAATTAGGAAAGAGAAAGAGAAGAATAAAAGGTTGTTTGTTATTGGTGATTTATATGTGCGTATGTATTTACAAAAGATTGTAGCAGGTATATTATTCCTTTCGCATCAAGAGATAAAAAAGAAAAGAAAAAAAAAAAAAAAAGGAAAAAAGAAGGGAAGGGCCAAATAAAAAAAAAAGTAATAAATATAATCATTTTCTTTAGGGTTGTACAAACTATACTCCGCTTGAAACCAATAAATTACTCTATTTATTAACAATTGTTAACAAACATTATGATTTAGGAAGTGACAATACAAGACCACATTTCATCTACCGCCTTGTTTAGTGAGGAATGCATCTCGGCACCTTTACTTGACCTTATTACTGACATATATAAAAAAGGGCCTCATGTTAGATACTGATTAAAAAATGGTTGGCTCGCGTTCATTTATAAAAGCGCGTTTTTACGTACATATACATAATCGAATGAGGTGTGACACACAGACTAGGAAAAAATAAATCACATGTTTTTATTTCATGGTAAGAAAGAAAATTTGCATATTAAAATAATATTTGAAGGGCAAAGAACCCCAAAAAGGGAGAGGGGAGAAAATTAGAATAATCTGTAATTTTATTGCACCCACGTGGTTTTTTCGCTTTTGGATGTATTTATACTTTTTTCTGCAAATTTGGATATTTTGTATATTTTAAAAAACATGAGCTGAATGTGACAGAAAATAAATAATTATTTAATGATCAAAATCCCTTCCATCTTTTTTATTAGGCCAGTATCACATTAATTATTTCTTTTGCACTGTCTGTGTAACTCTAGCGCATTGAGAATAATTAACATTGATTAATTTTACTAACCTACGTATCATAAGTCTCATAATATATATATATATAAAACACTCCTATCAAATAAGGAGCGTACACTCTTAGACCCGTTTCATTCTATAGTCACCTTCTCAGTTCCGAACACTATAAATACACCAATTTGCCTGGCGTGATGTCAGAATCTATGGACAGAACAATCAAAACATAAAGGGTTCTTTATTAAAATTACTTTATACATTTCGAGTCTCCAATTAAAAGAAGATTCTATCAAACAAGCAATTATCAAATATCGCGCCCTTTTTTTTTATTTCATTTTATAGTTTATTGCAATTACTCAAGACTCATAGTAGTCATCACCAATTGATCTTACCACGACAGATGCATGTACTCCAGACTGTTCATTTAAGGCTGTATTACGAATGAAGCATACAAATAGATAAGAAGTGATACTATTTTACTGACTCCTTTGTCTAAATCTCGTTTACATTCTGTTAACAGAGAGGAACGAAATACCTGGGGATATTTAAAATAGAGAGCAGCATTGATATATATCTGACAGCCTTGCTTTTTTTGGAAATAGATTTTAAAAATACGACACTGAGATTCTATTATGCTGATTCCTCAAACACGATCTTGGATCCTACCTCTTTTAAGTGTTCTTACAACCAACCATTATTAATCATATGTATAAAAGCATGATGTCTCTATACATGCATTTACAGGTTCCTCAGATGGTGTAGCCCTTATCTACATAATCGTCTTTTTATATTAATATTGATCGGTGTGTGCTAATTTCTTGTAAAAAGTGGGTCTAAACGAAACGTTAAATCTAGTGTCGTGCCAATTCAACGCCTTAATTTCATTATTTAATTATTCAAGTCTCAGCTTGCAGTGGGTTCCTAATACACTCGGGAAACACCTTTTAGTGAGATGATTAGCATAAGTTTGTATAAAATTGACAGATTTAATATCCAAGCCATGCTGAGTTAAAAGATATAAGTTGAGCGTTCTTTTAAATGTTCAGTTTTCGTATATCAAGTGTATTGTCTTCTTTTACTCAATTAAACCATGTTTGTGTTTTATTTTTATAGCTATTGTATCTTTTTTTTTTCGAAAGAGTACTACATACTCAAAGTCAGACTGACTAAAAAGTGACAATGATCGTCTCATGATATTACTTCTTCTGATTCCAAAAGATGCACGATGATGAAGCCATTGAGAGAGAAAAAAAACTTGTGATCTTTTTGCTTGCAGTTTTAGCTTTTTATTTCATCTAGATATTTTGTAATGGTGATATCAAAAGTCATCATGCAGCATATCTTTTTTTTTTTCATATATAAAAAGTAAAGGGGCCATACAACTGAAGAAGATATCTAAATTTTATGAGGTAAAAAAAAAAAATTTGTGAGCGCAAATTATGTATTGCCATATATGCTTGTGCAGATAACAAACATGCTGGCTGACCCGACATGAACTGTATTAAGAATTATTAGGCATATTGTAGATTTTAATAAGATTTATAATCGACGACGGAGGGCCAAACTTATTGTTTCGAAATAGAACACGTGTATCCAGTCTCTTTTAAACAAGGGGATTTCTTTTTTCTTATTTGCGTATATTTATCGTACGGTATATTGTAGATTTACAATGGCGTGTCTTTCTTTTAGGACGCCACATTGTGACAAACGTCAATGGGGGAGACAGATGACAGCACAAGAGAGAATAAATAAATAAAAACGAGGTAGAAAGTCATAATTGAATGATAACCAGCAAACCGGTATTGCACGATTTTTCGCTAAGCTGTATTTTTACCCGTGGCCATTCGAATTATACGGGCCGAAAAATGATTGACATGCAATAATCCTAAATGAACGAAATGTGATCCTCTCCCCCCCCCCCTTTTCCTTGAGTACAACCCCAGCTTTTATATAGATATATAGTTTAACAAATGTCTGTTCATCCCCCAAATGCAGGCTATAAATAATCTAGGTATCACGTTTTTTATTTATGATTTAAAAGCGTAAGGTGGAGGAGGGGGTAATAAAGTAGAGTCCGAACTTTCACTCGAGTGTGATGATTCTGCACTGTTTTGTCGCATCATCATTCTATCTTTGCCGATATACTTGGAGCTCTTCTTCTTATAATCTACATAACAGGGACAGATGAAGAATCCGGTTCTCTTCTTTGACAACTCATCGGTATCATGATCATCTACTGTTGTATCTGACATGGATTCTTGATACGTGGGCAATGTCGTATAGTCTTCCTTTAGGCGACAATCTAGAATTGTGATTGGTGTTTCCAAGTGAATATTCGTCCTCTCGATCGTCTTTACAACGTCATTGGTGCAAGTACCATTAGGGGATGGTGGTCTTATCCCTGTCGAAGGTACGCTAAGTTCAATATCGATTTTCAAATTGTGAGAGAAACTCATTTCTTTAAAGTAGGTTGTATGGTTGAGCGACAAACAATTTGGCAACGTAAAGATGAATCTGTATTGAAAGGGTGTGACACCGAGTGGAACAGCTGCATTTTTTGCGGTGATTGCTCTACGTAATTGATGTGCTGGTATATCTGACGTAGGAATCATGGCTTCCTTCATGTGTTCCGAATCAGCTACGTCAATGATGGAACTAAGTTGTAACTTATAATCGTATAATTCAACTCTCCGTGCGTTGTATTCGGGTACATAATATAATCTTTTTTCAGTAAGCACAATGTTGATGGATTCTAATTGAACATTCTTTAACTGAGTTGATAAATTAATGGAAATAGGAAATTGAGTGCCAGAGGAAACGATAGACTTTTCAATATGAATGGTTGCATCACAAGCGTCTGTTTTTCTTTCAGCCAAGATAGAGGTGGTAGGTAATGCATAAGAAGCCAATGAAGCATCAGAAGGAGCTAAAGTGCGCAACAACAGGATATTTCGTCTCGATCTTAAATTAGGAGTACTAATACCGGGACGTTGTACGGTAGCAGCAATATAATAATAGACTTGGGCCATTTCATCTTCAATGGTTTCCACCAACTTATTAGGAATTAAGAATTCAAACGGCCAACGATTTAAACCGGCAGGCAAGATTTGGTTTTCCTTCATTGTCAAAATTAGGTTTTGGTCCAGGATTGTTTTTTCATTGTAAATTTTTGTACCACGTTGACCTAGACCGTCCGGCCATAGCATGTTTGATTTACCCACAAGTTGGACAAGCACTTGACAGGTTGCCATGGGTCGGGATAGCAACAGTTCCACTTCACCTCGAAGCACATGTGTAGTCGGATCGGATGGTAGTCCTCTTAGTAAAACAACGGGTTCCGCTAATTCAATCGACAGTTGTTTGCTTCCGGTAAAAAATGGTACAGCGATAGGCATATTTTACATATATGAGAGAAAAAAAATTTTTTTTTTTAACTAAAAAAAAAAAAAAAAGGGAAAGGGAAAAAGAGGAACAAAAGAATTATATATTCCAATTTTTATACACCCAGTAATTCATGTCCAGTCGTTTCAAGTCGGGATATATTCTGAATAACTGTCAAATGCTACTTGAAAACCCGGCACATCTTTTATGGCAACCACATCTAGATTTTTTTTTTAACTTTTTCGATCTCAACCTAGAAGGTCTAAATGGTATATATTTTATCACGGACATTTTATTATAGTGTCATGTCTATCTGATACAGTCGTCTTCTTTTTCTGATTAAATGCTCATATCAAGAAACATTACCTATATGCTTAATTCTTCAAGACAATTACAGACTTGAATCTTATACTGTGTACTACTCGTCCGTTTTTTTTTTAAAAAAATAAAAAACAAATACCGGCTTGTGTAATGAGGTACATACAACAAATATCGTGTCTTTATTTTTTTTTTAAAAAAAAAAAAATACCTGATATACCCCGTCAATCAATGCTTATTCCGAGTACCTGGCTTTTAGATTAAATGACCCGTGGGAATTATTGTTAACGTTCATTCAATTTTGTACCTCATCCATCAAAAATGAAATACACAGTCTTTTGATGTTGACATTTCATCAAAAAATAGAAAATCGCCATTTTTTTTTTTTTTTTTTTTTTGCCTGAGCTTGATTCCTAAAGGCGGTATTATGAGTCAAAGGCGGTATTATGACGAAATTTTGAAGTTCCCTCATGTTATGTCGGTGTACTTCCAAAAAAACAATGTATCGATTAAGCAATCTTGCTTTAAACTTTGTTATAAATATATAAAAAACTGTTGGGGATAAAAAAAAAATTTAACATCAGTTGCTTAATTTCTAAATTTATCACTCATTCTCGAATGAGGGAAGAAGCTTTTCATTTTAAAGCAAGTAGTGTCTAGGCACATATAGGTCAATGTATACTCACATTGTTATACTACAGTGCGGTCATCGCGTTTGGAAGGCAAATTCATTCTTATACAAAAGACAGGGCGGGGCGTTGTATACCGTTTGTACTCTCTTTAATCCATTAGGGCTTATTCGGGAGTTAACATATTTAAATTACACGGATTGTGCGATATATAGTAACGGAGCCTAGCTTCCTGCTCGCATTAGTTAGCGGGGCCAACGGGCTAATCCGAAATAATACGATCATCTGGATAAAATATAGCCAAGGATAAACAGTTGATTTGTATTCGAATAATCACCATGAGGTCAAAATATGTGAATAGTAGATACCGGGTAACTCCATATCACGAGGAATTTAACTTTGGATGCTTTTTCAGTGTGTTTTAATAAACTTAATGTGTTGTGTACACACATGCAGGTGAATATCCTAAATTTATCATTGAAACAACGCCCCTCTTTCCATTTTACAGTCAGTCTGAACAAACACCAAGAAGAGGGCTAAACAGCTCGCACAGAGTTCAAGCAATACAGTTAAAACGAATGTAAGCTCCTTCAAGTTTTCTGTTTGTCAGGAGGTCCACCAACAAAGTTTTGTCTTGGTTAACTAGTTTGGCATGGAAGAAACAATCAAGTCGCCATTGGCAAAACACAATATACCTGAACCAGCACCTGCTGCTTTGATTTCGTACTGATTCTTTTTTTTCAATGTTGCAATCATGATCTTGACAACATTGTCCCACACAAAGAATACTTTATACATTAACGGCACACGTCGATTAGATGCGGCAGTATGACTTAAATGAGCCATGTTATTTTACCAAGATGCTTATAATTATTACGATGTTAGAAAAGTGTTTCGCTTACAGCATTGGGAATTATTTCAAGAGAAGAAAAATGACAGCTGCGTCCCAGGGCGGAATAGGCCTTGTATTAATTGTACGCAATAGTTGCAGATAACCCGTCACTTAAATCCGTTACTTATAGGAAAAATTGATAGTCTTAGGTGGTGATTCCCGCCAGGTTTTACCTATTATTCTACGTGGATTCAAAAGTGATATTATCATTCAGTGCTCGGAGCTATCTTCACTCTCAAGTAGAAACATTAAAGTTAAAACATAATATGCGTGCCATACAGGCTGATGATCCTAATATTGCTAAACAATTGCAACAATATGCTGGCTACTTGGTTGAGCATTTGTCATGACTACCAACAAGTCGCAATGACAGGCGCTTGAAAAAGTCGGCCTGTGTCTTTCGTCTCTACAATTATACGTTGCGCTGTCCAGGGTCAGAAGGGAAACGTATTTTTTTCAAACGTCTTTTTTTTTGAATCACGAGACGGCCTAACTACACATAAGACAAGAAAAATTGTTACGTCAATTGACATGCCATATTATCTTAACTTCATGGGAAGATGAACTTTTGTTTTTCATAAAATATGCTTCACTATCAATGCATGCTACTACTGACAAGTACCGACTTGCTTAAGGTATTTGCAAATGCTTCTATTTTAAGTAAAGGCCATTATAATCCAATCATTCTGACATAAGCGCTTATTTATCAGTCCAAAAATAACGCCCACTCAGTGACACTTTTAAATTTGGATAAATTACAGTGTTTAAGAATAAAATATAAAAATTAATCTTATGGACTATCTTGTCTTTTTATCAATCATATAAAAAAAATAAGTTTTTCGTCTCAAATACGACACGGTTCATGCAATTACGTAATGTTTTAAGCATGATCACGTCTTTTTCAAAAAGCGCATTAGATAATTGATGTTACACGAAAGAGCATATGTAAAGTAATGTGTTTAAGTTGTTATTTTTTCATTTTCATTAATATTAAAAAACCCAGTTCTCCGCACGCAAGCCCTGGGGAAAAAACGGTGTCTCGCCTATGCGGTTGACAACCATACGCTCATGGACAACGCCGCTCAAAATACCCAGTACATCGTCTGACAAATGATCAGGTGGGAATACGAGACCGGAATACCTCAGACATTGCTGCCGTTTTTTGATTGAAGAAAAAGAAGAAGAAAAGAGTTCTTGATGAAAAAAAAAAAGTGCCTTTTTATATCTTTTTTTTTTCTGTACAAATTGTGGTTGACTTTTTACTATTCTAGAATAATTTTGGGACTTGTTTTTTTTGGCATGTGATAACTGATGTGACTTTATTCTTAAGGGTGTTGGCTTTATCACCACACTTATCATCCAAATTAATTATATATGGGCCTTGTTCCCCCTAATATATATATAAAATTAACTACAACACATGTCCTCTTCATACTTTCAAAAGCTGCATGTTTGTAAAATAGAGTATTATGGCAAAAACATTGATTCAACGCTTTTTCTTAAGGACAGCCAATTTTACCTATGCGCCTTTTAAAATATGGGGTCATCGAAGACCAGAAGCGGAGCCTCCCTCCCCACCTTATTTTTTGTTCCTGAATTGAAACAATGCACATTCTCAATCTACCTTCGGAAATCCTTCAAAAGATAGTGAACTTTTCAGAGCCACAATCTCTGCTCGAAATAGCTATTGTTTGTAAGGGGTTGTCTTTGTCTGGTTTTCGGCGTATGTATAGTGAATTGTGCCTGGACGATGAAGGCTTTAAAGTTACAATGGATCTATTGAAATTGGATGCAAAAAAACGCGACAGATACTTTCAACATGGTTCTTTGGTCAAGCAACTAAAAATTGATGTGCCCGATCCAAGTATTGATGATGTGGCTACTTTTGGGGAACCTAATCCACACGACTTTATATCGCTTTTAAATTATTTTCCAAATATTTTGGTTCTGGATGTAAATGACACTATCTACGCCGACAGTTGCCTCAGAGGCATTGCTTGTGATACTTCTGGAGTAATTTTACAATATATACAACATATTGTGCCTTCGGTAGAGATAGGTGGACTTACATCATGGCGTACTCATTTTGCAGCATGTTACGTGCGCCGTAAAACCATCACCAAACTTCAAACACGCTATTACAAAAACATGTTACGTGGACGTAATACGTTAGATCTATTGGGTCATTTTAAACAATTGTCTGAACTGACAATTATAAACGACCGTTATGATTTTTTTTTTATGCCGGACATTTTATCAGCTTGTCCAAAGCTAAAAGTACTCAACTATAAAGACTCTTGTGATGAGTCTAAAGAAACGATGATAGGATCTTTTTTGAAAAACAACCCTTCTTATTGCAACATGACGAGTTTAACAACACTGAAACTTTGTGTTCCCTCGATCTCTGCAAATTACCTACAATACATAACGGATTACGTTTCACTAGAACAGCTTCAAACTCTGGATTTAAAAATGCGTAATGATGATTTTTGTAGCTGGGTAGACAATATGGGGCTGGATAATGTACTTAAGTTTACAAAGAGGTTATGCAGTGTCAGCAAGTTCCAGCTAACGTGGCCACCTGTTAAAAAAGAAGGGATGATAACACCGAACACATATAGATCAAATATGAGAGAGTTCTTCCAGTTCGTCAAAACATTTAAAACGGACAATAATACTTTTTTCTCTCTGGTGTTTAGAGATTTCCCGAGGGCTTATCAGGATTTAAATGCAACCGGAGGACTAGACGAAGAAAAATGTGAAATCTTGCAGAGTCGGATCGAATATAATTCAAAGATAGGATACAGCTTCCGATATAAATTGGAATCTTCTGATTTTAACTTCTCTAAACACAAATTATCTAATAATGAAAACGAGCTGAATAGTCGTTTTCCATTAAAAATAGATGGACTGGACAAGATGAATGTCATAAATGCTTGTATCACCAGCAGCTCGATCTGTTATAATTTTAATCAAGACATACCCTTTCAACTTCTACAGCTTGCATTGATTAATTGTCCCTATCTCGAGTACTATCAATCTACCTTTCATCGCCATGGTAAAAGACGCTTAACAATAGGTGCTGATATCACTCACAGTTACAGATATTACCAAGACAAACGTTTTAACTTTATACCTTCAAGTACCATAGACAATTTGAAATCCGTCAAATTTGAGAACTTTTTACCAGAACAACGATTACTGGATCTGGTGTCAACTCATTTGCCAAACATAAATACGTTCGCATGCTTAGGATCTGACGTTGATGCTGGCTACTTGAGTAATAGCAGTATTGATCTGACTAATTTCGAAAACCTAGATACCGTTTACTTTGAGGTGGAAAACTTTCAACACGATCTCAGACATTATGTTGTGCATTTGCAATATACAGATGGGGATGAAAAATGCTTCTACCATAATATACAGTACGTGGAATCATCAAAAGTAAAGTTTTTTGAGGTCATTCACCCGTGCGATATTCCCCATTCTCTCACCCGAGTTGTGACAATCAAATGTAAAAAGAAGCACAAAATCACCATTGGCTCTTCAACTGTAGGTGTACTAGCAGGTATTGTAAACGGTCATCATTTACCCCGCGTTAGCGATGATTGTCATAACTTCTTTAAAACTTTCAAGTGTACCTTTTAAGTTTCTCAAAATTTATTCTAATAAAAAAGGAATCTTTTTTTTTCAGTCATCAGAGTGATATATATGGTTTTCAAGTCGAAAGCTTTAACACTACAGATAAATATGTAAGTAGTAAAAGTCTCCTCTTCAAAAACTACTCTTTTATACGGTCTTTGAAATATTGCATCACTTGCATGATCCAATAAAAAAATGTTTTCCGGCTATTGACGATTCCATGAGTTTAGACTAAACCTCCCTTGTAACAATCATGGTAGCCACAAGCAGTAGAAAAAATATGGTAATCTTATAAGGCTTTTCGTATACAAGTATACGATGCTGCATCCTAAAGGAATTTTGAGGGTGGCGAAAATTTGGTTGAGGAGTATGAAATTTAGAGTTTATGAAGTAAGCTGATTTCTGTTTCATGGGAAAGCCTCATGCTTATAATAGGAGTAAAATATTTTTATGTGAGCAGCCAATGGACTGTTTCTAGTTAATAGCTTTTAACGTGTCGCGTATTTTACCTTTTTTTTCTTCCTGGAACTCAACACAACAATCTATAATGCACATTCTCGACCTACCTGTAGAAATATTTCAAATCATATTGGACATTTCAACGCGGCGAGATCTTTACGAATTAGCCTTTGCCTGCAAGAGCTGGAATGTACCTGCTCTTCAGCGTTGGTATAGTGAGGTGTTGTTGGATAACTATTCTTACAAAGTTACAATGAATCTTTTTAAACCGGACGCTGAACAACGTGATAAATACTTTCAATATGGTCCTTTGGTCAAGCTTCTAGAAATTGGTGTTCCTGATCCAGATTTCGAAGATCCAGCTACTCTTTGGCAGCCAGATACAGAAGATTTTATATCACTTTTAAAGTATTTCCCAAATTTGTTAGTTTTAAACATCAATGACACCAGATTTGCCGATGGTTGCCTTATACGAATCGCCCATGGGCCTTTTGTAGATGTTATGCCAAATGTACAGCAAATTACAACTTCGGTCGCTATATTTCAAACTGCGTCATGGCGTAATCATTTTGCTGCATGCTACGCACACCGTGCAACTATTACCACACTTAATACTTGTTTCTTGAAGAACATGCTGAAGGGACGTGACACCATAAATTTATTGAGTGATTTTACACAGTTATCGGATTTGACGATTATGAAAACTCGCCCTGGGTCTATTAGTATCGCAGAAATTTTGATGATTTGTCCAAACCTAAAAGCACTTGATTATAAAGACTGTGACATGTCCGAAGAATTTATCAAGAGCTTTTTGGAAAATGGCTCCACTATAAATGCCTTGAATACAAACTTGGAAACATTAAAACTTTGGGTGCCTTCACTTTCTGTTAACTATGTCCGATATATAACAAATTATTTCTCATCGCAGCTTCGATTTGTGGACCTAAACTTACATGGCACCAATTATCACATCTGGCTAGATGAGATTGGTCTGGATAATGCCTACAGATTAGTAGAGAGATTAAAAAAGACCGGAAACTTCCAGCTGAAGTGGGCATATTTTAATGAAAGTAACGAAATAACGTCAAATGCAAGCGGATCAACTATAAAGGATTTCTTCAAATTGGTGAATACATCCAAAGCAGGCGAGAATACTTTTATTCGTTCAACATTCAATACCTTCCCAGGATATCTGCTTTCATACGAAGAAGGAACACTAGATTTAGAAGAGGATGGAGACTTTCAGAATCGGATCGAATATAATTCGAAGACAGGATACAATGTTAATTATAAGTTGGAACCTTCTAATTTTAACTGCTTTAACCCCAGATTTCTCAACGGAGATATGCCGTATACTTCTTCTCAGTTAGAAATAACTGAATGGGAACATATTAATGTCATTCATGTCAATCTCGTCTCTGATTTTTCCAGACCAGCTACACTATTCGAGTTTTTACAGCTTGCGTTGATTAATTGCCCCCGCTTAGAGTTTTTTAAACTTATCTCGAGTGTTCCGAGTAAATATAAAATACGTATGATGATAGGGAAAGATATCGATCATTTTGTGAAAAGACAACAAGAAGAACATTATCACCAGATATCCACAAATACCAAAAACAACTTGAAAGCGGTCAAATTTGATAACTTTTTACCCTCGCAACAATTATTGGATCTTATGTCTATTCATCTACCAAACATAAAGACAATCGCATGCTTAGGAATCGATGTCGATGATGTAGACTCAAACAGAAGAACTATTGATCTGACTAATTTCGAAAATTTAGATAACGTTTACGTCATGGTGGATAATTTACCTCATTACTTTGAAGATTATATTGTGCACCTGCAATTTACGGATGGGAATGAATCCTACTATTATCAAAATTCAGAATGTCGTAAATCATTAGGTTTGAAGTATAGCGAATTTGTCGACTTGTGTCTTGACAGCGGTGGAAGTGCACTAGTTGTTACAATCAAATGTAAAAAGAATATAAACACCCTAAAATAAATCAGCGATCAAAAATTGAAAAATATCGCAAACAAATTAGAGCGGAAATAACGATCTTTTTTTTAAAAATATCGCGATTGGCGATATCGATCAAATTTTCTAAAATATCGCTATTGGCAATATCGATCAAATTTTCCAAAATATCGTTATTGGCAATATCGATCAAGCTTTCTAAAATATCGTTATTGGCAATATCGATCAAATTTTCCAAAATATCGTTGGATGGGGTAAAAAAAATGGGGTAATCGATAATCGATATAATATTACTTTTACACCCATGCTAAATCAGTATGCAAGCTTGAAATTGATACGTTTATATATATATTGGGAAAAACAAAATTTTATTTATGAAAAAAACTTAATAACGTCAAATCTGATCATGATGGACCTCTTCAAATATGGAAAATGACCAGTGAAATAAGACCAGAGACAGATATAATGAGAGGAACTACGATAGTGACCATACGAAGACCTCAGACGAATAGCAGTATCACTTACCCGCATAAAGATGGTTTATGTTAATAAGAGAATAAATTATCGTGTTTAGCAATGTGAACCTTTACAAAACCGTGGGATGTACGAGCCTCAAATGAATAGTAATATCAATCAGCTTTAAAAAATTGGGTTAACTTAATAATAAACAAGTATACCAATATCAAGTTATTTAACTTTCCACAAGTAATGAATGTATTGATTCCTTTACCTATAAAAATGCGCTAATAGATATAAGAAAGTAGTTAGAGTTCCTTACCGAGCAAAGAGCATTGGTGTGATCCTATTAGAAAGTTGTAACACGTTTATTATTAGTCACATAACTAAATCTAAATTAATTTAAAAATGATTATGATGAATCAAATACCATTAACTATTCGCATATACATACATTAACCTGTAAGAAAAAGAAAAGGGGAAAAAGAATAAGAATAAAAAGGTTTAAAAAACAAAGTTTGTTTAAATAAGAAAAAAACAATTCAGACTCAATTCCTTTTTTTTGGCAACGCCGTACGGGTTGATTATTTCCTACAGCAACTGATTCATCAGTCTTGTAAATGACAGATTCAAGGCACTCTCCTATTTTTTTTTTTTTTTTTTTTTGCAAATCTAAATTCATGTGTGCTCACTTAAAGTAATTTGGATGTATCGGCCTGTTGAAAACTGGTACGTGTGTAAACGCTTGTTCTTTTTTGACTTTACATATCAAGAAAGTACTCCAGGCTCGAACTTCGTTTTTGGTGAAGTTATAAAGAATCATGACGTTTCCCCTTATTCAAAGGTCATCCCGCGCATGATGAGGCAGAGCAAAAAAAAATTGTTGTCTTTGATGCAAAGGACCTTGTCTACTATTGGGTTGGTGAATGCCGACAGGTCTAACAACAAATATTTAATAAAAACTGGTAAGGCTTTCAAAGTCGATAAGAGTAGTATTACCGGCAGTGTTGGAAAATCATTAAAACCCACAATCACATGTCCCGTTTTCTTATTTTACTTACGTAATCTGAAGCTGTCTTTTTCTTACCCTGGCTACCATCCCCATAAACCTTTTTTTTTCTTTAAAAAATCACGTTTATTTATTAACATGCTATTGCTACATCTATTTATTTATGTATAGGTTGTTTTTATAGAGATTTGAAAATTTGGCTTTGCGATCAGCGATCAAAAAATCAAAAATATCGGAGATATCGATATTTTCGATTTTTTGAGCGATATCGCCAATATCGATAAAAAAAAACATTTTGATCGCTGATTTATTTTAGGGTGAAAAGTCACCATCGGTTCTTCCGCTGTGAGTGTACTTGCAGAAATTGTCGATGGTCATTGTCTTGAAAAAATTGATGCTGATTCTCATGAAACCTATAAAATCTTACGCTGCAGTGCATGAACAATTTCAAAATGGACATTTTATTTTTTGACAAAGAAGTCTAAATTATCATGAAATAAAGTTTAAGCATCTTTGGGGATCCCCACTGTAAATCCCAGATTTTGTGTTCTTAACTGGAAAAAAAAAGTTAATAGAATAGCTTTATTAATAGAACACCCTATTAAAGAGAAGTAAGATAACGGATTTTAGATACAAGTTGAATTCATCTTTTTCATTATGCAGCTGATAAAGTACAATAGCTCGAAGGCGTTAAGGCTTTATGTATATAATAAAACACTTGTTGAACGATCTGAACGACACTCGTTTGTGTATTTGTATGATCGTATGTACTACTGTGTAACGTAACAAGCATATTTTTAAAAAAAGATGAGGGAGGGATGGCGTTTAAATGAAACTCATTGAGCTATGCCTATATAAAGCTAGAAGACGCCATTCTTACCAAACTTTTTTTTTGTGATATCACCCACGCCCGCACGCATAACGCTCATTATTTTCCAGGCGTGCATGATGAATAAAACTTCCACTCCAATTATACAGACAGTACGTCTTTTTTTCATGTCAACAAAAAAGTAAAGAGGTAAAGTGGAAACGGGGTTTTTCATAATCCAAGGAACACATTTATTTACATGGCGGCGGGTCAAAGGAAAACATATCAATGTTATTGTTTTGAATGTGACCTGCGACTAATGTGGTTATTGTGAGTTAAGTCTGTTACAAGTAAAAAAAAAAAGGTTACACAAATTCCCATGGATCAACATCAATACACGCCATTCTATATCGGTGGTCTTTTTTTTTTTGTATAATGGAAGCCTTTTGGTCATTTATAATTAACCTCACTATTAAAATAGAATGTAAAGCATTAGTGGCGAATGGCGCGTGTGATAAATAGAAGAAGATGATAGAGACATGCTGCTTAATTGCTAATCGCCGATTTCTGCGGAAGGTTCCATAATTTATGGATTGCTTAGCGATGTGTGTTACATGTTGTAAGAGAAGATGAACCCAAACGTTTGTGACCCCTCAGAGGTATAGGCCCGAAGGATATGCCCTAAGAATTGATTGGCAAATAGTATCTTAAGTGATCAAAAAAGCCAGGCTTAGTATATATATTATATATTCGCACATAATAAAAAGATAAAGCCATGGTAACTATGGGGGACGTTCCAATCACAGGAACTAGTGCATTTACCCCACACCTTGTAGAAAAGAGAGTTAAACGGAAAAAAGTTTTATCCGTTTTTGGTAGGAGGGTCAATAATTTTTTTTTTTTTTCATTTATCTAGAGGACGATCTGTGCGTTTTTCTTTTTTTCTATTGTTCCTTTTGTTCTCCACTTTGGATGTCCGTATGTTCTTTTTTGACAGTGTTTGGCTAACGTTGCTTCTTTGCTGCTTTTTTAATTTCGTCCATACACAAGCATCTCCTGAAAATCCGTACATTTGGTAAGAAAAAAAAAAGATTTGTTTACAATGAATATTAAAAAACTCACACGGTTCTCACGTTTTGACTTTGAAAATATGATAGGCAAATTTTAGCCCAGTATGATTTACCTGCGTCAAATAAGACCAAATTATATTTAAAAGATACCTCTTTTAAGATATATAGTCAAGACTTTCAAACCGTCTTTAAAAACAAGGATATATTTGGTCACAACGAGGTATTATCTTATTCTCTGTTTTTTTTTACTCAGGTCTTTTCTAATTCAAACTCTCAATGTAGCGACTTGTTCTGGATCTAGGCGATGCCTGTAACGAAACAACCATTGAGGACATTGAGAAATTGAATGGTAACTGGGCAACTAGTCCTTCCATGATGTCGCAACCTTCTATTGGTCTCGTTCAACGAGGCGGAAGGTGCTTAAAATGGTCTGAGAAAATCGCAAACGCTCAAAATTTATCAAATTCATACGGTCTTCAAGTCTCTGGTATTGTGATTCATGATAATATCTCGTACCCTGAAACCACATTTATCCAAGAAGAGACCAACAATGCTGCTTTCCCCACTTGGCAAAACCCTTTACCCCCTCACAGAGATATCAAGACCATGACACAAGAAAATGAAATTGACATTGGTTCGACCTTTGTCGCTGTTTATTTTGTGCCTTACTCCTACATGGAATTCTTGAATCGGACCTTGTTAAAAAAGACGTTTGAGAAGGATGGTACAAAGCAGACTTATACTCAACTGACTTTCTCTCTCGCCGAAAGTCATTTTGTCACATCAAGTGACCCCGGCTTGTCGGGAACGTCAACAGACGATGAAGACGACAACCTCTGGGAAAAGGAACGAGAGAAACGAAATTACATCATTTACTCTGTCACTGCAGCCGTCATTTTGATTATAGGTAACAAGAAAATAAACATGGTCTATTCACTTACAATGGCTAACCTTTTTTTAAAAAAAAGCCTATATTTTAATTCGCTGGGTTAGAGCTGTCAGAAGAGCTTCTGTGGAGGACCTGGAACGCAACCTACAAGGAAATATGCTGAGAGATTTAAGGCGCGAAGGCCGTATTATACCTTTCCTTGAATTGGAGAAAGTCTGTCCTATTTTACTGTACAAGGATACGACCATGACAAATTCTTCCTGTGCCATTTGTTTAGATGACTTTAAGGACGATTTCTTTGTCCGTGTACTACCGTGTCACCATGGTTACTGTACCGCTTGTATTGGTAAAATGAGCACACGACATGTCAAAACCGAGGGAAAATACTAACCTGCTTTATTTTAGATGTATGGCTCACCAAGAAATCTAGTCTATGTCCAATTTGTAAAACAGACTGTAAACCAACCACGACTACTATCGTCAAAGTAGAAGATGATACTACAGCAACGGATGACTCTTCTACAGCAAATGACTCTACTACAGCAAATAACCCTACCACAGCAAATAACTCTACCACAGCAAATAACTCTACCACAGCAAATAACTCTACCACAGCAAATAACTCTACCACGGCAAATAACTCTACCACAGCAAATGACTCCACCACAACTAATGGTGGGAGCTTGGGTCAACAAGTAGAACCAACAGTACGCCCATAGTCTTTTTCGCAGGCCGAAAGAAGTCAAATCTGTATATCTTATCTTTAACACTCTTTTTTTTTGTCTCGGGAACAACTGGATCCCGAGCTTTATTATACATGTCTTGATAAAATAAATTATCCCTCCTATTCAATTTATATTGTTTGTCTCTTTTTTTTTTTATTATTTATTTGTTTGAATAAATTTTTTTTCCCTATAGATTATGGCTTTACTTAAACCTGTAGTAACGTATGCATTAGCAGCCGTATTGGTATTATGGGTATTACTTGGTGCCGTCACCTTACCTAATGCAAATCGATGGTTTAGAGGATCAGGTTATTCAATACAAGAAGGTTAGTGAATTTAAAATCATTTCTCCCCCCAACAATAACAATGTTTAAAAATTGAATTTCGGTCGCAGACATTGTCATGTTTAATGGAACTATATCAGTAAATAATTCAGTATTACAAGAATATGGCAAAAGAGATTTTAAATCGAGTATTTATCCGATTGACAATACACCACCTGTGCCTAGCCAAGGAATACAAGTAAATGTGTAGAAAAGAAGAGAGAACATATATGTATCTGGCAATTGAACCATTTATTCTTTAGGGAGTTCTTTACGATCTTGGAGAAGCGTGTGGTCTTGACCCGAATGTGATCCCGATGCCCGAATTTGCCAAACAACACAATATTTCTAAAATTGCATTAATTCAACAGAGCAAAACTTGTTTTTTGACCGATAAAATACGTTTTGCTCAACTGGATGGTGCCATCGCCGTGGTCGTCTATCACAATGGATCCAATGGATATGACACCTCGGCAAGATTTTACGGCATGGTAAATGTTCTTTCAATCGCATATATAAATTTATCTTTCCCTCCCACATCCTTTCTCATCGACCTTTTTTTTTTTTTATTATTATTATTATTATTATTATTAGGGTGTTATGCCAAAAAGTGTAAGTATCCCGGCTTATTACATTGAACTGAACACGGGTCTTGTTCTTTTACGAGATCTTGAAAATGTTCTTAAACTCAATGGAGAAAATCCTCAAAAAAATGTCGTCAATCGTATCACGCTTTCTCCAAGTAGTAAACCAGTACTAGATCATTGGCAGTTTGCTCTAGTTGTTGTCGGTGTTATGCTATTAACAAGCATTGTTGCCATTTGTAATATATCTTATAAGGGGGGGGGGGGTTTCTTCTTTTTTATAGCTAAAACTTTCTTTTTTTGTCACAGCTGTCTTACAATGTCACATGTGGCGTATGGCACAGAACCGTAACAACAATGCCAACAATGCCAGCGAAATATTGACAGCGGCAGAACAACAACAAATCACGATGGATGAAAATTTCTGGAGGGGTATTATTGGACAGCCTCCTCGACCTTTAATTGTCCAAACACAACGAAAGAGACAACGTCTGGATCAGGCTCTGGTCAATCTTTTACCTACGCGTATCTTTCAAGAACGCGAGAAACCAGAGAAATCTGCTCATAATTTATCAGTGGACTCCTTTGGTACGACTTGTGAACTAACAGCTTGTGTTATCTGTTTGGATAACTTTGAAACGGGTGATGTGTTACGTCGCTTACCTTGTCAGCATGAATATCATCGTGATTGTATAGGTCTCTCTCTTTCTCTCTCTCATATTTTTTATTTATCTGTGTTTGCGGCTGGACTAACCCACCATCTACTTTTCCCTCTAAATAATAGATGTATGGCTCACTAAAAAATGTGGTTCTTGTCCATTATGCCAACAATCCATTGAAATTCCTACAGTGCCTGATGAAATACATGCGCGTGCAGAAGAAGAAGAATCACAAATGTACGACGATATGCCAGACTTGGCAGAGACTTGGACTGGAATGGAAAGGGACCAGCAGGTAGCCATGCGTCAATCTCCCATGGCAGGTATGACCGAGACCGATTCTTCACAATCCTTAGAGAATAGACAGGAAAATTATTTACATCATCATAATCCATATCCACCCATCTAGTTTTTTTTTTTTTTTACATTTATATATATATATATTTATTAGATTTTTTGTTTGTTTCAAAATAAAGTTAATCATCATAACAAAAAATAAGGGTAAGCACAGATAAATAATTGTTTATGCATGAGAAATTTGATGAATCAAAAAAAAAATGTTATTCAGACATCAACATAAAAAAAAAAAAAAAATTTATTGTGCATGTAAAGCACTGATCTCAATGCAAAACAAAAACAAAAAAACCAATAATATTATGCAAGCAAAAAAAAAGTTGTCATACTATAAATGTATGTGATCAGCTCCACCCCTCCCTTGTGCAGGTGTACTCCTAAACATTTACAAAAATGATTGTATGTGTATCTTAATACAGCATCTCGGGTTTACCGTATATTTTGGAGTTCAACAAGTAGTTTCAATCAAGATTTTTTTTTAAAAAAAAGAGATGAAAAAAGAACATACAAATTTCTAGACCAAATATGTAGACGCTAGTTATCCTTATTGCTGCTTCTTTATATGTATATATTACGTCAAGTAGTTACGAGTAAAAGTAAATCGTTATTTAGTACTATGCGTAAATGTGCTATCCTCCGGTATCAGAGTATGATTAAAGTCTAATTTAGTTAGATTTCCACTTGTTCTTATCTATACAAAAAAATAGTACTACTAAAACCTTCTTTTGTTTACAAATGTATTTGCCGACATTCAACTTGGTTTTCACTAGATACGAGGACATTTTTTCTTTATAATTTCCATCTATTGTATAAGAATCACAAATAAACTAGGTTGAAGCATAGTCATATAACCATGTTAGCAATGTTTTTGTATAATCTTATGAAAATAAAATTTGTATTTTTTGATAACTTGTAATTTTTATTTATGGACAAAAAAAACGGACATGAGTTTTTTTTTTTTATTATATATATGTATATGTAATTGTTAATCTCTATCTTCCAAGTCCTGGTAATGCTGGAAGACCGGGTAATTCAGGAAGCCCAGGAAGAGCTACAGAACTTAAATCTGGCAAACTAGCTTCAGGAATACCTGGTAGGGTAGGCACGGTTGGTAAGGTAGGCGAAGGAATGACGGGTGCAGCTGGGATAGGTGCGGCAGGTACAGCGGGAAGAACAGGTGGGGGGACGGGTGGTAACACTGGATATCCTGGAAGAGAAGCCGCAGGAAGTGGGTAACAGGTAAGATCGGGCAGTTTCAAACTACCAGCCTTGGGAGGTCCATTACTGGCAGGCGCAGGCGCAGGTGGAGGGGGACGGGGAGCCTGATAACAAGCAACATCATGAGTGGCTTGATAGCATTCAGCGGCTGAATACACGGGAGCTGGTGGTGGAGGTGGTGGTGGAGGAGGCGCAGGCGCAGTTCCTGGTGGACATTGTCGCTTAGCCAATACATACCGGGTCTCAGTGACCAAAGGGGCGGCGAAAACCAATTGCAAACAAGCAGTGAGTGTTAAAGCCAATAAAAAACTAGAAAGATGCATGGTTTTTTTTCAATGAAGAAAACAAACCATCTATCTGATCGTTGAAGAGGGTTTATATATTCAATTTTTCTGTTACAGCAGACGTAATACGAATTTCGACAGAAGTGTTTTGCATTATATACAAGGTAGATTTGGCAGGTTTATTTGAAATAATTCTGTAGATCTACAGCCCACTATTTGATAGAAACGATTCGGCATCCCCGGGGGGACTTGTTTTACGTAATTTTCAAGAACCCTGTTACAGAAAAAAAAAATCGTGAAAACTGAATTATGTACGCCAAAATTAGAACATTCTATAAATTTCAGGAGCTTTTCCTATTCTTTTTTTTTTTTTTTTTTTTTTTTACGAGGAAACACTTTTATACGTTATTTTATCTATTTCTATAATCTACATAATAGAGTTTAACTTAAAGTTTTTTTTTTTCATAGCCAAGGTGAACATGTACACATGTCTTGTATTTATGGATCAGACGTTTGCATGAAAGAAAAAAGATCGACGGTTACTTAGAAACAAGGTTTTGACACTCCGATCACATTCTTTCCTGTCTTTCTATTGTGTCCCACTCCTAAATTATGCAGATCTCTTTGCTTCAGGTAAAAAAAAAAAAGGACCTCCTTTTTTTACTCCCATACTTCAATGACATGTACACATCCTAAGCAAAGAAAAGCATCTTCAAATTAAAACACATGGACAAGAAGGGGCGTATGCTATGAAATGATGTAAAAGCAACATTTCATACACATTTTCCTTAATTCTTAAATTTGTACGTGCTTACAACATATTCAAATGAAAACCCTGTCATTTTTTTTAAAAAAAATAAAATAAAATGTTGTATTCTCTTTTTTTTATTTATTTATTGATTTAAAATTAACTAGGAAAGAACTGTTACCATCTGGTAAAATTTATATATCTGTATGTAGCAGTACATCTGCTATATCCCTTCTTTTTTTTGTATGTGTGTGGGTAAATTTGTTTCTTTTTCTACTCTTCGTCATCATCTTCACTATCATCATCGTCGTCACCTTTCTTGGTATCAGCAGGAGCGGGTGTAGATGGACTTGTTAATCCTAATCCACTAGCAAGACCAGTAATACTACCCAATGTGTCAGGGTTAGCAAGATTACCTACAGCGCCACCTGTGCTACCCGTAGCACCACCAGCACCACCAGCAGCAGCAGGAGCAGGGGCAGACGAAGGAGGAGGAGCACTAGCGCCAGTAAGGCCTGATAAACCTCCTGTAAGGACTCCAGCAGCACCTGTTACACCACCCGCAGTATTAGTGAGTCCACCTGCGGTTGAAGTAAGTCCACCTAGATTATCTACAGGACTTCCACCACCAGGACCGAATCCTGGTACAACACTAGTTAAATCAGTGACAGGCGTAGTCAGACCTCCGGCGGGACCACTTACAAAACCGGGTGCAGCACCGCCTGCAAACCCATTCACGGTATTTGCCGCACCTGAACCAGAACCGACGACACCACCAGCAATGGGAGAAAGTCCTTGGTAACCACCCGTATTGGCAGTGGCAGCACCTCCTGAGCCACCTGCACCGCCTTGACCACCAGAGCCACCGGCTCCACCTTGTCCACCAATGGCTTGACCATTGTTAGAGTTACCACCATTGTTAAAGCCATTACCGTTACTAGGACTACCGTTGTTTCCTGAGCCACCGTTGTTGCTAGAGCCGCCATTGCTTCCTGATCCACTGCCGTTACTGGAGCCGCCACTGTTGCTGGAGCCATTACCACTGTTACTAGAGCCAGAGCCATTATTATGACTGTTACCAGAGCCATTGCCGTTGCCAGAGCCATTGGAGCTTGAATCTGTGTTACTTGAGACGACGGTAGCGGTGGCTGTGTTTGAGGCGGAGGAATGACAGGTATTATGACAATTGTTACGTTCAACAAACTTGCGACGTCTATTGAGACGAGACATACTGACACGTACGCTTTGGATTTCCTCCTTACTACAGACAACGTCTTGAACAAGAGCAAGACAGGTTACCAGACAACAAATGGCAAATAGGGAATTGAAATGCATGATGAATAAAGGATGAAGGGAGGGAAAAAAAATGAAAAATGAAAAAGATGACCCTTTTAATTTTTTTGGAAAAGGATTGTGTTTATATATTCATGTTTTCAAAGGCTTTTTTTTTAGTTGTTCATATATAAGAAAAAGACGGGATAAAGTGTTTTTTTTTGCTTCGTTGGTAGGGGAGTAGATCAACAAGATGAAAAAGTTTTTTCCCCCTCTTTTTGCAAGAAAAAGAAGTAGAGAGGGCGTAAACGATGGCAAATGCAAGGGTGTAACTACTTTTTTTTTATTCTCTCCTGCTACTGATAAAAAAATTCATGCATTCTTTTTAATCAAATACAAACCTAGATGCATTTAACCCGAAATCATTTTGAGAAAAAGAAAAACAGGAATTCGCGTGTTTAATGGTAAATGTTTTCAAAACATTGATACAACTGTAGTGTAAATCTCTTTAACTCCCAATAAAAAAAACCTGTTGAAATAATTAAGATTTAGAGTTTTTTTTTTCTTCCCTTAACTAGTCTGCATGTGTCTTACTGCTGTTACACAAGTGAAAAGGGTCAAAATAGTTGATTAAGAGAAGGAAATTGGTTTTTCTTTATTTTTAACAAAAAGCATAATAAAAGCTAATTTAACGAGACAAAAATATATTAAGGATTTTTTAAAAAAGGTGTGTAACTGACAAAAAAAAAAAGGAAACAATGATAGCTGTCTTTTTTTTTTTTTAGGTTGTTTGAAACAAAATAGACAAGGAAAAGATTTACTTTTTCCTTGTTAATTTTTTTAAAAGTAAGATTGGTGGTGATAAAGGGAATTGCGGGAATGAATAATAGTAAAAAAAAGAGAACTCTTCGTACTGAAAAAAAGATACGAGTGTAGAAATTACAAAGGTGTGGGAAAGTGCAAGTTTTACCCAGGTGGGGCGGAACCGGGAACAGCACCATTAGCAGTAGTAGCAAGGTTAGCTACTCCCCCAGCAGCATTACCGACAGCCCCAGTAGGACCAAGAATACCAGTACCTTGAGTGGCAGCAGTGTTGGCAGTACCGACAGTATTACCAAGGGTAGTCACAACTGTATTCAATGATGTAGTTGGTCCAACAGCATTATTATTCCCAATATTAGTATTAGTAGTTCCAGTACGTCTTTCAAGAGGAAGACGACGCTTGTTTAAACGTCTACTTTTAGCTTCAACCTGACCAAGAAGAGCAAACGAGAGAACCAATGTCATCAACGCCATAAAGAATGAGAACCGCATATTTAATCAGAGATACCAATGATGATAAAGAAGGGGAATGAAGTGAATTCTAGCAACAAAAGAAAGCTTATTTATACTAAAAAGAAAATTCGCCATAGGTCGCAATTATGCAGCCCGAAATAAAAAAAAGGATGATCTTGTATATTTTTACTGCCCGTCGACAATTATACACTCGAGACAAGTTTTTTTTATTATGCACTGACGATCTTACCCACTAGTGTGGTCTCTCTCCCTATTAAGTTTACCACTCTTATTACACATAGTAACGGTGCTCATAAACAAACTGTTTGAACGGAGATAGAAATATATATGGTACCATTAAAAAAAAGAGAGCACTCACAACAAAAATAGGAGAGTAAGTCTTCTTCTTTCTCCTCCTTGATTCCATGTGTATGTGTGTATGTGTGTGTGTGTGTAACGAGTATTGCTTTATTTTTTATTTTTTTGTAAATGTATATGTGTGCCAACTTGTTTTTGCATCTTTATTTATGCTTCTTTACCGTCACCACCCGAGAAAACCCCAGTTAGCATTGTTGCATCAGGTACAGCGGGTGTCTTTTCCATCAAAGCAGTATAGATACCGAATATGGGTGCCAACCCAGGATCTGGTGGAGCACCGGGACGAGGTTGTGTGGGAGGATAAGGGCCTTGTCTCTTGTAAAGCTTATTCTTACTTAGTCTTCTAGCCTTGATAGGAGTAATGAGACATAATAGACAGATCACCAGTAGCACAAATATAGTTGTCTTGTGCATCATATTGTTTATGAGGTAATTTTTCTATTTGTTTTTTTTATTTTCATTGTCTGTTTATATAGATGATAGAAAGAAGCTATTTTCTACATTCTATTAATTCAATAAAAAAGATGACTGGAGTTAATCAATTCTCCTAAAAGTGATTAATTTGTACTATTGATATTTGTAAATATCTTTTTATAAAGAGAGTGATGCTTCTCTCCTTTTGTGTGTGCCTTGCATCATGAAGCGCCATTTTTCTAATGATCACTCCTAATAAAATCATACAAACACAGTATCACTTTTTTCTGCACTAAATATAAAAAGGGAGTCCCATACGGAAAAGGTTTTTTAATGAAAAAGAAATGACGAAATAGAAGGGGACAAGAAAGCTTAATCAGTATCGGGTGCTTGACCACCAAATGGATGAGCAGGTAAAAATCCAAACAGGTCAGGAAGAGCAAAAGAACGAAATACACCAAAAGGTTGTGCTTCTGCAGCTCGATCGGTTTCATCTTCTCGCTTTGTAGGTCTTGTTAGCACACCCATAGTAAATAGCACACAATAGAGGATCAATATTTTCATCTTTTGTACTCCCTTTTCAAATAATTAAAAAAGAATAAAAAAAGGTTTGCTTTCTCTCTCGTTCTTTCTCTTTTTTTCTTATAGCAAGGAGAATAATTAAATTTCTGGCACTGCAATAAGATGGTCCAACAAGCACAATAATGAGCAGTTACAGCAGCAGCTCGTCCGTGGGTACATCATCATTACAGATCACGTGATCTTTTTTTTTTCAAGTGCTTGGCCTACCAAGTGCTTTTTTATTATCTACACACAAGTCAAAGAAAAATGTTTACGTCATGTCATCTTTTATAGACTTGACAGGATGATCGACTTTTTTTTTTCATAGAGTAACCTTCACTAATAATAGATTCTACTACTGAAATACTGATAGATAATTGACTCAAGTCTAGAACTATACTTGTACATATGCTCTTGGGACTATGTGCATATGTTTATATTTTAAGTAAAAGCTCAAACGTGATTATGATTAAAATTATCCTGAAATACGCTCTTATTTACCAGTCTCGTTCACACACGTCTTTTTCTTTAACAAAATTTTTTTTTTTGTCAAATGAAAAAGATACATTGTGATATTTCTGCTGCGGGTAGTCACTCACTAGATGGAAAGACAGGCTGTTCCTAACATATTAGTCAATCATTCATTTGTTTGGCTAATTATAGCGTAACTGAATACAATATAAAAATTTATTCCTAGAGAATATATCTTCATGGTGTCAAAAGAGACAAGCAAGGTACATAAATGCTTGTATTTTAGCTAATGACGTTGAGGTATGTCTTCTAAAGAGACATCCGGAAAGTTTCTCTTGCGTGACAATGCGAAATATGGTTTTGACAATATGAAATGCAACTTTGGGATACTTACTTTGTTCAACCATGTCTTTAAGTGCTGCTCCAGAATGTGTCACTCCAAAAGCAATGGGTGATACAAATGACGTCTTAGCGTTGTGTAACTTTTTGTTGTTTGGTTACTAACAATAAGCAATAATTGAATAGGAACGTGGTAGTTATAACTCACAGTTCATTAATAATGTCTATATCATTTATGTAAAGACTGCTTGAAAAGACATTGCTGAAACAGTATAGGTTATGAAGAAGAAGGAGTATAGTCAATGCGAGAAAGAGTTCTTTTGGGAAATAACAACTTTATACCCTTAAATCAGTTAAAAAAGCCTAATTGAAGGCTTAGGATTTAATTTACAGAAGAAAACGAACAATCTTATATTCAACTTTGTTCTGCTTTTATGCGTATGAATTAAGAACATCTTTTTGTGTGTGTGTGTGTTGTTTTCGAATGAAAGGAGCAATTCACTGTTTTAGATACGAGTTGTTCTTTATTGCAGTAGTATGTCACTATTGCTCATACAAGAATGTTGACTGTTGATTGTTAAGAATTGCCCGATATATTCTTATGCTGATGATGGGTCGCTTTTGATTCACCGTAGACATGAAAAAAGAAAAAAGTGGCACCGTATCAAAAAAATAAAATAAAAAAAGCGGTCCATTCGAAAGACCGACAGTGAATAGAATTTGGCAAAACAAAAGACCCCTATTTTTTTTTTTTTTTTCTTTGGTCTCTCTTCTTTTTTAAATATATTTGAAATAATAATAGTTGATGCGTTCACCCATGGATTTAAGAGTCGCAAATAAGTTTAGAATTGGCAGAAAGATTGGAGCAGGTTCCTTTGGAGATATCTATCTCGGTAACGAATGCTTCTCTTTTTTTTTAAAAAAAAGGTGTTTATTTTCATCTAATCTCTTCTTTGTTGTTGTTGGGGGGTTATAGGTACAAATTTGATTACTGGAGAAGAAGTTGCTATTAAATTAGAGTCAGTAAAGGCCAAACATCCCCAATTAGAATATGAAGCCAAAGTGTATAAGGCTTTGGCAGGTGGTGTAGGTGTTCCCTTTGTGAGATGGTTTGGTGCAGAGTGCGATTATTATGCTATGGTCATTGACCTTTTAGGACGTACGTAAACGGGTGAAAAAGAACCTTAATCGTGTCACAAAAAAAAAAAATTAATTTTTATTTTATTTTGTTGTTGTTGCTGTTGTTGTTGTTTGTATATGTAGCCTCTCTGGAAGACCTCTTTAACTTTTGTAATAGAAAATTCACTTTAAAGACTGTATTATTATTAGCAGACCAAATGGTAATGTTTTATTTTGTTTCTTTCCCCCCTTTTATATATCCCCTTTTAACCTCCTTAAATGATTAGTTGTCTCGTATTGAATATGTCCACTCAAAGAACTTTATTCACCGTGATATTAAACCTGACAACTTTTTAATGGGTATTGGAAAGAGAGGAAATCAGGTCAATGTGATTGATTTTGGCCTTGCTAAAAAGTACCGTGACCCACGTACACATTTACATATTCCATACAGAGAGAACAAGAATCTGACTGGTACTGCTCGTTATGCAAGCATCAATACACATCTGGGCGTTGGTAAGACATATGTATAGTCATTATTACGAATACAATTGAATAACCTTATTTGGGATCAAAATGTAGAGCAATCAAGAAGGGACGATTTAGAGTCACTGGGCTATGTGCTCATGTACTTTTGTAGAGGTTCTTTACCATGGCAAGGATTAAAAGCAACCACAAAGAAGCAAAAATACGATCGCATCATGGAAAAAAAAATGACCACTCCCACTGAACTATTGTGCCGTGGTTTCCCGAGTGAATTTGCTATCTACCTCAATTACACCCGTTCTTTACGATTTGATGATAAACCAGACTATGCTTACCTTCGAAAGTTATTCAGAGACCTATTCGTTAGAGAAGGTTACACCTACGATTATATTTTCGACTGGACCATTTACAAAGTGGTGCGTACCTTTTCTCTTTTTTTCTTTCTTTTAAGCACTAACATCTCTTCTTCATTAAACAGAACGAACAGGAAGGAAAGGCACGTGAAGAGACAAAGCAGCAATTGGATGAGGTTAATAAAGGTACAACGTTTGCTCGAGTAAAAGAACCACGTGATCTTAAACTAGCCAATGTCGTTGCCGCCGAAGGAAAACCTGAACCTCGTGAAGTGAAGGAAGAAGGCTTTTCTTCTTTCCGTCGTGCTACTCAGCCAAAGCCATAACTTGTCTCACACACACACACATACACACACACACTCTCTCTCTCTCTATTTTTTTTTTTTTTTTTTTTTTTTTTTTATAAATCTTCCTTTCTCTCAAACAACAAATATAATAATAAATGTAATTATCCCCTTCTCTTCTACTTTTATTTTTTTTTTCTTTAAGCATGATAATCACCCGTTAATTCCATTTCTACACCAAACTGTTCATAGGAGACTTTGTATCTTAGACGCAAGGATTCACGTTGAGGATTGTTTAAAATAATATCTTGCGTAACTGATTTGTCCGATTTAGGTGGGATGCATTGAGATGACTGAGGCTCCATCTTTATCTGCATTGACTACATTTTTAGATGTTAGTATCTGATTCTAGGCCCCTCCAAAAAAAGAAAAAATTCTTACCTTAGGTGCAGCTAAGCGCAGCATCAGTTTGTCCATGGGGGCTGTGGACTGGTTAGAAAAGTACGCCTTGATACGACAGGTGGTATCTGCCATGGGTTGAATATACAATTCAATCACTAACCCATTCTTATTCACCAACACCACTGTCTCTCCTTGTTGACTCACAACGGGAGAAGGTGCACTCTTAAAGGTAGGTGTGGTGGTATTATGAAGAGAAGGTGAAGCAATTACAGGACTGGATTTACTCACTGTCTGTGCGGGAGGAGCGCCTAACAAATCAAAAATGTCTTGTTTCTTTTGAGGTGGTGATGGAGCAGGAGGTGAAGAAATGGAAGCACTCGTACCAAAAATATCAGATAAATCATTCATGACATTGGCTGTATTGGGTTGTGCTACAGGTGATGGAGCACTGTCATCCAAGTCAATTAAACTAATCGCCTGTCTAGGTTCTTCTGTCGTATTTTGAGTAGGTGGTTTTCCACTAATCTCATAGTGCGTATCGTACAATCCCTTTTTCACATCGGCGTATTTAGCCACCACGTTATTAATCATGTCATTCAACGTCAGCAAGTTTTCTGCAAAAAAAAAAGGTATTAGCATATGCTTTACATATTATATACAAGTCATTTTACCAATCTTGTCATTGTCCTCTTCCTCTGTAATCATCTTTTGGATTTTAGGTTGAGCACTAGCACATGCGCTTTTCAAATCCTACGTTGGTAACACACACACACACACTGGGTTAATCTTTTTTTTTTTTTGTGTGTGTAATCATTAAGAAATACTTACGGTGATGGTCTCATTACGCTCTATATTATCTCCCGGTCGCACGGACTCTAACATTTCATACAACAAGATGGCTTTATCCTGTACCTTGTGAAGTTCATCCTCAAACTTCTGACTGTAATCGGGTGTCTGTCTCGTATCCTATTGTAAAATCATGAGTCTTTCGTATTCCCTATCTCTCTTCTAAAACTGCTACTTTACGAATCCAGACATGATTTTCATTAATCGATTGGCTTCAACTAAATCTTGGGGTCTGCCACGACGAATTAATTCTTGTAATTTCTATAGATTCTATATGAGTAAGAAAAAACCATGGCATTAAACTATTCTTGTCTTACAGCGGATTGCGCAACACGATCTTCTTCTTCTAATTCATGAGCAGATTTTAATGACTAGTACAAACAAAAACAAAAAAAAATGAGTCGATTTTTAATTATACTATCAATTCCCAGTTTTACGTCAGAAGGAGCTAATGCAGCCACAGAGGAATCTCGTAATTCAGGGAAACGATAACCTTTTTGAAAAAGTGTAAGTTGTTTATCAGCTCGTGCTTCGTCCATGACATAATTAAAATACCTTTGAATCTCAGCAGACGATACATATCCTTGATATGAACAAGGTCGTCTTTATGTCTCGACATATCTGTCAATGCCACTTTCCATTCCTTAATCAAGTAAAGAATACGCTGCACTACAGGACTAGGAAATGGCTGATAAAATATTTATCTCTAATTAAACATGTGTGCTTTCTTATACAAAACTTCAATATAATAGACTTACAGCAGGACGTTCCGGGAATTTGCGAACCAACTCATTCAAGAATTCTTTGGAGGCAATTTGAAGATGAAAAGGGTAACCGCAATTCTTTACACAGTTATCCAGTAACTATATATATATACATGTGAGTTTCTTAAAAATGAACAAGACAATGCTCTTTTTTACCGTGAGAGCCAACATGGCTTGGTTTAGGTTTTTACTGTTCACGAGTTTAACAATAGTCGATGCAGCTTCTCTTGGACTATAGTTGTCAGTCTGAATTAGTTTATAAAGGGCAAATAAACGCGGGGCAAATATGGAGGAAAACTTACGCACTGCCTTGTTTCTTGTTAATCATTTCACAAATCTCGAGATTGAGACCTAGTTCAGGTTCATAACGCGCAGGACTACACGCTCCCTCTAATATCCAACGTCAGTTTCCACTTGTTCATCCCTCAATTGTTATTATTATTATTTTACCGATAATGGCTACCAAAGTGCTTGGCATATTTTTTTTTTTTCTGTAAGTAAAAGAGGAAGAAAAGAAATATATTCCTGAGCTTCAAAAACAGAGAGATTGAAAAGCACGGGATTTATATTTTCCCCAGCATTTTTTTATTATTTTCCCTTTTTTCCCTCTCTCTCTCTCTCTCTCATCTTTTTCATAATGAATGACCAAGAGTTTACAGACATACATTTGCGTTGGAATAACGGTATTGACTTGGTGTTAACTGTATTAAGGCACAAGGACAATATTGGCGAAATAAAGCAACTGGTATGTTTCTCTCTATCTGCATGTTTTAAAAGATACACTAACAGAAATTGATAGATTCGCAGAAATGCTATTGAACAAACGAGTAAAAAGACTATCCGATTAATCCACCGTGGACAGTTGCTTAGAGACGATGAAAAGACACTGGCAGACTATGGAATCCAAAGCAACCGTATTTTTATCCATTGTGCATTATCCGACCCCATCATTCCTACCAATACCATCACATCCACTGAAACACACTTGCAGAAAAAAGTAAGCAATCGCACTAAAGAATATGATATCATTCATGCCCTAAAAAAAAAACTTTATAGACTGTTGCTGGGTTTGATAAATTGAGCGAATCTGGTTATAACGATGAGGAAATCCGAAGTATTCGCACACAGTTTCACTCACACGCAAGTCCAGATTACATTGACGGGGGTAAAATGACAATATAGTTATCCTATAAGTGATACTAATAAAATGACATGTAGAACCACCCAATGAGCATGAAATTAGTCTAGAAGAGCAATGGATGGAACACAGTGGTACCATGCTACCCGAACAAGATCAAAGCTCCGTCAAAGAAATGATGTGTGGACTATTGCTGGGTTTCTTTTTGGGCGTCCTCTGTCTCTTTTGGGTTAAAGAATCTGTCTTTACCAGAAGGCATCAAATGGGTAAGCAAATACACTCCAATCCTATGTGTTCCCTGTCACTCATATTATTTTCTCTTTAGGCATCGTGGCCGGTATGCTGATTAATGTGTCGTGTGGTGTCATTCATGTATTCTACTAACAACCCAAAAAAAAAACTATATACCCCCCTATCAACAAATGGTCTACACCCTACGGCCCTTTATTTTTTACGTACTTTTTTATGCTTAAGACTATGAATACGCCTGTCTTCTAGTATGTAAAGGCTCAAACATATGGGTGATTGAATATACAATTAAATCATCCTGACGTAAGCCAGCTCTTGTTTATCAGTTTATAAATAAAACTCACTTCTGATTAAATAGACAATTGAATCATCCTGATGTATACGAAGGCTTTTTTATCAGTCTACAAATAAATAATAAAATTGTATCTGTGACTTTCTCGTTAACAATTTCTACCGGTAGCACGGTCTTGTTTGTCTTTAACTGTAAGTCTTCTTTCGAATTTCTTAAAATATAAATTCAATTTCTGATTGAGTTAATGTTTGTTCATTGGTGTCTGTCGTTATAGTCTATTCCACAAATGTGCAACTTTTGAAAATATGGAGAGGACTTATTTTATAGATATTAGGGGGAACAAGGCCTTTATAATTAATTTGGATGATAAGTGTGGTGATAAAGCCAACACCCTTAAGAATAAAGTCACATCAGTTATCACATGCCAAAAAAAAACAAGTCCCAAAATTATTCCAGAATAGTAAAAAGTCAACCACAATTTGTACAGAAAAAAAAACGATATAAAAAGGCACTTTTTTTTTTCATCAAGAACTCTTTTCTTCTTCTTTTTCTTCAATCAAAAAACGGCAGCAATGTCTGAGGTATTCCGGTCTCGTATTCCCACCTGATCATTTGTCAGACGATGTACTGGGTATTTTGAGCGGCGTTGTCCATGAGCGTATGGTTGTCAACCGCATAGGCGAGACACTGTTTTTTCCCCAGGGCTTGCGCACGAAGAACTGGGTTTTTTAATATTAATGAAAATGAAAAAAAAATACTACTTAAACACATTACTTTACATATGCTTTTTCGTGTAACATCAATTATCTAATGCGCTTTTTGAAAAAGACGTGATCATGCTTAAAACATTACGTAATTGCATGAACTGTGTCTTATTTGAGACGAAAAACTTATTTTTTTTATATGATTGATAAAAAGACAAGATAGTCCATAAGATTAATTTTTATATTTTATTCTTAAACACTGTAATTTATCCAAATTTAAAAGTGTCACTGTGTGGGCGTTATTTTTGGGCTGATAAAGAAGCGCTTATGTCAGAATGATTGGATTATAATGGCTTTTACTTAAATAGAAGCATTTCCAACTACCTTAAGCTAGTCGGTACTTGTCAGTAGTAGCATGTGTTGATAGTGAAGCATATTTTATGAAAAACAAATGTTCATCATCCCATGAATTTAAGATAATATGGCATGTCAATCAACGTAACAAATTTTCTTGTCTTATGTGTAGTTAGGCCGTCTCGTGATTAAAAAAAAGACGTTTGAAAAAAATACGTTTCCCTTCTGAACCTGTACAGCGCAACGTATAATTGTAAAGACGAAAGACGCAGGCCGAATTTTTCAAGCGCCTGTCATTGCGACTTGTTGGTAGTCATGACAAATGCTCAACAAAGTAGCCAGCATATCGTTGCAATCTTCTGGCAATATTGGAATCATCAGCCTGTATTATGACACGCATATTATGGCTTAACTTTAATGTTTCTACTTGAGAGTGAAGATAGCTTCAAGCACTAGATGATAATATCACTTCTGGATCCACGTAGAATAATAGGTAAAACCCTGACAGGAATCACCATCTAAGACTATCAACTTTCCCTAAAAATAGCGGATTCGAGCGACGGTTTATCTGCAACTTTTACGTCTTTGAATGTTCCATCTGGCTAGTTCAAATAATACAAGGCTTATTCTGCCCTTGGGTTGCCAAAGATGACACTTTTTTTTTCCCTGAAAAAATTCCCATTACTGTAAGCAAAACACTTTGCTAACATCATAGTAATTATAAGCATCTTGGTTTAATAACATGGCTCATTTGAGTCATACTGCCGCTGCTATTAAGCATGCACCGCTAATTTATAAAATATCCTTCGCGTGGAACATTATTTTTAAGGCCATGAGCGCGATGTTGAAAAGAAACTGATTGGTACGTACGATAGAAGAGCTAAAAAGTATTCACACAAGCTATTTTATAATGACAGAATAGCCTATCACTTTTTTTTTTATATCTGCGTAGTGTATAAATGCATGTTTGTGAGACTCAAATTACGTGGGATATTTATCATGGAATGACCCTTGACAATAATACCTTATTTAAGGTATTATGTGGTATTCAATTGGAGTTCTATCACACGGATGAACTCAGAATGGCATAAACACGATTTCCTTGCTTTATTCACGCTACCCTTTGTTCTTTAAACAATAATGCTTAGGTCATTTGACTATTCTGTTTAGGTTTCATCCGTGGTGGGTGCCGTAAAATCCAACAATAATCGCTCATTTGATGTCTCAGCTTCAACCTTTCAATTCCATCTAGACCTATTTTCTTAAAAAAATATCCGGTAAACTTTTTTTTGCATGTCAAAAAAAGGTCTATGCATATAATCTACAACTTCTATATTTGCACATCATGATACGAAGATCGTCTAGTTCTACTCGCTCTCAAATTTGTCTGATCATCATCCTGCACAGTATTGTGGTTAATACTAACTCCCGTGCTGATAACAGTCCTTATTATCTTTGTTGATAAACCCTCTTTTACTTGTATCAATTTGGACCAATTCTGTGCTACTCGAGTCTGATGTATGCTATTTCAACCAGTCGCCAAAAAAATTCTGTCAAAACTATTTCTTTTGAGAACCTGATGTGTAATGTACGAGTTCACTATTTACGCTTTGCCAACTGGCACACTTGACCCGTCATTATTATACAGAATCCATAATATTTGCTTTGATGAGTGTGTGCAGAAAGCATATCACGCTACTTTCAAAACAATAAGAGTTTGCATATAGACAAGTAAAACAGCCCCTCGTTATCTTTTTTACCGGGCTTCTTTTAAATCAAATAGTTTGAGTCATGTAAGATTCAAGACATGTGTGAAACAACGAAATGTGCTTGTTTCAAGCTAGCTCTTGGCATTGACGAAGGGCTGAGTTCATTGATTTGTTGCTGGCATGAGTGTTGTCTTATGGGGCTTTTGACTCTTTACGTTGTGACCACAAATCTAGAAAAAGTCTGACAGAGTCTAGAAAGACAATGAGAATAACTTTTGTCGTGTGACTCTCCTCAATAACAAATTGGATGGATACACACACAGAAAAGACTACATTCACCACGTGAACGCATTTGTCCAACAAGAAAAATATAAGGGATAACTCTACCAATCAATGAAGAGACCCGGGGGAACTGCCCACTTTAGCAATAGCGAACGTTTGTTTTCTTCAATGACCAATATGAAGTCTTGTATTTAAACCGAAAGAAGCGTTAAAAATAACCCCCTCCTTTTTTAAAAATAAATATTTTTAGGTCATGACATACGAAATTAAGATGCAGCTGCATAATTATTATTTTCACTTGTTTATAAAGCATGGCTCAACTTTTTTTATTTATTTATTTATCTCTTATTCTCTTTTTCATAACAATGACTCAATTGGATCCTTTTATTATATATACTGTAAAACTAGCAATGGATTTTAAATCCGTTGAGCCCTCTACTCCTATTCCCAACACATTCGACGAACAAGATAACTCCACCAACCCTATGTTTCCCGATACAATGGCTCGTATAATGACAATCAATGCTTTACACGAAGGCGGCAAAGAACCTGAACTAAGAAGAGACAACGTGCTTTCATTACTCTATCATGCAGGTAAATTTAATAATTATAAAAAAAAAAATTGGTGCTAAATTAGACCTAATTATTGCAATTCATAGATGAACAGTGGGTAGCAAGTACAGTCGAACTATCTCATAAGAGAAACGATAGAGAGTTTCAACAAACATTAGATCTTGTGCATCGACAACAACGGATCTATCTGGATACGTTACATTTATTACAAAAGGCAGTCCTTTCGACAGACTCACAAAAGCGCTTTAATGAACCGATTTGGTTTGCAGCTCAAGTCTTGAATAACAATTGTCAAATACGTCACCTTGAATATTTCACTGATATCATTGCACCTTTGGCAACAAAGCTGGTCAAGTCGATGGAACAAATCCGACTGGTGACGCGTCGATTATTGTACAAGCAACAGACCTTGAAACAGAAGCAATCTGAATCATCTTCTTTTTTTCATGCATTTTTTTCAAACTCAAATCAATCAGACACAACGTTTTATAACAGCCATCAGCACCACGATTTATTGAAAAGAGTAGAACCTCATCTGGTCGAGCTTTTGTATGACTGGACTAACTTTGAAAAGACACTATACGAATGTTACGTTCATACAGTTTTTGGAAAATATCACACAAATCTCATCATGGAAGAACAGCAAAAGTCGAATTGTACTGAAATCATTCAACAACAGCAGCAATTACCACATGAATTATTTCACGATGAGTTCACTCAATTATTACCCATCGTATTGGAGCGCGCCATCAACCTACAAATTATGGACATCCAGTCGATACAGTCTTTGGATCCCATCGCATTTGTTGCTGTACCTCGCTTGACCATTTTAGCGGGTGTGACGTGGTTAACTCATTTAACAGGTTGGAGAAGCAATATTTCGACTTTACCAATTTGGGTCAAATCCCACATCGAGACCTTGAGTCGAATCACAAGTGCACTGGACGCACTCGAAAATCAATTATTAAAGAACCAGACCGAAGATGCACATCATTCATTTGTACAAAGATACCAAAGGTTAGAACAAGGGCTGGTGACTGGTAGATCTATACTACAGGATGAAAATGATCCTTGTCAGCAATTAGAAAAGCAAATATTTTTAGATATTTGTAATATTGCTGATTCCATTTTATCAAGTCATCAAACACAAGCATTTACTGTAGTTTTATGCCATTTATTCAGACATTTTGGAACACAGTATGATATTGAGTTTGAAGAATCTGAGGATGCTGTACCACTCGAATGTACCATATTAGATTTAGCCATTTAACTCTTCCATCCCCCCCCCCACCTTCCTGTCATCATTATTTTATATATACGTACATATCAATAAAAAAAGAAACCATATTTAGCTCTTTATTACATTTTATTTAGGCTGATCGTTTGCTCAAGAAGGAAGTATATGTATATTTTTGATAGGGCCCCGTTTTGGATTTGACTTTAGCAGTAGTTGTAATTTTGCCTGATGTCTTTTGCTTGGAAATTTTGGATTCGGTTGGTGTGTAAGGAAGTGTTCTCTTGGACTTTTTACTTCTGGAAAGGGGTGGATCGATAGAGTAGGTGAAGAAAAACGTATTGTTTTTGACTGAAGTGAGTTCAATCATTATATTATGAATACGTTCCATATGCTGCATATAAAGAGTTTGCGTAGGGTATGTAATTGAACAGGCATGACAGAACAGACTTGGACTGGTCGGATCCGGTGTGTGTTGGGAATGGGATAAGTATGCGTGATTGCGGTAATTGGTGAGTGTCGAAAATGTTCCATCACATTCACAGCGAATATCATTTTGAAGGATCCATTCGATTTTGGCTTCGTGGAAAGTTACACGATGCTCACAATATTCAGACCTCTTCTCGAAATACTTATCGCAAGGTACGCAGTGACGAGTCGTACTATGAGCCTCTGAAACGTGTTGGTTCAATTTGTATAGCGCCATATTCCCTAATTTGCATTTAGAAAAAATGCGTTGCGACGACTCTTTAGGTATAACTGTATCATTATCCTTCTTCGATGTCAAAGGTCGAGATTTGCGAGTTGCTCGGGGTACAACCTTTAATGGAGACACAGCTGTTAATCGGGTGCCAGCTTTTCGTCGAGATACAACTGTTGATGAAGTTGCAACTTTTGGTGGTGATGCAACCTTTGGTGGAGAAGCAACGGCTGATGAGGATGGAACTTTTGGTGGAGATGCAACTTTCGATGGAGATCCCACTCTTGATGACAATACAAGTTTTTCCGATGAAACTGATGGTAAAGAAGCAGCTGTTGATGGTGAAGCCTCTGTTGGTGGAGAAGCCTCTGTTGGTGGAGAAGCCTCTGTTGGTGGAGAAGCCTCTGTTGGTGGAGAAGCCTCTGTTGGTGGAGAAGCCTCTGTTGGTGGAGAAGCCTCTGTTGGTGGAGAAGCAGCTGTTGGTGGAGAAGCAGCTGTTGGTGGAGAAGCCTCTGTTGGTGGAGAAGCAGCTGTTGGTGGAGAAGCCTCTGTTGGTGGAGAAGAAGATGTTGGTGTAGAAGCCTCTGTTGGTGGAGAAGAAGATGTTGGTGGAGAAGAAGATGTTGGTGGAGAAGAAGATGTTGGTGGAGAAGAAGATGTTGGTGGAGAAGAAGATGTTGGTGGAGAAGAAGATGTTGGTGGAGAAGAAGATGTTGGTGGAGAAGAAGATGTTGGTGGAGAAGAAGATGTTGGTGGAGAAGAAGATGTTGGTGGAGAAGAAGATGTTGGTGAAGATATTGTATCATTGGTCAAGTTTTCTGTAGTCACTTCATCATTTTTCGTTGGCTTGGAATTACATCTAACATTCCCCTTTTTTGTTGGATTTAAAGATGAAGATATCTTTTTCGGTACTTTTGCTTTGATATCCATAGCATTTTGTCCCGTTAGACCGGAAATTTGAGTCGCAGGTTTTCCATTCTTTGTTTCTGTTTCTGCTGTTTCGACAGACGATGCGTTTTGAATTGACTGGGTGTAACTTTCAGTGACGACCGATGCCTTTTGATGAGTGCTCTCTGTTACTTCATTCAAAGGGTTTTCTGCCGCGCTCAACACTTCAGAGGGTATTTCTTGATCAACTTGGGGTGTATTAGTAGTCGAGAATTGGGTATTTTCTGGTACGTCTTTCAAGGTTTGCACCTTGTTTTTTGTTGTAGGATCTCGCACAAGTAACCTGACTCGCTTCACTGTCGTTGCTTGGAGTGTATTGCCAAAGGCTTTGTTTTCAGGTTTCTTGCGATGCTTGCTTAAAAAATCCTTGGTATATTTGGGCAGATCAGCATCTCGAAAATCATCAAAATCACTGTCGTATTCCTGTGATGTGCTCGTTACAGTCGCTGATTGAGTGGATGCGGCGGTCATATTCAAGTCACTTCTGTCATTAATCGTCACCGGTGAAGAAAATACCAACTTTGATGGACGTTTTGCCTCAGAGGCAGATTCGGCTGCAATTCTAGACGATTTGGGTAGATGCATGCGCCTGATGTGTAATTTCAGGCCACGCTCTGACTTTAATACTTTGTTGCATATGTCACATCCGAAACCAGAATCAACATATGGCTTTTTACTTTTATGATGCCCTCGTTGATGGGTTGTTTTACTGTGCTGGAGATAGCTGCGTGCCGTGAACGTTTGATGACAAAGGTTGCAATAATAAGGATTAGTCGTATCAAACGAGGATCTTGGTTTGGTATAATTGAACGCATACAGGTGTTTAAACTTTTTATGGATAAGTAGGCTAACTTTCGAGACATAGTCTTTGTTGCAAACGTCACAGAAGCCATCTCTACTCCCGTCAGCCGTGTCTTTATTTTCGTTGGCCATGTCCTTACTCTTGTTGTCCAAATCCCTACTTTTGTTGGTCATGTCTAAAATATAGGGTTTAGAAATGAAGGTTCTCATCTACTGTGTTTTTTTTTGCAACTCACCTTTCTGAACATTCGCGTCAGGCTTTTTTACTGTTATATAGTCGGTAAAACAATTAACGTCAAAGATTGGCATTTTAAGATTCGAATACTTTTCTGCTGCACTTGGTTCGGCATTGTCAACTGCTGGTTTAAATGAGGTAGTCGACAGACTATGCAACAGAGGTTTCCAGTCCTCGACAAGATCTACTATAGTGTTAGAAAAATCAAGATTGTCTAAGGACCGGAAAAAGTCCCTTTCCTGAGACGTGTCCCTTGTGTTTCGTATGTCTTGCTCCATGTGAGGCAAGAAAAGAAAATGATGCACCAATTTTACGGATTCGGTCGCATACTCCTCAACACTAAATTTTTGTGCAGTCTCATTTATTTATTATTTTGTTGTGTACACTTCCAAATTGGACTTAGTTTACAATCATTCAATGGAAGCCTCATGCATATTCCAGCAGTTCTCATATAAGAACCTTTGGTTTCCAATACCTCTTCTTTTAATTTACACCTTTTGGATTAAGCAGTAGTGTTCAGATAAGTTAATATCTAGAGAAACTTAGTGTTATGAGTGTACATATTTCACTCATTTATAACCATAGATTTTGATAAGAATTCGAATTGGTTTATCGATGATTAGATTGCCATGAGGCCTATATATTGACCCCTTATATGTTTACTCTTATTGCTACAGTCTGGTATCTTTCTTGTACTAAAAGCTTTTAAACTAGCCGCCTACGCCCAGTCGTGATCGAGGCTGTAAACTTCAATATATGACTCTATCTACACTTCTTAAATCTTCCATTTAATAATCCTAAATATAACTCTTATCGATACTTTAATTTAAATATTGATCATTTACTTTATTTACAGGCTTGATCTCATATCATCCTTCCTACAAGTATAAGGCATACATTTAAATAATAACATTAATATGAAAACATATGAAGGTTACGTCAGCCACATTGAGGTGCCACAGCTATCTGAATTAAGAACTACATTTTCCCCTGAATGTTGTGCTACAAGACATACACAGTTTAAGAATGAATGTTATTGTTATTGTTATTGACATCTCATTATGGCCTGTCTATATGGGATCATTACATCCGAGTATTATCTGGATAAATCTACCCACGACCGTCATCAGCCCATCTGTGATCAATGTCTGAAATAATGTGTATATATAGACTTCTTTTTATTTGTTTAATAAAGCTTTAGTTTATTCTTGCAGTTTGATAATTTCACTTAATTAAATTTCCCATTTTATTTTAAATTCGTTATTATCACTCTCCAATTTCTCACGTCCTATACATGGACCAGAACTATTATCCCAAGGCTGGATAATCAATGATGCCTGCATCAGTTAGTTGCTATACACTATTTTCATAAATTTTTCGTGCACGCTTAGAATAAAACTTCAATCAGCGACGGAATAAATAATCGCTTAAAAATTAATTAATTTTCCATGCATAGTTTACAAACGAAATGAACGAAAGAGAAATATATCTGTTATCATTAAATGGGTATACTGCTAAAAGTAGAAGAACAATTTTTCATCATATTGAAGGACCCGAATAAGTGCACTATTGTATGCGTATAATATGACTTTAATTTAATGTCACTTCATCCAAAAGACTAACCTGCTCGAGCTTGCTCTTGAAAATTGAACGATTGGGTTTAAACCAAATAAGTATTGTCTTCTTTTTAGGCCTATTTTGATACGCACAAACGAGAAAAACTTGATATTGTTGTTATTCACCCATAAGGGAAGCGAGGGGTAGCAACCCCCCCCCCCCTTTAGATGTGTTGCGTTACCAAGAGTAAATTAAATGCCACTACCTCGTCATGAACGACACAGTTATTGGTAACAAACGTACAAGTGGATAAATATATGGATGTACCAGACTTCCTTCCTTACCTGACACCCTGAAACGGTAACCTGTTTTTTTTTTGTCAAACTAGAAACAAAATACCTAAAAACGCTCAGACAAGTACATGGTATTTAGAGTTTTACTTGAAATAAAGTTTTATTTCATTGTATGTATTAGGGGTATTTCAACCAATTTTTATTTTACTTTGAATAACACAATTATTTTCCGTTTGCTTTCGTATAATTTCTGGGCAATCCGAATTTTTCTATAATGAATATGAGGTATGTACCTTCTTGCAAAAGATATATATATAAAATGAAAGCTAGAAAAAGTGTATTTATTACTGCTTCATGCGAATTTCATTGTTCTTTGTTTTTCTCCCCCTTTTTTTTTTCAACGAATTATTTTAAAGTCAGAAATGAACAATGAAATCTTATATAAATAGTTGGTAAAAAAGTTTACCTCAATCCTTACTCAATTTTTATTTTTCTCTTTCTTTATTATTTTACGTATAACTATCTTTATTCTCAAATTCATAACACTTTGTACGTAAAAGGTAAATATTGTAACAACCAATCCAAAAATGAGCGACATTTATCTAACATGTTAATATAGCAAACTTCTTACTTCAAATAACTGCCCTTTTTTTTTACCAGCATGGACTCTGATAGATCCTTGTCTGGTACGCCGGGTACACCTGGAAGCAATATGAGCACATCTAGCTCTTCGGCTCCTGGCGATCGTATTATATCTGTTAAATCCTCTATTGATGGTATTGGTTGGGACCCAGAGCGACGTGAAAGGCTCGAAGAATATGTAGTGACAGTCCACAACATCACTACACACGCATACTCACTCTCAAAGTACATTTTTTTGCGTGCCATTCAAGAAGATGAGAACTTTGATATCAGGCGATGTATCAATCGTGATTTTTTTGCAGAGGTCTGGCTCAAACTGACTCGGTATGCACGAGGAAGGGCTGGCGGAAGAACTGCGGCGACTCGTGCATTCATTGACACTTATCTTGATGACTATTTGGAGGTCACTGGTTTTGTTCCACCAGATTTCCTTTATGGTCAGCAAGCATCTTTAATCGAAGGAGCAAAGATCTTTACATCTTATAGCAACAATGTTCAGATGCGTTTGGGAAGTCATCTTAGACAAGCTGTTAATCATCTACTTCGTATTCGACAAAGAAAAGCCGAATTAATTGCTTATAGAAGACGTGAAGGATTAATTGATGCACTGATAAAATCTGAAGTATACAGGTCCAATATGACAGGCATTATCCAAAACCACTATGTCAACTTCCGAACCAACCATCGTACTGCTCATCCCTTGCACAGAAAATTGCGGCTATCTGCCTATATTAGAAGACAGCAAGGAAACGAGGATCTTATTTCAAAACTAGATGAACAGTTTGGTGTCGAAGCTGTTTATGTTATGGGTAACTGGTCTTCTCCTAATGCAAGATTTCATGAGCCGGTCCGAGGCCTTGGATTCCGTCGGTTGCTTCAAAAAGCTGGTAAAAGGGTGTATTTGATTGATGAATTTAGAACAAGTCAGTGCTGCCCAGCTTGTGAACGTAGAAGTCTTGAAACGTTTCGGATGGTCGATAATCCGCGCCCTCATAGACGAAGAGCAAATCCTCGTGTAATCAGACATGGTCTCTTGAGGTATGTTGATTTTACATGTTAATAATTTCTTCATCTAATAATTTTTTTTGTTGTTCTTGTGACAGATGTACAAATCAAAATTGTAGAGCTATGACTAATAACACAAATAGGATTGTTCCTCGTCTATGGAATCGTGATATGGCTGCTTGCTTGAACATGGTTGATATTGTTCGATCACTTCGTGCTGGAAATGGCATTCCCCCCAAGATTTCGACGTGGAGAGGTTCCCCAGAACCAACGGAGAAGAGCAAGAACCCAAAATGAACAAGCAAACATTAGAAATGTTCGTCAACATCGCAACTAGAATTTTCCAGGCCTGTTATCGCAGGTCAACCATAGATACACTTAAGTGGTAAGCTCAATTTTTTTTTTTTTTTTCGGAAGATGAACGTATTTTTTTTCGGAAGATGAACGTATTTTTTTTTACGTTGTGAACGAATTATTTTTTTATTTGTGAACGAATTTTTTTTTACATTTTGATCTAATATTTTCTGAAAATAGTGTAGAACAGTTTCTTTATGGAAAGACTTGGTAATTAAGTCAGTAAAGGAAAAGGTGCTATAAAATTAATCCCAGTCTTTAATTTCTTTTTTATATCAACGTTTCCATACTTATATAGCCTATAGTCATCGGTTTACTTAAGCTTATGTGCTACTTAAAATTAATTTAAAGCACGTCAAAGAGCTTTTAAAATTGTTCAAAGATCAGTAGATGATAAAAGAAGCGCCACAACATATAGTTGTTTGGATGAATATTTATAAGTTTAATAAACAAAATCTTTATTGTGCTCAATTATTAATCCCTGAGAGCACTAGTTGCTATTGGTGAAAAAATACTAGGGGAAAAATCCGTCCTGAATGGCATATCCATTGCAGTCAGATCATCTAAAAAGGTATAATTTATGGATATTTACAGATCTTCTGACACATTAGATGGTATTTTAGCAGATAGATTGTATAGTTCAAACAAATGCTTATCGTCCAGAGACATATATCCATCATTGTAACTTTGCATTGCTTAATATGCGAATTCAAGCCATTCAAATCATAATAGACGGCTGTAAAATTTAAATTGTGTACGATGTGTTATTGGCAAAAAAACATTCCAGTTCGTAAGTATTCCAAAAACTCCAGAAGATTTCCCCTCTACGATTGATAACAATATCTTCATCGCTTTTTCCTTTTAAAAAACTAGTATTCCTGGTTGCACCATTAAGCATATTATCAAAGCAAATATATTAAGCTATGATTTCTACTTTGACATGAAACTTCTTTTTTACAAAATTTTGTTTGATCACAGTTACTAAGCAGACCTCTTCTATTACTGAACTACTTTTCGCGTTAGCAAAATTAAGAACGAGAAAAAACAGCAAATGCTTGGCCAAGAATTTACCTAAAAACTGCTGAAATCGGGATGCTCGAATCTACTTGAGCGTTCCTAATTATCTGATGATGTACTTTTTAAAACTTTTGCTGATAAATTAATGTGAAAAAGGTGTTGTGTACACTGACACAAAAAAAAAAAGCACGGGTGCCTTTTTAATTCATGTAAGCGGACAAGCAATCCACGCTGGGTAATGCTATTTTTTCCCAATCAAAATGAAGGTCGGACCTGAAGAATATCAACTTACTTTTTTTTGACACGTGCCACAGCCATCTCAGTCTTTTCTTCATGTACACCTCGTGTGCGGAAAGCCTTCTTATATTCATGTATCCATGGTTTCACAAGACTTGATGACGTCCAACTAGCCCCCTTTTTTTTGCTTTTTAAGCTTTTCTTTTTTAATAGATTTTATTTTATTTCTTTTTTGTTTTTATTATTGTGGACATGACAGAAAGATCTAGTGGTAGCAGTCGAAAGATGCAACATTTTATGACACCTAGTTCACCACCATACCCACCGTATGCTTACGTAGAACAGCAGAGTCAAATGATGTACGATCCTAATGATCCCAGCCACACACCCACTTATGCGTATGTCTATCCGCTAAGTCCACAATTCTCTGTACAATACTATTCTGACTTCAATCCAAACACAGCAGATAACACCCCTCGCTATCAAAGTTACCCAGGCTCTCCCGTCCTCCACCCTCATCTGCATCATTACCAACTATCACCACAACTGATTCCTTCCAGTCCTCCCTTCAGTCCCAACTTGCAATATCCGACTTCACCTCCCTCACACGCCTTTGTCTTGCCGCCTCACGGACAGCATCATTTCCCCCCGCTTCATATATCCTCACCTCTCTTAACAGCTTCACCCGCAGGTTACGTACAACCAATTGATCTAAAGAAGCGCAGAGAGTTGCTGGAGCAAGAGTACGTTCATCTGACCCAGTTTCATCCTCAAAATATCTATGTCCGTGGCTTGCCCCTAACAGAAACCGATGAGTCCTTCTTGGCTCTCTGTAAGGTCTATGGTCCTATACGCTCCTCCAAAGCTATCATTGATCAAAAGTCTGGTGAATGCAAGGGATATGGATTTGCTATGTTTGAGGATCAGGAAGATTGTCAAGTAGCTATTATGAACCTGAACGCTGCTGGATATCAAGCCTCACTTGCTCGAGTTGGACAAGTAAATTCAATTCAAGAATTTGTTAAAAGGATTAAGAGATACTTATATAAGTTGTTACTAGGAATCGTTTAGCTCAAGATTAAGAAGTCTTCAAGATGAAACGTCTACTAATATTTATATTTCTAATTTGCCGGTTACCATGGATGAGGAGGTTAGTACCGAGAAGAGAAACTCTAAATAAGGCACTCAAAGTTTTCATTTAGGGTTTGGAGGATTTGTTTAACCCGTTTCAGACGATTTCCAACCGTATATTACGTGATCCACAATCGGGTATGAGTCGAGGAGTAGGATTTGCCAGGTAATGAGAGAAAGGGAAACGGAGGTTATTCTTATTGATAAATGAATAAACAGGTTGGCTGATCGACAATCTGCAAGTGCGATTATTGATAAATACAACGGCCATTCTATCTCGGGATCATCAGCCCCCCTGCAGGTCCGTTTCGCTGACTCTCCTGCTCAAAAGCGACTCAAGAATCAGACAACCACTACAAAGAAAACCATATCGAAACGGGACCTCTTTCCCGCTGGTTTTCCTAATATTCGATCCATGATGCCTATTACTCCTGAAACCATGTTGGGAATCGCTCCCTCCTCCAACGGGTAACCCAATATAAATATACACTTTCTTGTCACCCCCTTTTTCTGTTTATTAACCTTTTCTTTTTCTGTAGATACCCTCACCCTATTCCAGTAACAGAGCCCTCGATGAGTGATGTCGATGTACTGGCAGCAGCGGTTGACCACCAATTAAGTTTAAAAGAATCCACACTTGTATAGAAAAAAAATTATAATAATAAAAAACAGTTCTCTAAAATGAGGCAGGGATAATGTTAATGTCGTGCTTATAATCATCGTGCGCCCATGCGGGTAATTGAGGTGTTTGATATGTCCAATGTGGACCGGCGTATTTGTAGGCATGTAGCCACAAAGATAATTGTGCGGGGATAGGATCAGATTGAGGGACAGGCACATTACAGTCTTGGCAGCGTGCAACAGTTGTATTTGTGGGGTCATCATCCATGTAATCATAGGGGGCAGTTGCCACCATTGTCTTAATCATGGCTGGGACGTCATGGATCGTTTGACCACGAATGATCCTTTCTGACCATGCTGTAGAGTAGCCATATATAGGATCATTGGCGATGGGATGACCCAGATAACGCAAATGCACTCTAATTTGATGCGTGCGACCACTTAAAGGTCTACACCTTACCACACTAGTCTCCCCGTTAAAACTGAGGCGTTCAAAAATGGTAGTACATGCTTTACCTTGAGGATGCACATAATTTAGATTCACGGTGTAAGCTAATTGTTGAATAGGCTCTGAACAAACAATCCTTTCGCGAGGAAATTCACCAGATACGCGACACACATATTCTTTTCGGATCTGCCCTGATCGCATTTCTTGTCCAATCCTATCTGCTTCTTGTGGGTTTTTTGAAATTAACATGAGCCCAGAGGTAATTCGATCAAGTCTATTCGACGCTTATGATAGGTTACTTAGAAAAATCCCATTGTATCCATATTGAAGATGTGTGCCACTTACGAAATAACACTTTACTTTCCAATTCTTTACGCATGATATGAATGACAGTGTTATGTCTGTACCTACCGCTTGGATGAACTTGGATACTTGCTGGTTTATTGATCACAAAAAGGTCTTTATCTTCGTGCACAATCTCAATCGGCTTATCCGTCACAGGTGGCTCATGGCGATGTACTGTGTGTGCAATCAAATCATTATGTTGTAAAATCGTATCTGGTGTTGTAGGTCTTCCATTGACTGTAATCATGCCCTTGTCTATTGCATATCGCTTTACATGTTTAGAGTTAAAAAAAAAGGGAAAGCTGGATTCTCATATTGATGATTTTTCGTCTTACGTAATACCCCTCTGTGCGTCCTCGATATTCTCTCAAGAAAGTATTTAACACTGTGGCACCATACATTCTGACTTTGGCATAAAATAAAAAGCTAAAGTTGTACGGCTTTACTTTTCTCAGGCCTTTGTTTTCTTGTCGTTAGCTTTTTCAAGTTTTTGTTCGGAAACAATCTATTGTGATTACCATTCTCAAAGTAATATTCTGCTGTGTCAATGTCGTCTTTTCGTAAAACACTGGTGTAACCCTTGACAACTTTCTGATGTAAAGAACGCTTGGTTATATTGAATTTCCCAAGTCCTAAAGCTCGAATCGTCCACATTTTGGTAAAGAATGTCAAAGTGCCCTGGCCCATTTCCAAATAAGTTTTAAAACAAATTTTTGGGGACCCGCCTTCACTTGTAAACCTTAAAAGTAATCCTTCTTTAGCTTTGAGGTGTCTTTCACTCTCATAAAAATACAAGCATCACTAGTAGATAAAAACTCGTTATTCCTTGATATTACCAATATCAAGGAATAACTTGAATTAGAAAAACTTTTTTTTTAATTACTCCTTTTTGGAAGATGGCATTTTCTTTTTTATTGGATTTTAAAGATACGCTTTTCTTAGGGACAGCAAAAAATTTCTTACGAACAGTCAAAGTGCACATAGTCGTGGAGAATCAGGTACCTTTTGGCTGTCCCTAAGGGCCCGTTATTTTATCATTATACACTCAAAACTTCGAAAAGAACTTGTGAAGTTCTCTGTGAACTACAACAATTTTTTTATGGATATAATATATTCAATTAAAAAATTAACGAAATGGTCTCCCTTTTAGGACATTCGTTCGATAGATCAAATGCTTTTTTAGATGTTTTCGTTATAAAATGACTTATTATTTGTGCATCATTGTCTTTTAAAGACTCTTTTTTGAATGTGGCAAATGAATAACGTATTTTACCTCAGCTGGTATTGATTGCGCGCATTTGATGATTTACAGAAGAAAAGCAAAACCCAAACTAAAGTTCATATGTATGTAATAGACCAATTTTTTAATAATTAAATTATACTCTTATAACTAGCGGATTTATAAATGCTTCACAATTACAAAACCTAATATCATATTTGTGTGGGAGACATATAATATAGGGGTTCGGGGACACAGTCTTCCAAATGGAGAAAATCACCACATTTCGCCTCCAACGGTATAGGATCTCTTTTGTCTTCAACATATATTAACGTAGGGAGCTTCTCGTGGTCTGAAATAATTGCATTTACAGCATCCACATGGAGAAACACAGGTGAGTTCACTTGATCTGAGCTGGTTGTTCTTGTGTCAGTAGACGGGTATTGTACAGTAAAATTGTCTTGATCAATAGTGGCATTCACAATGTTTAGGTCACTAACTATTTGGTCTATAAAATTTGATGCTTCATCGTTTCCATATTTCAAAGCTTTTTTTAAATACATTAAAGCTAGTTCTCTATTCACTTCTGTACCTAATCCATTTAAATGCATAATGCCGAGATTAAGCCATCCTTCATCGCAGAAGACCATGTTATTGTGGCAAGCTTCATCACACTTGACGTAATACTGAAATGCTTTTTCATAATCAAGAGCAACACCACGTCCATATTTATAAATGTCACCCATAAAATTACAGCCATCAGGATCTCCCCCATCAGCTGCCTTTTGAAAGTACTCTATTGCGATCGTATCAGATTGAGTGACGTTAAGACCATCCTTGTATAATAGGCCTATATATGCCATAGCATGATATTTGTGTGACAAATCAGAATGTTCGTTGTTTAACACGTATTCATACATGTCATATGCTTTTTTAAGATCTGGTTGCACACCAAGTCCTTTATGATAGAGCCAGCCGACACGGATAAATGCACCACCGTTTGATTTTAAGCAGGCCGTTTTATACCAAAACATGGCCTCGATGTAATCCCGTGCGACACCTAAACCTTTCTCGTAAAGAAGGCCAGCTGCTACTTGACATGTTGGATCGACGGTGTCCCCGCTCTGTTTAAACCAGGTTAAAGCCTTTTTGAAATCTTGCTCGTCATCGCGCAATGCATAGAAAATACCCATCGAGTATGCTTTATCCGAACCATGGCATTCAGACCAGTAATCATAAGCGGTAACATAGTTTTTTTCAAGACCATGGTCACCTTTAAAGTAGATGTTGCCTAAAATAACATAGCTTTCGGACCATTTGGATTTTAAACACCACTTTTCAGCTTCCTTGTAATCTTTTTTAACTCCAAATCCGCCTTCTGCATAAATTCTTGCTAAAATAAGATAGTCCTTATCTGAAGGTATATTGTCCTTTTTTAAGTACCAGAACAGTGCTTGCTCATAATCTTTTTTAATGCGGTAACCACCTGTAAAAAACATTCGTGCAATATAACGACAGGAGGGTAATTCATTTTCATTTCGAGTGACCTCTTGTAAATAACGAATTGCCTTTTTGTAATCGGTTTGGTCATTGTAACCAAATTCATTGTAATAGATCATGCCTATTTCAAAACGAGCTTTTGAGTATCCATTATTGAGCGATTTTTTGTACCATTGCATGGCGATAACTCTGTCGGACTCGATACCCCAACCGCAGTAATACAGTCTTGCCAAATAATATTGGGACGCAGCATGATCTTTGTGTGCAGCCCATAAAAACTTTCCAAATGCTTTCTCGTATTGGAACTTTTTATAGTATTTTAATCCACTTTTATAGTACTCTTTTGGCGTTGTGTCTGAAGTACAAATCGGGATTAACAAATAGAAAGAAGGGATTAGAAAAAAACACTCGTAAAATTTTTTACCACTGAAAATTCCCATAATCAATTGCTACTAAGGTTCAATTGATGAAAATAATCAAAAACAGGAAAAAATAAGACAAGTGAATTGGAGTTATATTTTGCAAGATCTTAGAAGGTTGAGGCTTATAAACAATGGCTTGTCCCAAAATAGCTACTTGTGTAAGAGCAAGAAGCCGGCAGTTTCATATTGGGTTATCATTTTGTCGACACCGCCAAGTTTTTATTTACTTACGGTTGCTATTAAAATCATGAAGAAGTGGAACTTATTCGGTCGCAGGGCTACATTTGCCTTCATATTTATAACTTTATTCAAGTGTTCTTACATCACTGTCTAAACAGTAAGTGTAATCTCACGCGTAATAAAGGAATTTGGTTGTTAATAATTCTTAGAGACTTTAAAATAACATGATTATTGCATTCAGACAATAACTATTTCTAGACTGAATATTTAGTCAATTTTGGGTTTTATTACCAAGTCCACACGTTTAACAGCAATAGGATGAATTAAGGGTTACATAAACTAGACTTCGCGAGGTAACTGGAAGCGCCTTGATAAACAATTCGTAACTCTTGGGATGTGGCTTTAAGCAAGTAATAATTTCGTGGATTTCATTAATGTTTGCAAGCCAACAAAGATAAAATGTGAAACAGTTTGGCTTAAAGAAGAAAAAGAAAGATTAACAAAAACTTGTTGCCCTTTTTTATAAAGTTTTTCTGAGTTGAATATTGAAAGTAGTAGAGACGTAGAATGTTTGTAGATGATTACAGTATTAGCACTTTAAATTCAGACAAGGAAAACTTATTTTCAGATAAACCTAAAAATGATTTCAGATGAACAAAAATATATTTCAGACAGAAGTAAAAAAATGATTCAGCCTAACGTAATATATATATATACAAATAGAATAAAAAAAAAATTCCAGACAAAGGCTATCAAAGGATGTATCCTGTGAATTTTACAGTTTTCATATTCTGCATTGATAGTTCATAATGTATTTAAAAGTGTATTTTTATGAGCTCTTTTTACACAAATCCTCAATTAATATGTTATAACAGTAAAAAAGGGGGAGAAACGGAATTTCAATTACTTTAGATGACGTTGACTTTGAGCATTATAATGTAACTTGATTTAATTGACAATACATCAAACAGTGCTTCTTTCACAAAAAAAATATGAGACCTCGTATTTACCCACATACAGAAGATTTTATAAATGCCAAAATAACAGCTAAACTTGCTAAGATGGGGGACGAAACGAGTACCAGCACAATGAATCAACCTGCTGGTGGAAACAGAGGTAAAAATGCACTGTATATGTTCAAGTATATAGCCAAACATAATAACTCATAAAATAAATCAGGCCTAAAGAGAAAGGAAACATTTGAAGCGAAAAAAGAAAAGAGTGTGGCTAAAAGAAACAGGACCACTGCGTCTTCAAGCTCATCGACCCTGATTTGCAAGTCTTGTGATACAAGTGGTCATTCTTCTGCGAGAAGTAAATTGTGCCCTAACCATAACTATACCTTACAAGAATTGATCGAAAAGGATCTTGGTGCTAAAAATCAAAGATATACTATATCTCTTCCATTAAAGGGCTTTTTAAATGAAACAGATGATGATGATGACCGATTACAGAAGGCCGTAAACAAGATCCAGGATCTATCTAGTTTCTTACGTCTTGTTTTGTTTAAAGCTCAAATCTTTGTCAATGACTACATTTTACAGTACCCCAATAATTTGTCCAATGAATTTTTTCAGCAAAATTTCTGGTATTCATTGTGTAGAGTGGTCTGTAAACAGCTGTCGATCAAAGACTTTCAGTTAAAGTATGCCAAAATTCACCACTTGGAAGACGTATGGATGGAGCTTAATAATCTAGAGGGAGTAAAGTTAAACGTAGAAAAAGATGGGCTGAAAAATTATGGTCAAGTGCTTGCAACTGCATGTGAAACTACTGCTACGTGTTATAATAACTATTACATTGAGAATTTTCAGAGCATTATCTGCAACTACTTCATGTATATGATTTGTAAAGAATTTCATGTAAGTTACTATCAGGAAGCACTAACAAGTTATTAACAAACTTGACTTAGAACGTTAAAAAATCTGTCATAAGGAAACTTGTATATGAACATGTTTTAGATCAAGTACTATCATCTGATCCTGTTGCCGTTCTAAATAATGATATCCTCCCACCATTAAGCCAAAAAACAAAAAATGGTTTACAGGCATTTATAAACCCTTTAATTGTGGAGCTCAAGAACCGCTTGCCATCGTTCACAATTACAAAGGCAACTCAGAATACTGCCCCTTTTGGTATTTTACCGGCATTAAGACACATTCTATCCAAGTATGAATCAATAATTGCTGAAAATTCTACTTTACAGAAGCGTGACTCAGAAACAGGAAAACCTCAAGATACGGTTCAATCTGGTGAAAAAAAGAAGGAAGATGATATTGTAAAGCATTTTGTACTGCCTAGAGTATTTAGCCTGTTTCCCAATCCCGGTTTGCAGTGGCGCTTTATCAAAATCGATAGTCAAAACGTTACTGGTATATTCCCTGGCTCAAAGTTACAGAAAGAAAAGGACGAGACTTTATTTAGCTTCACACAAAGGTACTTTTACGATTGTTTTAACTTTGCCAAGTTAAAAATTAGAAGGTACATAAGAAAGAAAGAGCATTGAGAACCTTCTTCATATAATATTAATAATAAACATTTTGTCTATTATTATTAGCCTTAAAGATATGAAGGAGCTGCCTACAACCAACGGCAAGATGTTTTTGAACGGGATGTACACCGATGGTTGTACTTACCGCTTACTATTTTGTCGTCGTACTGAGCGATCTTCGTTAAACAAAAGCATTGTCCTAGAACTCGATGACTTTAACACTGAAGAGGTAAATACTTATTTTAGGCCATGTACAGTTGATCCCGGAAAGAAGGATGTGTTTGTATCCTACCATGGAGACAATGATGTAAGACGTCTTTCTTCAAAAGAATACTACAATATGGGCGGTGTTACGCAAAGACATAAACAGGAACAAGAACTCAAGAAAAGCTTGGGTATTGATCAAATTGAGACCAATATCCCCTCACCTAAAACCACGTCTCATGATACCTATATACTGTACATTACGTATATTCTCCAACATATTGATACACTTTTTAATTTCTACGGGTTTAGAACTACCAGTAGTAAATGGTGTAATTATATCGCATCACAAAAGAGTATAGAGGACGCCGTTAATATCCTTTTAAATGGATCTACAAAGTACAACAAGAAAAGAAGGAAAAATAAGAAGAAGAGTAAAAAGCGAAGGAGATCTAAAATAGTTGATTCTTCAAAATCTAAACCGAAAATTGTCAAAAGGTAAGCGTGCTAACAAACCTTGATATGATTGTATTTTAATAATAAAAACTTGCATAAAGAGAACATAAAGAGAAATTCGAAGAAGGGGATCGTAATAAAATGCCTTTAATCATCTTTGGCGATGGACTTAAGAACAAAAGCCAAACAAAGTTTAAGGGTTTACGCTCCGGTGTAACGGACAAGCTTTACCGACAATTGAAAAGAAGAGAGAAGCTTGGAGAGTTACTTCTTGTTGATATTAACGAGTTTAAAACATCAAAGGTTAGTATATTAATGTATATCAATACCTTCGACTAAAATAATAGTTTTATAGACATACAATTCTTGTTTTAGTAATGATTTAAAAAACATGAGGTGCGGTACTGACGAAAAATCCTCGCACATCCATCAAATATTGATTTGTAAACGATGCAATATTTTTTGGAATCGTGATGTGATGGCTGCGAAAAATATGCTTGCTATATCTCAATCCATTTGGGATGGCCAAGGCCGACCAACTGTCTTTAAAAGACTAAACGCCACCTCCAATGTGGTTACCTCGTCTCACTCAAGTGAGGAGAAGGTTTAAAGATTTTGCAGGTAAACCTTAGAGTAACTTATCAAATTATCCGAAAACTAAATTTCATTTGTCTGATTTTTTATTTATTTTGTCCAAAAAAGGTAAGTCAATGTCTGAAAGTAAATTTTGATTCGTCTGAAAAAAAATTAACATTTGTGAATTAAAAGTAATCAAAGCGGTCTAGTGTTTTAAAAAAATTACAAACTCATTTTGCATAATTTTATATTGCTTTCTTTTTTTATTGTTTAAAATAAATCGTCATTGCCTATGACGACTGTAATTTATCTACGTAAATATAGGATTATTCCAGACCCTAATATTATTAGTGCTCATGGTACCAATTTGCGTGCATTTAAATAATTTTGCGCACTTCTAAATATCAATTTGCGCGAATTTGATTGGCCAATTTGCGTCAATGCATCAATTTTTTTTATTTTTAAGATTATCATTTCTCGTGTGGAATAATAAATCGAACTCACACGATTATGACGTATCCTTTGCGACGACCGAATAAAATTCTCCTTTTACAAAAAAATACCTTACTCAGACGTCTTTTCTTCTTTATCAATTAAACAATGCGAGGCAAGCGAAAGTCGATAGATACTCCTGAAGCTCAATTATTTAAAAAAAACAAGAATCCTTGGTAGCAGGAAGAACTACAAGTTTTTAGCATAGGTTGAATCAAGTTTCCAAAAAGAACCACCTGAATTAGACTATTTTTTATTTGCAGAGCATTTTAATGGCACTGAAGATGCAACAAACGCAAACTATATGGATTTGCTGCTTACACTGCAATCAAAGCAAAGTAACAAAGTTATTAACGTCGTACATGCCGCTGGAATCACCACCGTACTTGCATCACGATTCATGTTTTTTTCACATGGGTAAGATAAGGTCTCGAATATAGAGGATATCGTGGTAATTGTGACGAGAAAGAAGGTGGTGCATACATCTTTCATCCCAGTAACTACACTATATCTTATATTATAAGTACTTTTACTGTATGCTATACTAATTTCAAACTTTTTGACAGACACTAACTTTTATTTTAATCATAGACTCGTCGTTTGCATTCAACAGTGTTTGGAAAGAAATATCGTGAATACTGGGAAGATCGAAAAGACAGCAACTTGAGGGAAGATATCAACAATGAATCTCGTTCTGCTATTTCTTCTATTCAGCGACTAGTGCATCAAAATCGTATTGAAAGAGCTAACAATGTAAGAGATTATTACAAATACCCGTTATTTCTTTAGTATTGACAACATTACATACCTAGGTGTTCAGTACCTCATCCTCATCTTCTAACTGTCCGAATTTTAATGCCACATTTTCTGGTGCTACATCTTCTGGTGCTACATCTTCTGGTGCTACATCTTCTGACGCTATATCTTCTAACGTCACATCTTCTGATTCTACAACATCTGACGCTACAACTTTAAACGGTTAATTAAAATCGCTGGCGCAAACATGTGAGCTTGTATCGGACTAGTAAGTTATAACAGCATTATTCACTCCACCAGAGAACTCAACAAAGCCAGGGGATACTCTATGATTACCTGTTTTAAACAGGACTCCATCCCACTTTGTTTTATTGGTGCCAAAGTATTCTCTCTCAAGCCAACCTGATTGCACAACATCATTCGCAGCCAGAAACAGTTGATTTGTGACAACGATGCTTGTCTGCACTGCTGCTGATCTTTCAAGCATAATTGTATTCAAAGGATCTTTTTTGGTGATTCAATGAGATCAAGGCTAAAAGTTGTATTACTACAAGTAGGGTAATGTGAAACGGCGTGTTAAAAAAATCTTACAAATGCTTAACCAAATTTTCTATCAATCCAATATCATAATTATTGATAACATCAAGGTCTTCTTTATATCCATTTGCGCACAATGCATTAAGCAAATTTTTACAAGAGTAAGCTTTGACATCTTTTATTGCTTCAATTAGATTTCTGGCACTGTCGGTAATTTCTGTTTCTTTGACATTTAAAGATAATGTGATGTTTTCATCTTCTTCTTTAGCTGTACACATTTTTAATATATTCCGTACTGAATTTGATGTTAGATCTATGATACCTAGTTGAGCTAAGCCGTATAGAAACTCAGTTAGAATAGCATTCACTGACGAAATTGGAGTAGTAACTTACTAGTCCGATACAAGCTCACATGTTTGCGCCAGCGATTTTAATTAACCGTTTAAAGTTGTAGCGTCAGATGTTGTAGAATCAGAAGATGTGACGTTAGAAGATATAGCGTCAGAAGATGTAGCACCAGAAGATGTAGCACCAGAAGATGTAGCACCAGAAAATGTGGCATTAAAATTCGGACAGTTAGAAGATGAGGATGAGGTACTGAACACCTAGGTATGTAATGTTGTCAATACTAAAGAAATAACGGGTATTTGTAATAATCTCTTACATTGTTAGCTCTTTCAATACGATTTTGATGCACTAGTCGCTGAATAGAAGAAATAGCAGAACGAGATTCATTGTTGATATCTTCCCTCAAGTTGCTGTCTTTTCGATCTTCCCAGTATTCACGATATTTCTTTCCAAACACTGTTGAATGCAAACGACGAGTCTATGATTAAAATAAAAGTTAGTGTCTGTCAAAAAGTTTGAAATTAGTATAGCATACAGTAAAAGTACTTATAATATAAGATATAGTGTAGTTACTGGGATGAAAGATGTATGCACCACCTTCTTTCTCGTCACAATTACCACGATATCCTCTATATTCGAGACCTTATCTTACCCATGTGAAAAAAACATGAATCGTGATGCAAGTACGGTGGTGATTCCAGCGGCATGTACGACGTTAATAACTTTGTTACTTTGCTTTGATTGCAGTGTAAGCAGCAAATCCATATAGTTTGCGTTTGTTGCATCTTCAGTGCCATTAAAATGCTCTGCAAATAAAAAATAGTCTAATTCAGGTGGTTCTTTTTGGAAACTTGATTCAACCTATGCTAAAAACTTGTAGTTCTTCCTGCTACCAAGGATTCTTGTTTTTTTTAAATAATTGAGCTTCAGGAGTATCTATCGACTTTCGCTTGCCTCGCATTGTTTAATTGATAAAGAAGAAAACAAACCTATTCTCGAATGGGCACGAACACAACAAATTCGACTGAGTGCTTACCTCAACGATTGGATCATCATTTTAGATTAGATCTCACAAGCTACTCATCACACCCAGATAGTAATGCAAAAACTGGAATCGTTAGGATGGATTATCAGTCACGACAAATCAATTTTACAACCTCAGAAGTCATTAGAACACCTTGGCTTCTTATTGGATACCACAACGATGACCGCTCAACTACTAGGGAAAAAAACTAAGGGATCTTCGCCGAAGTATTCAGCAGATTCTAAAGCACCCCCTTCAGTCACCACGGACCATTCACAGCTTAACAATGCGCACTCAAGCAGCAACTTTCGCTTTGATACCAGCCAGATTGTACACACATCATCTTTACGAATGAAAAACCAAACGGTACGCTCATCCGCCGATTGGGACATACCGCAGCAACTGACAACTGAATGCATATAGGAACTAACATGGTGAAAGAACAACTTAATCCATTGGAACGGCAAGAGTATTCTTCCTCAAACACCTCAACAAACGGTATATGTCAACGCCAGCGACAGTGGATGGGGCTGCAGCTTACAGCACAACAACAACAACAAACAAACCGCATTTGGTCATTGGACTCATTAAGAAGCACAAATGCCGATCAATTGGAGAGAACTCAAAGCAGCATTTCTTGCACTGAAAACCTTTCCAGATCTTCACAACATGCGGATCCTGATCAAAACGGACAATACAACCTCCATGGATTGTATGATCAAACAAAGTGGAACCCGCTCACTTCCCCTTATGGAATTAGCAGCCCAACTCTGGAAATGGTGCCTTCAACGTGGCATTACAATTCAATCCAATCATATTGCAGAAATCAACAATACCACGGCAGATTACGAATCTCGCCGCCTCTACCAGAAGAACAATTGGATGATAAATCGATCAACCTTCCTGAATCTTCAAAAATATCTGGGACCAAACGACGTAGATCTGTTTGCAGACCAGATAACGAAACACTTACCAAAGTACGTATCTTAGCTCCCGGACTCGGGCATTCTATTTACCGACGTATTCAGTATCCCTTGGAATCAATTTCGACATCCATACCTGAACACACCGTGGAACTTGGTCAGTCGATGTCTTCAGAAAATTGTACAGGAGAAGCTATATCACGTCACAATGATAACTCCCTGGTGGCCCAGCGCTCTCTGGTTTCCAACGATACAATCTCTGAGCATCAATTCACCTTTACTGCTCTACCAATCGGTGATCGTTCTTCCATCACCAACAGCCATCTGGCCAATGACAAACAATACCCGGAAACTCGCCGTTTGGAACTTATCTGCTCGAAGTATCAACAGTCTCATTTGAATGCAAATGCCCAAGCAGTTCTTATCAACCATCGTATACAAGACAACTCAACCAATAACTCCTATAAACCAGGTCAACTTTTGTTTCTTAAATGGTGTATTCAGAAACAAATTTCACAACAATTTTTCACTTCAACCGATTTGATAAATTTTTTGAGTCACATGCACATTCATCACTCCACCATTCAACTTTTTTCTTAACGTCGACCATCCTGCCAGGATAGTATTTTCTTTATCAAATCTTCACAGCCCGACAAAGTTCTCAGTCCACGCACACTTCAAAGCTGGATCACTAAACTGATACGCCTTTCAACTGATGAAAAACGAGTCTCATTAAGGTTCATTGCCTACTCATTGGCTCTTCAATCTGGTATATCTAAAGACGACATTGTTGCCATGGGTAATTGGGCATCTTCCTCTATGTTTGAAAACCATTACCGCCGAGAACATCTCTCCAGTTTTGACTTCACTAACACGTTCATTACCAATGACAATAATATTGAAGATGATGAAAATATGGACGACATTTTCTTCGATGCTATGGATGATAACATGGATTTTACTTAATTTTACACACTTATATGTCTCTGGATTAGCAATCATATTTCATATTTTTTATTTGAATGTTTCAACCAATTCTGTTAGAATTTATTTCGACACTTGAATATCCGTTTATGCACATCTTTTTCAAGTAACTAATAAAAAAGCAGTCAGGTAGGCCACACACTGTTATTGGTGTAGAATAAAAACATTGATTACATATTTCCTAATATAATCCTCTCGATAATTAAGGCTATGTTCACAGTAAACGCACTAACAATTAGACAAGGCCGCGTTTTATGACCAGTAATGTAGTTCTGCCTGTCTATCTCTATAAAGTGTTAATTGTTTTTTTCAAATAAAAATACACTCTTTTTCTCTGTCTCTTTTTTTTCCATTGTGAATATAATATATCAATTATCTGGTGATGGAGGTTCTTAAACGATGTTTTTCGGATTACTGGTGATTTACAGATGAACCTCGCTACAGTAGAATAAGGAAGAAGGCCGAATTTCCAACCCGACGAAATTTAGCATCCGCGCTCAGAGAGATGTATACTAAATATTTGTAGTGAACAAACGCTCTAAGCCTCTGAGAGAGAGAGAGGGTTGATTTGAGAGATTAATCGAAATGCAAGTATTTGGTCGTACACGGTTTCTACGTTTTGCCTGACTGTTGTGAAACGCTCCTACGTGCATGCTAATTATTTTTCTTGCCCGAGTTTTTCTTGTGTTTTTTAATGATTTCATGTCAAAGCGTTTTTGTACGCCTGTGAAAGGGTAAATGGAATGTGATTTCAGTCGTGAGTAGGCCAAGTAAGTCTTGCATATTTATCATTAAGATTTGACAATTCTGTATGTATTTTTTTTTTTACCCCATCAACCGGGGTAATTTTTTTTTTTTTTTTTTTGTTGCGTTTTGTTGACCAGAGTACTCACGTGGATCTTGTACCTTTTTTTATGTTTTAGGGTTACTTAATTGTGATTGCCCTTTGATGGGCATTTACAAGAGATCCATAATGAAAACTAATAAAAAAAAAACGTGAGTTTCGTGGATAGAATATGTAGCAACCCAATGTTGCAGATGATACCATATTGCTCGTACAAAACTAAAAAATGCCATGTTTGTGCTGTTGAGCTTGTGATACAACACTTTTTATTGGATGAAAATAAATAAAAATACAAAAATAAAAATAAAAAATTACAAAAAAATCCTTTTATCTCTTCTCCCTCTTTTTATTTTTTTTATTTTTGTACCCAAAAAATCAAAACATGTCGACTATGGAACATTCAAGTTCTGTCGCAGCATTAACTGCAGCAGCTGCAGCCGCAGATGAGAACTTTCAAACATGCGATTCACCTTCTGGTTCTTCCACTTCAGAACCTCATGAGGATACCTTACAACAAGCTTCGTTCATTGACCAATCTTTCTTTTATAAACTGGACCAGCTTTCCCCAGACAATCCACTCTTTTTTATGCAACAACAACAACAACAACAACAACAACAACAACAACAGCAACAACAGCAACAACAGCAACAACAACAACAACAGCAGCAACAACAACAACAACAACAGCAACAACAACAACAACACATACAGCAGCAACAAAATAACAATATTCAAACATTACAGCAGCAACAGCTTGGCATGTCACCTTCTCTTTCACCTCCCGCTTCTTTACATTCTCCTCCTCTCCATAACATGAATTTTGCTGATCCTCTTTTACCCAATGCTTCTAATCAAGCTGAATCCAATCCCACCTTTTGGTCAGGCTTTAATAACGTGGGTAAAAAAAGATTGAACCTTTATTTAAAAGCTAATTTCTTTTTTTGGTAACAACAAAAAATAGGCTATTCCTAATCTCGCCAAAAACTTTACAGATTATATTGCAGGATATCCAATGCAGCAAAACTTCAATACACAACAGTAAATATATTTTGTATTTTTGAAGACACAGTTAACCTAATTGTATTATTGATAGATCAACAACACCAATGGAAAAAACCGCCATGCCTGGGTAAAATAAATATAATCATCAAAATACGCATGTGCTGACATTTGAATATAGGATGCAAATCCGAGTATTAGGCGTGCCCCAAACTGGAGCCAAATCTCGTGTGGAAACTCAAATAAAATTATGTATCCAATTAGTCACAGATGATGGCGATAAAGCCCAATGGTGGTCTCACCTGAAATTACCTGAACATATGGTCGCCAAAGACAAATTAAAACGCCAAGTCTTACTGTCGACACAACCCAACGGCACTAAAATTGCCAACGTACCCGGCCTCGAAAGTCCTCTGATTAAACCCGAAAAAATGCTCTATTTAACAGCTCGTGTCATTTGTGCCAGTGACCCTTCTCGCAAAGTCGTCACCTGCCTTGGCTGCATTCAACGCGAGGTAACGCTTTTAATTACTACGTGCCTATAATTTAGCATTAAATCCTTTTATTAGCGTAAAAGATCACAACGTAGAAAAGAAAACAAGGTCAAGAACGAGACCGATGAAATGATGGAAGATGACAAATCATTAGCTAACGAAGAACAAAAAGTCCTGTTATTTAATTGTTCAGAAGTAGTTGATTTCAGCTCAGGCGATACTATTCTTCCTACTCGTATTACCTGTTACTGCAGACATCACAACGAGCGACTTGGTTTCTGGTAAACAAACTTTTTCAACACACATTTTATTTTTTTCTGTATAACTAACCGGAACAATAGTATCTACTTTGAAATGCATGACCATACTGGCAAACAGGTGGCGACCGGTATGTCACCGCCCATTATGATTACGGATGACCATAAATCCAACAAGATCAAAGCCGGTCGAAAACGTCTCCGTACTGACGAAAAGCCAACCACCAGCAGTAGCAGTACGACCACTAGCCATAGTAACAGTCATAGTCCATTTGATATGCGACATCATCAACAGAGCGCAGGCCCGCTTTTCAATCAACTTCAACCACAGCAACAGCAATTACCGCAACAGCGTACACAATATAGCAATTTCTCTAACCAGTATCAAATACAGCCTCGCCCTACCATGGGGAATGAAGCACGTAGTCCAATTACTCCGTTAGATTCGCCCATGACACACGCTTCTCCCATCACGCATACATCACCTTACACAGAACGAGCCATCTCACCTGCGCCCCCACTTTCCATCTCTTCATCTACAAACACGGCTCTTGATCGTCCTTTACTACAACGGTTAATCCCCAATGAAGGCCCTACATTCGGTGGTGTGGAAGTCACCGTACTTGGAAGTGGGTTCAGATCAGGTTTGACCTGTATGTTTGGCGATGTTGCTGCTTCCAGTACTCACTATTGGTCCCCAAATACTTTGGTCTGTATCTTACCGCCTGCTGCTGAAGCAGGTACTGTGGTGGTTTCATTCAAGGAGCATCCGTTGGTGGTGGATAGTCAAGACGTAACACTCTTTACCTATTATAACGAGAATGACCGTGCTCTCATGGAACTCGCGCTTCAAGTGGTGGGACTTAAAATGACCGGTAAAGTAGAAGATGCACGAGATATTGCTATGCGAATTGTTCAGGGTGGCAACACGGGTGGCAATAATAACAGTGGTGGTAGTAATACAGATAAGGGAGGAAGACAGAATACTAATGGCACGCATCAAATGTCTTTGGAACGTCATATTATCCAAGTACTTGAAGTCATGAGCACATTTCGAGACGTTGAATCAGCGGATGTCTCGATTACAAGTGCACAAGGTCACACGATGCTTCATTTGGCTGCCATGCTTGGTTTTGAGAAATTAACACGAACCTTGATTGAACTTGGATGTGATGTAGATAGAACCGATAAAAATGGATACACAGCTTTACATTATTGTGCTTGGTACAATCATCTTCACGTCGTTCATGCCTTGTTGGAAGGATCAGCTGATGTAGAAATCTCCAATATGTGGAACAAGAAACCTATCCATTTGACCCAAAACATGAGTATCCGAAACAGTTTATGGAATCATGTACCCTTAGTAGAAGACGATTCAGACTCTGCTCATGAGGGTGGATATACATCATCAGAAGATATGATGAGTGCAGATATTGATACATCCTATGCAGAAGAAGATTCAGATGAAAGTATCTGGCTAAGTGAAGCTGAATCTGTGGATAATTCAGGCTGGAGACAATCCTACTTGTCTGATTCAGAAGAATCCAGTTCAGCAGATGACGATGTAGTTGTTTATGAAGGACTTCGTCACCGTCGTCGACAACAATTAATCACTTTTGCACCTCATCAGTCACAACCTACGATGGCTATTCAATACTTAAACGAAGAAGGATCTATGTCGCATTCAGCGGATGAAATCCTTGACGCACAACCTCTCTTTGGGATTGATCCAACAACCGATTACGAAGATAATAATGACGATGATGAACGGAAAGAAATGAATTGGATGCAACGTACATTATCTCATTTCGGTCAACCTACCACAGATTCGTTCTTACAAAATATCAAGAACAATATCCCTGCTAAACCTGCTGAATTGAATTTGAAAACCATTGCAGATCATTTATTACAGTTTCCTCGTCCGGCTACCATGATTGCCAATATGTCCGAAATGTTCTCTACAGATAATCATGTCAAGACACAGGAAGAGCCTGCAGAACAAACACTGGCTTGGTATATGGCACTAGCTTATGCTATGGGGGCACGAAGTAATGAAGAAGAAGAGGTGAAAAAATCTACAGAATTTCATACACCTCTTTATTCCTCTGCTTGTGCGGGTCAGGAAATCGAAGCAAAGAAACGTCGTGATAAGCGATTATTTTCTTTCTGGGTTCCCATGTTATGTCGTAAGTTACATTGCACTTCTTTTTTTTTCTTCTTATCATTATCTAATATGCATCCTTCTTTTTAGTCATGGTGATTTGGCTCATCTATCAGTTTATTTCCTCACATCCCGTGGTGGTGGATACAATCATTGGCATTTCAGGTTTTCGAAGACAATACTTGACCATTCATTAAGCTACTCTTTTTACTTTCTTTTTTTTTTCCTATACCATCAACACACACCACCACCTATTTTTTTTTCTTCTATACAAAACTCATATCCCCCACACACACCAATTCATTATAAATTATGTTTCCCCCTCACCATACTAAAAAGCTCCATTCAAAACATTCCATAAGTGTATTTTAATTAAAATATTTTTTTTTCCTTTTCTTCATGTAACTGAATAAATGTTGTCCAAGTTATACTTGCAACTCCTTAAAGATCGCCCGTGTCGAGTGAGGTTTTATCCTGGATAAAAGCTTATCATTAAGTAGATGACTATCGTATAAGCAGCACAACATCTTAAAGATAACGAATAGAAGTTCTCTTTTCCATCCCAAAATCAACCCCATTAAAAGTCGGTGAGAAACTTTAAAAGGTAAGAGTCTACTGCTGCTGCTTAATAAGTTTTTTATGCAGGCCACACGTTCCTTCTTGGTCACGGACCAGGTCTTGGTTTTTTTTTTCTTCTTTTGCAGGTTTTTCCTATATTACGTACTGGATTGGAGTGATAATAAAGAAGGTTAAGAGTCGGAGAAAATGAATAATAAAATGCATCTCGCGTTGTTTGTATTGATAACTGACTCTTTTGAGAAGAAGGGGTGGTCGCTTCTTCACCTTTCTTTTCAAGGCAATATGGGAATAAAAGGGGGGATTGTATGACTGCAGGCGGCTGGAAGCATACTTACTATTCGTGAGAAAGATGGCAGGTTTATAATCGTGCGCTTATCTATAAGGTAGTCATATACATGAGTGTAAACATAAGACCTAAATTCCTTTTTATCGGTGAACACAGAGTCTATTTCCTTTTAACCAAAGAACAAGGTTAATTTGCTCATCTACATACGGTTAGGCTTACAAAATTTGGTCGCTGGAATACGAGTAATTCAGGGCCAATCAGTGCACGTAGTCTCGACCAAAGATTGTCCAATATAGACTCTATAATGGAAGCATTTAAACGCATAAGAGTCCCTTTTTTTATAAAAGATAGTATATTAAGCCAGAGAAATAAAAAGGAAGTTCGAGGCTTTTCTTGTTACGGGTCTCTTAGGGACAGCCAAATTTTCTTAGGGACAGCCATTTTTCTTAGGGACAGCCAGGGTGCGCGTAGTCGTAATGTTGGGATTATGATACTTTTATAGACATCAAGAGGTCAATACAACTTAACAGCTTGAAATATATACACATTTATTACAACGAACATAGTTTAAACCAGTATATGTATTTTAAAGCTAACTTTCAGCTTCTCGTTTGGACTTAACATTAATATTTCTGCGTAAGATTTAATTCAAACGAGCTCAAAGGCGAAAGAGTGATAATAGAATTGTCAAAATAAGTATAAATCGTTTGATGTACATTTATTTGTAATTTTTACATTGTTTTTGATTGTATATCCTTGTTCCCATGTCTACAGAACATCCAAACTATAGATCTTACGTTGCGACTACGTGCACTTTGGCTGTCCCTAAGGAAAAATTGGCTGTCCCTAAGAAAAGCGTTCTTGTTATTCATCTATTCGCAATAAAAACGATAAACAAGAACTGATATCGCCGGTTAAAATTTACATGAAAACTCTTGAATATATTTCACATCACTGCAGCTCCTCATGAGCAACCTTCGCCTCACGTGGTTACTTAGACAACCTGGTTACTCGTTCCTATGGTGATGCTACGTGCACCTTGGTTATACCTAACAAAAGGGGTTTTTCTATTTTCAGTTTACCTTTGGTAAAAGAGCCTTGCAATCGATTTCCTAGCGCACTTTTCTAAATGAACCCTATTTTAAGTGCATCTCCTTTATTCGAGTAAAGTTCATAGAGTCTCGGAATCTTTATCCTCTAACTGTGGCACCTGCCATTGTATTGTTTTTCCTGCAAAAACCAGGATACTTCCAAGTCCAAAAAAGCAGTCCGTTTTTTAAATAAGCCACCTTTTTCCATGACAAGCGAAAAAAAGTAAAAGAGCAGCAATTTTTTTTTCGTCTTTTTATAATTAAAACCCTTAATATAAAACATGTCTGGTCTTGATTCGCTCGTGTACAAGTATTTATTAGATAACGGTCAAACCGAAGCCGCTAACGCCTTAAAGGCTAAGAACCCCTCGGTAAGTCCCTTTGTTTGTAAAAAAAAAAAAAAAAAAAAAAAAAAAAAAAAAGACACGAGGTTTCTAAACAGGACATGACTTTTTTTTTGTAGGTTGCTACCAAGAAGACCAAGAAAGATTTAAAGAAAATTTACAATGAATTCGAAACTAAGTAAGCCTTCTTGCTCTCGTATATAACAACAAGGAGTTGTGTACTAACTATATACCTTTAGGGCTACCGATGCCTCTTCTTCTTCTTCTTCTTCTAGCTCTTCTTCTGACAGTTCTTCCAGCTCTGACAGTTCCGATGATGAAAAAGACGTTGAAATGAAGGAAGCAACCGAAGACGTTGTTATGAAGGAAGCATCCGATAGCAGCAGCAGCAGTGACTCCTCTGATTCCGAAGACGAGGAAGAAGTAAAGAAGGTCGAGTCTTCTTCCAGCAGCAGCAGCAGCTCTTCCGATAGCGATTCATCTGACGAAGAAGAAGTTAAGAAGGCCGCCATTGAGGAAAAGAAGGCCGAATCATCCAGCTCATCCAGCAGTAGCAGCTCTTCCGATAGTGATTCCTCTGATGAAGAAGAGGAGGAAGAAAAGAAGGTTGTTGAGGAAAAGAAGGCTGAATCTTCTGACAGCTCATCTTCATCTGACAGTTCATCTTCTGATAGCTCTTCCGATGATGAAGAGGAAACCAAGGTTGAAGAAGTTAAGAAGGCTGAATCCAGCTCTTCATCTTCATCTAGCAGCAGCAGCAGCAGCAGCAGCAGCAGCGATTCTTCATCCGATGAAGAAGAGGAGACCAAGGTTGAAGAAGTTAAGAAGGCCGAATCCAGCTCATCTTCCAGCAGCAGCAGCTCCAGCAGCAGCGATTCTTCCTCTGACGAAGAAGAGGAGGAGGTCAAGATTGTTGAGATCAAGAAGGCTGAATCCAGCTCATCCTCTAGCAGCAGCGATTCATCATCTGACGAAGAAGAGGAAGCCATTGTTGAAGAACCCAAGGCTAAATCCAGTTCTTCATCTTCATCCAGCAGCAGCAGCAGCAGCAGTGATTCTTCCTCCGATGAAGAGGAGGAAGTCAAGGTCGATGTCAAGGTTGCATCCAGCGCCTCTTCATCTTCATCTTCATCTTCTAGCAGCAGCAGCAGCAGCAGCAGTGACTCATCTGACGATGAAGAAGTCAAGGTTGTTGTTAAGGAAGAACCCAAGAAGGAAGATTCATCTGATAGCGATTCATCCTCATCCGATAGCGACTCTGACGACGAAGAAGTTGTTACTGTCACCACCACCACCACTACTACATCTACCATCGCACCCAGCGAGTCCAGTGACTCTAGCGATTCTAGCGATTCCAGTGACAGCGATTCCAGTGACTCTAGTGATTCTAGTGACTCTAGTGATTCTAGTGACTCTAGCAGCGATTCAAGTGATTCAAGCGATTCTAGCGATTCCAGTGACTCTGACAGCGATTCTGACAGTGATGATGAGGACGTTTCTATGGCTGAAGCCGAGATCAGCAACAAGCGTAAGGCCGAAGAGGACATTGAGCAACCTATTGTCAAGAAGGCTGACACAACAAGGTAAAGAAAAGAGCTCCTTTTGGAATATATGGATGCGGGGTGAAAGATGTATATATGTGTAGAGAATAAAAATTAATTATTTTCGGTTCTCCCCTTATTTCCCCTTTCTCTTCTATTTTTTTTTTCTTTTTCTTTTTATATATATTATTGTGATTATAGTACTCCCAAGAAGGCTAAAGGTCCAAAGGTTCAAGGTACACCTTTCCAACGAGTCAAGCCAGAAGAGGTTGAATTTTTAGACGAGAGATTGATGGATAACACTTACGATAACAAGGGTGGATCTGATATGTCGTCTTATGGATGGAAGGCCTCTCAAGATTTGATTAAGGTGCGTGGCGACAAATTCCGTGCCGAAAAGAATAAGAAGAAGAGAGGTTCTTACAGAGGAGGTCAAATCTCTTTTGAGAGCCACAGCATCAAATTTGATTAGTTCTTTATTTTTTCATCTCTATCATTTTCATCAACTTCTTTTTTTTTTTGTACACACATCATTTAAAATAAACCTTTTATAAAAGAAATAATATATGCATGTACCATGTGTGATCAGCAGGTGATGCTACTACTGTAAGTGCCGATAAATTTTTAATAATTTTTTTTTTTTTTTTTTTTTTTTTTTGAAAACGCATGACTTGGTAAGTTGGCCAATGAACATTAATAGCTCATCATCTCCCTTTTTTTAAAGATTTTCCTTTTTTTTTTTTCCCTTTTTTTCTTTTTTTCTTTTTCTTACTATTTTTCTTATCATGACAGAGCAAACAGACCTTACGTTGGGTTTACTTTCGAAGAGTTCGCCTTCACAACTTCAACCCTTCCAGCTGAACAGGTCGCGTACTCAGCCATTACCCACAGAAGCGTTTTACGTCTCATCTCCCAAACTCGTTATCAACAACAGTTTGAAACGTAAGTTCTTTTTATTTTTATTATTTATTTGTGAAGAGGGACTGACTACGAAGAGAAAATAGCGTCCAATTTGAGTCATGTTCCTTGCAAGTTTTACAAGCAAGGTACCTGTACAGCAGGAGCCAATTGCACATTTTCCCACAGCTCAGATCTTTCTTCAGAGTCAGCAGTCTGTAAATACTTTGTAAAGGGTAACTGTAAATTCGGCACCAAGTGTGCCTTATTGCATACCATGTCTCCCTATGGCAATATGAAGCCACCCAGTCTGTCTTTCACTGGCAGAAGAAAAACAACCACAGACAATTCTATCGATCATCGATCCTTCTTGAATGATCCGTTTGCCTCCAGTGCTCCCGCTGTCTCTTTATTTCAAGCTGAACAATTATGGCGCACTCAACCACGCACAAATATCATTGGTTTACGTTCATCGCCGCGTGAATCAGACCATTTTCAGCAACAGCAACAGCAACAGCAACAGCAACAGCAACAGCAGCAGCAACAACAACAGCAACAACAGCAACAACAACAACAACAACAACAACAACAACAGAGCTCGCCCTTATTCAATTATCGACAACAGTCATCTTCTCTGCGAAGCGGTGGGAGCTATTTTAATAGTCACCCACAACAGGCAGCACAGCCATTTGCCTATCCAGTAGGCTCGTCTTCTTCTATGGATGATTTTAGCAGTCCTCATCATGGACAACTATACCATCATCAACAGCAGCAGCAGCAGCAGCAGCAGCAACATCATCATCAGCAGAGTGGATATGATTTGAATGACGCTATGCTTCCTTCGTCATTGAACGACTTGTTTACACCCAACGAACTACATGCGAGAAGTCTACGACAACAGTCGAGAGAGATGGCTGTACCACCGCCTTCATCCTTTGAAAGTCCATGGCGAGTTCCTTCTTCCTTTGGTGAGACAGCGGCCATCAACATTCCATGTGGAAATAATACTACGAGTGGCAGTAGTGGTACAAGTAGTGGAAGTTACTTACAGGGACAACACAACGATGACGATGAATTTCAGTTCTTTATGGAAGATGATGAGGCTGTAACATTTGATCACATGAATACAAAACCTCCTGTCACGCCTTACACCATGCCTCCACTCATTAGTCTGCCCAGTACATAATACAACACATCACACACACCACAAAAAAAAGTTTCTTTCTTACACACACTTAAAAAAAAAGGCCATCTTTTGTTTAATATTCCTCCCATCATTTTTATATAAAAAAATAAAAAATTATTATTTCCTTTTACGCTCAATCGGTGTAAACTGTCTGTATTTCTCGAAATAATCCAATAACTGCCCAGTAGATGACAATTAATAAAAAATGGGGAATGATAATTTTATTTCTTACCTTTTGTGGACATTTGGAGCTCACTTCGCTCGAATGATGCATTGATTTATACCCATTTTTCCACTTGACATACACCATTACGTTTCCCAATTTAGTCTTTTCAACGTACGTGATATTCTCCACCGCATTCTCCCAGTCCTTTTCTGCGTTGGTGTATTCAAATACCTTATCAATCGCCGAATTCGGTCGTTGCGGTTGCGCTCGATATGCCTTCATGTCTTGCTTATATTTTTTAGCACAAACGGCCATTCGCTAAATGCTTTTCCTTAGCCTCTATGTCCTCCCATAAATAGCTATCCCTCCTCCCCCCAACTTACGTCTGTATCTTTTGTTCCGTTTCCCAGGTATTGTCCATCACGTCAAACCCACGCCATTTAACATAATATTGCGTCTCTCCATCCTTTTCTTGATGGTTAATATTGTCTCTTCTTCCTATTTTTCTTGTATTGTCCCTTACTTCGTTCTGGCGGTGCTTAATAATGTATTCTGGGTAGTCGTCAATCATAATATAATGATTAAAAGAATGTAACAAAAAAAAAAAAAAAATCCTATAAAAAAATTGGCGGTTGCAGTTTATTTTCTTTTGTTTGTCCCGATTCCCTTTTATGGTGAGTAGATAAAATGGCATACATACTTTTATTTAGGGAGGAAAACAGAAAGGGGAGATACTGTGCGCTGGCTCAATCTATCAATGCACTAAAGTTAAACATTTCCCCTCTCCTCACACTCACACACATCCAGGGGAGAAAAATGGTTCACCTTTTTTAGTCAGTTGGGTGATGTACCTGGGAACAGGGAAATTCTTCATCTTTTAGTGACCCTCCCACCTGTTCTCAATAAACAGACCATGCGGGGGACTACTATCTTTATCTCTATCGTAACCAGGCCTGTCAGTGGAAACACGGGGTGTCCAAGTGCATCGTTTCCAACGTTACCATGGTTGTAATGCAACGGAGGACAAGTCACTTTTTTTTTGTTTAATTGTGACTCTTTTTTAGACTAAAACGCCCCTCGTTGCCCTCGCTCATTGAAGTTGCCATCTCCCCGGACGCAAAAAACATTTTCTTTTTTTCAACTGTAAAATTCAAAATGTTGTCTGCACAACCAGCTTACGCACTTGCTAGAGCCACTTTTAAGCGTGCTCAACGTGGCCTCTTTGGAGGTAAGCACATCCAATTCGGTAACAATGTAAAGTGGAGAAAATGTTGGGAACGATTACCCTTATTATTGACACATCAGCATATATATAGAACCCCTTTTCCAAGAAAAAGACGAGACGTAACTGGTTACCCAATGTGCAAAATAAAAACTTGTATTCCGAATCACTTAAATCATTTATTGAAGTCAAAGTCACCACAGCCGTTTTACGTACTATTGACAAGAAGGGTGGATTAGATAAATACCTTTTGGAAACCACCAACAAGAACTTATTCAGTGAAAAGGCCATTGAATTAAAGACAAAGATTATCAACTTTAACAACCTTCAAGCGAGAAGACAAGCTAAGGCTGTCTCTGCTGCTACCGAATCCACCACCACCACCACCACCACCGCTATCGCTGCGGAATCATCACCCATCGTCTAAACATAAATACATAGACTTTCTTTTTCCTTTCCCTCTTTCGCCCAATCTTTTTGTACATTTTAGAAAAAAAAAATCAATTATTAAATCATGGCATCAACTGTATCGCTCTTTTTTTTGGTGATTTACTTTTTAATGGCAGGGCCTTTTTTTTAGGGCATTTTTTTTTTTATTTTTTTTTTTTTTTAATCGACAACCAGTTCCTGTAAAAACTTGTGCAACTGGGGTTTCTTTTTCTTTTTATTTTTTAACGTGTAGCTTTACTTTTAATTTATCATTTCATGGAATTACCTCACATTGGAAAGAATTGTCAACTCGAACAATGTCATTCTTTAGGTATTTGGAAGCTGTTTATTGATGCAGAAGGTTTGCCTTACTCAACTCTTTTACTTTTACGTGATTAGACTTTCTTCCAGTTGCTTGTCCTCTTTGCCAACAAACCTATTGGTAAAAATTGAATAAACATGTCCTACAGGTCATTTACAATACAAATTGTAGTGGAGAGCATAGATTACCTCTTGATCATTCATGTTCTCAGTGGAGTCGTGTGGACAAACAGTTGGTTCAATGCGACACCTGTCAACATCTTGTGAAAGCACCCGATGCAGAAAAACTGACTCCTGAAGTCTCGGTAACAAAGAATACATTTTATTTTCAAGTTTTTATTTTTTAAAAAAAGATAACTGGTAGCTGGAGAAGCACAAAGCATCGAATTGCAAAGTTTACTTATATCCACCCAATGGTCCAATACCAAAGATTAATCGACAGTGCACTGTCAAGGGTTGTAAAGATATAGATCCTCGTGTAGGACCTATCCGCTGTGATGGATGTGAAGAAGACTTTTGTCTGAGGTAAAACAAGTGTAAACCACATCCATGCCTGCTGTAATTAAAATAATTTCTTACGCAACAAAAGACATCGACACCCTTCTGCACACAGATGCAAGTCCTTAAATGACGACGAAGACCGTAAACGAGATCGCAAATTAGCCGCCCAAGAAAAAGTCGCAAAGACGTTCACGTCCCCTACCAAAAAACCTAAGATTAAATCCGTCGCTGTCAAAAGTAAGAATGGCGGGATGGTTGAGCTTATGAAGATCAAATCTCAAGCTAAAGGAAGCGCCTCTGTACCCACCTCAAGTCGTATTTATCTTTACGTTCAATGTCCCAAAGAATCAAAATTGGATTTTCAATCGGTCTATTTCGACAAGGTAGGCGTTACATGAGTTTTGTACCTTTCTTTTATTCCTTATACCTTAGTGATTTAGTTAAATTCGGTTGGTAAAGCGTTAGATTTAATCGCGGATACGTGTAAAGTGAACAACAAGAATCATACTCTTTCTCCGACCGATCCAGAGGTAAAGTATAAACATTGTGGAAAATGTGATATAGGATATTGACCCTGAAGATGAACCTTAGCGTCTGGAGCTATTCAAGTGTCCTGAAATGACGGTTTTGGATAAATCATGTAGTTTAGAGAAATGTCTCCAGAATCTGGACACCGTCTTGCTAGAAAGACAAGGTTCTGTCTCTATAGAAGAAGACAATGATCAGTGATCTATCAGTAATATAAGGCAGGACATTAACAAAGATCTGCGTCAGGGTCGAACAACTTGGTATCCCGAACTCATGTCACTTTTAATTCAAACAAACTTATCAATTTTTCGAGACAAATAAACATTACTTTTCAGGCAATTATCTGTAAAAATATTCATAGACCATTTGTTTAAATAATCTTCAGATTATTCATTGCGTTCAGGATGGTCTGTGCCAAACCACATAGCTTATACGTAATAAAAGTAGATGTAATTGACATAAATGGAAATAGTCTGTATCACAGATCTATCGGTAAATAAAGTAACAAGATCCAGTGACATTGAAAGGATCTAAGTCTATCCAGTCCGACATAAGAACACAAACTTGACTTGTGTATTCGACAGTCAAAGAAGAAATTTATTGATGACTAATTACTGTCAAATATGAAATTAGTTTCCAGCTGTCATTTAGTATAAATAGACCCCAAATTATCATCTTAACATCTTGGTCAATAAATTTATAAAGTAATTCTAAACGTACTTATGTACTTTGTTTTATTTTTTATTTTATTTTGTTTTATTAAATCACACTACCGATTTTTTACATGGTCAACTCAATGATAGTTGCAAAAATGTTTAATACTAATAGACGTTTTTTTTTCTTTCTTATTTCTTCTTAAAACTATAATTTATGTTTAAGGCAAGGAGTACAATGTATTCTAAAAAGAATAAAGGATAAGAAATCCAGAACACAGGAAGAAGAACATCGTAAACTTTTCATTATTAAATGACTTCCAATACGCAAAAAAGAACTTAAAATTAACTTCGGAAATTCTATTTTCCGAAGTTAATTTGCCATGCCTTCCAAAACGCATAAAAATGAACGTTAATTTTTTTATTTATTTTTTAATTCAAATAATCCGTGGTATCTTGCTCTCTTTCCTTTCAATTAACGTATTAAACCGTTCTAATTTGGTGTGCATCGACTGTTTGGACACAGATGTTGAGCAGCTTCCATACAAGGTCCAGAATTTGATTGCTCGCAGGAAGTTTGGCTAGCCTTCTGAACGAACCTCAAATCCCATTTAACTGCTTGCCAATGGTTTTTAATGACAGCATAATCTATCCAAGTCTCCGAATCCTTTCTAGTTACTACTACTGCATTTTCCTCTAGTAAAAAGCTTAAAAGGTTGTTCGTGTTGTGTTTTAAAGTAAAGTAAAATTATAAAAAGACTATAGGAGTAGTTTGAGACTGTTTATAAGATGTCTTTATTATTAAATAAAATGTACGAGTATTAATTTAAAAGACTGTCTGCTGTGTTCATATCTCTAGTGCTATCTTGAAGTTATCATTGATTAATGTTGTAGTTGAAGTATAATATTGTAATAATTGGGGTTTATTGGGGACTGTTAAAGTTAAAGATAGAAAAATGATTATTCTTTTTATTCATAAAATCAAGTAAAGTATTTATATCAATTCATAATCGGATTTAAGTATAAAGTAAAGTAATAGAAGGCGTAGCATATTGATCATAAGTTGATGGCATAGAATGGTGGTTTACTGCATAAGTGACATACGGGCATAGATATTGTTAAGACACTGGTAATAGTTCTTAAAGGATAAGGTGGATATTGGTTATTAACACTGCGGTTAATAATAAAGTAGTTATGAAAGTGAGCACCAGACTGGAAGTAGTCAACTTTAGAAATCTTATAATATAAAGTTTTTAGGATAAGAAGATAATCAACGATGATTTTAAGAGGGCGTAAGTAATATAAATATAAACGAATTGCCAAGATTAAAAAGAAAAGTAATTATGTTATTATAAACAATATCTTATGTACGGTTGTAGTAATAAAGAGATTCGAGTCGAGTGTGAAAATATGAACTTTGAGTTAATTGTTATATGTAAGTATAAACTTAAGATAAACAAGAAGTAGGAAAGTTGAGGGAAACACAAAGGAGTCAATTACAAATTATTAAGAAACTAGATTTTTAGTTAAGATAAAACTGGAGGAATATTTATTACGAAAAAAAAGGGACGTATTTATAGAAAAGATCCTATCCTGTGTAACACCAAGTCAATTTAGATTGGCTGCAACAATATACATAATGGCAAACGCATGGCTGCTAAAAGTAATGTGCGTGACTTGCATATGATCACAAATTGTAATACTTAAGGTTTAAGGACCGAAAGACAAGATGCAAAAAGGTGCCACTTTGAAGGTGCCTCTTACAAGGTGCCTCCTCAACAATTCTAAACCTATCATTCTTATATTACTTAGCCGTTAACTTTAATTATCTTCACTATATAAACTATCATAATTCTATCAATAAAACATTATTCTATTTCTACTTTATATTTTATTGTGATTATATAAGATAAATATTCTTATCCAATCATATTTATCTTCTGACATATAATCCTCATCTATCCGGGTCGCATTATTACGTTGGTGGAGTAAAGCTGTTAAGGCAATGAGTACTGATATTACTGCTGAAAACTTACTGAAGGCTGGTCCAAGCTCTGCGAGAGACTTGAGAACTACTGTTACCAGCGTTGATGAAAACTTAACCTCGTCTGGTTCAAGTTCTGTTACTGAACGTCCTCCTAAGGTCACTTCTGAGGTCATTCCCGAGGTAACTAATCCTTTGGCGCGTGAGGCTCCGACGAGAACTCTGGAATCTATTGGCACTCTCTCTGTGGTGAATTATAGCAATGCCAAACGATACGACCAACGTCGTCCAGGTTCTGATGCTGTACCGCCGCCTGCAAGTTTTAAAAATTTGCTGCTAATCTTCCCAGTGTGGATGATAATATGAGTAATCATTCGGTACCAACTCAGGAGGAGTTGCGTGCCCCGTTTGTAGCAATTATGGATTCGTATAACAATTTATTGACTTATGTCAGTACCGGTCGTGCTGCGATGATAGATGAAATTAGTGAAAATGAAAGAGTTGGTAATGCTGTGGCTGAATCATATAATTTCCTTGCACCTGCTAGTCGTGCATCTCTGGATATGGTTCTATCGACTTTTCGTGCTAAAATTGATGAGATGAAAGCTCGCGTTGCCTTCTTTGATAATGATATTAACAAGACAAGGAATAATATTGTTCGTAAACTTACGCATGGACTTCATACTATTCCTGCTGCTGATTTGTGTCCTTTGGTACAAGAGTTTTGCTGGCCTACTGAAGCTGTCTGCCATGATTTAAATCTGCCTTATGATTATGTTTTGATGGCTAGGGGGGAGTACAATAGTCGAACTCGTACAACGGTATCACCAACTGGGCCTGAGACTGGTGGCGATGCGCAACTGGAAGAGTTACACCGCCTGCGCCGTCGTATTGCTATGTTGGAGAATGCGAAGTCAAGACAAAGTGGCGATGCATTCGATTTCCGATCCAAAGACTCCATTGGCATGGTCTGTTGTTAGAGAGAAGTTCCCGAAGAAGTTTGGTGGAGGTGTTGATCCTACTCTGATTGCTTTGAAGGAACTGAAAAAGTTGCATCAAGGAAATAGGTCGATGAGGGTATTTGGTCCTATCATTACGGATCTTCTATCTCGTGCGCAAATTTTTGCACCGGGTGTCCAACTTGACTATTTCAAGGATCGTATTCGAAATGAGCTGCGCACTGCTATTATTTATCGTGGACCTACTGATTTGGAACAGGCGATTCAAATTACCACTGATGTTGAAGAAGATTTGCGTAGAGTATTAGGCTCCAAACCTATGGCTGTTAGCTCTGTCTCTCCCGTGGCAATGGAATATGCAACAATGTCAAGTGGTTCTACTCAAGAAAGCCAAAATTATCAGTATGGTAATTCAGAGGGCTCCACAAATGGTTCTGGGGGAAGCTCAGGCGGAGCTCGAGGTGGTTCTGGTCACGGTGGTTCTGGCTCTGGTGGTTCTGGCTCTGGTGGTTCTGGCTCTGGTGGTTCTGGTTCTGGTGGCAAGAAAGGTGGTTCCAAGTCGGGTGGTGGCAAGAAAGAAACCAGGCGTTGTTTTACTTGTAATAATGTGGGTCATTTGAGTGTTAACTGTTTCAAGAATAAGAAACCCAAGCAAAATCAAGAACATCAATATCAACAGCAAGATGTTTCGTGTCAACAAAGTACAGACGTTGAGAACATGATTGATATTTTTGCTCACTTGGGAAAGTTACCTCAAAATAACCAAGGTGTATCTGAGTCTGAAGAATTGGAAGCAAGACGGTTTACGACAACCGTTAAGATCGATGGTGGGGAACAGAAATGTTTAGTTGACACTGGATCTACTCTTACTTCAATTCGCAAATCTATGGCGTCAAGGTTAAACTTAAGACAATATGCTACGAAGCCAAGAATTATCCAATACGGTGATGGTGGGGAGCAAATGACTACAAGAAAAGCTGTTTTTGACTATGTTATTGATGGTTGTCCTACTCGTGCGTTTGCTTTTGTGGTCGAATCTCAAAATGAAGAAGTAATTTTGGGTATGGACTGGATGAACGAAGAAGATATTTTGTTACGTCCTCGACGCAAAGCTGTTTACAAATACGTCGAAAGACAGAATTCTCAAGATACGCTTAATGATTTAGAAAGTCGTGCTGAAAGGATCCTCGCAGATTACCCAACGTTGGTTCCAAAAGAAGGCGATGTTTAATCTGTTACAAATGCTCCTTACAAGCATCGTATACTCACAGGTGATGCGTTACCCGTGTACGTAAAGGAATATCGAAGACCCTTTGCGGAAAATGAGCAAATCAAGATTGAAGTAGCCGGTATGCTGAAGAAGAAGGTAATTGAGCCCAGTACTAGTCCGTGGTGTTCTCCTGTGGTTATGATAAAAAAACCTGACCAAGGGGATGGAAAGACGACGTGGCGGTTCTGTATCGATTACCGACGACTAAATCAAGTAACTTTAAAGGACAAATTCCCTATTGGAAATCTCAACGAACTTTTAGATCAGCTAAATGGGTGTAAATTTTTAAGTACAATCGATTTGAAGAGTGGTTACTGGCAAATACCGATGGATCCAAGGGATGCTCACAAAACGGCGTTTGTAGCAGATGGAAAACTTAGGCAGTTTAAGGTGCTTCCGTTTGGGTGTGTTACTGGTCCAAATTCTTTTTCTCGATTTATGTCTGGTGTCATCAGTGGCTTGTAACGTACAAAGATTTATCTGGATGATTGTATTGTCTATTCAAGAACCGAGGATGAACATGAAAAGGATTTGAGGGCATTGTTGAAGCGATTTGTGGTATTTGACAAAAATATTACAAAGAAAAAGTAATGAGAAAAAAGTATATCTTTATTCGAGGTAAAAATAGACTAAAAGAACTCTGCTGCGATGAAATAATTGATCCTTTTTATATTGAACAACTTCCCTGTTCTATCAAACAAGATAGACAGTTTATAAGATAAAGAAAAAGGTAATTGTGAGACTGGGTAAATTGAATATCGTTTTATTATTGAATTAGAGGATGGTTTATATAGGAATTGACAAAGTCCTTTCGGTACTTGTCAATTAATAGAGCAGGCTGAGAGAATGATTTATAATGTGAACCTATTGCAGTAAGCATGTGTGGACCATGCGTGCATTGTAAGCTGTGATATTATTTATAAGTTGTTTTTATCATTTGTTAATGCAGATGTTGCGTGTAAACCGCGTGTACGTGAGGTGACACAAAATAACTATTTCGAGTTTCTTCGCTAAAGTAACTCACAGAATAGTGCTTGTATACACTACGAGATATTTGTGTATACAACATTCCCCTGGTAGTTGTGTTGAGTCAACCTTTCTGGTCTTGTAATAAATCTATACTCAGTTTCCCGCCTTACATTAAATGAATTCTACTCGTTAGAATTGATTTCAAATAACGTCGCCCTGAATCAACCGATCTGGGACACTCTTATTGTTCTGTTTAAAATACAGAATTCCAGTAAGATATTGTGTAACGGTGGCTAGTTAAAAGATGCATAAGGTTTTTGTGTTTAATTGGCTGTGGTAGAACATGTAGATATGTCTGATCATTTATCCATTCTGTTGATTATTTTTATCTAAGACATGGGTAAATATGTGATCCTAAATATAGAACATCTTATCGATGTTTGTATATTTAGTTGTAGAAAATAGGCATCCAAATATTCCATGCACTACTTCTCTTATACACTTACAGTCGTATAAGTTGGGTTTATCAATATATAAGTAAATGAACCATTTATATAAATAGCTGTTCTATTCTCTCTATGGGTAGCTAATCCATTGAGAGAACTATTAATATTAAGTTTCTCTTTCTTATATTTCTTGATTTGATCGGAGAAGCTTCTCTTCCCGACCGGTGATATCGTAACTCAGTGGTATAGAATTCTATATCCAACTGTCATTCGTATATCGATTTTAAGCCAATCATGCAATCTTTTTATATAGAAATATGTACTCATAGTAGGAGTCGTTGTGTAGCAGTATACAGGCGTATGCTGGTATGCAACATCAAAGGTTGTTTTAATTTCATAGTTTATTTATTTAAACGATTTGCTTAATTATTCCTAAGTGAATCGTACCCAAATACGACAGATTTCATAGGCGTCTTGGAGCTATGGTATCTCTACCCCCAGATCCAACACCCCCAAATCCATCACCCCCAGATCCATCACCCCCAGACCTACTACCCCCAGATCGTAAAGCAGAATCATATTCAAATGACAGAGTCATAAGTCTATGATCTGAACCGAGAGAAAGATCAGATTCAACCACCAGGGAAGGTTGCTTGAAATTCCAGTCGGGTATGTTGGTTAGAAACAGATCTATGATGCTGCATTGTTCTGTATTTTGCCGGAATGTTGAGAACGTTGCTACACCATGAGACAGAGATGAGTTTAGGACCAGAAGATCTTGTTGTTCACACCAAGTAGTTAGATCAGCACCACGAGGCGTAGTAATTGTTGAGGATAACATAATAACACACCTAGAGTAGAACTATCGGAGATGATCCAATAAAGACATGATTCCATATAATCACACTGGTGGGAATTAGTTGTTCCACAATTTACCTCTATCAATAAAACAATGCTGTGTAACGTGTATCGAGCGAAGAGTCTCATAGGACCTGAGCCATACGTATATGGAAATGAGTGCTATTGTTTGTATAATTGTTTATTTACTTCTTTATATTTATTTATTTCTTGACCTCGGTAAACTAAGTTTGGTAAATCATAAACCTGTTTACGTGGCTTTGGTCTTTCCTTCTTCCTTCTGCCTTCTTTTCCCATATTTAGTAGAACCGTCAATTAAGTGATGACTGTCAAGGTTTTGCTTGTTATGGAATCACCGGTGCTGGTCACTGTCAATACCCTCCTCTTGATACCTTTCAAATTATATATAAATACCCCTTGATAGTTTTGTAGAATTATCTCTATCTTCTTTTAAATAAAATTAGAGACGACTTAGTCGTAACAGTACTTGCCCTTTCCCTTTTTTCTATTTCACAACAGTAATAGAATCACCAGTGAAAGTAAAATAAGTTTGAGTAGTCGGTCTTTGAAGGTTAGATCAGAAAGAGAGAAATAGGGTTTAGAGTACTTTAATCCTCAGATTATTATTTCAGTTTAAGATAATCGTTTATTGATAAGAATTGGAAGAGTATTTATATTATTTTGATATTTATGAATTAGTAATCGAATAGTACTTTGCCAAGATACTTAGTATATATATAGTGAATATATGAACTAGTGTATAGTATAAGGCAAAGTGTGTTAACTAAAGATCTGTATTATTCTGGTTGGTCAACCATGAAAGTATTTTCAATGTCCGAGTCTGAACTCACGACATCCGGGGGGTTTGGTTGAGCAATGTCCTCATTGCGATGGTAGATCTTGAGTCGAGCAGCATGTATATTTTTAAGAAGTTTTTGGCTTGAGGTTTCTAGGACATTGTAGCGGTCTTGAGAAAGTACCTCGTGAATTCGGAATGGTCCACGGAATTTCTTGACCAATTTCTTGGCCCTACCTTTGGAAGCGTCAGAGAGGACCGGGCAGTCTACTAGAACCAAATCGTTTTCTTTGAAAGTAGGAGTTGTTCTTTGTGTATTGTAGGCAATAGCATTCGAAGCTTGCACACGACGATTTTCCATTTGAACCACAGCAAGTGCACGAGCAAGAAAGTCCTTTGTTTGTATCTGATATTCTTGGATGGGCACCGTTTGAACACCAAAGTCCGGAGTAGCTAATGTTCGAGCTTCACGGCCGTGAACTAGACTAAACGGTGAATATTTCGTTGCTTGATGAGGCCCAGAATTGTATGCCAGTTGAAATTCAGATAAGTGTGTATCCCATGTGTTTTGGTGGTTGTCTGTATCCAGGTAGGAACTGATCATGTTCTTGAGAGTTTCCATGAAGCGTTCAACTAACCCGTTCGATTGTGGATGGTAAGCAGGAGCGAATTTTTGGTCGATTTGAAGGTGATTTGCGAGGGCTTTAAGCATTATACCAGAGTATGGGGGGCCATTATCACTGAGGATCGCCCGAAAAATTCCATGTTCGGCAATAACTTGGCAAAGACACCGGATAATATGTTGATCTGTGCTATTGGGTACCGCAAAAAGCATAACGTACCGGGAAAACATACATTGAATGACAATAATATAACGGTTACCAGATAGTGAAGGAGGTAAAGGACCGAATGTATCGATAGCAATGGTATCGAAGGGGTGAACAGGAGGGTTTGAATGAATCAAGTTGGTATGGCCAAGGGTTTGATTTGTACGTTTAACCTTTTGGCAGACAAGGCAAGATTTCACCTTGGAAGTTACCCATGCAGTTTGATCAGGAAAATAATAAAGGCGTTGAAATCTTTGTAATGTTCGGCCAATTCCCATATGACCAGATGTTGGGTTGGAGTGTAAAAGATCAAAGGTAATGTCTTGAAGAGAAGAAGGCAATACGGGAAGTGGACCAAAAAATAAGACACCGGATTCTTCAGAAAAACCACTAGGAAGGGGAGAAGATTGTCGGGTTTCTTGGCAAAATGGATCTTCTGATTGGGCAGAGGAGATATCAGTTGCATGAAGAGACGCCACTAATGCTTGTGGTGGGTGTTTTTCGACAGGGTAACGGCTAAGGGCGTCAGGACCTGTATTTTGTGTGCCAGGGCGATATATGATGTCGAAATCATGTTGTTGTAGACTCAGAGTCCATCGAGCCAATCGTCCACGAAGATCAGTGGATTTATGATTGTTTAAAAATTGTAAGGCGTGATGATCCGTAATTACAGTGAATTTGGTAGAAGTAAGGTAATGGGCAAATTTCTTGATACCCCACACAATAGCAAGTGCCTCGACCTCAGATACTCCATAATTTCGTTCCGCAGGGGCCAAAGATCTTGAGGCATATGCCACAGCGTATGCACGGTTATTGGTAGGATCACGTTGGCAAAGTATGACACCGATACCGGCAGTACAAGCACCGTCAGTGTGTAATTCAAATGCACGAGAGAAATCTGGAAAGCGTAAGACAGGAGCTGAAGTCAGAGCATTGCGGAGGGTGACAAAGGCATCTTCTTGTGGGGAATTCCAAGACCAAGTAGCATCTTTCTTAAGAAGATCGTTGAGAGGAGCGGCGATTACAGAAAATTTACTGATAAAATTACGATAATAACCTGCCAAACCAAGAAAGGAGCGAAGAGTGGTTATGTCGGATGGTTTTGGGAAATTGGAAACCGCACTGATCTTTTCTGGATCTGTATGTAGACCATCGGGAGTGATAGCGTAGCCAAGAAAAGAGATACGATCGCTCGCAAACTTGCACTTTTTAAGATTAGCCGTGAGGGATGCTGAGCGTAGTCGAGACAAGACGGAGTGGAGATCATGTAAATGCTGTTCAAATGTTGGACTAAAACAGATAATATTGTAGTAAAAGTAGACTTTAAGAGAGAATAGTTTTACAGAAAAAAATAGATAAAAAAACAAAGAGAATACAATTATAAGTCTTGTCGATTTATTTGTATAAAAATTGATTAAGAGCTAACTAGACGGGCAGGTTTGCCCTGATATTTATAGAAGATTGAAGATATTGTGGCTTGTATTTTTGACAGCTCAGATCCATCGTAGTTTTATATGATGGACCATTCATTTGGTTTATTGAAGATCGTAAGATAGCTGTCCTTGATTTATTATTGTTCCTTAAATTCTCTGATCTCTCATTGGTCGGAGCCTAGAGTTGTGTTGTAATGAAGAAAATTCCATAAAGCCGGGTTACTTATTCCCGATCTTTTATCCGTGAAACATCTTTCCTTTTGTAGACAGTAGCATTTATTATGTGGTTTTAGCACAAATATCATCGAGGTAAACCAAACAGACTTGCCATCGTAACCCAGCTAACACTGAATCCATAAGTCTTTGCATGGTGGCAGGTGCGTTTGTAAGACCAAAAGGCATGCGAACGAATTCGTACAATCCGCTACGACAGATGAAAGCAGATTTTGCTTTGGATTCCTCGTCAAGCTCTATTTGCCAATAACTGGAGGTCAGATCCAAAGTTGAGAATACTTTTGCGTTGCCAAGACTATGTACAGTATCATCAATTCGTGGCAAGGGATATACGTCCTTTCGGGTAACAGCGTTAATGCGTCGATAATCCACACAGAACCGAGGGGATCCATCATGTTTTTTAACAAGTACGACAGGTGATGCCCAAGGTGAGTTACTCGGTTGAACAATACCTTGTTGTAACATATCGTCCAACAAAGAGTCGATGGTTTCATTTTCACCAGCGGATGCACGGTGTGGAGGTTGGGATAAGGGTCTTGTGTTACCTGTATCAATTGAGTGTTTAACCTTGGGAGTAACCGAAGATGGTTTAGCGCTAAAACAATCCGGAAATTCTTGTAATAAGTTAGTCATAGCCGACTGTTCTGAAGCAGATAGGTGTTTGCCAATGAAGGGCGAAAAGTCTGGTAATGGTTCCGATGTTGTAGATTGTGAAGAGGTCTGTATACTATGAATTGAAGGGTCGTTGTTGGAATACAACTTTAGGGTCGGTGACAAATATTCGAAATTAGCAATATGCTGTCCTTTATTTAAATGTTTAATATCCTTATCTAAATTAGCCAGTTTAACTGTAGCGATTCCGTTGGCATCAAATTGTACCACGCCTGCAGCAACAGAGAGCATCTTTTTCATGACAGTGTCATTGGGGGTCGAAATGAAGGCGGATGCCAGAGGTGGTCCAGTGATATCAACGTAAGTATGGGATTGCCCAGGCAATCGAAGACAAGAATTCATGGTACAGATTCCAGGTGCAGCAGGAGATAGAGTGGATACGGATTTTGGGAAGCGGACTTCATCGCTGTCGGTATCAATGGTGATCTTGTGGCGTTTGAGGTCCGGGTAACCGAAGATTACTTCATGTGCCAGGTTGTTGACAACATGGCAAGATAGCTGGACTTGCGTGTTACCAAGCATAGCATTGACCTTAGCGACACCAAGGGAGGACACGTGTTTGTTATCAGCCGTGGTAAAAGCGGCGGCTTTTGATACATCGTATCGTAATCCTAATCGAGTGGCGATGGTTTCACGTAGAGCGGAAATGCTAGCACCAGTATCAACAAGAGCTTGGACTAAATTGCCTTTAATGGTTAGGCGTACCCGTGGTGTTGAACACGCGCCACTACTGAGGTCGACGCTGTTACATTCTGAAACGGTGTTCAGATTGTGGATGGAGGCGACGTTTTGAGCAGCAATGGGATCGTATTCGATGGGTACGGCAGCGAATTTAGCGTCGTTGGTGGGTGTTAAGCTATGCACTTGTCTAGATTGGGATGATTCAGGATTTTGGTAACATTTCTTGGTTAAGGGCCCTCGCAAGCACATCAAACTATTTTTTAAAGATCCCGATTAAGGACATTAATTTTTTTTTTTTTTTTTTTTTTTTTTGTGAAAGGTTACAGTTTTTCCAAATAGAATCTTTTAAAATTTTAATAATATATATGGACGATTAATAACAACATTGAATATTTTCAGCGCTAAAAAATCCGAATTGTCCAAACGAAGAATTAAAATCTGCAGGCCCCAAAAACCTTCTATCAGATTATTTAATGTCCAAATCCGATTACTGAAATCACAAATGTTGTTTATTTTTCAATAAGAGCCTTTCATTTTTATCGATTTACTTTTTTTCTAACATCTCCATTTTATTTTACAGATATGAGTTTCCAAAATTATTCAAGTGCTGATTTCATCAATGGCCAACGCCCAAACCCTCCTGTGGTAAGAGGCCGACCCAGAGTAAACCCTCCGCCTGCTGCACAGATTCCCACTGACGTACCTGTTCCATCCTCTCTACTGGAATGAAGAGTCGTCATATTTTCTACGAGGCGTTGTCCCGTAGAATTAAGAATTTCCATTCTATCTTCTTCGAGAGATTCAGATTCTTCGTTGATTTGAACTATTAGGAGCTGCAACTGAGACACGATAAACGCAATTTGTTGTAATTTTTATCTTTTTAAAAAAATCGGTTAAACTGAAATTTTGTCTTTAAAAAATAAAGGAACAGATATTTTAGTAATCTGCAAAAACTTTGTTATTAATCATTCAAATTGGGTCATTTAAAAAGCAACGTCATGGATTTCAGAAAAAGATTTCTTTTGGAAGTCTGACAAAAAAAAAAAAAAAAAAAAAAAAAAATTAATGTCCTTAATCGGGATCTTTAAAAAATAGTTTGATGTGCTTGCGAGGGCCCTAAATGTCCAATTTTCTTACAAACGCCACAGATGGGTTGACCATCGGAAGCCCAAAGGCGCATGGGATCGGCCTTTTCTCTGGGTTTCTTGTAACCATTTGATTGGCCATGGCGAGAGAAAGAGGAAGAACTAGTTTTACCAGAAGATCTAGACGTATTAGAGTTGATGGCATCGATTTCCATAGGCTCCGGAATGTCATTTGTGGAGGTAGTGAAGGCCGTAGGAGAGATATCCGGGCTTGATTGGATAGTTAAATTTTCAAAAGCAGACTCAAGTAAGGTGTCATCCAGACACAGAGATTCTTCTAATGCAATGGCTGATTTGGAAATAGCTTCCCATGAGAGTTTATGTGCGATGTTGGGCAGGATCATTGTGCGGATTTTTGGAGACATAACACGGAGATAAATGATACGTAGAGTAGGACCATCTAATTTATGATCTGTGTCGAATTCCAGCACAATGGATTCAAACATAACAGCAAAACGGCGAGAAGGCAGATTCCCTTGTTTAAGAGATTCCAGGCGACGACGAAGTAGAAGTTTGTATTTTTCAGCGGGTATACCGTAGGTATTAACAAGAGCAGTTTTGAGGGAACCCCAAGTGGCAGCAGCAGGTGTACGGGCAACCCAATTGGAAATGTCAGCTGGTAAATATTTACCGATTTGGATAAGTTTTTGATCATCCGTAAGAGCCAAGCGTTTACAGTTGAGATCGTATTGGTTGAGCCAATGATTGATGTTTTCTTGGGGGTCATAAACGGGAGAGATCACAGAGTTGTTGAGGCGACTCTCAGACAAGAGTTGTCCAAGGAGTGAAGCCAGTAGGGTAGAGTTCGAGGCAGAGTTAGAGGTAGCCATAGTAAAGTTTGTTATTGTTAATCACAGAGATTCAGAGCGATAGCGAAGAGATTTAAACACAGAGTTTTCAGAATATAATTGAGGCGCAGGAAAAGAGCAGCTACTCCACCATAAAATAAGTTTGAGTAGTCGGTCTTTGAAGGTTAGATCAGAAAGAGAGAAATAGGGTTTAGAGTACTTTAATCCTCAGATTATTATTTCAGTTTAAGATAATCGTTTATTGATAAGAATTGGAAGAGTATTTATATTATTTTGATATTTATGAATTAGTAATCGAATAGTACTTTGCCAAGATACTTAGTATATATAGTGAATATATGAACTAGTGTATAGTATAAGGCAAAGTGTGTTAACTAAAGATCTGTATTATTCTGGTTGGTCAACCATGAAAGTATTTTCAATGTCCGAGTCTGAACTCACGACAAAAGGACCAAGACGTGCATTAAAGTCACCACATAGAATGGTGTCAGAACCTAGGGGGATGGACCTTAAAGCGGAAAGCACCAGCTTTCGAGAGGGGCTGGGTGGGAAGTATGAACAATGTACATTGACGCTACCAATTTTCATTGATAGGGTATATGCATTGGGAGAAGGATGTTGAGTGACAGGAATAGGACATTGAGGCGAGACAAAGCATGACACACCACCGGATTCTCGACCATTACCATTAGAGACCAAAGTACCGTAGAGATGATATTGAGACCAATTGGCAGGCAAGTAACCAGCAGTGAGCCATGTTTCGGTGATGAAAAGGAGATCGGAATTAGTGACATGAGATAGTACATCTTGGATGGTTGTAGCCCGAAGACCATTAGCATTCCAGAGACTAAATGAGAAGGAGCGGAGGGAGGTGTTGTTGTTCGAATTGTAATGGACACTCATTAGAGTTCCATTTCAGATTCTGAGAGAGGTTCGACTTCATTGTTCTTGAAGTAGAATGCAGCCTTTCGAGGATCCACTTGGTCAAGTTTCTTACGAGCACCAGCAAGAGCATCTTTGGCATCTTCGTCATCGATCCAGCCAAATTCCACAAAGGAACGAGCAACAGGGCCAACAACAAGAGGACGCAAGAAGGTGAGAATATCGATAGCACGACTATTGACAATGTCGTGCATCTTTTGACAACGTTCTTCGTATGTCAGGTCAGAGTATCTGGGATCCGCCAAATGTTTAGGATCAAGAGGATCAAAGTTTGGGAACAGAGTGGCGTCTACCTTAGTCATAGCATCTGTAAATATTTTGACATATTGGACATGCATGAGTAATCCTAATACTCCAGAGGCAGGAAAGGTGACATTTTGGATACGACCAGTGTCAATGCCTGAACGTCGAAGGCGAGAACGGACTTCAGATCGAATGATCTTACGTGAGCGACCAATATAGACATATTGGAAGCCTTGAGGACCCTTATCCTCGGTGCTTTGGAAGGGACGAGCAGCAGCGATTTTCTTCTTAAGTGATGAAGCAGGGGAAGTACGTTTGGGTTTTTCAGGGCGCGTTTCAGCGGTCTTGGTTGCCCATGTAGAGTCTTGGCTGGAGGAGCCGCGGTTACCATTCTCGGTGGATTGATTTAAAACCCGAGGTGGAGTGTTGGTTTTGGATGCACCGGGGTTGGTTGAAACGGAAACAAATTTTTCTTTTAAAATTTTATTTTCCGAGGCGAGAATCATATTTTCCTTTTCAAGAGTAGAGATTTTTTCTTTCAGAAGTGCCATTTCTTTCAAAATTGTAGAGTGTTCGTTAACTTGAGAAGCGAGATTGTAGACATATTGCAAGAGTTGTCCGTGATCGAGGTTGGGCTGTACAGAATCAATGGTGCAGTCCATTGCTTGTTGATTTTCCATTTTTTAAGAAATTAACAATTTTGAATTTTCTAAAAACTGTAGATCTTGTCCAATGGGGTTGAAAACTTGTTTGAAGGTACTTGAGGTAATAAGCTTTAATACTGTAAAACTTATTTTGGAAGTTGTTGCTAACGTTGTTGATTTTTTATCGATTTTAAAAAGTACCGGCTAAAATATTTAACCGTTCAAATTTAATAAAAAGTTTGAGGAAGCGAAAGAGAGTGCGGGTATAGCTCAGGTGAAAGATTTTTTATTTTTTATAAGATTACTTAATGGGCGGGCTCTGTAGAGTATATATGCCTTGTAATTCGGGAAAACGTGGGGAGAAAAGCATACTTAATTTTGTGTAGGGGGGAAGGGGGAAGACTAACTAATAATTATTATATTTTTGGGCCAATAATGTATTAAGATACGGGGAAACGACTTGATTAAACCTGGGGTGGTACCGTCCAATTAATACTTACTACGCCAGTCGACCACAGAACACACACCGAGAACAACAGAAAAAAGCGGCGTCAAAACCCTGGCGGGAAAGGGAAACATGATGAGAGGGGCAATATTTTATCTAGCGTAGGGCTAGGGACTCGGAACGTGGACACTGGGCAATTGCCGGCCAA